TTCTGTTCATTCCATCTGTAATCCCCGTTTCCCCCGTTCGACCGCGTAGTGTCAGTATGACCGCATCAAATATATCGATTGCTCTGATGGTCGTTGTGATAGTATTTTCCGCCGACCACCTCTCGTTCACGTCCTCCAATAGCAATGGAGCCGCCTTCAAAGCATCTCTGCATCTGAGCAGACTTAAATTCCGTGCTTTTGCATCAACCGATAGTGCGAGACCAAGAGGGCGACGCGAGAATCTCATGACCCTGGGCTGGACTATTGTTGAACAGTGGCGGAGTTCCCGTCCCATGCAGAGTGCCCCTCTCTTTTTCCAGCCATGCATTGAGAAAGCAAAAGAACAGCTGCATGATGATGAGAGAGAGAAGCCAACCCATACGATGTTGGCCACTGTATGCTTGGATGGCAAAACTATGCTCAAGACGTGCCGTGGCCGAGCTGCAAATCCATGTTCCCCGAAAATTTTGCCTCTGCATAGGATCCGAAACTGTGGACCAAGACTCAGATAAGCCGTTGGGAGCATACGTGCATGATGCCCTTGACGCCCCAGATCAAAAGTCGCAGCTGACTGTCGTCTGGACCTCGGCGGTGTCCCGCGCTCTGACTCTGGAAGGATTAGAGTGAAGATTATCGATAGACTTATGTACCTAGGCAGCGGTCGCTTGCTAAATGTGGGAGTGGCTCTTCGACCGACAACCGGGTACTTCTATTCGTGAATACGTCCTTGGGTTTAAGCGAACTCTGCATCTTGACCCGGATCATGACGGCGTTTTGGGCTATTCGCCAGTTGGCCTATCAGACCGGATCGGACGTATACGCGTACTCTGTATCCGCCGCTGTCTCCACAGATTGTGGGATAAGGTTCGATAGATCCGCAAGTGCACCGTTTGTATGAGGAGACGAGAGCCTCTCCTGTTGAGGCGGAAACGACTGTGGCTGCGATTGCCCGCGCGTTGAACCACTGGGATGGAGAGCCATCATGTCCGCCAGTTGCCAAGGCTGGTAAGCGAAAACGCCACGTTTGCTTCATTGGTGGGATGGTTCTCACTTCGGAGTTATTCGCTACGTACCAGAGCAGTTGTTGTATAGAGGACGTCTGTAATCATAGATACCATGAAATAAGGCTTGCTAAACATCTTTCATGGCCTCTAGGAGGCTGCGTCAAGACGACACTTTCTGGTACGGTATGCAACGCCGTACACAAACAACAGCCGTTCCCAGATCGATTTTCCATGGCAATTATATTATCCACACGGCCAAATCATGGATGCACCTGTTAACAGCTATTACACCCCGTATGTCTCGATGGTGAAACCAGAGCTTCCTAGTGAGAGCGGAGCCGAATGCGAGTTCCTCTAGGTATCGGCATTGCTGAATTCGCATTCGATTTCGTGGACGCAGAGATCCCTGAGTGATGCAGATACTCTACGTAGTGTTAAGGTCGAGGGGAACGACCAGTGGGGGTACGGACGGCTCCAACTAGAGTCAGCCGGTCTGACGAAAATGGTTAGACGACAGAGCGAACGACCTGCAGGTACAGGAAACAAGGTTTTCGTGTGGACATAAGTCCGGGAAACGCAGACTTGAATACTTAGCAGAACAGATACGAGTTGCACCGTGATTACTCTCTGACAACGCCAGCATGTTCCTGGAGTATAATCTCAATCCCGCTGCTGAATGCCTCGAGACGAATGGAAAGTGGAGCGAAGACGAGCACCTATAATTGGCCGCAATGAGGTAATTGCCGTGTACAGACGGTTTCCATAGAAGCGGACCACAGCGCATGGATAGCCATGTGGATACACCGGTGAAGATTGTGTCCGGGAGTTCGGGCGCCGAACCTAAGACTACAAGCCCGCTAGAGAGGTACTCGTGAGGAAGTAGCGCAGTCGTCATGCACCCAACGTCATTCACAACGGGAAGAGGACTAATAGGAGAAGGTTGTTGGACGCGCAGAGGCGTGGTGCGTAAGACGTGGGCCGCTGGTGCGTGGAAGAAGCAGCAAGGTGGAGGTACCGAGTGGTGCTCGCCGATCTATGGTCGGCCGCCAGCGACCACTGCAGGAACAGGGGGAACCACGCAGCGGACAGGAACCACTGGGACTCTGGAGACTGGAGACTGGAGACATGTCCAACTCAGGTATTGATAGGAGACGCTGTGCACAGTCGTCTGCAGGGTAACAGGACAGTGATGATGATGATGATGATGATAATTAGATAGGGTCATCCCCGAGGTTGTTCCACAGATGCACGTGTATTCTTGGCATGGTAGCGCACGCGAGAGAGTCTTCACCTCCAGGTCCGGGACCTCAGCTTGGGAGAAATGACAGCCCAAAAACTGTACAGGAAATCGGTTCCAGTGCCACTATTACCGGGCGCTTTGGAATCAGTCGGTGTGATCGCTTTGCATCTGTGCCGCTGAAGTTGAAGCTGACCGCCCACAACCCCCACACGGCTCATGCCTTGAGCGTTGGACCTCATTACGAGTGCATGTTCCAAGAAGAACAAAAAAACTTGTAGAGATAGGCGCTCGTCACACGTCTTTGTGCAGACTCGAATGGCGCTGTTGTACGGCGGCTGACGCGAAGATCTACAGCCTCTACTTCGGTCGTATGCGACCGCATCACGACATGATACGAGCAGACGGTGTTGCAACATGGACCGTACTCAGTAATCTCGAGGTTATGCTTCGGTGGCCGTGCGACTGTGCCGAGGTAGTACTTTGTGCACGCTGAGTCTGTTGAAGAGTAGCGAAAAGGCAGACCACAATGGCCTCACAACCCACGATAGTCAGAACTTAACTGTGGCTGTCAAGAGGCTCTGAAACACGTTTGGGATTTGCCTGGGCTCCGACACATCATGGCATGTACTCCGACCTCGATGAGGGCTGTTCACGATTCGGATCGATCCACCGACGAGCCCTGTGTAGATTGAGACGTCTGAGTGAGGCGGGGTATCGAGTCCTTGGACGCATCTTTGGCCATGGTGTAGGGGCTGTCTTCGGTTGTTTCAGGTTCCGCCGTCTCACGAGCGAAGATCTGCAGATGGGACGTTGCTCTAGCCTTTGGTCTCTGCTCAGACGCTTATCGCGATGCCTTTCTGACAGATTTATTGATCCACGCCGGAATGCGACTATAGCATGCACCAATACTTGGAGCAATAGTTGCGCCTCTCTTCGACATGCTTAGCCAGACAGCCAGGACAAAGTAGCAGACATGTCGAAGCTGAGGCGTTATGCATGCCCAGGCGCATCGCACAATCAAGGCCTAACCCTGCAGGCATTGCGCCGTGCCCGCCTGAAAACGCGAGCCGGCACTGTTCGGCACTAATGGCACAAATGCTGTATTTAGCTACCAAAATCCTCCATTCCCAGCCTGTGAATGGATCCTGGCTCGTATCGTAAGCACAATTTACGCGTCCTGTGCTACCAAACGTCTGCTGTCTGCGAACACCGCAGGAAGACAACTTGCTCCAGCCACAGCACGTCCTGCTACGCGTTGTCGAATCCTTCTCGGGTGCACAACAACTTACGGCCGACGTTGCAAGCAAATTGGAGCTCACGTCCTCGTAGCAAAGCGGGTCGAGACGTGGTCAAAGCACATATGCAGCAGATTTAACCGTTTATTTCGCTGCAATGTCCAATCAATGACAGCCGTCATTGCCCCTGCGACCTTATATTACGCAGGCCGACCTGTCGGGCCGCGTTCACCTTGTGCGCTCATCGTCAGTGGCTCATAAGCCCTGTGAAGTCGGGCATCCCCCGTCTCCAACACCCCTGGTTCCGCGCTCCCCCAGCCACTAACAAACGCTCAGACACCGTCGCTCAGCGGCAGATACCCATGTTCTCTCCTGCTTGCGCGCAGCGAGCCTTGTCCTTGCTCATCCTAGATGTCACTAACCGAGTGGAGCACACTGAGCACCTTCCATCTTCTCCACATACTCTCCGCTGCTCGACCAAGCCGGCCATGTTCCTACATAGTGAGATCATCCCTACACCTGCTGTTACTTTACCGGCCACAAAGCATCCTGTTCCCGTGTCACGGCATGCAATACTACAGGATATGCCAATGATCGCTCTTCAGCAACTACAATCCCTACTCGAATCTTTGCTCAGCTACCTGGACCGTCCACCACTCATTCTGATTCGCAACCACCGTTTGTCTCACTTCGGTCTGTGCAGTTCGCCAACCTTCACTCGACCCTAACTCCTTGACCACATCCTCGTCTTGTTCCCACACAGAAGGGCAGAACCCCTTCATCAGCCGTCGCCCTGCAGTGGTCCGTGACCAGGCTCTTGCGTTCTCTACTCCCCTGCAAATAAGTTATCTGCCTGACCAGGTACGCATATATTACTTTGACTGTTATTGCATCTCAACTATACCTTTACCCTCGTTTGTTACGCTTGTATCCTAGACTTGGTCCAAGTCCAGTCATCTCGCCTCATCCAACCTCAATCCCTCCTCACAGGTCTTGTGTACCAATGGCAAGTCCTTTGCATACATCACTAACGCCTTCCGCAGGCGTATAACCCGGGCATTCCAACTCACAACATCCGAGCTCGCGTGCGCGCGACAGGTTTCTCCCAGAGTATTCTGTCAATTTCAATGGTTGTTGCCATCACTACATTTGCCGGCCACTTGTGGGGACCTGCACACGCCATACTAGCATTGCTCGGTTCGCATTGCTTGCATTAGGCCATATCTTTCTGGGGTTCCTCCAGATTCTCAAGCCATGTTTTCATTCCACAAAACTGATGCATCCCGATCTCGACAGTCATCTGTAGACTCTCAGGCCGCGGGGCCTAACTTTCCCACCACAAGTTCAGACTCTTGGCTGGAGCAGTATCCTCCTACGCACTCTTCTCATGCTGGTATGCATTCGCCTGAACAACAACCTAGAGCCTATCCGGCCAGACGAAGCTCCGTGTTCAACCTACGATCAAGGAGCAATACCGCAACGTCCACGACCCCGTCGTTACTGTCTCTTAGCCATTCCGATATGGCTGAACATGAGGGTTCATGGCATGACTCACCACCTGGACATCGACAAACCGGCAACAAAAACCACAAGGAGTCTACCGGATCGAGGAGGTCATTGTTTCGCGGCAAAAAGGGCAAGAGGCTAAGTGAGACGCCCATGATCAACGTTGATGAGTATGACGGGGATGCCAACGAAAGGCGAACATCGATCTTGCGGAAGAGCAAAAGAGGTAACACTCAAGCTGAGGAGGCTGGTAAGCAACAGTTTCCCCAACACGAGGTCTATATGCTAACCATCACAGCAGGTGCGAACCTAATAAGCCGTATTTCGAGCCCATTCGACTTTCAGCACCTCTCCCATACTGATCGACATCAAATCGCTGCCCTCGAAAAGCAACTCCCAGATTCACCAACCGAGAGCCTCCATTTCAGGAACTTTTCTTCTGAAAACCTTGCAATTGGAGAGGATAGATCCTCATCTGCCCTTGGCTTTAGATCACCCCCTCGCAGTCCAGATGCGCGCCATGAGTCGGAAAATGCACCCCATTTTCCAATGATGCGACGACCACTACGTCTAGCCCGATCTATAGAGAGCTTCTCCCAACCCGGTATCAGCCCTCGGAAACATACCCACACATCTTCTTCGGTACAGGCGCCTCTCCAATCGCCATATCTCCCTCTTGGACCTCCTTTCGATACACCTGAAATTGCATATGAAGAGACAGGACCAATCCCACGCAGATCGTCTCGATCCAAGCGAGAATCAGGTATCTGGGACTCGTTTGCGCTCTCGGCTGTGTCCACACCAGACATAATACCTGAAATACTAGAAGACTCCTCGTATTTCGGCCATGCGGTAACAACACCTGACGACTCGGCCATTCACGCAACGACACCGCCATCGTTTAGCCCTAGTCTCGCAGATGTCGCTGAGGAACCAGAGAGATTCGTCAGCCCAAGGCCTGCACCACAGCCGCCAATGAAGACCCCGACTTCACCGAGATCGCCCTACTTTGGGTCGTTCTCCTTTCAGAGCCCGCGATCACCAGTCAACTCTAGGGCACATGGTCGGGGTCAATCTCCTGCCTCACCAAGGGCAGCACCGTCTGTCTCGCGACCCTCATCGCAGATGTCTGATACGTTGGGCTCGGGTAGTATTCCAAGGAGAATGTCCATTCGAAAACCTACTCATCGTCGCCAGTCGAACACATGGCGCGCAATAGAGGAGTCATGGGAAGAGGACGTTGACTATATTTATGACAACGCCCTCGAAGCTGACTGTGACTTCGAATGGGATCGTGCATCTGATGATGGTGTTCGCTGTTGCGAAACACCTTCTGCGGAGCAAGCGAATAACGACAACCTAAGAATCACGCCCGCTGATAGAGAGCGCTTCGCTTCTGACAATTTCCGCTCGTCTCTACTCGTTCCCAGCACAGGAAGTGTGCCAGAGCTAGTCCCAACTTCTGCGATATCCACATCTACCATGGGTACTGGACTGCCACCAACACCATCGGGATTCTTCAATGCCAACCGCTTCAGCGGCGACACTGGATTCATACTAAGCCCTTCCCTCCTTGTCCCCCAAGAATACAAGGATACCAGAGAAGTCACTTACGAGGACTTGCTTGACGAGTACGCTGGGTCCGATCGGCATTTTCCAATGCTTGACGCGAGCCGAAGCGCGACTAGCTCGGCGCGTAGTAGTCACGTCCGACTTAGTAGACGAAGCTCCTATGATAGTAGCCTCATGTCCTCTGTCCAGAGCTCTGGCCTTTGGAGCTCCCTGTACGGCGCTCGGCAAGTTCTGCAGGAAGTGTACCAGAATTGATCCCTTCCCGTCGTAGCCGAAAGTCGCTTGGCTTTAGTCTGGCAGGCGATCAATTATCGGAGCAGATCGCATTTCTCAACGAAGACAAAGAAGACGATGACGTTACGCCGCCAGGGCGTACTTTGGAAGGGCGAACATTTTTCGCTTCAGATGACGAAGCGCCACAAGATGAGGAGCAATCTCGCAGCTCCATAGAGACTGAGCTCAGGGCCTCGCTTGATCTGGCTCGACGTGGCTCGCAGCGTACCAATCATCCCACCGTCGAAGAAGAGCTCAAGTCATCGCTCGATCTTGCGCGTCAAGGGTCACCACGCTCCGCTCGTACTTCAGCACGCCAGCACAAACAAGCCCTGTCTGACGGTGCTGCCAAGCTGCTTTCCGTTTCTGTACCTAAAGAAGACTCATCAGCCAAGCTACGCAATCGCTCAGCGACCACAGCGCAGGCGCGCTCCCCATGCTGAGCCTCTTCCCAGTACCACCACGCAACACATCCACTACTTCGCAATTGTAAAATCCAAACACCATCATCAACAACCCATCACCACGGCGCCCTTAATAATAGCTTCACGAGCAGCGTCTCTACACTAAGCCTGGAGGCTTCTGAAGCATGGCTGGCTATGCTTCATGTCATGTTAACAACGACACAACATTGCATTCAGTGTATATATTGACGAGTCATGTTCTTTCCTATCTTGTCTGTCTACTTTCAGTCTCGTTGTCAACGGAAGGCTAAAAGTCGGAGGAGTTTCACTTAGTCTCGCGCATTTCAGTTTTCTTTGCGTCAGCTTTCTATCAGCTCGCTCATGTGCATTTCGTCGGCGCACCTTTGTCTCATTACATAGATCTGTCTTACACCATTTGCACATCAATCGTCTCCTATGTTCAGAAGGAGAATGACCTATCGCGAAGAGCGCGAAAAATAATCACCATCTGGTTTTGGAATCACCACATGAGATGATTGTTGGTTTCGATCTCGTTCCTCTTTCGAAAGATGCTTGCGAGCATTGCAATACAAACAAATCAAGATGATAACACAACCAATTTCATGGTCTTCTTCGCCTTTGCTTAATGATTGACCTATACTCGGCTGCATTTCGCGGCTTGAAATAAGTTGACCGATTATATGGTCCTCGCTTTGAGCCACGCAGGTACATGGCGCATTCCCCCAGCCTGCGCGAGTCCTTGTGCCTCACTTTGCTACCTTCTCAACGATCCACAGGTCCGACCCTGACGATCCACACGGCAGCTCATCCTCAGATTCGCAGGCTTGCCCTGCATGAACACACCCGCCCGCGCCGTTGGCTTAGTACGGGCAGGCTGATTGGAAATACAGGGAAAAGCATTATCGTCGTATGAACGCCACGAACATGATTACATGAGCTGAAAAAACTACGACGCGACGCGATGTCGTGTCATCAACACCAACGCGCGCAAGTATAGATGAAGAGCACAAGAGCTTCGCATAGCCGCGAAGGGACGTGCAGTACAGTCCGGCTAATTCGACGTTTTACTAGGAGAGTAAAACAATAGCAGAAACTAGTGTGTCAGGAACGGGGCAGCGGGACGCTTTCGCCAGGCTTTTGTCGCGTGCTATTCATCAATGCCGTGCTACTACCCGCAAAACATATCTGGCTACGAAATAGTGCAGATTGACACAACGCTCATTTGATTGCGGCGCCTGCAGCGTATAAGCCCATGTGGTTAGACGCTGCGCATCGTCCTGAAATGGATGTAAACAAGTGGGTTTGTTATCTCAAATGGATACGGAGCCGACCTGTCGAGGCGAGGTTTTCGCAATGAAGTCGCCCAAAGAGACCGGTGCCATGGTACCGAATGGCTGACTGACAAACTGGTGGTGGAGATGGTTCGTGTTGATATCGGAGGCGAGTTGTTTGTTGGTGGGTCGGTTGCATCTAGCCATCTAACGACCTTTTGACTGTTTTGGAAGCCATCGGATCGATCAGATAGGCAGTTGCAAGAACGCGACGGTTTCGGAAAGCATGTTGAAACTGGTTATGATGGCCACGATGTCAAGGTCCCAACCCTGTATCATGCTAGCCAACATATCCGCGGCTCGCAGAATCTGGGGAAGCGAGCAGCAGAGCGCACATACTGATCTGCTAGACAGCATGTTCTTATTGTTGGGATAGTAATATTAAGGGTACTGGAATAGAAAAAAGACCGGGAATGCTCCACTCTACACCCACATGGCAGCTCCACCAAAGTGTTCATTGAGAGAGCGCGTACTGCGACAAACTTCTGCCTACCTAGGTACGATCAATGCGCTCGTCTGACTGCGTTGTGCCTCTACACGCAACCAACCGCGCCCAATACCAACAGATTAAACATGCAGGAACCAAGACGTCCCTCATTCGAAACCGGGAACTGACCGCGCGCAAATCCATAGGGATGCCGAACCGAACAAGATCGTCCGGGTAAAAGACTTCAAGAATCCTGGCCATATGCAAGTCAAATACCAGGGGCCTACACGCGGAGCGGCACGTTCATTATAGACCCTGTTGAGGACCAAGGCGCAGATAGTGTGTGGCTCGGGTAATAGACAAGTCGTTTGGAATTATCCGGGCCGCTGAACGTGCCTGAAGCAATGCCGGCTGTGCTCGTGCATGGGACTTGTGTTTTATGTACTTCATACCCATCGGTAAGCGAGGATGTGTACATGCACATTTCACGATCTTGGACAGATATCGTGACGGATTGAGGGTAGAAGAGCGTTGATCGGCCAGAAAGAGATGTTGTGACCAGGCTGAATGTCATTCAAAACGCTATTTCATATGCGGTGGAACCATCGTGAAGATGCCTGAGGCATTCATTCAGCCTATGCGAGGTGTCTGGACTTCGCCGACTAGATTTTTTTCGATTGACGGACGCTGCGTTCTCGATGTGTTTCTCCGGTAGAGTAGGGACTTTGTCTTGCATTGGATATGATGCAGTGTCTTCTTCTAGGAATGCCACAATGACCATGCTCTTTTCAGTAACCTCCATTTGCGTCCGTGACTACCTGTTGAAATTGACATTGAGGTACACGCTGACCCTGCTTGGTACAGCTCCTGTGATAACCACGCGTTGAGCTACCGGAGGGCAGTTAGATAATACATCAAGGATCTAATTTCAAAGTCCGAGTATTTGTGATTTGGATTAGCCAGTTATCTAGTCGGACGTAGGGTGAGAATGCAACGAAACTAAACGATTTGGCGATACAAATATGTTAAGTCTGTTAAATCTGCACATTAAGCTATCATGTAGACCTCCTGAATTAATACTGCAAACAGGGAGTTCTGTCTGATATCTGCTTTAGTACTAGGCTGCTGCATGGGCTTGACGTCGTGCTCATTCGTCATGTTCGATAACGGCTCACAGCCTCAGCTTCGTCTATATCCCTATCTCAGCAAGATCTAATCTGATATATCTTACTACTCTTCTCATGTAACGAGTTTCAAGGTAAGGGACAGGCAGAAACCTACTGCAGCTCTTGTGTAGACATTAGCATTTGTCGCCCTCGTCCGGATCGTCGGTCCATTCCTAATCGAAGTTTGAAGAACAAAGTCTCAATTGACAAGATTGAGAGAAAGGATATAATCGCAGGCGTGGTGGTAACACATCAGCTCTTGACGAAATGTATTGTAGGTGTTTGTTCATCGAAGATGGGAGTGTCACCCAATTGCCATCTGGGCTTTCTTATCTCCGATGTCGCCTACGTCATCTGTTGCCAACACTTTCACAGCGCGACATATTTCTTCCTTACACCACAATTACCATGTCGAACTCGCGTGCTACCTTGTAGATCTCAGAACCTGACATACCACTCCTGGCTACATATCACAGCCCTTCTCAGACCTTTCCCGCTCCCTTCCGTCTTTGTAGTGAACTGTGATCCAAGCCGCTCATCATGGTCTTCCGGATGGCCCGCCTAGCACCCCCGCCCGCCCGTCTCACACCGCGGCGTCTTTTGTTCATCGCATCGGCAGGTGTACTTTTTGGCGTTCTCTTCTTCAGCTTGGCCCCAATCACCTCACCACTTCCGCCTTACACAGGACCGCATGAGGTTGGCATACTGGATGTTGAGACAGAGGTCCAAAAGAGAACGATTCATGATGCTGTACTGAAGGCAACTGGGGAGAAGACTTTCGAACTCAATACATTGGCCATCACTTTATACTACCCATCTTCTCTGCCTCTGGCGTCGCCTAGTCAGCGACTATGGGCACGACCATGGCTGCCCCAACCGGTTTCGCTCATTGGCGAGGGATATGCTCGGCTTGCCGGTGTATCGAAACTGTCTTCGGTTTTCACGTTTGCTCTCTGGCTCCTTGGTTCAAGCACGGTCATCCCAGGTGTCGTTGATGCACCCATACTTTCCGGCGCTGAGCAGATATTGGGCGAAGATGGCAGTGGTGCAGGCAGCTTCGGAAAGATCATGAGCGCAGCAGAGGAGGAGCATCAGGAATTGAAACGCGGTAGTGATCTCGGGGGGTTGCCATGCCTGGTATTTACACATGGAATGGCTGGAATGAGCCAGAGTTATGCCCACTACCTCGGAAGTATCGCAAGTTACGGCTATGTTGTCGCTGCTGTCGAACACCGCGACGGAAGCGGACCCGGTACTATCGTGCACTATCCTGATGGGACGGAGCGGAAAGTTTGGCACCTGAAACTCGAGGACCTTGCAGTCGACCCGCCAATGACTGACCTAGATCTTAAGGCTGCACAACTCAACTTCCGCGAAGCCGAGATCAGCGAAACCATCAAGCTCTTCGCGCAACTCAACGCTGGTGACGCACCAGTCGTGAACCTCAAGCCTGATTCACCGCGGAACGCCCTACCTGGTTTCAAGAACCGTCTCAACTTGTCTGCAGTCACAGTCGGAGGCCACTCATACGGCGCTACAGGCGTGATGCAAGCACTCAAATCTGCTGGCTCAAAGGCAATGCCCATCAACGGCGGCGTTGCGTTAGACCCTGGAAAGGGGTCCGGACCGCTGAACAAAGACATCGATGTACCAGTACTTGTAATGCAGAGCGGTGAATGGACAGAGAAGCAAACGGATTTCTACGGACAGGGATGGCACTTCAATGTTGTGAAGGGCATCATCGAAAACGTGAAGGTGGGATGGTTCATGACCTTGATGGGCACCGCTCATCCGTCTTGTACCGATGCGCCTCTGATCGTTCCTTGGATTATGAAGTTAGTCACTGGTACAACGCTCAACAGCAAGGACGCGCTTCACGAGTACATCGACACATCGGTCGCCTTCCTAGAGTACCTGCGAACAGGTGAGAAGAAGGGCGTTCTGGAGAGCGGTGTTACAAATGATGAAGGACCTTTCCATCGTGTCACACCACGTGAAACGGTCAAGGGCCCGCATGGCGCTAACTGGGAAGTTCACGTTGTGCCTAAGGCGGAGTAGACTGTATATACATTTTTAATACCAAAACACAAGAGTATGCAAATATGTGATACTCACCGCATTATACACGACTTCCCATCGAGCTGAATTTAGCTCGACTGTATGTCACAACGCCCATGCCAATGATTATCAATTGTGCAAGTATCGGTAAACCTTTCCTGTACTATTAAATAGTCTGATCTAGCGCCGGCGAGACCTTATACACTATGCCAGCATCGCAAGCACCTGGACATCAACGGTAGTAAAAGTAACCAGATCACGCCACGAGCGTTCAATGTGAATTACATCGCCCTCTAAAGGATCCCAACCATGTTCTTCAGCCACCTGGCGCACACTCACGGGTTGCGCCTGCTCGAACAGCCGCTTTACCACAGGTCCTGCTTCGACATTGACAGCGCGACAAGTGCCAACTATAGCTCGATCAATCTGTATCCGGATCCGAGTCGTTCGGGGAGAGGAGATTCGACCATCGGAACTGGGATACTCGACTGTGACTACTTGAGGGTTAGCAACGATACATATATGGAAGTAAAGCACTCATTGAGACGCTCGTATATCATGAGGCGTAGCTCAGTAGGGAGATCGAGTAGCCGGAATGGCTGGACTACTTTGTTGTTGGATAAAGGAGATGTTGGTTCTGAGCATTTCGCAAGGTTGTCCATGATCTCGAGGTCAAGACTTGCTTTGTGATCGTGTGCTCGAAAAGCGAGCGTTGAATATTGAGAATGAAATCAAGGTTGATGCTGCTATTAGTCTGAGGAGAATCTCTGATGCAATTTGATAGTCGCGCGCTATTTTGACCAGTGAGAGTCTATGCGAGACACACAATCGGTTACGTCTAGGCAGCAGTAAGAACCGACGTTCACCAGAATTCCCGTCGTTCTAAGCTACCAGACTCGGCTATGTGCGGAAGCAGGCGATCTTTGCCATTCTCATGTTGGGTTGTCAAATCGTGAAAAGCCAATGGGGCTGAACAGGGCTATTCAAGTAGTAGGGAGAAGTAGGCCCAGCACTAAAGCAACAACAATGTATGTAAGGTCACCAAGGATCTCGAGGGTATCGAGGTGATAGAACCGAGCCACAGTACAATATAGAACATCTGCTGTAATTGACTAACCACTCGTAAGCGTTGCTTCATGATTGGATAAACATCTCGAGATACTAAACAAATTGGGGAAAGTGCAGTTCAAAGCAGAGTGGTGTGTTACTATTCATCTCATACTTCCATTAATTCTACTTCCATGTGCGCAGCGAGAAGCCCTTGCTGTCACCCCCTCTTGACCTAGGCTGTTGTTTCTTCTCTTTCTTCGGCTTCTCCAGTCTCTTACAGCTCACATCCGCCTTTACCATCATGAAACTTTGATCAAAGACATGTCCATTAGCATTACCGCATCGTTCGAGTGCAGGCGCAAGTGCCAGTTCTACTCTTCTGCCCTTTGCGCTGCCGTTGACTCCATACCCGCCGCTGCTATTTTCGTCATCATCTTCATATACGTCTTCCATTTCGCTGTCATAGAATCCATAGCCCCAGTATTGGTCCTTCTTGCCGCCAGTAAATGTAACAAATCGATAGTCGGCAAGCTGGCGCTTCATCTTCAAGTCTAATGCAACAGACGCTGATATGATTGTTCCCAGTTGTTCCTTCCCTTTACGCAAGGAGTGTGTAGACCAGGGCCGCAGTTTGCGACGCATGCGACTGCAGAAACGGGATATTCGTTTTAAGACGGGAGCAGCATCGAAAGTGGGACGCCATTTGCCGTCTACTTGAGGAACCAGGAGGTTTACGGTCATGGCGCGCCATTGGTGGTACTCTTCGGCCTCGGCCTCGTTCTTGACAGCTGTGCATTGTTAGCGTTTGCATTTACAAGAGGGTTGAGGCACATAGGGGACTATACCCTTGCGCAACGTGTCGTTGATCTCACGCAGCTTCCTATCTCCCAATTTGCCTGCCCAGATGTATCCGCTGCCTTTCTGCCAATTGTTGAAGATCTTCTGTTGCAGCTTCATCCACACGTACGCCTGTATGAGAAGTGGTCGTTCCTCCGGATCCTTCAGATACATCTGATAGTTGTCTGTAAGGTTCCCAAACAGCTCCTTTGCTCTGTGAAGATGCGGTCGCTTGCTCGTGGCCTTGATAGGCCCACCAAAATACTCCTCGCTCCATATCCGGATCTCATATCGCAGCGCGTGGAGCTCTTCAACCAAAGTATTTTCTTCCGACTTGTACAGGACCGTACGTTTCGCGGGTAACCCATGCGGACCCATGCTCCTCCTTTGTAGCTCTTTCCTCAGCGCATCTCGTTCTTTTGTGACATGATAGTACCGCTGTATGAGATCATCTTGACTATTACCCCTCGACGCGTCCGGTCGCGATGGACTTTTCGGTGGTACGAGGGGGCTGATAGTCGCGCTTAGTTGGTGCGGGCGAGGTGATGCTGAAGACTCATCAGACGATGTGTCTTCGGCTGATGTAGCGGTAACTTTCTCGAACTTTAGTGGTGGTATATATGGCGCCTTCCGTCTATGCCTGGGGATCAGGACCTCCTCGTCCGACCATTCGTCTCCAACTTCGGGGAATGGGTAGCCTTGTTGCTCCATAACAGGCGATTCAATGGTCGATACAGATTGTGGTTCTTCGATCACTTCGGCGGAGGGGCAGGTGAGCTTGAGCGATTTGAGAGTAGAATAGCGGACATCTATGGATGCGACTCGGTCAGCGCGCTATATGCCAATAGCTCCAATGCTCACACGCACCGGGAGATAAAGTCGCCATCTCAACAAAGAGCGAGCATGTTGCCCGTCTGGTATGCGCTCAATGTTGATCCTGCCAGCGGTGAAGCCTCTTGGTAGTCTATGCTGCTATCCCTTCCCGCAGTCTCATCTCAGATCAGCTTCGGACAAAGCTGCAGCGGGGCCGATAGTGTTTATAGCCTTGGAAGAATCGACTGGACGATCTGGAGGAGTTTGTGGGCAAGCTCTCAGCAAGGACGGCAGCATGGCGAAAGCAAGCTTTGCTGCTATCTAGGCCCAGCCTCGCCGCGAAAGGAAGCCCTGGCGGTTCAGCATGAACCACTAAGAGCGAGCAGGCGACGAAACGAGCTGCAATCACACCAGTGACGTGTGACGAAGTGCATGCAGACGGCGATAGGTCCACGATTGGGTGGAAAAGAGGGAGGCTTTCGGCGTCTTCGCTTATCTAGCGTGCACCTGTCACCTGAACGCGACAACGCGACGGGACGACTTCGGGATCCACTTAAACCACGTTTCCGCCAGCGACATGTCTCTTCGTCGCACAGTCTTGTACAACACGACATGTGTTTACAAACTCAATTCTGCTGTCATGGTAACTTATCGATATACGCAATTTCCGAAACTCCAAAAGCACAACGCGCAAAGGCCACTCTAGAGTGTGCTAGCAAGCTTTATCCTGGAGTACAGAATACTTCCGACCTCCGCATTCTCCTCCCCACTGTACATCTCGTATACGCCAATCATCGTCGTGTACCTTCCCTAGCCCCCTCATTGTATCAAAGCAGCGGCCATCTCATCTTTCTGCTTCAACCCTGTCCCTGTTTTCGCCCAGCAGTTCCCCGGTGATCTTCCATCAGCATAGAACGACGCTGAAGTACACCTGTCTCCTCCTGTTGTGTATGTAGTTCTAGTTCGAACAAAGCGCGAGGCAAGTATCCAGGTCTAGGACGAAAGCTTCGATGAGGTCTCGCCCATCAGTGTCAAATCCGCAATGCTTGGTGAAGTTGTATTGTCCTGGGTTGCCACCGGGTGTTCTGGGCGTGAAAGATGTGTTGTTGCTGGATGGGCAGTCGGTGGTTACAAAAGAGGAGGGTGAGCCAGTGGGTTGGGAGGATGTTGCATCACTCGAAGCTCCTGTGCAGGACGGAAGCGAGCTGCGAATATATTAGACACACACTGATAAGATGCATCCAGGTTCGGGCTGCTTACCTCTGAACAGATGACGACTGCAAGATACCGTCGCTGCTCTCTTTCGCTGCTAGCGAGCCCCCTACAGCTCCACCTACAGACGCGCCGATCACGACGAGGCTTGCGAGGACAAGTATGAACCAGAAAAGCCTTCTCTTCAAGCCTCCGATATATTGCGACTGATGTTTCTCCGTTGTGGGATTGTTCATGACCACGCGTTGGTGCACCCAGGCTTCCTTCCCCTCACCCTCGTGTTCCATGACATGTAGACCTTCTTCGACAGGATGAAGGCCACCTTCGCAACAACGCTCTGGTAGATTTTCATGTGTAGTGAGTTTCGACATCATGCTATGAGTGGCGCTGATGGTGCTCAAGGTCGTTGAACGGATCTTGATCCAGATCTCTATACAGGAGCCTCGTGGGAGGGTAACGCTAGATCGTTGCTTAGCATCTTCGAGCAATGTTGCAAAACGTGGGTTTTGATACGCAACAGAAGGTCCCACCACAATGTAACGAGGCAAAGCGCTGGGCTAAGATAAGATGCATTGTTACAAACGGGCGTGGAGCGTGGCTTGACGCGAGGCATAAACGACACAAACCCGTCGCACTGGTTCTCAACCGCAGGCAAACTGTGACAACCCAGGTAGGTTTGCCTGCATTAAAATTGCTTCAGTGAGAATGGGGGCTGAACAGGGTGAGATCGCAAGAATGCAACTGAAGCTGACCGTAAGCAGTGCCTGGGGGTCGTATTGCGAAACTCGACTTGTTACAAAGGCACATATAACTTGAGGGTAACTTCGTCCTCGTCGTTAGCCGTGTAATCATAGCCAATAATCGCGCGTCTGGAGACCTCTCCTTCATCGATGCCCGCACTGTTCTTCATTAGTATCGAGGAAGAGGTTTGGCTCAGTGTAGGAATCACTTGGACCTTCTCTTACGCCGCCTGTGATCAGTTCGGCTTCTCTCTTTCGATCTCAAGACAGTTCATATTCCTGCAATCCCATATCTTTCCAGGATTGCGACCTCTGGGATCGTCTATCGGGCTGTGTTAGTTGTCAGTGGACAGCAAGCACTGCAATGTCATCTGGCTGGCAGGTCTGATTGTCTGGGTAGGCTGCGATAAGGCAAAACAAGGCTGTGTGTCGGACACAATCTTCTAACATAATGAACAACCAGGAGAACTTGACAACTACAGCAAGAACAGTCGGTCATGGTAAGGACACAGAAAGTAAGACTGTGCAGAAACAATCCGCTGCTGCTTTGGATTGTGTTGGGAAAAGTATTGGTTGGAACAGATGAAATACCTGCGAGATTCTTCGAAGTCCACTATCAGATTCTCCGACTGATAGCGATTTATTACTACGCCCAATGGTAATATGCCGCCCCCTTACTAACCTAACTCAAACTGCAGTGTGTAATTTCTACCCTCTTCCCAAGCTGTTCGACAAGAATGAGGCAGTACATTGGCATGTGATACCATGACGACACAAGGCTCGTGAACAAACCCTAAAGACAGTGGATTATATCCGGCCTATGGGGCTCTTCTATGTACCGAGGTGTCTGATGTCAAAGTTTCGGCGAATCATTTTGCGAGCAAGGTTGATCGCCACTAAGGCCGAAACGGGTAACGGCGGCCCGTTCAGCTAGTGGGGCGAGAATCGCAACGAACTTCAGTGTGTGACGGAGCCATTTCTCCCCCGGCGACCGATCCACATTGTTGAAAACTTCAAGTCTCGTATGCAGACTGTTACAAACCTTACCCGAGCATGGTGGAAACGAAGACTGGCACATCGTCTAATTCGCCAGGTTCAACAAGCAAACCCAGTGGAGGGCGGCACCGCGTCATTTCGTCATGCTTGACGTGTCGGCGCAGGAAGGTCAAGTGTGATCATGTTCATCCAGTCTGTGGTTCTTGCACACGAGGAAGCCATGTGTGTACTTGGACAGATCAGATACCGGCTTCTACCACTACTGGAAGGATTTCGAAACCTACGGCCGCAAGCAACAATGGAAAGATCGGAAAAGGCAGTGACGTGCAGGCCCGGTTAGACAGACTGGAGTACCTTTTAGAAAGAGCCGTTGCAGGACAGGGGGCGAAATCCACGACATCCGTACGGTCCAGTGTTGAATTTGACAGGAAGGAGGCGGAAGCGCTGACCCCATCGTCGAATAGCCAAACTTCACATGGAGGAGGAATAGCTTCCGATGGCGGCGATGGGACCCTGTTGTTGAATGACGGACAGTCTCAGTTTGTTTCGTCTCTGCATTTCGCATTGCTCGCTGATGAGGTGAGTGTCGCTTCCTGAAGTCTCGCTTTTTCGCGTAAGAAGCCATGGATCTGGTATATACAGAACAAGAGCCAGTCTCATCCTTTTGTGTTTTTATGAGTTTCCAATCTCAGAGCAAGGCTGATGCAATATTAGATTCAAGACATCAAGGCTTTGCTTGGCGACAAAACCGATGAAGAGAGAAAGGAAGTACCGCAAAACAGTCTGGTCGATCTACTCTCCCTTGGTCGTGCAGGAGCAGGATCAGATCTAGAAAACCTACTGCCCAACACCCAAGAGCATCGTGATACGCTCCTCGACGTCTATTTCGCGAACGTAGACCCAATGGTGAGGATCACCCATAGACCAACAGTGGTCCGCAAGTTTTCCACCTATAATAGCGAAGCACATCCTCTCGCCTATGCCATCTATTTCTCTGCTATCAACTCTCTGCCTCCAAAGGTAGTACACAACAAGTTTGGTGAGACCAAGGAATCACTCCTCGATCGATTTCAGCTGGGTGTTGAGATCTCGCTTGCTCGGGAAAATTATCTCACGACATCAAGCCTGGAGATATTCCAGGGGTTCGTGCTGTGGCTGACCTGTATTACCAGGGAAGAGGATATGGGTAAGCGCCCTAGATAGTTATATGTTGAAAACGCTCACATGCATAGTAGGCAAAGCGTGGGTTTTGATTGGCATTGCATTCCGCATCGCTCTGAACCAGGGTCTGCACCGAGATCCGTCTTTGTTTCCAACCGGCTCTATGGACGCTTTAACTATCGAGCTACGTCGTCGCATGTGGCATCAGCTAGGCCATTTGGAGTTCAGGGCTGCAGAATGCAAAGGGCAGGAACCGAGCATCACCGAAGACTTTTACACTACACTATTTCCACGCAACATCGATGATGAGGACCTCGTAGACGGCGCAAGTCCTGGTCCGGCCCCGTATGACGAACAGAAGTTTACCTCAATGACGTTCCAGCTGGTTCGCTTTAACGGCATGCGAGCCCTACGGCGGATAGTCCAGAGTACCTACCGCCTCGAAAGACGTATGCTCGACTCCGGGCTCCATGGAACATCTCGTCCTGATCCTGCACAGGAACTCAGAGATCTATACGAACAGATCAAGGTCATGCTTGATGAAGTTCACGAAGAGAATCAAAGAAAATATCTGCATTATCTTACTCCTGAGGTACCGATGGAGAGGCTGACGTTGGGACTGGCTTCTCTTCTGGAGTGGCGCGCTTATCTGCTGTTTTGGCTTCGAATGCCGCGTGCTTACCGTGATGTAGTCTTCTCAGATGAGATTCGGCGTTCGTACGTACCTCCACAGCACAAGGTCCAACTTCAACAAATAAAACTGACTGATGGTGCTAGGATCTTTGAAAAATCAGTCAACTGTGTAGAAACACTAAACGGAGCGGCCGCAGATGTCGACGCCGCTCGCTTCCAATGGCACATTGGTCAGTAACGCCGGTACCCTTAAACACATAAGCTAACTTCTAAAGGTGGGATCGCTTCCTTCCAGGCCATCATGCATATCCTATCTGAACTTCGCAACCCTCTCTTCGACGCGCCCGATCGACAACGCGCCCTTAGAGCTTTACAGATGTCTCGAATACTTCGGGAGAACAACAGCGCCAAAGCATGGCAAGCTGTGAAAAACATGATCGACAAAGCCGTATCTGAGCATAATCTCTCCCCAAGGGGCCAGTCGCAGCCTACGGGCCACTATATCAGCCAACCTATGGTGCCATCTGTACCCGTGGCGATGAGCAACGCATCGAACAGTAACACAGGCGTATATCCAGCAATGCAAGCGATCCCAAGCTACGCCTTCCAAAACACCTCTGCAGCTTATGATCAACAAGCAATGCCGGGACCATCCCAACCGGAGCCAATGCAATCCCAGCCAGACTTGTTACAATCAATGCAGTCCATTCAGGATCGTGCACCGTGTTGGGATGACATTAATCTCAGCAACATCAACAACATCGTAGGCGATGTACAAGCCAGCACTGATGTGGTTCCCGACTTCGACTTTGTAAGTGACGTGATATAACCAGGTCAATGAGTGTGTCTAGCTAACCAAGGCAGGGCTTCTGGGGAGATCCTTTCAACTACGAAAACGAGCCTGCTGCAATGCCGTTACAAGACGGCTATTTTCCTCAGTGGCTTGGGTGAGTTGGAGGCGAGGAAATGAATCAATAACGACCATAACATTCTGAACCTCCACGAACATTGAGAAAAAAACGCTTGCCAATACGCATGCCACACGAACCGCCGAGAATCCAATACTCCAGTCCCTCTCACTTAATCCTCGATGGCAATCGACCATACAACAATAGATGACGACTACTTCTGCATCACCCAATCCACTATCCAATGATATCAACAACTGGATGTTTCTCATCGATAAATCTTTTACTATCATTTTATGCTTTTGATACGAGTTGGACACGGACTCGACACGCTTCTTTCATCATACTTCTTGGCCCTATACTATGTTTAATACGGCGTTTGTTGGAGGTCTGCGCAACATGATGATTAGGGTGATTAGGGGTGTACCGGTTGGTATGGAGCCTAGGGTTGGTTATGGAATTGGAGTTTTATAGACCGAACATAGAAGAGGGTTGGTTTTTTCTGGATAGGGTAGTTTTAGGGCTGTGCCCTAAGAGTGGAAATCGTTGTACATCACTTTGAGAAAGATTAAGTATAGCAAATGAAGGACAGCCACAGCATAAAACGTCCATGTTATACAATTAGCAGGCGCATGAGTCGCTCAACCACGCCCATAAATCCGGCGAACCGGGTATGTCCCATCAAGAAATCCAGTTCTTATGCAAACTCCCCTGCATACGAACCCATAAAAGGCACGAGAGAGCCCATCTACTCGTCCTTGACACCACCGCGGCCAGCACGCTCGGCAGCCTCGATGCTTTTCTTATCCGTCTTAATCTCGCCACCACCCATGGCGCCCATCATACCGCCAGACGCCTTCCATGGCCTAGCAAGGTCGCCAGTTGCGGGCTGGCCGAAGAGGTGGACCTTGACGAGGTTGCCTTCGAAAGCGCCCTTGAGAGGGATGATAGACTGGATGAGGAGCGGGTTTGTGTACTTGAAGTAAAGGTGCATAACGCCCATCATGCCGACACCCATCATCTGGGCCTTGAAGAGCTCGCGCAGCTTCTGGAGATCGTAGGCCTTGACTGTGGTAGCGACAAACTTTGGTTCCTCGCCGGAGCCCATCGGGGCGGGCTCGACGTACTTGACGACCGTCATGTCTGCGCTGTATTAGCCGCTGCGATGGTATGTGGGACTACTGGGCTTCTTTTGACGCACCATTCTTCTTGTTGATTTGTGCCTGGACGTAGAGGTAGATACCCGCGATGATCAGGTTGGAGACGATGTAGAGCGCACGCACGCCGTTGAGGACATTCTCGTTATCGAAAGGTATCTTTTTCGATATTTGCATAAATCCCAGGATAATAACCAGGTTGGAACTGTAATGGAATTAGCAAACTGTCTACAAGACCTCGGCGGTAGGTTCGGCGTACATTTGCGGGCTAATCGCCATTGTGATGGTTGAAGCGGGTTATTCGAGCGAAGAATTGAAGCTCGCTTTTGCGATCGTATAACAGGAGGCTGGAGATAGAGATGTGGTTGCGCGGAACGTGGGTAAGAGGGTAAGGGAACAAGCGGGCGACTTTTGTGGTGGGCGAGGGTCATCATTAGCGTGCCGACCCAAGAGGCCAGGTTGTTGCCCGCCGCTGGCTAGCCCCAACAGGCATTCACTCTTCTAGTCTTATCTAATGCCTTCTCTGAACACATGGTACCAGGCGCAACAGAGAGGTTTTGGTGCGCATCACAGACTATGCAAGGTGCGTAGATCTACAGCGGAAGCTTTCACTTGTTTGTTCCAGCCGTTCCATTTCAGGGTATCTCATCTATAGTAATCCAATATGCATATGCCCTGTCGCAAATCCAACATCAAGCGATACTCTTATGTTCCAATAACGCCGCGCTAATGATTCAAAAACTCCTCCGCCGGTTTCGTGAACACCCAGTAATGGAATGGTGTCGAGGCGATATGCGATGCAAGCAAACAAACAAACAAACAACAAAACCAGGGATGGTCCTCCCACATGTGTACAAACCCTGACCTCCTCACATCACCAGGCATTCGCGATCCGGTCTGTCCTTGTGCTTGCCTTTCTCTGGAACTGCACCAGGCTCTCTGCTCTTACTTCTCCGTCTATCCTTTTTCTCCTTCTTGCTCTTGCTGCGCCCGAGACCGGATTCTTTCTTCTCTTTGGCTGGAGAGTGGTCCTGCTGATCATTCTCTGCGCTCTTCACTTTGTCAATCACAATTGTAGGCTCGTCGCTGGTGCCAGCTTCGGTCGTAACCAGCTTGTCCTTGCTACCGCGTCCCGTTAGCCTCGATAGAGTAAGAGACAGACGAGTCTCGCCGCTTGGACTACCTGGCCGGCTTCTGTTGTTCCCGGACAGCCATATCCGAGAGCCGCGCCGAGACACAGACAAGAAGCTGCTCTTCTGATCCTCCGGCGTTAGCGGTTCGGTTCGGCCGCGTAAGCTGCCTTCGCCGTCTTCGATCACAGTACTGCTACGGCGATTGCTAGACATACTAGTTCGACTAGCCGGTTCATCTGTGGAATTGGATTCGGTACGCGTATCTGTCGTGTTGACATTTTCACTGTTTCCACCAGCTTCGGCATCTGTTGCTGTCGTAGAAGGCGGGGAAGACAGCGTTTCTTGTGAAGGATCTACCGAAGGAACTCGGGACTGCGCTTCTGCATAGGTTGGAGGATCTCCTCGGGAAGCAAGTTCTTCGTCAATGGGTTGTACCTGGTAGAAGAGCAGATATGGTGACTCTTCTCGCAAAGCTGTCTTGATGTCGACTTCAGTCACTCGTTGAGATGAAAGATCATCAAAGCGTATCCACTTTTCCTGCTCTTGCTCAGAATCCGATTGCGCGGTGCCTGGACGTTCGCGAGCGTTGGCACGGACAAGCGCGATATAATGCCCAGAATCGACCGACACACCTCGATGGCATACGACAGACTGGAGAACGAGCTTGAAATTGCCAAACAGTGGACCCTCCTCTTTCATCCTCTCATCGGAGATGAAGTGAGGCAACCCAATGTCGAGCGGGATGTCGATGTAGGTGTTGAGGCGTTTCGGAGCGCCATTCGGCGTCATCGTGTATCTTTTCAGGCATATGCCGAGCACCGGACGCTTAACTGAGAAGTGTGCAGCAACCTGAGCGTCCGTCTTTGGAACATTATCAGTATACCAGGGTATGAGACTGAAGAACTGCCAAGCTGGCATTAGAATCTCCTTCTTAAGCAGAGAAGCTGATCGTGGTCGGCCACCAGAGCTGTTGTCCAGCATGTCTTCCACATGCTTCTTTTCGTCAAACTTGCTCGTATCTTGTGACTGGCGTGTATATCGCTGGCTGAAGATACTATCAGCACGGCGGCGACCCTCTAGATGGGGCCGCACTGGAGTCACTGGTGTGGTGGGCTCGAAAGTCATTGGCGTCGAGACGATGGGGGTCATTGAGCCTTCCATCTCCATGGTCTCAATATGGATGGTCTCATTCTTCTCGGGGTCCTTGTCTACGAATTCGTCGTCTGTGGACTTCATCGAAGCTATCGTATTCTGTCGTTGCAGGTAGCGCTTGACCTCGATTCTGTTGTTAAAGTAGGTTTCCAGGCAATCTTCCAATGTAACAACATGATCGCCCTCTTGTTCTGGTATGGCGACTTCGAGTAGCCGCTCGTTGACAAACTTGTGGTCATCCTCTTTGTCTTCACGTCCAGTGTGGTAGATGTCCATCTTGAGGGTGAGTAGCGGCAGCTCGAGCGCACCAGTAATGAAAGTGAAAGCTTCCGAAGCGTCTTGTTGGCGAACCTGTGCAGCGTCCTCCCATCCGCACTTAGCGAGGGAGTCTTGAAGATGCTTCGTCTATAATGTGCGTTAGTTGTGAACGTGCAAGGTGACGAAATAGGTCGTACCAAATCGACCTTGATGAGCTGGCCACTTCTCAGGAGGTTGACCCATAGGCGCAAGACAGCCGCCAACTTCTTCCTTGGCTCATCTTCAAAGTTGTCGTATAACATAGCTTCAAAGCTATCGAGACGAGCGAACATGGCGAACAACAATGCGTCGAGGTAACATGTCACCATGTTCCGGTTTATGGCACCCAACATGGTTACATCTGGACTGTAATCCTTCAGTTCACCTTCGAGTGACTCGTTGGCAAGCACTAGAAGTTCGTAGGCTTTGTCGATGTCGTTGGGATGCCAGGCGAGAGCATGTTCGGCCTGTTCCTCTCCCATGCTCGTTATACCAACGCCTTGTAAGCGCGAAAGGAGCATCTTGACCTGCGCCCGTCAACAAGATTCCGCCAAGCCTTTGTTCCCATGCGTACCTTCTTCTCGGCCTCATTGTTCGCTGGCGGTCTTGGACCTTCGCTTGTGAATATCTTGTAGAGATCGGGTGAAGCATTGGAGGATTTAGACTGCAGAAGTACATAGTCAGAAGAATGCGATGTTGAGGTTTGGTCGACGCTAGGGTAAGAGAAGAAGCGCAACACGGCAGTTTTTGGTGTAGAAATAGAAGACTGTCCTCTACCGACGTTCGCAATACAAATGGGAGTTTATGATACAGCGTCTCGATGCCTGCAGACAACCGCTGTTGGCAGCTGGGAGGGTCTTGGGGCACCGTAGCGACGGCAGAACACAGCAGAGGACTGAGAGAGTTGACGGAGGCGAAAGAGCTCAGGCGTACTTTGGTACTGGCGTGCTTGGACGCGCGCTTTTCATGATGTTTGTCGCGCCGGCTGAGGAACCGCGACATGCCGTTCATGGTGGTGGTTGGTGAAGGTGAGACCCATTCAGTGGAGGGTCCGCGGCCGCTGGAAGAACGAAGGCAGCCAGGTGGGTAGCGGGGTAGGCAGCGAGCTTGGGGTGTGGTGGTTGAGGAAGGTGCAGACGAGCCCTGAGCCCGGTGGTCGGTGGGGAAGCGAGAGGGTGGTTAGGTGTTTGGTTGGTGGAAGATGGAATTTGTCGGTGAAGAGCAGCTATGACGCGCAATCAAGGAGGCAGAAGAAGACAATGACCTCAACCCAAGAGACAAAAAGAAAGATACATGTCCCAGATCCCGATCAGCCGCATGTCGCGAGCTGACCTGGAGCAGAGGGCAGGTGCGGACGAGTGGGGTAGCCCTATTGGCTAGTTGGGGACCTTAGACGCCGCCCATCCCTGCAGCTCTCGCGTCTCGCGTATAGCGTATTCCGTCGAAAAGTCCGTTCGAGACTGGTAGGTCATGCTGTTGACGTCTATACCCACCACGACGTCGCATCACACAACCATGGCGCTGCGCAAACTACCACTCCGGACGGTCGCGGTCATTCGGAACAACGCCAGACCGGCCGTCCGCGCGGCCGCGCCCCTGTGTTGCCGCAATGCCTCGTCCGAAGCAGTCCGAGAAATTGAAGACGCATCGTCATTAGAGATTCCACCGCCATCGCAGGAACTCGCAAAGAACTACGACCCCGTAGCACGGAGTAGACTGCGGAGAAGAGGAAACAAGCAGCTGCCGCCAAGCAGGTATGAGCTTCAAAGAGTACACCCATAGAAACATGGCCTCATAGATACCAGATACCAATACCGTTCGCCCAAATACTACCGCGGTCCTCTCCACCCTCATCAGCCGCCTCCAGAGTCTGACCCCTCTTCGCGACTCTTCCAACCCGGACCCTTCAGTCTGTCCCGCCTCGAGCAAACATATCAGAGCAAGATCGCATCCGATCTCCTTACCCTCACATACCAGCACTACCCTCCAGGTTACCGGGCTGCCAAGACGGATCAACGATTGCGAGAATGGACGGGCGACTCTCCGTACTTCAAGAACCGTCCCCTACGACCTCCACGAGGTAAGGGTGAAGTACTCAGATTGCTCCAGGAGCCCCGCACTTTCCGCAATGTTCCCAAGATCACAGGCGTAACAGTTCACTCCATGGTACCAGAAGCGCAGGAGAACAGTGGGAACCTGCATGTTGCTGGTATGATCCTACAGGCCATTAGCAACGTACGAGCTACATCGCACAAGGCGAAGCACAACGTCGTAGGGTGGGGGTTGCGTGCGGGCAGATATGTCTCAGTGACAACCAAGATGGAGCGGGAAGATGCCGAGCACTTTCTGGCAAAACTCGTCGATGTGGTCCTGCCGAGAATCAAGGAGTGGAAGGGTGTTCCAGGTTCGTCTGGAGACGGACACGGCAACATGAGCTTCGGTCTTACCCCAGATCAACTAGCCCTCTTCCCGGAAATTGAGGTCAACTACGATGCGTGAGTCTGCTTCCTTTCACAATCAATGTTTCGACTGACATGTCTCAGGTACCCACCCAAGATGATTCCTGGTTGCCACATCACCATCCAAACAGATGCCACCAACAACAAGGACGCACGTCTACTACTGCAAGCCATCGGAATCCCATTCTACGGCAAGCTCAACGACTAAGTGCAGATTTTCGTCTGCTGTGTATAAAACGTGTAGAACATTTAAGAGTTATATACGCCTTACGACACATTACGTGTACTGCACCATCGGTTCCACATCCTGACTCTGTAGAGTTGACAACTAGGAGACACAACCTACCATCATCGGTCAAACGCATAGCTCAGTGCGTCAAGAAATGTACAGTAAGAGTAAATGAAGCAATGGCAGATATACAAGCGAAAGCGAGGATTCACAGTTAGTCTGGTTATGTTGAGTACTTGTTGCAAACATCTTGCTATCGCGAAACGTGCGATGCAACATGATTGAATGTTAGAATCGCAACTTGAATACAAATCACGCATTGTGAACAGAATATCTCAAAGTCCAGTACTTTGTTCCTATACCGTACACGATCAATTGCATCCCACCCGTAATGGTTGTAGGCGGACGAGTTATTTTCGTGAAGTTGTCGGGCGCGGACGGACCCTGGCACGAGATTTTAGATTGGCCAAGCTCCCCGAAGAACTCCCGCTATGTCGCAGCTTCGCTCAGACCGCTAACCATCACTAAACCGACCCGCGATACCCCCCAAAAACCCCAGAGTTGCTTTCGTGACCACCATACCAGTCACGATGCAGGCAATCCGGCAACCGATGCGCTCTGCGCTCTCCAAGGCCGCTACCAGGCAGTATGCGACCGCTTCCTCGCAATACGCCGAGACGATTAAGAACCTTCGTATCAACAGCGACACCAAGGTTCTGTTCCAGGGTTTCACTGGAAAGCAGGGAACGTGAGTGGGATTGGAAGAGTCTGTAATGGGAAGGGGTGCTAATGCGGGAACAGCTTCCACGCACAACAAGCGATTGAATACGGTATGCGCCCAACGGCTCTGTTGACATGAACCTGTGAGGGGGAGACTGACGGGACGGCAGGCACAAAAGTTGTTGGAGGAACAAACCCCAAGAAGGCGGGCACTGAGCACCTTGGACTGCCCGTCTTCAAGAGCGTAGCAGAGGCCATGAAGGAGACTCAAGCTTCCGCTACTGCCATCTTCGTTCCGTATGCTATACACCCCCGCGATCATATACGGACTAGGTGACCTGACAGTATTACAGTCCACCAGTCGCCGCTGCCAGTATCGAGGAGGCCATCAACGCAGAGGTTCCTCTGATTGTGACGTAGGTGTGCATATCAAACTCAAGTACATGGAAACTTACAACAGACAGTATCACTGAGGGTATCCCACAACACGGTATGAACCACAATGACAGATCGCGGGATACGGAGGCTGATTGAAGTAGACATGGTGCGCATCACAGACATGCTCAAGACTCAGAACAAGTCTCGTATGGTCGGCCCTAACTGCCCCGGTATCATCGCTCCCGTATGTTCTTCAGCAAGTTCTTTCGGTCTGATTATGTTATTGACTTCACCAGGGCCAATGCAAGATTGGTATCATGCCAGGCTTCATCCACAAGCGCGGCCGCGTCGGTATCGTCTCTCGTTCCGGAACTCTTACATACGAAGCCGTCAACCAGACCACCCAAGCCGGCCTTGGCCAGTCGCTCGTCGTCGGTATTGGTGGTGACCCTTTCTCCGGAACCAACTTCATCGACTGCCTGAACGTTTTCTTGAAGGACGAGGAGACTGACGGTATCATCATGATTGGTGAGATTGGTGGTACTGCCGAGGAGGATGCCGCAGACTTCTTGAAGGAGTACAACACTGCCAACAAGCCTGTTGTCAGCTTCATTGCTGGTATTTCCGCGCCCCCGGGCAGGAGAATGGGTCACGCTGGTGCTATTGTTAGCGGCGGAAAGGGTGATGCCAACTCCAAGATCACCGCGCTTGAGGCTGCTGGTGTCACGGTTGAGCGCTCCCCCGCCAAGCTTGGATCATCTCTTTACGACCAGTTCGTTAAGCGCGACTTGATATAAGCGGTCGTAACGCTGTTTCATTGAACTGTTTGAACATGCCGGCTTGCAAAATGCGCTTGCTGCGCCAGATCCATTGTACATTCTAGTCACTAGAGCAATTCATGATATCTGCATCTACTCGGAGATTTAGGTATCTGAGCATCACTCCAAAATTTCACGGGGCTGCGTTTCGTGCAGACAATGATACCCACGTCCTCGAGTGTCCCTCTTTTCACATGCAGACCCTGAACCCTGTGTGAGGGTGGTCCAAGCTTATGATTTTCGTCGCATTCCATGGCCAAACAATCTTCCCCGCAAACCTCCGAGCCGCATCCAATTGTCTAACAATCGCAAACACAGCAAACATGTCAAAGACAAAGACCAAGCGCGCTCGTCGTGAACTGAAGCGCGAAGGCGACAAGAAGATTTTTGCGATCCAGAAAAAGAACGCGAAAGCAGCCGCCGAGGCGAAACCTGCTGCGAAGACACCCGCGAAGAAGAAGCAGAAGATGAGCGCACCAGCCGCCGCAGCAACTACATCTACGACCACGCCCGCCCATGTACAACCATCACAGAAACCCAAAGTACCCTTTGGCGAATACGACCATATACTCCTTGTCGGCGAAGGCGACTTTAGCTTTACCCGTTCCCTAACTATAGAACACGGCTGCGCAAACGTAACTGCAACAAGCTACGACGACGAAGAAGACCTCCACAGCAAATACCCCTCATTCAAAGAAATCCAGACCGAAATCTCATCCCTCACACCGCCCGTACCTCTCCACCACGACATCGACGCAACCAAACTTTCAAGCTACAAACATCTACGGTGTAAACGCGACGATGACGATGACGAGGAGGGCTGGGATATAATCGCTTTCATGTTCCCTCACACAGGCGGTCTTTCCACCGACGTCAACAGACAGGTCCGCGCGAACCAAGCCCTGCTAGTATCTTTCTTCAAGTCCTGCCTCGATACATCGAACCAGAAACGTCGGTTACAAATCCTTCGGAACCAGGAAGACAAAGAGAAAGGCACTACTACGTCTCAGCAGACAATACGACCGTTCCTGCGCATGGGCGGAAGAATCATCGTCACGCTATTCGAGGGCGAACCGTACACGTTGTGGAATATCCGTGATCTGGCGAGACATGCTGGGCTGAGGGTTGTGGAGAGCTGGAAGTTTGATTGGGCGCAGTATCCCGGGTATCATCATGTGAGGACCCTGGGGGCCATGGAGACGGGGTGGAAGGGTGAGGACAGGGCTGCGCGCATGTTCATGTTTGAGAAGATTCCGCTTGTGGCTGACAGCGATGAGGAGAAGGAGATGGCGCGGCAGGCAAAGGTGGGAAGGGGTGGACGGTTACCGAGCCAGAAAGAGGCGATGAAGAAGGCTATGGAGGGAGAGGAAGAGAATGAAGAGGATGAGTGAGCTTGAGATCGCGGATACGAACACTGTCAGGGAACACTTCCAATATTCGACAAGTAAACCTTGGCAGGCGAAGCGGAAAGCGGTCATTGAACTTGAGAACAACCGCAAAGGCCTATAGTTCCCACTATACCATATAAAAGAGCCAGACACGCAGACCTATACCGCGCCGGGTAGATGCACATACCAAAACGCCACGCTATACCCGAATATCATACAGATGCTGCTAGAAGAAAAGAGAGAAAGCATCACATAACATACACCTTTCGGACCTCGCTCTCATGCCATCTCTCACCACTTAATCCGCCAGCTGGATCTCTTACGAAGCCTTCTTCCGTTCCGACTTTTTCATTGAAGATGCGGAGTCTCTCGGAACCGTATATACGACCGTTTGGCAGTACGACAGGTCCATCTTCAACGATCGATTTGGTGTGGAGAGCGTAGGGGACGTTGCGCGCTAGCTCGTTGAGCTCGGTGCTACATATCGGGCAGACGGTTGTAGTGGAGGAAGCGGCATTTGTAGAAGAGGGTGTGTAGGCGGAATGGCAAGCAGGTGTCTTGAGAGCAGAGAGACCGGCGCTCAGGGCGACGTGGAGGAGCGGTCGCGGAGGAAGGGCGTAGAGGTTGTGGTGTGTCTGGACAAAGACGTCGGCTAGATGTGACCACCGCGATGTCGAGTAGAGAGACTAGACAGTTGTTAGAAATGCAACGATGCGCCGTCTCGAACAAACTTACAGCATAAGGTTCCACCTCATCCCAAGGCCTATACGCCAACATACCCGCCGCCCTTCTCATCAATTCAAAATCGCCGCTCGTACTCAAATACTTTTTAGCATGAGCCCTCGCCTCCACCAGTTTTGTTTCTCCACCTCCACCCCCAACACTAACACCATGCATACCGTCATCCTGCATCTCCAGTCCATCCATTCCGCTCAACCCAGCCTCATGCCCCTGCCGAACCAACTCAATATACTGCTGCAACCTCAACTCAAACTCCAACATACTGCCGCCCTTCTTAAGTTCTTTACCATGCTCCTTACACCACTCGAGTGCCAAAGACGTACTCATGCCTTCCCTCAGACTCTTCTCAATCCGATGACACGCAACAAAAGCATCTACATCCACGAGCTCTGTAATCCCTTTACTCTTTGCCAAACACGCCGCACTCTCCGCATACCCTTCCCTCAACAGGTAGTCAACGAGTAAACGGCTTAATCGCGTTCGAGACCACTCATCGTACTTTACGTCGACGAGGCTCTGAATTTCGTAAAGGTCTTGCAGGTGTTGTAAGCGCGCCTTTGCGGAGCGGTGGATACGCGTTTCTTCCTCGTGGAGGTTTTCTAGTTTGCGTTTTAGGCCCTGCATCTTGCTAATCATCGAGTCTAGGGAGTCGAGTGTGGCTTCTGGCGAGGCACCCTTGGAGGCGGCTTTGGTGGCGGCCGTCAGTGAGGTGGTGAGGTTGCTGGAGGAATGCTCGATGACGCGCTGGGCGTTCTTGAAGTTGCGCCGGGAGAGCTCGTAGGGCATGCGGAGGAGAGGTTGGTCCTACGATCACGTTAGTATACAATACGAGTAAGTTTGGGTAGCTGGGGGAGGCATTACGAGAAGGAGATGCGACTCCGCATTGAGCTTCGTGCTTGTGAGTTCCGCCATGGCGGGCAGGAAGCGATCTCAACGAATGGCAATCTTGTTATAAAAGCCGCTAGGTGTCGAAGTTTTCTGATTTCCAAAGAATGTAGTGAGAGTAAAGGTCTCAGAGAGCGATAATCTGAAAGTGAGATAACCTGAGGTCTGGTGTAGATGTTCAAGCTCCACTACCGCGGAGCTTGCGGGGGTGCTCGTCACAGCTCATAGCTCACCAATCGGCACGTGCCGAACACTTGACGAACGATAGCCATATGCACACTCTACCCACAAGACAGCTGTGCGAACACCCTCCTTTCGGGGTTTACGTATGCTACGTCTCGACTAGGCTACTTGAGTTCCTCCATACCTACAGAATGTATACGAATCGGCAACCACACACACAGCACCTAGCAACCACAAGCAGCGTCCACAACGAGGGCGACGAAAAATATATGCTTCTATGTGATATCATTTCTGATCGTAAGACAACTCTAAAACTCCTCTAAGACCCAATGCATCATAACGCATAATCCAGATGTCTCTACCCATGCAGAACGACACTGACGCAGGTAGCGATGAGCTGCCGGCCTACTGCAGAGGTATCCTGAAAACCTGCTCTAAGGCCATTACTTTTTGGTTGTACCCGCGTTCCACAGCTCGGAGGACGCATGCAACTTGCGAAACTACTCCCAGTATCCGCTTAGAGAGCACCAGTCGACGCCATCTTCTTGCGGAGATGGTTCTTGTACTCGCCGATGCTTCCGTCCCACCGGCGGACGGTCTTGTGTTCGCAAACCATAATGTCCTTTGCAATCTTGTCGAGCAATCTGTTCGTTGTTAGCAGGCTATTTAATCATCGAGAGAACAATGAACATACCGGAAGTCGTGGGAAACGACGACGACACCACCGCTGAAAGCGTTGATGGCATCAGCCAAACTGTCGATGGTTGGGATATCCAGACCGTTGGTAGGCTCGTCGAGCAGCAACATGTTAGGTCCCTCAATAGCAAGCAGAGCGAATACGATACGGGACTTCTGACCATCGGAGAGAGTGGCCATCTTGGAGGTCTGGGCCTCACCAGTCATACCGTAACGGCCGAGCTGTTGGCGCCAGTATTGGAGATCTTGGCTGATGTGGTGGAACTTGTCGCGGACGAAGTCAAGGGCAGACTTGGTAAGGTCGAGCTGCTCAGCGGAGTGCTGGCTGTACACACCGAGCTTTAAGTGAGTGTGGCGCGATACAACACCAGATGTGGGGCTGAGCTTTCCGGTGAAGATGTTGAGCAGAGTCGACTTTCCAACACCGTTGGGTCCGACAAGAGCTGTTCGGGAGTCCATGTCGACACCAAAGTCGAGGTTCTCGTACAGGTTGTCCTTTGGATCTCCGGAGTAAGAGAAGCTGACATCGTCGAGCGAAAGCACAGGTGGTGGCAGCTTCTCGACATCGGCGAAACGGAAAGTGAAGACACGGTCAACGGCAACGGGCTCAATCAGACCGTCAGCCTCCATCTTGTCCAAGATCTTCTGGCGAGACTTGGCTTGCCTGACCAAGTTGGCGTAGGTACCAGCGGAAGCAATGAACTTCTTGATATGCTTGATCTCATCTTGCTGCTTCTCGTAGGCCTTGGTCTGGTTGACCTCCTGTTCAGTACGAGTCTTGTGGTATGTGTCGTAGTTACCTCCGTAGTAGAGGAGCTTCTTTTGACGCATGTCAATCATGTTTGTGCAGACACCGTTCAAGAAGTCCATGGAGTGGGACACGAGAACCAGAGTGCGCTCCCACTTCTTCATGTACTCCTCAAGCCACACACAGGCTTCCAAGTCCAAATGGGCAGTAGGGTCGTCGAGCAGCAGCAAGGCGGGCTTGACGAAGAGTGCCTTGGCGAGCGCGACACGCATACGCCATCCACCGGACATGTCCTTTGTCTTCTTGTTGATGGTGTTCTTGTTGAAACCGAGACCGGTGAGAATGAGGGATGCGCGGGTGTGGAAAGTTGACGGGTCCATGTCTTCTTGACGCTGACAAAGGGTTAGTGAGGTTTACTTTGATTTGATCTGGCTAGTACATACCTCGTAGATGTCGTCGAGAAGAGGGCTCTCGGGACCATCCTTCTCAAGAATATCCTCAGCCAGCTTCTCGAGACGGGCCAACTCGTTCTCAGCCTCACGGACGACCCACTCCAAGGCACCCAACTCAGTCTTGGGGGCACCCTGGTTCAGCAGGTAAATGTCGATGTGCTCTGGGAAGGGGAACTCGCGCTTGTCGATGGCCTTGAGAAGGGTTGTCTTTCCGCAACCGTTCTCACCCAACAGACCGTATCGTCGGCCGTAGTTGATCTCGAGGGTGGAGTCGTTGAAGAGGACCTTTCCGTGGAACACGAGCGATGCAGAGATGATCTTGACATCGCGCGACTGCTCGAGGGAGGCGAGCACACCAGTGGTGACACGGTCGGACAGACCGTGCTTGTCCTCCTGCATGGTGAGCTTCTTGACCTCCTCGTTCAGCTCGAGGTCCTCGACCTCGTCGCCGTTCTCAGAGTTGGCCTTGGAGGCATTCTTGGAGTTGGCCTTGGACGACAACTTGGAAGTGGCCGTCTTCTTGGGCTTCGCATCGCCGTCAGCGGCGCGCTTCGCTTGGCGGGCAGCTTTTGAGGCGGAGACCATGGTGTCTTAGTGGTGTATGAGTGAAGACTCTAGGATGGTGGAAGGAGGAGGAAATTTCGTAGGGGAGGGAACAACGTCAATCTGTGCCCCGCTAAGTTTCTTATCGATTGTCGATACCCAAAGGTTCTGTTTCAGGTCCCGTTCGAAGCGCAAACACTCGGATATGAAAACGAGTGGAGTATTGAAGCGCTGCAGGTGATGTAGAAAGAGAGGATATAAGAGTAAGAAACTGTCAGGGCCGATCAAACAATGCGACCCTGTGAATCAATTTTCTTACTTGTGGCGAATGCTGCGCACGGCCAATGAGCGCTCCCCCACCATCATCATAGGGCAAGTAAGGCGCTCAGCGGCTGGGCTGAGCGCTGACACCGCTGCACCTGTGTTTCCTTAGAAACCCGAGCCATGCGACAGATATACGGTATTGATGCTTTCTGGGATGAAAAACATTTGCATGTGTATTTAATACGAGTCTGCTCCCTATCTGAAGTACTGCGCGATATGTCCCTCAACAAGGAGTAGGCAGATCCGTCTCTCTGAAGAAGAGTTTAGTGTCCGGTGAGTACATACTCTCCAAGATTTCACGTAGCCATAAGCTTAGCAGAATGAATTAAAAAGTATCATTGGTATTGGGTATTATGTGTTTGGTTGTTGAGCATTGTGGGTACTCCTCGGAAAAGCGACGATCGTCATACATGGTTCTTATCTTTACCAGCCTCAACAACGATAAGCCTGTGCTATATACCAGTCTGATTGCTCCCACTATTGCTGGGTACCATGGTAAATTCAGTACTGCTTCTTCCACTGTCTGATTTGTTCTTCTCCATATCTCTTTCTTCTCTCTCATTGTCTACTCTCTTCCGTAACCTCTCTCGTAGTCTTTCCAGTACTTTCGTCTCTTCCGCATTCAGACTCATATCGTCTGGTAATACGACTTCTGCGCCGTTGATTTCAATCTTGTCTCCTGCTTGGTCGTAGTGTTGTTGTTCTACACTCTTTTTTCGTTCTAACCCGCCTCTCGCATCTGGCACCACCTCTTCGTCTTCAATTTTCGCTTTCCGTAGGTCCAGAGGTGTCCACCAGTATATTGGGAACTGTCTTTGGATGTTGTTGATGACGAGTCCAACCATGACCATGAGAGTGGTGCCCCAGAGAACAAGTCCAACGAAGTACCAGCCCATGGCCGTAATGATGGGGTCTGTTGCTGCGAGCACTGCGGATGCGCCGCCTGGAGGATGTACGGTGTTGGTCAAGAGCATGACGGCAGACGCGCAACCGCATGCTACAGCGCCTGCGATCCACTTTATCGAATCGTACTCTGAGTGGTATTGGAACAACTTCGATATACCGACACCAATAAGTGCGGAGATACCATGGCCTAGCAGGGCATTGCGAGGTTGGCCGAGTGGTGAGCGTATAGAGTTATACTCGAGGACTGCGGAGGCACCCTGAGTAATCGATCAGCACAACACGTCGCCACCTCCTCAGTCATGAGTAACGTACAAAAGATGCGATTAATGCTGGTGGCTGGTGCCATTGTATACTATCCGTATTGTTGAAGACCGCCGCTACAACCGCCAGACCACAGAAGGCACCTAACAACGACCAAAACGCTCCGAGGATATTCCCAACATCTTGTCGCGTCTCTTTCCTATGCCCGAGAAACCTCGACACGGGCGTTGGAAGCTTGTGTAGCGGTGAAGGGGGGATGATGCGATTGAGGTAGCGGTCGATATCAAGATCCCATTCTCTGGCACCGGTAAATACACCCATGATGTCCAGGTAAACCTGGAAACAAAACAGAGTCTTCACTCAAAGTATAAGTAAGACTAGCAACAGATCGACAACGGTTATAAGAAACCAGGTTTCAAGGTCTTGGGCGCGAACCGCAAAAACACTCGCGCAACCGAAGTCCCTCATCGCGCCATTTATTCCGGGACCCAGCATCAGAGAACTGTGCCCTCATCCGCTCACTTACGATTCGAATCGCACAAACACGCGCATTTACCCTGACGTTGACCTGGCACATGCGCGACGATCTGAGGTAAAGGTTCACGCGCAATAAGTTGGGCTTTACGTAAAATTACGTACCACAAACACCACTACAATATGGCTTTGTGAACATCTCCTCGGTTCCGCGGAAACGCTCCGTGAATTGGAGATGTGAGACTGAGGTGTTTTGAGAGTGTACGACATTTATTGGAGGTACTTGTGTTGTGGTTGTTGTGATGATGATGGTTGTACGAGTGAGAACCTGGTCGCAGACGTTGAGCTGGCTAACAACAGTGTTCAGCAAGTGAGTCAAAGCGGATGTTTTGGAGACTGTAACATGTTGCACTTGTTTTCGGATATATTGAGTTGCGCAAGATACCGTTGTGCCTGAGATTGTACTACCTGCCATGCGTACAAGGCCGGGAGTCGACAGCCTGACGATCTACGTCATCCCTGCTGTCGCCACCCTAGACATCCGCCTACATGGATCTCACATAAACAGTACACAGGACTAGCAGAAGGCGGTAAATTTGAAGCTCTTGAAAGTCACGTGTAGCGAGATACAAATACTAGACACTGTATTATGCTATAATGTAAACGGGTATAAATCTACTTGGAAAGGTGTCGAAATTACGACCACGCTACGCATCAAATCATGGTTGGAGTGCGCTCGATATTTGTAACGCAAGTAGCACCGCGTCCTTGAAAAGGGAGACACCGCCATTCGATGCAACTTCATGCGCCGCTGACAGATAAACGCCTCATGACTGTAGTGCGCCAGCCTAAAAATTCTATACCCATACATTCCGTGATTCTCCGAACTCCTTTGAAGACACTAAATGCTCCTGCGATTAGGTACCCCGGAACAGGAACTGCAAGTCCTCAGGACTGAGGCGATCCATTGCAACCTTGTCGTTGTTCACCGTACCAGCAATCATAGCCGCCTTCTTCTCTTGCAGCGCAACCATACGCGACTCTACACTGTCCTCGATACAGAGGCGAGTGATCACACATGGGCGACGTTGCCCAATACGATGGCATCGATCAGCAGACTGCCACTCGGCTGCTGGGTTCCACCATCTACATTTTGTTAGCAATCTGTGAGAAGACATGGCCAGAGATGACACTTACGGATCGACTATGAATACCCTGGAAGCTTCGGTAAGGTTAAGTGCAACACCACCAGCCTTGAGAGAGACAAGGAAGACCTCAACATCCGGGTTCGTCATGAAGTGATCGATACTCTTTTGGCGTTGGGCAGGCGTCATGCTACCATCTAACATAACCGTGTTGAAACCGGCGCGACGCAGACGCCACTCAATGAGTTGCAACATCGACGTGAACTGACTGAAGACGATGGACTTGAGTGTCTGCTTCTTGCTGCGAAGCTTATACAGGTCGTATACCAACATCTCGATCTTGGTGGAAGAAGTCCAGTTCTCCATCTTGATACGGTTGATGATAGAGGTCTTCTTGACAGAGTCCTCATCTTGCTCAAGCTCAGGTTGCTCGAAATCGATAGACAGGGCAATGTGACAGCGAGGGCAGTCTGCTTCCGTACCAGATGCTTCACAAGTATCCATAAAGTCCTTGATACAAGCGCGACAAAACTCGTGACGGCAGTGAGAGCGTACCGCGTCCTCGGCAGGCTCATCGCAGATGTTACACACGTAGACGTTGCCAGCACCTTCAACCGCATTCTTCTTCAGCAGCAGATCAGGGTGGTTAGCGACTTGTCGCATCTGCATAATGAGACCGAAGATGTTGGCGTAATTGTTTAGCATGACACCTTGCGCAACATACGTATCGAACTTGCGCGAGGAGTTCGACATGATCGAGGTTGAGAAGTCGCGTTCTACCTCGCTGAAGAACTCGTTGTGAATGATGATATCCTTCATCGGAAGCTCCATCGAGTTGGTGTGATCGCGCTTCATACGTCGTAACATGATGCGAGCAGTAATCAAGTGAAGCTTCGTCAAGGCTTCTTCGCGAAGCTGGACGTCATCGCCAGTGATTGGGTTGAGGAGCTCCTGGTTAAACACTGAAATGTGCTCAGACGCACCGTGGTTGCAAGCAACACACATGTGATCATCGTCAGTAGCCCAGTGCAGCTTCTCGCAGTCACACGAACGGCAGAAATAGTCCGCAAACGGACGAACCTCCAGAAAACGAAGAAGAGAGAAGAACTCTCCGATGCGGTTCTGGACCGGCGTACCGGACAAGCACCACTTGTAGTTACTAGTAAGTGCAAAGCAAGCCTTGGCTACGCCAGTGTTGCGGGACTTGATGCTGTGCGCTTCGTCTAGAATAAGGCGGTGGTAATGGATAGCGTGGAGTGCAGATGCTTCCTTGATAATGTCCTCACCGCGAGACCATCCTTTAGTTTCTTTACGGTGGAGTGATTCCAGAGAGTTGTATGAGACCATGATTACGTCGTAGGACTTCAGCTCCTTGATCGACATCTTCTTGCACTTCGCGTTCGTGCCGTGATACACCAGGACCTTGAGTTTGTTGTCTGTGTATTCGCGGATCTCGTTGGACCATTGCATCAGAGCGACTGGCGGAACACAGACCAGCGTCGGCTGCTTTGCAGGGTAATCGGACATGATCAGGGAGACAGCCTGAATAGTCTTGCCCATACCCATCTCATCTCCGAGCAGCCCACCCTTGTAGTGAGTCTTCTCTTGCCGAACCATCCAACTAAGGCCCTCCAGTTGGAATGGCTTTAATCGTCGGGTGATTGACTCTGGCTGCTCTGCCTTCTGAGTTTCGAGGACTGGGATCTTCTTGAGATCATCCCACATAGTGCGCAGCTTTGGATGCTGTTGCTCTGCTCGCTCACGGTTCATGGCGCGCTTCCGCTCCCACTTATCCGCGATATGTGCGAACCTCGCGCGACGACCGACCGCATCCTCCTTCTCGCCTCTTGTGAGCTTCTTCTTCCGGCCGCGAGCTGCTTTGGGATTCGCCGCGATAATGTTCTTCACACGCGCACTCGTTGTCATCAGAGGCTCCTCATCGCTATCGCTAGCCATGGGTGTTTCGATGTCGTTGAGCAGAGAGTCAGCGTCATCCGCGTCGTCAGGACGGAACTCTCCACCATCGGACTCATCGTCATCAAGGAAGTCCTCCTCTGTGAATGTTCCCTTCTTCTTCGCACTAGAACGTGTGGAACGGCCACGCTTCATCGAAGATTCTTGAGCCTTGCCCTTGCCCTTGCCTTCGAAAGACGGAGGTGAGGACAGCTCATCTATCAGTGAATCCCGATCGTCATCGCTGAAGACCTCTTCGACCTTAGCTTTACCCTTGCCCTTGCCAACATACGAAGGCGCTTTCCTGCGACGCGAGGGTGCAACTGGCTCATCTTCAGACAGCATGTCTTCATCTTCGTCTTCCTCAGTCTTCTGGCGCTTGTTGTGTGGCGCATCCTCTTCGTCCTCCAACTGCATTTGTAGAGCGATCTCAGCATCCATGTCGAGCGCCATGTCTTCGGAGTCGGAGTCTAGTACGGCGCTGCGAGATCGCTTAGATGAGGTGCTTTGCGAAGGCGTCGTAGCCTTGTTCAGCCGACTACGGGCGGGCATCTTGCCGCGATTGACTGAGGCGGCTGGCGTGGTCGATATGCTGGTTCCCGGTGTCTCGTAATCTGAGTTCTCGAGAGAAGGTGAGCCAGTTGAGCTTTCTTGCTCGGCTTGTTGCGCGTTCAGCCCTGCTAGCCGTCCGCGAGTGGCGGGAGCTTTTTTGGACTTCATTGGAATCAATACTTCTTTTAGAACGCGGCGGCTGTTGGCGGATAGTGTGGGCGCCTCGACTTCGATTGAGTCGGTTTCGTGGTCGGAAGAGTTGGGTACGAAGGAGCGAGAGGCGCGAGTGCGCTTCTGCTTGTGGCGACTATCAGCCATGGGGGAATCTACCAGGACTGCAATCGTATTAACACGAGAGTAAGAAACCGCAATCACTGTTAAGCAAAAAGGTGAGAGTCGGAATCAGCCTACACATACCATTTGCAGGCGCTGGTGAAGGCACGGTGGCGACGTCATTCGCGACACCGGTCGACTTGCGGGTGGATCGCCGAGGCGCCATTATGATCGATTGATGAAAGGAAAAGCAAGTGAATTTGCGGCAGAGATCGAGGAACGCGCAGCGAACACAGGACCGATGGACAGATTAAATGAAAGACGGTAACCTCGACGGAGGGTGAGATGACAAGAAGCACTAATTGTGGAAGGGCAGATGTACCCCTGGCTCTTTCGCGCCGATAGTCTGTCGCGCGTTCACGCCTCCGGTGGCAAATTCAGGGACAGAGTCTAACGACGGCAAGGATTGCAAGGAAAATTGCGCAGATCGATCGTCTTGTGTAACACTGGCTCGTGTATGTACATTTCATCAGCCCAAGCTTGCCACATCCGTTGGATGAGGTGGGGAAGACGCGTCGCGTCTTGATGACGAAAGCACGTGATTAGTCCTATCTCAGCTCTTTACGGACTAGCGCTGACTACCACCCCGCTGTCAGCCCTTTTATGTACGGAAATGCTCCCGGCTTGAAGGAAGCAGAGCAAGTGCGTTTGGCTCAGACTGCTGCCTGGTTTTCTTTCGCGCTTGTACTTCGTCGAGTGCTCCTGGCTTTTGTCGTACCATCTAACATCCTAAAGTTATAGTTCATCAAGGCCATGTTGACCAAAAACCATCTCTTCCTGCACGCTGGCATCGCCTCAGAACCACCAACTATCGCCAGTTTAAGCGGCACAGGCGTTGTACCTCTTGTGATGTTTTTATGCTTTATAGGCCTTCCTAAAGAGGTTCGCTTCATGGTCTATGAGTGTTTACTCGAGCGGCGCATCAAACCTATGACATATCCAGATCAGGGAATCGCCTACGAGGTGATCACAATAGGTCCAACAATCGCTCAGGCGTCACACCAGCTCAGGACAAGGTACAGGTAGCGACGCGCTAACAGCGCCTCGGTGGACCGCTTGTGCTGTACATGATGAATGCATTCAGTTTCGTAGGAGACCTTTCCCGAACGCTATCCAAGGCTTACGTGTCCGATCAATGACATATACTACAACATGGTATGTTTCACCTGTATTTGAATGTGCAGGTGTAGCCAGTTCGAGCTTGACAGTGCCCACCACAATGATCCTAAACATCTTTCGATATGCCGCCAGTAACAGAAACCTCCAAGGCTACCAGACATTCGGTCACGGACGGTCGAGGTCGCTGATCCGATATTACGTCGAATTCGCACTGGTTAAGCTTCGCCACAATACTCACGTTGAGTGTCGAATTTTGGTTTATGGAGGTCGATTTAGCAATATAGAATCCGAAGACCATCGAGCGGACTACGTGTATGAGGACATAAACTGGCAAGGAGAGATTCAATGCAATGTTGTCCTGATTTCCGACTGTCAAGCTACACAAGAGTTCCTATCAAGAACAACGCCTCCTCAAGCTGGCAGTCGTCCACCCATGGAACTGGCTACATTTATTCAACGAGCTAATATGCGTTCGATACTCTCTCAGTGGCTACCGGAGAAGCCTCGAACATCGTAACAGAAGTACGTATGCTTCATGGAGGTGGCCACGGAAGAGAATCATATGCACATGGACTGAGCAACAGGGCATGGTACCGAACCTCGAGGACTTGAATGTGGTAGTGCTGCAAAAACAGTTGACAGAAGAAGCTTTTGACCATCGTGCAGGGGTTTCGATTTCGTATTCGAGTCTTTCCTTATGCTGCCTTGTGGTGAACGCTCAGCGACGGCTTGATCTATCTTAATCACCATCTGATTATGTACACAGCCTCTTCCTTACCTTTGTGCATTCATCAGGTCTTTTTTCGTGGCACATTGTTGCTATATTGAAGTCCCCTTGCTCTCCGTTAGGACTAAATTCCGACTACCTCAACTTCCTTCAGTCGACTACAAGCAACTGCATACATGCCTCGACTCACTCTCCCGAACAAAGCTCTCAAGTGGCAATCTTCCAAAGAGCTTGCTAAGCAGACTTCTGGTCTTCTCAATTTGCCATTGGATGTGCAGCGTCTCATCTTTGAGAACGTCCCAGCAAATATCTGGCGTTCAATTCCTATTTGCTGTGACGGCTTCTACTACAGTACCAAATCAATAGAAGTGAGCCTTCTTCAGGTCTGTGGTCAAGTCAACGCGGAGGCCGGTCACGCTATGCAACATGGCCAAGCAGATCAGCGCTGTGTGCTAGCATTCAGTCCTTTCCACCACTTTGGCGTCACTCGGGCGATCTTGGAGACAATCAGCCTTGGCCGTACGTACGACGAAATCTATACGAAGAGAGTCCCTAAGGATCAGAAGCCAGCTCTTGCTATCAGTCCACTGGCTGCTGATTTAGCCTTCGAGACTTTTGATCGTAGTATCACGAAAGCGATCAGTCATCATTTTCGAGGAGACCTCTGGGTGCCCGAACTATCCCAAGACAAGTTCAACACATTTATTACCCAAGTTCTCCTACAGTTGCGCCGAAGCCCGGAAATTGAGTTACATCTCCATCTTCCTAAGCGGAGGATGTTCATGCTTATTAACCAGTATTTCGAATGGATTGGGCCTATAATTGCCTATTTCGTAGATCTGGTTCATGGAAACCAGCCAGTGATTACTGGTACGTTGCGCTTTCGTCTCACCATTGTTAGCGAAAACGAAGAGATTCAGCATCTATTGCAAACTGAATGGCCACAATCCCAAGTCGGCAGCGCGAAATGGGAAGTGGCAACGGAGCAGGACCAAGGGGCATGGGATGAGCTCGATAAGTCTACCCATATCGAGTACCAGGACAAGGACGAGGAGTCGAGAGATCAGAGAGAACGAGCTGCCTATCTTGTTAAATGCAAGAAGGGTCGTGCATACAGTCTCATTTAGTAATACGGATAGACGGTATAGTCACTTGGGTTAGGACTGATCTGAATTCGAGTCTTTCACAGTCGTTCAACAAAGTAGCTCATCGCATGTGTTGTTGTATGGAATTTCAAGCCAGTCTTCGATAACATCACATATCTAGAACGCGGCGATCTATAAAATCCTTGCAAACATATATTCAAAACGTCCAAATGTAGCAGTCAACATCATTATAGCGATCGCTATGCCACAGCTCATGATCTTCTTCGGTTGGTGCCTCCCATCGCAGTTTCGGCTCGTTACGAAGAAACTCGTATTTTTGATAGTTTTCGTCATATACGAGACCAATTTTGTATTGTGGGGTAGTCGTAATGACCAAATCATACCGACTAGGGAGTTTCCCTTCCCCAGAGGTTATACTTCCTCTCACAAGCCATTCGAGCCGTGAGTCCTCAAGTTGTGATCTGTCGAGAGGAAACATGATCTTCACCTGGACATCTGTACCCTCCCGGATTTTGGGTACGCAGTGATGATATATTTTTTGGAGTATTGTATCGTCGTACTCGGTCATTGGTGGGCAACGGTTCTCGTGGATACGGTCTCAACTCTTGTCTTTCAAGTAACGGATTGATATTACCTGTGTGAATCTACCGAGTTTGGCTGATGTTTTGGCTGCTGGGTGGCTTGTCTGGTATAGCAGGTCGTGTTAGTGACCCAGAAGATCAGCGTCTAGGAACACCAGACGAACGCGCAACAGCCTTCCATAACAATGATCAAGATGGGTTGTCTGAGTTTTTTGAGGTAATCTTTTACCTCATCGTTCAGGAGGCGATTGGTTATTAATAGCGCTGTAGGAGGCCTTACTTCCCCATACTTGAGGCCGTGCTGTTCTGCAAGTATAGGTCAAACTTCCCGTTCGGGCACATAATTGTAAATCAAGAGCTGAGTGTCTTTGGGGAGATCAAGGAAACGGAATCAACCGGAGATGTCGTCCATAGTTTGTTCATGTGACAATGAAAAGAAGACGTTGTCGTCACTCTAAAGCCTCTACGAGCAAGACGCTAGCCGGATACCTTTAGGGTAATGTTTGGGGTACAACTCATAGAGAGAGCTTCTTCTTAGGTATGCGGAGGAGAGAATGTTGACGTTCGGGAAGTTCCCGGTTCACTTGCATCTGATGCAGCGCACAGACCAACACGCGGCTGCAGGCGTCGCAAGACATGACGATGGTTCAGGCACCTCTTCCAGCTGCCGCCATCGACGTCAACCACCCCTAAACTCCATCTTCCGCTACAACATCCTCTATATCGTCAATACAGGTAGCGAACCACCTGACAATACCGCGATCGAAGCGCCGCCGCCACCGCCGATAAGCTAGCCGCCTCCGAACGATACCGAAGCTACAACTCGCCCATCATGGTGAAGCCCGTTGTTTCCGCGATGAATGCTTGGACATGGTATGCGCGAAGTGCCCTGCGAGAAATAGCAGTAGCAAGAAAGCTGATGGAGTGATAGCATCGTCGTGTCCCTCTTCGCCATCGTCATCCTCTCCACGATCGGAGCGCTGTTCAAAGTACGTCTACCACGCGCCTAAGCTTTGAACATCTGCGAATATCTCGAAATCTCTTCTCGCGTTTAAGACCGTATGAGTACAGAACAGAACAAATGCTAATACGCATTTCGCAGGGACACAGCGGCACCGTAATGGGAGGACATGAAGACCCCGAGGATGGTGGCGCAGTTGCTGGCGCGGTATTCGGCGCCGTCTTTATATACATCGTACGTGTTGATCCGAACAAGAGCATCGCAGCTTGCTAATAGCTTCCAGGGCTTCTTTGTCTTCTGCGGACTACAAGCCTTCCTCCACATGCGCGAAAGCCGTCGCGGCGCGATAAGCCTGTCATGAACCTGAACAGCGTGCAAAACATGATCGAGGGATAATGCAGGATGAGACTTCATCTGGAAAATCATTGGATGCGGCGACAGAGCATCAAAGCAGGCATGCGTCATTGCGCCTGTGGAGGAGAGGCGAAGAGCACTTGTACATTGTAATATGACACACGGCGTTTAACAGGCACAGGCGGGTTCATACATTTCCGTAGCAAGACATTGAGTTAGTGTAATATGTGCTATCTGTACATATGCATAAGCCCTGTATATCCATCCGTCGAAGTAGGATGGCCAATCCACGTACCAACGCCAGGATGTGCTAGTCAGGACTTTCCCATCTACCAGTCCCTCTCCCACAGCGGCTCGAGCGTCTTGCTCATATATGGACCATCGAGCCAGTAACCCAGTTTTCCGTAGTAACTCCTCACGCCAACACCAGAGATGACACTGATCTTACTACTTCCATGTTCTTCTCTAGCTATCCGCTCTGCCTCTTCCATCAAAAGCGTACCATAACCTTGATGCTGGAACCTCTTTGGATCCCTAGCATGAATAGGTACAGCAGATCCGTAAACGTGCAACTCGCGCACCAGCGAAGAAGGCTGGCCAGTCAACTCTGGTCGGAAAGTGTGCTCCTTCGAACATTGTCGTAGACGGAGCAGGGCGATCAAGATGTCTTGCTTCGGATCTTCGTACGCTAGGAACGTTTCCCAACCACCGTTGGCTGTGTAATCCCGACGTACCAACTCGACCTGGTCGGGACGGATCTTATGCTTTACTTCGTTGATACCGACCTCACGTGTCCGTACATCGCGACACGAGGTACCGAAATCCTTCATCCTTGCCAGTGCCAACTCTCGCAAGTTACCGTTCTCAACACCAGATGTAACAAGCGGCATGGGGATGTCGCGCTGCACGCGGTAGATACGCGTCCATGGGGGCACCAGCGCCAGAATGCGTGCTACGATATCGATAAGGGCGTTTGGTGTGTAGTTCTTGTATCTTCCCGTCCGCCAGAGTTCGTATAGCCCTGTACCGCGGATGACGAGCGTAGGGTAGATCTTCAGTCCATCGGTCCGGAAGTCTGGGTTCGAGAAGTACTCTACGAACTGATCTAGATCACGCTCCATACCGACGTTAGGCAGATCCGGCATCATGTGTGAAACCACTTTGAATCCGGCGTCTTTGGAAAGACAAAAGGTCTTCGCTACGGCGGCGACAGTGTGGCCCCGGTTCGTATCGCGCGCCACATCTTCGTAAAGCGATTGTACACCAATCTCGAGACGTGTGCATCCGTACCGTAACATGGAAGAAAGATGTTGGTCCAAGCAGTAATCTGGCCGTGTTTCAATGGTGATGCCAACACACTTTATGTTACTCATCTCGCCGGCGGCAACAGCCTCGTCAACATCTTTGGTCTGGTATCCGGAAAGCGCGTTGTGCAGTTGTGAGATGAACTCATCTCGATACGACTCTGGTAGTGACATGAATGTACCGCCCATGATGATGTACTCAACTTTATCGACACTGTGACCAAGTGACTTGATCTGGTCGACTCGTCCACGGGCCTGTTCATAAGGATCATATCGCGCTCGGATAGCGCGCATAGATGTGGGTTCGTAACCTGTGTAAGATTGTGTTGAATATTCAAAGTCTGAGTCTGGACCTCCTGGGCAGTATACACAGATGTTACCAGTGTAGGCAATGTGTGGGCAACGGTGAGGTTTGCACATGACCGCCACTACTGCAATACCAGATGATGTACCTACAACACACATTAGTTTTGCGACACTCAATCAACATCGTTTCAGACGACATACGGATCGGCTTGGCGATGAGTTTTGGGAGGATATATTTCTTATAGTGCTCGGGCACCGCCGCGATAATCGCTGTAAGCGGGGGTTGACTCTTCAGATAGTGCTTCTTAGCGATCTGGCCCCGCAAAGAATTCAAGTTGAGGTCCTTCTTGGGTTTTGAGCCATCGGCCTGCGATTCATAGTCCTGGATGAGTGCTGAGGCGATGTCTGCGCATGCGCGCATGTAACGCTCGTTTTCGGGTGGCAATTTGACATTCTTTGGTAGTCTCCTCTTGTGTTGCGTCTCTGTTACTGTCATTGTCGCCATGGCGGGCAGTTTTGTTGTTCGGAGTTTGCGATTTAGTGATGGCGAATCTTGAGGACTCAGACCCTGGATGTGGAAGTCACGGGTGGGGGTGGGATTTATTCTAGGCTAAGATGCTTTCATACTAGTGCAATCGCTTCAACCTGTGCGACACCAGCAAATGGTGAATGGAGTCGTCCTTACCACAAAGCCACTCTTACTCTTCGATGATGCGCACCCAATGCATCAACAGCTCCAATATCGGTGTCGCCAAACTAAGACAGAATCCCCGTGACTATTGCCATGGAATACGAACGGGCCTATCAGACGCGCCGTATGCAACACCAACGAGGTTTTCAAAATCACAGGCGCCAGCAGACATTAAAACCTGATCGTATAAAAGCACCCGTGCAACAGGCAGCCTTTCAATGGGTGATAAAACTGACTCATTATATACAGGAACTAATCAATAGAAACAGGCTGCAACGACATGCTCTATGATATCAATGCTATTCCTTCGTGCCTTCGCTTTTGGCTCATTATTGTGCGTCATGTCATTATGCGAAGCTAGACGGTGTCCTGTTGAGCCTTTGTCTAGGTTCAGCCTCGAGAACAGCACCTCCAAGAGGTACATCAACGCCATGCTGTAGGGGAGCGTAAAGCTCATCGTTCGTCGTCATGGCGGGGCTATCCTGCCTCGTTTCCGCTCTCAATGCGTGGACTTGTGCAGAGTTGCCGGGTACCGCGCCACGGCTACCCAGGTAGCTGAACCTCCCGATCTGACTACTTGTAGTCGCAGCCGTAGGGCGTTGTGGCTGTACAAATCCTGATTGCGAGCTACCAGAGCCGCGCTTGTCGCTAATGTCTGAGTTGGAGCGGAACTGTGTGCCGTACATGCCAGGACTGATCTCTTGACTACGTCGACCCTGACCATTGGCAACGACTCCACCGTCCGGACCGCCAGCCTCAGCAACAGCGGCCTTTTCAGTAAGCTCTGTAGCGACCTGGTGGGCATCGTACTCGTTGATACCAGCGGCAAGCAATAGGTTCTTCTTCTTCTCGATCTTGGCAGCGTGGTCCATGTCCTGACCTGGGTTGGCCGTCTCGTATTCTAGGATTTTGATGAACTTGTAAAACCCGGCCGCAATAATTGATCCGAGGATGGGTCCAAGCCAATAGATCCAGTGATAAGAAGTGAACTCCAGGTTGACGATAGCAGGGCCAAACGAGCGTGCAGGGTTTAGTGATCCACCAGTGAAGTACACTCCAGATAACTCTGTGACGAACAGTGCAAGACCAATACCTGTTTCAAGACGTTAGCATCCACGGCAAGCTAGATGAAGGCCTAATGGTTACGTACCGACTGGTGCGATAAAGGTACCCTTGTGCTTCTCAGCTGCCAACATGAAAATCGTGAAGACCAACTGTGCAGTGAGGAACATTTCAATGAACAGACCTTGTACGACGCTGGTGTTACCACCGAGGGTAGTTCGAACGTTCAGGTCACCTGGAAACATGCACTGGACCAAACCAGCCGCAGCCATACCACCAAGAATTTGAGTGACGAACAAAAGGCCACCACGAACCCAGGGGAGTGCGCCAATCAGGCACATGCCGAACGTAACCTGTATTGGTATTAGCAAACTCATTTGGCTAAAAGTGCAGCAGGGCGAGGTTACTTACGGCCGGATTGAACAAACCACCACTGATTCTGAAGAAGACCCAAGCATTTACAGCAAGTGAGAAGCCAAAGCAGAGTGCAATGTATTGCAGCTGCTGAGGGTTGCTACCTGCCTCCGCTACTGTCTGGCCTCCGGATGAAGGTATACTATTTGCGACTTGCGCGCCGGATAAGGCGAAGTATAGAAAGAGGACGGTGCCGACAAACTCTCCGCACATGGCGATGAAGTGGTTGCGGACGTTATCTGGAACGCGGCTTATATAAGGCATACGAAGATCTGAATCGGTGAGGTTGGCATTGGGGTTGGCGGCCTTGGTGAAGGGAAGCGCAAAGGCTTTCCCTTGGACAGGTTCCTGTCACGATAATGTCAGTATTGTTTTCCATGCTGATATCCCTATCAGTCGCAACGTACGTTGATATTCATCGTGACGATATGGCTCCTGAGCCAGAGAGAATGGGAAAGTAAACGTCCAGATCGAAAAGTATGATCTACATTACACAGAAGAAGATGGTGATGAGGACAGCGAACAGAAGACAAGCTCGACTTAGTTATCCACGATAATATCAACACACATCATTACTAGAATAGTCGCTTTCTGGCTCTACAGCTAACGGCTACTCGAATGGTTAAAGCAGGGTGTCGTCATGCTTCAGCCGTTGACGCGACGGCCGCACGTCTGGATCCCGAACTACCATGCCTCCTATGCCCAAGATCTACTGGTAATATCTGGAGTTGGGTCAACGTCGAGCCGAAAGCGGTAACAATGTGGCTGACCCAGCATCATAGTTGTCTCGAAGCAGCGACGGGTCGTGATTGTAGCTGGGATCTGTCACGAAAATGTGGCGCACTAGTATCGGGGCGGGCTCCGCAGGTCGATCCAGGCCACGGCAGAGGGAACTATATCCCGATAACCAGTCTACCAACCGTTCGTCCATAGAGTTTTTCTATGAGGACGTCATGCGGAAATGATCGCAAAATGCTGTATTGTTGATACATTTGAAACTCAAGCAAGGTTAACGACCAAGTATCACCAATCACAAGAACGATCGTTCATATCTTGCGAGTACATCGCACTACTTAATACCAATATTGATGCATATATCGACAGGCGAAATACCCGACTGCAATTGTGGGTGGCTGACCCTAAAACAGGCTTCTGCTGGTACTAAGCGCGGACCTTACCTTGACAGATGGAGAGCATCGGGCTTCTATTCGGGCAATCGACTTCTCGAAATGGCACCACTGCAAGGCTTCCAGCGCATGGCTGTAGCTAAATCCGGAAAGCTCTTGGGAGTGGCAATAGGATGCCCTGGTGACCAACGCCGCATGTTCATGTTCGATGCATACCAGCCGCTACTGCAGTCCGGCGTGTGCGAGCAGAAGACATGTGCGAGTCTCAACATTGGTCCACATCGCTGTCATACTGACGCAACGACCTGTTATGTGGAAGCGTAGGGTTGTAGGCTCGCAGAGAATATGACCGTATCATTGTTGAATACTCTGACGCGACAAAAAGTTGGCCAGATACAAGTCTCAGCGCCCTTCAACGACCACGACAGTGAAAGCTCTACACCTCTGGATCAGATCGCTACGTGACTTTTGCGTCTGGTGTCGGAGAAATTCTTGCTTCAGTAGTTCGAAATGTTCTGGTCCATTGAGTACTTTCCGGTGTGTATATCACCAAATCGTTATGGACAGTTCGATAATGCGGCACACTCCAAACATGGCCAACGACTCGACGGAACGCTTACAGCTCGGGATTTAGGAACCCGCGCTATTCTGCAAATATCAGTAGCCTGGGTTTCTCAACAACACCTTCCGCGGGATGCAAGAGACAGGCAGAAATTACCGTTGAATGCAGCAGAAAACGCATCATTCAATCTAGATCGTTACGCGAGTCGGAGTATTCTCAATCTTGTCCAGTTCCGGCGTACGGCATGCTGTACCCCACATACCTAACTACAAACACCTGCAGGTGGAAATAATTGTACTCGTCCTCGCCAGCCCTGGCAGTACTACGAATATAATCTGTCTATCTGGCCCAAACTTCCATCAAGAAATCAACCATTCGTTTATTTCAAACCTCGCATCGGTGGTTTAGTGGTAAAATTAGCCGTTGCCATCCTTCACAGGACAGTTTCGGCTAGCCCCGGGTTCGATTCCCGGCCGATGCAGCGTAAGATCATTCTTTTTTTGAGTCTGTAGGACTTGTGGATGGTGGTGGTTGAAGTAGGGTTGGAAAGGGAGGATAGGATTTGGGGGGGTGGTCTGTGCGTAACGGTACCCGCCTGGTGCAAATTCGAACTCTCTTTTTGCCCTATCGCGCCACATGCACCGCCACGCACCCACCTCGCGTTTTCGAGACCCGCCATCTCTTTTCAGCTACGCGCCCACTCCGAGGCGATGTCTGCTTGGTTCATAATGCGCTGGCACACCGCAACCGCGGCTTTAGTCTTCAAAGTCGAGCTTCACTGCCATCGGCACCAGTTTCACGAGTAACCCATTCTTCACGCGGCGGTGAGGCTGTGGAAGAGATTCTGCCAGTAATTCACACAATCATAGTCTGAGCGTTATATTAGCAGCTCGTCCTTGACTTTAGTTCCCATTGATTGCAACTACACTACAAGTCCACCAATATGTTCACAGGAACAACGCCAGAATCGCTCATCCCTCGCTCGGATTCTCGAAATCCGGCTACAACGTGCAAAGGCATCACTAAATCCGGGCGACCTTGTAGACGTCCCATCGATGCAAAAGTATCTGAAGATGACGGTGTTATCGCCGTAGTATCTGTCGTCAGCGATGATAGCGGCGACGACGAAATTGGCGCTGCTGCCTACTTTTGCTGGCAACATAAAGACCAAGCCGAGCACTTGGCCGCACAAGCAACAAGTGGGCCGGCAACCCAACTTTACCCACTAAAAGAGAGAAACAGTATCGACACGCTCGTGGAACGACTGGGTGTCCTTGATTTTGGAGAACCGGACGAAGCTGCTACACGCCAGAAAAAGAACAATAGACAAGGAAGGCGGACATCTGGATCCCATCCGCCGCGGCACATTAACCGGCCAGCTACTTGGGACAATGTGGAGGGACCATTGATGTCTGTGCCGAGTGATGTGATGGCAGAGAGGAAACGCAGAGACCATCGTCCGTCGAAACCACCACCGCAGAGGAAGAAGCAGAGTTTCTGGGCATCGTTGTGCTGCGGGTCTGCAGACGACGACGAATACACTGAAGTTGTGCGGCATAAGAGGAGGACAGACGAAAAGCCAGTAGCGGAATATGATGGACAGCAGACACCAATGCAGCAGGTGCCTCAGCCACCACCTCGAGTACGACAAGATCATCGAAGGCAAAGCGCACAAAGTTCGAGACCGCCATCATCATCGCGACCACCTTCCGCATCTCGACCGTCAAATGATCCGCCTGGTCGCAAGCCACTGGGAGAGAAGCCCGCTCGACCCGTCAATCGAACGACGAGAGAAGAGTCGGAAACAGCCAAGTTGCTACGATACATCCCAAACACATTGCCACCACAACTCGCTTCTATTCTACTCGCACAACTCTCAAAGCCCCTCTCCCCCCACGACGAAGAAGGCTACATCTACATCTTCTGGCTCACACCCGAATCCGCCGGTCCCGCGCCATCCTCAGCCGCATCTACCCTCTTGACACCACCAGCACGTCCAGATCAAGGTCGACGAACCTCAGATGTCATGCGACAATACTCAGTTAAAGGCGGACAACGACAACAACCCAACACCGCTCGATCACGATCTGGTGACGCAAACGCTTCACCAGAAAAAGACACTATTCTCCTCAAGATCGGACGTGCAAACAATGTACATCGCCGTATGAACGAATGGACCCGCCAATGCGGGTATAGTCTCTCTCTCGTACGCTACTACCCCTATGTCTCTTCTTCTACACCTTCTCCACAGCCCTCGCCTGCACAGTCTCGACGCCAGTCAAATTCAAATACCGGCCTTACCTCTGATGGCGTGAGGAAGGTACCACATGCGCATCGCGTGGAGCGCTTGATTCATCTCGAGCTTGCAGATCAGCGCGTCATCAAGCAGTGTGATGCTTGTGGCAAGACGCACAAAGAGTGGTTTGAAGTCGAGGCCACAAAAGAGGGGGTTAAGAAGGTGGACGAGGTTGTTAAGCGGTGGGTGGAATGGGATGAAAAGACTAATGTGTGATGAGTTGGACATCGACTTGGGTATGATGATCCATGTGCGATCTCTACGAGATAGAATATGAGAGAATGAATCTTTTATACCGGTTCTAGCGACATGTAGTACTTCCTGTACGGTAGTCAGGCGTTCACCTTGTAATCAACGTTGTGAGATATGTGAGAGGGATGTGTATAGGAAAATTTCATTGGGGAATTGGGTATCTTGTGTAGCTATAGCAGCAATCAAACAATCAAGAGCAACAAAGGCTCGTACTCTTTGCAAAACGTCCCGATATCCGCGGGTTCAGAATGCAACTCAGGTATGGGGGTTTGTCCGACATAACGGACACTGTACAACGGAGCTTTTGGTAGTGGTGGTGGTGGCGGTGAACAGGGGTGAAGCGCGGTCGGTCTTTCAAGTGGTTGTTGCAACGAATCCAAAGCTTTTCCGTCTCTTTTGCGTCACATCCAGTGACGATTACTACCCCCAGCGGTGTTGAACCTCCTCTTCCTCATAATATGGTGCATTGTATGTACAGTCGGGGTTATTACTACACTCAGCGTCATGGTAATAGGTCTCAGAAAAGGCCGATGCGCGGTCGCCAGTCATTCTCGTTGACAGACTTTGGGTTGACGACGATCTGGTAAGGGAAGGGGTTGGCGTCGGTGGTGGTGATGGGTGGAATGTGGTCTTTCTCTCGGTTTACGATGGCGATGATCTTGTGCGCCGCTTTTTCTAGAGACTTGGTCATGGCACGACGGACCTTTAGTACATCTGTCACCATGATCAGTAACCTGCTTTGCGAAGAGGGTAAGAATGCGTACCAGTCTCGGTCCGTGGTTGTGCAAGGGTAACGTCCAGCGTCCACTGCTCCCAGCAAACGTCCTCGTCTGCCTTGCTAAAGAAATACGATGTCTTCTTTCGCTTCTTCTCAAAGAACTGCACTACAATCTGCCCCCTTCCTCTAGGCTGGTGTGTGCTGTCTATCGCCCGTACTAGCGCAAACGTCTTCTGTTCGATGAGTGTCTCGAGATCGACATCGTCGATAGCGGGGAGGGTAAGATCGAGGAGGTCGCGGGTCAAGGGAGAGATGGAGGTAAAGTACCGGTGGAAGAATATCGTGTGCAGTATCGCTGGAGCAAGGTCAACTATGGTCTACGGCGCTATCCGGGTGGGGAGACGTGAAGTGGGGTGAGAAAGTTGCGCCGATGCTCAAAACAGAGATTGTTTGGAAGGAAAAAAGGGACTTACCCTTGACGACATCCTTCACGCACGCCGCGTCGGCAAAGATCTCAAGGTTGTACTCTGGCCGCCTCCTTGTGTCCATGGTGGCATGTGCAGTCCTAGAACCCGAAGCGTGTTCAGAAGTCCGGGTAACGCGCCGCACAGCGTTCTTGGCGCTCGTGTCGCGGCAAGGCGCTCCAAGGCTGTCGAAGATGGTGGTGCCGGAGTCGCAACAGCAGTCTCGTGACGGTGAGTGGGTCCTTGTGGTGGAAGTCGTCGCGGGTGCAGGAAGTATGGAGCTGAAGATTCGGGGTTGTGCGGGGCAGGAGCGGACGAACACGACGACGGAAGTTGAGAAGGAACGGCCGGCATGCGTGAGATCATCAAAGAAGCACAATCCTGGCTGGGCACCATTTTCGCCTAAGCCACGCCTATCAGCATCTGTTGAATGCATATCCCGTGGAGCCCTACAGCTATTTGTAGCCCCGTCTCAGCCACAGCCTGACATGTCTCACGCTTTGAGACATGTCCTCGAGTATCGCACACGGAAGTGTCATCTGCCTTGCCATATGAATCACAACCTCGTCACGTCTGACAGACCATCACGGCCTGACTGTCGCGGGCGGAGGCAGCAAGTATCCGCTTATGAACGGGCCGCGAACATCCTTCTTAGGCCCCAGGACCAGCGCTAGTCTAGTTTGTAAGGCTGTTTGACATAATCGTGCATGACCAAATCTAGGTCTTCCACGCGATTTGATGTCTCGCATGCATGTAGCCTGGACCAACAGTTTGCAGACTGTTGTAGTCTGGATGCATCCATGATGAGGTTGACCGATTCTGAAAAAGACGGCTGGGTGGGCGCAGTCTACGGAACCACTCACTGCACGACGCTTGCCTGACCTGCAATCACATGTCAACGCGACTTTACTAACAATGAACGGTACTGGTAACGCTAGCCCTATACGATTGTCCTGCCGCGACGACTGGGACTTTGGATAGTGAAAGTTAGTTTCTGCGTAGTTTGCATGGGTGCAGGCAAAGAATGCAAAGGGTAGTCATGAATCTGAAGAGGCAAATACCAGGGCTTACTCGACCCTTGCAAATAAGCTTAGAGGTTGAGCCTCAACCATCGCGCCAAGCCCCAAGTCGCGCAAGTCGCGTTACCCAGTCCTGCCCACACATCCATCCAACAACACGACATGGTCGGCACAAAGCGCAGACGCGACGAAGATGATGTTGATGAGGGGACACCGCACAAGTCACGCGCACGATTTGCAGAAGACGCTCCCGATGAGCTAGAACCCCCTGAAGCGCAGACACCGTCCAGAAAGGGGAGGACACAATACCTGGCCGAGCATGGGACACCACGATCCATCTTGAAAAAGACGGGCCTGATAAATGGAGTGACCGCGACGCCCAAGTCCACCCGGAAGCTGGTCTTCGAAACGCCTACCAAATCCGCAAAACGAGACTCGCCAAATGGCACACCAACCATCGTTCGCAACGCTGATCGCAGCGCACGCAGGAAGAGCAACCGACGCATACTGGAGCGCACACTGAATGGCGACGAGAGCGACGAGGATGCATTGGATGAGGAGGAAGACCTTGCAGAACACATCTTAGGAGAAGAAGCAGAAGACACTGAGCAGGGTGAAGAAGGAGCGGTACAAGATGAAATACCTGTGCCAGAGACACCCTCGAAGCGTGGGAGAGGCCGACCTAAGGGATCAGGAAAGGTAGGACGACCGCGAAAGCAGCGTTCGCCCACACCTCCAACTGAGCTGCCTCCGCACGAGGAGTACTTCTGGCAGAACCGCCCAGGGGGCACCAAAACCTCCAACAACACACTGTCTGCGCAGAGCTTACTCAATCATGATGAATACTTCCAAGCCATGCAAACGTATCAGGACCGCCACCAATCTGAACGAGAGTTCTTAGTTGAATTGCACAGCCGCGCATACGATCAATGGATCTTCGAGCTGGAGGAAGACTTCAACATCTGCCTCTATGGCTACGGATCAAAGCGCATCATTACCGAGCGGTTCACCGCACGCCTTTATCAACATCTTGTAAGCTCCGCGCCGTACAAGGGAACGAAGAAGACGCCGAAGATTGTGGTTATAAATGGATACACAGCTGGTACAACAATGAAAGACTTGTTGTTGACTATAGCATCAGCAATTTTGCCATCAGGACCGAAGTTGCCCAATCAACCTGCACTCCTGCTCGATTTCATTCTCGACCATCTCACGAGCAACCCGCCATCGCACCCAGTACCCGTCATTCTGAACTCCATCGACTCACCCTACCTTCGAAAGTCTCCAGTACCATCGATGCTCGCCCGTTTAGCTGCACATACATCCATCAACCTTGTGTGCACGGCAGATACACCAAACTTTCCTCTTCTATGGGATGTCGGCATGAAGACGCAATACAAGTTCCTGTTCCACGACGCGACAACCTTCGCACCCTACGATGCGGAGATAGATACGGTTGAGACGGTGAATGAGCTCCTAGGACGTAGTGGTAGACGAGTGGGCGGAAGAGATGGTGTAGGCTTCGTCTTACGGTCGCTACCAGAACAAGCCCGAGAACTGTTTCGTATCCTTGTCATGGAGCAGCTGGCACTCTCCCTCATGGAGGTTGGTGACATGCAAGAAGAAGATGAGGTCACTGCTACCCCAAGATCCAAGAAAGTCGCACAAGTTAAAAATGTTTTGCCAGAGTCTGCGCAAGGTGTTGAGTACCGCGTGTTGTATCACAAGGCTGTAGAAGCGTTTGTTTGTACAAGTGAAGTCAGCTTCAGGACGCTACTCAAGGAATTCCACGATCATCAGATGATTGAAAGCAGAAAGGATGCTATGGGCACAGAAAGGTTATGGGTGCCTTTTAGACAAGAAGAGTTGGAGGGTCTTGGGAGGATCTCGCTGGAGAAGCATTTTGATCGGTGTATACCTTAACTTTCATTGTACAACACAACTTCGACACGATGCGATATTATCTCACTGCTGCATAGGTCACCTTTCCCATCTTAGACTGAATGCACTTGATAATCGGACTTGAAATGCGAGGGAACCAATAGACTTGGAAACGTGACTTGAAGAGTTGGTTGCGGTGCTCTCTAGGCTTTTGGGCTGGGTGGGGTAACGCCAGCAGATTTTGGCTTGGAGTTGAATAGCGGTAGAATATCCTCGACCCCGCTTCGAAACGCACCTCTACACCTCAACAGCATCTCTTCCTATAGAAAACTTTACGAATACATAGTAATTTAAATCAAATCCCTCCATCGAACAACAGCAACAGGTCGCTTAGCTCAGTTGGTTAGAGCGTGGTGCTAATAACGCCAAGGTCGCGAGTTCGACCCTCGTAGTGACCATAATAGCCGTTTCTTTTTGCCAGATTTCGTGTTTCCAATCCATGGTCTTTCCGGTAGCCTCTCTTTTTGCCGGATCGCTCCGTCTAGGATGGGAACGATGGCTCAGGCAGGAGTGAGATAGGACTATCCATCAGGGTATGGTCAAGTCCTCTTTGTAAAGCATGTACACTACCTAGGTGTGGTGTCACCGCCTGAGGCTATTGTCCTTCACTTTGAAACCGAGTTGGCAAGCTTCTCTTTTCAAGCGACGTTGAAGATCTTTGTTGTATATTTTCAAAGTATATATGTAACCGATGAGTTTGGGGTATGCATTGGGTCTGCCTGTGGGTCCTTGCACAACACGTGATGGGGACATGCATTTTGGTTCTCATGTTTAGCCTACTTTCATGTGCAGTTTGGTACATCGATTCGAGATGACAAGACTTTAGAAACCTCAGGATGTAGCTACCTAGGTAGTCGATCATTTACTTGTCATATATTCCCGACCACCGTAAGTTGGCGAGACGTGTACTTTGTGCATTAGAGTACTCAGATGAAAGCGATTTTAGTTCCTTGTTAGCGAGGACTTTATCCTTCTTACACAGTAATCGATAATTGTTTTACACATGTACTGTGTTGATAGAGCGTGCGAGGTCACGGTCGGTACTGGGGAGAAGCTGGTTGTAGAAAGGTTTAAGATAACTTTGCGAAGAAGTAAACAACTCGACGATGTCTTGAAGCTTTGATCAGCTAGAATAGGCACCTGAGGACGGAATAATGTATGTGCAGCGGGAGGCGTTTATCATTGCCGATGTGGAAATCTTCCGAAGTGCGGGGAGGGTATCTATATGCAATCAAATCTCCGACGCTTGATCGTTTCAGCCCATGTACACCGCAACACCAAGCCAATGTACATCAAACGTTATTCAGCCGCCATAGGAAGGTATCATGCGTGGTCGAATGATAATGCGTGCTAGGTGGGAGGAATGTATCTGCGCGTCGACTCACGTGCCATCTCATATGTCCGCCTACCTGATGTGGCTGTATGGCCGCACATAATTACAACCACTACGATAAAGGAGGCGTGGATGGTGATTAACGGTGGAGACGAATCGAATGGGAAGATGAGGTATATCATTAGGCATACCGTAGTACTCCCAGAGGTGCAAGCCTTCAACAGCTCCTGCGACTACGCATCTTGTGTCATTTCAGTCAATCACATCTACCGTCATGCAAATTTCCCTTCTTCTCGTCGCGGCATACGCCTGCACCGCTTCCGCACGCCTGACTTGGTCCTTGGCGAAGGCATCGAACCCCACTGCAGACCAAAGAGACGCATACACTAAAATCGAAGCTGCAATGACAAAGGCCGTCGCACGTTATGAAAAGTTCTCCGATGCCAACAAGACAATCCGCGTTGCCTACGCACCAGGTGTTCCTACTGCCGAAGCAAACTACAACGGCGATCTACGCTTCGGCTCGAACCGCGCTTACATGACCGAAAGGACAGCCATGCACGAAATAAGTCATACGCTGGGAGTTGGCCAAACGGCGGCTTTTGACAGAAAGTGTGCAGCGGGTGATTGGAAGACGGCGCTACCACTGCTGAGAAGCTTTGATGGAGCGAATGCGAAAATTACTTGTGGTGGTGGACATTTCTGGCCATATGGTAAGTTCTGACTGTACGATATGCATGTGAGACCTACACTGACTTCGCACCTCTGCACCTGCAGGACTGAACTATGATACCGAGTGGAGCGAAACGAATGCCAACCGGCATGTGCAGATAGTAGAGGCGATGCTGACTGATGGGATGTAAAATGATTCTTGAGACTACGCAGATTGTAGGAGTCTAGTATTGCTACAACGTCAATGAATCCCTCATCGATCGATACAGTGCAGTAGTACATCATGTCGACTAATTCAGAAGTACCAGAGACATGTGCGATCACTGCGACCAAATGGATACTTGTCGTGAAAAGTTACTGACGGCGCATGAATACATACCTCAATTCTGTCGTGGTCTATTGCTTCAGTTTCCAGACGCTGATCATGTCATCGCCGCGACTTTGCTTGAACGAAACTGGTGGCTTCCAATACACAACTCTTTCGAATGAGCCCTTCCCTTGGGAATTTCCGATAAGATTGCCCGATTCATCGAACAGACCGTCAGCACCATCAGCTAGAAGATTCCAGTGTACGCCATTAAGACCCCAAGGCGGACCCTGATCTTTCAAGGGCTTCCACATGGGGAACTCGAGGCATACGAGCACACCGTTTGGCGACAAAAGACTTTTCATGCGCTCCGCCCAGTCTTTTCGCATCTCAGGAAGCAGGGCACACAAGAACTAAGTGCAGACCATCAGTCCCCACTATGAAGACATCAACCGGATGGAACTCGGCATCTTAAACTTACTGTGTAATCATAGATAAGATCGAAGCCCTGGAAGTCTGGCCCAAGATAGGTCTCAATATCCCTTTTGAAGAAGTCGCCGAGCACGACGTCAGCGTGATGGCCAGCCGAAGGATCCAAGTAAGATTTTACGTTTTCGTTTGCAGTATCCACTGCTCCTTGGGAAATTTCGAGACCCCACGTCTTGAAGCCATGAAGTGCTAGCAGCGCCACATCATGACCTTTGCCGCAGCCCTAGTGTACGATGAGCCACTTTCGTGAACAACCTCGTCAAGAGACACCTACGGGTACAAAGGCCTTCAACTGACGTTTAGCCTTATCTTGGAACAGCGTCTCGCGATAAGGATGTTCTTCCAGAAACTTCGTCAGTGCAGGCGAAGGCTGGCCACGATCCCACAGATCCTGTTCATTCTTTTCCCATAGTTTGGCCCACCCATCGCCCTGCGCATCCCGTGTTCTGGGACTGTTAGCTGTGGCTTACGGATGTGGCGGAACGTAGCACTCCGTACTTGTAGTCATCAAAATGGGAAACCAAACGGGTTCTGTTCTCAGCGAAGCGGGCCTCGGATGTCATGATGCGGAAGGATGCAAGGATTCGGGATGTGACGGCAGGGTGTGTGAGGCCGTTTCTATGAGGGTTGAGATCCGTTGATCAGTGCGCCGCGCTAGTTCTGTGCCTGACTTGGACCTGGCTGGTGACAGCACATCCTTGACGTCACCCCACCTTTTTATCAACGACACCAAAAATCCGGATACCTTCGTCCGCAATCGCGCAAGTGAGGAATACTTGGAATCTACTTGTCGCGGTCCAAGCCTCATGAACCTGTTAGCCTGAGGCTGTGTCTGCCTTAGTGTTTCTACCAAAAGAGAGGCTTTAGTAACGAGAGGCTCAACAATTCGTCGGGAATATGCAACATCAACATTAAGCACAGGCCGGCTGTGTAACACCCACTACTGACTCCACCCAGGCACTAGGAGATATGCAACCTAAAAGGTACACTACGGGATAGATGCCGTCCTCGTCTACTGGTAGCCAATAACGGCCTCAGTATTGCTCTAATTTACTGTGACGGCACAGATTGGAGATTGGCTATGCTATGGCTCAGCCGACATCTGAATGCAACTACCAGACTTCTTGTTTCCTCGCTCCGGTAAGCCACATCTCAGCCACTCAGAGGCCAAGACCTTGGTGATGGACGTCATAGGGGCGCAGTGTGAAGAACAAGAATAGAGCTCTGCGCCTGGCAGTAGGATCCGAGATGCCGTTTGGTCCCACGAGAGCCACTCGTAGCCTTGGTTGTTGCATTGCGCTCGCGCGCTGTTCCAATGCGTTGGTGCGGAGCACTTTGCGTCAAGTCTTGAAGGGGGTGCCGCTTGTGATTCTACAAGAGTCGAGATATGCGCGCTCTCTTTTTATGAGTCCCAAGGCACAGTGAACGTCATTCTCCTTCTCATCCCAGTGTCCTCTCCTGAGACATATATTAGCACCCATGGGTCGCCTTCTCTCAAGTTCGATCTCCCACAGTGCCCGAACTTTGTATCACTTACGCTATCGGGTCGCTGCTGTATTCTTCATACTTGCGTTATTCCAGCAACAACATCTGTACCTCACTAGTCGGCAAGCACTCTCGGAAAAGTACTCTGCGACCGATTTCGATTCACACAACGGAGGCCTGCAGACTCGATCCTGGACGCCTGACGATGGGTATACAGTGTTCCAAGACGAGCTAATAGCAAATCGAGCATCATGGAAAGTGCTTGGCGAAGGCTGGGAAGGCAAGGTGTTCGCCTATGAAGACTCAGTTATCAAGACATTCACACCGGGGCGGAGTCCGTTCCGGAATTGCGCGCCTGACGCGACCAAATGGCCCACGGAAATACCCGCATCACTACAATTTGGAGGTACCGCTACCGACGATGCGAACACAACACACGATGGTTTCCTTCCTGTGAAGGCACATTTTATGGCTTCCACAACGCCTAGCGAGCCAGCGGAATGGCATCTCGTTACTCCCCTGTTGAGAAGCGGTAATCTTGCTTCACTCGCCAGGAAGCTTTCCACGGAAGAACAGCCCATGTCTTACGAGCAGATTGATGCGCGCTATCGGCCGGCCTTCAACGGACTGTTGGAGAACATGGGCACTCTTCACGGTGCAGGCTATTGCCACGACGATGTCAAACCGGGGAACGTGTTTATCCAAGACGAGTCCCATTGGGTGATAGGCGATTTGGGCAATGTGCGGGAGGTGGAACACCCCTATCATTCTTCGCGTATCTGGAAAGATAATGGGCAGCTAGACGATTGCCGTGCAAACGACGTAGTACGAGCTTTGCAATCGTACCTGAAGTTTGTTCAATCTTCTGCCGCCGACGAGGATGACTTCAATGAAACCTTGTATGGAGGCCAGGCACCCTTGAGCAGACTCTTTTGGTGGACACTTGCGGATGCGCCAAGTATGAGTGCAGAGGAGCTTCGTCAACGGTCTCTTGTAGAGTACCCAGAAGTGGCGCGTGAGATTGAGGTTGATGATAGATACCTCAAACCCACTCTGCCTCATACTTTTCTGAGCCTGTTTTCTAAGCGTCGAGCGATGAAAAATGCGGTTGATCAAGCACTTACGACACGAATTGGTGAAACGCGCGCAAGAATGTGGGGTATGGTTTGGCTGTTTGGTGTACCCGAGTCGGAGATCTGTTGAGCAACTTTTAGTGGTTTGTGAAGTTTGATACCCAAGATACCTGGCGTTGTTCTTACTACTTAATGAAGTCATCCTTCTTCTATTGCGCCACATAACCAGAACCTGAGTCACCTGACATGTGGTATCCACCCAATTGCGACAATGTTGTTCCACGCCGTAAGTGATTCGCTGAGATCAAGACCTGGGGGAGTCTGCGAAGTTTAGGGTCGCCATACCATCGGTAGATACGGACAGGCTAAGAACACCGAAGAACCCCCGAGAGATTGCGTAAAACGAGTACCAGCACAGACGAGGCTATGTGGTAGCTATCGTTGGCACAATCAAAGGGTATCCCTTGTGGCGCGCGACGGGAAGGATTACTTCAATATCCAATGCGCTCCCATCGTCTGTCATTGTGCTTGTTATCCCACTCGTCACGATCCTTCTGCTTTTACCCTGCGGGTCAAGCAGTGAAAGAGACAACAGAGCATCCACTCAGGTAAGAGTCAATGCGATGATCATCACAAAGTTAGGAGTTCGCACCCCACGCAGTTCCAATCATGTTAACAAGCACCCCACGTCAGATGCCTCATGTAGCGACAGTGAACAAATCCAAGCCAAGCCTTTCGCTCAGCTATTTTACTCAGCTTGAAAAAGATCACAAGGCAGTTCCAGGTCGTCTTCCCTTAATGTCTAGGAGCGCAGGATCGGGGCATAATTGCGCATACTCCCCAGACACATGTCGGCAGGTTCATCGGAACAACACAAAAGAGGTCCACGACAGCGGTGTCGTCGTCAATTCATAGTATCCTTTGGGTCCTGTTCATTGCTCAAGCGATTCTTCTCCTCTCCAGTTGAACCAGCCACTTTCTGGGTGGGAAGTCTCGGCAAGTATTCGGTCTGCAATACGCTGTTGTCTGTAAAGCGCCCGCTTCGGCTGTAACTCGTAGCGTTGTTTCGATCGGCAAGCCTTGCATGCAGACATCTGATTTTCTTGGACGAGAAGGATAAGGACAAGATATGAGATTAGAGGGAAGGTTCTACCAAAAGTCAGAGGTAGAGTCATCCCTTGGGTCGACTCTAGTACCGCCGTCTTGAAATTTTGTTAGATGCTAGCATGTGGTAATCAGAAGAAACTGCACCCATAGCTGCTAGTCGCTGCCGTGATATGGTTGTGTATGCGGTGTGATTTGCGGTGAGTAAGTGTTCAAAGAATGAAGCGGGCAAAGGACAGGGGTGAAGCTTGCAGATGTCGCATGGCTTGAGCGGCTAGCGCGCGGATCATGACATCGCCATCACCAAACTCCATCCTACCATTATACACGACTCCCAACGTCGACGGTATGCATGGTGACTTGACAGAAACCAGCGATGATCAAGGGCAACGATAGTATACCCAATACTTGCAAAGACGGCAGCAAAGATATCTGGGGCAAAGACCGGCCGCGCGACATCCACCTCCAACTCTCCATCTCCTTCGCGCTTGGCATAGGTGCATTTCTGACATTCTGCGTTCGTCCTCACAGCCTCGTCTTACCACTCACCTACTGACTGGCCGTCTTAGTTTCTCCGTCCACGATGGAAGGGCCTCTACGCTGCACGCAAGAAGCAGAACGACCTCGCGACCTCGCTGCCCGAGCTTCCCGATAGCCTTTTCGGTTGGATTATACCGCTATGGAAGATTACCGACGAACAGGTGCTGGCCTCGGCCGGCCTCGATGCCTACGTATACCTCGCCTTCTTCAAAATGGCTATCAAGTTTCTGCTTGTTACGCTGTTCTTCGCGCTGGCCGTCATCAAGCCGGTGCATGACACACATCAAGAAAAGGAGGGAAAGAAAGCTCCGATTCATGGAGACCCCAGCTGGGACCGCATCGAGATAAGAAGTACGATCTCTACATTCGCAGCCGAATACGAACAGTATACCGACTATCTATGGATGTATCTCGTCTTTGTTTACCTTTTCACCGCTCTTATACTATACTTGATTGTCTCGGAGACGAGGAGGATCATTGACATCCGGCAAGAGTATTTGGGGAGTCAGACAACCATCACCGACCGAACCATCCGATTATCGGGTATCCCTATTGATCTCAGGTCGGAGGACAAGATCAAGCACTTCATTATGGATCTCGGCATCGGCAAGGTTGAGAGTGTGACTCTCTGCAAGAACTGGAAAGAGCTCGACAGTAAAGTTATCGATAGACAAGCTGTCTTGCGGAAGCTGGAGGAAGCTTGGACTGTCTATCTTGGAAGCCGCAGAGTGGAACGAAGCTTAGAGACTCTTCCGGTGGTCCAGCCACGTCCGCCACAACATACTGAAAGTAGCGGCAACGACGAGAATGAGACAAGCCATTTCTTAAGCGACACAGATCGGGACTCTGACTACACCACCCCTCATGCTCAGCAGCGCCCGACAGCCAAGATTTGGTACGGCCGCTTTAAGCTGCGATACAAGAGAGTAGATGCCATTGACTATTACGAAGAGAAGCTGCGCAGGATCGACGACGAGATCCGCACGCTGCGCAAGAAAGACTTCGAACCGACTCCGTTGGCTTTTGTGACCATGGATAGCGTCGCGAGTGCGCAAATGGCCATTCAGGCTGTGCTTGACCCTTCGCCACTACAACTCCTAGCTCACAATAGCCCAGCACCACAAGACGTAGTCTGGTCGAACACTTATCTATCTCGTCGTCAAAGAATGTTTCGATCTTGGTCAATCACGGTCGCCATTGGCATTCTGTCCGTTTTCTGGACAGTTCTGCTAGTACCCATTGCTGGTGCTCTGAACACGTGCTCCATTCAGGAGGTTTTTCCCGGCCTGGCAAAAGTGCTGCACGACAACAAATTTGTAGAGTCCCTTGTCAATACTCAGCTTCCCACATTGGCACTCACTCTGATCAACGTAGCTGTGCCTTTCTTGTACGACTGTAAGTGTGCTAGTGCTGGATAGCCAAGGCCTGCGATGCTAACAATCTTCAGGGCTCGCCAATAAGCAGGGGATGATCTCACAAGGCGATGTCGAGCTGTCAGTCATCTCGAAGAACTTCTTCTTCGTTTTTTTCAACTTCTTCATCCTCTTCACTATACTGGGGACTGCTTCCAACTTCCTGACTATGCTTGAGCGCTTCGCCGAGAAACTCACGAGCGCTACACAGATTGCATACGCCTTGGCAACGTCGCTCTCGAACCTATTGGGCTTTTACACCAACTTCATCATCCTTCAAGCATTCGGACTCTTCCCGTTCCGACTTATGGAGTTTGGTGCCCTCTCTGTACCCGGTCTATCTAATTGGGGCCAAGACCCCCGAGATTACGCTGAACTGGTACAACCTCCGGTCTTCAGTTATGGGTTCTTTTTGCCACAAACCATTTTAATCTTCATCATCTGTATGGTTTACAGTGTGTTGAGAGACTCATGGCAGGTTCTCCTTGTCGGCTTGGCCTATTTCATGATCGGCCACTTCGTCCACAAGTATCAACTCTTGTATGCCATGGAGCACCGACAACACTCAACTGGCAAGGGTTGGACAATGATGTGTGATCGCGTTATTGTCGGTGTCGTACTCTTCCAAGTTACTGTTGCCGGTCAACTGGCTCTAAAGAAGGCGTTCAAGCGGGCTGTTATGGTAGCACCGCTAGTCGTCTGTACTTTGTGGTTTCTTGTTGTATTTGCGCGCACCTATCGACCACTGATGAAGTTTATCGCCCTGAGAAGCTTGCGAAGTCCGGAACAATCGGATCTTGGGCGCGACGTTCAGGAAGAAGCTGTCGTCAATAGGCCACTTGGGCGGAGAACTGCAGGCAGACTTACTTTGGACGAAGCCCGAGAACGCGGTCTGCGATTTGAGAATCCCAGTCTTATTATGCCGTATGTATATCTTATGCCATTATGTGCCGCTTTTACTGACCAACATGTTTAGTTTGGACGATGTGTGGCTACTTAACAGGCATGGTAGACCCCAGAACGGATCACATGGATCTGGGATCAACGATGCCAATGGTAGCTGGGAGTAGCCCATTCGGGCTTTCCTCAACAAGGCTAGGGATGCGCCTTCATGTATATGGTTCACAGTCTTGCCTTCTTGTACATTTTGTCGCTCTTTCTTAGTTTGTGTTCGTGATACCCACCATCGCAATGAATTTGGTTATGAGCCTACATCACCGGTACCTCACATTCTTTATTCACCCACCACAAGCACCCAAATCTTGTGGGACACTTTATCCATACTACGTCCCTTATCCTTTCGTCACTAGAAGATAGTCATATTCTCAACGTGGCTAGTACTTGTCGTGCTTACTCCCTGGCCAGCCTCACCAGCAAATCACCTCGGACCGGTGCACCTCCATCCTGGGGGTTGCTTCAACCACGTCTTCTCAGATATATCTCTCGCGTGGGGTAGCCGGAACTAAGTCTGAGCCAGCGCTTCCTGTATTCAACATTGAACCTCTCCAGATAGCCTCATTCTTCGAATCTCCAACCACGCGAAGACTGTCTCTCACTCCGCCCCGTTCCTGCCACCGCGAACGTATGCCATACACGCTAGACCCTGCAATGACGACCCCACTATTGGCTGAACCAAGCCTATCACAAACCATCCCACAGCAGGTGGTCTCCCCGATCACTACACGGGATGCACAACCGCCAGCTCCAAAACGCTCCGAAGTTCTCCGTCATGTCTTTCCCCGACCTTCACGAAGCCACAATCCTCATAACCAAAAAAACGTACCTCGTGTCGCCAAAACCAATCGTGCCAACACCGCGCTCGCGTCTCGGCTACAGTCTAGACCGCGAGTCGCTTTCCAAAAATACATCACATACTTCTTCGGCAGTGCCCATGGCCGTAACATGGTCGCGGATAGTCCTGAGGCAAGGTCTCGGGCATCTAGCTTTGGGTCCAGGCCGGGGTCCTCCTTATATGGTTCAGTACCTAGCCTGGATGTCGTCTCACCTGCCGCATTCATGTTCAGTGGACCAAGTCTCCGGTCTGTGGGGTCTTATAGCGACTCAATGTCTCGCCTCCCAAGTCTTGCGGAAACAACTAGCGATATACAACTGATGCGTCGCGCACGAACCGACTCTTTCTCAATGCTCGACAGTGCCAGTGTCATTCAGGATGCAATCTTCGAGCCTGGTGTCGACGAAAGCATAACTCGCACTGTGAATGATGTCCTGCTTGGTGTTCACACACAAACCGAAGAAATTGAAAGCCCTCTGCTCATTACGCTCGAGGATGGTTCCTCCATCTTTACTGGCGCACAAAGTCATGTCATGTGCAGTAGTAGTCTCCATCCTATCAGACACCCCGCCACCTCTCCTGTGTGCACTTTTGCCACACTTCTCTTACCATACTTGGATACAGCTGCATGTAATGCATTGAGACTGACAAATCTTGCCTGGTATCTCGCTCTGAGCGTCGCAGCACCACCGATATTTCCGAAATCGTATCACCTTCCAGTCGAGATACTTCAGCACGTATACGATTACCTCAGCCCAAAGGACTTCAATGCCGTGCGTCATACCTGTCGACACTGGATGCAAGCAAGTCTTGACAGGAAACTGCTGCGTACGATGATAGGCAGAGGTGGCTGGCTGAGTGGCACCGAAAACACCAACTGTAGAACACGCGGTACTTCTTCTGGTCCCATTATAACCACTGTTTCGCAAAGTGAGGAATGGTCACTCAGTAGGCACCTTTCTCGGCAGTGTGCTTTATCGTCTGGGTGGACTGGAAACGGACTGGACACTAGAGCCGCCATCATGGAAAGCTCCGACATTGACTTTGCTGAGCTAGCCGACGGATATGCAAATGGTTTGATATTTGCCACAAGCCTCTGTGGCCGCTTTTTGTGCGTAGCACGAGAAACCCTGATCTACATCTACGTTCTAGAGAGGGGCGTTCCAGTCCCTATCACAAGCGTCGTGTGCCCAAGAAGGGCCCTCGAAATGAAGATGGACGTCTCCTCTGGTCGACACACGATTGTGGCCCTTCTCGAAGGACGCATGGGCCTGGTTTGCGAGCTTCAATATGGTCGCACAGTTAGAGGCAACGGTCCTGTTGAGGTTCACGTTGACATTGATGGACCAGAGAGGGGGACCACATCGGCATCCATACAGACCAGCTGTGTCAACGACTATGAAACTGGTACTAATTTCCAAGGACGCAGCATGGCTCGGACACATCGTCTGTTCGTTCAGGAGCGAGATCCTGCAAGCTCCGACACGATTAGCGTACGATCGAACAACGAGCACATCAACCTCCAGAACACCAATGATTGTCGGACGTACGATCAACACTTCATCAACTATACATGGACCCTCAACTTATCCGGGCCTTCACGAAGGCGGTCAACACAGGCGAATTGTATTCCCCACTCATGCGTTCACAGCGTCCCAGTTGAAAGTGGAACGACAACAATCTACCGCCACCTGTGCGCTGAAGATGATCCACCACGCAGTGTTTCTATCTGCCCACAACGTCGCTGCGTCGCTTTCGGTTGTTCCGCGGGCATTGAGTTACACTGGATAGATGCGCTCACGGGCCAAAGTCTGAGCCGTTAGTTTCCGCTCACAGCGCCAAGTTAGTATACATTTCTTGCATCTATTATTCGACTAACATCCAGCAGGCGACCATTTGTACTTCCTTTCGCCACGACCAGGTTTCGAGTCGGCCAAGAAACTCCGTTTAATCTCCAGTGCAGCTCATCCAGAAGACAGACCTGCCATTAGCCGCAAGCTTTTCGGTCGGCCCACTATGAGCGCTTTCTGGGGTTCTTTCGGGTTTGAATCTACGTCACACCGTCCAGGCTCACCCAGCTGCGATCACTATCGTGCTATCCCTTTGAGCGACGGATATCACATTCTATTCATCGATCCCTCCACTGGCCTACTGAAGCTAAGCTGTGACGCGCCGCTTGGTGGACCCACGAATCTCCTTCGCAAGATCACACTCGTCCCGCCAGAACAGAACATGGTGCCAAGACTGTATAGTGCGGCCGCGGACTTGTCCCAGGGTGTCCGCATCGTCGTGACTTATGGCGACAGCCTCGTGTTATACAGCATACCCCCGGATGTCATTCAACTATCGCAGATGGAGCAAAACGCTAAGTGCTGGGATGCCTACAATGCTTCTACGAACCCAACACTGAGGCGCCAGAGGGATCATTGGCTCAACTAGTGGGATGAGCCATCCTACTGCGAACCATCGAATCAACGCGAAGGTGAAAACAACAGCTCTATATGGCCTCTTGCTATCCGCGGTACAGAAGTCGGAAGATTGGCAGGCGTCTGCGAGCTCGCGATACAAACTCAGCCGGAGATCTTGGTCTGGGCTTTCACGCATACGTCGAAATGCAAAACCTGGCGTCTATGCAATTACATCGATCCTGTTCTTGTTGACAAGAGTCTTGTCTGCCGAAACGGCATTGTACATGATGCCTTCTCTGTCAATGGATCCGGAGATGTCATCATGACAGACGCATCACACGCTTTACCCATCAACGGATCCATTGATCTCCACGTAACGGGTGAAGATACCGAGATACCTCAAGCAGAGAGGTCAGTTCTCGTTGGGTTCGATGGGAATAGTTCTGGCATCTTGAAGAGGATACCGAAAGCACTGGCTGTGGAGAATGATGAGTGGGTGGATTACTTGGATGCAAGAGGTTGTTCGGAGGCACGGTATCAGGCCAATGGCGATGTGAACATGTGGTATGGGACTCGAGACTCTGGGTACAGGGAGGAGGATGACGATGGTGAAATTCAGTAAGCGTGATTAGGAATTGAGACGTACATTAGACGTACGACTATTTCTACCAAATCCTAGTACCTAGCTAAACCCTATAACACAACGACCATCTCTCGGAAGAACAAGCTCTAGATCAACATAATATCTTTGCTTCACAACTTCAAGCCGTCACATTCTTTTCACAAACATGCAACTGCGCGTGAAACATAGTATCTACATACATGCCTTTCCTCCACAACTCGATAGCGTATGCACATATCTCAACTTCCCACCCTCAACTCTGAACTCATGACTATCCGGCAAACCATCAGCTCCAACCTGTCCCTGAATCCCTCCAAAATCCATGATGATATCCACAGTCCCATACTCTTCATCAATAACATACTGTCTGTTTACCAGTGGCACACCACTTGGAACACCAACGTCGCACCTATCAGTCGCTTCGCCTTTACCCGTGTACGCGCCGCCCTCAAGACGAGCACATGGGGAACCCCACGGTACTTTGACGCTTTGGTTGTTGAACAAGTCGGCGTAAGCGTCCCCTGCTGCTTTGATGACAGCACGCGAGTCTCGCTTTGCGGCAGGGATAGCGTCCCACTTTTCGTGCGTGGCCCAGTAGTATGTTCCTGTAACGTTGAACAACCAGTCTCCTTTGCTCGTCCAGATAGTGTCGATCTGCGACACTTTGGTGGAGTTGTCGAGGCGCAGTTGCGTTGCGATTACGTATGGTGCGGCGGTATTGGTGACGATGAATTCACTAAAGGCGGCGCACTGGGTGGTGTCAAGTTGAAATCGAACGTGGTCGATTTTCATGGGCTTGGAGAGGATGCCCTTCTTGATGTCGACGCTCTTGCGATTTTCCGTGTAGGCCACAGTGCTTGACAGGGAATTGAAGCTTGTCTGTCCTGCAGTTTGAGCGGCGAGAAGCTCATCAGTCACGGCTTTGAGCGCTTCACGAGTGCATGCTGCGTGGGTTTGCGTTGCGAGGATGCTGAAAATAGTGATAACGAGGTTACGCATCTTTGTTAGTAATGCGTGTCAGCGTCGAATAGACTTTTCTTAACCGAGTTGATATGTTGAATTTACTCGCGTTATGAATAGCGCTTGAAGTTCAATGCCCTCTCCCTTCAGATGGGGCCTTCTCTTCAACCAATAAAACCCGTGAACGATATTAATACACCCAAGTCCGGCAGTTAGCGATCCATGCATAGGTGTAATATATACACATTTTCCAGATTGTATGGAGAGGGGAAGTATTGCAAATCTTTTGTACTATGATCTCATGGGGTGGGGAGTTGGAACTACCAGATGATACCTATTCCATCCTGCAATGCTTTAGCGGCAGTTCATATACCACATGTTGATGAGAACGTGCAGCTGAAAGTGACCCCACTGATGCAAGCCATCCATCCTTGTTTGGACGGCACTTCTGGATGATTGATTGGCTTTACAGCCTGAGTCCTAGTGTCGAGAGTGCTTGAGTAGATGGAGCTAGGGAGACGATGAACAGTGAACGTCGTCTCTTATCCACCTTCGAACAGGACCGGTTCCGTAACAGCGCCCATCATCGGCGTGCCCAATTTCTTTACCTCGCTAGCAAAAGACATCTTAAAAGTCTCACTGGGCCGATATTGATACAAGGTAGCTGAAAATTCCGTGAGCTTGCTGTCGACGATTATAGCTCCATCAAGCTGAGAAAAATCCACCTCTTCATCGTAGGTTGTATCAGAGACTGTGAACCATATCGATATATCCTTCGCCTTGCCTGTCCTCTCCAGGTACTGCTGTATCTGCACAAATGCAGCAATGTCCTCTGGAACGGGTGCGTAGTAGATCGATGTCGATCCCGGACCAGAGGGTGTCCAATGGTCGACAAATTCTTGAAGAACAATGTCGGCATGACATGCCTCAGCGAAGCAAAACAGTCCCGACTTGCATGCAAGTTGTGAAGAAGATTCAGAAATTATCACCTAGAAGCTTCCGAATTGATCTCTTCGATGCCTTCATGAAGAACCTGCTTGCACGTCAAAAGCCAAAAAGGCAATGCAAAATTCTTCTTTGTCTGGCTGTATTTGTAGGCGTCCTTGGTATGCCATACGTCGACACAGTCGCCAGCATTATAGAGCTCCCTGCCGTAGGGGGTATGCCCCCAAAGAGAGCGATACACTTGATCCCGGAGTTCGCGCGGAAGATGGAGGAAGTTGATCGGCACGTCACGCGGGGGTTGGGTTGGCTTTGTTTTTCCGTACGGGTCTGCTGATATCTGGTTGTTGGTACTGCCGCCGATGTAGGGGAAGAGTCGTGGAGTAGCTCGGTAAAGTGGAGGTTCGGCTAGCAGACGAGGAGAAGCAATTCCAGGCGAGAGGCGTAGGAGCTGTGCTGAAAGGAAATGTTGGGGTTGGAGTAAGCGTTCTTCCCGTCTGTTCAGTTGCGTCATTGGACCCCTATTGGGCGTCAACGCGCCTCGGTGAGTCCGCGGTCGCCTTTTCGAAAATATCTAGAAAGCTACACGCAGTTGTAGCGTACCATTTCCTTGGCACACACTATCTACCAACATGTTGCTTCCCAATGCTTCCCGTACTCTTCTCCGACGAATATTGCTTTCGCGTCTTCGAAAAACTGGAGCCTACCTGTTGATCCCGATCAACATAACGGCGCCTAAGATCCTAGCATTACCCTGCGCCAATACCACCGGACCGCCGACGTGATCAATGCGGTATCGACACGGGCGCGGTGTGTCAGCCCACCAGAGCAGAATGCAAAATGACGCTGTCCGTTTCCCAACATGCTGCCGGTAGCAGTCATAAGCACTTACCAAACGGGATAATGATCCAAGCTCGGACATACGACGTTTTCGAGCATCACGACCGGACGAAGAAACACGTCTTGCATGGGCTTCGTATCCCTATTTCTACATGGTTTCAAGTGGCTCGTGACGGGCTAGAGACCGGAAACAAAGCAAAGATGCTATAGCCGGCAACAAAGAAGCAAAGTGGTGGAAGCTCGCTGCAAACATGACGCGCCCATAGTAGGAGAATATCGAGAATGCTGCTCCTGCAACGGTCTCGCCGAAATTCCTTCTTTCGACCTCACAAAGTCCTGCTGCTGCGCCTTGATATTGAGGATTTTAAGACCGGGAGTTGTGATAACGAAGTGGATGAAGCGAGATTGAAAAGCCGACTGGCCCTGATTGCGACTGACCATGTAAGTCCAGACGCAAAGGACGGAACAATGAATACTCTGTACACCGACTGAAAAGCACTACCATGAGCTGGAAAGTCTGGCAATGTAAGCGAATGCCAACCAACTTGGTTCGGCTGATCTCCAGGAGCCGAGCTGACACTGAGAGCCGAGCGTAGATCGATCGAACGCCTGCCATGTGTTGAGACGCACGTAGAGGGAAGCTAGCTGGCCAACCCCCAGATCTCCCGTACACGATTACGCGTTTGCAGGCGGGGTGAACAGAACGTTAGGATTGAAGCAGACGAGAGGTTGGAATTAATGAGGGGCGGGAGCGCTAACAGAGACGGTGTCATGTCCCGCAGTAAAGCTGCAGCGCTGGATCGAAGACAAGTTTAGGGTGCAGCCAACAGTGAGCGCCCGGGAGGCTGGCGAGCCGCGTTCAGCTCATGCAGCCGCAGAAGCGCAGCAAATTGTAGAACAAGAAACCACTCTTGACAAAGCGCGTCACAGGTGCCGGAAGCAGGTCGGAGTACTTTGCCTTGCGAAACGATCACGATGTACAGGTAATCATGACGTCCCCCAGTCAGCGGTCGAGAAGAGTCACAGTTCACGGGTTGATGCTCTGCTTCAGATCTGCGAGGTTGGTATTGGCTTGCATGCGTGTAGCCATAAGGAGAAATACCTAGTAGCGGCCTGCCCGGGGGCAGCGTCTGTGCTTTCATGATGGCAACATTGGCAGCCTCCTGAAATCGATCTGGGAGCAAAATCATCCCAAGCAATGTATGCGCCCAACAACATATCAGCTAAGCGACTTTGAAGTCTAAACAGGCTTTCTTCTCTTAGCTAGACGTTATTAAGACGGGAACCCAGCAGGGGTTACGACAAGTGCACCGGGCGTGGGCGATGTTTTCGCACTGGGTAGCGAATATGCAGGCAGCTGCATGTTAGGCACGAGCAAGAGAAGTGCCCGCGCGGCGAGGCGTCTCGCAGAAGTGTCATCTCGGAGTCTGCAGGCTGAATGGAGAATCACGTACCCTGGCCTGCAGAAATCACAAGCAACGACTGCCCTGGTGTGGCTCGACTCGTAGCCATTCAAGCTTCCATGGTGTCTACTGAGCAGAGCCGCTAGGCAGATACGGGCTACCCATAATTTTGGCTTGACGGTATCGCGCCGACCGCGGGCATGGACCGTGAGAGTCTGTTATGCTGTGGAGCAGTGTAATACGAAGGGTCTCTTGTGTTCCAAGGCCGAAACACCAGGCGCAGCGAGGAGCAAGTGGAAAGGTGACGATGACGTCGAACGGGCTGCGCGTCAATACCGTCGATCAGCTGTTGTTATCAGGTAGCGAAGAGAGAGCGTGCGTCCCTGGAGAGACCATCGTTGAGGAGTTCTCTTAGTCTAGCCGTCTAATTTTGGCAGGAGGGTCCCGGACATGGATCATGGTCGGACTAGGAGGCTACACTACGGTACCAGCACCCTCGACCAGTAGTTTGCGGCCGTGGGTTCAACGTGTAGGGCACATGTCTGAAGCTGCACGGAATTGTGGCAGCGATGTGCAAGACAGCATAAGTCGCACCAGAGTTGATTGCGCCATTGGCAAACTTGCATGGCTGTCAAGACTAGAATATACATGGCAAAACCCAACAAGGCAGTTCATGGCCGTTCTATTGGGCGCTATACCCACTGCGGGAGGATGCCATTGGTTCGGTACCTAGGTAGATGCAGGCCCGGCCGAGCGAAGAGGGCAGTTGAGTGAAGGATGATCGGACGGCGCACTCCTTACTATGGCTTTGTGCCATCCGTGCGCGCCCTTATACTCGTTCATCGTCCAGCCGTTTTGTCCGCGCGTGCACACAAACGACATCATCGCTGTCTCCGCTGTCTGCAATTAGACATTGTCGTTCGTTGAACAGGTGCTGCTGCTGCTACCCGCCTCGTGTCTAGTAAGTCGCACACCCAACCCACCCCCATCCCGGGCCTCGGAAGGATTCAACGACGCCGCACTCGACACCGACAAGCGGTCCAGGCGATGCGCTGGGAAAAGGCAAAGGCGGAAGTTGCCACGACAAGATTTCCTGCCACCTCTGTATCGGCAGAGAATCCCTCGAAGCGCATAATAATATCAATACGCGGCTAGATCGACACGGCCCTGACGTTGAAACGCGGTAATACGAAGTTGCCCGTCGACGACACTTCCGACTCAGCTTTCCCACCACCACTCGCCGCGCCCGCTCACATAATCTCTCGACACAGCGCCGCCAGCACGCTGCACCGCCATTTGCACACAGAGCAGAGCTAATTCCTGACACATAGATTGTCCCATCCATTCGTTCTCTGCCCATCACCCGTTTGGCTTATTCGTGACCGCCGCGCATCGCTCCTTCCCCGACCACGACCGCCGCGCATCGCACGTTTTGGGGTACATGATATTGTCCATAACATCAAGATAGGCCGCTCGAGGCATTGGTCGCTGTTTCTACTTGGACAAAAAAATAACAATATCAGCAACATGGGCAAGCCAGGCCTAGGGATATTCACCGCCCGCCGTAAGTCTCAGGGCAATGCATTCGAGGAAGTCGATATCGCAACAAGTCCTGAGACTATAACGGCGCCCTCTGATTCTGGTGGTTTCCGGGTGCTGAGCAAGACGGAGGTAGAAAAAGCAAAAGAGCAGCGCAAGACACAGGAAAAAGAGAGGTCGTCCAAGTTTCCTCGTTTCAGTGGCTTTAGCAATGCTGGCAGCAAGAACCGCAACCAGTCCGTAGACGATGAGTCTCCAGGATCTTCAAAACGGTAAGCTTCGTATCCGCTAGTCATAGCGTCGGCCGGACTGACCCTTTAATTAGCGACAGCAAGTCCAGCAGTGGGACTCAATTTTCCAATTCGAGACCCTACGCCAATGGCCAGCATGGCTCGACCTCTACACTTCCTTCTTCCACGGACACCAGCTCCGACGACAACCTCTTCACTAACATACCTCGACCGACCGTCTCTCAACACAACAGCTCCCCTGCCCCGTCTTCGGTAGGCGCCCTCCGTAAGAACTTGCCCTCACTACCCAAGTCAAGCTCCGGCGTGTCATCATACAAGGATCTGTCAGGGTCAGGGTGGAGCGGCAGAAATCGGGCTATGACCACCTCGAGCTACGCGAGCACAGCAGTTCCGCCGAAACTCGAAGGAGACCTGAACTTCGGCGGCTTTGAAGACGACATGTTTAGCCATTTAAGCCGCAAGGAATCTCCCGAAATACCACGGGAGACTGCGGGACGCTCACTCCTTTCGGAAAAGCGCACGTTCCAGGCAGAACCTATTAAGATACCACCACCCTCTGGCATCGAAGCGCCGTTGAAGAGTTGGGACAGCCGCAACTCAACTGACAACCTAATGGCTTCTCCAAAGTCGGATAATGACTCGCCGCCCCCGCCCCTCCTCCACACAAGTACTCCTCATATGCGCCGGTCGCTTCGGAAAGCCCTACCTTCCATCCATCGTCTACTTTCGAAGATGCCGATGCTCAATTCGTACGCAAATCATACACAGATAGAAAGTCGTACCGGGAAAGCTCTCCAGAACAACAACCCAACTCCACCTCTTCGTCGTCTGCCAACTCCTACCAGACCCCCTATTCCTCTCGATCGGCCACAGCTACGAGCACCACCACGAATACAACACCAAAAGCTTCTCTCGCACCGACTGCCTCACCCTACAACGATGCTGAGGAAGATGACCTGTTCGCACCTTCGAAGCCTGCCCCCAATCAAGAAGTTCCAACAGCGAAAAAGCCTGCGGCTCTACCCTCCAACAGCAACGCTACAGCGGCTGCCACTACAGCGGATGGAAGGCGTGTGATGTCGCAAGCCGAATTTAGGGAGTACCAAAAGAGGCAGATGAATCAGCCACCGCCAGAGGAAAGCTCTGACGACGAAGACTACGAGGATGAGGAGGATGCTATCAAAAGGCGAGAGGAAGAGGAACTGATGAGGCGCAAGAACCAGCAAATGCATTTTGCCCGGGAGGCCATGCGACGTTCCACCACAGCTCCTGGGGCTCCTACAGACCCGGGAGCAGATCATATGGGCTTCCCATCGGAAACGTCGATGAAGGCCGAAGAGTGGGAAGATGAGGATGTACCGTTGGGTATTCTTGCCCAACACGGCTTTCCAAGTCAGACTCGCAACAGGTTTCCCAGTCAGCCAACAAACTCCATGCCCTCGTATATACCCGATCGTCCAGCCTCTGCGGGTGCCATGAGCCAACGCGGCGTTTCCCAAGCGAATCTGCCGGCCTTTGCGAGACACTTGCCTCAGGATCCGTACAACTCCTCTTTCATTGGAGGGGGCTTGGTCCGGCCGACAAACCGCGAGTCGATGGGGTTCAATGGTTTTGCGCGGGGTCCTGGATCAGTCGTAGGCGGGTCAGTTGCTGGTGACATGGGCATGAGCCCTGGCATGATGTACCAAGATGCTGGTATGTCGCAGCCTTCGCTCGTGGACCAGATTCAGATGCGAGATATGACCAAGCAAAAGTACATGGGTGGCGCTTCAGCAAAGAAACCCGTGGGTGGACCTTTTACTGGTGTCCTCGGCCAGCAAATGAACGTGAACGGGCAAGTCCAGAACTCCACACGGATGTCACAAACGCCCATGATGAATGGCATGGGCGGCATGAACGGCATGAATCCCATGATGAATCCCATGATGAGTGGGCAAATGCCGATGCAGGGAATGGGTATGGGCATGGGCATGGGTCAGATGGGATACCCAATGCAGCAAGGCAACGAGTACATGCAGCAGATGCAACAAATGCAGCAGATGATCGCCATGCAGCAAATGCAGCTGCAGATGATGCAGCAGCAACCCCAACAGCAAGACCCAAGGATGTCGATGGCAATGCCCAACAACGGTTACGCGGCTAGTACTATGGGCAGCGCAATGGGCGGCGCAGGCTTCCTAAACGTACCAAATGGGCAGAATCGACCAATGTCATTCATGTCGACCAACGGGAACCAACAACAGCAGCGCTCCATGTCGTTCATGGGTCCACATCCAGGGTACACTCCCTCCATCGCACCATCCGAGCGTTCTAACATTGGGCTGTCCGCTAGGTACCGTCCCGTCGTCAACCAGTCCGATGCCGTCTCCAACGGAACGTCCATGACGCTACAAGCCTCGGGCGGCGCAAACCAGAACCGGACCAACACCATCAAGGGCATTCTCAAGAAGGGTAGCCCAGGACCGCAAATGAACGCTCCCCAGACAGACGATGCCGATGAAGACTGGGGCAAGATGGCAGCACGCAAGAACAAGTCAAAGGGCAAGGAGAACAACAGCTCAGGCCTTGAAGATCTCACTCGCGGTCTCGACATTTAGGTGTTGTTACGCACATTCGCAACGCTCATAAGACGCACACGCAAACCTTTTCTCTTATCGTAACAACAGACGCATTACTTTAGAAACGCCGTAATACGGATCTCATGGTTCAAAGGGAAAAGAAAGAAGAAACGAGTCCCGATATTTTCTCATTCCCCCACAAATTTTCTTCAAGATATATGGAAGCGATTTAAGTGGCCCATGGCCGAAATTCTTGTATTCTCTTTTTTGCATCTACTGGCGGCGTTTTCTTCTTTTGTTTACCAAGAGAGTACTATCGCGTTGTTTGATAAGGGAAAACATACATGTTGCAACTTTAGGCGCGCCCATACTTTCTTCTTACCCCTTCTTTCTTCTCGACTTGGCTACCTTGGCCGTTTATCTTGCATTTACCGAGAAATGTATTCACATTAGGGCATTTGTGGCGTGGGGTAAATTGGGAATGATCTATCAATCTTTGTTTTTATCTTTGCATCAAAGCGTTCGGTGTTGTGCTTTGGTCGACACTGGAGCGGAACGGACGGCATGGGGATGGGGATGGGATGGGAAACAGCTATGGGAGGATCGGATCCTCTTGTAATAATAATACGGATATATACCCTGTGCAAATATCTGCATTTGAATCTTCACTCCAACTCCTTGACTTGTGTATAAACGATTTTGCCCATGTTCTTGCATTATGATGATTGATGATTGATGATTGATGATTGATGATTAATAAGTCACTTGGAATGGTATCTAGCAACTGTGCTGGACACTTGTCCAGATATGCCTCCAGGTGTCTACACCAAAGACGCCCAAAACGCCGCCGTTACGTGACGATTTCAGTCACTCGTTGAACATGGAGTCTTTACCGCTCAGTCTTGCCGTCTCTGTCCAGCAGCTCCCGCGCAGCGATAATCTCCGCCTCGTCATAGCCTTGCCAGCCCTTCTTTCCCGACTTGTATAGTCTTATAATCTCCGCGAGCTTGTTCGTAGCAATCTCTTCTAGCTTCTTTACGGTTTGGGCATTGGGCATGGGGATGTCGTCTTCTTCTTGTGTGTTGCGCTTGGGTGCTGAATCGGAGAGGGTGTCATTGAGCTTTGAAGTGAGGAGCTTGAGGCCGTAGTAGCCACGTAGGTAGCCGTCGTTGAGCTCGACGGAGCGGCAGAAGTGCTTTAGTGAGAGGGCTAGAGAACTGAGGTTGGGTGGGTTATTGGAGGCTGTGGAGAGGTAGTATAGTGTCGCGATGTGTGCGTGTGCCTGAAGCGTTGGTTAGTAACATGCCAGGTGATCTGGGTAGTGTGGTACTTACACTCCATGCGTTCGGCGTGATGAGCAAAACCTCTTCTGCGCAGTATATGGCCTGCCCCCAAGCTGCTTGACTCGCATACAGCTCACTCGCCTCAGCCCATGCCTCGGCATCCGTTGGACTGTTCTGCAAGAGCACCGTCACCGCTGTAATCGCATCGCCTGTCCTCCCCAGCGCCTTGAGCACAGCCACCCTCCTCTTCCTGATGCTCATGTTGGTGGGGTCGTCCCTAAGTATCTTCTCATACGCCTCGAACACTTTTTCTAGATCCGCGTCCGACTTGGACGTCGCCTCGTTGTAGATGCCGCGCAGTGTGATGATGCGCTCGTTGTGATCGCCGAATCGGGCTTCCAGCCGCTGCAAAATGGATAGAGCGGCATTCTCGTCGCCAGTGCGGAGTGTAGAGAGGAAGAGGTTCTCGTGGATGGTCCATGTTTCGGGTGTCTCACGGGAGAAGAGGAGAGAGAGGGGCCATGGGAGGTTCGACGTTGGTGTTGTGGAGAGGACGAGGGGAGCCTTTTGGGAGAGCGCAAGGGCGGTTGGCGGTGGTATTTGTGCGGGTGGAGAGAGGAGGTTGGCTTGTGTCATCTTGGCGAGTGCTTGCGTCGAGGACGGGTGTGGAGTGCGTGTCAATGGCGACAATGTGTCTGGAGAAGCATGTGGAGTTAGGTAAGCCGTTGGGGATGCTGCTGTCCCAAGCTTCCGCCGGCGAAACTAGCGGGCGTTCGGTAGTCTCCACTCTGCAATCGACCAAGTGCACGTCAACATTCCTGACACTCGTAACATTCGCTTTCCCTGAAGACGGGCCATTATACCCCGAGTTCGCGTCGCTAAACATCTGCTCCATGACGACCGCATCCCAATGACGATGCCTAGTGGCCCACCACCTTCACCCTCACGCCGCCCATCTACCCCTCCACGCGCGCTTCCATACCTAGACACACGACTGCGCGACGCTACCTGAGCGATACCCAGGATGTATGGCTCTTACTAGATTCCTCACTACCACGTGCATTGGTGGCTGACAATCTGGCAGGTTCGAGAAATCCCTCTTCGACCTCATTCGGGGCCTCCGAAATCATAAAGGCAACGAGCGCGAATACATTGCCGAGAGCATAAAAGAATGTCGCAAGGAAATACGGACCAACGATATGGACCTCAAGGCCACCGCACTTATGAAGCTCACATACCTTGAGATGTTCGGCCACGACATGTCTTGGGCTAGCTTCAACGTCCTCGAGGTCATGTCAAGCTCCAAGTTCAAGCAGAAGCGCACTGGATATTTGGCCGCAGTACAAAGCTTTCGACGTGATACAGAGGTCCTAGTGCTCGCGGAAAACCAACTGAAGAAGGACATCATGAGTTCGAGCCCACAATACATCGCGCTCCCGCTAGGCGCTATACCACACGTCATAAACCCGAGCATGGCCAACTCAGTCCTTTCCGACTTGATACCGCGATTGACGCATTCGCACGCAATGGTCCGGAAGAAGACGGTAGTAACGTTGTACCGCTTGGCTCTTGTGTATCCGGAAACACTACGACCCGCATGGCCCAAGATCAAGGAGCGCTTGCTAGACGATAACGAAGATGCGAGCGTGACAGCGGCAATCGTAAATGTCGTCTGCGAGCTGGGATGGAGGCGACCACAAGACTTCCTACCGCTTGCACCAAGATTGTTTGATCTCCTGGTAGAGGGCGGGAATAACTGGATGGCTATCAAGCTTATCAAACTTGTGAGTGCTGAGACAGTACTAAAAAGAGCTTGAACTAACCAAACTTAGTTTGCAACATTGACTCCGTTAGAACCTAGACTCATCAAGAAACTGCTACCTCCGTTAACTAAGATTATACGGGAGACGTCTGCTATGTCATTACTTTACGAATGTATCAGTGGTATCATTCAGGGTGGCATCCTAGAAGCCGTAGAAGGTACCGTAGAAGGCGAGGAGGTAGCAAAGCTATGTGTCGGCAAACTACGAGGCATGATGATAATAGAAGGAGATGCAAACCGTAAGCTAATGTACACTGTTGTTCAACGTTCCGCTTCTCATCAATCTGCAGTAAAATATGTCGCATTACTCGCCTTCGAAAAGATCGTCAAATCACATCCATACTTGGTTTCTCAGCAGCAAGATGTTATTCTTGAATGCATCGATGATCCAGACATCTCGATACGAATGCGTGCTTTGGATCTGGTGGTTGGTATGGTCAATCCAGATAACCTTACAGCAATTGTGGGACGATTGATGCGACAACTTCGGAATGCACCGATCGCCACAGCGGCAAGCGATCCCAATAGCGACCGGGCCAGACTTACTGGCATAACGCCTTACGGTGATGACGACTCAGACACAGAAGAGACTCTGCCGCAGCACGAACAGAAATCCGACCAACCGCCGCCGCTGCCAGACGACTATCGAATCAGCGTCATCAAGAGGATACTGGAGATGTGCTCACGCGACACCTACAGCAATATCACTGACTTCGAATGGTACATTGACGTCCTTACTCAGCTTGTCAGGGTATCACCGGCAACAAAAGTAGCCTCGGTTATGGAAGAGGAAGAGGAAATGGAACATTCAGATGACGTTGGTGGTGGCATTGGACACGAGCTACAGAATGTTGCTATACGTGTCAAGAGTGTTCGGTCGGAAGCCATAGATGCTGCACAGTCACTCGTGCTTGTTGATCGGAGAGACCAAATGTTCCCAGCATCCGGCAACGGCGGTCAAGGTGTATTGGAATATGCTGGCTGGCTCGTTGGAGAGTACGCCAACTATCTTACTCGCCCAGAGCCGGTCATGACCTCCCTGCTACACTCCTCTTCTCTTCAACTATCTTCGAGAACGCTCGCTGTGTACCTGCAAGCGATACCCAAGGTCTTCTCTAGTATGGCTGGAAACGATCAGGTATCATGGACTCCAGAGCGCAAGACGCTGATGTCACTTCTCATGGCCCGAATCATCCATTTCCTCGAGCCGCTCTCTACGCACCCTAGTCTTGAAGTCCAAGAACGAGCGGTTGAGTACCTTGAACTCATGCGGCTCGCTGCAGAAGCCGCGTCCGGTACTGCTGCTAGCGCAGACCAGGACACGTTTACCGATCCACCTTTGTTACTTACACAAGCTATACCTGCATTATTCTCTGGTGCTGAGCTGAACCCGGTTGCTCCTGGTGCTCAACGCAAGGTTCCATTGCCCGAAGACCTAGATCTTGACACACCAATCAACCCCAATCTACAGCATCTACTTTACACAGCTGACGCGGAAGGTTTTGAAACAGAAGAAGACGATGTCTATGCAGCCTACTCGGAGCCCCCAGCAGCGTATGCGGAAGCTCCTGTCGTTGCTGCACCGGCTGCAGATCGCCTTGATGCCCCGCATAAGGAACCTACATCATACCAGAACGCAGCTGAGGATGAGTATCTGGACGCTGATATCATTGCGCGTCGGAAAGCAGAAAGGAAAGAACGCTACAAAGATGATCCGTTCTACATCGACCCCGAAGCGGATAAAGGCAGCGGCGCAGTCACACCACTTAGTAGAATTGTCCGGGATGGCAACAGAGAGAACAACGAGTTGGACATTGATTCGATTCCGATCATGGAACTCAACCTTGACAGTAAAGGATCATCTTCCGAGCATCTACCACGATCTCGGAGTCCACGCAAGCCGGTGCGAAGGATCGATATCATGGGCGATGAAACGCTTGGGCCTGCAGCACCAGACGCATCAAGAGACGACATTGTGCGGCCACAGCCAGGAAAGGCTAAGAAATCATTGTTGGATGTGGACAGCTCTGGTCTTGCGGCATTGAGTCTTGATGACGAAGGTACATCGAATCGCAAGCTTACACAGCTCGATATCGAAAGAAAGGCTCAAGAAGACGCGGAAATGAAGAAAGCACTTCAAGAAGTTGAGCGATTACGGCTTGAAATGCAGCGAGCGAGCGAGAGGCTGCACGTCAAAGAAGAGGTCGCGGTCAAGAAGAAGAAGAGAAAGGTCAGGAGGGTTGCTGTTGAAGGAGACGAGCCAGCTGAAACGCCAACATTAGAAGCAGAAGTCGGGGAAGATGAAAAGGCAGCGCCTATCAAGAAAAAGAAAAAGAAGAAGGTCAAGCCTGAGGGCCAAGACGAAGGCGTTGTTGAAGGCACAGCTGAGGGTGAGGAAGAAGGCAAGGCCAAGAAGAAGAAAAAGAAGAGGCGGACGGTGGTCATGGATGAGAGTGCAGATGGGCCTGAGGAGTAGTGGTTCAAGAACGCTGCAATGTGTGGGTTGATCTTGAACAAATAAGATTCCGAAATCTCAATACCATGAAATCGGCTATTCCAAGCCCCCTTAATGCCGCAATACCTCCTCTATAACGCCGTATGCCCTATGTGATTGACGCAAGAAAGTGGCCTAAAGGCCGATTGCTCCCTCAAGTTCTTCCAAACTTCTCCCTTCCTCGTTCTCCTGCATGTGTAGGACTTATATCCCAAAACCCAATGTCTCCATATTCCAAAGTCGAAATTGAGGTTGAAGTCGTCTCGCGCGTTCATTCGACGATCGCTCGCATCGCATTACTCTGGCTTTCTAAAAGAAGAGCTTAAGGACCTCAAACAGAAGACCACCGACTAGTATGAAGGCAAGAACAACTGCAGACATGTTAGTCTCCCATACGTTCAGGTTGAAGGAGAGAAGGGACGTACCGATCCAGAACCTGCTAATAGGGCTCTTCTGAGGCGCCTTCTTCTTCACTATAGGCTCCGTTGACACGGGCTGGCCCATCCTCTTCTCCTGGGCCTTGGCGAAACGCATGTTTGCCTGGCGTTGTTGTGGTGTTTGCGCCTGTTGGTTACATTAGTATCTGGTCCATTGTATGCGACAAGGGGGTTTAGTTGCATGCGTTCTGAGGGAGTATCGTACCATTGTGATTTGTGTGTGAAGTGAATAGATCGTGTGGGAGCGCGGCTCTGGAAGTTGACGAAAAAGTAGCGAGCGTGTAGTGTCTTGTGGAGGGAGAGAGAGATTGAAATGAGGGTTCAAGTTGTTTGGTGAACGTGTTCCTTTGGAAAGAGCATCGCGTGGGTCTGTGCGTTGCGCTAGGGTACCGGCATTAGCTAGGTACGCGGAGATAATGGACGGAGGTTTATACCGTTTTCTGTTTGTCGACTTTCTTGAATTGCCATCGCAAGCGCCTTTGTACAGATTCCTGCTCCCCCAACGTTAGTGCAATCGGAGACGTCGCGCATTCCCGTCAACAGCCAGACTCTTCTTCTTTGCCTTTCAATCGCTTTCCCTTGCAGTGCACCTGGCTTTGTTGCGACGATCGAACGAGCTCCAGAAGCGGGGATAAAAGCTGGCACCGTCACGACACAATGAACCACCTCAGAACAACACGAACGATATGGAGTAGAAGCGCGATGCCCAGGAGCATAGGACAGACATCGCGAAGAACATATGCAGCCGAAGCACCACCGCCCCATCCACCCAGTTCGCCGCCAAATCCAAACTCGGCACCACCGCCAAAAGAGCCATCGCGAGTAGTACGTCATACCTCTAATAACCATCAACATCCACCACTCCATTCAAAAACTAACAAGTACACACAGGGCGCATATTACGGCACCTTTGGCTCACCCCTCCTAAAATGCTTCCTCGGCGCCCTCTTCACATACCAATTATCGTACTACCTCTGGTATAAACTCGAAGCTATTGAGGAGACACACGACACAAAGGCTGAAATACGCGATCTACAAGAGGAACTTCGGCAGGCGATAGAGAAACAGCGGTACATGGCGCAGCAGAAGTGGGGGGAGGCTACTGAGGCTCTTGAGAGGGAGAAGGCAGAATTTGGCCAGGCAGTAGATGCTGTCACTGAGGAGTTCAAGGAGGGGGTAGATGAGGTGGGGAAAGGGACAAGGGCTGTGGGGAGGGTTGCTAGGGGTGGCTGGTGGCCTTGGTGATGGGCTGTTAGTGGGTAGGTGCTGACGTGCTGGGTGAGGGGGTTTGAGGTATTTTGAGGTGGCACTTGTACAGTATGATTTGGTTTACATGTATATCAGATGGACGGACGATACCCCGAGCAGTACCTTGTGAATACATTTGATCGATCTTTACCAAATCCTCATCAGCCAGTCTGCTTCTCTTTCTATGCCCATGGGCTACGCCATCTTTCCTTTGCAACGTCGCATCAGTCCAATCTCCACGTGAGCTTGCTTCAAAGCCTCGTCTTCATCGTATTTCTATTGCGTCGGTCTCTACAACCGCCAGTCTCTCTCTCTCTTCTGCGGATACTCGGCTTTGAAGGCGGGCAGTCGGTAGGCGTCGTCTCAAAGCAGGGCGCTGAATCCATTCGAAGTGCGCCAATTTCATCCCTCCGAAAGGGACTCTTTGCTAGCACTTGGTGTAGCGAGACGGTGACCCTTGGTACTGATCATATGGATGACTCGATCATGATTGACAATAGCGATATTTACCCATCCGAATAGCCCTTCACCCGAAGAACTCGCCAGAGACAAGCGACTCCCACGGCTTGCCTGTATCCCAGACGCGCTTCATGAGCGTACTGACTTTGGGTACCTAATGCAAAGTAAGCAGGCGAGACTACACTAACAATCAGTAAGAAAACTTACGTGGTTCAGTCCAAACCCCTCCACATTCCTCAACCGATCGATAATCTTTTCTCTCTGTCCCTCATCATGTGCATCGCATCCAGCAGCAAACATTGGAAAGATCAAACAAGCTTCTGCTGTGCTTCCCCTCCGGATCTTGTACAACAACCCGACAATCTCTCGGACCGCTTGCTGGACTTCATGATCCATGGCAGATTTACCGAGAACACGACGGTACAAGTGAATCAATCCGGCCCAATGATAGAGTTCGTTTGTCGCGTAGATCTCGGTTGCATCCCATGCTCCTTCAGACTCAGACGAAGTACTGGAGCGGTGGTTACATCCTTTCCTGATGTTGCGATCTAGTAATCCTTCCTCGAGCGCTTGGCGGATTTTGAGAGCTTCCTCGACAACCTCAGAGCTAGGGGCCCAGCCTTCCCTTACATTACCTTCTTCGTCAATGCGCTGGGGCTCACAGCGCTTCGCTAGTTCGGAGACACGGGCCAGAGATCCTATGCAACGTATCGTGAAACCCATTAGACAATCGATTTCGAAATCTTCGTCTGCTGAGGCGTTTTCGCTGGACCAGTAGGAGGAACCAAGGGGCGTGTCGTTCTTGTTTCCACTCAATGAGCCGAGAACATCGAGATATGCGAACCACCGGGAAAGAAAGTAGGCTACACGATCATGTCGGCCCATACCCTTCGGTCCGCCGCGCTGGATGATCATCTGGCGTGCCATGGTTAGATGGTTCTGCCAGGATACGGGTACCTCGAATGTACCCGAACAGATGATCTCCAAACTCGCCATCATTATAACTGCTGCAAGAGTGCTGTCAGATATAGTGTTGGGGTCGTCGTTGAGCGCTTCACGAAGTTTGGGAAACACATCTTGTACCCAGACTGCAATGCGATTCGAGGGTTCCGCATGGTTAAGCATACGCGCGCGGTGCGCAGCGCTATATGCGAGGAGAAGGTTCATGATATTTTCGTCTTGCACAGCCACTGCTGAGGTCAGTGATAGTCTTTGGGGATTGCTACACACTTACTCTCTGGTAGAATCTGACGAAATGGGTTCCGCTCGCAGTCATGATTTACAAGGACACGCGCTGTATGATTGATGAAGTGATGGAAATACAAGAGATTCATCTGGTTCTCCATAAGCAAGGGCGGTAACGGCTCCAGAGACTTCGATATTCGAATTGGAACAGGTTTTGCATAGTATCCTCCGCTCTCGAAAGCCATGTCCTTGCCGTGAGGCTCAGCACTACCATAGGGTGTGTCATCGTCGAACCCCATCGTATCGCTTTGCGGACTGAATATAGCAATAGCCGAAAAGTCATTATTCCTCGGCGTATCGATGTCAGGGAGTCCCAAGTCATAGCCGTAGGTTGTAAAGGCAGAATCAGCGATTGGATACTGTCGACCACGCTCAGCCTCTACACCAGGCGGGCCTGGTCTCTTCTTTGGAAGATCATTGATAAGCGATTGGACGGACACACGACGTACGTCGGGAGGCGACTGTGCTGAGTTTTGTGGTGTCAATGATGTTTGCATAATGTTTCCTTCAGAGCCAACTGATAACGGTGTTAGAGGCATGGCTGGGTAAGGACTATAGGGAATTGGCGATCCTGCATCTGAATCCGCAGGAAAATCATACTTCTGGCGTTTGGCCATTGGATCTACTGAACTTTGAAGTGGCGGTGGCATTGTAGCGTCAACGGAAGCAAAATCAACACTACGGGAGTTGGTAGCATTTGATATAGATGCAAAATGCGACCGAGCGTCGACTGTGCCCTGGAACTGTGCGTGGGTATAGGGTACAGATATGAGCATTTCGCTTTGAAAGTAAAGGCCTCCGTCTATGGCTTCGTTACGAGTGGGATCTTCCGGCATATTTCGCATCAAGTCCGGATCAATAGCCTGTATCGACGACCTAGGTGGAGACATTTGGGATATTGATCGCGAATGGCGTGGTCGCGTGGATGTTTCGGGGGGTGGACGAGAAAGCATTTTCTTCAAATGAGAAGGTCGACTCATACGGACTGCCGGATGCTGCGCTCGAAGCATCAGATCCGGTACCTATTCTATCTTTCTTTGAGCGGCCTCCCCAATTCAGCCGAATGCTGTAGTCGCATGTTTCCCCTTGGCGTTCGCAGTTGTTACATCGTGGTTTCTCTTCGCCACTGGAAGCATCCATTAACAGTTCATCATGAGACGTCTATCCGAAATATCTTACCATTTCACTTTTCGAGCTTTACATGGCCTGTGTTAAGTGAGCACAAACGAGCAAAGTTTGAAGACCTGGGGTACTACCAGCAGCCGTTTCGCGATCTCTTTTTCGGCTCAACACCGGGTTTCTTCGGTCGGGGCATGGCGCTGTCGGTCGATTGAGAAAGCGAAGATAGTGCGAATGACGACTATAGCTAATGCTCCTACAACTTTGTATGCGAAGTTTAGATAATGTCATGTGCAGCCGACTTGGCAGGCTGAGGTAGCCCTTTGGATGATAACGAGCAGCAGTGCACCCGAGTTCCGGATAATAGGATGCTGGGTTGGCTGCACCGCATGCGTGCACCTAGCGCCCTTCGACAAGCGACAACATTGCTGGTGCGATGAAAGTTTGTACACGATCGCTTATCTTGCGTAGCGAGGTTTGACTGTCGGTCCTCAGTTTCGAGTGGAGAATGAGGTGGAAGAAGGAACGATAAGGTCCCCCGCACTTTGCAGCGCGCTCCAATCGTAACCTTGAAACCTAAATGCTTCATGCTAAGTGGGGCGGGACGATGTCGGCATAGCCCGACCCTGAGCGAACATTTCTCATTCTATTGCGACTCATCATAGAAACAAGAATAGCAAGTTCGGCCTTATGCTACATTAATAGATTCTACAGTAGACCTGTTGTCAGCTACTGTCTAGCCGAAGGCCTGAAATCTCTACCCGCTATCACACATTTGTGTAAGCACAGCTCATCACCACGGTTCCTCCAAATCCGCCTTACGAAGAAGGTAAAAATGCCTCGCGATTATCCCATATCTCTCAGTAAACATTGTGGTGAGTTATCAGTTGCTGATGCACTGGATCTACGGCGGTGCATTCAGAATCGACATTTCTTGAAGTACCGTGTATATCGAACGGTGTGATGAAGCATGCAGCTCGCACTTCTAGCGCTCATTGCTAGAGACTGCTCTCAAAGTAGATGCTTCCGACATAGCCTGAATGCTAGAATCAGATTCTATCGAACTGATATGCGAGTCGATCGCTATGACCGACGGACTGGCGTACGTGCTAGGTCGTTCTTGTTCTTCCAAATCGCTCCTGTCCATCATCTCTTCATCTTCATCCTCGCTCTTCTGGCCTGCGCTTACAGCTTCAGCTTCGATGGCAGTCATACAGTTGACAAACTCCTTCTGCAGTTCCTTGAGCCATGCTGTGAGAACTTTACCCTCTAATACCCCGGTATGCGCTTGGACGAGATGTTCTTTGAGGTTCAGAACGAGTTTGCGTCGCTTCTCTCTGAGCACAGTTTCGGATGCTTTCTTCTTCTGGAGCGTATGGCGCTCGATCTTTTGCGCAACCATCGTGGCATGCTCCACAACCCCGGGTGGAAGCGGCACGACGCGTGCAAGTGTTAGACCATAATGTAGCTCCTGCACAACCCCTAGGGTCGTCTTATAAAGCATCGTCATGCTGTGTGCATCTTCCATCTGCAAGGGTAAGTGATTTAATCTGGAAATGAGAGACATAATCTCACCTCTACTGCCAAATGCAGGTTCTGAACTCCGGCACGATCACCCATGATTATCGCAAGATCCTTGAAGTGGGTTGCAAACCAGACTAGAGCCTTACGACAAATTAGCAAGGTACAGCGACCAGACGGAGTTGCGTACCCGGCTCGAAACGAGGGCTTCCGCGATGGCCAAGGCAATGGCTAAACCGTCTCTGGTGCTGGTACCACGGCCTAGTTCATCAATCAGGACCCTTTGTGTTATCAGTGCTTTCATGATATGTACACAGAGCCTACGTTCTTACAAGCTACGCCTGTCGACATTACGTAGGATGAAAGTTATCTCTTTCATCTCCGTAGCAAAAGTGGACACGTTGGTTTCGATGCTATCATCCATACCTAATCTAGCAAACAGCTGATGCAGAATGGGAAACGAGCCATAATTGGCAGGAACGCTGAATCCGGTTAGCATAGAGAGACCTGGAGGTAGAATGAGAGATACACACTAGCAGCCAATCTGAGCCATGATGGTCATCAAAGCCACCGATCGGATATAGGTGCTCTTTCCGCTCATGTTGCAACCAGTAATTATTTGGAAGCGTGTCTGCTGTGTAGCGTAAACATCGTTGGGAACAAATTTGTTCTGCATGATTTTCTCCTTGATCGGGTGCCGTCCCGCCTCGATAGCCAGCGTCTCAGTGAGTTGTGGCTGAGCTGAGCAAATGTCAGCGCCGTGTGCATTGAGCACGACGGAATAGAAGCCACTCGCTATAGTTGTTCACTGTTACCAGATACGCGAAAGCCGCAACCTGTTCTTCATTAGCCCTGTCAGCAATGTGAATTGCTGAACGATGCACACCATATCTAGCATCGCCACTGCTTCGCAGATTTTGAACATGATGGACATATGGCTGCGGACTTTGTCGACTAGAGCCTCTACAGCTTCATCGCCTGATGGTTATTAGTGATCACACAGGTCGATGTTTGTGACTTTGGCTGTACTCATGAGGATTACTTCTTGGTGGGACACAGCAATCTTGGGACAGTTAGTAACGCTTCAAGTCGTTTGTACATGAACACATGCTTTCTGGTTACGCTTCATAAGCTCTAGTGTCTGGCACTCGACGTGTTTCTTGCGGCGAATCACGTTGGTGAATATTGGTGGTAATGCTTTGCCTTCCAGCTCGGATGTTGCGATCTTCATGTAGAACTGGCGCGCGGTGTCATATTTGAGGTCGAGTCGGATATCGTGCTCGTCTTCTAGAAATTAGTGAGTGCACTCACCCAACAGAATAGACTGTACCTCACGACTGAGCTCAGTTGAGTGCTGGTACGCGTCTTCGGTGGCTTCTTTGTAAGTAGTGCGTGCAACGTCAAGCAGGCCATTGACACCTGATTTCACGGCATATGTACGCTGATTTCTCAGTTCGAGAGGTTGCCTTGCATATGTAGTGTCCTCGTTGATGACGTGATCGATGAGCTCCTGTATAGGCGCGACGTTTTCTGGTGCACAGATCTCGCGGATGTTGTTCAGCATTACAGATCCCGTTCCAGTGAGCGCTTCGAAGACAGGGCGTACAGAGTTCACAAATTGCTTGAGCATAATAATGTGATTGATGGACTGTTCAGTTGTATGAAGAGTGATCTTGCTTGGTATAATGATCAGCGCAGTCAGTATGCGGTCAGCATCGAGGAAGTTCTTCAATGCGGCCCGGGTCGCAAAAAAGAACTCTTCCTTTTTGATCAAATCGTCCACTGCAGCATATCGCGTGTTAAGTACTTCTGGATCAGTGAGTGGCTGTAAAACGTTGTTCCGGAGAAGCCGTGCACCCATGGGTGTCAACGTTTCGTTGAGAAGGCCGAACAGACAGTCTCTTGACTTCGGATCGCGGAGGTTCTGCACCAATTCGAGCGAGTAGATGGTGGACACATCGATCATCATCGATCCTTCTGAAGGCTCATATCTCATCCGAAGCGAGTGAAGGGAGAAGACCATACCCAGGCCCAGGTCGATGTACTTGAGCGCCTGTGAGGTTAGCTACAGTATGCACCGAGAAGTGCAATGGAGAACTCACTGCTGCAATGCAGCACACCGCATAGTAGTTGCCAGTGACAGACATCTTAATAGCTTCTACATCCTCTTTAAAAGCTAGAGATTGAATGTATTCGTATCCAGTCGACTCGGCCCAATAGCGCCGATCAAGCAAAGTCAGCTTGCTGCCGATATCCTCAAGGTTCTCTTCAATGATTGAGAAGAGCTTCGACCTAGGACTCGCGGCAGTGGAAACGATCAGGATCTCGGATGGACCATAGACCTTCAGTTTATGGACAGTCCGGACGAAAGTTTGGCTGTCGCAGATTTGACAGAGTACTGCTTCTGCTGTGTCGAGATTTACGAAAGCCAAGCCGACGGTAGGTGAGATACCACGAGACTCCGCAATGGCACAAACAACATTCTGAGCCTCGACCCTAGTGATAGTAGAGGCGCCGGTCCTTGGTCGTGCAGTTGATGGCCTACCTGTGTTTCTGCGGGTACTTGGACGGGACGCAGTAGTGATATTATTATAGTCACCATATCCGTAGTACCCATACGGCGTGGACGCAGATGTACTCTGGGAAGTTGATGGCCTTGATCGCTGGAACATGATTATTAGTGCTGAGAGATTAGCCGTTGAGCATTTGCGTAAACCATGAGCTCCAATGATCGGAGGGTGTCCTCGCAACAGTCGAAAGGAAGAGCGGAAGGAGAGAAGGAAGACGCGTCGAGGGGAAACAGCCTAGCGCGCCGCCCCACTGCTGCTAGCGCGCCTGCTATCGATAACACCCAGAAATTATTTTCCCGTTCTTGTACCAGCGGGGCCGTTCAAAGCAAGAGACAGCTTCACCACTTCACCTGTTGACCCTGGATCCGTACTGCAGAGTAATTGAAAGATGGCGACCCAGTATCCACCCCCGTCGAAACGCCAGAAGCGGGCGCAAGCCGAGATTGCGCGCCAACAACAAGACATTGACACTACGATACCCGATGGCACAGTACGAGTGCGCTTCGTCGACCAAGCCACGGGCGAGAGTGGCAGTATTCCAGTGCTCACTGTACCGCTATCGCAAGCGTCGACTAAAAACCTCGAGCTCTTGCTCAACAATCTAAAAGACCAAGCGGATGATCAGATACCGTACCGCTTCTTCCCCGATGGCGCAACCGAAGCGCTCGCCGACAAGGACGACTTATACAATGCCTTGGTCAAGCCCGGCAAGGCGTCAGCGGAAAATGAGATTGTGCTCCAGTATGCGCCGCAAGCAGTCTTCCGGGTCAAGGCTGTTTCACGTTGCTCAGCCGCGGTTTCAGGTCATGGCGACAACATTCTGACAGTCAACTTCTCGCCAGTCAGCTCCAGCAGGATGGCGAGTGGTAGCGGAGACAAGACAGTAAGAGTATGGGACTGCGACACGGGAACACCAGTGCATACCATGAAGGGACACTCAAGATGGGTTCTGGCAGTCAGCTACTCGCCTGACGGCTCCCTGCTCGCTTCTGGTGGCTACGACAACGAAGTGCGGATATGGGATCCAAGCACTGGAAAGCAGATTGGACCTGCTCTCAAAGGTCACACCAGCTTTATCACATCACTCTCCTGGGAACCCTACCACCTACAAGAGGCTGGTCGGCCACGAGTAGCGTCTTCGTCAAAGGACGGTACAGTAAGAGTGTGGGATGCGGTGGGTGGCAGGATTGACTATGCCTTGTCTGGTCACAAGGGCAGTGTGACATGCGTCAAGTGGGGTGGTACTGGACGGATATATACCTCGTCTCACGATAAGACCATCAAGGTCTGGGATGCTGCGAAGGGCACGCTCGTCGACACACTATCAGGACACGCGCATTGGGTCAATCATCTTGCTCTCTCAACAGACTTTGTCTTGCGCACATCGTATCACGACCATACACGAAAGGTACCTTCTAGCCCTGAGGAGAAGCTCGCCAAAGCCAAGGCGCGCTTTGAAAAGGCTGCTACCATCAACGGTGAGGTGGTGGAGCGCTTAGCGACTGCTTCTGAAGATTGTACGATCATACTATGGACGCCTTTGACTAGTAAGAAGCCAGTTACAAGAATGACAGGCCACCAAAAGCAGATCAACCAAGTCACCTTCTCACCGGACGGTGCCCTCCTGGCGTCTGCAGCATGGGACAACCATGTCAAACTATGGTCAGCACGGGATGGGAAGTTCCTCAATACGCTGAGAGCGCACGTTGGCCCGGTATACATGACCTGTTTCTCTGCCGACAGTCGATTGTTGGCGAGTTGCAGTAAGGACACGACGCTGAAGGTGTGGGACATGAGGACTGGTAAATTGAAGGAGGATCTGCCTGGGCACAAGGACCAGGTGTTCGCCCTAGACTGGAGCCCAGATGGCGAAAGGGTAGGAAGTGGTGGCGCCGATAAGCAAGTCCGGATATGGAGCAACTGATTGAGGTATGAACACAGTAGGATGGTAGAAGCTGAAATGATACCCCCTTGTGCGAACTAGTATACCGACTATGTGCTCCTGGTGATCTGTAGTGATTGCACTAACAAGCGTTGGCCCGGAGCTAAGCGTGAGCTTCGATGTCTGCAATTCTTGGAACTGGGATTTCATAGAGAACGCTAGAAGTTGGAAGTAAGGCTGAAGCGGTGGCTAATGTGGTGGCTGACGTGGTGTGGGCCACTCGGTCAACTGCCACGATCGCCCGGATATCGGCATCCCCGCAATATTATGCCAAGCCGTCGAAGCAGGCACTCCCAGTGGCCTGATAGACGCGTAACTGCGGACAGGCACAACGTCATCACAGGAAAGCACTCGGTCATGCACAGGGCCTGTTCTTCATCACGGATCTTCGGCGCTGCAGCTGCAAATGATACGGATCCAGCGTGTGTCAAGTGGAGCTTCAAGGACAGGTTATGCGCCATTCCCTTGCTTGTACCTACGTCAATTGTGAATAGAACAGAACATTCCCTGTCTTCGCGCTTTTCCTGTTTCCTCCCTATGCGACAGGTTTCACGAACATTCGCACGACTTACTATCTCTCACAACTAATGAATTCATGACTTTTCCCCGCCGCCAACCACTAATTGCACAGGTCAGCCCCTCGCTACGAACGACCTTCACAAACACCGAGACAACCCACTGCGCACTGCTACATCATGTCCGGCGTCGAGGACGTAGATGCCCAGCGTAAGAACTACCGACGACCGCACAACGCGCACAATCCGATACCCACGGTCCAAAAATACCGTGAGGAGAAGCAGAGAAGACAAGACGAGTATGGCCATCCAGATGGCGCAAGTAACGAGCCAAGCACACGCGACCGGCTGGGGGATGCCGTCAACGTCTTCAGGCATGGTAGAGATGTAGAGCTGGACAATGATGGCAATGGGCCGTATCAAGCTAGGAACAAGAACATCGAGCAAGACGAGCAAATTGCAGACGATCACGCCGGAAAGAACACACCCGAGCAGAAAGACCAAAATCTGGCGAAAGATCAGGACGACGAAGATGGACTACAGGACACAACAGAGGATGGCATGATATCCTCAGATCCTAAGCAGGCCCGAAAGGATATGAAGAAGTTCAAAGCCGATGGTGCAGATCGCGAAGTCACCGACCCCATCACCCATCTACCTATCCAAATCCACGACTATACAGATCGAGAGCTAAAGAGCACTGCAAAGAACCCGCCGCCTGTAGGGTCAGACCCACGCACCATGACTGGCAAAGACGCCATCAACAAGAGCGATGAACATCTCGAAGATGAATGGCAGGAATCACAGGACTCACATGTTGGTATGCAGGCCTTGTTTCCACCTCCGTCCTTTGACAGGACAAGAAGCGAGATCACGACCGTTTATATGCAGGCTGTGACTGTTGGCGTAGGAGCAGCTGCAATTAGCTTGATGTTGGTCAACACACTATTCTGGCCCACGCGCCATGCGACAGGCTGGGGAAGACAGTTATGGAAGGCTACTGAACTCAGTACTATGGCAGTCATCTCCACGGCCATCATACTCTTCATGCGACAGTGGTCAGAGAACAAGATCAAGAATGTGTGGGATGCTGAGGTTTGGCAGGCAGAACGACAAAGGGGCCAGAGATTGGCCAAGACCCAAACTGCTGAAAGTACACAGTGGCTGAATTCGCTATTTGCTTCCGTATGGCCGTTGATTAACCCGGATCTGTTTACGAGCATTTCGGATACACTTGAGGTATGGGCTTGACAGCATATTCAGTACGCAAACTAACTTTTGTAGGATGTCATGCAAGCTTCCCTCCCCAGTATGGTTCGCATGGTCGCCGTCGAGGATCTTGGTCAGGGTAGCGAGGCCCTCCGCATCCTCGGTGTTCGATGGCTTCCTACAGGTGGGGCTGCTAGATCAGTGGGCTCTGACGGAAATTTGAAGTCTCCTGACGAGGAGAAGGGCGACCGGACTGTCGAAGAGAGCGATGACAGCGGTGAAGGCCAAGATGACCAACCACAGCAAGACACAATGGAGGCTGAAGATGGAGACTTCGTAAACGTGGAAGTTGCCTTCGCATACAGACCATCAACAGGAAAGGGCATCAAGTCACGCGCCAAACATGCTCATTTACTGTTGGCATTCTATATGCCAGGTAATATCAAGATACGTAAGTTTTGTCTTCCCAAGCATCCCTCATTTACTTACACATCTTAGCGGTATGGGTCGACCTCGCGGGCGTGGTTGGTGTCATGCGCTTCCGTCTGCAGCTGTGCCCTGATCCTCCGTTCTTCTCAGTTTGCACCATGTCCTTCATGGGGCAACCCAAAGTCACGCTATCATGTGTGCCACTAATCAAGAAAGGACCCAACCTCATGGACGTGCCTCTCATCTCCAGCTTCGTGCAGTCGTCCATGGACGCAGCATTGGCGGAGTATGTCGCGCCTAAATCTCTTACCTTGGACCTCAAAGACATGTTGATGGGCGACGACTTCAAGAAGGACACAGTCGCACAGGGTGTTATCATGGTACGTATCAAATATGCGTTCGACTTCAAAGAGGGCGATACAAAGATCGGTCCTTTTGGTGGCTCCGCAGACCCCTATGTGAGCGTGGGATGGGCCAAATTCGGGAAGCCGCTCTGGTCGACGCGTGTTCTCCAGCAAAACATGAATCCCCATTGGGACGAACATTGCTTCGTCTGTGTTACCTTTGACCAGTTGAATGTAGATGAGAAATTGAGGCTGCAGTTGTGGGATTCTGACCGTTCAACTGCCGACGACGACCTGGGACGCATCGAGGTGGACCTCAAAGAGTTGATGAAGAGTGATGAGACGAACGGAAGAATGCACGATCGCGAGGACGGCTTCAGAGCCCTCAAGAGTGGAGATGATATGCCTGGAAAACTGAGCTGGAGCCTGGGTTACTTTTCGAAAACCAGAATCACTGATGACCAGCTTACTATGCAAGACGAGGACCCCGATGTCGAAAACATAGACCAGTTGAAGAAGAAGATGTATAAGGAGGCAGAGGACAAACTTCGAGAGGCGAGTGAGGATCACCGAAAGAAGTGGAACAGCAAAAGTCCGAAGAGTTCAAGAACCGTCAAGATCAGCTTATCATCGCGTCCCCACCCTCCGAAGACTATCCATCAGGTATTCTCAGCATCCAGATCCACCAGATCACCGGCTTGGAATTGGAAACACTGAACAAGCAGAAAGACTCTGCGAACGCAGAGGCAACAGACGAAGAAGAAGAAGGCGATAGTCTGCCCTCTGCATATTGTACCATCATTCTCAACCACAAGAAGATCTACAAGACGCGTACGAAGCCGAAGAACTCGAAGCCTTTCTTCAACGCGGGCTGCGAGAGATTCATCCGAGATGTACGCAATACCGAAGTACATGTTGCCGTTCGTGACGCTCGTATACACGAAGACGACGCCTTGCTCGGTATCGTTTATCTGCCTCTAGAAAGAGTGTTTCGGAAGCGGAGCCAGATAAACCACATGTTTCCACTGGCCGGAGGTGTGGGATACGGCCGTATAAGAATCTCTATGGTCTTCCGAAGCGTGCAAATCCAACTACCGAGAAACCTGGTTGGTTGGGATTACGGAACTGTGGACCTCAAACCCTCTATAAAGGCTATTGATCTTCCGGAGGACCTAAAGCCTCTTCGGCTCAAGGTCCGTACGCCACTGGATCGCGCAAAGCTACACTCGCGGGGACGGAATGGTAGAGTCCGCTCAGAAGACGGCCAGACCGTCTGGACTTCGAGGAAGGACAAGTCTATCCGCTTACCTGTGCGCGCCCGCTACTGTACGCCACTCGTCTTCGAATTTAGACAAGATGCTACCTTCCGAGACCACACCCCGGGTTTCGGTATCCTCTGGCTCAAGGATATTCCCGACAATGAGGAGCAGACAATACGTGTCTCTATCTGGAAGGGTGACTTGGAGCGCGCAGAGAACAATGTGCTTGATTCATATGGTGAGAAGGTGGGCGAGATAGAAGTAACGTTGACGTTCTGGTCCGGTCTATCAGGATATCACGAGAAACTCGCAAAGGGCGATAAACACATTTCCAACGTTATGGAGGTTCTCGATGTCACCAACGACCAGGAGTGGTCCGACTGGGATGATTCGGATGGCTCCGATAAGCCCGGTATCAACGACAACAAGGAAACCGACAACGATGACTCATCATCGGACAGCTCAGATTCGGAAGACGACGGCGAAGATGGTGGTGACAAGAAGTTTGTACCAGACTTCCTCCAGGATGGCGGCAAGAAGATCGATTCGAAGCTGAGCATACAGGGCAAGGGTGGCCCTATCAGCAAGATAAAAGACTACAAGGAGAATGCGAATCAACTACATCGCAAGAACAGGGGCATGATGCAGTGGAAGGGCCCACGGACGTTGGCTTGGATGAAGCACGTAGGTGATCGTGGAAAGAAGAAGGTGGGAAATATGTTCCATCATCATGAGAGGAGTGGAGCGGGTGTTGAGACAGAGGCTTAGCATAGACCATAATTGTTACATAGCGCGTGCGTCTGGCGTTAACTCACAGGAGCTATGTATACTAGCAGTATTCGTTTATTATGCACAACTAGGTTGACTTGCTCTCAACCCAATCTTGAATCTCAGCAAAGTCCCTCGCCCATACAACACCCCACTCATCAGCCTCTCGGTAATCTTTCAATCGCGGACATGATACACCTAACCTCGTCAACGCTTCTGCAAGTTTCTTCTGTGAACTTCCCATGGGATCATCTCGGATGCAAATACCTAGGTTAGCTGCAAGTAGACATTCGATGTCTGTCCAGCTATCACCCACATACACCTTTTGACCTCTGAACTCTTGCATGCGCTCCATCTGCTCAAGTTTGTCTCCACTAGACATGATGAGACTTCCACCATTGTTCGTAGCCGGAACAATAACACCGGTAGACTGTTCTCCAGAATCCACCTTGTCGAGTTCATTGGAGAAGACGGAGTAGGTAGGTACACCATGGATACCCGAAGCTCCAAGGCAGGACTGAATGAAGTGGCGAGACCAGTTAACACTAAGAAGCACAAAGCCATCATTCTCGCGATCGTCATGAATGTGCTTGAATAACTCAGAGAAACCATTGCGCAGCTCTGTCGCACGTGAGTCGATGGCCTGTCTTGCTCCAGCTTCGATGACTTCTCTTGTTAAGCCAGCGAAAATACCAGATGAGGATACGCGGCTGAGACTGCGCTGTTCTACAGGTTTCATCTGGGCAAGAAGACGCTTCTCTCCTGATACTGTGGTGGGGAGCTTGTCTTCTGGGGCGATTTGGGCCAGTGTGGCTGTGTAGTCGTCCATGTAGGCTTTTGAGACATTGTTCCAATGGTCCTGGGTAGGGAAATCGGGTTTTATAGCGGCGGAAATGCTGACCAGGGTATCTAGGGTATCTTTTCGGGTGACGGTACCGTCCCAGTCGAGGATCCAGTGGATTGGTGAGGCTTTGTTGAATGGAGGTTTGGTGGATGTGGACATGGTGGTGTATGGTGGGAAGGTGGAGGGGATCGCTATCTGCAATGGACGGCGGAATGTAGCTAATAAGGCCAAGGTACGGCTGAGTGTATGTAGAGACATGCGATAAAGTGATGGTTGTTCGCAAGGCTGATGTTTGAAATGATCACTATTGCCCTACAGCATTCCTAGGTATGGCTGCGAGCTACACCACCTGGGCAGCTCCGTCCTTCGGCAGCCCCCACCATGCTGCAAGCCTCAAGGGGCGCGATGCGTTAACAGAGCGGAGACGTAAGATACTACAGTGTCGTCGCTGCGCACATGACTGGCTATGTAGAGTATTACAGAAGCCGTCAAAGGTCATCGCAGTACATGACGAATACAGGCTATTGGAGCCGACGTTATGGTGGTGCTGTCGGAGTTTGCGATGCTGTGATTGCTCGAGCAGGCGGGAAAATGGCGCAACGCGTCGAGACACGAAGAACAGGTAACTTTTACCGGCAACACGCGCCATGTCTATCACGTCGGTCAAACTTCATCACCAAACCCAACTTGTCCCTGTTTGCGCATTCTCGCGATCCTTTTCCCGTACCCGTTCGCAGCAGACCAGCGCACCATGTTCCTCCCGCGGCCACGAGCCAATGGCAGCGGCGCTATATGCATAACCCGCCCGCAACCGAGGCGCTCGTTGGTCGCATTCCTCTAAAGGCATCTTGAGGCGATAACACCAGTTGCTCTTACGAAGGCTGTCTCCTAAGTACAGTTGGAGGCGATCCACGGCACAACCCTCAACCAAGCTTGAAAATAAGAAGCCCGCCGCGTCTGCTTTTGTTTTTTACATTCTTAACTCACACTCTTGAGCAACAAAGATAGTCTCCCCCACTACCCCACGTTAGCATCAACACCGTCCATCATGGCTCCAGGCGCAATTCAGAATGACACTGCAGCAGCAAATGGAAGCGGCACCGCTCTGAAGCCAACTGCCCGCTCTTTCCACCCTACAGGCACCCCAGATCCCTCCAAGTACCACGCGTCGTCCTCGCAGGCCGCCATCAAGACAGAGGCCGACTTCGCAGCGCACAACTACCACCCACTTCCAATTGGTATGCACTCAACACGACTTCTTTGTGGAACAGGATTAACACAGACCAGTCTTCTCAAGAGCAAGTGGATGCAGCGTTTGGGACCCCGAGGGCAAGCACTATCTCGACTTCCTGTCCGCTTACAGCGCCGTCAACCAGGGCCACTGCCACCCCGAGCTTGTCAAGGCTCTCACCGAGCAAGCTTCGCGCTTGACCCTCAGCAGTCGCGCCTTTTACAACGATGTCTTCCCTCGCTTCGCCGAATATGCCACCAAACTGTTCGGCTTCGACATGATCCTACCCATGAACACTGGCGCAGAGGCGGTTGAGACAGCAGTCAAGGTCGCACGTAAATGGGGCTACAAAGTCAAGGGTATCCCGCAGAACGAGGCACTGGTCTTCTCTGTAGAGGAGAACTTCCACGGCCGAACAGTATGCATGCTTGCTCGTTTTTCAAACCTCAACTAACACTCTGGTAGTTTGCCGCGATTACCATGTCCACTGACCCCGAGTCTCGCGACAACTATGGCCCATACCTCCCCGGTATTGGAAGTGTGTGCCCTGCCACCGGCAAACCAATCCGCTACAACAACATTGAAGATGCGCGGGAAGCATTCGAGAAGCATGGAAAGAACCTAGCTGCCTTCCTGGTCGAGCCTATCCAGGGTGAGGCTGGTATCGTGGTTCCAGATGATAACTACCTTCGGGAAATCAGGGCACTCTGCGACAAGCACAATGTTCTGCTCATCTGTGACGAGATCCAAACGGGTATTGCGCGGACAGGCAAGATGCTTTGCCATGAGTGGAGTGGCATCAAGCCTGATCTGGTTTTGTTGGGCAAGGCCATCTCAGGCGGCATGTACCCCGTCTCGTGCGTCCTGGGCTCAAGAGAGGTCATGCTTACTATCGAGCCTGGTACTCATGGTTCAACATACGGTGGCAACCCTCTCGGCTCTGCCGTTGCAATCCGGGCTCTTGAGCTCATTGAGGAGGAGAACATGGTTGAGCGCGCTGAGACATTAGGCAACAAGTTCCGAGAAGGTCTCAAGAACATCAACAACCCTATGATCAAGATCATTCGCGGCAAGGGTCTATTGAACGCCATCGTTATTGATGAAAGCAAGACGAACGGACACAGCGCGTGGGATCTCTGCATGCTCTTTAAGGAGAAGGGATTACTGGTAGGAAGAGCCCTCAAGATTATGCATGTGAAAGAGGTTGACGGTGCTGACTCTGACGAACAGGCGAAACCCACACACCAGAACATCATCCGCCTTGCGCCGCCGCTCGTCATCACCGAAGAGGAGATTGCATCGGCTCTGTCAATTATCAAGGAGGCTATGGAGGAGCTGCCAAAGCTTAAAGGCGAGAAGGAGAAGGAAGTGCTTACTTCAGCTGTCGGACTTGAGAAGAACGTCCACGTAGGAGTGGATAACTAGGAATACGGTCTAGTTCCTTACGATACCCCATGAGACTGACTTGACGCTATGACCGCTACGAACTTGTAGGTAAATCATACCTGCGCTGTTGTGCCATTACAGAGATGTCTATATAGCGCGAGGCCCGGCATTTAGACGGTTCCGAAGCATTCAGTGGACTAGATCTCCCGATATGAGAATGTCATGACCTTACCGTCCATCGGACACCATTGACTTGATTGTGCCTTATATTGAATCCACAGTAATCATACTCACATCAGCATTCACGCTTTTTCCCGTTACTAGTGCTGATTGCGATGGCTACTACACACCTTACCTTTTTTCTGCTTTTGTAATCTCCGGCATAAGTAAACACCGACACTGCTTACCGGCCTTCCCCGCAGCGAGAAGATTTCTACGTCAGAAAACAAGACTCGCGACCATGTGAGGCCTCTTACACCGGCGGACCGACTCGCAAACCGAAACGTGCCTACGGGGTGGGGTAGCCAGACGTTCTGTGCTACATGCTCTCCAACAGCCGCGAGAGAGGTTTCATTTACACGCGCTGTGGGTTGCATGTGCCATATAGCAATATCGCGGATGCATGCTGCCAATTTGAACATCGTCTAGATGGAATTCTGGCAAAGTAGATACCCGGCAAGTAAAACATCAATGAATAGCCTCACATCTTGGAGAACTCACAGTATGAGCGCCCGGACTCTCATCCAATACTGCAGTCCTGACCGCAGTGCGCCCAGCTGGAGGGAAACTTCGTCCGTGCGGGCAGGTGACGGGTACGAGTAATCCATAACATGTCGGCATGTCGGGATCTAGGCCATTCTTTTTGCCATCGTTTCATCGACAAGCGATGGCCCCACTGTTGCCCGATCAAGGCTGCGTATCAATACATTCTTACGGCATCGAATCCGCAGACAGCAATTTCAAAGCAACAGTCGAGGAGATGCCATGGGAAAGACACGGCCTTTGCGCATTTATATAGACCGCATTTGTCATCTACAGCGCATTCTCTTCGCCAACCTGCAGCATCGTGGAGTTACTGCAGTGCTAATATCAAGCCTTTCGGGACATCGGATCGCATTATGTCCCGAAGGAATCGATCATTCTTGATGCTAGCACCCCCGGATTATAATGTGTGTCGGTTCGCACAAGCCGTTCATTGGCGAGTTTTTATGTCCGTTAGGACCATGCGCTAACTGTTGAGCGGGTGCATGCACTGATTTCATGACTGCTCCGAGGCCATATAGACTAGTCGTTGCCTGCCACTCGCAAACATGTCATCTTGCGAGACCTCGTGGCGTTGGTCGTTCCTTTCATTCACACCTAATACACCCTTCAACCTTACGGCTTCATAGTGACGTTCAGGAAAACAGTTGCCGAGATTTTTTTCATCGGCCCTTCGCAACGATCATCGCGATCCTTCCTCGGCGTTCGGAATTCAGCCGCTGAGCCGCCATGGCAAAATCACCATCATCGTCATCGTTGGATGAGAACGAGAAAGAGAAGGACTTTGGTCTTGTAGATCCACAAGCTGCAGCAGAGAATCCGACAGAGTACGAGCCAATACGAACGGAACCCAAGGAAAAGGATTTGGAAAATGGAGATGGCCACAGTAATCCAAGAGGCGTACTAACAAGATTGCAATCCAGCACAAGCGCGTACTCAGAAGCAAGCGATAGCGAATCTAATGCGACAAAGTCAATACGAAAAAAGAAGCCATTTTACAAACGCCTCAATGTATTGAAGAATAATCCACCACCCATTCCGAAAGAGCGCAAAGTATCTCCGGAATACACGGCAGGCTTCTTCAGCCGGCTTTCGTGGCAATGGATGCAACCCTTAATGAGAGTGGGCTACAAGCGACCACTAGAAAAGAATGATATCTGGGAGGTCAACCCTGACAGAAGCGCAGAGGTGTTGGCAAACAAGCTGGAAGCAGCTTTCAAGAGGCGGAGAGCAGAAGGCAAAGAGAGGCCTCTGTTAGGAGCCATGTTCGAAACCTTCAAATGGGAGTTCATCATTGGAGGAACATGTCAACTCTCAGCATCCGTCATTCAAGCTGTCGCTCCTTTTGTCCTACGTTATCTCATCAACTTTGCTGTTCGCGCTTACGTTGCTGAACGTTCTGACGCTCCGGCGCCAAATATCGGCGAAGGTATCGGCTTAGTTATTGGGATTACTGCGATGCAGTTCTTGCAGAGTCTGGCCACGAACCACTTCATGTACCGTGGTATGATGATTGGTGGAGAGGCAAGGGGTGTTCTGATTGCTCTCATTTTCAACAAAGCAATGAAGCTATCAGGAAGAGCCAAAGCGGGTGGCGAGGCTGTTCTTGAAGCACCACCGCCGGATATCAAGCCGGGAAGCGAAGCTGAAGTGAAATGGTACAAGAAGATATTGAAGAAGAAAGAGAAGAAGCAATCCCCCAAGACTGCTGCAGGTGTGGCAGGTGATGGCGAGGGCTGGGGCAATGGACGAATTGTCAACCTGATGTCTACCGACACCTACCGTATCGACCAAGCCAGCGGTTTCTTCCACATGATCTGGACCGCTCCTGTTGGTATCTTGATTACGACTGCTCTGCTCCTTGTCAACTTGACGTACAGTGCTCTTCCCGGTCTCGGCCTCATTCTCATTGCTATGCCATTACTTGGTCGCGCAGTCAAGACACTGTTCCGCCGAAGAGTTGCTATCAACAAGATCACCGATCAGCGTGTAAGCTTGACTCAGGAGATTTTACAAGGTGTTCGCTTCGTCAAATACTTCGGATGGGAGACCAGTTTCCTAGAGCGCATCCAAACGATCAGGAAGAAGGAGATTCATGGCATCCAGGTCTTACTCACGATTCGAAACGCCGTTCTTTCCGTCGGAATGTCCATGCCCGTCTTCGCTTCGATGATCTCGTTCATCACCTACTCTCAGGTCAACAGCAGCCTCAATCCCGCGCCAATTTTCTCCTCGCTAGCTCTGTTCAACTCCATGCGTATTCCTCTCAACTTCCTGCCACTCGTCATTGGTCAGGTAATCGATGCGAATGCTTCCGTTAAGCGTATCCAAGAGTTCTTGCTTGCTGAAGAAGCCGAAGAGAGCGGGAAGTGGGATTACGATGCCAAGGATGCCGTGATGCTGAAGGGCGCGAACTTCACTTGGGAGCGTCATCCGACTCAGGACGCGGAAGAAGGCACAGGCGGACCGCCAGGAAAGAAGCCGACTAGGCAAGAGAAGAAGGAGAACAAGGCGAACGCAAAGCTAGCGCAGACCAGTGGAGAGACTACGCCTTCGGATGCGACTGCCGTGGAAGAGGAGAAGCCCTTTGAGATCAAAGGGTTGAACCTCAACATTGGGCGAAACGAGCTCGTGGCTATTATCGGAGGTGTAGGTTCTGGAAAGAGTTCGCTCCTTGCAGCCTTGGCAGGAGACATGCGCAAAACCAGTGGTGAAGTCATCTTTGGTGCTTCGCGTGCTTTCTGTCCGCAATATGCGTGGATCCAAAATGCTACGGTACGAGATAACATCATCTTCGGTAAGGAGTTCAACAAAAAATGGTACGACGAGGTCGTAGATGCATGTGCCCTACGCCCTGACCTGGACATGCTACCACACAACGATGCGACAGAGATTGGAGAGCGCGGTATCACGGTATCTGGTGGCCAGAAGCAGCGTATGAACATTGCTCGAGCCATTTACTTCAACGCAGACATTATCCTCATGGACGACCCCTTGAGCGCTGTTGACGCACATGTTGGTCGCCACATCATGGACAATGCCATTTGCGGTCTACTCAAAGACAAATGCCGTATCCTTGCTACCCATCAGCTACATGTCCTCAGCCGCTGCGACAGGATCATCTGGGTGGATCAAGGAGAAGTAAAAGCCGTCGACACTTTTGACAACCTCATGGCTCAAAACGCAGACTTTGTACAGGTCATGAGCACCACCGCCAAGGAGGAGGAGAAGGAAGAGAAAGAGGAAGTCAACGAGGACGAGGTCGAAGCAGAGGTCAAGAGCACAAAGAAGCAGAGAAAGCAGAAGAAACAGGCGGCCCTCATGCAACAGGAAGAACGCGCAACCAAGAGCGTCAGCTGGGAGGTCTGGATCGAATACATCAAAGCTGGAGGCGGCCTCTGGGTCGGTCCATTCGTCTTCATCCTCCTCGTCCTATCCCAAGGCGCCAACATCGTTACTTCGCTCTGGCTATCCTACTGGACCTCCGACAAGTTCGGCTTCTCAGAGGGCGCATACATTGGCGCCTACGCAGCTTTCGGTTTCAGTCAAGCGCTCTTCATGTTCTTCTTCTCCTTCTCGGTATCTATCTTTGGTACAAGAGCTGGTAAGGTCATGTTGCACCGCGCTATTACCCGTGTACTCCGCGCGCCTATGTCCTTCTTCGATACTACGCCGCTGGGACGCATTACGAATCGTTTCAGCAAGGATATCGATGTTATGGACAATACCATTACCGATGCTATGCGCATGTACTTTTTGACGCTCGCCATGATTATATCGTAAGTTATTCAGGATACACAACCTTGGAAGTCTTAGAGATCTGGAACTAACATAAAGGGCAGTGTTTTTATCCTCATCATTTCGTACTATTACTACTACGCCATCGCTCTTGGCCCGCTGTTCATCTTCTTCATGTTCTCGGCTGCCTTCTACCGGTCTTCTGCTCGCGAGGTCAAGCGTCACGAAGCCGTTCTGCGCAGTACGGTGTTCTCGCGCTTTGGCGAGGCTGTCATGGGCACTGCAACTATCCGTGCGTACGGTCTTCAGGATCAATTCTCAAAGACGGTTCGTGATGCAATCGACGACATGAACAGCGCCTACTATCTCACCTTTGCCAACCAACGCTGGCTGAGTGTTCGTCTGGATCTCGTCGGTATCCTGCTCGTCTTCACAACTGGTATCCTCGTCGTTACAAGCCGTTTCTCCGTCGACCCCAGTATCGCTGGTCTAGTTCTATCGTACATTCTCACCATTGTACAGATGATCCAGTTTACGGTCCGCCAGCTTGCTGAGGTGGAGAACAACATGAACTCGACGGAGCGTATCCATCACTACGGAACTCAACTCGAAGAAGAAGCGCCCCTGCACATGGGTGAGGTACGACCCACCTGGCCAGAGCACGGCGAGATTGTCTTCGACAACGTGGAGATGCGATACCGAGATGGACTACCTTTGGTGCTCAAGGGTTTGAGTATGCACGTCCGTGCTGGTGAGCGTATTGGTGTTGTTGGCCGTACCGGAGCGGGTAAATCGTCCATCATGTCGGCATTGTTCCGACTGCAAGAGCTGTCAGGTGGCTCAATCGTCATTGATGGTGTGGATATTGGCAAGATTGGTCTTCACGACTTGCGCTCCAAGCTGGCTATTATCCCGCAGGACCCGACGCTCTTCAAGGGAACCATCCGGTCCAACCTGGATCCTTTCCATGAACATTCCGATCTTGAGCTCTGGTCTGCCCTGCGACAAGCTGATCTTGTGTCCAACGAGCAGACCATGGATGACCACTCTGGCAGGATACATCTTGATAGTGTGGTTGAGGAAGAGGGTCTCAACTTCTCCCTAGGTCAGAGGCAGTTGATGGCTTTGGCTCGCGCGCTTGTCCGCGGCTCTCAGATCATCGTCTGTGACGAAGCTACCAGCTCGGTCGACTTTGAAACGGATGCGAAGATTCAGCAAACGGTAAGACTTGAGTCATCAACCAGTGCTATGGAGTAGGTGAGCTAACATTGAACAACAGATTGTGGACGGCTTCAAGGGCAAGACGCTTCTGTGCATCGCCCATCGACTAAAGACCAGTAAGTGGATCAATATGCCTAGCGCATGCAAACTTCCCTACTAACATTCAGTAGTTATCAACTACGACAGGATTTGCGTCATGGACGCTGGGCTGATTGCAGAGCTCGACTCGCCACTAAATCTCTACGACCAAGGCGGAATATTCAAGGGCATGTGCGACAGATCCGGCATCAAGAGGGAAGAAATCGCTGGTGCAGTAAAATAGAAGTCTGGGGGGGTTCAAGGAGTTGTGATTGGACCAGTGCGGGTACGCGGCCCAGAACGTAGGCTAATGATGCGGCTGTTCTTAGGAAGCAGGAAGTAAGCAAACGCACACATTGATGGTTGCGCATGGCATGGCATGGCGTTGGCGCGGCATTTCTCATCGGGCAGCATGGAAAGACTTTTGCGATAAGAAAAAAGTGTTAATTCATAGAGCTGGCTGCTGTTCAGCTCATTACAAACAAACTTGTCGACGAGTGTCGGGGGGCTTGAAAAACTATCGAAGAGTCTATCGACGAGTCTATACAAACGCCAGCCTGGGTCCAGATGCCCATCGCAAGCGCGGGCGGCGCGCGACCATGTGACACGACTGGCCAAGGCCGGGGGGCGTTGGTACTGGGGGGGCGTTGGTACTATGGCGTGCGCATCGCGCATTTGACAGCATCATAGTACCGTAGGTCCCTATGAAGAGTAGCTCTGTATGACAAGCGATGCTTGCCAGCAGTTTGCATTAGCGCGAAGCTGGCTCAAGCGGAACGCACGTGCGCGGCTCGCTGGAGCGTCAGTACCCTCTTTGCGGCAACTCATCATTCGTGCGTTATCTAATCTCAGGCTTCGCCTACCGTCTCCAGATCGTATCGTTCGTCGCGTGGGCGTATGGGCGTATCTTCTTTGGTATGGATTCCGGAGGATTGCATAGACTTTTCCTTTGTGTTTACTGCGCCGCTCAAGTGGATGCTGTAGTGGTTTCACGCGCCGCTAGTTCATCAAGATAACAGTGGGTTATTTGGGACACGTCCAGAGTAACAATGTGATCATACGACGATTTGCCTGCTCGATCGAGAGGCACAATTGCGATGATTGCCTTTGTGGTAGGCTTATGCATTTCGTTAGACGGGCTCAACTACTGGCAAGCCTGGTGCATTCCAAGCGCGGTAATAGAACAAAGAAAAAAAGTTCGCCTTCTCGAATGCTTCGCTGTTGAAGGTGGCACCAAGAACAGCAAGTCGCGCGTTGGTGCATGACAGACAAGCTGTGACCAAGGCGCTCGGCCAGGTGCTCCGCGTGCATCTGGCGGCCCAAAGATTGGGTGGAGCAGAGGTTTTATGCGCGCTTTAGCTGCAAGGGGCTTAGCAATTCAACAGCCAAGATGAGCCAAACTGCAGTCGCGCAGCACGGATCTAGGCCTGGGAAGCTGCTAACCCCTTATGATGTAAGTTGACGACCTGCCAGGCACGCTGTAATCAATCTAGCGGGCCTTCAGCGGCGTCAAGTGCAAAAGCTTGTAGTGGGGAAGGGGAGGGAGAGGAAGAAAGACGGCGCGGAGAGGGGAATATGGAAATATGGAGGAGTAATGTCGATGGTGCTGTAACGATGAGGGACGCGAATGGGCGAGTGAATGGGCGAGAGGCGATGGAGATCAGGGACGTAAGACAGCTATGCTCAACTCAGCGCGACAAGCCGGTACGATGTTGCAGGGACATGGCTCCGAACGGCCTAGCGGCCCCGATGATTGACCCTAGCTCTGAACTCAGCTTTCACACAGACCTTGTCCATCAGACGGCATGGGCCTGGGGTGCGTGCAGTGCAGAGAAGGAGCAATTCACAATTCACTTCATATCTTTGCTCCTCCCACCCGCGACCACACGCTCCTTCCACTAGGCCGCACATTTCTTCTTCAGCTGTCTTTTAAGTGCCCGTGATAGCACCCGACGCACGCTGGTCGACCCGTTGCTTCCCTGATCCCCTGGTGCACTGTTCGCTCCTTCCTTATCCACGGCAATCCCCCTTCCCTTTCCAGCCATATCTCCCACGATACCAGTTATCACACGGCAAGCGATAACGACGTCTTCACCATCACCATTACCATCTCATCCCATGCTGCGCCTGTCGTGACGCAATTACCCCGACTGCAAAGAGTGGCACCACCTCCGGCCACTGCATCTGCTGTCTTCCATCTGCCGTCCAACGGGTCCTGACGAGCTCACACTTTACGCCTTGGACCTCAAACGCCCCATCATTGCCAGCGTGAAACACTCCTTGCCTACGTCACAATGGCAGCAAACGAGAAGCACGAGCCCGTTACTTTCGGCGCCAGCGTGCTACGCTCTCCAAGCCCATTAACAACCCCTTCGCAACCCCTCCGCTCGCAGCCCTCCAACGACTCAACCATGTCGACTGCCACCGCCGACGCAGAAGCCGCCAAGAAAGAGTGGGCTGCCGACCCCTCCAACCCATACTCGGCCTTCTACAAGCACCCGGAGGCTCTCCGCGAGACGCGTCACTCCCTCAACGACGGCGCGCCCCAGAGCAAGACGCACCTTGGCGTCGCTGTTCACGAACACGAACACGATCTCGAGGGTGGCGTCCCCCTCTCGGTAGCCTCAACACAGCAGCAATCGAAACACTCCGTCGATGGCCGCGTCAAGGAGTGCACAATGTGGCCCACGAGGCAGGCTGTACTGGACAAGCGGAAGTCTTACCAACGCAAGCGTGGCTGTGCTTTCTTCCGCAACTTGACCAACAAGCAGAGAATGTGGGCTAAGATCATCATCGCTCTTCTCGTCATAGGCGCTGCCGTCGGCCTCGGTGTTGGAATCTCGAGGGCTGTCGGCGGTGGCGTATGGGCTGGCGAAGGCCGATCCAAGGAGATCCCCCACGGCGACGGACATTGAGGTGTAGCTGCTGCAGCAATGCAATCGTACGTCACTCTCACCATCCTTTCAACTCATGCCAGCACTAACCCTCCCATGCAGAACCACCACCCGTCTCTTCGACCGCACACACTCACGACTTCGGCATACTTCGCTTCGGACAACATCCTTTTTCGATATCCCTTTTCATCTGTTATATTGTTTTTTCTTCGTGGCAGTGTGCATATCACTCTGCCGTCTTTTCTGTGTGTTACGGCATCGAGTCTTTCTATATCACTCGAGGGGTTTGGCGTACATATGGGCGCTTTCTTACTGGGTTACATTCTCTACATGCATTGGAGCGCCGGAGTATAAATGGGCGTTGGGCACATTAGTCGCGTACACCTTCCTGGGTATGCTATATGAGAAGAGAATCGAGCTTTGCCTCCACTGTGAGGCTGCTTTTGCACGTCAACCCTCCTTTCAACATCTATGCGATCTTCCCATGCTTGAATCAGTGATGATGGAACTGCCTTGTTGACACTCGCTACAGATTTTGGTTTTAACAAGTCATAGTAGCCTCTACGCCGATAGCATCTATCAGACCGATATCTTGTTCAAGCGCTCACGAGAAAGGGCGCTGTAAGCGCAGACGATAACCACGATGTTGACGGTAGGATTATAGCTATCACACCTTGATTAAATCCAAATTGTCGTCAACTTTCTGATAGTCGCGCATTCTGGTAATCCACGCTGATTAACCACACGGATCATGTCTGGAGTCCAGTAGGTCTACACCTCATCCTTTTAGTCTTTTAAACGAATCTTTCAACATCACCTCAACAGCTAAATCCCATCCATGGTTTCGAAATACTCAGTCTCGACACTGTAATGTGGTGAATGAGCTACCTAGGCAAACTCGAAGAACTGTGCTACATCCCAATCAATACCCTTAGGAGGGGTAAGCGGTTTCGCACTCAAAATTGCAACAAAAAGAAGCTCGGATGTTAGTTCGCATGTGGATCATATCGACCCTGTACATCTATCCGTTATGTGCACAGATATGACGAACACCTAGCGGGTGCTATTTCAGTACGCCGCAACTTTAAATTTTTGTTGGGTGAATGGACAAGGAAAAGCCTACGATACAAAAGCTTGTTTATTGACACGTACATTCATCTTACCAACTAGCAGGGCTCTTCAGCGGGTACGCCGGTTAGCTCAGATAGTCATCCGTCATACTGATGGTATATCGCTGGCGCTTACTCAAGTCCCCATCAGCTATGCACCGCGACCGGCTCTGGCTGCATACTCCACTTTTGCTCCATCGGATCCCCACAGGCTTTGAGACACGCCATCTTTCGCAGATCCCCAAAGCGTATGTGCGTATCGAGAAAAAGATAAGTGTACAGGTATGGTTTAAGGGAGAACCCTTTGGCATCGTACTCACATCTGAATAAAGAAATTGACCCACTTTCCCTTATCGCGGGGTGGCTTGAGTGCGGGTTGCTTTTTCACATGTTCATCGCATACGCGAACCGTGATTGATTTCAGCGTGCTGCTATTTCGAGACCACGGCTTCGCAAAAGTAACAAAACTTCTTGGCATCTGTCTTTGTCAGATATTTCTTTTGAGTATCCAAGATTGAGGCAACGAAAACAGAACTGGCTCCACAGGGATCAGCTGTGTCGTGAGATATTGTAACACAATTATACTTTCCAAAAACCATGCTAGTCCCGTCTTTACTGATTGGAGCATCAATCACGTATTGTTCAACAGGTGTGTTCAAAATCAAGTACTACATGACTCGACGATCACGAAATGGACAATAAGATTATAGCTATCGCTGTTGTGCTTTCAATAGCAACACATAAAACCATCTCTTCGTTGCAAATCATGCTCTTGCAGCGCCATGCTTAAAGAATTGTAGTGACATGTGTCGAGCCAGTCGACATCATCTCAATAGCCCGAGTAAGCTACTCACATGTACGCAGCACCTCTCCTTCCCAATCTTCTTCCTTGCAGCGCCTTCGCTGCGTTATCATTAGGCTGCGCATCCCCAAACCCACACCCTCCATCTCTTTCCTGTGCAACGACGGGACCGGCACATTTCCCACTCTTGAACCCACAGCAAGCCGAAGCGCAGTCAGCGTCCGATGTACAAGCCCCAGTAATGAACTGCGTGCCAGCTCCAGCTGCAGCTCCGACCCCGGCCCCGGCTCCAGTGCCACTACCGGCAGGGGGAGTAGCAGGAGCAGCGGGAGCGGCAACATCTGGTTGAGCATCGGCGCTGGCATTTCCACTTGCGCCGTTCAAAGCATTGTTGTTTGGTTGTGCGTCGCCAAAGCCACATCCCTCACCCCGTTCATTCGCTACGAATGGTGCCGCACACTTTCCCGATGTGAAGCCACAGCAGCCTGATGCGCATGCAGCGTCTGATGCACATTCGCCCGTGATGAATTGGGTGCCTTGGGCTGCGGCGTAAAGTGAGACTACCAAGGGAAATTAGTAAGAATAGAGGCAAGTCGGTAGAAGGGACCTTACGGTTGAGAAGAGCAAGAAGCTTGAAGATGGGCGCCATATTCCTTGATGGTGTTGTTGGATGGATATAATAGTATGGTAGGCGAACGTATGATGGGTCTTCACTGGGAAGTAAGATTAAATGTGAAGTGTGGTTCAAAGATTTCAGTTGCCTTGATATTGATGATGTATGTTAGCATTCAGTAGCTGACTCTCTATATATGTCTATATCAATACTGTAGAAGCAAACCCTGAACTTGGCACGAGCACAGTAGGCGCCAACTCGAAACGACCAAAGTCACTGAGGTCTCATTTACACCTCAATGGGTAATCAGGTCCGTATGGCGACGAGGTGACATAGCGTGAAGCACGTTTTGCGTAATAGACATCCATGGGTAGTACTGACCACAACGTTTCGTATCTAATTCTGTTTACGAATGGGGCGGGAAAGCCCATCATCACGCCAGTAGCGTGAAAACGCAAACATCAAGAACGTTATGCGTTCTCTTGTTCGTACCTAAATAGCAAGTGTGGAGAAGAGTGAAAGAAGGAGAAAGCGTCAGAGAAAGCGTCGTAAGCGAGCCTATTAGCGCCCTCCAGCCTCATCCACCCCGCGCTCAGCCATTGCCAACTTTCTGCCTCGAAATGCCTCAACACATCTCAGGTTTCCGGACCGTTAGAAGATTGGAAGTGAGCCAATAGGGTTTTTGTGGTTTGCCAAGATGATCGCCGACGGCATGAATGCAGCGGCAGGGGATCAGACCGAGCAGGTGTCGCATGTTGCGGCCTGGCGCTTGGGATGTCTGAGTTCCGAATGATCCTTACGCATGAGGCTGAGGTCATCCATGAGCGCAGCTTAGAAGCGATCTGGTGTCGGTTTTATTATAATGCTTCGACTGCGGTTAGAAATTTTGATAAACGGCCAAGTTGCAGGCATCTCCTGACTAGAAATGCTGTTTTTGAATTAGTAGCACAATACGGCATCGAGGAGCAGATGGCGAATTTATGCTTGCTAGGATTTGCTTGATTTGTTTTCCTGGTTGAGCTCTACACTTTATTATCAATCGGGAATGCCGTGTACTTTAGTTCAACGCAACGATCAAGCAGCTTAGAAACTAAGCTTCACGATACTCTTTTGTGCTCGAACAGGATTGCTGTTCTCACCCGGGAATGAATTCTGACCGAAGATTGAAAAGCATTAGCATGTAACGTCTACGCATGAAATGCAGGTTATTTGTTCTTTTGTATGATGAGCACGAAGATGAATAGAAATCTGACGATAATTTGTAGTAAGTAATTGTAAGTTGATCGAAGATGTAGCCTGCGAAATTTTAGCTTGCCAATAGTGTTCGTCTGGGTTTCCGTAAGAAGCTTAAATCTGGCGTAAAGTGATGTTGACGTAGTAGTCGAGCGATGTGTTGGCGGATACCGAGATGGTGATGAGCTGAAGCTAGACGAGAACAAATTAATCAAAGGGTCTGCGATGGATATATATCCTTTAGGTATTAAATTACTACTGATACCATCAGTATAACATCTGTTAGTGATGCCTGAATGTTGCGTGAGTGTTGACAGTTATATTTAGCTAGGCAGAACTCAGTCAAATCTAACTGGCAACATCGCGAATTGTTAGCAACGAAAGGCTATTGAAGGTAGGAGACTTACGATGAAATTCTAAAATCTAAAAATGAGTATCATTCAACCTTGTTTGGCGGCCTCGACGCTTCCAATCACCCAGAAACAGGCAGTGACTGGTTAGGCAGTATGTCGGTTGTCGCTTGAGAACAGCTCCCCTTGGTTAGAAACGGACGCACTCAATTGATTGCGCTGAACATGATGGTATGAAGCTGGTGGAAGAGGTTTACTGAATGATAGTGCGTAGTTACATTCGTTCCCAGAAGGGGGACAACCAAGTTGTGAGACTGGCAATTTGACGTTGCTACCCAACAATCAGATAACACAAGTCTTCACTTGCCAAGTACTGAAAAATGCATAAAAACCTCCAATGAAAGAAGAGACGATAGTCTCAGACCGAACAACGAACGGAACGGTCGAAAGCTATACCAAGCACGATGTTGTGTGCCGTGTGGTGTACAACCTGATAAGCTAGCGTTACCGAAGAATTGTAGAAGCCTGACATAAAAGAGAAAAGGGTATAGAACCAGCTATCAGAAGAAGATAGGTCGCAGCAAAAGTAATTCGAAAGGCAAAGGGCCCAGTAACCGCATGGTACGAGACCGTTTTGAAGAGCAGAGACTTCAGAGGTAGCACCCTCTGATTAGGAGCGCAGTCCCATATGCCCGTTACCCCTGAGTGTTGTTGTTGTGTTGTATCCTGGCGATGGAACAGTTATCTAGAAGTGGTGTAGGTGCCGGTGTATTGCGTTCGCTGCGCTGTGTTCGTAGGAGGAGGGGGAGCGGAACTAAGTGCCTTCCAAGCGACTTCGGCGGCTTCTTCTCGGGACTGTTCGAGGTAGCGGTAGTCTCGCCAGAGGTGGGCTCGGTATTCGCGGCCGTTAATGAAGACACTGCTTGACCAGGCTGTCCGGATACCTGGATAATAGAGTCAGTCAAAGATAAGAAGGGTGGGGCGACATGTAGAGCTCGTATGGCTACATACCTCGTGGGTCGGAGTAATCCTGGAACTGAGGTTGAGCGATCTGGTTCGTAGCGCAGTAATCTGTGACGTTTAGCTAGGCATTTAGAGGGGCAGTGGCATGCGCACGCTGAAGCTTCTGGACGTAATCTCTGGTGCTGCCATTGTGCGAGATGGGTTCGTGGGAGATGATGAAAATGCAATACTGTCGAGAAGTTTGGAGTGGGGTAGTGCTTCGTGAGTGGGGATGTAGAGAATCAACTATGTGTGCGAGGGCTGGGAAGAACACTTGCTCTAGCATGTTTCCTCCTCTGTTTATAGTCCGACATGACCATCAGAGCCTCACTATCGGTATCCTGTAGGAACCGGCCAGCGCTTTTGCCACACGACCGTCTCAAAAAGATCCAGCCTGCAGCCGCTGTACCACATATGTGCTTGGGAACAAAGCGTGAAGCTGATGCTATGCTGCGTTGGCAGGCCTGTTTCCGCCATAATTGGCCGGCAGAAACATCATTGAGCGAGCAACTGCGGGGGTAGCGAGGACAGAACGCGGCAAGGCAGAAATTACAACCGCCAGAACCCGGTTCAGACACTATGACGGATTGTTGCGTGTTTTCGGCACCACAAGTTTGGGATGGAGAGACCAATGAGCTGATACGGATAAATTTTGGTGTTGAGTATGTTTACCTTGTTAAGCTTGGTTCAAGCGATGTGCTGGCACTGAAGGACGACGAGAGATGCTGCCATGCTAGTTTCTCAAGGCCGATGCAGTGCCAGATGTGTCTCGCAGATTGGCCCATAGTTCCATCGGCGTTCGGCCCGCTTACGGTTAGATGATTAAAGGGCCGTGCCGTTTCCGTACCGTATATATGCCATCTGAAAGCGCGTCATCTTAGACACCATGCTCCTCCGCGTGCTGGAGCTGCAAAGGTCGCATACGCAGCAATGCAACGTTAAGCGAAGGAACGTGGGATTAGGGTAGCTCACGGCTTCAACTGGACCCACATGAGTGAGGTGGCATACGCAATTGCCTAGAGCGGCATGTCAATATCAATCAATGTGTTCCTGGCGTGAACCGCTCAGCCCTGCGATCTCCAGGTTCGTGCATTGAATGCAGCCCATGTCACATCACATTTCTGCAGGCTATCCGGTTCCTGAATTGCTCGTGCTATGGCCATGAGTTTGGTGTACTCCCAGACCCTCCGACACGATGAACGCTAGCCAACTCTTTAACGCGGCACTTGTTCGGTATTCGCTCCGGGCGCTTGAAGCGGATGGCGCAGCTGGATTGATCTACAACACGAGGCTCACGGCGGGGTTAGCACACCCTCCATCTTCTTCTGCTCTGCGCTGGCAGTCGTTGTGTTGTTCATCGAACGCGTCCGAACTGCTGGAAGTGGTGGCTGTTCATGACTGTCAGTGACGTGTCGTACGGATTAATATTGCGCTAGCCTAATCGACGCCACAATGCACGTGCGTAGAGCAATGCAAACCTTGGAAAATCCTCGGGAGGCCCACAATATCGCGCCTTACAAGGTTATGCAAGTCAGGCATGTAGCTGTCGAGTTAGTTCCTTATGCGCGATTCCTGCAAGAGACGTGGTCCACATGAGCTTCTCCCGGCTTCTGCGCCGCCGCACCACACCACGTGTAATTCCACGACGGACGTCATCGGTTGCGCATCAACGGACACTAGGCATTTGAGTTCTGAGCTTAATCGAGTGTTCTCCATTCGTTCCTAGGTATGTGAAGGCATGCATCACGTGTTATTGCAGATAGTAAGGATGCAGGTGAGGCGTTGTTGCCGAAGGTACTGGCCACCTGTGATCAACAGCGGCACCCAAACATGGCATTTTGACGGGACGAAGAAGGGTCAAGGTTCCTGCGTTTACGCAACGGACTTGCTTCCGCAAGGAAGAGCAGGTTTTCATGAGCACATGCGTCCTGACGTCCTTGATCCTTTCGTAGTAATCATGATGTCCTCGGTGTTGCTGCCTTCCTTAAGTTGGGATGGAAGGAACTGACAGGCTCAAAATTCGACATGCAATCATTCTTGACATCAATGAAGTCACAACATCAAGGAACTACCTTAGGTGAAAGATAACTCAGAAAAAGTGGCTCCTGACAACCTGACCTAACTCTTCCAACCCTCGAATGGGGTGCCTGATGGTTAGGTTTGACTGGATCGTGACGGCTAGACGAAGGCATCGGAGGAGAAAATATCTACAAAACCTTGGCGTCTACCTTATCACAACTGAATAAAGACAAACACCATGGGCACACGCAAGCGTTCATAGGATACACAAGAGGTCATCAAGTGTTGTATTGCCAAAAGTGAGTAAATGAGTGACTGGCCGTACAACTATGGCTTCAGACTCCACGCACGATCTACCACTATCACAGCAATATCGCCCTCTAGCGAAGAACGACCTCCATCGTTTCTAGAAAGAGCCCGCTGGCATCTACACGGCCTGTGAACGAACCATCAGTCCAAGTCAAACTCCTCCAACTGAGGACAATTTACTCACCATATTCTCAGTTGAACATATACTCATGTCTAGCAGTTGCACTGGCAGCAGAGAGTCATGCCGCACCAGTTGCAAGGACAGCCAGTGTTGCATCGAGCCTCTACATGAGCGCGCTTAATCATCTCGACACTATGCTCGGGCGCATACTGAATGAGGTTCGAGACGGGAGCGGGACTGCGATCGAGGAGCTCACTGGGAGCAGCGCTGGCGAAAGAGAGGAGGGTGATGATGGGGAGGGCGAAAGTAGTGAACCGCATGGTGTTGAGGTAGGCGTTTCCGTGAGAAAGATGGTAAGTTTGAGAGTGAAGAAATGTTGGTCCGCGTGTTTGCTAAGGACCGAGTGCCCTAAGGGAGGGCTTATATACGTGCTGGAACTCTTCGAGGGCTACAGAGTCGTGGTACCGTACACTCTAGTTCTTCAGAACGGTCCGTGATGCCGATAAAGGGCCCACTTGCTGATGCTGCATACAGACTTGAAGTCTTCCGGTATACTTACGACGAGCATCCGGGTCGTCGGCGAGTCAACCTCAGGCTGAAGTGAAGCAGCACCTTCCGAGAGCAGTTATAGATGTATGCACATTGCTGATAAAGTCCACTGCCTACTGGTTAGTTCAGTGATAGCCAACGCCCAGTTCCTCTAGCTGGTCATGACCACCTACGCGAGCGGCCGATCACAGCAGCACTCACACATAGGGTGCTTGACCTTGCTCTGAATGGAACGGGTCGTCGAACAGAGCAATAGTCTCGGCCGTAAGTCAACCCCAGGTTTACGCGGCCAGGTGTCTGGATGTGCATGAATTCGTGAGACTTGACCGGGTCAAGCTTTTCAAGCTTAGCTTGTATGCACTCTTAACCTTCCTACACAGGCTACTATGACGAGTTGAAATTTGGTAGCGAGTAATAACACTGGTTGGTGCATGGCCTTCTTCCGCGGGGCTACTGTAAACTTCGTTACGCTTGGTAGTGAGATGCCTGGAGGATGTAACGCCACAAAAGGTTGGTTGGTGGATATTTCTTACAGACTCCGTAGTTTCGAAGTGACAAGCGATGAAGGCTTGTAGTATAGCTCAATGAGTAGCTGGTATGTACATTGTTTTGCCCAGCTAACCCCATGCTTTTTGTTCTTGGTACTCTAGAGCGTGGCGTACACAGAAATGATGCTGAAAATGTGTGTAGGGGCTCAGCGACCGAACAACAAACCCAAACAGCATACAGTGTCTTCGAGATACTGGCGGCCTTGTAGCAACATGTGTTGCAGGCTAACTGATCTGTACGCGCCTCACCAACTATCACCAACTCAATTGATACTAGCCAGCGCCACGATCGAGGGCTGAAAAGCTTTTCCGACAGAAAGTTCCCTCAGTCCTGTTGGCTTTACTGCTTCCAGCCGCAGCATGACGCGGTACAACCGTAGTCAGTATCAATATAGCCTAAACTCCCCTGCAAGGTAGAAGGTGCGGGCCGCCCCCCAAGCTGGAGTATTGGCGGGTACAGCCGCTCGTGACCATTGCTGATGGTATTTTGCTGCGCCATTACCGGAATTGGGGAAGAACATTTTGCTGATTGAGAGGGATGCAATCAATAGGTGCATTAGCGTACGGCGGTTTACGAGTGAACAAGCCGTCCCGCATGTGTCAGCTTATCTCCGGTCAAGATTAGTATACGCGCATAGGAGGGTTGTGATTTGAGATTATGCTATTGAACCTTCGAGGTTGATCAGACAGTGTTCGAAGCTCGAGAAGCCAACGAAGGGGTGAATGATGGCCTATACTCGACTGTCGGATGACGCCTCGATTGAGAGTTCATACGAGAAAGTAGAACCATCTGAGTCACCACTACACAGTTTCTTTAGGTACTTCTCGTACAAGAACCTGTTTGGCGCCTTTCTTGTTCTGTGGATAGCAACATTGGCCATGCTTGCTTGGGTTTGGGGGCAGAAGACCTCGACCTACGGTAACCATGCAGCGAACTTGTTGCCATTTCCTCCAGGTACGAGTTGAAGAGACGTAAAGGTATCACGGATGCTTTGCTAACAGAGATATCAAGTGCCATCCCGCATTGTCACTTTCAACCCAAACCCAAAGTTCCACTACACAGCCAAAGATGCAGGCGGGCCCGCATGGTCCGCTTTGATGCCCAGTATTTCCCCCAAAGCATGCGATTCGACGGAAAGACTGACAAGGAGCTCATAGATGATGGGGGAATCGTCTCTATAGCCGACCCCAAAAGGTACCAGCTACCCGTGAGCTATAAGGATCGAAACGTCTCTAGCTCGGAAGTATTTTCCATGTCCATGTTCCATCAGCTACACTGCCTGGTCAGTCTTGTGCAGTAACCACAAGGACTATTCGCTGACGATAAAAGAACTCCATTCGAGTGCGGCTCGGGACATTGGAAGGCTTCATCAACAATACTGCCGCTGGTATACACAGAAGGGATGTTTTCGCGCCGGAGTCGCATGTGAACCACTGCTTCGGTAAGTGTCCCTGTACGGATTGCATGTGAGACATACACTGACCTCGTACACCTACATTCAGACTATCTTCGCCAGGTAAGACCCCCGCCTCTTTATGCGCGAAGCAAGTGCTTGAGTGCTAACACTGCATCTCAAGGCTATCATGTGCGCAGGAGATCTATCTTTGGAGCACTCTGTTGTTCCTGAGGAGTTCGGGTTCAACGGTTGGGGAACATCGCACCAGTGTGCAGATTGGGATGCTATGTGGGATATTGCGGTGCAACATCAGTACGATCAGGGTGTTGGGCAACAAGCGAATCGTGATGAGTAGAGCAAAAACGTGCTCCGATGCTGAATTCAGTATCGCTAACAGGAATATCGCAAGGCTGCGTCATTGCTGGTAGATGGGGTCAGTAAGATTGGAATTGAGATTGCCTTCATCTGCGCCTTCTCCTTTTCGTGTGGGGTCCAATCTGCCTGCATACGCAATGTAATCCAAAGCCTAAGGCTCAGAATTGCCAATGATACTGAGCGTCGGTCCGTATTTCAAACAGACAAGGCTTCTCGACTCTCAGCTCCAGCCGGCGTTGCAAGGAGCGGACATGAGCATCGGAAAGTGACGCATGTGAGCGACCCAATGAAGTTGGATCATCAGTCTGCGCGATCGTTCCCGACACGCCCTCTTGTGAAACGCACCGTCTCCGAAAAGTTCACCGCGGCCTTGGTGAAGTGGCTCCAAGGCTACTGTTACGTTCGGCACGGAGCGGCCACGTAACCGCGGCGCCGCAACCTTGGAAGTCCATGAGCGCTCTCAACTGTTGTTAGCAATGACGCCAACAGAAATCGCGCATGAGAGCAAGATCTCTTATCGATACATTACCGGCCAGTGTCGAACGGCGACGAATGAGAATGGCGAGAAGTGAGGAGGCGAAACCCGCAGAGCCGCGGTGTGGCTGGGGGCGGCCAAAAATAGCTCTCCAGCCTCCGTCCGTCCCACGCCGGACCCCCCGATCTGCGCAACACCCAGCCTTTTGACAGCTAACGCCATCTCGGTCGGCTGGGTGATCCTGCGTTCTGGCTCGTGCTACTGGCTCATTGCCCGTTGCGGTGGGTCCAAGGGGCTTTGTAGGGCTGGGTGACAGAGGGCTGGCATGTGGATTGTTTGCAGTCGGTGTACGTAGGCCTGTGGGTTCCGGCTTGGAGAAGGCCAGAAGATGCTGGCAGCAAATGTAATTATGGATAGAGGCGCAGAGGATATAAACACGGCTGTGGTACGCTCTACTAAATTACCATCTCATCTAACCTACCATCAAAGTCTATCATCACACTCTTCAATCTTCAATCTTTACACACACTTCAACAAGAACAAACCTCGTCCACATCAAAGCCAAAATGCAGTTCTCCATCATCTCTGTCGTCGCTGCGCTCGCCGCCACTGCTACTGCCACCTACGTTCCTACCAACGGAACTGCTACCTCTGGTGCTCTCTACCCTACCGGCACTGGTGCTGCTGCCCCTACTGGAGCCAGGCCAACCTCAACTCTCCCCTTCACTGGTGCAGCCGCAAACATCGGCAGCTCAGCCCTTGGTCTCATCGTCGCTGGCGGTGTCGCTTTCGTAAGTTTCTTCCACTCTTAGATTCACACTGAAACAACGTCCTAACCAAAACCCAGATGCTGTAAGCGCTATAAGCACGCTGCTTGGCTCACAACTACAACTTCTTTTAATAACCTTTAATTGATTCGGGTTCAATATTGGCGTATCTTGGTTACGGAGTTACTACGGCATCAAGGGTCTCGGGATGAGATAATTAGCATCATTGGCGCAACGTAGAATTGGCGTAACGATGGAAATATTTAGATGCATAGACTAGACCTATGTTTAGCAGAGATTATGGCCTGGAAAATGGTTGACTGTTAATGGTCTACGAAGAGACGAGCCGAGAAATATCTAGAATGGCCTACATGGCCGAATGAATCAACTACATTTGAACATCACCTGAACTGCTTTGGCATACATGTGTGAGTAAGTGCTTTCCCGAGCTGTGACGCCAAGTGGTCAAAGGGTGGTGAAAGGGTGTGTGTAGAGTGGGGCTCTTAGACTTCCAGTTCAGGATGGCGTAAATGACGCGCGACGCGACTTCCGCGATCTGCAACTTTGGAACTTTACAAGCACACTGTTTCCCCCAACCCTGCTACCTACGCTACGACCCTATGGCCAATTCAGATGATATGTTGCTCAAAGGCGAGCCTTTGTACGTCGATGTTTCCAAATCGCATTCAAATACATATACTAACAGCAACAGCGAGGATGCGCCGCCAGCACCGTTTCGAAATGCTTCGGCGTACAACCCACTACATGACTTCGTACTACCACCGGGTACCGAGCGACACTACTCGCAACAATTCGCCGACATGTACTTCTTACGTTTGATGCAATTGAAGAAGACGGTGAAGCAAAGAGCTGAGGATGCATGGCACGACTTTGAGGTATGCGATGACCTGCTGGTGGATTGCGAGAGCATGTTACCAGGAGTAGGGCAATGCTGACATTGGGAAGCTAGGTGGACAAAAGGCCAGCTTTGTCGAGCGTGTGCTGGATGTGCGCCAGGGCGAGCTTTGCTGGGTAGTGGGAACAGTGTACATGGAAATGGCAGAGAAGCCCAATGTCCTGAACGACATTGAGAAAGACGTACGATTCTCTACCCAGAAACATCATGGATATCTTCTGACACTCTACAGCACTGGATAGCAGACCCTCCTCAACGCGACACCTACGTATCTTCCTCCGGCGCTGACGAGATGATGCTCGAAGACGAGTCTGGCCGTCTGCGCGTTACTGGCGAGCCTTTGCACCAACACTTTGTCACGGGATGTATACTGGCGGCACTGGGCACCGAAGAAGCAGACGGCACATTTATGGTCATTGCAACTCAATGTGCAGATCTACCGAGACAACCACCACGATGGGAACGCGACGACGTAGCGCTATCAAAGGAGAAGAAGAAGGCACCACAACGTGAAAGGGCTGGAAAGCTGGCCATTGTCTCAGGTCTGGAATTGACTGGGGCAGACGACGATGAGGTTTCGCTGGATCTGCTGGTGGAATATCTGACCGGCGAAGCTGCAGACCCAGCAACACAGGCCGAGTCTTCCAAGATAACACGACTCGTCATAGCAGGTGGCTCACTGTCAAAGGGCTCACCTATTCTATCGCGAGAAGACTTTGCTGCGAAGAAGAGCGCAGCAAGACACTACGGATACGACGCCTCGTCCTACAACGCAGCACCTACCACACGCCTCGACGAGTTTCTCTGCGAAATCCTTCCCTCGCTCCCCATCACTATGCTCCCAGGAGCATCGGATCCTTCAAACGTCGCCTTGCCACAACAACCCCTCCATCCTGCTCTCTTCCCTAAGACACGCCTCTACGCTGAGCCACCAATAGAAACCAACACAACCCTTAACGGTTTCGACGCGGTGACAAACCCTTGGTTAGGCGACATCGACGGATACCGTGTGCTAGGCACAGGAGGCCAGACAGTCAAAGACTTACTCAAATATGTCAATCGTGTCAAATCGATAGACGCCATGGAGATGATGCTGCGCTGGCGCTGCGTAGCACCCACAGCCCCAGATACGCTATGGTGCTACCCGTTCCAAGACGAAGACCCATTGATGCTAAAAGAGTGTCCGCACATGTACTTTGCCGGCTGCCAGAATAAGTTTGAGAAGAAAGTTATCGAGGGTTCTGCGGGACAAAAGGTGCTGCTTGTTAGCGTACCCAAGTTCAGGTCTTCGGGCACGATTGTGCTGGTTGATATGGAGAGCTGGGACGTGGAAGTCGTCAAGCTGGGGGCCAAGGGCAACAAGGCTTCGAACCAACGAATTGAGGTAAAGGGAGAGGACACAATGGAGGAGTAGGTGGAGAACATTCGTACAATTGATACCCGATTTGTTGGAGAACATGTTTTGACCATTGCAACGCGAAATCGTGGATTCCCGCAACGGCACAGAAAATGGCAATTGGCTACACAATCATGTTCATTGTTGTACGTCAAAAAGTCCCTCGAGATATGCCACCAGCCAATGGCATTGTCGTCGTATACCGGAAATAAACCATGCACGTTAGTCTCCACATGCAAAAGAAGACACGGCAAGTGGGTACACTACGTCGTCATAAACGCTTGGGTCTTGGACGATGTCATTCGGCAACAGCTTAGCCTCGCCAATAGCCGGATTACTGCTTCTCCAACACACCTACTCGTACGATGATCAGCAACCTTCGAAACAGGGGTTATTTCTTTCGTGATGTCAACATTCATATTTCATGTTATGAGTGGACAGAGTCGTTTGACGCGTCGTGCTGATGTAACATGTACGTAGATGCTGAAGGTGTGTGTGTGTGTGTGTGTGTGTGGAGTAATGTGGACTCAACAACGTCCATCATGGATACACAGAAGATGCACATGACAAATGAAAATTCAGTTGTGGAAAATGAGACACTGGTATTTTGCGCAAAAAGTGGTATCTAGAGTATCAACACCCAATCCCAGTGTATCCAGGAAACGCCATCGCCAATGTAGGAAAACTCCGTTCGTCTTTACATCCTAGTGATATATGTGATATTGTACAAGTGGGACATGAATAAACAAAGGGAAATCTAAACCTTCTAGGCCTTGAAGTTTGCGGTGGTCCATTCTTCATACTCTTTCTTGAGTTCGCGTTGGACCCAGGGGATGGTGATGGCAGTCCAGACACCAGCCCAAAGGAAGGGCAGAACCCAGCCGACCTGTGTGCTGTTAGTGTTGATAGAGTACTGTAGATATCACTTGGACATACAACGTAGGCAGCGTCTCGCTGGATAGTGAAAATAATGGCTGTGCAAACTACAGCGGTGATGATGGCGCCAATAGCCCAGAAGAGTGTCAAGCGGTGCAGCATCATGCGGAAGCCCTTGCTGGCCGTGTATCGGAGGTTCAATCGCTGACGGAACTCAGTGCCACCGGATCCGTCAACAGCGCAAATATCTTCAATGTAGGCGTAGATGCCGGGTCGGAGCGCCGCGCCCTGGGGTAGTGAAGAGATGCGGCAGGGTGCAGGCACGTTCATGTAGCGCAAAATGTCAACGAGTAGGAGTTCGCAACCGATCGCAAACAGCATGGTCGGGGCCGGCATAGCGAGGACGCGAATGGGGGGATCGTGAGGGCATGTACCACTGCAAATTGTTAGCTGGGCTTACTTGGGACGATGCAAAAACCTACGCGATGAGTTCAATCATGACAAAGAACCAGCCGACGGACAAGTTCCAATGGAACCAATCGAGATACCATCTTTGCGCACCAATAACCCTACAGCTTGAGCCCTTCTTCCATAACCTATGGAAGCGGATAAAGTACTCGACAATCGACACGGTTCCGAGCAGGGCGGTGCTGATACTGAAGACGGCATTGGCAGATAATTGATCGCGCGTAAGGCCATACCACATGCCAAAGTAGAGGCCGATGGGCATGAAGACGCAGTCGAGGATGATGAGAGTCCAGAACCAAAAGATGGACTTCTTGCGAGTGCGCAGCGTGTATTTCAGCGGCGGTGGGCGGGCGAAGTCGGGATCATCGTATGTGACCTGGGTGTGGGGAAACTGAGCTTGGGGATTTGGCGACGGGGCTCGACTTGGTTGAGCGCTTGGGTTGAGGCTGGCAGAGTTGTTGACGGGTGTTGTGCTACGCGGCTGTCTTTCGTCGTCGCTAGTACCGTCGACGTGCACGCCAGGTACTGGCAGCGTGTCTGCTTGTCCTGCGGTAGTTGGCCGCGATGCATTAGTTTGAGGCGTCACAGGCCTCAAGGGCTCTGTCGACGATTGTAGTGTAGCCATTGTGTGGAGCGATGGCACGATGGGGTGCCCAGGGGGGAAAGTACGGGAGCGGCGGGAACAAGAAGAGTTGGTCGAGTCTTATCCGGATGCCAACGGGTGTGATTATGTCTTGACAATGCGTCGGCGTATCTTGGGGGGATGGCGTATCTTGGAGGGAAAGGGTGGTTGGTATAAGGTCAGCAGCGTGCAGGCCGTAGCCCGCAAATATGAACCAGACAGATGCTTTCGTTCCAGGGTCGCCCTATGATGTCACCCTCTTCCAAGGTTCGCGCTTTACTGCGACGGTCTTGGCGTCTGCTTGGACGCCTCGGCGCTGACGCTTCGAGCACCTGATTTACCCAACTAGTGACCGCATCCGTCCTCTGACCTCACCACCAAGCCTATCCTCCAATACCACGCAGTCTGTGGATATGTGAAGCGACATTACTGATGGGCTTCTTACGCGGCCTCTTTCTGTATTACTTTGTGCTCGTCGCCTCCTGTACTGCCAGTAGCAGAGGTGATGCGACGCAGCAGCCCCTACCCGGTGCATCAGCCGCTGGTAATGAAACCCTAATCAGCCAGAAGCTGTTCTGGGAACTCGAAGAACTTGCGCGCATCGTCGATATATCCTACTGTGTAGGCACGGCCGGCCTAGGCATTCAGAAGCCCTTCAAGTGCCTCAGCCACTGCGGAGATCGCGACTTTGAGACGTTCGAGTTGGTTACAGTAAGTCGCCGCATCCAGCAATGTGTCGCATGAGGTGCTGATATATCTAGGCATGGAATACTGGACCTTTCCTGTCTGACTCCTGCGGCTACATCGCTCTGTCGCATTCTCCTACCAACCCGCGCCTGATCCTCGCCTTCCGCGGCACCTACTCGGTTGCCAACACCATCGCCGACCTCTCCACCATACCGCAGGAATACGTCCCATATCCAGGCGACGATGACGATGACACCTCAGACTATATCGCACCGAGACTAGACGTGGATGAAGACACGCCACCTGCTGATCCACCAAAGTGCGACAACTGTACTGTACACACCGGCTTCTATTCTTCATGGCTCAATACCCGCAACGTCGTCCTGCCACATGTGTCCAAGGCTATGGACAAGCATCCCGATTACAAGCTGGTCTTGGTGGGACACTCGTTGGGTGGCGCCATTGCGACTCTTGCCGGGCTAGACTTCAAGGCTCGTGGATGGGATCCCTACGTGACAACCTTTGGCGAACCCAGACTTGGCAACAAGGAATTCAACAAGTATGTGGATGAGCGCTTCAGCATCACTTCGGACCACGAACGCAACAAACTCCACCGTGTCACTCACGTCGGAGACCCCGTACCTTTGCTACCGCTATCGGAATGGGGCTTCAGCATGCACAGTGACGAGATCTTCATATCCGAGTCAAGCCTGCCTTTCTCAGTTGCCGACATCCACTACTGCGATGGCGACGAAGACGCGCACTGCATTGCTGGGAGCGACCAAGACAAGCCTGCCTGGGGCGTGCCTACTCGCTTCAAGTTCTGGCAGCTCTTCTTTGCCCATCGTGATTACTTCTGGCGACTGGGCCTATGTCTGCCAGGCGGTAACCCACGAGACTGGTATGACAAGTATCCCGGGCACAGCACAGATGATGGTGACGAAGATGCGCCTGAAACTATTGAGTTGTAATGACTTGTAGTCTTTTGCCTGTAATGTTTTAAATCGTAATTCGTACACCAAGCCCGTATATATGCTTTTCGCTATTGACACGTGTGACAACGCCGAGACCATCCTTACGCCGCGCCTGCAGACCATAGTACCTGAAGAGAAAAAGACGTTTTAGTTGGTGCCGTTCTGGCTGAGTAGAGTCCTCCTCTTGGCGACAGCGCCAGCAAGCTCGGCGAGCACTGTCTCGGTGGTTTCCCAGTCGATGCATGCATCAGTGATGGACATGCCGTACTCGAGGCCAGCCTTGCCTTCCTTGGGGACCTTCTGAGTGCCAGCCTTGATGTTGCTCTCGATCATGACACCCATGACAGCCGTCTCTCCAGCCTCGATCTGCTCAGCAACCGCATGCGCAACCTTGGGCTGGTTCATGTGGTTCTTTTCCGAGTTGCCGTGACTGCAGTCAATCATCAAACGCGAGTTCATGCCCTTGGATTCGAGCTTCTCGCGCGCCTCCTTGACGCTCTTCGCATCGTAGTTTGTGCCCTTCTTTCCACCGCGAAGGATGATGAAGCAGTCGTCGTTGCCAATGGTGCCGACAATGGCGACAACGCCAGGCTTGGTGACGGAGAGGAAGTGGTGGGGGTGCTTCGCGGAGCCGATGGCGTCAATAGCGACATCGAGGGTACCGTCTGTGCCGTTCTTGAAACCAACCGGGAAGGACAGACCCGAAGCAAGCTCACGGTGAAGCTGCGACTCTGTAGTCCGGGCACCGATTGCGCCTACACTGAACATATCGGCCAAGAACTGGGGGGAGATGGTATCAAGCATCTCGCTCGCCAGAGGCATTCCCTTCTCAGTCAGATCAGCAAAGAGCTGTCTTGAGATGCGCAGGCCCTTGTTGATCTTGAAGCTGTTGTCGATGTCCGGGTCGTTGATGAGACCTTTCCAGCCTACAGTCGTGCGCGGCTTCTCCAAGTAAGAGCGCATGACAATGAGGAGATCATCCTGGTACTTCTCCTTGAGCTTCATCAACCGGTCGCAGTATTCGAGGGCGGCGGGAGGGTCGTGGATAGAGCACGGGCCGATGACGACGAGTAACCGCTTCTGTGCATCTTTGCCTTGGACAATCTCAACAGCTTCGTCACGCGCCTTGAGCACTGTGTCTCTTGACTTGGCTGTCTGGGGGATCTCGCTCTGAAGAAGGTCGGGGGGTGTGAGGGGATTGTAGCCCTTGATGCGCCAATCTTCCGAGTTGTGCGGGTCGCCGACGGCTTTGTTCTCGATGTGGAACTGCGACGACGTGTTAGAAAGTAGGACCGGAGGCAGCTGTGAATGTTGGTGTACATACAGACATGTCTATGGAAACAACGGAGAGAAGATTAGATAGTTCTCGGGTATATGCAAGGAAACCAGAGTCGAAAGCTCTAAACAGGACGGTGACTGTGGTTTTATTTGCCTTTCCTCTCCTTGCAGGCGACCAAGACCCTTATGAGTCGAATGTTTTCTGGTATGACGGCCGAGTCGGGGGCGTCCTCATTGGTCAATGGGCGGGGCATTCGCGCCGATTTTTAGGTGGCGCGGGGTCGAGCCTCCATCGTCATCGCCGGTTCGGCCACGCCCTGGCGCATGCAATTAATTCTGAAGAGCGATATTCGGCCCTATACTCAAACCTACTTGAGGAATATTGCATAGTACTAGATGGTTTCCAATACGATGCCTTCACAGCTATTTGAATACAGAAGTAGAGAGGGTTTTCGCAAGCATCATGGCGCGGGGCTTATTGAGACCTCCACCGAGATGAGTATTGACATACCATATTTGGGTTTCAATGATAAATGCCAGCCGATATTTGACTCTTCTTAAATATCAATGGATATGTTTTGATGGCCGAAAAGAGTTTGTACGAGCTGTCCATTAGGCTTTGACAAGCGTGCCGTCATTGCTACTCCACCAGCTATACATACGTCACAGCCATGCCATACCGAAGAAGCCGTTGCGGGCCAATCTACAGCCCTCCCACCCATATACATAATCTCGACTTCTACATTGTGCTGTCACAATACAACTCCTCTCACACTTTCCAATCATCCCAAATATAATTCATCATGGGCAGCCTCGACTATACCTCCCTTCAAAACATCCCTATTAGCTACGCAACATGCTCGCTCGGATCACCATCAAACCCTCCACCTCTCCTTGACCGCCTAAATGCCATAGCCGCCGCAGGCTTCACCGCCGTCGAGCTTTCTTTCCCGGACATCCTCTCCTATGGCCAAACACTACTCGGCCATGAAGTCGAACCGTCCAACTACGATGAGCTGTGCAAAGTAGCGGGCGAGATCAAAAGGAGTGCGATAAAGGAACCTCGGGATCATGATGTTGCAGCCGTTTGCCAACTACGAAGGCTGGCCCGAAGGTTCCGATGGCCGCAAAGACGCCATGGAGCGGGCCCGCGGCTGGGTCCGCATCATGCAGGCGTGCGGGACAGATCTGCTGCAAGTCGGATCGACGGATTCACCACTCGAGAAGCTAGACAAAAGCAAAATGGTCTCCGACCTCCAGGTTCTCTGCGACATGCTCAAGGAACACAACTTCCGATTGGCCTATGAGAACTGGTGTTGGTCGACGCACGCGCCTGACTGGAAAGATGTCTGGACCATTGTCCAGCAGGTAGACCGTCCAAACATCGGCCTTTGTCTTGATACTTTCCAGACTGCTGGTGGAGAGTGGGGTGATCCTAGGACGGCCTCTGGTCTGCGAGAAGATGTATCAAGAGACGAGATGGAAAAGCGATTCCACAAGAGCCTGGAGGAGCTGAGCTCCACCATCCCCAAGGACAAGATCTACCTCCTGCAAATTAGCGATGCCTACAAAGTCCCCCAAGCCTTCAATGATGAGCGTGACGATGCAGGTTTGCTGCCTCGTGGACGATGGAGTCACGACTTTAGACCTCTACCTTACAACGGAGGTTACCTACCGGTTGCTGACGTTGCGAGGGCAGTGCTCAAGACGGGATTCAGAGGCTGGTTCAGCTACGAGGTTTTTGACGGAGGTGCAGATGGCAAGGCTACGGATGTTGACATTATGGCTTATGCGCATGCTGCCAAGAATGTACAAGACAGGCTGCTGCAGGAGTGTGCTGGCCACAAGGTTCCGGAAGGGATTGCAACAAGGTAGATAGCTGCTGAAGTTGTTGGAGATGAAGCGGGTCACTGTAAAGATACTGTGTTTATATTAGCTGCGAAGCAACTACTGTAGAGAAGAGTTCCATACTGATGTGGTAGTAATGAAGGACGTGGAAAATAGTTAAACACGGGGAGGACGAAGAACGAGAGGATAGGAAGATTTGGAATGATAAACACAAAAGATAAGCCACCTCACACTCATCGCTCCCACCCAAAACTCATTTCAATACACCCACCGCAACAGACGTCAAAACCGCCTCCGTGACCATAACCGGTGCCACTGTCCGTGTAGCCGCCAAACTCGTACGCGATACGGTACTAAACTCTCTCATTAGCCACGAAATGTATTCTTAACACAAAATCTCGTGGCCAGGATAAGGACACTCAGGATCACTAGTCTTTGGCTTCTTCTTCGTCTTAATCGTCTTCGTTATCAATGTCGTCTTCATTTTGCCACAGTAGATCCCCGGGTAAGGATATGGACAGCGCGAATCGGGAGTTATTACGCTCGTGATAACGGCAGGGTCGGTATCTTGTGTCGAGGTTTCGCTAGGCGGAAGAGAAGTTTTAAGTGTGAAAAAATGCATCGTGGACGTAGGCTTCTTAGGCATCAGTTTCGAGGTCTGTGGTTGAGTTAGTATTTGTACTGTAAACGACAATTTGGTGGGGTGTGTTTGGCATTGTGTGAACGAGTCAAACTTAGTAGCGAGTAGCTAAGTAAGTCTTCTGTCTCGACGGCTTCTCTCTTAAGGACGGGAAAGATTTCGTTAGACGCCTGGTTGGCTTGGGGTTGGCCGCTAGCCAGAGAGAGGATAGAGTTTAGGGGTGTTACCGGTCTGATACAGCTTGCCGTCAACGTTGATGGTCTTCTGACCGTGGTGATGGGTACCACGACGATTACGGGTGTGAATTTTGCTGTTGAGAGTGAAATGATCGTCATGATGGAGCTCCGAGCTCGTGAGCTTGAGTGCAAGGGAAGACCGAAAAGACTTTCATGGGAGGATGTATTTACTGGCTTCTTAGATATGGAGGTTGGAAATGAAGGTACAGAGCTTGTGGGTAGTGGCACTGGACTCCATATGAGTGATGCCGAACTGCAATAAAGGCTCGATACGCTTGAGTGGGCCGGTAAGTACTGGGATATATTCTTCAAGGAAAGAGATGCAGAGCTTGCATGTGGCTTTGGAGAAGTTGCGCTTGACGAGAAGCTGATGGTAACGTTTGCGGTTGTCGACATAGTTACTACTGGAATCGAAAGCAAAGGAGCTTGATCAAAGGAAACAGCTGACGAACTTGGGTATATCGGTAGGTACTGAGATGCAGAACTTGAGTCAGAACCCGAGCTTGGTCTCGAGGAAGCTGCGCTCGGTGAGACACTGACGAGGAGGCCTGGAGATAGCGGCCTAGCCGTTGTTACGACTGAACTGGAAAGAACTGGCCACTGCCACGCATCCCCGGAGGAAGTCAGTAACAGCCCCGTGGAAGCAACCACAGTTGAAGAAGGCGCCGGACCGGGTAGACCAGAGCCAAACAGCATACCAGGAGTCCATATCGATATAGCATAATTTCCAGTTCCTAGCACTGAGTTGCTCGTGATGGTGGAATGACATGACTCTGTAGTCGTAGTAGGAAGCGCATCTTGGATAATAGTGGAAGTGGCTGCAGAGTTCGATGCTAATGTTGGATGTGAGGTGTGTATACTAGAGTCGCTGTATGTTGTTGGAAGTAGCAGGCTTGCGTATGTTTCTAGAAAATCGATTAAACGCGATACAAGTTGACCATCTTTTGATTTCCTGTCTACAGGGTGGACTGGAGATGAGAGACCATGAACTGCGGCCAAAAGAGTTGCACAAACGGCGACACGCATTTTGTTACTTATGAGGTAGTACACTTGATCAACGTAGGCGTTCCGTTCTGATGATCCATCAAATATAAATGTGATGTTCTTCCCAGGAACGATCGTTGAATCACTGCGAGCTCCACCAATATCTTAGACATGTAGCTCCTTTGTTCTTGTTTGAAGTACCGTAAGAACTGACCTACGTGGCTGCATAACTTGAAGCACATGTGAAAGAGACTGTCTTTGTGTACTCTTTCCGGTCGACCCAAAATTCGGATTCATCGTTGGAAATGCAATCGATCGTCTATCCATAGTAACACGAATACAGGAAGTCATCCGCCCGCTTCCTCGATCCGACGAAAAGAGTTCTGATAGCTAGAGAACAGATGGTGCGGGACGATATGAATCATCATAGAAGACATCAACAAAAGAACTACGATCAGGCAGGCTTCAGTACGGCCTACATTTGGCAATCCATACGTGACGTAGGAAGAGCAAAACTGCGGGCGTCGGAAACGTGCCCGTCTTTCAGGAGCAGTGTATTGCTCAGCTAAGTGGGTTGCTCCATAAAAGTCCTACTACGATACGCTGTGGGACCATGCGAACAAGACATAATGAACAGTGATAGTTAAGATGAGTGATGAGTGGTCGCGATAGCAGTTGTGCCTTCCAGTTTAACCTCGGTAAAAACGATAAGACGGGAGGAGTGGATCTCCTAGCCACCGCGTGAAGTACTTCACGCAGTATTGCAGGAAAGCGAAAAACGATATTTTGCAAAGTCCAAGACCTGTAAATAACAGCAGAGCCTGAAGTTGCACCAATGCTCCTTGCTTTCCTTTGGTGGACAATTTACGGCCCGCAAGCCGCTCCGTCTTTCCGAAATTCGTACCCCTTTCACGGTTCCCAAGCACCTTAAGTACTTGTCGCTTAGCATGCTCAGACGGTGAGCCCGAGGCAGTATGTACAGCGCTATGCAGTCATCCAACGACACTTTGATGGAGCAAACTAGGCCGTAAAGCAACGGAACCGCGGGCCTGCTTCCAACCCACGGGATACGTACACCATCACATGCAGGGCAGGCCGACTAAACCTTCTCAACAACGGTGCACAATCACACACCTATGTCTGTATGTTAGATAGATTTCGCGGACAAACGGCCTTGAGCTTTTATCTGGATAAGCCAAGGTGGGCTGAATAGGCTGAAAGGGTGTTACGTCCCCGCTGTTTGTTACTTGATATTGCTTGCGCGTGAGGCGCCACCAACGCGGAAAGTCTTCGACGTCGATATAAGAGATACAGGGAGCCTCTGTTTGATCGATATTTCCAGGCTCTGCATTTGCGCAATTCACAAGTTCAAATCTTCAATATGCCGTCTACTAAAAGCAAGAATATCATCATTACCGGCGGTGCGCGAGGGATTGGTCGCTGCACAGCGCGACACTTGCTATCGTTACCAGCATCGCATCGCGTTTTTATCATCGACTTCGACGCGGAAGAGCTTGAATACGCAGTGAACACACACCTAGCCGCCTACGCACCACGCGTCAGCTCATCGATAACCAACCTCCGCAACCCAGAGGAAATCCGTAGCGCAGTCGCCAAAGCCGCTGACTTCTTCGGCGGCCGCATAGATGTGCTGGTCAATAATGCCGGAGTAGCTCGAGGGTTCTTCAACGCAGGCAACGGTACTATGGAGGACCTTGCTACGGGAGAGCAATGGGAAGCGTACATTGCTACCAATCTCAGTGCACCCTTCTACATGAGCCAAGCCGTCATCCCTTTCATGAAGAGCCAGAACACACAGAAAGATGGTACACCAGGAGTTGATCGGTCGAGGGATCTGAAGCGTACGGAGGAATTCAACCAGTTGCCACTGAACCTTCATGGCGAGGACAAGTTGGAAGAGGGAGGCTGCATCATCAACGTTGCCTCCTTTCGCGCCCATCAGTCAGACCCGGACTGCGAAGGCTATGCTGCGAGCAAAGGTGGCGTGTTGGCCCTCACACAAGCCATGTCTGTTTCGTGCCAGCGCTGGGGTATCCGAGTCATGGCCATCTCGCCAGGTTGGGTCAGCGTGCAGCACGAGTGCAAAGCTCGTGATTTGCAGATCAAAGAGACGCAGAACGGATCATATAAAGAGGTTGCGCCGCACGAGGAGGACGCGGTAAAGCTGAGGATGAAGGCTTGGGCAGAGGATCTGGACGAACTCTATCACAAGCAACATCCGGCCGGCAGAGTGGGTAGGGGAGAAGATCTTGCTGAAATGGTTGAGTACGTCATGGGTGCAGGTTTCTTGAGTGGACAAGAGTTGATCTTGGATGGTGGTGCGAACCGGAGAAAGAATCCCAATATTTGAGAAGTCTCTATAAATCAACAAAGACATGGCCAAAACCAACTTTGTAGCTATCCATGTGTAACAAAGGGTCATATCGAGTGCGATACGCCGCCAACGCCTTGCTTGCAGTCATACCAGAAAATCAATGCCACAATAGGCAGGAATCCAACTCTCAAGGAATAAGTTGGGTGGGGAAAAATGGTGCGTGTGAACCGAACAAGAAAATACTATCATTTGAAGAGAACTTCAATCATGCACGCGTCTTCGTCTTCCATATCGTAGTCGGCTACCGTGTCCAAGGGCATTAGTCGATCACCGTCGAACATGAGTGTGACTGGCTGGCTCTTATCAATTTTGAGACGAGATTTGTAAGCGCTTGCAATATGAGCAATAGTGGTGTTCTAATGGTTTAGTTAGAATATGGACAGAGGTTATGATACTTGATGTCTCAAGTCTTGGCACACTGCGAAGGGACAACCTGGACATACCTCTTTCACCGTCAACTTAAAATCAGAGTGCCCTTTCGCCTTAAGGATTAAGCGGAAGCGTTTCTCTCGGGTCCAGGTTCGGGTTCCGGGGTTGGAGTCCTTTCTTTCGTCACCAAGGCTGCTTCGGCTGCCAGCTTCTTCGCTATAGCTGCAGCGGCGTCGTCCTTCTTTCGCTGCTTGTAGATCTCCTCTGTCCAAGCTTCGACATGGATCTTGGGGAGGTTGATGTCATCGTATATGTTGGAGTCTCCTTCGACGGATACGTTCCCATTGACGTCTACCTGTATCCCTAACCGTTGTATCGATGTGCTATCGTAGAGACGTGTGCCTTTCCATGTAAAGAAGACGTTGCGTGTCATTTGATCCGGAAACTTCTCCTTTCCACACCATGCCAGCCGTGGCTTCCCAATGGTTGTGTCTACTCTAACCTTGACCATCAATGGGTTCGCGTCCGGCATTTGTGGATCAATGAACAGCTGCGCTATAGGCGCTTTCGGAGCATTACCATTTGCTTGTGCCTTGGCTGCTGCGACGCGCGCCCGCGCCCTAGCCCGCAGTGCAGCGAATGCGGGGTCGAGGTCTTCGTCGTCTTCGTCTTCGTCGTCTTTGATCTCTATAGGAGGTGGTTTCGATGGCCGGACGGCTACATCTTGCTTGAAGACGGAATTTGACGACGTGTAATCCAACGCAGGGTTATCATTGTAAGGCTTAGAGACGCAGCCTGAGTCGTCATCTTTGTCTGAATCGCCCAGATCAATCACGTTTGATTCTTTTTGTGGTAATGAAATGCTCGAGGATGCGGATTTGGTCAGGGAATCGTAGCGTGCGGTGAGCGAGTCGGGTGGGAGATGCGATGGCGCTGGAGAGAGGGGGGTTATGCTGCGCCTGACCAATTGTCAGTAGTAATTGCTAGACGAGACGCACGATACGTACGCTTTGCTAGCGTTCCTGCCTGCTCGTTCCTTGCTGGCTGAGCTGCTTTTGGTTGGGATAGGCTCTTCATTGTCGTTTGATATGCGACGCCGCTTTTGGTCGCGTGGTTCTGAATGTTTGCGCTTTCTGGCCGCTTCAGCTTTCTTTTTCTCTTCTGCCCGTATTCTAGCTTGCTCGGCGACTATGTCGCTGAACTCATTCGAGTGGCTGAACATGTCCTCCCCATCCTTCTTGGGCGCATCTTGCCATGCTGCCCGCTTGAACAGGCTGCGCTTCTTGGGGGGTGCGGCGCTCGCGGTTTTGTCGGTCATCGTTGGCGCGATGCCATGAGCAACCAAGTTGGGTGAAGGAGGTATCGCACTACCCTGAGATAGTGTATAGGAGAGGATGGTTTCGATGTTGGGGAAGGCGCGGGCAAATGCAGGTGGGGCATCAACGCGCAGTCACGCTTCTCGTGATAGATGAGGAAGAGACGTGGTCTGTGCACTCTTCCTTTCCACCACCCAACATCGCCGTCTTTCCACTTCCTTATCCACCAGCGACCGAATTCGAGAATTATCAGCTCACGCCTGCTCAAACACTTACGTAAGCTTCTTTACTACCTGTCGTAACAAGTTGCTAAATGTTTGCCAGGAAATCACACATCACCAGCTTCATCACCATGTCCACCAACGGCGAAAGCCCAGCACCCGAAGCTGCAGGCGACTCAAGAGATCCTAGCGGCTTCCTTAGTGAGATCATTGGAGCTCCTGTCACTGTCAAGCTGAACTCTGGCATCATCTACAAAGGTGCTCCTCCACGTGCCCTTGATGTATACCAACTACTAATATCTACGCAGGTGATCTCCAATCAGTAGATGGCTACATGAACATCGCATTGGAACGATGCAAGGAGATCTCTGAGGGACGCGTCACCCGGAATTGGGGAGATGCTTTCGTCCGTGGTAACAACGGTATCTAATTCTCTACACTGGCTTTCACCCCGCTTTATACTAACTCAAGTGCAGTCACATACATTTGCGCAGACAACGCATGAAGATCTATGAGTTTCTAGTCCTATCCCGTTGAGCGGAGCGGTAACAGGCCGCATGTGATGATTGACGAACCATGCTATACATAACTAAACGCCAATGAGAGTTTGGACGACCATCTTAGAATGCATATCCGACGCTTTCACGAACAATCCAATGTCAAGGCTGCCTGCCGTCTGGCGGTGCAGGTGGCAGTATCGTGTCATTCAGGCCCTTGAACTACCATCATGTATCCGAGAGACTATCATCTGCAACAACTCACCTTCACCGAGCTGTATTCCAATATAGCCACCGGTGAGGATTGTATACGTATTTCTCTCTGTCAACAAAAGTCACCTTCCACTTTCCCCTTCACCACGTCGTCACTGCCTCCCAGAATCACAATCTCTGTCCAAAGACGCATTCACCTGCGCATGGCGCTGTAGCGACGCGCACTGCGCTGTTGAACAGCGCAAACACTGTGGAAATCTTTACGCGTAGCTACTGTTAACCTACACACAACAACACGCGCGTCTACAACTAATCTCAACTTGCTCTTCATAGGTCTTCGAGCATTGCCGCACTCGCATCGCTCGTGCTGTGACTGGCATGCACTAACCCTTTTTCGACTCCTTCACTCCAAAGGTCGCTCGAGCCATGACGATCCCCAGAGTCACATCCCGCGTTCAATTCCAGGGCCGAGCCAAACAGGGCGGGAAAAACAACAAGCAGCGCCCAGTGACGCCGAAAGCAAAACCGACAAACAACGACGCGCATGGCCCGACAAAGGCTCCTAGAGGTAGACGCCGCTACTTTGAACGCTGCTGTCACCAGATGAACCCGCTGACTGGCTCAGTGTACACACTCTCTGTTGAATCTGACAACTTCGACTATGATGACGATGAAAATCCTGTTGACGAGGACGCGAGACCTTTCCTCAAGAAGCGTGTGCTAACTACAGATGATCAAGAGTCTGATGGCGCCTTCAAAAGCGGTCTCCGAACTGCACTAATACTTTGCAGAGCTCCCCTCATTTCAAATAAGCCAAACGTTGCCGTTAGTAATGCAGATGAGCATGATCACGAGTTGGGCGGCGCTTCTCAGAGCGGTCATCCAGTTGAACCAAAAGACTCCTGTGTTCCATCTATCCCAGCCAGTCTAGATGCGCCAGATAGCATCACAGATGAGGATTGCGACCCATCTAACTCCCTTCTGTTACAGGCACCACTATGGTCGTGGCCGACAGATTGGTTTCCGGCAGACTCTTTACCAGTAGCACCAGAGACTACAACAGATTCATCTCCAGAGGGAGAAGATGATACGGTAGATCTATCCCAAGTGGCGGAGGACACAATAGTAAATTCATCGCCAGTGGTAGAAGAGACGAGAACCGATCTATCAACAGTGGCAGAGGAGTCTACGGCAGTCTCATTGTCGGCGGCGCCAGATAGTACGGCAGTCTCATCATCAGTGACAGCAGATACTATATCAGATCTTTCATCAGTGTCGGCAAATACTACATCGGATTTATTATCAGAATCGGCAGATGTTACAGCAGGCTCGTCATCAGCGGCGACAGTTACTACAGCAGACTTATACCCAGCCGCTGCAGTTACTACAGTAAACTTGACTCCAGTGACGGCAACTCCTACAGCGAATTCTGCCCCAGAGGTAGTGCAGGGCACAACAGCACCCTCTCTAGGATCATGGCATCAGTGGATCGTTAACCTCTTCGCGGGATGTAAGTCAGGTCAGACCGAGACTAAAAAGTCCAGCAGCTCTCCTCAGTCAGCTCCCGAACAGCCTGTTTCGGTCATCTCTTGGGTTAGGGAGCGCAGCGATTCCGGACCAAAGATTGTACCACCTCCATTGCCGCGACTGGAACTCCCAAAAGTCCTGATCGAAACTCGCAATAAGAAGAACACAATCACTGACGGCCCAGGCCGTGAAGTCGCCATCTATCCACCACCTTACAATGATTTCATCGGCCGTGCCGTGATGAGTGGGGACGCAGATAACGCGACAGCATTGCAGCGCGGCTTCAGAGTAGCAAGCAACCCTCACCTCGCTCCACTCGCCCAACGCCGCAACAACTCTGATAGCAGTTTGCTGGACCGCAATGGCGATACATGGGCTGAATGGAACAAACTGAACATCACTGCTGATGCCATGCCTTTCAAAACCCCTCAGTCAGACAGCAGTTTGCTGCACCCTCAGTCTGGAGCGAGGATGGTGCGAAACACCAGTATGTACAGCGCTGAGCAGACCAAGGGCCAGACCGGTCATAGCTTCCTTGAGGATGCTGGACATCGATACCCTTTCGGAGGGCTGGGCTTGTAAATGTTGAAGAGAAAAGTGTCTCTTGGACTATGGTGGGTTGGGAACGTCCATTTAAGGACGCGTTGATGGAGAATGGACCGAGTCTAGGTGACTCGGATAACGAAGTACGGACCGCGTCCAATTATTGGGATTCTGGCTAACCGTTGAGATCTAGATTGCCTCTTTTCTTTTCTTGTTTTTCTTTCTTGCTTCTGGGGCATTGGAGTGGCACTGCTGCCCGTGCGAATGGTGGCTAAGGTGTTGCCACTTCTTCATGGCTAGTGCCCGCGGACTAGAAAGAGTGTGGCCGTTGCAACGTAGCTCCACATTTGGATTACGAATTGCGACGTGGTCCGAATTGGAATGCTCTGAGCTACCGGTGGCTTTTTTAGTCCTATTGAATCGGACCGAGAACCGGCAGTGCTTATGGTTTTCTTTTACCATTGCAGCCCCAGTGCGCTACTAAGCGAAGGTTACTAAATACGTTCGGTATTTGGCAGTGAGGCGGCGTTCAGCGAGTCTTTTCTTAATACCCAGCGTTTTAATGTATATTGAAGGTAAAACCACACGGTCTATGACATGTGACGTCATGTCGGGTGAAGATTGTGAGTTTCTTGAATCACCAAGGCACTTGAAGCAGCAATGGGCGTTACAAATGCGACATTGCGTATGTTCATATGTATCAGTTGTTGTGTGATATCTACAACTAGGAAAAACGTGCAGCCACAAAACAGCAAACAAACATGCCTCCATCATTCGTTATATCGTTGTTCTGCATATCCAGCAGCGAGCGTAAATAGTTGACCCTCTCATGCATCTCTAGCTCTTCTAGTTCGCGTCACCTATCGGAGTGAAGACGACCTTCGCACTAGGCTTGGGCAAGATAGTCGATCGCCATGTGAACAAGCGCTTCGCCGTCGGGTCGACGAGCTCACAGTCATAGTTAAGAATAACCTGACCCAGGATGACCTTCATAACAGCTGAGGCATAATACCTTCCAGGGCTATACATGTCGTTAGCAAGATCTCCATTTCGAACAGCGAAGCTAAGCTCAAGACTCACCAGGCCATTCTTCCGGTTCCCCAGACATGGAACGTCATGTCAAAGTCAGTCAGCTTTGTTGGCTTCTTCTGCATAATATCAAAAGCACCGTCGGCGTTCTCGAGACTCTTGACCAGCTGCGGGTCGGCGAAGCGGAAACCGCTGAATGTCGTTGCTTCGGGGTAGTCGACAGGATTTGTCATGATGGCTCGGACGGGTGTGCAGAACCAATCTCCAACGTTGACGTGGGTGCCGTCTTTGAGTGAGAAAGGTTGTAGCGCTGAACGACGTGTACTCTGTGACTCGACTGGCGTCAAACGCGCAGACTCCTTGATGAAGCTGTCGAGAAGCGGAAGTCCCACACCGCTTTGCTCAAAAGCAGCGTATTGGGACTCGCACTCCTTGCGCAGAGGCTCCGCGTACTCAGGATGCAAGCAAAGGTCGTGAATAGCAAAAGTCACGGTTGTGGAGACGGCATGAACAGAGCCGAACCAAATGGCCATTAGTTCGTGGACGACGCGTTGAGGTGTCCATGGTGCGTTCTTGGGCGACGTCTCCATGATCCATTGGATGCAGTCGGCGTGTTGAGGGACTTTTTGGCCTAGCTTAGCCGCATCTCGCTCGATGCATCTTTCTTGGGCGATGGGCAGAAGCCTGTTGAAGATGACGGCATGAGACTTGAGTGTACGGGCGATGATGCCACCGACGATAGGAGTCATGAATCCAGGTAGCAGGCGAACGATCTCAGCGCAGATCAGGGTCTCCTCAATGTATGCGAGAGCGGAGACCATGAACTGCTCATCCTTTGCTAGATCCTTTCCGAAGAAAGATACAGCATTGGAGAGAACCACCAACTTAACCGTCATATGATATACATCTGAATGCTTCTTTCCTGTTGATCGTCGTCAGCTTGAATGAAAATTGAAGTATTGGATGCATTATTACCATTGATTACTGGATGTCCGGCATGTAGTTCCTGGAACCTAGTGCGGATGATACAAGTAAGGTCAGGAAGGATCTTAGGTAGGTTGTTGGTCAAAAGCGTGCGAAGGGCGCGGATGAACCCAACACCCTCAGTACCACGTCGATCAAACCAGTTGAAGCCGTGCCTATGGCGCGTTAGTGAGTTTAATGCAAGATGATTGCTGTCGAGATACTCGAAGGTTATCTTACATGGTGTAGAGGGGCTGTAGCATCTGTATCTTGTTAGTTACCAAGAAGAACAAAGCCTTTCGAGATGCATACCTGCTTTGACGCTGCTTGAAGGGACAGCACCGTATCTGGCGCATTGTCTAGCTCCTTGATTTGCTGAGGGTCAGAGACGAAGACATAGCGGTTGTCAGGGGCGAAGAGCTCGAATGGCTTTCCTTTTGCCTCGTCGAACGCCTTCTGGATGATCTCAGGGCCCCAGAAGAGATATGCCCATGCTTGGTATCGCTTGGTGACAGGCTTGAAGATGATCTTCAGGATCCTTACTGGAGAAGAAGCCTAGTAAACTTGTCAGTATGATGCACACTCCTCCGTGTGCATTCGATACGTACCAATTTCTTCGCGACCAAGGCTTTGTAGAAAAAGAAAATCGATATCAAACCGAATATGCTGCTCGCAGCATTAACTGCTAACGGGCTAAGACCTGGTAGATGTATGCTCTGCATCTCTAGAAACTCCATACTGGCAGTAAAGTTTGGGTGTGAGAATTTAGATTGAGGCTAATGGACGCGGGGTGTTTAGGATTGGTACATATACTATGCTACCATCTTCACGGTGCTCTAGCTACAGGTTCTGCTACACGGCATGGCCGGATGAAGCGACCCATTACATTACGTCTAAGCCTCTATGCAAGTGAACTAAAGTCGTTGTTAGTTAGTTAAACTGTGCCGCTGTCCTGCAGTAAATTCCGATCAATATCAGCCCACCTGCATACTACACAAGCTGCGTCACTTGACGTGAAGTCTCACCTATCGTCGTGTTTCGCTTTCGAAAAAAAAAAGGCGAGCAACCGATCCTTTTCCTAGCGCTATCACAGCGTTTGCTATCCTAGAAAGTAAGTACACCCGATGCAACTACAAAAGAAAACACGAAGCGTATGCAGCCACCAGGCCGGAATGACCAACGGTCCGATCCACAAAGGTGTAGTGTGGGAATCGGGGAAAACGGTTGAACGTCTGGACGGGTCCGAGGCTGCGGGTCTAATGTAAGGTCGATGCGCAAACGAGTGGGCGAATCAGAGCCACATGAGGAAACGTTCCGTGCGCTAAATGACGGGAGAGCCTCTTGAGGACCCTTGGCCTTTAATACGGCTAAATCATGCCGTAATCCTTGATTGATTGCTGTCGAGAAGACGGCGAATAGGTAACGTCTGCACGGCAAGCTATCGCGCTCAGAGATGACATATGCACAAGCGCGCTTAAGCAGTGTTGCCCCACACGGCACCACTACCTGGACATAAGACCGACGGCTTACGTCTGATTGGAGGATCAAGAGTCCAGTGGAGTCAAATCCGACGTCGGTCTTGAATCGTGATCTGTACCTCAACTGCACCTAACGACGCGACTGAGGAGAAAGAGTCTACTTGCCGGTATGTTCCCTGACCGCAATGCTTCTAGTAAAAGGACCTACCTCGGTCCTCCTTGTGTGAGAGGCCAGGTGATCTAACACGTCTTCATGTCTTCCAGGATCTTTTGAGGTTGCTACAGGGTTTAATCGTCATTGCATATGGATATATCGACAGCGGGATGCAAAGGTGACATCGCGGGTAGTATTGCCTGCACGCAATGAGGTCGAAGGCCCGCTTCTCCATAGGTTCGTTTTCGCTCGATTATGCAGCACCCTCCCCACGTGTCCGGATACAAATGACGCGGTCACCCACGGGCCCAGCTCGGATCCTGGGAAGAAATGCTCACGCACATGCGAATATGCACTGGCTTAAGCATGGCGAAGCAAGCCAATGGTTTTGATGTACATATCTGGAATGTACTCTCGATACGAATTGCAGATATACGGAGAGGCTTGCATGTCTTAGTATGCTTTAAAAGGACCGGTGAGAGAATCCTTAATCCAGAGTCCTAGCAGCTAGTTCTAAGCTACCATGGTGCGTCTTGGCGTATATATCGACTTCAGGCGGATATACTGGATCTCGAACGGAAGATAGCGAGTAATTGAGGTTTCCATGTGAAAGCAAGCTCTGGCCACAACTCGAGAAGCGACGGACTAGCGCGCACATAGCATACGTATGCGCGGACCGTAGATATCGGTGCTCAATATGTGCCTATCTCCACATCCAAGTTCGAAATGCACTCGAATATCTGTAGAGATCGCGCCACATGACGCAGCTCCTTCTGGCCGAGGTTTATCGGATTGATAATGGTTGGGTCCATTTCTAGACTACCTTGAGAGCAGCTCCACTATGCTTTTGCATCGTCCTGTAGCCAACGATCTTGTTTCTGATCCCAGGCGATATGCTCTCAAGTTGTAGTCTTGAAGCGACGTATTGGTTTTGACTAACATATGAAACCTAACAAGGCCACTGGAAGACGAGACATTTGTGATATCGTTGTGTACGACCCCACGCCTATCCCAGATATGGAAGTCTGCCGACCCGAGCCGTGTGTGGAGCCGCGCGGTTGACGCACTGTCGTACAACCTTCCGCAAAGGGTGCAAACTACTGCGACGGCCTGTGTAAGTAGTCTGTAGTAAGTGCATTGCATGCTGCAATACCGGAGCAACTCTTTGCTACCCTGAAAATCGTGTGGTTCTATGACCCACTCAGCCGCGCCAGCACGATGGGTCACTGGTGGCCTATCGATTGCAAAATTCGCATCAGCAACCCTTCGATGATTGGTTCGGGCTGCTCGGTGAACGCCGCAATTTACGGTATGTTCGGTAAGACGTCCAGGTCAGCAGCCGCGTTTGCAAGCTCGAAATCAATATATGCAAAGCAAAGTGCTAGCTCATTGGGAGGACTCGGCTGCTACGTACCAGCTGCAAGAAATCCTTGTTCCTTTCACAACGCCCAATAAAAATCCGGTTTAACGTAGAGGGCCTCCGAAGAAACTTGAACGGCGGCACAGTTCCTGCCGTTGAAGGCTAGTTGTGCAAAGCAGCATACTTTAAGCGTTTAGAGTGTCGAATGCTCCTCGTGGTTTCTATGACTTGACTCGTCCAAGAATGGAGCTCATCATCACGCCCACGCAGGCACTTGTGCCTTTATCAGTCCTCTTCCTAGCTTACCACGCAATCCGGGCGGTATTCTTCGGGAAAGTAGAGTCGAAGCATTGGGAAGAGCTACCAGTCGTGGGTCTTCAGAAAGGATGGTTCGAATGGGTGTGGGCGACATTGAAGTCCATCCGCAAGACGCAGGACTGGGCGTTTGAGGGTTACCGCAAGGTATGATCATCTTCGAAGTTAGTAGATTTCTACTCATCATCAATCTTCTAGTTTGCTAGCGTGAACAGTCCTTTCATCCTGCCCAGCATAGATAGAGGAGCGATGATCATTCTCCCACCACGCTTGATAAAAAAGGTTTACTCACTTCCAGAGAGCACGCTCGACATCCATGCGACGCAGAGTGAAACCATTCAGACGAAATGGACAGTTTGGGACAAAGAGGTAGCCGACAATGATTTCCAGATCAACGTTGTGCGTCATCAGATTACTCGAAATCTCGAGCACCTAACACCGCTGATGGCCGATGAACTTGACAGAGGCTTTGAGCGGTGGTGGGGAGCAAAAGGCGACACCGAGTGGAAAGAGGTCGCTGTATGGGATGCGTGTTTAAAGCTAATCGCTGGTGCGAGTAATGGCGCCTTCTGCGGCGCGCCGCTGTGTAAGTTGATTGGAGTGTCCAACAAAAGGTTTCGAATCTGATCGTATCGTAGGTCGTGACGAGCAGTTTTTGAACGATCTCAGGGATCACGCAATGAGCATTTTCGCCGGCGCTATGCTTATCAATGCGACACCTAAACCGCTGAAACCAGTCACTGGTGCCCTCGTAGGATCAACCTGCTGGTACTTGCGACGAAAGGCGATGAAAGGTTGTCTGCCTTTCGTAACAGAGAGGTTGAACGCTACTGCCCGGTTCAAGGTTGATGCGAAATGTGGATGGACTCCACCGGTAGGACTGCCCCTTGCATTGACGAGATCCACATCATCATGCTTACCCGATCCCAGAAAGATGGTCTCCAATGGCTTATCGACGAGTGCTACGCCGCAGCCGCAAAGGGAGACGTGGGGCAACTGGACCCGAAGCGAGTAGCGCATCGTCTCTTGTTGGTCAACGACATTTCTCTTCATTCGACCAGCTTTACTGTGCAGAATGTGATCCTGGATCTCTTCAGTTCGGATCCAGCAATGGGTTATGTTGACGCTCTACGCGACGAAGCTGCATCGGTGCTTGCAAAGGCAGGTGGTGTATGGACGCGCGATGCGGTACGGGATCTGAAGCTCATTGATTCGATGATCCGCGAATCAATGAGGCTCAATCCATTCGCCATTGTTGGGCTTCCGCGAACAGTATGTATGCTGCTATACGTGGGAGATCCGAAATTAACAAGGCTCAGGTTGTACATCCGGAAGGTATTCGGCTCCCGGTCTCCAACATTCATGTACCACAAGGCACCATGATTGCGGTTCCAATGGAGCCGATCCATTATGACGAGAGTATTTATCCACAAGCACGCAGCTTCAACGCGTTTCGCTTTGCGGATCCGAATAATGTTACTAGCATTGTCGACAATTTCGCAACGAAGGACGATATCGAAACTGCCAAAGCCGACACAAGCGACCGTAAGGGCAAGTCAACTGCTACGCTTGATGACGCTTTCCTTGGCTTTGGGTTTGGACGGCATGCGTGCCCTGGTCGATTTTTCGCCTTGAATGAGATGAAAGTCTTCATAGCACACATGCTGCTAAACTATGACGTTGAGCACATGGCAGTTCGACCAAAGCCTTTGGATACTGTGTGGCTGAAGCTACCGTTGCATGGTGGAAAAATCCGAGTACGTCGAAGGCCGACAGCTGCGTAGATAGGACAAGACATGCTTTGTTTTATCTCCATATCGAGTGGAATCCTACAATCGTTGCTTTGGTGAAACGGGTATGATCCATGGCTAATGGCACGATAGTCAACTGCATCAAATGGTAGAAGACGGCCATGGGTAAAACATAAGCTGATTAAGTTAGCGCCCCTGGCATGTCTAAGCGCCGCACAACTGTGGCCTTGGAATGCGACCCATGGTGCCTTCATGACCAATAGATGCTGGTTGCACTAAATTGCTGTACAACCAACTACTTTACCGTACATGTTGGAATCATCTAGATGCACTTCGGTTCCACACGATCGGTGGAGAGTGAGATGTCTGTGCGCCGGTTGACTTAATCCTCCATACAATTGGAGCAGGTTATCTCCAGGCTCGTTATTGTTCGCGTTGCTTGAAGGTCCTCATTCTGCCAGTATGCCAGAGAACAAGAAGTCGATACGCTTTTGGGGCATTTTCGTTGCGTTATGTATCTTGTCCTTTATCTCCGCCCTTGATGTCGCAATTATCATGACGGCGTTACCTACAGTAACAGCAGAGATAGGGGGCGCCGAAAAGTATGTCTGGATTGCCAATTCATTCGTCGTTGCCTCGTCGGTCCCACAGCCCCTGTTCGGACAGTTCGCAAACGTGTTCGGTCGCAGGCTGCCTTTCATCGCATCTACAGTCTTGTTCGCGCTCGGCAGCGGTGTTGCAGGAGGTGCTTCCAACGTAGGAATGCTCATCGCAGGTCGAACGATACAAGGAGTGGGGGCAGGCGGCATTTACGTTCTTCTCGATATCGTGTGCTGCGATCTGGTGCCTCTGCGGGAGCGGGGAAATATCTAGGATTGATGTTTAGCTGGTCCGGTCTAGCAGCAGGAATGGGACCTGTTGTTGGAGGAGCATTGGCCGAAGCAAATTGGCGGTGGATCTTCTATTTGAATATTCCTATATGCAGCGTTGCGCTCGTCGCAATACTGCTATTCATGCGACTGCAGAAGCATACCGAGAAGCAGGAGATTGATGTTCTGGGCAACCTCATATTCATACCGAGCGTTCTGGCGGTGTTACTGGGCCTGGTTATGGGCGGTATTGAATATCCCTGGTCTTCGTGGCGTGTCATACTCCCTTTGGTACTGGGTGGCATAGGCTGGATCGCTTTCCACATACAGCAGCACTTTGCAACCTACCCCAGTGTGCCGGAGCGACTCTTCAGCAATCGAACCTCAGCAACCGCCTTTGCGCTGACGTTCCTGTCATCAATCCTCGTACAGGCGTCCGGTTACTTCTTGCCAGTATTTTTCCAAGCCGTACTCGGAACAACAGTTGTGCGTTCTGGCGTCAACTTCCTTCCACTGGCGTTCGGAATGCTCGTTTTTGCTGTCATTGCAGGCGTGCTGATGGAGAAGCTCAACCAGTACAAAATGCTGCATGCTGCATCTTTTGCAACGGCCGCCATTGGATTTGGTCTGCTAACGCTCTTGGATGAGAGCACAGTGAGGTGGGCAATTTTCCAGCTCATTGTCGGCGCCGGTCTAGGCATGTCTCTATCGACGCTACTCCCGGCTATCATGGCCGGTTTGCCTGAGACGGACGTCGCTTCCTCGACAGCAACATACAGTTTCGTGCGGACATTTGGTTACGTTTGGGGGGTTACCATCGCTGCTACTATATTCAACCGCGTTTTCGACCAAAATCTGGCACTGATATCGTCACCAACGTTACGAGAGCAGTTATCTGGTGGGCAAGCGTATGGCTTTGCGAGCCAGGCGCGCGTCGTGCGGGGAACTATCGCACCTAACATCTGGGTCGAGGTGATCGAAGTATATCGGCGCAGTCTTCGCACGATATGGTGGCTGGGCATGGGTATTAGCATCGTGTGTTTCTGCTTGGTTTGGGTTGAAAGAAGCATTCCCCTGAGAAAGGAGCTAGACACTCAATATGGACTTGACGCTAAGACGCACGATGATCCACAAGAGGGCGAAAAAAGCAATAACCTAACAGCATAAATGGTTGTAAGATGGAGCTTACATGTACTTGTCACAGCTACTATGAGCTGCTCAAACACTCTGACACTAGTTGTACGCGTGCTTCGGAACTGACCACGTGACTGGGAACTAGCGCATAGTGAATGCCGCGGACGGCATGCTGCTTCCGGAACGCCTCGTTGATGCGCATTACTCTTCTATCCCGTACGGCATCAACCGCGTTACATCGTCAGCACTCCAACTGCACCCAGCTTCGCACAGCATCACGACGCCCGCATTTATGCGCCGCTCGAGCTTTCCCCACTTGTCGATGCTAGCATTTCGCCTGCCGCTTCCTCGCCTACGAACGTCTGCGCATAGGAGATGAGACCACAACCGGGTCGAGAGTGAATGTACCATATTACGGGAGTATTGGAGTTGATGGCAACCTTTTCAGTTTTGATTATATGTCACAGCTGTGACGCTGCGAGGACATAGAACATGTCTTCACTGAAAAATATAGTCTGATATCTTCCTAAGTTGCTCGACAACTGGCCCAGAGACGCAGCATACTCCATCGCAACAACCCTCACCTACCGTCTGCGTTCCACACCCGGTATCGCAGGTACCAGGGTGCGTTGATCTCAAATCGTATTCTTTGGAGTAGGGAACAAGTTCAATTTCAAGAACTTATGAGGAAGTTCAGAGACGCTTTCGGTCATAATCCTGGGGAAACTGGAGAAAATTGACCGCTCCGTCACCGAACAAACTCCGGAATGCCGCGCTGGCAGCTTCGATAGAGCATTCCTTCATGGGCGTAAGGCGCCCTCCAGGGACAAGAAAGACGCTTATGATTGTCATTGTCATGTCCTAGTCGTTGGAAAAACTGCATGGATCAAAGTTCCTCGTTAGTGCGCCAACGCACGACACAGTGGTCAACTTACTGAGGAGGGCTGTGAGCTATCCCGATGAGAAGAAGAGTATCCTCCTGGTCAAGATTTCGACGCGGGCAAATGCTGTTTCCTCTACAATACATCGCCAGCCCAAACTGAGAACAGCGGTTCAACTGACCGACGTAGTACGCTGTACACCACCTTCCTCTTCAGATCAAGTCCTCGATTTAAGATGGTGAATACCCACCGCTACTCGGTCTCTCTGCCTGTTATGGTGTACGGCTTCATGACTCGCACGTGATCTAATCCTGCATCCATTGCATGGATGACTCCAAGAGAGACCCACAGTAGCTGCCAAGAAGCCATCGGGAGTCGGCAAACAAGCTTGCCGTTCTATTGACATTGGCGGGTCTAAATTTCCCTGTGTTGCACTGACGTGCACCCGGCCCGGGCCAGTAACTAAAGCATGGACTCTAATGTACCTGTGCCTTAGGACAAGCATGCGACTCCTTCAATATTATTTGCCATCTATGCCTCCAAATTTGCCTTTACTAGGTGAAGTCACAACGAGATCCAACCCCGAAACGTCGAAATCGCTATCGAGGCTTCGGTCGTGGTGCGCAGCCACTTGGGCAATTACATAGTAAGAATCAATCCTTGTCCAGATATCTATGTTTCCTTGTTTTGGGGCAGACTTATATGTTGTTCTCTAGCTGAGACCTACTATGTCTTCTACAGGCACTATATCGCCCTCGACAGTGCCAGGCCTACAACTTTGCAAATCCGCTTCAAATCTTCGCCTTCAACTTTGAATATCACAAGAACTGTGACTCTGTTTTGATAGACGCACCTGCCCGCTCGCATCCTCGTACTCGACCATCAGGTGTTGTGTTCAGGTGATACCGGAGCTTTACTCGACTTTGCTACTCTCGTGACTACCAGGCCAACAGCTTGGGCCTAGAATGCTGTCCTGGCCATCGTGACCCAGCGTTGCTCCAGAGATACTCGACTTCCCATGTTGCTTGGCTGACCGAAGAGTCTTGCTCCTGATCGTAGCGAGCTTCAATCCAGGTCGACCATTCGATTTGTAGCCACTTCGATCCCGCTCACCACCAGAGCTACCAAACAGCCCTCGGCCCAAGAAGTGGTCAAATAGTTACTGCAAAGTTGGTATCTATGCACCGATGATGATATCATTCCCCTCAATGCTGGTCCAAATGGTGATATCGGTCGTATTGTCTACATGTTAGTGTTAGCATCTCTGGTCGACTCTGACCACGGCTCTACTCACAGCTAAAGTCGGCACTCGCAAGCGCTGGTAGTCGGGTCGACTTGTACACAGCTACGGTTGCAGCACTAATTCAAGCGTAAGCCAATGTTGCCACATATAATGTGTAAGCCTACATAGAACTTAGTGCGAGCGCAACGCTGAGGGCCACCTTCTTTATCAAATTGATCTGCAGATTGTAGAGAACGACGGCAGGACAGATCGCGAGGTAGAGATCCACGATGGCAGAAAAGGTTTCACGATGGTTAGTCATTGACTTGGCCAAGTGGTAGAATATATACTTCCGGCTACGATTGCATAGTATCTCAGAATCCATGGACTCCAACAGGTGCTTTGGGCGGAAAAGTCCCCATGCGATGGAGTCGACGTGCATTGAGCGAAGATTATGATGACGCTGCCAAACAGGATTACCAAGTATCCACCAGACATACACCAAAGGATCACCTAGTGCCTCTTGCTATTGAGACTATGGAGTACGGCTTTCATTTTGAACAGCCGTTGAAGGCGACTTGAGTATACTACATGCACTCCGTGCTGCATGACTGGCCCGACAATGTATGCAAGAGCATCCTAAAGCAGGTCGCCGGCGCCACGAGAAAGACTACCGTAAACTTCCGATAAACGAGAATGCTATTCCGGACAAGGACGCGGGCTGGCAGGCCACGACATTGGATATGATGATGATTATACTCTTCTCTTCGAAGGAGAGGAGAATTTCTCAATGGAGTCAAATGGTGGAGTCACCCGAACCTGGTCTCGAGATTGTGGGTGTCTGGAGTGTCAAGCATTCGCAAGACAGCTTGATTGAGGTCGAACAGGCATGAGTATAGTGGGGCAGAGACACAAACTCTTTAGCAGTTGGTGGAAAGAAACAATACCTACAAATCATCTCCACATTACCATGAATTGTTGCTTGGAGACTGCAAATCAACTATAACGTAGGTAGATCCTGCGCATGGCTTGCGCCTTCCCCATAATCTAGGCTAGCAGAAGGTATGGCGTATTCTCGCAGTGCATACAACCCTGGAATGCTACCTGCACCAGTCAATGCGAAGATCTATAGATCTAGACCGGTGAGCAGAACCAACTTTTGTGATGCCGAGCTAGGAAAACGAAAGTGCAGAGCCGGCGCCAAGTTTGGAAGCAGTGACATATCGAGTTCACCTGTCGATGACATATCGATATCAACGTTAGGTAACATATCGTTTGTAACCTCACCAAAAATATCGCCACTCTCTTATGTACAAGAGTAACCGTTGCTCCTTATATGCTCAGGGAAGTGCAAGAACAAGACTATTTGCCTATTAACCTACACTGCGCGATCCTTTCAGTATTATACTTTCGTCAACCACAACCTCATCATGACCTGCGGAGGAGGTTGCTGTGGTCCGAAAAATACAACCAAAACTACTGTCAAGCCTAAAGTTCCTCCTGAAATTCTCACGGAGCAACCGACAGAAACGAAAAGTAAGGTGATAGCGGTGACGCAACCTAGAGTGGATGCAACACTCGCACCTTCCGATCCCGACCCCGAGCCTACGGCCTCTTGCTCTACTGTCCCCAACCCTGAGTATGCGGCAACGAAACCAGACAGTTCATGCTGCTCACCTTCAAAGCCTGCAGAATCAGAAACAGCGAAATCTCCGTGCGCCTCATCAGAGCCAGCAACAGACCCCAAGCCAAGCACTTCTTGCTGCTCAACTTCAGCGCCTGGGATACCAAAGCCAGCTAGTTCCTGTTGTCAGCCATTGGATTCTCAGGGTTCGAAAGCATCTGACTCTCCCTGTTTTTCGTCGGCGCCTACAAAACAGGAGTCGACCGATTCTTGCTGTTCAACGCCAGGACCTGTGAAACCAAAGCCTACCAGCTCATGCTGCTCATCAACAGGACCGGCGAAGCCGAAGCCAACAAGCTCGTGTCGCAAATCATCTTCGCCGGTCGAAGCGGAGACGAGGGCGTGTGGCAGCAGCAGCAGCAGCTCAAGCAGGGCTGATCCAGCACCTGCTTGTACTGCCAACATGAAAGACGACTGCTGTGCAGACGATATACAGAGTGTCTCTGAAGACACATGTGTCAGCAGCTATTGCGAACCTAAACGAACTAATTGTACAGAGACTACCACGAAAGCACCGAAAGCATCTTGCTACACCTCACCACCCAAAGCATGCGCAACTACCAGGACCAAAACATCATGCTGTCCGCCTAAAAACGCATCGAAATGCTACACCGACAAGAAGTTAACTCTCGTCAACACAACCGAAGTCGTGAGCAGTTCGGATAACGTCGACATTGAGAAAGGCGGGGACACACGTGAACATGTCGTCATCAGCGTATCTGGCATGACCTGCACAGGGTGTGAGACAAAGTTACAGCGAACACTAGGTAGTCTAGACTACGTCAGCAAACTCCAGACCAGCCTGGTCCTCGCCCGCCTCGAGCTAGACATCAATACCAGCCTTGCGACCGTCGACGATGTCGTCAAACACCTCCATCGCACAACGGAGTTCAAATGCGAGATAGTGTCAAATCAGGGTTGTAGTCTGGATCTTATCTGCTCGGGAGACCCTGCAGCTTTGGTCAACGGACAGTGGCCAGACGGCGTAGTGGACGTGCGTCGCCTAAACAAGCAGACCATCCGTGTCGATTACGACGCGAAGATTGTAGGAGCGAGAGACTTGATGGGTGACGACTGGAGTCAGTCGTTACAACTTGCACCACCGTGTCCCGACTCTTCCTTGGAGGCCGGTAGCAGACATGTTCGAAACATGGGCTTGTTGACATTGCTCTCTGCCATGTTAACCATTCCTGTATTGGTCATGGCATGGGCTCCTCTTCCGGAGCGCGAAATTGCATATGGCTCTGCGTCACTTGGGCTCGCAACTATTGTCCAAGTTGTCATCGCTGGCCCTTTCTACCCGAAAGCGCTCAAGGCTCTGGTGTTCTCCAAGGTCATTGAGATGGATTTGCTCATTGTGTTGAGTACAAGCGCCGCGTACATCTTCTCTGTCGTTTCGTTCGGCTACCTGGTCAGCGGGAAACCGCTGTCGACGGGCGAGTTCTTCGAGACAAGTACGCTACTGGTGACACTCATCATGGTCGGACGTTGGGTGGCATCGTTAGCGCGTCAAAAGGCGGCAGAGTCCATCAGTATTCGTTCCTTGCAAACCCCCACTGCCATCCTGGTCGATGACGATGCAGTAGAAAAAGAGATCGATGCCAGGCTGTTGCAATATGGAGACACTTTCAAGGTCGCTCCAGACTCGCGCATCCCGACGGACGGCACCGTCATCTCAGGTTCTTCGGAGATTGATGAATCAATGTTGACCGGCGAGTCTCAGCCTGTAGAGAAGCACACCAAATCTGCTGTCATCGCAGGAACTATCAATGGGAGCGGAACGCTTACTGTTTGCCTAACCCGTCTGCCTGGCGACAATACCATCACGACGATTGCGGGTATGGTTGACGAAGCAAAGCTCTCCAAGCCCAAGATCCAAGAGATTGCCGACACCGTGGCCAGCTACTTCGTCCCGGTAGTAGTGGCCTTGACAATCATCACTTTCGTCATCTGGGTCGCCATTGGGGTTGCGATACGGCATCAGTCTGGCTCAGAAGCGACCATAGAAGCTATCACGTATGCCATCACAGTCCTAATTGTCTCGTGTCCTTGCGCCATCGGTCTCGCGGTTCCCATGGTCATCGTCATCGCATCCGGCGTCGCCGCGAAGCGTGGGGTGATCTTCAAGACAGCTGGCAGTATCGAAGTCGCATACAGAACGACGGATGTAGTGTTCGACAAGACGGGCACCTTGACAGCAGGAAAGCTGGAGGTAGTGCACGAGGAGTATGTTGAGTATGGTGGTGCAGAGGAAGCCAAGTCACTTTTGCTTGGCTTGCTCGGAAACATCAGACATCCCGTGTCGGCGGCCATCGCAACGCGTCTCGCGTCGCAGGGACTACCAGCTTCAACCATATCAGACGCCAAGGTGGTAACTGGCAAGGGCGTCGAGGGAACGATCCATGGCAAGAAGCTACGCGCTGGTAACTCGAGATGGCTTGCGCTTTCCGACGATCCACGCGTCCGCTCCATGTTATCTCAAGGCTTCACCACTTTTTGCTTCACCATCGACAATACACTAGTAGCCATCTTCGGTCTGCAAGATACGCTACGGCCCGACGCAGCATCTACCATCGATCATCTCCGACGCAGCGGCATCAACGTCCATGTACTGTCTGGCGACGACGATGGCGCTGTTAAAGAGATTGCCTCGCAGCTCAACGTCTCAGAAGACAATGTTCGCTCTCGCTACTCACCCGCAGACAAGCAAACTTACATCAAGAACCTCCTCGCAGCACCTTTGACAGCTCCAGCGACTGGCAAATCCCGCAAGCCGGTTATCATGTTCGTCGGCGACGGGACCAATGACGCCGTTGCCCTCGCTCAAGCTACAATTGGTGTCCATGTATCAAGCGGTACTGATATCGCGCAATCTGCTGCCGATGTCGTTCTCGTCCGTCCTAGCCTCTCGGGCGTACTAACCATAATCAATGTGAGTAGGAAGGCGATACACAGAATTGTATTCAACTTTAGTTGGAGCTTCGTGTACAATACTTTCGCTGTACTGTTAGGTGCGGGCGCGTTTGTGCACGCGAGGATACCGCCAGAGTTTGCGGGTCTTGGAGAACTGGTCAGCGTGCTGCCTGTAGTGTTGGCGGCAGTCTTGTTGAAATGGTCGAAAGTCTGAGAATGCCGTCATGAATCTAGCAATACAACTCGATCGATGTGTTTCTGAATTCATAAGCTCCATATCGGTCGTTCTGATTTTGGGTAGACAACGATTAATGTTTTCTTATAAAGTAGACTACTCGAACATACAGAGTCTTAGGGGGGTATCATGCAAGTCATCAACTGTCTCCCCAACGTCCATCTCCTTTAGGGTAAGAGCTTCTGCTCGAACTCATGTCGCTCACGGTACTTGGCCAGAGCAATCGGAACCTCTGCACTATACCCCAGTTCACCTTGCGCCTTTTCCAACTTCCTCGTCACCTTGCCTACCAGCCGTGCGATCCAGCGATCGTTAGCCATGGCATGTACAGTATTCTGACCAGCTTTGCGCATGCCCACCATAGTCTTATTCGACGCTTCCTTGAAACCAGTGTCCACCTTTTTGAGAAATGCTTTGAAGCTCTTGTCCTCATTGCCATTCACTGTGGTCTGCGACATTTCGCTATTGTTGGTATTAATCGACGCAAGACTGCTTGCTTCGCTATCAGTCGTGCTGACGCGCTTCAGTTCGCGTAAAACCTTTGCCTCCTCAAAGTCTTTGTCTGACTCGATGACCTTGGTGGCTTTGACAATTGCGGCGACGAAGTTGAGAAGATCTTGGTGAAACTGCGCCGGGAGGTGAGCGTGTGCGCTGACGTGCATAGATGCCTCGTCTCTCTTTAACTTCTCAAGTTCTTTCAGAGCTTGGATCTGCTTTGGAGTAGATTCAGTTTCTTTGATGGCAGATTCCATCTCCAATAGGTCGAAGTCACTCTTCTTCTCTGGGAAGATGTGCTCATGGTGAGGAACAGGAATGTCGGAATCGTGAGAATAGCATCGGCACCTCCTAATCGCACAACTTGCTTAAGTTCGACGGCATCAGGGAGTATTCTGTAAGCCATGACATCTGAGATTTTTAAGTGGGTCTGGATGTTGTAATTAGTGTTGATGGGGAAGGAGGCTTCGCTAGCCATGGGGCCTAGTTCTACGGCGAAATTGGCATCTGCACACCAGGCCGATATCCGCGCCTCCAATCTACGAATCTCGGCGTCTTGGGACGAGTAATGCTTAAAGAAATACTGTTGCATCAGGGCTGTGAACCACTTTCCTGATCCAGCTGCAGTAATGGACTTGAACTTGACAGGATGGAAGTAACAAATAGGACTGAGCATCAAGCGGTAGAGGAAGGGCAGTCGATGTAGGAACTTCTTTACGTTTGGGTACGATGTTTTCCGAAGGGTGGAGACTCTGATCGATTTGGTAGGTGGATGAGGTATTGAGGGTTGTCCATGGATCTGGGTACAGATTGCTGCTCTGAAGTCATCCATATTATCAATGTCCAAGCGGACGCCCGGTTCTTCTTTTGACCTTTTAGCATCTTTGGGGTCTTTTTCATCATCTGTTGAGCCAGCCTCATCTCGTGCTTTCGAGGCCTCTACCAGTTGCTGCTTCGCCTTTGTAATGGCACTTGTGTCGTTGATATAGCGGACCAGGTCCTTGTACTTTGTATGAGCGCGCTCCTCATCTGGTGATATCTTCTTAACGGACGAGAATGCGGATGCGGTATCTTCAGCCTCAGTCGGTATCTTGCCAGCCGTAAGATTCCTGACCATATCGGCCGGGCGACCATTGGCTCCCCCTTTCATCGTCGCTGCTCTAAGGATAGCCGTGTTGGTAACGACTACAGAATCGTCGTCGTCTGGCTCCGGGACGCCGTACTGGACGTCTCCGAAGGTGACTTCCCAGTCTCCACCCTTGACATTCGCATAGACGTCGTCGACGGTTATCTCTCGAAAGAGTGGTACAACAACTTTGTCAACTTGAATGCCAAGTTCGATGTCGTCCGAGAGCTTTATGCCGGCTTCAACTCCATGAGCAACAAGTGTCATTGTTGAGAGTGAGAGCGTAACCCCGCGGATGACGAACAGTCCTTTGACCTCGGTATCGATTTCCAACGCAGGAAGGTCGAAGAAGGCTACCTGATCGTTGATAAAGTGGAGATCTCGGAGGAACGTCTTTCGCAGAGTGCGGCGTGCCAGTGCAGCAGGTGCGTCGAATTGAAAGAGGCAGGTGACGAAGAGTACAGGCCAGCAGAAGGCCCAAAATACCCAGTATAGAAGCCATGAAGTCGCACATACAGCGTAAACTAGGTTTACTGTTGCAAATATGGTCCAGACTGGAACGAAGGGTAAGATGCGATGACCATACGCCTCGCCTAGCAGGATAGCGTAGATCAGTATGGGCGCTCCGGAGATGACCCATCGCAGTGGCCAGGAGAGAGACAGAGCTGCCAAGAGGGTTCCGGTGAGAAAAGCGTTCGGTATTAGTCTACTAGTGAGCTCTCGCTCTGGTTCAAGCGATGGCGTAGGTGTGGTCGGCGACGGGACAGCTTTTCGTTTAGAAGCGGCCGGCGCCTCGCGCTTTGCGGTTGAATCCATGCCGTGGAGGCTGCGGAAAGTGTAAGGTAAGGGTCACAAGTAGTAGGAATTCCGAGGGAGAGAATGCATCGTGCTTGTGGTATTCTACTAGTGCTAGTGCTTGCAGGCGTGGTCGTTCAAGCAGTTCGGTTCGTTGGTGTGACGTCATGGTTCCCAAAAGAGACAAGAACACTCTAGACCAGACTTGATTTGTCGCAGAGGGGGGTATGATGGGCGATATGGCTGGCCAAGGTATTTCTGTATAACCGTTAGATCACCGCTTACAGCATGTCGATCACCTGTCTTGAAGCCTGTCTTACCAGGTTTCCATGTCTTGAACGGTGACGTAAACGCGCTAGTACTCAATGGTCATTGCACACGATGATGTAGTTCGCGTCTTGCAACGTTGTCTTATACGCAGTGTATATATGAAGAGGGCACATGAATTGTATGAAAGCTATGTCACTCGTGTTCTATTCATGTACGACCTGGCGGAATTTCACCCCAGGTTCCATTCGAGAACCATGTGCCTGCTCTAGTAAAGTCGCTATATGCTACGTTGCCAAACAACTGGTAGCTAACGAATCCAAACCGGAAGTATTCATCTTTCTCGTCGTCTGACCGACTCCAAGTGAAGTTACCTTGGTCGCTTCCACCAGAGCCCCGATATCTTTCCACATCGTTAACCACTACACTCACGCCTTGGTATCCGCGGAGTAAGTTTCCCCATGCGAAGGTGATGCTCGAGCCATTGATAACAGGCTCAAGAATGGCTGGGATGCCAGATCCGAGCTGGCCATCTCCTCGTAACGCCGCTGCCGTCTGTAGGATGGAGTCGAAGTCCCAGCGTGCAATACCATTAACGAACAGTCCAACCAGCAGACCTTGACACAACAGGCTCACTCGCGTCTGCATCGCAGTGCCTGGAAGGAGCAAGAGCGCTATTATGTAGTGGTGTATCCTGAGTGTGAGCTTTGGCATAGCAGCGAGTATACCCAGGCTAATGCCTAATGTGGCATATAGTGCAAGATAGCGTGGCAGTCGTCCTTCTTTGCGGAAGCACCATGTTTGGTACAGAACGACAGCAAACAGAATGAGCACAATGATTACTAATGCTGTGATAGCACCAGGCTGTTGCTGAATGTCATGTCCTGTGAGCCGCTGTATGGGTATACGTTCAAACGTGTAGTTCCCAAGTGCGCCGACCCAAGCCCCACCTACCCAAAGTACGGTCTTCTCGATTTGCGCCTTACAACTACGCAAAGATTTGCGAATACTAAACCGATAGAACAGGGCTGCAGCTAATGCAGCAGGCAAGAAGCGACCGAGTGTTGTAGAGGCCAAAGACGCGTAGTTTGAATACGAAGGCGGATCCGATGCCATGCCAGTCTGGAAGAACAGTATTGTGAAGATGGGCACAAAAAAGGCTGCAGGACTCGTGGTGAAGATGCCGAATAGAGCAGTAAAGACGGTCGAAAGGATAAGCAGATTCCAGCGCGGATCCTCACATTTGGCCGAAGCCTCACCAAAGGTAAAGGCCATTGGGAAGTGCGAGTCAAAGCCGATACTGCTTATGCCATGGCGTGTCACAGCGCCGAAGCTGTCTCGCTCTCCTATCAAAGAGAGGACACCACAACCGCCATTGCCATTGCCGATGACTCCAGCGTGTATAGCCGCTGAGCATATGAACGAGTCTCCGCGGTATACCAAGGCATTATCGCCAGACTCTGGAGCACCTCCAACGACCAAGGATCGGTAGTTTACGACTTGCGGTCCGATTGCGCGAGGGTTGAGCACTTGGGCGCTCGAGCATCCGGCGGGGCAGTTGAAAGCGAACGAAGCGTTGGAGAAGGGGAAGCAATTACGGCCGTCGGGTCCGCAGCTTTCTGGGGATGGCCTGGCGACGATCAGTACAGTCATCGCAGCTTGGGGTATAAGACGAGGAGACATACCACAGGTTGTTGACACATGATAGCTTTACAGGCGCCCCAAATCCTCCAATGTCAGAGGGAAGCCCACCGTCACTGATGACTACAGCGAAGACGACAATCCAGATAACACATGCTGCTGCATATATGCAAAAGCGCGCCCATTCTGGCAACCGCGCGAGCACACGCACAGGCAGTGTTTGCCAGCGCTCAAGCAAAGGCGTAATCGTGTGCCTGCTCGATGGCTTCGGCCCCTTCACCCACTCGACAACCTTCCGGCTCCAACGGGCCACAGGTGCTGGCGTGCGCTCTCTCAACTTGCTTGTCCATAGCGGGCTATGACGGGACTGGCGATGCGGTGCGACCAGTTCTATGCTCTGGCCACTCGGTGTAACTCGATCGTGGTTGTGGTCGCGTTTCGTCCCATGCTCGAGGTCGATGGTTTCCGGAACCACGGGATCCGAAGCGTCGCGTGCTGCCATTCGGGAGGTACAAGTGCAAAAGAACAACAACAGCGGCTATGTACACGCGACTATCATATTGAAAACATGCCAGAACCACGCATGCCGGGTATACGAGAAGAGACTATTGATCTAGGACCAAGGTGGCGCACGGCAAGCATCATCGACTCGGAAGGATGATGGACTGATCCACTCTGCCGTGCCACAGGCCTTGGGGACGCACGCGGTTCCGATACTACCGCGAGCTAAACATTCAGCCTTATCGTCCTCTTACTGAACATCGCGAATCCTAGACGCGAAAACTTCTCTGGGTTAAGCCTCGGTGGATTATTGGCAGGGCCTGCCGGAATAGTGATACCAGGCGCAGCTACGGTTGTCGCATGAGTCTGCGCAATCGGAGTTAGGACACCTCGTATTGGCAACTTCGAACATGTCGCGGCAATTCCATAATCAAGAGCTACATCTTGCTGCTGTTTCCAATCGCGAGCAACACATAAGTAGCTGGCAAAGACTTTCGTGGTAGGAATCATCAATATGCTGGTGTTTTACCCAAAATACAAGCTACCTGATCTATATGAGCTGACAGCAAGGCTACCATTCCTTTTCTTGTATCATCAACCGGACCCTCTCCATGAATCATCTCCATACCACGCGGCCATCCTAGTGGCACTTAGCTTTCAGACCGGTCTCGAAGTTCCCGCTGCATGCGCTGCGTTTCGAGTGTCGCCGTAAACTTTCGCTTCCTCTACGAAACAAGCGCACGTTTGGAGAGCCCGCATCAAGTGGACACGATCTCCCAAAGGAACGGACTGGTGCACCCCATGGTCTCAAAAAAGCCACGGATCCTCATGGTGCAGGGATCGTGATCACCATGTTTGGTAACAAAAGGTCGCAGCGGACTTTCTCCCGACCAACCATCGCCCGTGGTTGTTGTCCAGGCCGAAACGTTCACCCGCTTTAACACGTTTTTGGGTCTGGGATCTCGTACTTTCTGTATGGAACCACTGTTAGCCGGCTGGGGTCTGGAGCCCGCATTACTGCCGCTTCAACACCATCGTATGCTATGAATGCTCATCGCCTCTATGGAAACTCCACCTTGCTATGGCTGCACCAAGCAGACCATATGAGATCCCACCGGTGCTGGTACACCGTAATGTTCCAAGGATGGCAGCTACGTCCATCGTAGTTGAAGGTCAGGATGGAAAGATTGAGGATACGGATTCGCGCAGAGGCGCGACAAGACTTCAACAATCGGATGCGGACATGAACGGACGGTGGGAACGACCACCGCCAACAAACCAACCCACCGGAATGGAAGAAGAGTCGACTTCGCGATCCGAACAGTCCTCACCTTCCGCCATACCGACACCTGCCAATACTCAAGAAACGACCTTCCAAGTTCTCTCTGCACCTTCGCTATCGATGGATGCCAGCTCAACTATTCTACCTGAGTTGGTAGAGTCTACCGCCAGACCTTCCCTTGCCGTTCAGGTAGATGTCAGTACCATGAATGGAACCAGCACCATACAAACGGCTTCAACTACAGTGCCAGCATTTCTGGCAGACTCTGGCGTAAAGATAAACGAAGAAGCGCTTCCAGGCATGAACCAAGGTGACCCTTCGTTGGTAACGGTTCCTGGAATGAATCAAGGTAAATCTAGGGCATACAAAATATATGTGAGACGTACACTGACTATCTTGGTTTCCGTAGAAGCTCCTCTGTTGGTGACCGCACCTATCAGAACGCCTCTCGCGACCCCTGAGAGTTCGCTGGTAATCTCTTCAACTTCCGCGATGACAGTGGATAAGCCTATGCCGGGAAAGAACCAACCGAAGCCTACAGTAGACGCTGCAGCAGCCTCATTGACGACTCTAAGTGACTCCAGGCCAACGAATGTACCGACCTCATCAACGCCTTCGTCGACCACGAGTACATCCATCTCAACTATCGCTGATGTTTCTACGATTTCTTTCTCCATGCTGCCGACATTGGCCATCTCTACTCTATCGTCTACAGAATCTTCAACGACGACAAGCTCTCCAGTACTGTCTCCTGTTCTTACTTTTGTCACCATTACACGAACAGCTCAAGGTAAAGAAGATGCTCAAACGTCCACTCAGACCGTCCCCGCTCCATTAGCTGTCACTGCACCACAATCGCTATCCTCATCATTCTTGACGTCCTCTCTGGTAGTTGGTTCAGCCATACCTTCGAGCCTGGCTACCGCTGTCAGTGTCGAGCCGCAGAGCGGCTTGACTCCTCTAGCAAGGTCCTTGTTCATTCTTTTCGGCGTCCTGGGTAAGTGACTTGTCATATCTTCTTGGAGCAAAGCTAATATGAATATAGGCTTTATCACCATTCTTATCGCCTTGGGTATACTCTGGGTGATGAGAGCTAATAAAAGACGCGCCCAAGCAGCTCGACAACAAGCCATTCAAACTCCTGTCCAGGAAACCGGAGAATACGATAACTACGGAAACACGATACGCATATCCTCCAACAACTCCATCAAGACGTTCCTGACGGAGAGCGAAAAGGCCATTGTAAATCGTGCCGCTACGCCAGACGGAGGCACAGATGTAAGTCCATTCGCCGTTTGAATGAGTATTGCGATACTAACAGACTCCCCAAGGCAAGCGCAAAACCGTCCAGCGCCCTCACCGAAGCTATCAACTCTTTCATAACCAAATCGCGTCGCCTAACTTACAAAATATCGCCTTGAACACTGTACTGGAAATGAAATCAACACATGCTTGAACTTGTCGCCAGCGCAACCTAGTACTATAATCGGTTGCGGGACTTGTAATTAACTGTACATAGCATGATAGACTGTATATACAATGGTTGTGGCCGTTCATGTCGGTCGTAGCCAATCCGATGTGCATACTGAACTCGTGACGTGCACAGCCAGAGGTACGCTCAAATCTCACGTAGTGAATGAGAGCTGCAAGCGAGAAAGGAATTCAAGTTTTGGTTGGCGGCCGAAAGGCTGTAGAAGATTCTAGTCGGAACGTAGCCCACGTCAACACAGTAGGACAAAAGCCGATGATAAGCCATACTCTTATGCGCAGGCAAAGAAACTCCTTCTATGACATGTGTAAACCAAGCCCTACTTATCTAGCAGCAAGAAAAAATGGCATATCATGGTCGCAGACCCTTACAAAGAGCTCGCTCTTTCTCGTTCCATCTCTGAATCCTTCAAAAGCCACCATTCTACTTTCGCTCCAATCATCCCTCCACACCCACCCCAACTCTCCCACATACAAATCTGCCAAGCCACTTGAACCCCAAAATCCTTGTTCTTTTATATCTCACGCCATTGCACGCCTTGTTTAGTCCGTTCATCTACTAGTCTGCGGCGTAGCGGCGTAGCCTGCAAAGCTAGTGCCAGAAGTGCTTACCAGCATCGTTAGTGGCTGTTAGTGCTGGGTTCAACAGACCCCACGCTACTTGCTGTATAGGGTAGTTTTAAAGTATAATCTGGAGGGACGGTAAAGTGGGATGAGAACTGGCTCTTCTTACTTCCTATCCACAGGCATACAGTGATTGTACATACCTAGTCTACCTACAAGCTTCGATTGATGCGGGCTCGAAAGTCAGCCTTGTCATCACCACGACAGATGGACATGTACTGAGGTCCTAAATGTTTTACGGTTATATGGATTGAATCTGCATTCCATGCGAAGAATCAATGGGAAGTAACTACACGTTGACACTATAGTCGTAGTAATCACAAGTCAGTAGTAAAGACTACATGTTATCAACTAGTCAGCACGTGCACTATAACCCAGCACGAACATGCTGCACAACACCTCAGTGCCTACTCGATAATCTGATCTCCAGCCTTGTCCACCCTAACGATAGCCGTGCCCTTGCACTGCGTGTACGGCAGGTCTTCTTCGGGATGAGGAGTGCACTGAATCTCGATGAGCTTAGCACCATACACAGTGATCCCTGTGCCATTAAACGTCACGGTCTGCTCGAGCGCGAGGGCTATGGCTATCGTCAGTCTCACGTATCGAAGAGGTGTTGAGGACAGCTTACAGTATGACCCGGCAACACCGGCGTCACCGTCCAAGGTGTAGTTAAAGCTGGCGGGCGAGCATCCAGTATCAGCTGGAGCCGCACCAGGCCTCTTGATGGTCTTGCAGCCAGCGGCGACGGGCTCACCACTGGCAGTGCTGGCGTCGATGTATAGAGCATCGATGTTGGTGGAACGGTAGCCGTATTCGAAATTGTTGTCCTCGATAGTGACGTTCCATCCGCCGTAGTTGGAAGGAGTTGCTGCGACCACGGCAGGTGCAAGGGAGAGAGCGAGGGAAAGAACGGATGCGTACATCTTGGTATTTGAGATTGAGGAATGTTGGTGTTTGTGGAATGAGGAGAGTGAGCTAAACTGAGATGTTGGATTTGATTATGCTGATGATGAGTTTAAAGACGAGCAAGACAGGGCCACTACATGTACTCATGCCTATGTTCACACTGTCAGTGCTGAGCTCAACATGGGAAACAACGGCGCAACTTCGGTTATCAGAACCTTGGGATACTACCCACTGGCGTTCCTGGACCATGTGGAGAAGCTTGAGATTGCGCTCTTCGCTGGCATGATTGCCTTGAGAATTACTAAAGAATTCGTATACGACGTTGCGGTCAACGAATACGACGCCCTATGCAATCTGCATATCGAGTATTTCCGACTTCGTGATCGACACATGTCATGCCAGATGTAACTTCAGGGCGGAGCTTATCAGGTACAAGCACAGGGTCGGTGAGAGAAGGCGGTGGAATTGAAACGCTAGCGGTCCTCTGGCGCAGAATCCAGAAGAAATGCCCCATCGGCGGTGCCTTAGGTAGTCGTCATGACGCCGGTCATGGTCGGTGACGATCGGTGCTCTTCTATTTTTGGAGGGGTTCGATTTCGTACATGCACCATTCTGTACAACGTAAGATCTCCACTCTGCTAGTCTCCGTACAACCCCTTGATACAAGTCGCCATGTTCAATCTCCAACCTTTCCAATCAAATATACTCAATGGTGCAAGGCTGAAGGTGGCCAACTGCAGAGCTAGATTGAAAATCTACAGGCTTATGACGATGCAGTGGAACATGTTTGTGAAGCCTGATATAACTGGATACTTTTCTTTCATTTTGCTCTTTATTTCAGTCATGACTGTCCACAGGCAAGCTCACCAGACTTAGTCTCACATGATGCTCGGAGGCTACTATCCTACGGTAGCCTTGTAAACGTGCAGGTAGACGACCTCTTCGCCAACTTCTACATCTCCCGGCAACGGGAAGTCCATCTTTGTCGTCTCCATGAAACCCGCGTCTTTCATGAGATCAAAGAAGACTTCCTCACTCGAGTGCCGCATCTTCATGGCGATAGCAACCACAACACCTGGATTGGCTTTGGAGAGTCGTGCCAAAATGTTGACCAATGCTGGGCTGTAGATGAAGGTCAGATTAATGTTGTTTCGGTGAATCTATCTAAGACACCTTAACAGTATAAGAGAAAGACATACCTGCTGTCTGGATTGTACGTGCAATCAGCAGCGAGTACAAGATCAAGCTGATCTGATGTAGACTGCAGATCATGAGGTAGGTCTGCATCCCAATCCAGTTCCATGAATGCGAGTGAGGCACCTGGTGCTATGGTAACTGAGTTGATATTGCGCTCTACGATCTCTTTAGCTTCTGAAAGGTCAGTCAGAAGCACTTTGGAGTTCGGGATGATTTGAGCCATTGCGATGCCAACCATCCCGCAGCCAGTGCCTAGTTCGAGCACATTGAAATGAGGTTTGAATGGGGATGGCCGCAAGGCTTTTGCTAAGTCAGAAGTTGAATTTCTTAGAGCTGGTGTTTGACAAGATAGTGTGATACCAGCGTCCCTAAACATCCAAGTCAGTACCTATGGACCTATACGTTACATATTGAAGTTACATACCACAAATGCCTTGCTATGCTCTCTCCCGTTTCCTCCCATATAGTAGTGACAGGTCCATCAGGTAGCTTGAACCGTCTTTGGACCAACTTCGGAGCACCTACGTTAGACGTGAAAGGCGGACTCCAGGCAGACACAACGCCCCGAGCATCTGGTTCTGAGATGGCTAAGAATTCATCGTGCGCTCGTTTCGGCTCCCCGCCTACTCTTACTCGCAGATTGGTTAACGATACCTGGGATTTGGGAAGCGGGAATGTGATGGGCAGACTCCGCATGCCGGCCGTCCATTGCGCGTTCGACCATACTAGCACATTTTCTTCTGAATCTGCTGTTGCTAACAGCTCTGCTGCTAGCTGAATATCGTAAGGGAGAAAGGAATCCCCTAGATCTGACGTGATGGTGATCAGACAGTGCACTTGCTTTCTTGAGGTGCCTTTGTCAGTGACTACGCGGGGACTTTTGAGAAAGCGGATGTATCGCATGGTGCATGGTAGGATTGGTCGGAAGGCGTGTGCCGAAAGCAGCCAGACTGTGGGGGTGAAAGGCTGGATGTGGGGTGCTGGAACGCTGGAACGCTGGAACGCAGGGCTGGGGAATCTGAACCTAGAATGCCAACCGAGCCGCATCTCATCTACCACGTCGTCATACCTTAGTTTGTCCCAAAGTTAATGCGCTTGCCTCTGTGTTGAAGCCAATGCGCTGTCGCATTGCAGCGGTCCGCTGCTACACGCAATAATCACGAGTTCTTACTGAGTAATAACCACCGTCATCGTCATCATGTACCGTCGCAGCGACCCCAGGTGGAATCGCACGCTCCATCAAATCACGGAGAACCTCGAACACGCAAACGAATCAGCGCAGGAGAACATCTACGGATTCACACAGCGCTACGTCAACCCATGCTTCTCATCCATTACCCAATGCGTCAACGCGTGCACGGCGCCATGCTTCCCAGCGCACAACGACCGCCGGCGCAATCGCGGACGATCACGAGGCCGAGCAGAAGTCAGCTTCGACTTCTACGACGACTGGGAGGACGACGAGAACGACAGCCTCTTGGGCTGGGGCACAGATAACCTCGACCGCTTTCTCGGCGGCGCGGCCAATTATGGCGCAACTACGCAGCCTGGTCGACAGAGCGGCATGAGTTATGGACAGCGAAATCGTGATGCCAGATACAACACGCCGCGGCGGAAGAGCACGACGCTGCCACGAGACGGCGCCCAAGACCCGACTCTCATCCCAAGTTCCTCTTACTTTGGCTTTCTGGGACGGTTGCCTTGGAAGATTGGCGGTAGGGGACTGCGATACAAGCCCTCGGCGGCAGACCTCACAGAGCACCCGGGCGCAACGCGAAGGAGCCTCGAGGAAGAACAGCCGTTGATTGAGGACAGTGATGAGGATGCATTGGACGGGCCGGAGAGTAAGGGACATCGCAGGCAGAGAAGCAACACACATACATCCGGACACACGACCGACTCGCTGAGTTCTAGAGGCGACATTTTCCCCAGCGAAGACGAGCTAGAAGACGCGGTACCGCTCGACGACGAGTTCACCATCGCGCTCGAGCGACGCACAACAGGGCAGTGGAACGAAGACAGCACCAGCAGCAACAAAGCGCGCTCAAGTAAAAGCAAGCGACCCTCCGCCTCCCGCATGTCTACCCGAACAGTCTCCTCACGCAACACAAGCGCCTCTGATAAGCCCCCGTTGCCTCAGCGCTCCGCCTCCGAAATGATTGAAGAAGTCCCCACCCTCGACGAACTACATAAAGAAGAAGAACGTCTCCATCTAGAAGAAGAAATGGAAGTCCATCGCAAACGTCAGGAAGCCCGACAGCTCGCCGTCAAGCGTGGCCTAGCTCCTGACCAACAAGCGCTCTCTACCAAATCCAGCACGCCCCGCTCCTCGTCGCCGGCTCATGTAATGACGGCAGTAAGCTCGACTGTATCGCCGCTTGTACGCACACCCGCTGGCGAAACTGCGCCTTTGACTGACCAGTTCGACTCGATACCTTTTCCCAGTTTTGTAGATACCCAGACGATGCCGGACAGCAGTGGGTTTCATGTCGATGAGAGTGATTATTCGAGTAAGGCTGTGACGCCGAATCGACCCTTGTCTATCAAAGATGGGAGGGGAGAAGATGATGAAGAGGCGTTTGTTCCTGCTCGATTACCGCATTTTGGGCCTGAATAGACATCAAGTAAACGGAGAGACAGACGGGAAGCGTAAAATGAGAAAGGAGTGTCTTTTGACGAATGCAACGGGGACATGAAGAGACGTAGCGGAAAACATATGTTGTAATTAATGACCTGAGCGATCTTGATTCATCTTGTTCCAAATATTATTACTATTGAGTTGTAAGCTCATCATACAAGATGAACCCATTGGCGATGAACTTGGATCATTTCATGCACACGACCCCACCTGTTCTAGGTCGGGGCCTTTGGCCCACTATAGAACTGGATTTTAGCAAGACGACAGCGCCTACTCATTCTTACAAGTTGTGCACCATGATAGACTAGAACGTTTATGGCAAACTATTATCTGCGCACATTCTCATTTTGTGCGAAAGCTCACGAGACCAGTCATTCTATAAGAGTATGACTGGGATGGGTATATTTTTAACAACTAGCAACTTTTCTTCATCAAGCATTCTTGGTCCAACGGTAGGATAATTGCCTTCCAAGCAATTGGCCCGGGTTCGAGTACGTTATATCCCACATCCTCTTCATCAACAACTATTCTAACAACTTCTGTAGCTCCCGGAGGATGCATAACATCCTTCTCCACAATTGCGAGATGATCATTTTTTTTTGCTCATACATTCAGCCCATGTTGCCAAATGTAATCTGCTTCTTTGTCAGACCCTGGTAGATTTCATCCAGTACGCCCCTCTTCCTCTTCTTATCCACCTCCTTCTCTTTCCGTTCGAGTTCCTCTTCCTCGTCTAGTTCGGCTTCTTCTTCTGTTCTTGGCTTCCACGTCGCAATACTGCCATCGGCGTACGCAGAGTACATCTCCACATGGTGTGGTCGCCAGGCCAGACTTGTAATTCTATCTCTGATATTGCGCTGCCCCTTTGTCGCTGCAGCACCGGACGCATTGGCCGGGTTATTTGTCTGAGGCTGCTGTGAGCGGCGTAATCGACGGATGAGCTTGCCGTCAAAGAGCTCATAGGTAAGGATCTCGTGCTCGTTAGGATAGAACATGAGATCAGAACCTGGCTGGAGGTTCTGCACTGGTGCGAGAACGGGGATGCGCGGCGCAAGACCCGAGTTCTTGACCATGGGGCCAAAGTTTGCAAGAGTATTGGCACCTGTATCTGTATCCCAGACGCGTATCCGCGCATCGTGTCCGCAAGAGACTAGATGTTTGCCGTCCTCTGTCCATACGAGCCCATTCACAGCGTCTCTGTGTGCTTGAGCGTTGTTTGAGTTGCGAGTAAAGGACGTGGGTTTCCCTAGTACACCGACTGAGTCTTCGAGGTCCAGTACACCCAGTTCACCGACACTGCGACGTACGTCCCAGAAACGTATGCTGCCATCTGTAGCTCCACTGACAAGAACATGTTCGCGCACCGGACTCCACGCCGTAGAAAGAATCGCACCAGAGTGGCCCGCAAGACTGTGTGTAGTTGCGCCTGAACGGAGGTCTACGAGACGGACATTGGGGTGTTGGGTGGCGCATGCAACGAGGAGATGAGAGGCGACAGGCGAGAGCGCAATGTTGTACACGACCGAGTCGAGGTTGAAGGACGCAGATGGCGCGAGCGTTTCGCTCGAGTAGAGCTTGACGGTGTGGTCGTACGACGACGTGAGAAACGCCAGAGAATCGAAGGGGTAGAACTGTATCTGTGTAATGCCCAACTTGTGCTCTTCGCTTGTCTTGTTCACCGCCGTCAAGGGGAGATATGTCTCTCCCGCCTCGGTTGCTGTAGTCTGCGCCTCGAGATCCCATACCGCAATCGAGCTGTCAGCACCTCCAGAGAGCAGATATCGACCCTCAAACTTGTCGATTGTCAGTGCATTAACCCCGGATATATGCGCCGGTATGCGCTCGTGCGGGTCATCGAGAGCGGGTAGGTGCTGGCTGAAGGTTACGGTGGGCGATGGTTGCAGCGCGTAGGTGAGACGCGAGGTGTAGCCGCGTTTAAGGACGTGGTTGGGAATGAAGCCATACGCCCTGTCGAGCACGTGTTGGGTGTTCATATGCGACTACATGCTTCGTGTGCTTTGGGGCAATGAGGAAGGAGAGGGTGCGCAGAGGATTATGACGTTGTAGCCCGGCCGCCACAACGCGACAGGGATGTCTAGTCGCAAGACATTCACTGATGCTCAAGCCTTGCAGCCAAGCGAGCCGCTTACCTGTACAGTCCGCTGTACTTCAGCATAACACCAACACGTAGGCGTACCGAGGCCACGTCGAATGGCTTCCGATAACGAAAAGCCGTGTCGCAAGAAAGTAGTTAAGAGACCACGAAAGCGACGGGCCACCGTCTACGATGCCGTCAAACGTAAGAGACGCACGTGTTTACAGCCAGGTTGCATAATCTAATATATCTCAAGGCAGAGTCGCCAAAACCGGTCTGATCGACCACATCCATGATCCCAAGGCATCCAGAAAACCACTACGTCCAGATGAGGTCCTCTTCAAGCGAAAGAATGCGCCCATGCGATACGAGGAAGATGATTACTACCCTGCACACGCCAAGTTGCCTGCAGACCAAAAGCTTCCGAGTGGAGATCTAGCAGACGCAATGAAAAGCTACGTTTCGACACTATGGGCCAAAACGGAGCGACCCGGCCTCATGCGAAGGACTTGGAGAGGCATGGATGAAACTGCGCTCATTGCCCTGAGTATCTTGATGGAAGAGACGGCGCGTGGTGTGCTAGGTGAGACTGGAGATTTAGCTTTCACCGAAGCAGCTGAGGAAGATGAGGCGCAAGTCCTTGCTCGTCAAAAAGATTGGACTCGGGGTGGTAAGAAAGAGGGAGCTATTGGCAGGGCCAAGAAGCAAGCTCAAGCCAGTAAACTGAAGCAGCGCGCGAAGGAAAAGGCAAAGGATCGCCTAGAAACGTGGACTTCATCTGATGAGGAGGAGTCGCAAGATGATTCGGAAGAGCTAGAGTAAACGTCACGATATTGGTGGCATGTTCAAAGGCGGTGCTGCGATCAAAGGTATAGTTGAGCACTGGTCGTACCTGCCTCCTTTTGCAGCTGACGGCATAGCGTGCTTTCCTCGAGCCCTGGAAGAACTCGTTCGCTACGAAGGCACAATTAAGAGTTTTACAATCTCACTGCTACACGCGCTCCATCACAGTCGTCTCTTCTCGCATATCCTCCTTACTTCACCTTTTTTACAAGATCATCTGTCGTTTCAATCGAGCAAATATGGTCAGTTCGGACACAGGAGTAACTTTAGCATTCACTAAACTCGGCAGGCACCGAAAACCCAGCCCAACCCGCGGAAAGCGGCTTCTATCCTTGCCTGGTTCCACAAGACGGCACAGGCTCACAGCATCAAGGACCTCGAGAAGACACTACCACAAGTCTCCTCCATCAACGGCATGCAAGTCAAGGATTACCTCCAAGCACTTTCAGACGACAACAAGATTCGTGTTGAGAAGATTGGCAGCGGTAACTGGTACTGGAGCTTTCCTGCCGACGAAAAGAAAGCCAAAGACGCTGCTCTCAAGAAAGCCCAAGAGGAGTTCGACAAGGCAAACGCTACTGTGAACCAACTCCAGGCGAAAGTGGATGATGCAGGTGCAGCTCGCACTGAAGACGAGGATATGCTCATGGAAACAGGTAAATACCACAGTAACACTGATCGTGCTCACACTCATCGTCAGCAGGTGGCGATCGTAAGACACTGATTACGAAGCATGCCGACCTCACCAGAGACCTCGAGAAGCTCAGAACTGAGCTAGCCGCATACAGTGAGCAAGACCCCGTCGAGATGGAGAAGAAGGCCGCCGAAACTGAACAGGCTCATCTTGACGCCGAGAAGTTTACCGATCAAATACTCGTCATGCAGGGCTGGATCAATCAGCAACACTTTGGTGGCAGCGGAGGGCCAGACTTCAAGGACATGCTCAAGTCGCTCTACCACGATGAGTACGATGAGGATGAGGAAGGTTTACGCGAGCTGTGATATTCGACGGATCAAGAATCGGAGGAATTAGTGAAGCATATCTCGGCCCTTTCGCTAGGAGAATGCCGACAACATAACGGTATGCAGTGATAAGCGCGTAATTACTTCCACACGGAGGTATTATAGCCAAATCATTTCGACTCATGCATGAGGCTACCATGGTGATGCGCCACTTCGGAATATTTATAAGTGCTTGAGTCATGTTTCAGCATGGGCCACCTAATAGCTTTCGTTCGCTTTTGAACATCGTCATCGCGAGTAACTTTCGCCAACCCACCACCAAACGCCTACTGTAGAAAGAGGCCTCGCCGGCCTGCCTGCAAACAGCCCTTCGTCGCTCCTCGCAAGACTTTGACACTCATCATACCATCAATTCCCTGTACATATCCCTGAGACCAGATCTTATACCCCGCCATGGCCTCGACTGGTGCCCAAGAAAACACACAAGTGCCTGCAAGTCCACAGCGGAGAGGAGGCAGAGGCCGCGGGAGAGGTAGAGGTGGACATGGTGGACATGGTGGACCAGAAGACGGTCACGACAGCTTTGGAGGGAGAGGACGTGGACGAGGCGGCTACCAGAGTCGTGGGCGAGGTCGCGGCAACAGAGACGGCGCGGGCGGTCGTGGTGGACATGCGCCAGAGAAGGGCAAGGCGCCAGCGATAGAGACAGAAGAGAACGGCCAGGCTCCACCCACTCTCGTGAAACCGAACCTTCAGCAATCGGACGAGGATGACGATGCCGAAGTCTGCTTCATTTGCGCCTCGCCCGTTCAGCACACAGCCGTCGCTCCCTGCAACCACCGCACATGTCATATTTGCTCCATCCGGATGCGGGCTCTATACAAGACGAAAGCTTGCGCGCACTGCCGAACAGAGTCAGACCACGTTATCCTTACAGATGACGCAGAGAAGAGTTACGAGGATTTCTCCACCACTGAGTTTTTCAAATCCGATGACACTCTAGGTATACACTTTGAGAATTCTGGCGTTTTCGAAGACGCACGATTGTTGCTGCAGTACAATTGTCCCGACAGCGAGTGCGACGTTGCCTGTCTGGGCTGGCCAGACCTGCATCGCCATGTCAAGACGGCGCACGAGAAAGTGATGTGGTATGTACTTCATAGTCTCAGACCAGCTGCATCGGCTAACATGTTCAAGTGACCTATGCACGCGAAACAAGAAGGTCTTCACCCACGAGCACGAACTGTTCACACAGGCCGATTTACGAAAACACCAAAAGTTCGGCGACGATAACCCCGGAGCAATAGATCAGAGTGGCTTCAAGGGACACCCAGAATGTGGGTTCTGCAGACAACGTTTTTACGGTGACGATGAGCTCTACACTCATTGCAGAGACAAGCACGAGCGCTGCCACATTTGCGATCGTCGAGAAGGGGAAGCAGAAAACAACAATACTTTGTCAACTACGATTCCCTCGAGGTGCACTTCCGGAAAGACCACTTCCTTTGCCCGGACCGTGAGTGTTTAGAGAAGAAGTTCGTTGTCTTTGATTCCGAGATGGATCTCAAGGCGCATCAGCTGGAAGTGCATCCCAATGGTCTTTCCAAGGACGCATTACGAGATGCTCGGAGAGTTGATATGTCTGGTTTCCAAATAAGAGCGCCCCATGAGCAAGGTCATGGCAACAACAGGCGAGACGACCGCAGACGCGAGGGCGGCAGAGGCCGTGGACGTGGACGGGATCCAAACGCAGAACCGGTGCCTGCATCATCTGCGCAACCTCTGAGCAGAGCAGAGCTTGCTTACCAGCGGCAGCTAGAAGCTCAAAACACTCATTCGGTCACTGGAAGAACTTTCGGCGGCCAGCTCTCTGCACCAACTCCGGGCGAGGCTTTCGCTGCAAGGCCTCCCCCAAGCGCCTCAGAACCTCCCACCGTAACTGCCTCGCGTCCAGCCCCAACGATTGCGAGCAACATCACAAGCGGTGTAGCTCAACTGAGCATGAACATACAACCAGCGAACCCGGTTCCCCAAACACCTCAGGAGCAGGCTCGACTGCTACGCCACAACGCAGTCACAGAACGAGCTACAAACATGCTTCGGAATAGTGAGATCAAGTTACAAGAGTTCAGAGCCGCAGTATCAGCGTATCGCAATTCCAAGGTGTCGGCGGCACAGCTCATCGAGGGGTTCTTTGCACTATTCGACGCCAACTCGAAGGAGATGGGAAAGCTGATCAAGGAACTGGCAGATATCTTCGAGATGCCGGGAAAGCGGGAAGGGCTCTTGAAAGCATGGAATGATTGGAAGGCCATCAACGAGGACTACCCTTCATTACCTGGCTCTGCGATAGAACAGGCGTTGAACGGTGGATCAACTGTGCGGGGAGGCTCTCGCGTACTGAAGCTAAAGAGCTCAACGGCAAAATCATCACGATCTACAGCCAACCAGCAAGCCAGCTGGTCGAACGCATCGTCGAGCAATCCTTTCCCTGCTCTGCCAGCGCCGTCGGGCCGCGTCGGTGCAAAACCCGGACAGACGCCATGGGCTTCTTCGTCTGCTGCAACGAGTGCGCGTCCTTCGCCCATGCCATCACGCGTCGCGTCATCAACAAACGTAAACAAGAAGCCCGCGGCATCAGACGCCTTCCCAGCACTCCCAGCAGCTGCGAAGCCCACCAGCACACTCTTCAGCCCAGGATACACTGGCCACGCTCTACGACGCGACAACAGTGGACGTAATACGCCAGTGAGCAACCCTTGGGCCGGCCCATCGGGCGCAAACAGCGGAACTTCAACGCCAACTCTGGAGGATGCCGGTGCGGCAGGAAAGAAGAAGGGCAACAAGGGGAAAAAGCAAACACTCTTCCAATGGGGTTAGATAGTCATCATGCGCATTCTAAGATACAAGCAAGCATAGACACGACATGGAAGCACAGGGGTAGTGCCTGTCTTAAGATTCCGAGCTTTAGTTCAGGATTTGCCAAGCTGTTTATGCAGAAATGAATGATTCATAGACAGACAGGTTCTGGTGTCACGGCAGTCTATGCTACCGAAAACAAGGCAAAGGTGTTGTTGGATGGAGGCCTACAGCATGTACTGCAGCGTACGCACTCTTTCTTCAAAGGAGCTTGCTTATCATATGTTAAATTTCATACCCAAGGCATGGTGTGAAGACTTACACTATGTAGTTTTTGCTAGTTTGTTACTGTACAACACAGCGTGTTACTCTCGGGTGGGGTAGAGCAAGAATGCAATTAGTGGACCCGCAGAAAGTTATCGCGCAGTTGTTGCAGAGTCGCTTTGTTACCACACTTCAGTTATGGCACTTCCAAGAATAAATAATTACAATTCTTTTATTCGAGAGAATCTTTTCGTTTAGGTCATTGAGAGTTGTAGAAGTTGTGAGTGGCTCGTTTGCTCGCAATACCAGTGGATGAGGTGGATGGTAACCAAAGCATGGCAACCCACAAGCTGTTACAATTATCCTGCCCACTAGAGGTACGGCTCCAACGTTCGGTGTGAAAGAGAGTCAAGTAGCAGTCTCAGTTAAATGTGCTCACCCTTCTTTGCATCGTGTTTGAGTGTGGAGACGAACAAACAGCCTATCAGATATCCAAGACATCGTCTCAAACACCCAACTAGACCTCAGTAGCTATCGCGTATCCGCGATGTTGGTTCTGGATTTAGAGTTTGAGTATAGCCCATGATTTTAAAATCGATTTGTTGATTGGTAATGCAGATACTGTGGTAAACGGGGAGAAGACTGATCACATCATACCTCAGGCGTTGCGAATTTGGACATGATGTGTTACGCGTCCCGCGAGTAGAATGGCGCCGGGAACTGGCGCCGATCATGGTGGAGGCGCATAACTATGATCCCCCAACATTTGCGCCCCCAATCGCGATGGCTTTATTGTAAACCTTCCAAAGGATACTTTTGGTGGTTTGATTATGTGATGAACCTGATTTGCCGGCGGCTTGCGAAGCGGTAATGTCTCCATAGTCAACCATGGTAACAGCGATGCGTCTGTAGCGTTGGTCCTTGGCGCACTCCGCAGTCGCCTAAATCTTGACGAGTATATAACTTCCGGAAGGCCCCCCCCGTCTAGTATCCTTACACCCAACACTATACACCAAGCCACGTTGATACTACCAAAATAAAATGGCTTACAACTACACAAGGACCAGCTCTGGACGCCCTGAGCCAATCCAGCACCAGCAGATACCTGTTCAGTCAGGAAAGAAGTACGAGCTGTCTGTCGAACAGCAACCTATCCGAGCTCGAATGTGCGGCTTCGGTGACAAGGATCGAAGGCCGATCACTCCCCCACCCTGCATCCGCTTGGTTGTGGTAGACAACCAGACAGGACGAGAAGTCGACTTCCAAGATATCGACAGCACCTACTTCGTCCTCATGGTGGACCTCTACGACGCGGCGGGAGCTGATGCCGTCAACCTGGTTAGGCATAGTAGCGCAGCGCCGACAGTGTCCATCTCCAGCAGCACCACCACTTCGTATCCTCCCCCTCCGGAGCGAACGCACCAGATAGTGACGACATCTAATCCTTATGACTACCGGCCACAAGTAACGCCATACGGCGGCAATCCTTCGTCAGGGCCGATGGGATACTGCTATCCACAGCAATACCAAATGTACGGCCAACCCCAAGCCGCCATGATCCCCGCCACGCCCGTGGGCTCCAATCACACGCGCAACCTCATCGGCATGAACGCCGTCAACGCCTGCCGCCTCAACGATCTCGAAGGCAAGCCCGGATTCTGGTTTGTGCTTCAGGACCTCAGCGTGCGCACCGAGGGCACCTTTCGGCTGAAGCTCAGCCTCTTCGACATTGGCGCCGGCGACGGCACAAACGGCACTGTCAACCTAAACGGACCCAGCAAAGGTAAAGGCCCTTGTCTTGCCGTCAACTACACCGATCCCTTCACCGTCTACTCGGCCAAGAAGTTTCCCGGTGTGATTGAAAGCACTAAACTCAGCAAATGCTTTGCCCAACAGGGCATCAAGATTCCCATCCGCAAAGATGGTGGGCCCAAGGTGCCCAATCAGTCCGAGTTCGACAACGATGCATAATTTGCGGTCGGTAGTCAGCGAGGATTTGTTTGCGTCCACGGCAGAGTATAGACAAGGAAGGGCATGTCACGGCATAGGGTTTTGGAGTTTGGGTGTTTTTGGCGTTTCTGGCGTTTTCGTTGGCGATACCTAGTCAAGGGTTTTCAATGTATCAACACGAAATTCTTAAAATGATACATCTTCACTGCTGCCCCTTTTGTGAACAGTATCTCAAATATATACGCTGTATTCTACGTTCACGTTGTATTCTACATTCACACTCTGTCAGACCAGCAAAACAGTATTGTAACCCCCCAGGGTACGTTTTGGTGGTAGTTGATATATAAGTTCATCCGAACAATCTCGATTCTTCGTCAGTCGTTGCGATTATGCTTCGCAAAGAAGAGAGATTACATGGGTGTCATTCTGTCAATTGAACCATCTTGCGTTGATGCCTTCATTGGTGATTATTGCATTGACTAGCTACTATCGCCGTCCCCAAACAGCAGACTTGTGTTCGAGTTGGTTGATTAAAAGGTAAAACAGCTGTAGTCTAGTAAGAACTATAACAGATTGAACTTATTACTAAGAGTGATTGCCACTGTGTGCATGTCTAGTGCGAACGCAAATTCCGTTATCTCCCTAGGAATTTAGATCCTCTGCATTGCATGGTGCGGCTGGTAGTGACCCTAGATTTGGTGCCCTACTGAGAGGTTGCAGCGGCGGTGACTGTGAGCACGGTGGAAGCTCCAAGAGGCCGTGATGCGCTCTAAGGTGGCCGTGCTGGAGCCGGACCCCCGCCGATGGTGGGAATTGGAGCAGATGTTGTGCCTGCGACTGGCCGCACATGTACTGCCGTTGTTGATAATTTAGCGACTGGGCTCGCCAATATCCTGTAAGTCATGCAGCAGGATTATTGCCGTATTGGGGGCCTATCTGATGCCTGAATTTCACAAGTTTCGAAACGGACGTCGTTGTCGTGTGGAGAGCTCGCTCTGGCTGAGGACCTAGGAGGTCAGCCGAGCCTATCCAACACACATCAGCGTATCAGGTAAGATCTGTCGCTTCACCCAATATTATGTTTATCCATCTCTTCATCGATCCAGCTCCCACGTTTTACTCTGGCTCGCCTCCTCCACTTCTCTTGATCTTCCTGCTGCCCTCGGGTTTCCCATCCAGTCTCCTCATTCACCGGCTCCGCGTGCGTAACATTCGGACTAATGCGTCTGGAATCCACAAAGTCGGGGTATTGCTGGCTGCCAAAGTCGTGCGTGAGCAGGCTGCTGTTGAGTCTCGCTGATACGCCTACGCTCGCGGTGCCACTGCCACTCGGGGTCTTTTCCAGCGTCAGGGTGTTTCGGCGTTCGAAGCTGTTACCGCGCGCGTAGTTGTTGTTGTTCATGCTCTGATCGCTTTCCGCTCGAACGCGCACCAGTTGAACGAGTTTGCCTAGGACGGCGAATTCGAGTTTGAGTTTGATCGAGTATACGACGCCTTTAAGGGTGGTTTCGATGAGGTATAGGTTGGCGAATTCGACGCTGAGTAGGGCAATATCCATGGCGATGATCAGTACGTTGATGGCAAGAAGCTGGTACATTGTCTTCCGAACGTTGGTATTCCTGAGGTGCCCCATGCCAACGCTGTCATCGAAACTTCGCACGTCGTCTTGAACTTGTTCTGAGAGTTTCAGCAATCGTATCGTCTCTTTAATGTATACTATCGACAAGATAGTTTCTTGCACGAAGAAGCCAACCATCTGTATTTTTTCCATTATCGAGTATCCGCGAACGAAGCGACGGAGCGTGGAATCGGAGAGCGAGTTCGAGTTCGAGCCGAAAGTCAAGACGGTCGTGATTGAATGCAGTAGTATGCCATTGACGATGATCATGTAGAGGGTCCAGCGAAGGACTCGGCGCGAATTCGTGACAAGATGGAGACGCGACCATAGGACGACCGATTGCCCTAGGAGCTTGTTAGCAGCTGCATTCTGGAGCCCTCCAAAACTGAGCGCACTTACCGGTGATCATAGGGTACCACCCAAATGTAAGTAGGACGACGGCGACATATCCAGCATCTCTTGAAGGATCCAGCACTCGGAAGAACTTAATGATGAAGCCTAGAGCGTATGGTATGATGCCGAAAGCGCTGATGACCAGCGACCAGAAATACAGCCCATGGTAGCGCTGGAAAGTGACGAATGCGAGAACGATAAGTTCGATAGCGTTGTAAAGCGAAAGCCCAAGGAGAAACGCGATAATGATCTTAAGGGGTAGAGAGTCGCCCGTATAACCTATGGAAGTGTCAGTACAGAAGAAGTGGGTTTCTGTTGTGTCTAGAGCCCTTGCCTCCAGTGATTCCAGCGCCGGCGGACTCGAGGGTACCCAACGCTGGTGTCGACTCCGCTGCAAAAACAGACGACGTCACGCTGGAAGTAAAGCTGACAGACAGCGACGCCATTTGCGAAGCTTTTGTCCCAGACTCAATGCGCAGCGCCTCCGCTGTACGACGAACCAGGCACGAAGCGTACTTGCGACTCCATCAATTAAGAGGAGATTCGTACGGTAGCGCAGGGCATGGCGACAGATTTGACAGGAGAAACGGGCCGGTAGGGAGCGACATCGAGCAAGGACTTGTTTTCGTCGAGGCGGGGATTTTCCGTGTACGAGCGTCAACGGTGCGCGTGCACTAATTGACCACGCGCGGCTTTCAAAGCACACCAGCCGTTTGGAGGCCCAAAGTGACGCTGCGAGCTCCACTTGCTAACGTTTTGAGGCTTAAGCAGTGCATCAGTCCGGGGTAGATCGGCACTACTGAGTCGTGCATTAGGCCGTCAGCTGGCAAGCTATGCGTTGCCGAGACGCTCACCATGTTCTCGGAAAGGTGAGGCGACTTTATATAGTATTACTCAGCTATTGAAGCCACAAAGAGGCCCATCTAGGAGGTGACGAATAGCAGCCGCTCTGCCACCTATAGAACCATCAACGCTGATTAGAATACTACTAGGTAATGTTCTTGCCCATGATTTCGCCCCTCTTCTTGCCCTTCTGCTGCGCTGCCTCGTGCTTTCTTAGGTCTTCAGGTACCTTACTGAGCCCACTCTTCATGAGAATCTGCTTGAGGTCATAGAGCACATCCGCATCTTCATTGCCCCAGAACGTAATGGCAACACCCGGTTTATCCGAGTCCGCGCCCAAACGACCAGTACGACCAATGCGATGCGTATAGCTTTCAATGTTACCCGGCATGTTGAAGTTCACCACTAACTGAACGCCTTGAATATCAATACCACGACCAAGCAGATCTGTGGCAACAAGCACGCTAGTTTGCCCACTTTTGAGGGATGCAAGAGCAGCCTCACGCTGTTCTTGGGTTTTTCCACCGTGAATCGTCGCGGATGAGAAGCCCATGTGTTTGATCTCGCGGGCGATGGCATCGCAGTTCCGTTTGATATTGACAAACACAATGATGGGTGCGGAGAACTCGCCAGATGTCAAAATCTCTTGGAGACGCTTCTTCCGCTTCTCTTCTCCCTGGACGAACTCGACGCGCTGCTCAACGGTGTCAGTAGCCTCGCCCTGGTTACCTACTGTAACGATGGCAGGGCGACGTGTATATTTCTTCGCGATTCTTTCAACGGCTGGCGGCATGGTAGCTGTGTACATCATGGTTTGGCGGTACATTCCCTTTCTCATCGCATTAGGATCTTCGGCAGAATCGTCATCTGGCTTCTCGTTGTTGACGGGTAGAGCATCGAGGATCTTGTTTACAGGTTCTTCAAAACCCATGTCAATCATCCTGTCGGCTTCATCCATGATAACGTAAGTGCACTGGCTGAGGACGAGAACCCTACGCTCAATACAGTCTACTAGACGACCAGGTGTGGCAATGATGATCTCGGCTCCGTCACGCATCTGAAACGACTGTTCCTCGATAGAATGACCACCGACAAGAACAGCAGTCTTGAACCCTAGCGGTGATGCAAACTTGCGAGTCTCTATTTCGATTTGTTGAGCCAATTCACGAGTCGGTGCGAGAATGAGGGCGTACGGGCCGTCATGACGATTGAAAGCGTCGAGGGAGGTAGTTGTGAGATGTAGGCAAGTAGTGGCAAGACGAAGGAGGCGGTTTTACCCGAACCTGTTGCAGCGACTCCGATCAAGTCGCGACACTGTAGAGCAATGGGTATAGCCGCACGTTGAATAGGTGAGGGCTCAGTGTAGCCAACTTGATCGACGATGCGCATGAGCTTCTCCGGAAGCCCCGACTCATCCCAGTTGCGCATGGGGTTCGGTATTCCACCTCCCTTGGTAGCGATGCTGAAGTCCTCCTTGAAGATGCGCCAGTCGCGCTCTCGCATGTTTTCTAGCCTCTTTTCGCTCCAGTGCTTGTCCAGTTGTGCGCGGCCGCCCCTATCTTTCCGCCGCCGCTCCATCTCAAGTAGTGCCTCAGCCCGCTCTCTGCCGTGCTCCGGATCTCGCTCGATAATCGCCTCGACCATCTTCTTTGTGGCTGCATCTGTAACTTCCTCGGAAAAGCCACCCAGTCTGCCGCGCCCAAAGAAGCTTGCTTCAGCTTTCTGCTGATAGATGGGGTTGTAGTCATGACTTGTATCCTCCTCTTCATTCCATTCAAAGTTGAACTTTTTCTCTGTTGTCCTCTTGCGCTTCTTCTTGGCCGAAAACGTGGACTGATTTTGCTCTGCGCCCATGTATCGTTGTCTTATCAATGCCTCTGCGTCTTCAGCTGGGCGCTTGTTTCCCTTCTTGTCCGGTGGTGGTGGAGGTGCCATGTCTCCATTGCGGCGATCATGCCGCATAGACGACGGTCCAGTTGGCGCATCGCGCATCGAACGAGGCCCTGTAGGTACTGACGACGACCCGTTATGACCGTTTGTGCGATTATCATCCTGCGAGTTTTTCCATGCGTTGCTGTCTCCGTTAGAAGACTCTCGCCTCTTTTGCGCTTCTTCCACTTCTTTCTTTCGCTTCTCAAGCGCAATGCGCTCCCTCTCCGCCTTGGGTATGAATTTGGGCTTTGCGGCAGCCGCTTCTTTCTCGCGCTTGGCCTTTAGTATATCGTCGATACTCGGTGGCTGCTTGCGAGCAGCTGGAGGCGGGACGGCGGCAGTCATGTTGGTATTACGAAGGTCACAGTTTGTGGAATCGCGGAGGAGGATTCGCGCGAACTATAGGTTGCATGCACGCTAAGGCAACACCAGATCACGTGTACCATAACTATCGATAGCACACTAGCCCCACTACGTAGATTGGTCTCTCATATATTGCCTCAGGTAACAGGAGCATCATATGCATTAGGTGAGTACCAACGTACGGAGCTGGTAGTAAATCAAGGGACCATCCAATGTTGTGTGCTGTTACCTAGAGGCTTTCAAGTTTGGCCTGGGAGCTGTACCATGGTGGCTGCAAGAAAGGGTATGGTCTTGGAGATGCCTTGATTCAGAAGCTGAATCCAGCATTCTACTGTTCAGATGGAGTACCTAGAGTGATTCCGCGTACGTATCACGAGACGGCGTGGTCTTTCCCATTATTCCGTCACAACCATAAGGCAGATTTCCGGCACCCCATAATGTTCATCGTAGCTCATAAACATGATCATATGCCACCTCGTACCATGCACCACCTCAATCCTGCCTGCCCTTGAGTAATCGCTTGGTCACCTTGTCCTTCTCAATGATGTAAACGTGTGCGCCCCAGCCAGAAAGTGCGTCTCGGTCGACAGCGTTGAGCAGCGCCTGTGAGATCGTCTCGAAGAGGTCCTCGGGGCCCTATCATGGATGTTAGTCTAACCCAACTATACTTGGCGATATAACCCACCAGATCCGGCTCCCACAGCCCCTCACATGTACCGAAGAGTTGATCGCTCGCGGTTCCGCTAACAATAAAGTCCTTGGCAAAGTCGATGCATCCAATGCTGTCGAATCCGCAGATAAAGGGCTTCCCGCTCGTCTGGTTGATACCGGCGATCACCGGGCTGATAAAGTAGGGTCCGAAGCGCTTCTCGTACAGACTTGAGCTTACGAGGTTCGCCATGGTCTGGGGGCTGATGTTGCGCTCTTCGCGGAGGCGGTACATGTTGACCTTGTAGCGGAAGAGGTCTGATACGGTAGAAACGTCGGTGGCGAGGCCAGTGAGACCCAGGAAGACGTCGCCGTATTGGAAGATCTTAGGGAAGTTGTTGGACACAGTGAGGGCTTGCATGCCGAGACGCAGGTCGCATGCTATGGCTACACAGTCCTTGCCCACCATGGCCACACAGGCACCGCCGTCTGTTCAAGTGGTTAGAAGAGTATGCGGGATGGTGTCGGTGGGAGCGTACTTATTGAGAATGGTGACGACTGTTGCGGTTAGCTATGGGCTATAACTTGACAGTGGGGGGCTTACCATGGCTGTGTATGTGATATAGAGCGAAGCTTGGTTGGTGTCTACAATTACAGAGGAGGAGTAGAAGCTCCCCGGTGTGTGTGTGTGTGTGTGTGTTGAAAGCTGTGGTGTTGGTTGTGCTTGTGATGTACTCAAGGTTACAGCTCAGTACGCGGCGAGGCGCGAGCAAGCTCCACCCTGGAGGCTACCCTCGTAGCTTAAGACCGCCTTGGCGCTGCAACTTTTAGACATGCACGAGCAGACACGCCGATACGGATCGCAACGCACAAGATACCCACCATGAGCGCCCAGAAGTCTGTCGAGATTGCAAAGTCGCTGCCGCCGCGATTACTGCGCTTCTTCCAAAAGTACCCGCCACCATCGCTCTTCCCCAGTCTCTCATCTCAACTCGCATCACCGACTTCACACGCAACCCCAGACACAATATCGACAACCCCACCAACCGACCCCAATGCTTCCATGACAGAGACTTCGGCTCCAGACGTCGTCCCAAGACCCTCAAATGCGCCTTCAAATTCAGACATACCGCCAGAAGCACACGATCTGCCCTACCCAAACCCATTTCTTCCACACAAGAACTTCGCAACCGGACGATGGCACTCTCCCGCCTACGGGCTCCGGAAACAAGCTGACCTCGTCAAGCTTGCATCAGAACACGGTGTCGTCGATCTATTACCCTGGACCATCAAAAAGCCAGGCGAGAAGGAAAGGCGGAGGGTAGAAAGAGGACTGCAAGTCAAGGGCACAGGTGAGGGACAGAAGGTCAAGGGAAAGCTGTGGGAGCGAACACTGAAGGGACGTTTGGAGATGAGGAGACAGGCTATGCTGAACATGCCCGCTTTGATCCAGGAATGGAAACAGAGGGGACACGGAAGAGGCTGGAAGAAGTGGCCCAGTGGAAAGGCGAAATAGACTGCCTGTTCTCGAACCTTTTTTGGAAAACAGCCACTCAAATGTACCAACATTCTTCTATTTCACTAGGCAACCAAGTTCAAGTGCGTCTGGATTGATACATAGCAATGTAGTCCTGCCAGGACATGCTGCTAACTGAACTATCTCATCTTCGACAACCCCTCCACGTTATTGTTCGTGTGTGCAACTGATTCTGGGTATAATGTAGGAAATTTGGATAAACACACACATCCTTAGGAAGTCCGGAGTAGGAATGTCATGCTTCACATGACCATCTCCTCGTCCCCATAGCCACCCTGTAGTCCATATTCTCGCGCATATGCATACGCTCCGTAGTTGTTCTCCATGTCCGCGACGCTGCCCACGTTCTTCTGCCAGAGTCCACTACTTCCTGTGTTGTTGTAGACCGGATCAGTGGCCTGGTTGTACTTGTTCGATTCCTTCAACGCCTTCTCGGCTCGTGCCGACTCTTCATACTCGCGCCTAGCCATCATTTCATATCCCGAAGCCATGTAGGGCTCAGCGTTTGCTGCAGCCATGCTCTGCTCCAACTGCTGCTGGTGCTGCTGGATGGCCTCCTGTTGCGCCGACTCCGCTTGCTGCTTCTCGTATCTCAGCTTCGCCATTGCCTCCTCCTGTGCTAGACTGGTGGGCGGCCAGCCGTAAAGTTGTCTAGACATGTTGTAGTCCACGCCTGCTGGATGACCTTGGCGCCCTGATGGAGGGGATATACGCCAAAGTTCGAGGAGACGCAGCCGCTGGTCGTCGTCTGCATTTTGAAACAACTCGATCTGGGAAGGAAACAGGAGAGAGGGATCAATGCTGTTCCTTAGAAGTACAGCCGCGAGGTCCGACGAGTCGATGTGTGTCTTCAAGGCTGGTTCGGAAGTACTACGAGTAGGTACATGATACGAATGTGTATAGTGCTGGGAAGCATAGACGATCTGTTTGGGAGCGTCTTCCTGCTGTTGCTGTTGCTGTTGCTGCACTGGTTGTTCTTGGTGCATCTGTGGTTGCATGGGCTGTTCGTTGCCTTGCGACAAGTTCATATTGACTGAAAACAGCCGGGTAAGCTCATCCTGCTGCATGTTTGCGTCTTCTGCTGCTTTCCCCTGAACGTTGATGCCTGTAGATATTGTGCCGCACTATGACGTAATGTTAGTACTTAGCAGCATCAAAGACAATCGAGCTTACGTTTGAGCAGGATATATTCTGGGAAAATGCAAAAGGACTGTACGAGATGGGCGTATCGTAAGTGCAGTTGCAGTGGTGGAGGAGCTGCATATCCTCTAGGATCTCAACAGCAAGTGGGTATGAGGGGCAACTTCTGCAAAACGGAAAGTTGAAGAATATATTAATTGTCGAGTCGGATGACACTCAGAGTGATCAAATCTATTGTTGAACAAGCTTGGGTACTCGGACTTGAGTTTCGCGGTTGGTTTAGATCTTGAACCGTACTATCCGCGGGTGCGTTGGTTGGGCGCTGACGATAATCGGCGGGGATGGGATCAAAGGCGCCTTTGTAGTCAAGAATAAACAGAGAGAGGTATTCAAAGATACTCGAATCAAGTCAGCAGTGAAGAGGGGTCAGCAGGAAAATCAGGAGCAGTGTGATGGTGGTTCTTTATGTACTGTCGAGTATAGCGCGCTGTCGGGGTCATGCGTGTAGGCGGGATGATTCTGATAATTTTGTCGCCCACATCCAATTAGTGACGAAGCTGAAACCCAACTTGTTCGGCTAGCCCGTTGACAGCCAATAGTGTGTCTTTGGAGCTTGGAAATAGTGGTCGAGTTGGGACGACAACTCATCAAATGTGTATGGGCGTATGCACTTTTGGATGTAAGGCGGGTGCAATTGGAGCGGTCCAGGCGGAAGAAGCCGGGACAACAGGCGGCGGGCACACCAATACAGAACAGACCAGCAGCGAGGGAGCATATCGCACGAACAGGTCTATAGCACGCCATAAGAAAGTTCAAAAGTTGCAATGCTTGTGGGCGTCGTGACTTGCGTACGTCGGTGTTGATGCCTCCAGGTGTCGGGGCCCGGGGGTCTTCTTGGCGCGCTAGTGAGCTACTGGAGCTTGCGCAGATACCCCATTGCCTAGAATCATCAACACCGGGACGCTCGACTTTCAACGTTTGCTATTACGGTAATTGTTCCTCTAAACCCAGGAAACTGCTTGATATACCGGAAATTTCAAATCGCCGTCTTCGGTCCTCACCCCGCCCTTCATGGTAAACACCCCACCGCAGCAGTGCAAGCACCCCAGTCGACCTAACAATGGCGTAGACTTCAATAGGTACGGGCTACGACCTGTCCAACTCGGTCTTTTCGCCCGATGGTCGGAACTTCCAGGTCGAATACGCGGTCAAGGCGGTAGAGAACGGTGGCACAGCGGTCGGCATCAAGTGCAAGGATGGCGTCGTACTCGCTCTCGAGAAGCTCGTCAGCAGCAAGCTCCTCAAGCCAGGCGCGAACAAGCGGATAGCTACTGTGGATCGTAATATGGGCATCGTATCTTCCGGTCTTCTCCCCGACGGTCGCCACTTCGTCTCCCGTGCCCGCGATGAGGCAGCCCAATGGCGGCAGCTCTACAAGGCACCCATCCCCTCCTCGTCTCTCGCCGACCGCATGGGAAGCTATGCCCAAGCATATACCCTCTATTCGAGTGTCCGTCCCTTCGGTATAACCGCCATTCTTGCAGGCTGGGATTCCGAGGCAGAGCTACCAGTAGATGGCCAAGTTGGCTCAGGGCCTACTGTTGGATCGGGAGGCAAGAAGGAGGGTGCGAAGCACGGCGGGCCATCACTCTACATGATTGAGCCCAGCGGCCTATACTGGGTATGCTGAATTGTCCTGTCATCACATGGGTAACAACTAACGATTGCAGGGTTACTACGGTGCGGCTACAGGCAAGGGCCGCCAGGTCGCCAAGTCGGAGCTCGAGAAGCTCAACCTCGCCGAAGGACAGCTATCACTGGAGGAAGGTGTAAAGGAGGCAGCACGCATCATCTACGTCGCACACGATGACAACAAGGACAAGGAGTTTGAGCTTGAGATGACATGGATCAGCAATCTCGACGGTCCTACCAAGGGCAGGCACGAGGAAGTACCCAAAGACATCCGGGAAGAGGCTGAGAAGTTAGCAAAGAAGGCGCTAGAGGGAGACGACGATGATGACGAGGATGAGGAGAAGATGGAGGAATAGACAACGACATGACACTACATAGACGGTAGCATGCATAACGAGCGGCTTTGACTGCCTTTCACGATCAAATGAACAACATCTACAGAAGCAAGTACCGCAAACATCATCTTCACGTTCGGCCCGCTTGCCAAACTTGCTTCGTCGCTCCTGCCGCTTATGGGTCAACAATTACCAGCCCGCGTCATCGAAACGATTCCAGATTCGCCATGCAGGTACATCCGCCCCACTACTGGATAGCGCGTCATCAGCAAACCGATTTTGACAACTAACTCAACAACTTTCTTAAGTACTGTACGTAACGCGTCTCTCCATCCACCCATACTCATTCTTCCTATTCAACTGCAATTTCCCATCATGCCGCCAACACTCATACTTATCCGCCATGCTCAGGCCCAACACAATGCTACCAGCGACTGGTCTATCCGGGATCCTCCACTTACCGAGCTGGGTGAACAGCAATGTCGCGAGCTACACGAGAGTCTGAAAGCGAGCAAGATTGGCAATGAGGTTGAACTCATCGTCGTGAGCGCTCAGAGACGGACACTCCAGACCGCCACTATTGGACTAGACTGGCTTATCAAGAAGGGTACAAAAGGTAAGATAATCACTACTGGGATAGAACATTTTATATATGTGTAACATGAGTATTAATCTAGGTCATAGTCATTCCCGACGCAAATTGGCAAGAAAACGCAGACAAGCCCTGTGACACTGGAACACCCATCGACGAGATCTCCAAGGAATTCCCTCAATACGACTTTTCTGTTGTAGATCCTTCATTCCCGGACAAGACGACAGGCGGAGCCAAGAACCCATACGCCTTTACGGAAAAGGCTATCCTAGCACGTGGACAGAGATGCCTCAAGGACCTCTACTCGCGTCCTGAAAAGGTCATTGCTGTTGTCTCGCATTCGGGTTTCCTGCGTACTGGTGTATGCAACCGCATGTTCTTCAACGCCGATTGGCGTGTCTTTGAGTTTGATGAGGAGGAGATGAAGAAGAACCCTGGGTTCTTCGTGCTGAAAGAGAACGAGGAGACGGAGAAGAACGGTGGCGGTATGGGTAGGAGTGACGTTGGCGTCTTTGGTATCGTACCCGGTGACTTCCCGCCGGAGGTTGAGGAGGAGATCGCGACGAAACAGGCACAGGTTGTTGACGAGGCTACCAAGCAGAACCCAAGTGCTTGAGCTAAGTGTCGTGCGGTTTAATTTTTCGAGGGATTTCCGTTGCTGGTTTATGTGGCGGTTGGGATTCGTGATCAACTAGAAATATAGAAATTGCGTAGACAATAGACTCAACAATATTGAGGATGGCGATCGGAACCAGATTGTTAAGTGGAAATTTGAGTAAATGAGATGCCTTCGCTGGCACGAGCATAATACTCCCTCACTACATAAAGTAGTACAGAGAGCGCCAACTTCAAATGCACGAACTCTTCGCTAATTAACTTCTTGGACATCGAGTATATCCATGGTATCGCAAGTACTCTTCACCCTCCCCGAACCAGCACAAGATGGGTTCTCCACTCTGCATATTTCCCCTTCCACGCTGCATTGAATCCAGCCATAGCCGTCTCTTCGGTCGACCCGGTGATAGCAAGACCAATAGCCTGCCCGTAGAGCAGGTGCAAATCCCTACTTGCCTCTATCAATCTTTTGTTGCTAGCCCATAAAGCCTCTATATTTCTGGTCCAACGTGTCCAGACATGGACCTTGGCGATCTGAATACCTGACTGACGATCGACAAGCGGGTTTGACGCTACTTTATGGCTCGACAGTTCCTTTGAATCCGCCAACCGCCGAAACTGAAGCAGAGGTTTCAGCCATTTCTCCCGCAGGCTGAACTTTGGAGAGGTATCGTGAACCTGCATCCAGATCTCAAGCTCGCGTAAGCCGGTAAGCGTCTTCGCAGCGGCCCTGCAAACTCGTTGTCTAGACATGGATATGATATTAGTTACTTTTGCGTAAAGTATCTCGAGACGCCTCTAACTCTATAACTTCCCATCACCGTACTCACCAACTTCGGCTGTGCTTCTCCTGCCAAATCATGTTTTTCATTTCCCAAGGGTCGCCATAGGTGTTGTAGTGGAGATGCAACTTGGTGATGCTCCCCATGTGAATGCTTGAGGCGAACTTGAAGAAGTTTTCAGTGCGCTTCGGCGCGTCGAAGACAAAGACTGTTTTCTGATAGAGGAAAGGCGCTGTCTCCATGGAAACTTTCTTGCACACGAGACTGAGGGCGGATAAAGAGCCTGACCAGTTCGTTCGCAGACCTTGGACAGCATTGTACTTACCAAGTGGTCCCGAGAAGCGGACCACCGTAGGAGGAACAGTAATTGGTTGAACACTAGTTGCTGGGGTGGTCTTGTTCGTAGGAACTAGATTTGACGACAACTTGACAGTCTGCGGCTTTCGCTGCGTGAATTGGGATCCTTTGCTGGCAATCTCACAGCGACGCTCCGAGTCAAAGTAGTAATCGTATATCTGGTTCCTGATCTCTCCAGGTAAGGCAAGGAAGCCGCGTATCTTCTTTGGGACACGAAGTCCCGTGTAAGCGCGGGAGAAGAGACTAGTTGTAGTCATGATTGTGTTGTCAAGCTTCAGGGATGGTGGATGGCTGGCAGTGAGTTTGTTGTAAATGATTGTTAGCAAAGATTAAAGTACGATCATGCTGGTGAGAGTCAGTGTCGATACTGCCGTACCAGTGAAGATGGAGAGTGGAGAAGCGCGTGCCCAGGTTGGAAGGCTGGGCTTGAGATACGAGGAAGGTACGTGAACGCTAGTCCCCTTGGGGTTAACGAGGGGAGGAGCAGCTGCACGACCTTGAATCGCCCCTGCTCATACCGCCATATCACTATCTGCACGATGTCCTTTCTATTCTCGCGCCAGCGTATCCTCCTTCGCCAGCCTCAATTCTTCACAACTCGCGCCTTTACCTCCTCCAGGGTAAACGCATCTCGTCTCCGTCAACCAGGCGAACCTACTGGACCTAACGAGCCACCGACACACATCCGTACCCCACCCTCTAAAAGTCCACTCAAGGTCTGGCCTATCCTCGCTATATTGGGACTAGGCACATACCTGTTCAATCAAATTGTTGAGCAGCGCAAAGGCGAGGGATACCAGCCAAAAGGACCTATTCAAGGCCATTCACCCAGTGGCAAAGGACAAGTGAAGCCTTCACACCCACACTAGCTATCATGCCTGCTATCGAAGGAACTGCCGCCGGCAGTCGCTCTTCTCCTCGCTGGTCCAGCGACGAAGTGACCGTACTCTTCGTCCTTGGCGGCCCCGGCGCAGGAAAGGGCACTCAATGTACGAAGCTCGTCAGCGACTATGGCTTCAAGCATCTCTCTGCCGGCGACCTGCTGCGTGAGGAGCAGGACCGTGCGGGCAGCGAATTCGGCGAGATGATCAAGACGTACATCAAGGAAGGCACCATTGTACCTATGGAGGTTACCGTTCAGCTACTAGAGAATGCTATGCAGAGTAGCATGGAGAGCGGAGAGAACCACGGAAACCTGTTCCTGATTGACGGTACGATACCTATCACCGCTACTTCCTACTACACCGCCTGACTTAAATAGGTTTCCCACGCAAACTCGATCAAGCCCACGCATTCGAGCGCTCTGTCTGCCCTTCCAAATTCACCATTTTCTTCGACTGCTCCGAGGCTGTCATGGAGAAGCGACTCCTCCACCGCGGCGAGACATCCGGCCGCGCAGACGACAATCCGGAGAGTATCAGAAAGCGTTTCAGGACATTCGTGGAGACAAGCATGCCTGTGGTCAAGGAGTTTGAGTCGCAGGACAGAGTTGTCAAGATCAACGCGGAACAAGAGCCTAACCAAGTTTACCGGGATGTGCAGGAGAAGCTCAAGGAGCGGGGCGTGAAGCCCATCAACCTTACCTTCGTACAGACGCAGGCTTCATAGACATAGAGAGGCGTCCAAGAGTCAATATATCTGAATTGCATTGTCTATCGTGCAGCTCGAGGGCTGCTGTTCATGAACCTGAAAAGCCTCATAATGCATCCGTCCCAAGCCTACCCCTTTTGAAAGAAACAAACGCGCACCAAGAAGACGTAGCCACTTAGTCCATATCTTCGTCGATGGCCCTGTGCTGCTTCCTCTGTCCACCTCGTCCGCCAAACCTCGAGGCCATATCAGCCTTCTGGTCCGCCTTGTTTGCCTCCTCTTCCTTCTCCTGCACGAACCTCTGCTTCTCCTGTTGGATGACTTGCAGGACACCCTGTAGGCTGTTTCGCCACAGGTCTAATCTTGAGGCTACCTCTCTCCACTGGTTATCGCCAAAGACACGGTATGTTGAGCGGTGGATCAGGAAGGTCTGGTTGAGCTGGCTGAGCTTGCCCTCGACGAGACCGGCGCGAATTACGTCAATGACCCACATCTCGACGTCCTCAGATGGTACTTGTAGTGCCTTTGCGATCTTCTCGTAGGGGAGCGACCTGGTCTGGCCGGCTGAGGCAGCCATGGACGCGAGAGTGAGAAGACGCATCTTGCGGTTCAAGGCAGCGCCGTCAAGACCGGACTCCTCAACCCAGCCATCGTGCTCATCCTTGAAGTCGTTGAAGTCGTCTAGCAGATCCGAGTTGAAGATTTCGAGGAGCTGGAAGTAGACTGGGTCGGAGTTGCGGAGGGCTTGGATCGAGTCGAGATCGGTAAGATCTTGGAAGTCGAAGTGGGTGGGGTGTGTGAGGGCGGACTTGAGGGCGCGGAGAGAAAGCTCGCGGGCCTCTGGAGACGACGCTTGTTCCGAAGGGAATGTCCTGAGCGCACGCAGCAAATATGTGTATGCCTGCTCATCCTCGCCTGCGTCCGATGCGACATCGCTTACAGCAAGGTAGAGCTTGCGCGCATCCTCCTCCCCAGTCTGCCATGCGGCTATCCAGCTGTCGAGCTGCTTCAGTTGTGGTCGTAGCGTCTCGAAGTTTGATGTGGCGCGAATGACACGGAGAATGGCGAGGAGCACATGGTAGCGCGTTTCACTGTCCGGCTGGGTGGTGTTGAAGATGGTGCTGAGGATGGAGAGAGCAAGACCACCACCGTTCTGGGGCGATGAGGAAATAGGCGTGCTCAAGTTCTGGCACATCTTGGGAATGAACATGGACACGTTCGGCGACTGGTTTACGAGGTGGATGAGCAAGTTGTATGCCGCGATGAACTCTGCGCACTCATTGTTAGCCCAATGTCATCTCCCATCAACACAACCCCTCTTGTGTCATCGCTGAAGCCGTACCCTTCTCTGGCGCCTGGTTCAGCGCTTGGCTGCCGACGACGAGCTTCTTGAGAACATCGTCCTTCTTGTTCTCCTTGAGCAGGTCCGCGCTCTCGCCCTGGAGGTTGGCGCTCTCATCGCCCTGGGATTTTTTGAGGCTGTCGATGTATTGTGCGAACTCGTCGGTAAGCTCCTCGAAGGTGCCCTCGATGAGCAGCGTGGTCTTGGCGCCCGGCATGGTGATGATCGTAGAATCTGGTATAGGGGGAGAGTGTAGGCGGCGGGCGCAGAGGGCGGGGCTGGTGGATTGTCGACAATGGGAGCGGCGTTGGTGGGATGCCAAGATTGGAGTTGGATTTTTGGAAGTCGCTATCGATAACGCACAGACTTGTGAGACTCAACGCACACGACAACCGGAACCACTTGCTACATTGAAAAGAAACACCAGACTACTACATGTCACGGTTCATAATGCGAAGCCCGCGGAAGCCTTACAAATGTCAGGTGGAGACCTGTCACTGTCCGTAACGAACTGTTGCCTTCTCCTACACCATCATATCAGCTCCAGGCCTACCTACGGTTTCTAGTAGGGCGCTCACCATCATGCAATGCGAGCTCATACGGCCCACCTTCAACCTCAGGATGAACACCTACGAATGATCTCGCCGTCAGCGCACTCCCATCTCTAACGTCCAAGATATTGTTGTCCAAGATGAAGACCCCCATTCGGCCATCTCCCTTCAAGGACGTTAGTCGAACCCGGACGTAGCACGTCGCTCATGTATAGGAGTTCGCTAGACTGGTTGCGGCCATGCAGCACTACTTGTCGATCAATGTCCTCCGCCGCATGAAGTTCCCACGTGTTCGTTGCATTATACTTCACGAGGAAGAACTTGCTAGCGCTATCTTGGCTGCTAGTGAGCACATAAGTGCGTATATTGGAAGAGCTGACTGGAAGAGATACCCATTGTTTGTCGACTGTGGGATCGTCTCTACGATAGGCCGTCAGTGTCTGAACCTAGAGATTTGCCCTCTCAAGCACACATACGATGAGGACCGCAGTTGATAGAATTGGGTACCTGAAGCTGCTGGCACATCTAGCTGGGCTCGTCTACCAAGCGACCATGCCATAGCAATGCCGGACAGGCCTGTAGTAAGAGCGAGGGACAACCTCATTCTGAGCTGACAAGCCGGGTAGTTTCTTGCAATAGATGGAAAGAGACTCCTGTCAAGTGCCGAAAACATATATGCGGATCTTGCGGGGGTGACAGGGGTCGGAATGAAGGATCCTTTCAGCCTACAACATACCAGCTTCGCTTAAATTCGAGCATCATCTATAAACACATGCCTTTCTTAATATCTCTTGGCTTGTACTAAACATGTTGCAGAAGACCTGCATGCCGATAGCATGGCTGTAGTGGAGGCGACAGACCACGTTGTTGCGGCGGGGCCTTTATAATACAGTTTGTCGACTGTTCGCAGTAACGAGCCATCTTTCAAGGCCTTAATACTCATTCTTGTTATTGTAAGCTTATCAAGATGAAGTTCACAGCTGTTGTATCATCGTTGTTTCTCGCTGCGTCGGCCTTCGCGCAAACTACGCCCTCGGGCTTTGCTCCAGCGACCAATGCAACACTGGATGTATACTACGGGACGCAGTATATCAGCCCTGGTATCGTCGTCAGGAAATCTAGTATGAGCGTAAGATACGAGGAAAGAAGGATTATGCTGACAATGATCAGTCACGCAAAGAGCTCCTGTCATTGGCCTCACCAACACGACACTTAGCGGGAAGTACCTCCTCGCAATGATTGGTAAGATCTAAAACTATGCTCGCAAAGCCCAGTACATTGACATTACGAAGACATCGACGGTTCTCAGAATGGACGTACGACAACTGTTTTGCATGCGCTCCTGCAGGATTATACGCCATCTAGCACCAAGCAGAACGGTACAACCGTCCTCACCACAACAGCGACAACCCCATCGTCGTACTTCGGCCCTGCACCTCCCGCTGGTGCGCCTCCCACTCATCGTTACGTGTTCTTGCTGCATGAGCAACCGGCAAACTTCGTGGTACCGGCTGCGCATAAACAAGCCGTTAGCAGCCGGTTCGGTATTGACTGGCCAAAGTTCATAGCTGATGCTGGACTGAAAGCGCCGATTGCCGGGAACTATTTGCAGGTGAAGAGCGGAGATAACACGAAGAGGTGGGATGCGTAAAAAAGGAGCACGATCTCTCGAAGTTGTACAACCCAGTATATTCTACATTGCTAGCTTTTACTGCGTCATCCCAGAGAAGACGTTCATGACGCATTTCTGCATTAAGTAGTACTTCTCATACAACTCAGAATCCCAGCTATCCAAATCCAATGACTAGCGAATCCCCCTTTTCCAATCTGCTTTCACTTCATACTGCCGTGCAGTTCAAATTGTTACCCAAGGTAACTTTAAACACGTCCAGAAGACACTGATGTGCGCGGTCGCCATCCTCACTCAGTACCTCACTGCTATCGATCACATAGGCGCCACCCGGTATGACTATACCATTGTAGTACACAACCGTGTCTATGGTGTGGGCGTTGCATGCTATCATTTTCGGTAGTTAGCACTTGGTCTTTGGATTTCAGTGCGATATGTACCTTTCTTCTCGTTCGACCACATCCATCCAATGCTATACAGCGTCTGATCGTAGTGCGCGACATGTGCCGTAGTATCGTATACAACCCTCCGCCTTCTCAGATTGTTCTCCGTCCATGATCTATCTGTAACGGCATAGGCAATGCATCTTTCGGCCTTGCGAGCGATCTTGTCGATGGCTGTTACGCCGCTGATGGCTGTTGTGAGGATGACGACAAGGCTTGCTTTGCGCATGGTGGTGGCGTTGTATTGTTGTTTGAGATGAGACGGTTGGAGGATTAGGAAGCAGGAATATGTTGCATATTTCGTTGATATGATGTTTGGTGAGGTGTGTTGTTAGGGGTGAAGATGGGGAACCGATTGTAGGTACCGTGGTACTTGGTTAGGGAACATGACACTAACACTGAGGTATTATCTCATCACTTCAGAACATGCATTGTGTATATCCCAAGTTCGTATCCATAAACAGTCTATTACTGTTGCACAAATGCATTCAATGTTTCAACATTGCTATTCGCGGATTTCGCTCTCAGAGTTGGTTCACATCTCAACGTTTCCCAGGAGGTATGCAACGGATTTTTGGACCTCGCTTGGTTACCAACGAGACATCACGGCACACTACAAAGTATGCTAGAGCACTGTACAACTTGAAGTACTGTAATGTATTCGTCATGTCATCACTCGCTTCATGCAAAGCCTAACTAAAATGTTCACATGAAGAGAATCCCTTTGCTAGCCCCCGTATTTGATCAATGCCCGAACGCTTGTGAATTGCCCGCGTTGACTTTGGCAAACTCCTTGTTTTCCTTCTGCCACTTTCTCGCATACCTGACACCAAATCCATGTTCAAAGACCTCTCGGATGGCCTCAAGTGGCATGCCTTTAACTTCGGGGAAGCAGAAGATAACGAAAAGCCAGCCGAAAAAGCAGATTCCTGCGTAAAAGCCGAAGGCTCCAGACGGGGTGATGCCTTTCATCATGGATAGGAAGGTTGAGGCGATGATGATGTTGGTACTCCAACATGTTACTGTGTTGAGCATCGTACCAACTGCCCTGACCTCCATGGGAATCAATTCGGTGCCAATCCATGCCTAAGTTTTGACGTGCGAAGTCAGTATATGTCTCACATGCAGCTTGTACAGGAAAATCACTTACCACTGTCGCGACTCCGCTAGAGTAAAAGCCAACGAAGATGATGATTGTAGCAATGAGAACATAGCCCGGCCAGCCAATCTCGTCGCTCTGAACAGCTAATGTGTGGAGATCGATTGGGATGTAAGAAAAGCTGACGGCAGCAATGACGAGGCAGATGCTCATTCCCAAGACCGTCACCAGGAGTATGCGACGACGGCCGAATTTGTCAACGATGACAAGGTTGACGAGCGAGAAGATAAAGTTCGTAGCGGAAACGGTGATGGCGACGGCGGTGGCGTTGTTGAAACCTACGATCTTGAACAGGGTTGCTGAGTAGTACATAAGTGTGTTGAAACCAGATAACTGCGATATGGCCATGATCGTGCATGCTACGAATACAGCGCGGAATGTGGATGCAGTCGTGAAGATGCGGGCTAGCGTCTTGAATACTGAATCGTCTACCATTGTTTGTGTAGCCTCGTTGATGCTCATCTCGATGCTCATAATCTTCGCACGGCGCTGCTCTTCGGTCGAAGTCGGATAGAGGCGTGTGAGGATGACACTGGCTTCGTCTACTTTTCCGTGTGCGACTAGTTGACGGGGAGATTCGGGGCAGAGAGTCAAGAGGCCAGCAAGAAGGATGGCGGGTGCCGCACCAATACCGACTGTTGCTCTCCATGCTTGTGAGTTAGCACCTCCGACTTGTGCAAAGCCGGCACCGATGGCTGAAGCGAGAAGTTGACCAAAGGTAACGCTCATGTTGTTGAAGGCAATCATTCGGCCGCGATACTTGGCTGGGGCTAGTTCGGAAATGTACAGAGGCACTACCATAGCCGCCGAGCCGACACCCAGGCCTACAACGAAGCGGCCTACAGCAAACTGTGGAAGATGATACGCGGCTGTCTGGAGTACAGTGCCAATAACGAAAACAGCGCAGGCCAGGAAGATTGGTAGCTTGCGACCATATTTGTCGGCAATCATGCCAGCGATGACGGCTCCTACGAGTGCTCCACCGGAGGTAAGTGAGGTGACGAGTTCTTGCTCGGAGGAAGTGAGTTCATGGCCAAGAGATGTGCCGATAGTAACGAGGACCGAGGAGATGTAGCCAGTGTCGTAGCCTCAACAGAGTCAGCATGGTTGACAAGAGCGATCTTACTCAGTAACAGGGGTACACACCGAACAGGAGGCCACCGAGAGAAACGGTCATGGAGATTAGCCAAGCAGCCTTCGAAGCGGCTGTTGCTTCGATACCAGAGAGGTTAGCGATTTGTTCCGCATGTTCGCGTGCAGTCGTAATGTCTTCAATCTTGTCGATGCTGGAAGACCTTTCGTTGAAAATATCGACCTTCTTTACGTCCGAGGAGTTCTGAGCCATGTTGGTAGATAGTTGCCTGTGATGAAGAGCTTAAGGGAGGCTATAAAGTGGCGACCTGAAGTCAATAATGTAATGATGACCGTCGAGGCCCGAAAGCTTGCGATGATTGAAGACCATACTTAGGGAGATTCGACGTCCTACTTATGCTAATCGTATAGTTTCAAGTCTACTCATCGGAAAGGGCCGGGGCGACGCACAACCAGGCTCGATGCGAAGAAATTTGGCAAGTTAACATGGATTGCCATGTTGGGAGTTGGTGTGCCATCATCGCATGGCCTTTCCCCAGACTTCTGCTCGTGTGTCTCCGCAATCTCATCCGATATGCGTCATTTTTCGCTTCGCACCCGCTGGGGTGCATGAGAAAACGCGGGGGTGGGCCCAGAGAGCTGGGCAAACGGGCGTGGAGCAACTGGTTGACAGTCAAATCGGTTGCTGCACATTGGTCGAAGCGTGCGTGGCGGGTCGAGAACACTATTCGCGCGTGCGGCTGAGGGGGTTGGGAATAGGAAGTCCGCGGCGTAAGCTGCTATGTTGGGTGCTACAAGCTCGGGCTTCAATGCCCGTGTTCTGCGGGGTTGCTACTTCGAGTGCTGCAGCTGGGTGGACATGACCCGATCCATCTACCGCGATCTTCTAGAAAGACTTCAGTGCCGACAGAAGGTCACCGAGAACCATGCGTCTTTCGACATGCTTGGTGCCCAAGTGGAGACACGAATTCCACGACATGATGTGTGAGCAACTTCGGGCAACGGCAACGACAACATAGTCTGGTAAAGTTAGAAGTCTTCTGTTCGAATAAGTCACTGGGCTTCGGGACACTCGGGAATCATATTCTATTGAGTATACACGTGCGGGCTATCAATCCGTAGGGCTGGGATAAGTTTGGGATTGTAATCTCGAGTAGAGACATCTAAAAGGAGGATTGCTTTGCGTTTCCGTACCATACTGTGCCGATCTGATGACTACAGGTTTTCTTTCCTCCTGTTTTCAGAGAAGAGGCCAAGGTCTGAGCATGCAGGATATCATTGACAACCCCACTCGATGGGTACTCAAGGCTCCTTGAAATCAAGAAGGAGCAAATCGGCGGAGCAGATTCATGACTCGTCTTACTTGTCCTCGCCGCCGTTCAAAGCGAGGATAGGTCAGCCGCGTATGGTGACGTCGGTGGTGGTATCGGGTTTGTTTGATAACCAAGTTCGAGCGTTCGTACTACTATCAAACTGACATGGATATTTATGACGAGATTCTGGCGACATCATGGCGAGCGTTTCATGCACATTATATTAACATTAAGTATCGCTGTATAAGTCTAGTCATAAAGAGAAACCATTCGTATCGAGACTGATTGTTGGGCCAGGCAATCAAGAGCATGAAACGCTACTTAGCTGCAACAGCAATAAATAGTTTGTCTTGCCTTGCATTATCTTGTGGAGAAGATTGGCCAAACACAACAACTTCTCTGGGAAGTCAAGGTGTTACTCGCTTTTGGTGTGTTTGATAGGGTTGCCCTGCTCATCCACAAGTCCTTTCGCCCGCATAACTTTGAGGGCGTCATGAATAGGATCCAGCGATGGCTCCGGTGCCCTATGTGAGCCGAAGTAGGTGTCGGCCCAGGTGAAGTACTGTCCATAGTTGACTGTGAAGTACATGTGATGTAATGTGTGGTGTGCGGGACTGTTGATAAACTTCTCTGTCCAATGGCCCGTAATCATGTCGCCGTCGTGAATGAAGATGGTCCAGATCTGAACACCAACGAAGAGGACCAAGTACAGATACCTCTGCATTGGGCAAATGAAAACGAAGAGACTTCTGGTTGTTAGAAACCATGTTTCGAGGACATCAGTGACGAAATACTTACTGGTACGGCAACGACTGCACAAACCCATCAAGCGGGTGAAAAGCCAGCGCAGCCCATGGCGTAGGAACTATTTTTGTTAGCATTGCCATCTATATGTACGAGAAGGCAACGTGATGGTAGGGTGTTGCGAAACTTACCAATCCATTTGTGATGTGGCTTGTGGATATATTTGTACACACTGGGGTGATGTTCCAGGCGATGGATCCAGTAAATAGCAAAATCATTGAAAGCCATGTAGAGGGTGGCTGAGATCACCAGCCATGTCCAGCCATAGTCGCTTGTGTTGGGGTAGAGCAAGCTTTTACCACGAACCTCGGCCAGGAAGATAGGCAGGGTCAAAAGGTTGATAAACGGGACGGCTGAGAGCGATGACTTGATCTCTTGACGGACTTGGTTCTTCAAGAAGCGAGGATGGTACTCGAGTCGTCGATCAAATACAAAATAATACGATAGAGAGCTGAAGAAAGGTAGAGAGAAGTCGCACCGAGCTGGGTAATGACGAGTATCGACACGATTTGACGATAGATGTTGTCGCGTGGCCATTGGGACGTAGGCGCGTTGCTAGCGGCCGAAAACTCAGAATATGACGAGTTGCCTAAGCTGAAGTCGGAAGAAGGTAACGCCCATGCGTAGGCTTTGTCCAAAACAAGAGGATTGAGAAACTCCAGAGCGACATCCATTGTTAACTGCTATGCAACGGCGGGCGTGAAAATTAGGTTGAACAGTGAAGGCAGCGGGAATAATTGTCGCACAAGTTGCCGTTGAGGCGCGGATAGGCTTGGTGTCCGTGTTCCTTGGCTTGGCAGGGGTAAATTTGTCAAAAGTGGGGTACACTCCCTTCGTAAAATTGATCAAAATTTAGATTCTAGAACAAATCACCCCCAGACATCCGCCTTCCATTTCCCTCGCTTTTTCAACGCGTCGGCCCATGCCTTGACATCTACCTCAGCCAAGCCTTTCTTCTCCATGACAGCTTCCTCGAGCTTCATATCTACCTCTCGTGCCATGCTCGCCTTACCGCAAATGTACATGTTCGCTCCTGACTCCAGCATCTCCAGCACCTTGCCAGCCAGCTCCGCAACCCGGTCCTGCACGTATATCTTGGGTTGCCCCTGCATTCGTGAGAACGCAGTGACGATCTCTAGTTTCTCGCCTAGCTGTTCCTGCAGCTTTACCAGCTCGTCTTGGTAGATGTAGTCATTCTGGTTACGACAACCGAAAAACAACAACATCTTGCCGATCGATTTACCGATTGCATGCAACTTTGCGCGCTCTTGGAGGAAAGCACGAAAAGGTGCGAAACCAGTACCAGCGCTGATCATGATTAATTGAGTCGAAGACGTGATGGGAAGTTTGAACTTCGACTTCCTGACGTGCGCGAGGATTGCCTGACCCTGGAGGTCTCCACTTTCGACCGAGCGATGATAGACGGGTACCGGTGTGTTAGCAGCCGGTTGGAGGTTGGAGGCCGACAAGAGGTAATTTGATGTCAGCCCATGGATAGTGGCAGTTGACTGGTCCACAGTTGTGATGGTCTTATTCACGACGAGTGCGGTGATGGCGATACGCCGTGGTGATATCACAGAGCTTGAAGAGATGGAGTAGTATCGTGGCTGCAATGGTAGCAAGTTCTCCAGAACGAAGGCGAGCGGTATCGAGCTCCACGCAACCCCGGGGCTGACAAGCTTGAGCAACCTAGCGAACGTGATATGTGTAGAGGCTGTGAACCGTTCGTAACGCTCACGATCCTGAGCGATGTCAAGAAGCTTCGATTTGGCTTCAGGTGTGGGCGCAAACTGTGCGACTTCCAGCACTGCCTTACGGGCCATGGGAGCACAAATTTCCAGATGGTTCCGGAAAGCTGTCTCAAGCGTTGAGGGACATGGTATCTTCGGCTTGTTGGCATCACTCTTGGGTGTGACAATAAGGCGCTCTCGCCTGCGGTTTTGCAAACTGAGGACGTCTAGCAGTCGACTGACTTCCTCTTCAGGATTAACTGGCCAGACGCCGATATGGTCTCCGGTCTTGTACACGATATCCATATTCCCTAGGTCTACCTCCAGATGTACGCAGTTGCGATCGCCCGATGTGAACAGCTCACGAGCGTGCTTGATGGTCAAGGGGACAATGGCTGAGTTGGTGGCAGATCGTTGATGATGTGCTGAAGTAACAGAATGCTCTTCGGAACCATGACTCACGGCGGTGAGATCAACTTCGATGTTGGACTCGTAAGTAACAGCCTTCTCCTGGAAACCTATCTGAGTAAGCAGAGCGAAGACATCATCTTTCCATGCCTGGTAGTCTTCCTCTGTTCCTCCGTTGGCATCGTCGGCTCTCTGGCGTGGGATGAGCGCAGTAGCGCCAGCAGTGTCGAAGGCATCCGCAACAACGTCGAGGACCCTGTTGTAGTACTTGTAGTTACTGTTGCCGAGGCCGAAAGCCAGGTATCGTAAGCTCCCAAGCCGAATCTTGTTTTCGCCGACCCGCTTGATCCAATCCCAAAGACCAGCAGTGTTGTCGCTAGGATCGCCTTCGCCGTACGTGCTTACGATAAAGATGGCGAAGTACTTCTTCTGGATGTTGGCAATGCTTTCGGCGTCGTAATCGGATAGGTCTGCCACAAGAGAGTTTATACCAAAGCGTGCGGCGCACTCTCGACCTAGGTTTTCGGCGAGGCGCTCCGACGTACCGGACTGTGAGCCCCAGAATATGACGCAATGATAACCACCCTCATCGAGGCGTTGGGAAACGTCCCGGGTTGTGACTGCCTTTCCGTCCGAAGAGCCCTCTGCGACTTGCGGTCTCTCAAAATACACCTACAGTGACACTACGGTCAGCAATGCTACTACATCCAGGACGCAGGTTCGTGTAGAAGCTGTCTTCTTACATGGTAGTTTGGATCCGGTTTGTCCCAAATGCGACCACGAGAGAGATAACCAAGCGACGCGAGAAGGAACAGAAATGCAGCTAGGCCATCTGCTGTAGTCGAGGGCTTGAGACTGCTGAATATAGGTGCCGTATTCAGCGCTTGCAGGAGTGGATTAAGTTGTGACCTCAGGTCTGACATGTCGACTGGTAGACTGAATGAATCCATGATATCAGAAGGATGCAAAATGGGCGCGGAAAGTGCGACGGGCTGGGTGAACAATATATTCGCGTAGAATAATATGGGGTTTCCTCAGTCACCTTGTAGCATACGGGCCATCGGAGACGAATGCGCCAGCAGTTGCACCCTGCCAGGCGTTGGCGACGGGCATGATTGCCAAACCTGATCTGTTGATGTAATCCGACACCTCAGTGTAGGAGCACCTCGAAATCCCGTGGAATTATCCAATGCCTTTGGGTGTGATCGCAGTAAACCAATGTCGGGTTGATCATGAGGCGAGTAAACTATGGCACCCCGCGTTACCCCACAGTTCAGCAATCAGCGGCGTCCACAAGTGGTTCCACAGTTTAACTTTGCAAGCGCGCATATGCTGCTCGTAGCAATGCTTGCCGCAATAGGCCATCATTCTCCGAAGTCTACCCTTCTGAGTCCTTGGGAGCCGGTCGTCATCCACTTTGTACAGCTGCGTTGACGGGCAGTGAGATGCCTCAACCAACACTTAAGTAAACCCCAGAGCGCGCCCTCAAGAGTTGCTAACGAGACCATATTCAACTTTCCTGTTGTGTTGATCACGTTCCATCATGTCGACCTCAGTTCTCTCAATCCCGTATGCAGCTGCTCTAGGCACATGCGCTTTCCTCTACTTTGTTGTATACCCTGTCATCGTTTACTTCCGCGATGCAAACGGTATGTTAGTCATCATTTATGACACGAGGCACCAACTAACGACTCAGGTCTTCGTCGCTATCCGAACATGCACCCGCTCTCGGGTATCTCTTCGATACCGTTCATGGTGCTTGCACACGGCGGAGCACGGTCAACATACCTTGAGAAGCTACACCAAAAGCATCCAGTTATCCGTGTTGGCCCCAACTTCCTGTCATACGGCGACCTTCGGGCTGTAAAAGACATCTATGGCCACAACACCCCTTGCACCAAGGATGGATCGTACGTGGTCACTTCGGGTTCACATTACCATCTTGCCGATGTGATTGACAAGCACGATCATGCCCGAAAGAGGAAGTTGATGAGTTCCGCGTATGCGATCAAGAATCTCGAGGGCTGGGAGCACAAGGTAGCCGACAAGACGCAGAAGCTACTCAAACACTTTGACGAGTGCTGTACCGCACCACTGGCTTCTGGACAACTGCCGAAGCCCGAAGACTTGAACCTCGACTATCGAAAATGGACCAACTTTTTCACACTAGACGCCATCGCCGATATTGGACTCTCCGACAAACTTGGGTTCCTCGACCGAGGTCACGACAGGGTTACTGGACGTAGAACAGATGGCTCGACGTATGAGTGCGATTTCAGGCCGGCGCTCTACAACACAGCTCGGAAACAGTCGTTGTTGATTTGGCCATATGACTGGTACCCGCTGATCAACAAACTCTCCAACATCATTCCTTTCTACAAGCGCATGAGTGACTATGCAAACGAATGGGAAGGCATACCAGTTCAGCTTGCCCACAAGCGCCTAGAGCGATATAGGGCAGGAGAGAAGCTCGACGACTTTTTCCAGACACTGATGGAGGACAAGAATGGCCATCCAAACAACCTGGAGTGGGGCGAGATTATCGCGGAAGTGAGCATCATGATGAACGCCGGATCAGCGACGACAGCAATTGCGATGGCAAACGTCATGCATCAACTGATCAAGCATCCGGAAATCAAGAAAAAGTTAGTACATGAGATTGATTCTGCCTTGGAAGATGACGAAGAGGAAGGTGATGGAGTAGTCGCCTATGATAGGGTGAAGCATCTACCGTACCTCCGTGCGTGCCTCGACGAGTCGCTCCGCCTCTTCCCACCGACCCCTCATGGGCTTCCGCGACAGACGCCAACAGAAGGCACAAACATCCTCGGTGACTACATTCCAGGTGGTGTCTCCGTCGCTATATCTGCATATGTTGCGCATCGACAAGAGTCCATATTCCCGCAAGCCGACAAGTATATTCCGGAGCGCTGGCTGGGTGAAGAGGGCAAGGCGTTGCAACCCTATTTCTTGGCCTTTCGGCAGGTGCAAGAGGCTGCATTGGGCGCAACATCTCATACCTTGAGCAAACTGTGGTACTCGCGAGCGTGTTGCGACGTTATGATTTTGCGCTGAGCAGTCCAAACTGGGAGCTACAACGATTAGAGACGATGAACTGGATCCTGGGGGAGATGCCAGTGAAGATCTGGCGACGAGAGCGAGGACCGGCGCAGCAAGAGTAAAAAGATTTGTTTTTGTTGCATAGCATGAGGTGTTTGGGGGCTTCATAGATTTGCGAATGTGTCTCTAATCGATGGATGTGAAAGGCCGTTCGCATTGTTAGGAAGAAGCTCGTTTTTCCAAGCTGTACCTAGGTGAACTGACCCTGGAAGTATTCGCTATATTATGAGTTCATTAGCTATCAAGAAAAAGGATGACGAATGCCTTTATGGTGCGCTATGGCGTCGAGTTGTACATCCTAGAAAAAAAGATACACGATCATGGTGAGGGCGCGCAAAATGCGATCGAACGGCGCGAACCTCCCCCGGGGCATGGCGGCTAAGCTCATTGGCCCCCCACACATGTACTACTTGCATTTCTCCGCTTCGCTGCATGTTGTACATAAACGGTTTTACCCCTGTCATCGCTGTCAGGTTCATTACCATCTTTAATGAAAACTCCTCATCGCCTATGTCGCAGCCTGTACAAAGTCAGCCACCGTCGGCAATTCCAGTACCAGCAACTGAATCGTCGCCGGCCCCACCTCGTCCTGCGCGATCAAAGAACGGTTGCAATGCGTGCAGGTACGTGGGAATCCCTTGTTGCTCACCACCAACGCTCATCGACATAGGAGACGAAAAGTGCGATGTAATGAGCAAAGGCCACGTTGTGGTCATTGTGAGAGATTAAACCTCGACTGTAAGCTCAAACTTCAGGGCACGAAATGCATGTCAGACATAGACTGATACCATACACCAAAATTCAGGCACATGGCACCGCAACAGCACTTCCAAGCCATCCCAGTCGTTCGTCATGGGACAGGGTCAGCACCAGCCCTTCTTTTCTGGCCCACTACCATTAGACGGATATGGGTTTGGTTTTGATCTATCTGGGCCATTGAGTTTAGGCACCTGGGATGAAGCCATGCTGTTGAGTCCTAGCTCATGGCCCACCGACAACGGGTCTTTCGCGACCATGAATACACATGCCGACCCTGCGTCGCAATCTATCCACCAACTCCCGCACACTCATAGGTCTTCAAGCCAGATTTTGGGAGCCAATTCTGCTGTAAGCAACGGAGCGCGCGAATTGCCAGAGCGCAGACCACACCAACCTGATCCAGCTTCAACTTCACCTTTCTCGACCGAGGATGTCCCGAATGGACCGAACGAAGACTATCTCTTGCATACATTTCTTCAGATGCTCATGCCACCTATCCTTACGCCGGTGGAGATTGGCCCAAAGTGGGCATCTACCCGCGCCTTCTTTGCCACTCTGGCTGCAGAGTCACCTACCGTCAAGAGTGCCATCATAGCGTTCGCCGCGATGCAAATGCAGCGTAGCGGGCTAGGTAGCGATATGGTCAAGGCAGATTGGAGGCCTTTGTATGACATCGCAACTAGACAGGTATCAGGCCGCCTTGCAAAGACTCGAGCGGTTGAAGATAGTGATCTTAGGCACATGCTCGCCGCTCTTTTCTTGCTTACCTATACCGACCTCCTTACAGAAATGCTGCCACGAGCCCACGCCAACTTACGAGAAGCTTACATGCTCATAAAAGGTGCGGATAAGCTTAAGTTCTCCGTCCCAGAACGCCGACTCATCTCCTGGTTGCGTCTTCTCGATGCACGTGCTATATCAACGGCAGGTGGTGAAGGACTCTTTTTGGCTGATACTGATGAGACCATCTTCGATGCATCACCAGCTGCCAATACTGGGTCAGAGCCGGACACGTCAGACACTGAGATTGAGGAAATTCTGTTTGACGTGTTATATCACCCCGGAATTATCTTCTATCAGAAGGTGCAGTCTTTCGCTGGCCGCATCGCACGCATTGACCCCTGGCATCGTACACGCGGCACTGTTCAGGACGAGACAGAAGTGATGGCTATTGCAGCACAGATTTCCAAGGACTTGCATGCGCTTTACGGTCAGCGACCGGCATTGATGGATCATGCGGTCGCTGGAAATCTCACTGAGAAACATCTGGCCAAGAACCTAGCAGGTGCACTCACTCGAAGTCTTCGCACATATCTCGCCAACTACCACGCCTCGTTCATACACTTACACCGCGTCGCGTATGTGCAGTACCCCAAGACCAGGGATGTCATAAGCGCCATCGCAAGTATAAAGCGCCTAACCCGTTTGATGGCGCAGGCCGACGAGTCGCTACCAGTCAACGTCCTATGGCCTCTACTCATGTGGGGTTGTGAAGAGGACGACAACGAAGAGAGACGATGGATCATTGAAGCAATTCGCAGTCTCGAGAGTATCGCCACCAATGCCAAGGCTACCGCCGATCTTCTAGAAGAAGTCCAAAGGAGGCAAGATGAAGGAAAGCGAAGGGTCGACGTGCGTCTTGTCAGCCATGAGTATTTCGCGTCTTCAAATCATTTCGCAATCGTATGATGGGTTCAGTTCAGCTTCAATACGCACTCAAAGTCCACATGCTGTTGCTCTGTTAGTCCTCTCCAGGCACTGAGCCTCGATCTCGGCGAAAGTGGCAACGCGGAAAGCCTTGCCATTTACGGGTCAATGCGGACAGCACTTGTCATCTCCTGCACAAGTCTAGACCAATCAGATTGCGGATCGCGCTCGGAGCATCACCCCAACCGGAAAGATTTCCGCGAGCTTCGATTCGTCTCGCTCAAGCTGAGACAACGCGTGCCATAGTTGGAACATTACATACGAAACGGGCGGGGTAAGTAGCCCGAACGAAAACTGACAACATGGGCTCGGTTTCCCGGCTCAACGTGGCAACTCGATCATTCACATTCCCTGGGACCCGGATTGTACGATGAGGCAAAGAAGCGGATGGTCAGTCAAACCCGCGGAATCATCTGAATGCATGCACTGACTACTCGACAGCAAAGCCTGTCGTGAGCGTCATATCAAATGTACGATGTCTTACTGTCCGATGAGATCTTAACGCTTAATAATAGACACTTATAGGTGTTAAGTTGCGCGACTCGGAAAAATGCAAATACTGCACTGAGCGCAGGAAGCCTTGCATTCGCGGCAATGCTTTCCGCTTCCGGCCCGTCACGGCAGTCAAGTTTAATGCCGGTGAAGATATAGGCTCTGCTGAACAGTCTCTCGAATTCCGGGTGGGGCAGCAGTGGGTGGATATCCCAAGTTCGTGTGCGTAGGCGCCAGGTCCTGCCTAACAATAGTGGCTGACAAAAAGTGGCCATAGTGCACTTTGTTGAACCTAACAAGGACAGCGGTGACGAAGAGGAGTACGAAGCTGCGCCGGAACGCGAAGCGAATTCCGAAAGCACACCCAACGATCTCGATGTTGCCTCGAAATCCCGGCAGACAGACCAACGTTTGAACAGAGGTTCCAGCGAGAGCCAGCTGGCGTCGTCATATCGTGACCTGAACCCGTTTGCGACTGTTCCGATTCCAGAATTCGATGATAGTAGCGATTTGCCGTCTATTCATGACGTTCTCAATACTCACATCCCACCATCCTTAGTTAACGTCAATAATGGTGGCAGTAACAGTACATCGCAAAGCACTCGAGCCGTCTCTTCAATAAATCAACTAGCGAACACAAGCCACTGGCAAGCAAGCCCCGGATCACTTCAACGTTTGTCGCAGTCCCCAAATCTGTCAAAGAAGAGCCCTTTCGGGTCGATCAACAACAACCAGTCTCCTTACAACTCTACGGCTTTTAGTCCTTCATCAGTGCCAACACTTAAATGGCCCGTGAACAACGCGTATGAAGCCCGGCTTCTCCATCATTACCTCTTCTTCTGTACTGATTGGATCGATGTATGTGACTCACGGCAACACTTCAGTACCGAGGTACCAAAGCGTGCAGTCCATTTTCCTGTCATATTAAATGGCATACTGGGTCTTGCCGCAAGACACTGCTGGCTGATGGGCAAAGTTGTGGAAGACTTGTCGCAGCCATATGTAGATCAGTGCTTACAAGCACTGATTGTGGCGCTCGAGGATCCGCTTGCGCATTGGGATGAGAACTTCCTTATCGCCGTTATTCTGCTTCGCCTTCACGAGGAGATGGGCGATACCGACGAACACTGCCACCACCTTGTACGCTTTCTCTTCATCGAACTTGACTGCACATTCTTGCTGACCGAGGTTTGATCTTAAGGGTACCGCCCGTATACTGAACAGTATCTCGTCCTTTGCCGCGGACGGTGGCCTCCGCGAGTCGGCATCCTGGGTGTCTCTCCGCCAACACATCTACGTCTCCCTGACGACCCAAAAACCCCTCAATCTTAGCCTCGAGAACTACCGGCACTCCGCTGTTTTCAGCGAGTTTGACGACGAAAGCTGGGCGAACCGTATCATATTCCTCTTTGCCGTCGTTCTGCAAACAGTATTTGGAGGCAGCAACAACGGCAGTGAAAACGTCAGTCGAGAAACATGGAAAGATTTGAGCGACGAAGTAGATGAGTGGGAGCGGACAAAACCTTGGACGTTTTCTCCCTTTTACATCGAGTCCGATGCGGGTGACAAGTTCGAAGGGAGTTGGCCTGAATTACTATGTCCGCGGGGGGTTATAACAGTTGGCTTGCAGTACTACCACCTTTGCAAGATACTGCTGACTATATACTCGCCTAACGCGTCCTTGGTGGGGCTCGCTGGTGTCCGTGCTAGAAAATCTACTGACGCAGCTATTCGCAAGCACATGAGGATAACGATAGGATATGGCGTGAGTAATAGTCATTGTGGAAATGCCATGTTCCAGGGTAGCCATATTCTAAGCGCGTGTGGAGCATATATCATCGATCCGAGAGAGCAGCAGGCTTGTGTGGAGTATCTGGAACAATTGCAGAAATTGATAGGTTGGAGGACAGACGGCGTGCTGAGGGATTTAAGAGAGCAATGGTCGATCTAAGAGCATCTTTTCACGCGACAGATTCCCATAGCCAAGAAAGCAATGTTTCAAGATTTTCATTGCGGAGCATCACTTTACAACGATGCTTCCAGCTCATCGAGACCTGATACCTGGTTCACAACCCATTTCCTCTTCTCCTCATCTGTGTATCGCGGGTAGGGCCTTCGGCAGTCCGCGCTGTTCTCTGGGTATCCTCTCTTGTGCGCAACGACGTACTTTGTGCCGTTGATACCGCCCTTTCCGAAACCCCACTCGGTGACTGAGAGTTTGATCTGGAGGGCTGACGCTTCATCGTGCTTGCCTGATCGGTAAAGGTCGAACATGTGTAGACAGGCCTGAGCTGTTAGCTTTTCATCGCAGCGATATATCGCATGTAGTTACATACCTTAGGGTACAAGTTTGCAACACCAGTAATAGTGCCAACTCCACCAACGCTCAGAGCCGGTATGAGCCAGTCGCTTTGACCCGCAAGAGCAACAAACTCTGACTTCTCAAATGCCGCACTGATTCTTGCCACCTTTGCAATACCTCCGCACGTGAGTTTGACTGCTACAATGTTCTCATGCTTGCCGAGGATGTCCAGCATCTCGGAGTTGATGTCCAGACCAGCTACTACATTGGGGAAGTTGTACAGGACGATGGGTATGGGCGATGCGTCGGCCAATTCCTGGAAATAGGCTACGATTGCATCTTGGTTCATGGAGAAGTGAAAGTAGGATGGCACCAGTGCTAGATAGTACGATGCACCTGCATCCTTCGCTTCGATGGTTTGCTGTATCGCGTCGCGGGTGCAGCCTGCTACACCTCCAATTGTGATGGGGAGTTCTCCACGACCAAGGCGCTGTGCTGTCTTGCGGGCTTTTTGGACAAGTTGTGTCTTCTCGGCGGATGATAATGTTGCTGCTTCGCCATTTGTTCCTGCGATGACGATTCCGTGGAGGCCATTTGAGATTAAGAACTCAAAATGCTTCTCTTGGACATCCCAATCAATCTCTTGATTCGTGTCGTTCTTGAACCAAGTCAAGGAGGGGACATGGATTCCTGGCGGAAAGGAGTATGTTGTGGTGCCGTTGGTGCCGTTTGCGGATGGCATTTTGTAAAGATCTCAGGATACAAGCAAGTAGAGAGGAGAATCGAGAGTGGAGGATGTGTTTGGATCAGAGCGAAACCGCCACATTTTGGCATCCACGGCTGCGCGACGCGTTCCGGTACTACGATGGAGCATATGCGAGAAGACGCGCTTCGGCGTGGAGATGTGTGGATGTTCGATCGGCTCTGGAAGCAAGCGATTCGCTGTCGGCTACGATCGCGATAGTGACGTTTGTTTGCCGAATCCAGCTCGCCAGCCTCGCCTGTCGGCTGCACTAGTTCCACGAGCTTCCTGTTCACGCCACCAAACCCACGCGACGAGAATAAGCCATCTCTGGAGACTCCACTGGGGAAGCCTGATGCTCGGATGTGGCAACCTGGTCGTCCGCCTCCGATAGCCTGGGTGTTTTGTGGGGAAGCGAGCTTGGTTAAAAAGAACGTGGGAACCCCAGGTTTGAGATCGGCATCGTGACAACTGCAGAACTTTGCAGCTTCGATATACATCCCGTAACTTGAACATTGTTTGTTTTAGTTGACAGTCATCATGGGTGGTTTTGCTCGCGCCCCCGAGGACCGGCCAACCCCTCCGGAAGTTGTAAGTTCTCATCATCTCGAACGATCGCGATCTGATAAGGCACTAATATGGCTCATAGTACAACTGGAGGGTCTACATGGCCGCGCTCGTGATTTCAATGGGTGTTTTGGCTTATGGTTATGACTCTGCCTTCATCGGCACTACCATCGCCCAGGAGTCCTTCAAACGAGACTTTGGCATCAATGCGTCGAACAAAAACGAGATAACCAGCAATATCACCTCCATCTATTCAGCTGGAGGATTGGTAGGAGCGCTACTAATGTACCCGTTCCTCGAGCTCCTCGGTCGCCGTGCTACGGTAATCATCTCGGACGCTATCTTCATCGTGGGCGCAATTATGTGTACTGGTAAGCAGCAATCCCCATACGGTGCATGCCATGCCATACTGACTGTGTTATGCAGTCCCCAAAGACCAATTGAGTCTCGTACTTGCCGGGCGCTTCTTTACCGGCATGGGCGTAGGAGGTATAGCTGCAGTGTCTCCCATCTATATCGCCGAAATATCACCTCCCGCTATTCGTGGACGCCTCACTGGCTTTTTTGAGTCCTTCTACCAAACCGGTGCCGTCATCGGATTTTGGATCAACTATGGCATCGTACACAACATGGACAGCTCAAAATCCATCGCTTGGAGAGTGCCCATGGCTGTTCAGCTCATCCCCGCTGGGCTCCTGGCCCTCATGATCCCAGTTCTGAAGGAGTCTCCAACTTGGCTGCTGAAGCGTGGTCGTGAAGCTGAGGCTTTGAAGTCTTACAGCTATTTCCGCAACTTACCGGAGGACCACCCATATATTGCCCAAGATGTCCAGTACGTGCGAAACGAGATCGCAAAGGAGCGTGCCGCACTCCTTCATGGCGAGAAGCATGCTAGCTTCCTCACAACGATCAAGGCCGCAGCAAGAGAAGGCGCTATGCCAGGCATGCGCAATAGGTTTCTCCTAGTATTCCTTATGTTCATGTGGCAAGCATGGAGTGGTGCAGCAGGTATGTACAAACCTCCTGCGCAACGTGTAAAACGAGTAATCACTAACAATTTTATTACAGCCATCAACTACTATTCGCCTATCATCTTCACTTCCATCGGACTGTCTGACGTCACTCTCTGGACAGGTATCTATGGAATCATCAAAGCCGGAGGTTCTATCATCTTCTTTACCTGGTTTATCGACATGTTCGGACGGAAATGGCCTTGGATTATCTCTTCGCTGATCTGTGCTTTCTGCCAGTACTACCTCGCCGTATACATTGCGCTTGGAAAGCCGACCGTAGGCGAGCCCATGTCCGAGTCGACAATCGCTGGAGGCAAGGCCGCAACAGCCATGATTATGATCTTCGGTGCGGCCTGGTCATTTGGTGCAAACGGTCTCCCCTGGATCATCTCGTCAGAAATCTTCCCTGCGTCTATGCGCTCCATATCTGGACCATGGGCGGCAGCATCGGTCTGGATATGGACTTTGATCGCGACCAAATCGTTGCCTTCTATGTATACCTCCATGGAGTGGGGCGTGTACGTTTTCTTTGCAACGTGTCTTATCTGCGCTAGCATCTACGCCTTCTTCTTCATCCACGATACGAAAGGATTGCGAATGGATCAGATGGATCAACTGTTTGGTTTCGAGAAGCGCGAAGAGTTTATTGTGCAGGCTGATGGGAAGGATGCTGACTATGAGAGCGAGCACCACGAAAAAGCACCTGCGCAACGAACTGAAGCTGTGTAGGTTGAGACAAAGAGATCCGTAGTAATAACCAGTTATCCTGTAGTATCTAAAGTCGGCTAGACAAATCCGATTCATTCCTCTAGTTTATGATGAGCGGGAACCATAAATGCTTTCACATCTATCTTCATCCTAACCCGAGTTTACGAGCTTGCGCCTACAATTTTTTCAACGCAACGTAAGAAGAATACACGAATCTATCGAATTGACTAAAAATAACAACCGTTGCTTCGGTTCGTGCGACTTTGGCAATATACGATGTGCGTTGAATTATTTCGTGTGGAGCGCTGCACATAGGCTAAATCCTATCTCACTTTCGAACAATCTGTCGGGACATTGAGTCCCAGGCTGAGTCATGTGCTAACCAAGTTCATCCGAGATCCTGGGAATAGCAATGCCAATTGCCGTACAATACTGCATATTGGGATCTGACTTCACTGCCCTTCAGCCGCAACCGAAGAATTGTTCTCGAGGAGCAAGGGTAACGGCAGGCGAAGGCGGTTTTTTGATCTCACGATACTAAAGAAATAGTATAAGGCTTGATATTTACCTTCATCATGTTTCAAACAGCCATCCGCCGCGTTACCACACCATGTCGTCGCTCCTCCTAGTATTATTCCTTGTTCTGTATGCAGCAGTCGTCGCTGCCATCCCGCAGGCAGTATCTCTCGCCGCGGCACCCGTCCTGCCACCCAAAGGCAAAGTCTCCCTAACGACTCTCGACGTCGATCTGGAAGGAAGTGGATGCAGACCCGGCGATGCCAGCGTTATGCTCGCCTCCGATAACTCCGCCTTGACCATCATCTTCGACAACTTCTCCGCCTCTGACGGACCAAAAGCTGGAGGCGCGAGTACACGCGCGTTCTGCAGGGTAAATATCGGCATGACATCGCCTGGATGGGCGTTCGACGTCAATTCAGCTGATTTCCGCGGATACGTGTATATTGAGAAGGGTGTGCAGGCTAGCTTGGTCAGTAGATGGAAATGGATTGATAAGAACGGAGTTGATCTCAAAGGCAAGGTATGTGGTACTGGTAGCTGAGAATGTTGCTTGGAAGTACTGACGCGAACCACAGGGTAACATCCAAAAAAAGATAACAGGGCCTTTTGAGGATGACTTCCTCTTGCACAAGGATGGTGAAGTGTCGGATACAGAGGCATCGGTATGCCAGAAGAAAGATGCGAGGATTCAGATTAGTCTGTCGGCGACTGTGGATTCTGGAACGTCGAACAAGAATGGATATGTACAAGGAAGTTCTGCGGATGCTGCATTTGGCGAGATACTGAATCTTTCGTGGAAGAAATGCTGAGATATTTGTTTAATTATTGGGGTATCAATTTAATGGCCAAGAGAGAAAGGTGTCTGCCTTTACCACTTCACAGTACTTCCTACTGCTCATGACAAGACTAGACCAGCGTAGTTGAACTACGCTTTAGTGTATGCCGGCAAATCCTCAGACTGCGCCTTAGCAGCAGCCCTTGCCTTCCTCCTCTCCCTGCGGTCCATCTCCCTCGCCACCGCCTTGGCCAACTTCCTACGCTCCTCGCGCTCCTTCTGCTTGATCACATCGCCCTTGCCCTTGCCCGACCACACCTTTTTGAACTCCTTGCGGAACTTCTGGTTGAAGGTAAGGTATTTGTCGGCCTCCTCTTCTGCCTTGTTCTTCTTGTGTTCCTCCTCGTCATCGGTGTCATAGAAGTCGGATTCTTCGTCAGCCTCGTCAGAGACAAGACGGTTGGTTTCTCCGTTGGAGGACTCGAGGCCGACGGCGCGCTGGTTGCGGGCTTTGTCCCAGGTCTTGGTGCGAGAGTAGGCGACACAGCCGGTAATGCTGAGGACCGTGAGGAAGGGGAAGGAGAGGAAGAGCATCATTACGATGCCGAAAGCGACTAGGTCTTCGTCCATGGCTGCGGTTTGAGAGTGTATGTGTAGATAGGTGTATTGTTTGAGAGCTGGAAATGTCGAATGCGGAGAAGAGAGGTATGTCTTAAGGGGAGGGTGGTTTGCCACCGCCCAGCCGGAGTGTGGCGCAGCCGCTCGAGAACCGTACGTCACACGCACGAGTCATGCAAAAAGCATGTGATGCGAACTTCGTGACACAGTTTCACGCCTTTTGTGTCAGACTTGTGCAGTGGCGGTTCTTAATACACAGGCAATGACAGGTAGTGTGAAAAGTCCCGTATTTTTTTTTACTACATGTGGTAGGTGTGTTGTTGTTGAGTTCTTGCACGCAGTTCCACCATCTTCATATTGCGACTTGTTCGCTCATGCAACTCCGACTCACTTCAGGTGAGCTGTTTAAAGTACGCCCCCTACTTTACTCCAAGTACATCTGTTCTAGCTCCTCGGCCTCTCCTTCCAACTGGTCCTCATGCCTCTCCTCATATCTCTCTGCTTTAAGCCTCCTCTTCGTCAACTTTGTAATCGCAACATACTTCTGCATAGCCTTTGTGCCTACATTCAAGATCTTCTTTGTATGTCTCTCGTAGTCTGCTTCCGGTTTCTGTAATACATCCGCCCATGTCAATCCCTTCCGCTCCATCGCCGCATCGACAGTCTGATGCCATGCTTTGATCGCGCCGGCCGCAACGTTGTACTCGAGGCCTTCGGTATCCTTGAATTGTGCCATCTCCTCTGCATACTCCTCAAGCGTGCCCAGTGGCTTTACAGCTTGGATGTCTTCGACGAAGAATTCGAGTTGCGACTCCCATGGCATATCACCATGGGAGATACCGTACTGCGTACCGGAGATGTCGAGAGCAGTCTGTTTTCCTGTGGATGGTAGAGTGACGCGCATGCACCAATGGGTACGGTACGAGTCGATGTCGAACTCTTCCCCGGGCTCTGGGGCGATGACGGTGCATTCGACAAGGGGCTTGAGGTGGACTTTTACTTCTTCGATGTGTACGTCGAGGCCTGTTTTTCTCATGATCAACACTGTCTTTTTCATTGTTGACGGGTATAGTAGACATACCTGTGAACAGTTGCTCTACAAGCTTCTTCAAGAAGCCGATATCATAGCACGGGGTGATTGCCAGCACCTTTTCCTTTGCCATAAGGTTGCCGACAAAGTATTGCTGAGGAAAATCTGCGAACCAGCCGTTCTTCCACCCGAGCTTCATCAAGTCCTCAGTAATCACGGTGAGACCGTTATACCGTGTGGGAAGAGAAATTTTGGCACAGAATCTGCTCCACGTAGCTTCGCGGTAGGCATAGAAGACGCTTCGAAGTACGTAGCAAGCGCGGTGGATGCGGAGGTCCGGTGAAGACACTGGGGCAGACCTCAAGACTGCAAGATAGTGGAGGATCGTACGGTCCAAGCGGTGTCGAGTTTTCACTACTTCTTCGTCTCTTGTTAGTGCAATCTTCTGTTGAGGCATCGTGTGAGTTTTAAGAATGAAGGCCGCGTGGATAGTGATGTCGTGTCAGATAGTGGTTACGGCGCAGGTGTTTACTTGTGTTATTGTTTTGGCCTTCACCATGGCGACGAAATTTTCTGATTGCAAATGACAAGAATTGACACAACATAAATGCCAAATACTATGAAAATGTGGTCGTACGAGTCACGAATTGTTATTGGACAGGCACCTGTGTAATTTATTATCCTATCTGCGACCGAGTCTATGTGGAAGTTGGAGCGAACCAGTCTTGACGCTTTGAGCATGTGATTCACATACATCAATGCCGAAGATGCTTCCTTACGGCTGAGCATTAAGCTATAATCCATAGTTTGAAGCCTACTGGGCCGATATGCTACAAGTGGTTGGCCGGCTATACTGATGGAGCAGTATTTCGACGACCAGCTGATGGCCTTGAGACTTCTTCAACGGTAGACTTTCCACATGGACAGTTCGAGAGAAATCCAAGTCGACCGTGTTTGAAGGCGCCACGATATGTCAAGCCACATGCACGGCATAGCTGACAGTATGGAACTTGTGGGGCTGATGCATGGAAGCGCGCCTCGAACGGCTCCATATGGATTAGAGGGATCAGTGTGAGAATTTCCGAGCTAGAGCACTCTGAGCACAAGATGTGATCGCACCTGTTACACGTCAAGTACTTGAATGGGTGAGCGCCTCTGTAGTGCTTTATGCCGTTCTCGCTCCTACAGCGGCCATTACAACATAGCCATACACCATCGTCGGGGTAGCTGTAGTATTCCACCCCCTCTACAGCTTCCGCGGCATCTAGCTTGGCCTTGGTAGGAATGCTAGGTGATTTCGGAACCAAGGCGGTCAACGCCTTTACTACGATCGATATTGATCGCTCACGCTTTGAGGTCGGTCCTGCCTTTTCTCCCATCGAATTCGATCGCTCACGCTTACTTATAGTTTCCTTATCCATGTCAGTGGCTTTTTTGTTTCTACAATTCTTGCGGAGCTTTGGAAGGAACGATGGAGTGAGTTATGTAGAGATCCAGTCCAACGTTTCGTTGGTTTTGTTATCTTGTGTATTACAATGCCTTACGCATATATATAAAGATGAGACGCACGTACGGTGTTTCGGCCTGATCATGCTCTGCATTGTTGATACACAGGAGTCGTTGTCTGAGGTTGGCCAAAGGTAAAAGGTCTCCGGCGAGGTCTTCCACGTCAGAGTTCGTCACGAAGAGGGTCTTGTATGCACTTGCTCGTGGCTGGGAACCCTCGGGAATACCCTGCCGATGAACATCCGGCTTTCGATGTGGCCTTTTCTCCTCAATTGCTTGAGAGGCCATGTCAGTAACACGGGCGGAAGAGGAGACTCAATATGGTTACTAGTCACGACTCCAAGATGTGTGAGACCACATACTCAGCACATATGGCAGTACATGCTTTCCTGTAAGTCTTCCTGATCTCTGAAGTGCTGCTTGAATATCCCCATAGTCAGGGATTGCACTGGGGTCAAGATCTCTGGCGTACGGTCATTGGGGTTTAGAATACGATCACAACGACACTTTAGGTATTTGAAGGGATGTGGCTCCTCGAAGTGGATCAGTTGGGTTTCATGGCCACAAGTGGGGACCCAGATACCACCTCCAGGATCCTCACGCGGTTTAGCATCTACGTCCTCCCAACGTGGACTGTAAAGTCCCAGGAGAGTGCTGAAGGCCGGGCGGCATCCAGTTGTTCCTGTAGCGATGTTTTGGACTGGCTGATTGCCGACATTGTTTCTCTTGCTGATGTCAAAGGATACATAGTCTTGAGTGGTTGACGTGTTCTTTTTGGGCTGTGGGAGAAACAATGGAACAAAGAAATAAGCCTTCTGCCGGGGCCTTTGAACGTTATTATTGGTAACTACGATGTTGTGCAGGTATATAGACAGGTAAAGTGCAATGGCGTGTACCGATGCCGTGAGCGATGTGGGGATCAGTTCCCTTCATAAACGCACAACGAGAAACAAGATGATGAGAGTAAGACAACTTACTTGAGACACTGTCTATACGTAGAGCTAACACCATCTTGGGTATCGGCCAAATGCCCATTACCTTCTCCGCTGTCAAAGTAGAGACCCACAAACACAGTCATTGATGCGGTGGTATAATTTCACTTCCTGCAGTCCTTATTGAACAGTTTTGAGCATCATCCCGGATCCTTGCAACTGAGTCTGGACGGTGGCCTATCGTCATTCGCAATAACCCAGCGAAATACTGTCCTCGCCGCATCATCAGCTCTTGCATCGATAAGCTTGACAAAGCTCGCATCTGGATCTCTTCTGTATGGCTCATTGTTTCCAATATGATACCGTGGCCAATCACCGTACGAAGTGCTTCCACAACTCGCACACTTGACGCCATAAAAGTCGAGCGTCGTGCCTTCCATCTCCGCCCGGTGACTCAAACCGCAAGTAAGGCAGATGTGGAAATAGCGGACTTCGCGATCTAGGCCCGGTCGCGGCGCTTGAATCATGCCGTACGGTAGGGGCGACAATATCTCCGATGAATGGCATTGCAAGCACAGTATTTTGTTGCAGCGGCTGCAGACTAGGTCTTTGAAAGGGAATGCACCATTGTAGTGCGTGACGATGTTCTCGTGGCGGCAGTGACAGCATCTCCATATTCCATCCCCAATCTCCGCGTCACTTCGCAAAGCCCGTATAGCAGGGTACTTGTTTTCTTGTATGATGTAATACTCGGTGGGTGCTTCGGCTGGAGTTGCTGAGTTGAAGTCGTCCCATAGGCTGTTGGGTTGAGAACTATCTTTTGAGTGACGTGCAGCGATTGGCGACAAGAGACAGTGGGCGGTTGACGCTGTGCTTCTCCGGGAATCGACCTTCTCAAAGACGCTCGTCAGTGTGGATGTAAAGGCTTTAGACAGTCGTTTGGCGCGGAAGATGCTGCTCTGATGTTTCATGTCGGGCTAAGTTGGGGAAAGCAGTTGTTGCGTGGGCAAGCTCAGTGTGGCTGCGGCGGTACGATTACGTCTGGTCGCAGTGAAGGATCAGATGCTCAGTTGCTTGTTTAGTTTATCGGTCAAAGTGTAACGGAAGTGCGCTCGATGACGCTTTCCACCTTGCTCTCACCACTAATCCAGCCAGGCAAGCGTGGTGGAACTCACTTTCGGCTTCCGTTTGTTTACCTTGTCTCTTCAATTCTTGGTTAGTGAAGTACTGTTGTACATTCAACACTCACATTGCATCTCCTGGCATGCTGTATGTCCACCTCAATATGGCTAGTTCGCGCTTTCATCTTGGCTATGCTGGCGCTGGACTGCCGTGTCAGGACTCAGTTGGCCTCCTCATCTGAAGCAACGTGTCGAACAAACGCGTGAGGACATTTAGGTCTATCATGCTAGGAGACGTATCTGGCTATCTTCATGGAGATGTGTAGTATGTCGTTATGACACGCGGTATGAGCACAGAGTATGTAGTGACAGGTGGAATAGGCAAGACTTTGCAGGCTGTAGAAACCCCGATATCAGAATGTATAAACGTGAAAGAAGAGAGAACGAAGAACAAAGCCCTACAAGGCTGTGACGTACCGTTGCGGAACCCTGCGCTAGCGCTGACGCGCGGAAGGAACATTACGATCTGTCCTCGCGTGCCTCTGCATCCAACATTCACCACCACCGTCATGATCCAGGCAATCCTCCAGGTTAGCTCAATGCGAACCTATTCATGCTATGAAGATTAACACAACCTAGCGCCTGGGCCGCTGGCTCGACCGGCCGCTCTTCCCATGGAAACGCCTCGTCGTCGGCTTCTCGCTCGCAGAGTTCGCTCTTGAGAACTGGCTTCTCTTCCGCCAATACCGTGTCCTTCAACGAACTACTGTCCCCAAAGCCCTCGACAAGGAAATCGAAAGAGACACTTTTGACAAATCCCAGGTATGCGCACATTGGTAGCCAACCCCGCTGTGTACAACAGCGCTAACATACACGGCAGGAATATGGTCGCGCCAAAGCCAAGTTCAGCTTCATCTCCGGTCTCTTCAACCAACTCAAGTCCCTCGCTACCCTCTACTTCAACGTATACCCGCTCGTCTGGGCTGCCGCCGGCACCGTCGTCGCCCGCTATGCGCCCGTCCGCTTCTCTGGTGAAATCACACAGTCGCTCCTGTTCATGTACATGTTGGGATGGATCGATCTGGTTGCTGGTCTCGGCTTCTCCTACTACCACAGCTTCGTGCTAGAGGAGAAGTTCGGCTTCAACAAGATGACGGTCAAGCTCTGGCTTACGGATATGATCAAGGGTCAGGCTCTTGCTATTGCCTTCGGTGTTCCCATTGGAAGCGCTTTCTTGACTATCATCAAGAAGACTGGCCAAGGTTTCTTCTACTACCTGTGGATGTTCATGCTGGTTGTTCAGATCACGGGCATGACTATCTACCCGATCCTCATTGTGCCACTGTTCAACAAGCTGGAGCCGCTCAAGCCAGGCAAGCTCAAGGAGTCTGTCGAGGCTCTTGCGTCTAAGCTCAACTTCCCACTCTCAGAACTACAGGTTATCGACGGCAGCAAGCGCAGCGCCCACAGCAACGCGTACTTCACTGGACTCCCCTGGATCGGCAAGAAGAAGATTGTCATCTACGACACACTGCTTGAGAAGAGCACAGAAAAGGAGGTCGAGGCTGTTCTGGCACACGAACTTGGACACTGGAAGATGAACCACACTTCGCGACTTTTATTCATTAGTCAGGCGCATTTGTTCTACATGTTCGCCCTGTTCTCCGTCTTCATCGACAACCGCTCGCTATATGCCGACTTCGGTTTCCATAGGGAACAGCCGACAATCGTTGGCTTCATGCTCTTCAACGAGATCTTGTCGCCCACTGACTCCATCATCAAGCTTCTCCTCAACATCTGGACTCGCAGCATGGAGTACGAAGCCGGTATGTAAACTGATGTAATTCATGTCTCGATGAATGCTAAACATCCAACAGATGCTTTCGCCGTAAAGCTCGGGTATGCGCGCGAACTCGGTGCCTCATTGATCAAGCTTCAGATTCAGAACTTGTCAAGCATGGATGCCGACTGGTTCTACTCGAGTTTCCACCACTCGCACCCAATTCTGACCGAGCGCCTCAAGGCTATGAACTGGACTGGCGACAAAAAGGTCTCAGAAGACAAGGCGGCGGACGAGGAGAAGCCTGTGAAGGCAGCGGATCGAGAACTCTAGGCGTGCATCTCGATCGGAATTTGTACAATATCGGGTATAAAAGGTCATAAGTACATGACCGCGCAGAGTCGCAAAAGCGACAGAGAATTCGTAGATTACAGCTCGAGTGCAATGGCCAATGTGTCTGTCGAAGTCGTTCCAGTTTGCGCTTCGGTGTGTCCTCCAAGTCGTGATTTCTGGCACCTTTACTCAGTCGACTTCCCTTTGGCCGCCTTGTCCTTTTTCCTTTGCTGATCTCGCTCCTTCTTCGCCCTCTTCCTCGCTTCCTTGTCTATCTGGCCATCCGCTGGGGCCTGCTCCTCCGCCTGCTCGTTCTTCCTCTTCTTCTTGTCCTTGCCCTTGGTCGATTGTACTTGGGGCTCCTCACCACCCTCCTGCACAACGTTTGTCCTATCCCCAATCTCGCCAATCTCAATGTCCCCTTGCTCCGCTTGATACGAGGCCAAGTCTTGCCAGTCGTCATCGGCACCTGCAGCTTTCTTGCCCGTCTTGCCCTTGCCACCACTAACAGTGACGTCGGCGGTGACATCTTGTTGGTCTTCTTCGAGATCCAGCGCTCGCTCTGGCTCTTGGTACTCGCCGCGCATACCCGCTGCTACACGGCGCAAGTGGTGCATAATTGGGTTACCCATGGCACCGCCTTGCGCATTGAATGCGACGCCTTCTGGTGTGATTGTCGCATCGGGGTGGAGGTGTGGGTGCGTTTCTGAGTTTGAGAGGTACTTTTCTAGAATGCTGGATGCAGCGCTGAGGGAGATGGGCGCGCTGGAAATGTAGCGACGAGGAGGAGGCGCTTCGAGAATCATTTTTTGCAGTTGTTAGGCAAGGCACGAAAAGGGTTGGTGGGCGGCTGATACTGTGAAAGTGGTCAGGTTCTTGGTGAGGTTTTTGGGAAGACGGGCAACTTTTTGCGCACGGACAACATCTTTCTTCCTAGCTCTGCGGACTTGCGACGGACATGCCAAACTGCACGCTCGTATCTACATATCGGAACCACGCCGTAACCAAGACGCTACAACGGGCGACGAGGAGGCAATTGCGGTTCCAACACAAATCATGAACGCATTCCGGTGCTTAAGGGTCGTCGCGCGCCCGACAACCAGCGCATCCACACTCCTCCGACCACGCATAGCAACACCACACCGGTGCGTTCCCCTCCCCAAACCCCCATTCACCCATCTGACTTAACATCCAGACTATCCACACCCTCTTCGGCCCGCCAAATATCCCTCCTCACACCCCGGCGCCCCATACTGCCCCGCACAAGCACCCTACCACTAGCGGGCAGCACATCTTTCGTACCTTCAACTTCCGAGACACTAGACCTCGCCTCGAAAATCTCGTCACATCCTGGTCTGGGCAGCACGCAGATTCGGTGCGGTCCGCGTGACACGTATAACCCGAGTCATCTTGTGCGGAAGAGGAGACATGGGTTTTTGAGCAGGATTAGGACGAAGAAGGGGAGGAAGCTGATTATGAGGAGGTTGAAGAAGGGGAGGTGGAATATCAGTCATTAGAAGATGTTGAGTCAGGTGGCAGGCTGCTGAATGATTCCCGAAACACAATTTAGATGGGAAAGGCGAAGCAAGGGCGCTTTGTGTATATTGAATGTACAGTGTGTATGCGTATTCTGCACATAGAGGCATGTACTATATAGGACGAGAGAATCCGTGCCCCCCTGACGTCGACACCGCTGGTCCCTTGTGCCTCTCTACCCGACTGCTGTCGCTATCGTTCATCCTCTCTGAACCAGATCGCACCGGGCAGCGCGTGCATTACTAGCCCCATATCCATAGTTTGAACACCCTCTTCATCAACACAAAACTCTCTCTGAATCTTGGCTGCTCCCGTGTTGGCAGCACCGTTGTGAAACTGGCTAGAAACTTTGGTTGACGACCGCCCACCTGTCGAGGAGTTGGGTCCGGCGCTTGATGGCAACCGCGAAGGCTTCTCGGGCCTTGAAATCGGTGCAATGTAGGTGGAATCAGCACCTAATGGATGCTCATTTCCATGAAACTGTGGTGTCCAAGGACAGAAGATTGCTGTCGCATCACTCTGGTGTCGAGGGTTTTGCATCTTCAGCCTTTCCCTCGTCTTCCACCCCCTGCGTGCCGTCCTCCAACGCCTCCACGAGCTTGAGCTCTTCATCCACCTTGTCAATTTGCTTCAAAATAAACGCAATCGTAGCATCCCTTGCCTTATCCACCCTCGTCAGCGCATTCATAGCCATCTTTCCATAATCCTGCAACTTCTGCGGCGTCGGCGGCTCAGGCTCCTCATTCTGCAACTTCGCCTTCTTCTCACTCAACAATTTTCGCAGCGCAAAGATATTGTAATCCCTCTCTTGCAGATTCTTCACCAGCTCTTCCCGTCTAGCTTCTTCATCGACCCTTTGTTTCTTAGTAGCCTGCTCTTTCTTGATCTCCTCTTCGGCGACTTTCCATTTCCAAATGGCTTCTTTGGCGCAGTTCTCAATGTGCGTGAATCGTATGGGACCGATATTTTGCCCTCCATACCAGCGCGCAACTACTACAACACCTTCGGTCTGCGTGTCTCGCAGTACATTGCTCAGCCGTCCTCCAGCCCACTTTTCACCGTCGTCATCATGACCTAGATCATACAAAGTACGGGATTCTGGCATCAAGGACTTTTGCCGTGATGGTTTCCGCCATGCTGCGATTTTGTGGGTCGCAGTCCGAAATTCAGGGAGTGTTTGGAGAACTTTGGCGGAGAGATTGGGAGAGAATGCGGCTGTGAAAGTGGATGTCTGCTCTTGTATTTTCGAGGAGCGATATATTTCTGATGTGGGCTTTGGAGATGGAGAACGCTCCCTTTTCATGGCTATTTCGTCTAACGGTTTGGTTACACTGAATGTGTTGTTGTTCAAGTTGAAGAAAGGACGGGAGGTTGGCAAGTGGCAGGGAAGGCGCATCCATGGATGCTGAAGCGTGACTAGCGCAGATGCCGAACAGACGTTGTGTTAGTTGTCAGCACTTCTTGGACAAAACACCATCTTCACTCATCGAAGGTCTATCAATTCTCCAACCCTTATCATCCCTCATAGGTCCTATCTAGCTACCAATCGTGTCTAAGGGTTTTTGTCTGGTTCATAGCATCTTCTTTCCAGACCATTAAGGACTCCCTCATTTGTTCGTTGTTGGACTCTGCTCGAATTGTACGATTTGTATTCCTCCTGTCTAAGCACTGCATCCTACCAAGCACATTTATGCGACAAAATGCTAAACACACATAGTCATCGCTCAGGCAGTCAGACAAGGAACTTCAATACGGTCAAGTCTGTCTCTTCTCTCACTACGATCTTCAAACCAATTGTTGCTCAAGCATATATATCTTCACCAGCATAATCTTCATACATGCCTTTCTTGTCTCTATCATCGTTACATGATCGATATCCAATCAGCGACAAAGGTGCTCTACTTGTCGGCAACGCCGCGGGCACCCGGTGGTGCCTCTGATCTTTCACTTCGCAGTTTGACGAACACGTCACACCAGGCGCACGAGATCAAATCTTGCAATATCCACCCCACTTATTCATTAGCAGAATGCTCCGCTACGACTAGAAATCCGCATCAAGCGAGTACCTCTTACTGCCAGCGTGCGGGAGAGTATAGGCAACGATATCTTACCTTCGACACTGACCTTCTACCACCCACTTCCTGCTTCAATATTACCGATATTTTGCGCAATCAAATCGTTTACTTACGGCAAGTCAAGGTAAGCTCATGCGACTTGTTCAATGCAGGTCTTTCGCCCTCAATTGTGGCACGGTTTTCCTTGGTTCATGCGATCTTTTTGCTCCAATCCACCAACTCGCATGCGACACGAAACCTCTTACTAATCCATCGGTTGACAGGTGACTCTGGTTACCATCTTCGAGCTTTGAGAGGATCTTCTTCAGTAGGCGAAAGCTTGTCGGATCGTTTGTCCGTACAATCCAGCCATCATCATGGGCCGATTTGACACCCTCAACGCCGAGACCAAGGATCTGGTGGAATGCCTTCTTCCCGCTCTGGCACAATCCTTCGGTCTCACTGACTGCAAAGACATCATCCCGGAAGACATCCGCATGCGCGCCTGGGACTGTGAGCGCCGCGACCACATCATGGACAAGACTGAGAACGACCCTCGCAACTGGGGTGTGCAGTTTCTCAAAGACTTGAGGGCCATCTCGCGTCTCAAGAACGGAAACCTCGACGAGTTCCACGTCGATCTGCGCGCCAAGGTTGCTCTTCATGAACCGAAGCATCCTTGGTGTCGTCTGGCCGATATCAAGGAGATCAAGCTTGATTACGAGCACCCAGAGCGCTTGAACCCAGTCGAAAAAGAAGAGTCATCTGAAGAGTCATCTGAAGACTCCTACTTCGAAGAGCTTGTCGAGCCAGATCAACCTAAGGGTTCAAAGAAGCGCCGCGGCAACCACGAGATTTACGAAGCACGTGTTCTGGAGAAGCGCCGCAAACGTAAGTCACCTCTGACGTACCACGAATGATGGAACAAACACATGATTCACCATTACAAACCTTCAAACCTCGGGCCAAGTTACTAATATTGAGTAGATCCGCCTAGCCGTCTCCGTCGTGCTGAGTCTGGCGGCTACCAGCGTCACGATAAATACGCGAACAAGCGTAGCCGCTCCGTTCGCACCAGCGCCACTCCCGAAGGTCGCCGCCCCGTGATCCACCGTCCTACTAGAACCGTCCTCACCGACGATGAAGACTCCGTCAGCTCTTGCGGTGGCCGGTCCCTTCTTCCCCATCCGACTCCTGCCTTTTCCGTCTCCCCTGGTCCTCAAGGAGCGCGCATGTACCCCATTGAGACCACCGACACATGCAACGAGCCTGTTGCGGTTCAGAAACTTCAGGCTGAGTTGGAAGTTGCGGAGGCTGAGCTCAAGGCTGCGCGTTTGAAGTACCAGTACCTCCAGGCTAAGGAACAGGCTGAGAACGAGTCTTTGTATGGGGGTAGCGGTACCGCGGAGATGCCTCGTCGGTTTGATTAGTTCTCTCTGGTGGATGTAATTAGAAGATCGCATGCGTTCATGAAGTAAATTTGGGCTGTCTATGTAGGATCGATGCGTGTAGGATTGTAGCGGGGCATCTATGGTAGGACGGGTGGGACGGGGTCTATGATAGCAGTAGCAGGAAGTACGATCGTCGCTGGCGGAAGGCGGTCCAAGATCAATAAGCTCCCTTTCTTGTCCATAGTCAAATGTACCTCTTTCATGCCTAATGTCATCCTCAATGCCTTCTCCACGCTGTTGCCATGTCTGGATGTTGCACGTGGATGGGGACCATGGTCGATGTCACATGTTTGCGCTCGCTACTCGATTTGACTTCGGAGATTTTGTATTTCTGCTTCTCTTTGCTGGTGCGCATTTGACGCATCTCGCTGTTTCGGCTCAGCCATGTATGATTGGTAGAAGAAGTCCCCCGCCGCTCTATTGCCCACCAATCATCAAACTGACATGCAAGCCAGTCTCGACACTAGATGCTTGATGATTGATTGTGTGTGGGGTATCTACAGACCTTGGTAAACCTATGAAGCTTAACATCCCCTTCCCGCACTTGGGGCATACCCACTCGATGTATCTCTCTGCTTGGGCAATGGTCTCGAGATTAGGTAGAACACCACTCGTGGCTCGACCTGCGTCGTTCCAGAACATGTGATCTGACATGCAGTCTACCCCACAGTGCTTCCTTACGGGCCAGGTACGCGTTTCTAGACTACTCGGTACGACTTCCATGCCACTTGCACCTGCCTGTTTTGAACCCAGGCAAACCCATTCTGCGGGCGGACCAATTAGGAACTACGCTCCGCTAGCGCGTCTCCGCAAACCTTCCCCAGATCGCCTGATCATCCCGACACCGAGGCTCTTGGTTCTTCAAAATCATCATGCACGCAACAGGACCCGTTACCATGGAGCAGCCATCTCAAAAACGAGTATCCAAAGCGTGCGACGCGTGCAAAAGGAGGAAAGTGCGTTGCAACGGGCAAACGCGCTGCCAGCAATGCGCCCATCTCGGTTTGCGGTGCATCTACTCACCGTCCGGCAAGCAAAGGTCTCAGGGCAAGAGAGGCCATATCATCTCCGAGTTCAGAAATCAAACGTCCAGCCAGCCAGCCATATCGCCGCCAATACTGCCTGCTCATTCAGGAGCAGCCAGCTTCCAGACGCCATACAGCCCCATCTCGCCAATACTTGACCGCAATGGAGGCACGCCGAGTATGTCGCGCTGGTGACTTCAACCCCAATGGAAAATACTGCTGCTGACTCAGGGCAGCATCTCCCTCGCCATCATTCACATCGCAGTACACTAAAGCTTATTTTCTCGACCTTATCCCGGATTACGTCGATGGGGTGTATCCCGTACATCCGGTCATTGCCGAATATGAGCTCAGACAATACATCGAGGTCATGGACAACGATCCAGACGTTCGCTCATTCATTTTTGCTTTTGGCGCTTGTACGCTGAATCTTACGCGCTATGGTGATCGCAGAACAGATGAAGTCGTTCAAACGATCGAAAGTCTTATGGACTACTCGGTTGATACTATGAGGCGAACCCACAAACATTGTCAAGTTTCTGTTATGCGAGCTGTGCAGTCAATGTTCATACACAACTGCCTCATGAGTCTATCAGGTAGCGACAGCGCATTCTACTACATGCGCGACGCCATTACAATCATTCAGCTCCTGCGGATAGACAACCCAGAGAACGTGTCACAGCTAGCTCCTCCTGAGCGATCTCGAAGACAGCGGCTGTATTGGCAAGCGTACATACACGAGCGATTTCTAGCTATATTGGACTACCGACGAGCTATTCTGCCTCCGCTCTACACCCTGCCAGAAGACGACCCGACACTTCCGATACAGATTCACGAAGGCTTCAATCAAATTATCAAGCTTTTCCGCATGCTCGACACAGAATTTCTAGATAGCTGGCTTGGCTCGCAAGGAGGCGGCGTGACGAGCACCTGGGTTGAGGCCAAATCGCGCGAGCTTGAAGGCGACCCCGAAGCCGATGCACGAGAGTTGGCCATGCTGTCCATGATGCAAAGGGCCGATTTGTGCATCACCCGTGAGTGGCTGCGCACTTTGGTCTGGCGCCTGGCTATGAGCCAGACTCTCCTATCATCCCGCTCTTCGAAAGAGTGCTTGTCGCTCTTATTCCCGGTACGGCTGTCACAGACACTACGGCAACAACTATCAAGCATGTCGCGCCAGGACATTGAAGTACACGGAAGCAGCATCACCCAAAAGCTTTTCGAAATCACAGACACCATTGCCGATGTCCTGATCCATGTCCCCGCGGCAACCATCGATGAAACAGCACTACGGGTTGACGATTTCCTTTTCATCCTAGACTTTGTCTTATTGATTCCACATCTTGATCAAACACGGCGCGGAATTTTGCAAGAGAAACTGTTACGGCTCCAAACTATGTTCCCTGAAGCGCTCAGCAACGCTAGTTCGCCGAACCTACCGCACGATGTGAATAGTCCTGGTGGTGCGAATGACCCTTGGTATCAAGTCACGCAGTCGAAGACAGCTGCAGGGTTAGAAGATTTAGCCGACGAATTGGTGCAGAATCAGACCCAAGAGATCCCGAGATCGGAGGCGAGAAGCGGTCAATTGGCTACTTGGAACAACATCTCCCATCGCTTGTCGATGCAGGTCGCTCATGTAGCTCAGTGAATTGTAGCACTAATCTACTTGTTCCGATGATACCATCTATGCAAGTAAATAGATCCTGCCTTCGAAAGCAGCCAACTTGTTCTCCTCACAATCATCCACACTACTAACAAGCAAATTCAACTTCTCGTTCCTCACACTCTCCGGAAGCACCAAATCCCTCGTTTGGTCCGTGAAGTTGCAGATACATACCGCCCTCTTCTCATTCCACGTCTTGGTAAAGATGAAGAAATTCGGGCTCTCCACGTCCAGATCGTCGTACTGACCATGTACAAGGACATCATTGTGCTGCTTGCGTACTTGCAGCATGCGCTTCCAGAAGGCAAGCACGGAGTTCTTGTCTGTTTGTTGTTGTCTGGCATTGCATACGTCGGCATCTTCGAGGGGTCGCATCCAAGGTTTTGCTGCAGCATCCGGCGGCGAGAAACCATTGTGTGGCTCAGTAGACCAGCTCATTGGCACACGAGCATGGTCCCTAGCGAGGTGCTGAAGCGATTTGTGCGCCTCTTCGAGGGCAGCAGGATCGTTCTTCGTCCGTGCAGCTACCATCTTGTAGTAGTTGGTAGATTCGACGTCTTTGTACTCGCTCAGATCCCAGGTTAGAGGGAAGTTCGTCATGCCGATCTCTTGGCCTTGGTAGATGAACAATGTGCCGCTGAGTGCTGCCATCATTAATGCAAGCATCTTGCCGCCTGCTACGCGATGTTCAGGCGCATCAGAGGTGAAGCGTGTGATCGATCGGCTTTGGTCGTGGTTCTCGAGGAAGGCAGTGGTCCAGCCATCTGAAGGGGGGCGGATGAGATCTTGTGTGCGGGCCACGGCACGCTTGAATTGTGGGAGAGTCCAGTTCCCGGGTGTGGTTTGGAATTTGTAGGGACCTTGGCCTACGTCGACGACATCCTGCAAGACTCATTAGTTGCTGAATTCACTTAGAATTTTGCTGTATCCGCGTTTGCTTACGAATTGAAAGACCATGTTTAGTTGCTTTTCTTTCGCGCTGACGTATTCTAGTACTCTCTTCATATCGAGTGTGTGTGGACATTCGCCAACTGTCATGGCATCGTATTTCTCTAGGATTTGGTTCATCTCGTTCAGGAACTCCGCCATTCTTGGGCCGTTGCAGTACTGGTACCCAGCAAACTGCCACTCGGACCCAGGATCGGTAATTGGCGCGTCCAGCATTTCACCCTTGCTGTACATGTTGACGGTATCAACGCGGAAGCCGTCGACACCGCGCTTTAACCAAAACTCCATGGCAGACTCGTAGATGGCTTTTCGGGTCTCCGGGTTTTCCCAGTTGAGATCAGGTTGCTCGGGACAGAAGAGATGTAGGTAGTATTCTTGGGTATGTTCATCCCATTCCCATACACTACCTGTAAAGTTGGAGATCCAGTTGTTGGGGGCTTTCCGCTGGCCATCAACGTAACGAGCCGGTCTCCAGATGTACCAGTCTCTCTTGGGGTTATCTTTTGATGACCGTGACTCTTGGAACCATTTATGCTTCACCAAGTCAGCTTTGCGTGAGTTGTGATTGAGATGTCAGTCGAGACGTACCTGGTCAGACGTATGGTTGACTACCAAATCTAAGATAATCTTCATGCCTCGCGAATGTGTCTCGGCAATCAGTCTCTCCATGTCTTGGACGGTACCATACGGTCTGTACACATCCTCATAGTCACGGATGTCGTATCCCACTAAGTCGTAGCACGCGAAGTTAGCGCACGCTTCACGTGCAATCTATAGAAAGATGTTGCTTACTGTCGACTTGGGGTGAATCGTACATAGGACATATCCAGATGACGTCAACACCGATGGAGCGGATGTAGTCCAGCTCCGAGATGATACCGTTGAGGTCACCAATGCCATCACCGTTGGAGTCTTTGAAGGAGGCAGGGTATATCTGATATACGACACCATCCTTCCACCAAGGCCTTTGGGGGACGGTCATTGTGTTGCTATTGAAATATCGTGTTATTCGTAAAAAGCCTGGCTACCTAGGTATGGTAGAGATAGCACGTAACGTCAAAGAGAGTAGGCGTTTCTTCGGTGGCTTACAATGGTGCCAGTAGCTTCCTTATAAACGTGTCGCGGTATGGATCTTATCAGATGGAGGAAGTTGTCGTTGAGGTCTAATCAGTGGATTCTGGCGCACGTGGAGGTCCGGAAGAACTCTCGGCAGGATTTTTCGAGTGCACATTCGCCGAACCTCGGACCGGCTGCTAGAGATGGCGATCCCCACACAACTGAATACCAGCTTCCCCACAGATGTTTTCCATCGCATGCGATTTCAACGGTCTCTCCCACGTATCCAACAATGCGGGAAGTAAGCGAGGACGGGCGCGGGGACATAGTGGATACAGTCTATCGATTCATGCGTACCGACTGTTAGCCAATCAGAGTTTTCAATGAAGCCCTGAGGAATGCACCAGCGGGAGCGCAAACTTGCCACTAGCATCAGAACAAACCTTTCCCGACCGGGAAATTCTCACCACACATGATAGGCTCTCCTAAAATATGGCTCGTGCCCTGCAATTTCGCACCGACACCTGTCGAATCAGTGCGTGTTCATGTTCTTCGTGTCGGCGTTTCTCTCCCGCTATAGCTAGCCTTTCAAGCCATGTCCTAGGGGGAGGGTTGCGTGAAGAAGATGGCCTCGACATTTGCAAGAGTGGCGTCTCTCCCCGCATCCTCTGGTTCAATCCACCATCCCCGGCTTCTGACTTGGCACGAGTTCAACCCATACATGGGTTCCGCGTGTCTGGAGTCGTGAAGTTATATAAGTAGAACGATAAGATCCATTACGAGAGATCACCATCCAGCTCCGAGTCCCACCAGCTCCACGTTCAGGGGAGATCTGGGTTTGACCCACAGTATCCTACTTCATCATTTGAATATACCCACATTTGTCAATCTACTTCGATATCGTCTCGTTCTTCGACACGGCCACCATGTCTCGCCGCAACAGCAGTGTCGTAGCTATCGACTCCGAAAAGGCACGCCGCCTATCACTCGCTGTCCCGGACATCAAACAGGTTGCCCACGATGCCGGCAACGCAACTCGATCAGAGCAGCAGATGACCTTGCGACAGGGTATCAAGTTATACCCAAAGGCCATCGCCTGGTCGGTCCTGCTCTCCGCAGCCATCATTATGGAAGGCTTCGACAAAGTCTTGATCGCCAATTTGATGGCAGTTCCTGCTTTTAAGCAAAAGTTTGGCGTACAGCTCGCCAATGGCACCTTCGAACTCACCGCCGCCTGGCAAGCTGGCCTGACAAATGGTGCATACGTCGGAGAATTTACAGGTCTCCTCCTGAACGGTCTCATTGCGGATCGTTTCGGGTACAAGAAGACGATGATCGGTGCGCTATTTGCCGTCAACTTCTTCATCTTCATCGTCTTCTTTGCACAGAACATTGTCATGCTCCTGTGTGGTCTCATCTTGTGTGGTATTCCATGGGGTGTCTTCCAGACCTTGACCTGCACCTACGCCGCCGAAGTCGTACCGGTTCCGCTCCGCCCAATTCTTACAACATACGTCAACCTTTGCTGGGTTATCGGTCAGTTCCTCGCCTCAGGCGTTCTCAAGGGTGTAGCCGAGCGCCCCGACCAATGGGCATACCGCATTCCATACGCCCTGCAGTGGCTCTGGCCGCTCCCGTTGATGATTGGTATCTCGTTCGCACCCGAATCGCCGTGGTGGCTTGTACGAAAAGACCGCTACGATGAAGCGAAGAAGATGTTGATGCGTCTGACGTCGCCCGAGAAGCTGCCGGACTTCAACGCCGACGAGACCATTGCTATGATGCGTCACACCAACGCCATGGAAATGGCAGTATCTGAAGGTACTTCATACTTGGACTGCTTCAAGGGCACTGATCTTCGACGAACCGAAATTGCTGCCATGGCGTGGTTTACACAGGCTTTCTGCGGAGCAGGCCTCATTGGTTATTCAACATACTTTTTCCAGCAAGCAGGCCTTAGCGACGCGGATGCCTTCTCCATGAGTCTAGGACAATATGCGATCGGTGGAGTTGGTGTCTTCATGGCCTGGATCTTGATCCAACGTGTAGGACGCCGCACTTTGTATGTTTACGGCGATCTCGTCATGGTCGTGCTGTTGTGCATCATTGGAGGTCTCGGCTTCATTCCAGCTGGAAACGTTGGTGCGCAATGGAGTATCGGCGCTATGCTTTTGCTTTTTGCTGCCGCATACAACTGCACAGTTGGACCTGTCTGTTACTCCATCGTCGCAGAAATCCCATCCACCCGTCTTCGCCAAAAGACAGTCGTCTTAGCGAGAAACTTTTATAACTTCGGTTCCATCATCGGCAACGTCATCACCCCACGTATGCTCAACCCTGGTGCTTGGAATTGGGGCGCAAAGAGTGGCCTCTTCTACGCTGGAACTTGCTTCTGCTGCTTCATCTGGGCGTTCTTCCGTCTTCCTGAGCCAAAGGGCCGAACTTACGGTGAGCTCGATCTTCTCTTCGAGAAACGTATTCCCGCTAGGAAGTTCAAGAGCACAGTCGTCGACAGCTTTCATGTTAGTGATACCGAAAGCGACTATGCTGAAAAGAAAGGCGTCTCGACACATCTTGAGCAGGTCGACTCTAGAGATGCTGCTTGAGTAGTTTTGGGGGTCGCATATAAGACTTGACGATTTGTGTATATTATGTTTGATGAGTTTATTGATATGTCGTATATAGAGGATATTGCTTCCGTGTGAATAGAACATGCTCAGTCGTATTCCAGTTTGCTATAATCTCATGCGTCTTCATGTTTCGGTGCAGCAGTAACATACGATAGTTTGTTTTCGGGACAGAAAGCACGGGTGCTCGCCAGGATACCAGTTACGGCCCGATCTGAGTGTGGTTCGATAGTGGGGTAGGTAGCTCTTGCATCCTCGCTTACTCTCCCCAAGCACAACGTGGCGTTCTCTCTCATCAATGTAGGTGAGAAATTAGCAGTGCGGGTCCAGACTGCGTCACATCACAACCGGGCAATTAGTCATCATTCATCGCGATGCCAAATGTTGGGAGACCCTCTCCAGGATGCAAGACTTGTAGGGACAGGAGAATCAGGGTATGTAGCGCACCTACGATCAGGGTGTCTAGAGTGCTGACTTGTTGTTGAAGTGTGACCAGAAGCGACCCTCATGCTCACAATGTGTTCGCGCAGGCAAAGAGTGCCATGGATACCGGGACTTGGTTTCACTGATGTTCAAGAATGAAAGTCATGTCGTGGCGAAGAAGGCAGAAAGGCGCTACGAGGAGCTTGCCAAATCAAAAGAGCCGGCAACACCTTCGAGACGTGGAGAGCCCGCAAAGATTAGAAGCATGCAAAGAATGTATCCGGTGCGGATACCGCCAAAGGCTGAGGTGGTTGTGCAGCCTACGCCAAACGTCGAAGCGCGAGCCCAAGGCTACTTCCTTGCCAACTACGCAGGCACTGCCGACTTCCCTCAAGGAGGCCAGTTCGATTGGATCCCTCAGCTCTTATCTCGACCGGATGTCGAGGGTACTCTTCGCGAGAGCTTCCGAGCACTAAGTCTAGCTGTCTTCTCCAATGCAGTGAAGTCTCCTGCCGTTATGCGAAAAGCGCGCATTGCATACGTGTCCGCCTTGGAGGAAACGAACAGAGCGCTCTCCTCGCACGAAACTGCCATCAAAGATAGCACAGTAGTGTCCGTCGTTTTACTCGGTATGTACGAGGGTGCGATATACACGGACAAGAGCTCCATAGCCAGATGGTCAAAGCACGTCAGCGGCGCTTACACGCTCTTCATGCTTCGCGGAAAGTCACAGTTCGAGACAGAACTCGGGCGGCAGATCTTTCTGCAGTCCTACGGCGTTGCGTTATTTTTCACGCTTGAGTTGGGAACCAGTATTCCCAGTTAGTAAAGCCCCTGTATGAACTGCGTCTGAGACATGCTAACTTCATAAACCAACTTTTAGAGGGGTTGAAAGAGTTGTATGACCAAATTCCTACAGGCGGAGGATTCCTCGAGCTTGGAAAGAAGTTCATGATCAGCATGCTGAACACCATGCACGCTGTTGTCAAACTCAACCAAGACAAAAGCCATGATCCTGTCGAAATAATCAACAAGGCTAGGAGACTCAACCAAGAGCTAGACGAGATCAAGGCTCTCTTACCTGTAGCGTGGCATCCTAAAAGGGTTCGTCTCACCGCACGTTCGAATCACTACTGTGGAAATCTGTACACCCTCTGCCTCCATCCCGTCATAACGCAGATGTGGAATTACACGAGGTTTCTGGGGATACAGATACACGAAATCATAAGGATGAATCTGGGGAGGGTGTATGAGGAACATCCGCCACTACGTTTCGATGCTGCTTCTCTAAAATTATGCATACAACACGAGGAGGATATGCTACGGGCCAACGTTGCGGCAATCATTGCTGCAGTACCCCAGACCACGGGTATGGTACAATCACCTACATCTTTCGCAGTCGATTTAACGTCCGAGGAGGACGAAGCTGTCATAAGAGACCCGGGTACCTTTATTAATTCAGTCGTTTCGCCGAGGTTGATGCAACTCATACAGCCACTGTATGCCGTGGGTACGTGTGTACTCATTACGCATGATATGCGGGAGTGGATCATTGAGATCCTTCATTTCGTGGCGTTGAGAATAGGGTCAAGACAGGCGGTCGTACTCGCGGCTGAGCTACAGGGATTGCAAGAGGCCGCACCAACAGTAGCGCATGATTGTGAAGATATAGCTGAGTGGATGACCTTGGGCTCTGGAGTAATATAAGAGTAAATAAGCGGCACAGCTAAGGAATTGTCTTGACAGCTCTTCTCTTCTAATCCATCTCGGGAAGAGAAGTAACAATATTGATAGGAGAAACGAGTCTCAAGACTCGTACTGAGACGCGACTTTGCATCCATCTTCGAGCAAAAGCGTGCACACGGAAATCATTTTTCAGGGTCTACAAGTCCTTCTTCTCTTCATTCCTTCCAGGTTCACCAAATCCCACCCGTGCCAGAAAAGCCAGCCTCACCAACCCTGCAAATACTGTAATTCCGATACTTCCCCAATCCTCCGCCCTCCACGTCCCTACACTTAGTCTCCCCTGCTTGGCCAAAACTTCCCACACCGCCCAGTAGTATGCCAAATCGACAACGAAGCAAGACAACTGGACGATGCGCCAAACATTCATGTCGGGCGTGTATCGTAGTAGGACAGCGGATATGATGCCAAAGTTTAGCATGCCGCCACCGCGTTGCTTCAGGATCATGGCATGGCCGATGTCTGGGGTAGGAGAGGGGATATGTGACGATAAGACAGTGGTGGGCATGAAAAAGTCCATGGTTGCGCCCCAGGCGCAGATTATGGGGTCAACATAGGTGAAGAATATGCGATAGAAGGCGGGTATAGAGGGTGACGTGGCCTGAGACATGATTGCGGCTTGCTGAACTGAACTATGTCTCAAGATGTCGAATACGAGTACAGAAGCGTCTTTACACGACCGCGGAATGCAGGGCGTCTATCGAGACTAGTGATAATGTGCGTAGTGGTGTAGATGGAATGTGCAACGCGAAGTGTCCTTTGTGTTAGAGCACATGTCAGCTTTGCGTCCCGCGTCAGTCGCTCTAACTGCTTCAGTGCTGTGCCGCTATGGTACCGCGGAACAAGTCGCTTGTGATTAGACTCGTATACCAACAAACCTGTAGTGCAGTTAGGCTCCACCGTAATCCTTCAGCTTCGATCTTTCCTTCGCAGTGATGTAACATGCCGACGGCCACGGTAACGCAGCGCTCTGCCGCCTGTACCTGCCTAGATGTCATTCCCCGTCGCTCACATAAGCGTATATTCTGCCTACCTTCTTCCATCAACTTCAAAGGCAGGATAACAATCTACACAATCTGTCGAGTCCCAATCCGAACTGGCCCTGTGCGCTGGTACCTAGCGTGTCTACCTACGCAGGTAGCTAGCGCGAATCACTACGATGTTGGACACCTGAGGTGTCGTCACGCCAGGGCCCAACACTGCAGGTGGAAGCCGTTGCGTACTTCCACGCCTCGCAAACTCTTATCCACTCCACAGACGAACTTGCCGCGCAGCTCACCTTTGGGGGTTTGTCTCAACTTGTGACAAAACTTCATGGTTGTTCGATCTTCATTGTTGCTCTTCTGGGGCCGTTCCGCTTCTTTCGCTCGCACGGCGGTTACTCGAAATCGCTGAATGGACGCGTCGCAAGTCTGCCCCGCCCCATTCAATAAAGATATTCCCGAGAGCCATCTACGAAACGTGGAGCCTGGATTGTATGGCAGAGTTCACGCGCTCGTCATAGCTCGACGTGCAAACGGTGAGCCTGCTTGTGCGAGCGGGCTTCGCGACTCGATCTAACCTTGGAAACGCGATAGAACTACGGTATGCATCCATCAACGACGGCATGCGCCCGACATCTGAACGCTCCCACAGCCACGAAAACCGTCGCTACTGCTAGTGCACTGCGCAGTGCAGCCTCGCGCAAAAAATATGCCCCCTCCTAGGCCTGCGATACAAGGCCCAAGGCATCCTCAACAAGGTGAATATCGTTGGAGTGTGCCATGCATGATGTACATGTTTATGCGGTCAGAAGCTTAACTAGAAGCGTATTACTCCTTTCACTCCAGTCAGCCTTATAACAGTTTGAGGTTCAGCCATTGACGGGCGCCGCGAAGGCTGAGCCAGAGTCCAAGCCAACGTCAACTCTGGCTGCTCCACCATCACGGACCGATATTGCCTGCAGCCTTAGGCAGCTCTATTGATTCGCGATCATGTTGATTGTCCCTGGCTGCGAGCCTGCTCGCGTACAGCTTCTCGGCACGCATTCGGGTTTGCATTGAGATGGCATTCCTGTTGCAACCTGGCACCTGGATCACGACCCTCGCCTCCGCTGCGGTGCGCGAACGCCGTGCCTTGCATTATCACCCCAACTCATCCTGCGATAGCTGTGCTCGACCATTTAGCGGCCTTTCTGAGATTAAGGTCCGGCGGCAAAACGAGATAATTCTCTGGAGAAGGCAATTCCTTGATCGTCGGCCGCCCCTAATTTAACCGTGTCAGGTTAAAGCATTCATCGCTTCGCCTCAAACAGACTGGGCATTCGGTCTACTGATGCAATGCCATTGGTGTACAACAAAGAATGCTCATGAATAAGTGGGTATTATGACAGTTATGCTGCCCGAAAGCAGGTGATTGATGCGATAAAGACACCAATGTGCACGGAATTGCGGCAAATGTCCGTCGTGACCCTACCACACTCGCTCTAGTAAGCCAGGCAGTACTGCGGCGTTGACAGCTTTCCTCCACTACTTTCGGTTCTCCCCGAGCAAGCCACATCCGCTTTACACGTCTTAATGCTCTACGGCACGGAAGGCCTACTCGTTAAGCGCCGTCGTGAGATGGAGGACATGTTCTGCCTACACGATGGATCAGCTAAGATGGTGGCGTGGAGCTGGGGGAGTTGGATTGATATATAGCTCCTCACTAGGCATTTAGTATGAAATTACCTCGAAACGAAGGTTCTTCATGTCGGCAGAGCAATTCTCGAAGCTCTCTCTAGGAGAGGACATGGTTACAACTCGTGCCGGGGCCGCAAGGGCAGCAAGAGCTAGTACACAGTCATCGGGGCACTCCGACCAAGACCAACCCCTACCGTCAGTCGAGTCTACCGTTTCACCTACGCCTTCTCTGGTCATATCAACGAAAAATCTTCATTACAATGTCTCAGCTTTCGATTCTGACCTCCGAAGGCGAGCCAAGAAAGGACTGGAAGGTAGCGATATCAGGCTGAAATACTGCGCAGTCTCGGAAGACGAGTACAGCCCGGGTGGTAGTCCAAAGAAGTTCTTTCATCTTGAGGACGATATCACGGTAGCGATGGGTGGAAAGCTAAGAAGGCCCGAGTGTACGTGTGGCGCCAATGAGAAGGGTCTCGCGTGTAAGGTACGACTACCAGTGCATGGCGATTGAAACATAACTAAAAGCAATCCAAAGCATATTTATTGGGTCGGAGATCAGATCATCTCAACTTCTCCAGATGACATGGTGAAGACACCTCTTCACCTTTCACCCGACGGATCGAAGATCGAAGACGTGAAGCCCGCGGAAATACTAGACTCCAAAGGCTTAGCCAACATCGCCAACGACCTGAAGTGGGTTTACCGAGACGACGACCTACCTGAAGACGACGACGACTTGAGGGAGACAGTCATCGATATGTTCTCATGCTTTGAGCCCCAAGATGCGCTTCCTGGAGAGTTTCGATATCCTGAATCTCCCTTGACCTCGGAACGATCAAAGAAGTATCAAGAGCTCACAGATCTCTTCACACAGTACGCGAGTAGGGACCCCAGCTTGTACCTTCAAATGCGCAAGATCATCGACACAGACTTTGAAAGCCGTGTCTTCTTCGAGAAGATCGACAAGCGCATCGCGTTGACTTTCGACGCTTTGGACGAGTACATAGCCAAAGGGCCTAAAACTCTCTCTGAAGGCCCACCGCGGTTCGATGTTTCCAGTTGCGCAGAGAAATTGACGTCGCTAGTGAGAGCCATTGACGACTTCTACCATCGCCAAGCTGACGTCGAGGATGTGGCTGCACGATCAGCGGCTGCTCTTGTCACGATTCTTGACCGCGTCACAGATCGCAATGTGAATGCATATGAAGGTATCCAATGGAGTGGAATGGAAGCTCTATCAGACCCTGTCCAAAGCAACCTGTACGTTGCACTGATTGGAGCACAACCAGATGAAGATCATCAGTTCGTTCTCGACACGCTCGGGTCTTTACCACAGGAAGACGTATATCGTAACCATTGGACAGTGTTACAGGATATCGAACACAAGCTGACTGAGGCTCATGCGCCTGCTTATTACATGACCTCTTTCCGCAATATCGTCTACGAGAGTCGCAAGAGACCGGGGTCGGCGGTACGCGAACGAGAGCCGAAGCGGGCGATGCAGTGATCCCGACCGGGAGACAGTGTATCTTGCGGTCAAGGCAACCGTTGAGTGGATGGGAGTGTTGCTCCGTTACGAGCTTGCTTTTTGTATCGGCGTTGGCGGCATTTTGCATTTTTTCCATTCCTTTCTTTGTGGCATTCTTCATCATTTAATACCTTCATGTCTTTCCTTACGATATTACGGCTTTGTGCAGCGCTAGCTGTTATTTTCTTCTTCTTCACTCAAGGTCGCTGGACTTCGGTCTGTCTTCGCTGGACTTTGTTTTGTTATCTTCTCTCTTCTTCAAGACCACCCGACTTCGGTTCGTCAATGACCGGATGATTTTGACTCGATTCACTTCTTTGCTTTCTTTTCGGCCAGTTGCTCACTGGTCTCCTATACGGATACACTCGGTGTGCCCTTTCGCTTCTTTACACTCCTTGTATACATAGTTTGAGCAACATATTTTACGCTACGTGTTACCGTTAGCATTGCACGCTGCAAAACATGTGCGTCTGAACATAGTGCGAAGTCGAAGGAGCACGTCCCATAGTCTGATATAGCATGTTGAGACATTCTCGAGTATGTTCGGTATTGAGTAGTAAACCCAAAGCGACGAAGCGTGACGCCCAGGCTGCAAATATCAGCTGATACGAGGCTCCGTATCCGTACCCTGCCAAGCTCCGACATATAGAGAGATTCCGCGGAACTGGGAGCGTGGCCGACGGCGGACTGACTCGAACCAACACCAGGGTGCACGAAGTGGGCCTGGCGCATTTTCTAGTTGAGCTTCGTATGCCGTAGGCTTTCACATGTCGTCAAGTGCGGTCGGAAGTAAACATTTATGTGCTATGAGCTTGACGCACCTGCAACGTTAGGTGCACAAAGAGATCTCTGTCTGAATGTCGGAATACGTATCTCGTAGCATGCAAGATAACAAGTCGGCATCGGACATCTACTGGGGCCAATCAGGTAAGACTCAGCTAAATGTGGTACAACGACTCTGTCATCCATACGTGCAAGTGGCCGATGTATCCAGGCGCTAAGTTCATGGCGCACATCTGGCCTACACACGACGTTGCTCAGGTGGCTGTTGTTTTGTTGCGTGCATCTGGCCTCCGAGATAGTGGGCTGTTCGTCCGGTGTAGAATTCGAGATATCCACTCGAACTAGCGACAAACCTTCCGCTTCTGCTCGCAGCCACTGAATCAGCGCATATAACACTTGTTGTAAGCTCCCCGCAGTATGCGACATCTTACAGATCATGGGTTTGTCAGATGTTCCGCCGTCTCCGCATATCATAGGCATGCATTCGAGTCCGGGCACAACACGCAGACAAGGTGGTTGTGTGTAGTACACACTCGTCTCAAAAAGGCTCTGAACAGATGCAGCGATAACAGAGGAATCAGCCGTCAAGTTGCATAGCGTGTGAATGGGATGACCGAATACACATGTAAGTGAACAAGTCGAGGGATCGAAGTGGCAAGATAGCTCGTACTAAGCTTATGCTAGCTAGGAACTTACCGTGTCCGCGTTGACCGTGATAGACGTTGTGGACACCTGAGGGTGGGTCGAGAGCTCGATTGCGGGGAGTGCAGCGACTAGGCTCGAGATGCATTTGGATCTGGTTGGATGGCAGGTGAAAGGGCCGCGCATGGCTCTGCCACGGACTGCGGGGAAAGAGCGGAGCTAAACTGCTTTCAGTATTGGCGCAGATGGGCATCCTTTGGCAAGCGCAGCCAAGACGCTCGCTGTTGCTTCCATATTACTCTCTTGTCTATCGTCCCTGTTTCTCTCCGTTTCAACCTTCTTTCCTTGAACAGTTGCACCAAAGTGTCCTGCTAGTCCACGCTATCCAACGCGATTCCCTTGCGGACGTAATTCGCTTATCACGCCATCAACCCCCGCTGACGTACTCTATCTCGGAGACCCTGTCTGTGCGCCTAGCGACATATCAATCCTCCCACCCCCCTTGCTTTACGCACCCCATCCTGATTTGTTCTATGCATACAACCCCCAATCCAATTGACCTTCTTGTACACACTTTAAACCTCCCTTACATTTCGCTGTCGCCTTCATCATGTCCTCCAACGGTCGAAACTCGCCGCCACTGCCTTCGCCGGGTACTCGCCGACGTGCTTCAGTGACTAGCCAGACCTTCCAGGACCTATTCGGCCGGTCAAGCAGCTATGTAGGCCAGCAACAGCCCGCCTCGGGCCCCATCACCACAGCAGCTGCCAACGCCCAGCGGCGGCGGCTCTCACTCACCACCATCGGCCTGGGTGCCTCACCTGGCCAGACATCACCCTTCCTCCAGACGCCGCGAACCCGAACCGAGAGCATCTCCAGTGCCAACTCCGGTTCAGTCGACGAGAACCCATTTGAGGATGATTACGCCCTTTCTACATCTGCTAGCAGCAGCAACCCAGCCACACCCTTTGCTCGACGGCTGAGCTTCGGAGCTCGTGCGATGCGGGATGTTAGGCAGAGCAACGGAGGCGTTGGGAACCCAAATGGTAGACCACCCATCCATAAAGCTTCCTCTCCCCCGACTGGTCGAGGTCGAGGTCTGTCTTCATTGTCACAGTCATTGCCCTCTTCCGCTACCCTGCTTCGTCCCTTTACACATGCACATTCGCGGCGATCTACTTCCATATCACACATCTGGCCTTCCACCATTGCAGAGCAGTCCGAGAATATACTGGGAAACTACTCGCTAACGTCGTCTTCAACAGGCGAAGGTTACAATTTCGCTGAGAACCTCCGATCGCGAGCCGAGCGAGGCTCCATCTCCGGCCCTAGCGGAATGCTGAGTCCTTCTGCTCCAACACACCAGCGTGCTAAGAGTGTCACAATAATGGAGCCACCTGCCCGCGAGATCCCGAAGCCCAAGGTTCCCGATGCTATGCAGGAGCGGATCCTCAAGGGCGACTTCTACATGGATTAGTCTCTGTATGTACCTTGATGTTTTGAATCTCCGGTAGGTGGTCTGAAAAGTGTCTTTTTCTCTGTAATGACTGACGTCCCCGGTTTGCAGGACCATCTGCTTTACAGATGAGACGTCAGATCATGCCACGATCGTGTATCAGTACTCTAGCGCTTACGAAACCAAATCGAACCTTGCCTACCCCAGGACTACTTCCACCTGGCTTTTGTATCGCTCATGGCCATGAGCGATGGAAGAACCACAAAGACGGCTTTAGTGGAATTATCCTGGCATGCATACGTTCAGTAACGGCGATTCCTGGACTTGGCCCTATTGTGTTCTTGGTAGCATCTTCACATGCGACTATCATTGCTGGAAGTATGCACCCCACAATCGTTTCCACCGGCGTCGCTCCTTTTCGATTTGGACCAAACAACTGCACAGCATATACTTTGCTACATTTCACACGAGCACTTCAATTATGTACTTCATATTCTTCCAGTACACGCGTACAGGTGCGATGAAGGAATGGATCAAATTGTCATGCTCACGCGATGAGACTTTATCAGGTGCAGCAAGGGGTTCAGAGTTTAGGAGACATATTGCGCAGCGTGGGAGGTCAGAGTACTCGGTACGAAACATTGTACCGAAACAAATTGTAGATAGCAGAGCAGTCCAGTGCAGCATCATACAAAGAAACAGCACAATAATCAAATTACTGTGTGCATCCCTCGCGTGTGATGGTGTGTTGGCACGCGTCATGAGTTCCACTTCATGTTTCAAGTAAACTGATCGGCATTGGGTTGTACGCGTGTAGGAAGGTGGAATGTCGAATGTCGATCGTTAATTCCCCTCCGGCCGGTGACAAATGTACGTGAGGTAATGCACATCCTGGAGTAGTAAGGAGAGATTGAAACTATGTTATCGCTCTAACAGCTCTACCGACGCTCCCAGTCTCAAAAAGCTCAACCAGCCCAGCGCCTAGACATTCCTCCAAAACCCAATCAAACCTCATCCCATAAAAGGTTTTCCACTTCTTCGTTCGCCCAGGTAGAACGCCCGCAAACTCTCCTCTCAATCTCTTCCTCTCCGCTTTGATATCGTTGGCCGTTACGCCACCGTCCCACCGCTCGCGGAGGACATCAAGCGGCATCTCCTTATGCTTGGTCTTCTTCAACAGAGCGAGAAGGTGGTTCCGTGCATCGATCAGTAGCTTGATCTGCGTGCCCATGTTGGGGAGCGAGAAGTTGTATTGTGATGCTACAGAAGGACGCGATCTGGATCCTCCGTGTATATGCTGGGTAGCTTGTGTGCCACCGACTGCATCTAGAGAGCCAGCTGCGTGGCGGGAGCCGGACGTAGAAACGGCGAGAAGTGAACTAGCGCCTGGTGAGGCGAAAAGGGAAGTGTTGGATGGGTAATTTGAGGCTGAGGTAAGGAAACCGAAAGTTACTAAAGCGGAGAGCTCAGGAGATGTAAAGGTTGTGCCAGGGATGGATGTGGACGTTGGATTGGCGTTCATGGCTGCTATGTATTTCGCTGGTGCCATGTTAGCTAATACACGCCTGGTTTAATGGGTTAGATTGTTTTTACCTTTTAGATCTTCTGGTAATTCGGCATGTGCCTGTACAAGGGCCTGCCACTCCCGCACCGAAGCAATACCGTCGCCCACAGCAGCAGCGCCAACACCACGATTCGGTATCGTGACCCTTCGCAATATACCTGCTTTTGCCAGCTCAGCAGTTTCTCGCTCATTTCGCGTCGAGGATATACCTAGAGCGTCGATGTGTGCTATTGTGACAAATGGTGGCAATCTTTTTCGGAAATTCAACACCTCTGCTATTCTGGTTGAATTCATGCCAGCCTTCTCTGGTAGATCGCTGAACATCCTGTTGCGGATATACTCCATGTACTGAGGAACATCGCGAAATTCAAGATTGTCGACTAGAGATGCTATTATTACACCAGTATCATCCAGTTGCTCATCGTCTTCAAAGGGAGTTGTAGTCTCGGCCGGTAACGACCGTCTTTTCTGATTCGCTGTAGAGGGTGACGAGGGCGTCCGTTTGAGGCCTAATGCTGCGATAGCGCTCCTTCTTCTGGGTTTGGTGATACGTGATGAATGTGCTGCTGTAGCCTGGAGAGACATGCTGACAGTTTCCTTCTCTTAGTTGACTCGACTTGATTGCTTTGATGGTAACGAGGCTCAGTCAGGCGAAAGATACTTGTTGTTGTTTAGGTGCAATGAAGAATTCAGAGTCATTGGCAGCGTAGGTAAGAGCATGTCTTGATATTGACGAATCAGGAAGTGGCAAACATGTGAGAGGCGGCGTTTAAGGCTTTGAGGCCGTCGCGGTGGGGCATGCGCCACAGAGTGTTAGCGTGGATTGGGTGTGAGTGAGCATCTGGCATGGAGCAGGAGGGGTCAAAGCGTGTAGCTTAGTTGCGTAGCAACAAAGGTCAAAGCGATTAACGAGCAAGCACTTCTTGCTTGGGGGCTCAGAGGGCAAAATATTGAGAGCGTCGGTTTTACCACTTGTACCTGTTCGAGACGAATGAAAATGCTCAGGACGGCGCCACAGCAGGCGTACGTCATTTCCACGCGCGGAACGTCAGGAAGCTCCAACACACGCTATACGCGCCAACAAAACCCTAAACATGCCCGTCCCGCCTATCCTACCAAGCATCTCTTCACAACTGCTCTTATTCCAGCCCGTCGCTAGCCATGTCGCTGAACCCCGAGCCCTCGGCGCCTGAAGAGCGGGCAGAGCACCATCTGCCGCCCAAGTCGTACGCCGACGCCGCCGAAGAAGCCCTGGAGCCCCAGCAGCCACAATCACATGCCAACGGCACCGACGGCACCATCCAACACAGTGGGAAGAAGCCAATAGGCAAGATTGATGAGGCAAAGACCAATGGCATCAAGACTCCCTCAGAAGAGGAGAAGACGTCACTCGAAGGCCTGGGCCAGGACGGCTCACCCAGGAGTCCAACAGTCAAAGGCCATCGTCGCGTCTCATCGCGCAACTCGCACGGGTCGCTCGGCCGCAAGCAGGGCGAGCAGGCACAGAACGGAATTCTTCATGAGAAGCACGCAAATGGCAACGGCGATGCGCTGACGAGTGTGAAGCCGCAGCAGGAGTTCCAAGTCGCCAAAGCAGACCGAAGAACCGACCTCAAGCGCAGAAACTCGGAGCTCACGACGGGACGACAGGCTGGTGCGGGATGGCACAAGAGCAAGTGAGTCGACCTGTACTCTGTTGAAGACGTATCGATACTGACCATGATAGAATACGATTTGCGCCTATGAACGTTCCCCTCCAACGCCGTCTTCAAACCCTCGCTGTCCTCATGCACACACTTAGCATCGTCGGCGGCCTTGCCATCTTCTTCTTCCTTTGCAGCATACCCCTGCTCTGGCCAATCCTCCTGCCGTATACCGTCTACGTCCTCTTCTCCAATGCTGGCACATCGGGCGAGTTATCCTTTCGCAGCGACCGCCTCCGCCGACTGCCCGTCTGGTCGCTCTTCGCTTCCTACTTCCCCGCGCGCCTACATCGCTCACAGGAGCTGGAGCCTACTAGGAAGTACATATTCGGCTACCACCCACATGGCATCATATCCCATGGCGCTTTCGCTGCCTTTGCAACTGAAGCTCTTGGCTTCTCCCAGCTCTTCCCTGGCATCACCAACGCCCTGCTGACCCTCGACTCCAATTTTCGCTACCCCATCTATCGTGAATACGCCCTCCGTCTCGGCATGGCCTCCGTGTCACGCGAGTCCTGCGAAAACATTCTCTCCAAAGGCGGCCCCAACAACGAAGGCATGGGTCGTGCCATTACCATCGTTGTAGGTGGCGCACGTGAGTCCCTCGATGCGCGCCCTGGCTCCATAAAACTCGTTCTCAACCGCCGCAAAGGCTTCGTCAAGATGGCCATACGCACCGGCGCCGATCTCGTACCTGTCCTCGCATTCGGCGAAAACGACGTATACGACCAACTCGACACCGATTCGCATCCCTACATACACAAGTTCCAGATGCTCGTCAAGAAGTTCATGGGCTTTACTGTGCCCATCTTCCATGCGCGGGGTGTCTTCAACTACGATGTAGGTATGATGCCGTACCGAAGACCGATCAACATCGTTGTGGGACGTCCAGTCAGGGTGATGCAGGATAAGCATCCGGATAACGACTACATCAACGAGATACATCAGCAGTACGTGGACGAGCTGATGCGAATATGGAATGAGCACAAGGACACGTTTGCCAAACACAGGACGGGTGAGCTCGAGATAGTCGAGTAGGCAGTCACTGAGAGGCTTTTCTTGTAACAATGGGCACAATACCGGTCTTTTCTTTGTATACTGAGCAAGGTGCTGGATCTTAATCAGGCATCGACCCTGGATGACGGGACCTTTGCACGGTCATGGACTTTTGATCAGCAAATTACAATGAATCAACTACATCCAAAATCTCTGTTTGACGTCCGCGTGATCCAGTCAAGTGTCGAGAGTCACCTCATGCAATAATTTGGGTAGCGCAGGTGTGCGTAAACTGGTGTTCAGATCTCTACATTGTTCGATTCTAATAACTACAAGGAAAAGAATTGCAAAGGAAATGACAACTTGTAATGTCAAAACTACAAATAACGCCACCCAACATTATACGTTCTCTAATTGTACATGTCCAGTCAACACTGACGACGACTCTTTGATCAATCAGTGGAGAAGTGACTGATGCGCGACGAAGGATGCGCATCTTTCCTATCCTCGTCTGTGGAAAACGCCTTCATCTTGTACTCCATGACTGTCGAAGAGACACCTTTACCCTTGTCGTTGCTGTTCCGTTGGCTAGTGGTGTTACTTCCGTTAAGGGTACTGGCGTCGGAAGCGCGGTTACCCATGCCACTCTCCACATCAGCACCATCTTTCTTTTCGTCCGAAGTAGCGTTGCAAGCACGTCCAGTGAACAGGTCCTCGGGGAAGGGGAACAAAGTGCGGCGCCTAGGCGGCGACTTCTTCGTGGCTGTCATCCATACCAAGGCCGTCACGTCCTTACCCAGCGCCTCGATGATGGGTGTGATGATGGGTAGACAGGCGAATAACACACCGTAGGATGTTATACCCACGATTGTCACGTTGATGCCGTAGCTGAATCCGCGACCAGCGAGCAGGACCATGAGCCAAGATCCGTAGGTCCAGAAGACAAGACCGTGGAGCAGGTAGATGGTGAAGACGTGGGGGAAGAGAGCCAAGAAGGGAGGTGTGGAGAGGACCCATTGGACGGCGGCGGAAAGCTCGACAATAGCTTGCATGCCGCCTGCGAAGAGCAAACCGTTGAGACGAGGTGTGTAGTACGGAGGGTATCCTGCCGAGTCTGTGTTGACGATGGGTTCGCCGGTCATGGGGTCAGGATGGATGCCGCGCTCAGCAGTCGAGAAGTTGAAGTCCGTGTCGACCCAGTTGGGAAAGATGTTGACAGCGAAACCGACGCCAACGCAGCACCAGAAGAATGTGATGGTGGCGTAGTAGGCCGACGGTCGCTTGTTAAGGAACGCTTTCCACTTGTAGGTTACGTCGAGATCGGTGAGGAGCAGACCGACCCAGAGGTATGTGCCCCAAGACTGAGCGTACCAGTGGTTGACTAGGCAGAAAGTATAGTAGCACATGCGCTTCCAGGGCGTCTTGATCTCATAGACAACAACAGCGCCAAGAAGCACGAGCCAGGAACCTTGAAGTTGGACAGCGATGGTCCAGAGTACACCGGTACAGTAGTGCAGTGTGATTTGTGGGACTGCGTTGGGGACGAGGAACATGAGTTCGAGAACCTCGGAGATGTACTGACCAAAGTTGTTGTAGCGGCTCACATAAGGCCAGGTCGACCACGTTAGGGACGGGATGTACTGCAAGAACTTTGTTGCGCCAACGTCGATGAAAAAGTACTCCAGTAGTGCCATGGCCGCAACAGGAATCATGAGACGAGGTGTACGACGTACAGCTGCCTTGGCGATTTCATCCATCTTGCCCTTGCGCAAGTACGGCGCAGTGAGGAAACGAACTGAGGTCGTGAAAAAGACACCAAGCCACATTTGGTTGAGCAGGAATGGACCGATAATTCTCTGTGCCCAGGGTTCAGAGGCATTGTGTGCGGACGCTCCAGGAGTGACGATGGCAGGGACAAAGGTAAGACCGAAATGCATCAGGGTGACCACAAGAGAGCAGAGGGCTGTCAAACCAGCAAGATGGTCGATACGTTGTCGCTGAGGCAGAGGCTGAGGGCGCATACGAGGTGCTGGAAGAGCGGATTCGGTGACAGTCTCCATTGTGATTTTGTCGTGTGGAGCAATCATAGGGACAGAGGTGGTCGTGGGGGCGCGTGGGTCCGACAGTGTCATCATGGACTCGTGTCCTCTTGATACTGCGGTGCCTGGGGATCGAGGATCTACCATGGTCAACATTGAGTCACCTCCCATTGAGATTGCGGTTCCTGGCATCGGTGGCATAGGTGCATATAGATCCTCGCGCGTAGTGTTGAAGTTGCTGTTGAAGGGAGTGGGGCCACGACTATCGAAGAGCATCGAGTTGGGTCTGGACAGGCCATCCCTGGGCGTAGAGCCTCCAAGAGTCGAAGTGCCGGGAAGCCTTTCAATAGCCATGTCATCATCAGTTGAGTCGCGCTTCACAGAAGCTGATGGTGTGTTGCGGTCACCGACACCACCACGGGAGAAGATTTCGTGTGATGCTACGGTGAAAGTGCTGTCGCTGAAAGGGTTCCTCTTCTGGTCTTCCGAGAGTTTCTCCTCGGTTGACGGAGCTGGGTCAGATTTCTTGATGTCCCTGTTCATCTTGGGAGCGAGGCGTCGGATGAGGGTGTGGATGATAAGGATGGTCGAGAAGATGAGGCATGACACAGAGAGCCAAAGCGCTGGCATGCGCTTGATATCTTTGCCCTTGTACTGTTCCCACTTCTCGGTCGCATCGTCTCCATACTGAGTTGATCCTCGGAGTTCAATGTCATCCATTGAGCATGCATCAGTCAACGGGCACCTGGCGACGAAATTTTCGCGAGCATCTACGCCCATCGATGACGAGTTGAAGAACATGCGTATCCAGCCAACCTCGGCAATAGACTCAGCAAGTTGAGGAGGACCACGCATAGAGTATCGGTTACCGGTCGACCAGTGTTTGAAGAACATGGCTGTAGGAACCGACGGCATGTTCTTCCTCTCTTTGTGTAGAACTTGCCTAGTGAGGTTGCCACCGATGTAGAAGTTGATATAGTCTGCAGTCCAATCGATCCGATACTCGGTAAACTCCCATGGGTTGATGCTTCCATTGCTAAGACCACCGCCGAGCGTAGTGTAGTTGCGGTTGGCGGCGGTGCTGTTGAGGAGCTGGCTGTAGTTCATTCCGAGGTTACGTGTTGTGAATTCGTTGTTAACGAAGGTGCCTACCCATGGGTCCCTTTCGTTGTTCATATTCATGACACTAAGCTCGGTAATCTCAGTCTCATTGTACTTCCACATCATTGAAGCCGCGGTACCCGCAGCGTCTCTGTCAGCAGACTTGATAAGGGTGCGGAAAGAGCCATGCTGAATGTCGCTTCGCTTGGTTCGGAGACTAGCACCCTGAACAACATGATCGTCGGTCGACGGTTGTACGACAAGTTGGAGAGACTCGCTGTTGTTGAATCTAAGGTTTTTGGGAGAGGCACCCTCACGGTAGACGGCATTCTAGGACGTATTAGTGGGTGGGTTGAAAGCACATGCTATGGAATACAACGGACCCAATCTTTCGCATATTTCTGAGTAAAGTCTTCAGCGATGAAGTCTACTGGTAGTTGAGTGGTCTCGTTGAAGTATACGATGATCGAGTCGGTGAAGAGCTCTTGGGTTTGGGTGTCGTAGAAGCCACAGGCACAGTTATCCTGCCCACGCGTGACATCAGCAAGCGCAGGCAAGATATGCACAAAGGCAAGACCGAGCAAATGAGAGTAAAACATGGCGAAGAGAGTGAGAGTGAGTGACTGAACAGAAACAAGACGAAACAGGCTGCTCAAATCCGAGAGGCAGTATATGTCTGCAACATATGCATGCAGCTAGCTGTGCATGGCCTTTGTAAAGACCCCAGCATAAGCTTGCAACAATGCTCGCCGGACGGAGAGGAGCCGCGATGCTTTTCCGATCAGCATTGGCATCAGGTCGTTTGGCCTTGAAAAGTCCCCTATGTGGGACATAGTCCTAGCCCGTCTCTTGGGGGTCATGACCGGGGCGTTGCCTCAGCGAGGAGTGCGCGGGCCTGCAACAGGGCCAAAAAAGGTATGCAAGCTTCCTTGGCAGGCCCGTACTTGATAGCAAGTAGGATGGAACGTCGTGGCATGGGGCTAACGAGCCGCCGCATGAGGTGCAGAAGAGAAGGTTGAGGAAGATGCCGTGCCCCCGCTGTCGGTGGGTCGGAAACGTGCGCCGCACACCTGTCCAAGTGCATCTGTGCGTTGGCGCTAGCACAGACGTTTCGATGTTTCTAATGCATCCCACGCTCGTTCTGCCTCAACTTTGTTGAGAAAACTTCATCACCATCCCAGTTTCGATCATTGATCTTCGTTGCCAGCATCTACCAATATCAGTCCATTCCGGAATGACCAGGGTCGGCGTTACACTGCTCAGTCCCAGCGGTGCTTCCATGCCGCTGCGGGAGCGCGTTGTCGGTCAATGCCCAGAACAATGCCCGATCTCCCGGCTCTTGCAGTCAGCTTCTGCGGGTTCAATGATACCATGTACATCGGGAACCTAGGCCATGCGACGCAAGATAGTGGCTGGCATGTCGCCTCTCCGATAGATTGTTCCCAACTCGCCCGATTCTGTATGCACAAGCAGTTCGTTGACGTGGATCAAACTGCGGTCAACTGGTAAAAAGCACATTGCTGCTTGGCCGGAAATGTGAGCGTGGGTTTGACATGTGACTTGGCATATTCACCATTCCCGAGATGTAGAGATGTACCGGGGTCGACATGGTCAACGTGCAGGAAGGATCCACCTCAATCTCATTATCACAACTTGGCGCTGTTGATGCTAGGTAATGCTGATCTCAGTTGAGCACGAATCTTGCATGGAGACCAGCTCCTACGGGGGGGTAATGACGGTTTCGACATGAACCCTTCGGCGGTATTGGCCACTTCTCCCGTCGCTGCTTGTCGGCCACGGTGTTTACCAAATGCACTAAGGGATTGTGCAATCAAGGGCCGAATATATGTTCTGTATCCGCTCCTTTGAAGTTGCCTTACCCCCTCCATCATAGTCATCATTCGCTTTGACTTCCCCCTCCATCGTTACTGTCGCATCGTTCACTCGTTTCAAGATGTCAGACTCTACGAAGGACTGCGTGATCGAGGTTGGCGAGGTCGCCTCGCCTGCGGTTAACGAGAAGTCAACCCAGAAGAACAGTTTCAGCGCTTCTGCGACCGTCGGACAGACATCGTCGTTCATCTCAGAGTGGACGCCTTTCGGTCTGGTCGCCTCCTACTACATCTTCTCGGTATGCCTGTACATGTACTGCAGCAACAGCTTGATTGCCATCTTCTGGTTCATCTACATGTGCACCAACTTCTACATCGCCGGTACAACTGTTCTGGAAGCTTTCTTCAGCATCACTCCCTGCCGTGAGGCAAGAGCCATCGTCACACAGGCGCAGGAGAAGGAGTGGCTATTCCCCACGCCACATCACAAGCTACCAATCATCGATCTCCTCATCGTCGCCTACCTACCGAACGAGCAGGATATCATCATGGATCGTGCTCTTTATGCGCTTGAGCAGATTGACTACCCTTCTGAGAGGATACGCATCAACATTCTCTACAACACCCCCAAAGCAATCGAACCATTGGAGAGCGAGCTGAACCAACTTCCGTCTCGCTTTCCACACGCAAGGGTTATCAAGGTGCCCAACTCCACTTCCAAGGCCGACAATCTCAACTACTTCTTCACGCTGGACACTGGATCGGACATCATCGCCATCTACGATTGCGACCATTACCCTCATCCGAACTCACCCAGATGGGCTGCCGAACGGTTCGTTGCCGAGAAGGATGTCGACATCGTTCAGGGCCGCTGCATTGTTTTCAACTCCGACGATAGTTTCATGACCAACATGATCGCAGTCGAGTTTGACAAGATCTACGCCGTCTCTCATCCTGGTCGCTCTACCATGTGGGGTTTTGGCCTTTTCTGTGGTTCCAATGGTTACTGGCGCACTTCGCTACTTCGCGATTTGAAGATGGACGACACAATGCTTACCGAGGATATCGACTCCGCTCTCCGCGCCTTCTCCAAAGGTGCCAAGACTGTCCATGATCTTAACGTTACTTCGTACGAGCTGGCCCCAACAACGTTCGGTGCATTCTGGAAGCAACGTCTGCGGTGGGCACAGGGTTGGGCTCAAGCGAGTATGCGCCACATGAAGATGGTCTGGAACGGTGTCAAGGATCCACTGCATGAGGAGCACGCCAAACGAAGCTTCACTGCACGCTTCGGTGTACTCTCATTACTACTCATCCGCGAATCCTCGTATTACCTTGTCACTCAGTACACGTGCCTCGTCGCATCATTCGTTATCGTTAAATTCCCAACGACCGGGGACGAGCTGTGGAAGCTGGTCTATTTCCAGTACCCTGTATCACAGTGGCTTTTCATTATCAGGTTCGTACAGCACCTGCCCGATTAAATTTGTACACCGCTAACAGTATCGTGTTACAGTATCATCTGCTTGATTGCTACACTTTGGATCACCAATCAGGTCAAGTCTGAGTACATCTCCAGGAGAATGATCATTCTCTTCTCGGTTCTGTACCCCTTCTACCTTATTCTCAACGCCACGATCGGTCTGTATGGTCACGCTCGTCAGCTTGTCAACTACAGCTCCTGGAACCCAACAGCCAGGAAGTAACACTACATTACATCTTCGTAATTTCTTTTTGTCAATATCTTAGGGAACAGGGCGCAAGGCAATAGATGCTCTCTTTGGGGTTCGGAATGAAGACTCGCAAGCCACTAGTGGCCGCTTGAGGATTTGATGAGTCATGCTCCAGTATATAGTAGACGACGATTAATATCAACATAATCATTATTATCATAAATCAACTTTATTATCATCATTACTACCAACCATTGATATGATTACTATCGTTAAGAAGAATGTTCACAAGCATGAAGCACTTTTCCCATTCACCAATAAGCTTGCTTGACTGCTCTATCGTGATGTCTCCTCAGTGGCTACGATTAGAAAATCAATCCATGAAACAACGCGCGGCAATGCAGCAGGAACACGATGGTACCAGATCATCCCAGACTGATCACGTCGGCGCTTCGACTTCCGATCTGACGCGCCTTGTTTATTGACCAGGGCAAAGCTCAGAGATAAGTAAGATCTTGGCGCCAAACAAGGCCGAAGGTCAGCGCCTTACTGAAACGGACTCCGCGTCCCACCGCCCTACCAGAAAGCATCGCCATAGGGACACGGAAAAGGAAATAATCAACAGCATCAGGGGTGGTCGGGATATTACAAGTCGACTATGCGGGCGATCGACACGCGCCCACTAGCGCGTAGATCCACTTCACAAGCGTTCCCCTCGCCTGCGTGGGATATTCCTACCCGAAGCACAACACATGGTGGGTAGCACGACATCGTTGGCCGGCGGTGCCATCCGTATGCTTCCTAGGGCAATCTGCCACGGCATTTCCCTCGGTCAGTAAATGGTTTCGGTGGGTTATCGTTGTTTGTATCACTCACCTTCCTTTTTTGGTCCGAACGCACGAGTCAGCCCCTATGTTTTCTGCAAACGTGCGAAGCTCATGACCCTTTGTGGCCCATCGCGCGGACAAGCGGTATAGGGCTCAATATGCACAGACAACTTCGAGTGTCAAGGCAGTAACTGAGAATCGTAGGTAGTGCCGCCCCGTGCGCCACGCGTGGAAGCTTCTGAGGAAGGCCGTTCACCGGCATGTTGAGAGATCAGGGTGCTTTTCATGGAGCACGTCACGATGTGCGTCTGGGATATGTATGACAAGGGCTGCACTGTTACAGAGTTGCGAAGCCGACAATTCAACATCCGAAATCAAGATAACGATCAACAGCAACCCGCATGTGTAACTGGTCAAAGTTGCAAAATTGTAGACTATTGTAACCCGCGGAAGCTACCCACTACCAGCCTCAACTAGGGTCAACGCTTATCAATATATTCACAGCGGGACGGCGAGAACGCCACAAAAAGCATAACTGAATCTTGGCATGCATGCGCCTGAGGTCCTCTCGGAAGCTTGCGTTGCAGCTAAGCTCAACGCTTCCCGTGCTCGGTAGGTGAATGCTGTGCTAGTTGCGGAAAGAAAAGTAGCTTACAGGTACGTGGTCGTTCTGGTGGCCAAGTTGTTGATCTCGGGTCTCCCACGGGGCTATCTGGCTATGGAATTTGGTGCTACTGCTGCACATAGTTGCCATGGGCTGTGCTGAATTTGTTGTCTGTGTGGTCTGAGGTCGAGGGTAAATTACCCTGTTGGTAAGCTGTTCTTACTCTTCTATCATCGAGATTCTTACCTTTACTCGCGGTACTGAACAAGATGTCTGCAACAATGGAGCCTACCCTTCCATCCAAACTCAAGGCGATTTTCCCCTCGTCGTCGACTCCGCAAGGGACGACTAGCCTGTCAGTCGACCAGAACTATCTTATTGGGCTCCGTGGCCTGCTCGTGTTCCAATCTTTCCTCTTTGTGTTCTTCCAGACGTTCCTCCCAGCCGCTCTCCCCGACTCGAAGAATGTCGATGGCCCGACTTACCAGGTCGTACTTCGCAAGTCGTTTTCAGTACTCTTCGCCAACGAGGCTTTGATTTACTCATGGATTATCTTCCTCTCCGCACGAACTATCTGCTTGCCATACCTTGCCAACAAGACGCGCGAAGTCGGCGCATCCAGCGTCTTTCGCCGTGGCATCAGATTATGGATACCCACTTTCATTGCCTACTCTTTTGCAGCAGCGGCTTTCAGCACAAGCTCGACCGACTACATCTCAGAATTCTTGACTTCCACCGGCAACATCTCCACCATTGCACCGGTGCGCCTCCGCAACTTCCTGCTCTACTTCAACACCTTTTTTGAGATATTCTGGGTCAACAAGCAATACGCTAGTCAAGCTGCCAACGATGTGTTCCCATCCGGTACCCTTTGGATAGTGTCTGTGCTATTCCAGCAAAGTTACACCGTCTACATTACCATGGTCATTGTCCCGAACACTCGCACTTCATGGCGGGTAAAGGCTATGTTAGCCTTCATCGTAGCAGCATTCTGGGTGCAGAGTTGGGCGTGGTACAGCGTCACTGGTCTCATCATAGCTGATGCGGTCCTCAATATGGACTTTCAGTTCCGGTCCCACAGAGGGCTCAAGATCGGTAACTTCACCATACCGATCTGGCCACTTTACGCTGCTATGGTCCTCACCGGTGTTGTGCTGCAGTTCATCTTTATCTCTGGGAAACCCAGCATGCGCGACAATGAACTATGGGGCCACACTGCGCTTTACGACGACGGATTCCTTAACGAGAACGTCGACTTGGATCAGCCAATGGCGAGGGTTGACAACTACCTCATCATCCTTGGGTCGATGCTCCTCATTGAGACATTCGAATGGCCCCGAGCTGTGCTTCGCGGCGGCTTCTTCGTTTCGCTAGGCAAGAGGAGTTTCAGTAAGTGTCAACCTTGGATAGCTTCATCGAACAATCACTTACAAAATTTAGGCTGGTTCCTCGTCCAATCCATAATCATCTACACCGCCGGTATCCAGCTATACACACACATGGTCGCCGCCGGCATGAACGGTGCTGCAAGCAGTTTTGTATGCTTCTTGGTCTGCGCACCCCTCGTTGCGGTCACAGCGGAGGTTTTTTACCGTCTTGTTGATCTACCGAGCGTTGTTCTGGCTAGGGGCTTTTGGGCGTTCATGACGAAATAGGTGCCGGCAACGGCTCGCTATCGGCATGTATTTCGGGTCATCGTCAGCCACATTTTCTGCTGTCTCGCTTACCAGCCGTGCCATTCTTCTCCTCATTCGCCTCTCCGCTGTCGTGCGGGAAAGTCATCCACCACATCGCCCTTGCACAAGACAATTTGCGGGAAGCTCACTGATCGACAAGCACTTCTCAGTAGCTCGGGATCCTCTTTGGAGAAATCCCCGCAGCATTGTGAATCATTCTAAACTTCCCCGCAATGTGGAGGGACATTAGCCTACTGGCGTCGGTTCGGAAAAATGTACAATTACCTGATCATGAGTTACACAAGTTAGATCCTTAGATTCCGTTAATCTGTATCTTGTATTTTTTGTTTGCACCCGTCTTCCCTGTTGCTATCGTGAAAGCGCGTTTCCAAGTTTGAATCTACTGAACAGCCACAATGGACAATCCAAAAGAGCTAGACACTGAACGTATCGAGAAAGCAATTGGGCTTGACAAAACGATCGATCTCGCCCTAGACAAGCGTCTCAATCGTAAATTCGACACCCACATCTTGCCCTGGTTGTTCGGAATATGGTATCTTCCCATCGTTCACCTCATCAAAGCTGGATACTAAGTAATCCATCTAGGCTCTTCTCATTCATAGACCGCAGCAACATAGGCAATGCTCGTATAGCAGGCTTGTCAGATGAGTTAACGATCACAACTGGCACGCGGTTCAACGTTGCGCTCCTAGTCTTCTACATCCCGTACATCATCGTTGACGTACATTCGAACCTGCTCGTCAAGCGTCTGCGCGCCGGCATCTACTTACCCGCTCTTATAACTTCATGGGGTCTGGTGTGTACATTTATGGGTTTCGTCCAGTCATTTGCTGGACTGGTTGTATGCAGGTTGTTGCTAGGACTATGCGAAGGTGGCATCCTCGGTGGTGTGATAATTTACCTTGCCATGTTCTACAGGAGAGGCGAGATGCTATTGAGGAGCGGTTTATTCTACTGCGCCGCGCCGTTATCCGGGGCTTTTGGCGGACTTTTAGCTTCAGGTTTGGCAACCATCGAGGTTGGGGAGTATCGGAGATGGCCTTGGATCTTCTTTGGTAAGTTGTCAATGTTCAACATTCGTATCCATCTTTATGTGTTGCGGGAGGTATTGCGCTGACCAGAACGTAGTCGAGGGTGCGATCACAGTCGTCTTCGGCATCATCTGCTTCTTCTTCATGCCCGATACCCCTGCCGCAGCAGGCTTCTTAAGCGATGAAGAGAAGGAATGGGCATTGCGACGTATGAGGCTTGACGCGGGAGGATCGACCGAAGTCGATGTCGATGATGAAAGGTCTAGCTGGCATTGGGTCAAGATGGCATTGGTAGCCCCACAGACCTATCTATCGGCCTTCATCTGGTTCTTCCTATTGGTGCCACTATATGTAAGCTCTTGCCGATTCCAGTGTGCTGGATATAACACTGACTAATAACAGAGCTTCTCACTGTTTCTACCTAGTATCATCGCAGGCATGGGGTACCGAAGCACCACCGCGCAGCTCTTCACAGTGCCTCCCAACATGGCTGCTTTTATCACCGTTGTTGGTACGGCGTATGCCTCGGACAAGCTAAAAACAGGGGTTACTTTATCATTGGAGGATGCTTGGTGGGAATATGTGGTTACGTGATGTTGATAGTGGCAACGACGAATGCCGTACGATATGCCGGCACGTTCCTAGTTGCCATTGGTGTCTTCCAAGGCTCCCCCATGCTCATGGTAAGCTTGATTTCCGGATATACGTGCTTGACTTGCTTATATGTAATTAGGGATGGGCGTCCAATAATCTTGCGCCTCACTATGTCCGAGCAGTCGGAATCGGTATGGTGATCTCCATCGCTAACTGCTCGGCCTTTATCGGTACATTTATCTACCTTCAACGTGATGCACCGAAGTACGTTCTAGGCCATTCGGTCAGCCTTGGTGCATTGGTGATAACGATCGTACTTGCTGCTGCTCAGTGTGTGTACTTGGGTTGGGAAAATAAGAAGCGAGACAGGGGTGAACGAGACGACAGACTACTGCAAGCGGATGCGGGCAGACTTGGTCATCAGCATCCTAATTTCAGATTCACATTGTAGCTGGCATGGAGCGACAACCGAAAGCGATACCGGTGTTATCGGAGGCTAGCAGGGCAATAGAGTTTTTGGAGTAGTATGCCGCTTTATTTCGAGGAAACGTTTTCCAATGCTAACATTATGTCGTAAATCGTGCCATCTCCCAATTACTTCGCTCTTTTGTTGTCCCTCCCCCCAATCATGCCCTTTTGCTTTGTGGAATCTTTCCTCCACGGCGTGAGGCTTCCACCCCCTGCGACCCATCCGATTGCCATTACGATCAACGTGAACGGCACGGCGGTCAGGAAATACCACCCATACGTCGTTTTCAACGCTGAAACACTCTCGTTCATGCTATACAATCCAGATATGAACGTCAACGGAATGAAGATAGTCGCCAGCCATGTGAGCCTTGCCATGTTATGGTTTTCCTCAAGTCCGCGACGTGAATCTTCAATGGATATTTCTGATGTAACAATGCTAGTAAGACGGTCGACACGCTCTTGTAGTTCGTTAACAGCGGCAAGCACACGTTTGAAATCAGGGACTATGTCTTCGAACCCTTCCACGTTCTCGAAGTTGATAGCTAGGTTTTCTGAAATGACTGAGCGTACGGAAAGAGGTGAGTTGGGCGCGGCAGAATACTGAGACGATGGGGTGGTGAGTCGCGCTGCAGCTGGGAGTGCATGTTCCAACGTTTCTGTTACCATCTCCCGGAATACGGGGATTTGCCGACGCCAGGTATGTAGACGTTTGAGCGATGTGTCGATGGCGTCGCCTTTTGAGCGGAAGAGGCGCGGCATTTCAAGTTCCCATTCTATTTGGCTGAGTCGAGCTCTTACGTAGTCGCATACTATAAGCCATTCTGCGCAGATGGTGTATATGGTTGGTTTGGCGAGAACTTGCGCGTTTATGTGATGGCCTTCTTTCTGCTCAAACCATGGAAACGCAGTGGTCATTTGGACAATGTCTTCGAACCAAGATTTGGAGGATTTGATCAACGGGTATACTTTGGTGTCCATCTTAGGGGTCGGCAGCCAATTACTGCGATCGTACCCTTCGCAGTGTCAGCGTGAATCCTGGCTAGGTTTGGATATCGTGTGTTAGTACTCACATAGTGGTTTGCCCTGGCTGACGGTTGGATCCAGCAATACAATACCGACGGTTCCATTTCCACACTTCTTGTCTTTGCCGATCCACATTGTCGTCCGTGTACGCATGATGGACACGACTGCTCCCTGTCCATCTTGATAGTGCCAATGATTTTCATCGTTGTCAGGGCGTCTCAGCACATTCCAGGAGTTTGCTTCCAACCTCGAATCTTGGAACTCCGTTTCTGTTTTGAAGTATCGTAATCTCATGTTGCGCATTCTAAACCACGGTCGATGCTTCATACTTGAGATTAGACTGGGCGGAGACGCCCAGGGGTCGCGAGTGTTATGCCATACGTAGTCATCGATTTGTTCACGGAAGAACAACGGATCGAGATCAAAGCGCGCCCCCAAAAGCTCAATGACTTGCTGGGATAGATCTTCCACGATGAAGAGTCTGAGGGGTGGCTCTTTCATATGCTCATGCGACAGAGATTGCAGAGTCTCGTGAAGCAATGCAGGCGTTTTAATCGCTGTAGTCTTCGGTGCAGCAGCGGGGTGATACTCCACGAAGGTGACATTCGTCTTATTCCTGCGTTCTTCGAGTTCTTTTGGGTGGTGTTTGATCTCATTCCAACGCAGTGGGGTTGTGCCAACCTGCATCCAGTCCGCTAGATGGCGTAATGTCCTCCATGAAGTCGATAGCGACTTGATGTGCGCCAAATATGGTAGCCTCTTGCTGTTGCTGCGTCGCATAAGCGTTGTCTTCAGAGGCTGCATTGTTGCTATTGACTTACGGATCCGGTATTTCCCACTCATCTGCAACTGGTATCCGTTCATATGCATCTCCGATTAACTCGTACGGGTCGGGGAATTCTGCGCTATGCGGGATATGCTTAGCTGACCACAAGGCTGGGATCGTATCTCTCTTGGCGGGCTTGTCGTTGCCATTGCCATTGTCGGTGTCAAAAGACATGACTGTGCGGAACGCTGACTACGCGCAATACCAACGAGGGCGGTGCGTTGGGTTTATAGTTCGGTGGGAAGGCTGCAAGGTGATATTGGGGGCTGAAAGCTGGGAAGGCTAAGACTTAAGCGCGACGACTTTGAAGTCGCATCAGGGGTGCATACGCGAGGTTTCCAGCTATGTATACCCGCGCGCCTCTGTGCAAACCTCGAGAGCTAAAGAAAACGCCAGATCCTCCATAGGTAGTCTTGCTGCACTCTTATTAAAATATAGTGAAAACTGGTCAAGTGGCATAGAGGTCGCGTGTGCCGAACTCCGCGAATTCTGATGCGCCGTCAGCTGAAACGAGCATGACCCATTTTGGGCTAGACGTGAAGTTCAGGCGTCCGGCGCAGCATAAGCAAGTCACGCTCGTAAAGCCAGCTCATCTTTAGCCTCTTCGGAAGCGACTGTATTTCGAGGCAGGCAATTCAATGATGGAAATTTCGTTGACTTGTGCGATGTAAGTTCGAGGAGGGTAGTTTTGACCGCGCTTGGAGGTTGGAGAGGTTTGAATGACCCCCCTCCCCCCACGAAAGAATCCCTACCTCGGAACCGACGCGTGTCCGCCACGACGCAACCTTCCATCTCACTTCTGGATAGACCAGCGCCTTACATCAGAGCGCCTTTCCGATTTCATCACATACTAGCAGTCTATGCGAAGAAGGCACCATATCGTGCCCCCGAACTTACTCGCCTGCGCGATGTCAGGATTGACTGTGGGGAGAAGAACGCGGGGCGTGCAGTACACCTCGGAAGTACAACCTACATGTCGCACGAACGTAATACTGGCAGCACATATTTGTGTATGCATGTCTCAATATCTCATAAAGATCTTCTAGTACCCTGCAAGATCAACTCACTGAAGTCTCAACATGACATACGACATCTTCAAACCTCATTGGTCCAGGTACCTTGGCCCCAACTCTCCCGATCCCCACAAAGACAAGTATCTGTCTCACGACGAAGCTATATTCTCATCACCTTTTGGCCCATTTCCACCGACACCAGACGACCTTAATATCCACGAACTTTGCTTTCCGCCAAACAATCCATTGCCTGAAGACTACCCGCTATTCATCAACGCCGTCACAGAAGAAGTCGTCACACTTCACAGCTTCTACGCGCGGGTATGTGCATTGGCGCGTGTCTTCAGATATGATGGACCAAACCCGATAGGTCTGGGAAAGAGCCCAGTGGATGACAAAGAAGATGGCGAGATCCTAGCGCTGTTCTCGCGAAATCACCTGCATTACCCGATGGTAGCGCACGCATGTTTTCGATCGGAGTTGGTTTTTGGAGGAATCAGTCCAGCGAGTACGCCATATGAGCTATGGTGGGTATTGAGGAAGATGCAAATTACGAGTATCATGTGTCATGAAACGCTGCTGCCAGTATTGAACGAAGCGCTCAAGCTAGGGTCTGGTGACGGCGACAATCTGCCCCTCAAGCTCAAGTTAAATCCTCAGAAAGTCATAGTACTGAGCGATGATCCTGGACTTGACACTGTATCAGGACACCGTACCATCGAGTCGCTTGTAAGAGAAGGTTCGCACTTGCCGGAGCGACCACGGAAGCTACTTGGAGGAAACCGCATGGCATATCTGTTCCAGTCTTCAGGAACCTCCGGCCTACCCAAGGCAATGATGATCACACATAGCAATGGCTATCACTCCGGGATGCAGACGCTTATCACCGCCGTACAAGCTGCGTGTTTCGCAGGAGACGAGCCGTTGACACCCATCACTATGCTCGGCGTGATACCGATGTATCACTCGTACGGCATGATCATCTGGATCCTTCGTGTCAACATGATCAGACAAACTAGCATTATGCTGCCAAAATGGGACCTCGAGCTCGCTCTAAAGAGCATACAAAAGTACAGAATTACCCATCTTCCGCTCGTACCACCTCTAGTTCGTCAACTCGCTCAAAGTCCATTGACTGAGAAATATGACTTGAGTTCCGTACTTGGCGCATCGAGCGGAGCTGCATATCTGCCACCGGATGTCGCATACCAACTAGCCAAGAAGCTACCACAAGGCGCGGAAATGCCAGTACCAAGTGGTTATGGCCTCAGTGAAGCAGCCAGTATTGCGAGCCCGGCTGCGCATGGTATCTTCGGATTGGAGCCTGCGTTGCCTGGCATGATTGGTTATCTACTTCCAGGTATGCAAGCTCGGGTCGTAGACCCTGATACGCTCAAAGACGTACCCAAGGGTGGGAAAGGCGAACTTTGGGCTAGTGGAGCAGTCGTCACCCCCGGCTACTTCAAAGACGCCAAAGCCACAGCTGATATCTTCACCGAGCCTGGCTGGTTGCGCACGGGAGATCTGGTGATGCGCGACGAGCGAGACCGTATCCATTACCTGGATCGTCTGAAGGAGATGATTAAAGTCAAAGGTCTACAAGTTGCTGCCACTGAGGTTGAGGATACATTGCTCGATCACCCAGAAGGTCTTGTGCGCGATGCATGTGTAGCAGGCGTCGATAACGGTCGCGGTGATGGTTCTTTGTTCGTCAGAGCATGGGTTGTACTTACTACTGAGGGACAGAAGCAGGCAGAGGAAACCGTTTCAAAGAAGCTACATCAGTGGGTCGAGGGACGCCTGAGTCGACACAAGTGGCTAACTGGCGGTATTGAGATTGTTGATTCAGTAAGTGCTTGATCAACATGAACTGCAAATGCTAATGTTGTCCTCAGATACCCAGAACCCCTTCAGGTAAGATGCTGAGAAGAGAGATGCGGGATCAGTATCATGCACGCGTTAAGCATAGTAATAAGGCTAAACTATAGTCATTATACCGACTGTCCCTATAAATAAAATTTGGGAAAACAGCCAGCTCCATGCATCTGTCAAGTATCACTCTACGTTGAAAAGGGGTGTCCATAATCATGTTGTTCATCAAATATGTGTATAGGTTGTGAGGACGTTGAAGTATGAGGTAGGTTTCATTATTCGTGTGTGATTTGCGCAAACGAGCTGATGGTGAGTACCTTGGATATAAGAATCAAATCCAACCCCCGTACCTCTCACCCCCGTCCCAAGTGCTAAAGCCGTGAAGAACACGATACGGACGCTAGTTTTTATCTCTTGACTGTAACCGCAAGCGCAAAGGCTCTAATTCGTAACTGTATCGAATGGCCTCTTGTAAGCGGCAGTCCATGCATCATCTTGTCGCCATCGTCCTACAGTTACAAGCTACTCATCAAGCACTTCACTTTGGGCATTAGATCCCACGACAGACTTCTGGAAGAATTCAAGATGTCCATCCGCAGCCGATCGTGAGGTTGGTTTGCGTAATGTTGATAGTGACGACGTGTACAATTCCGTCGAACTTTTCTTTGAGTTCTTCTTCGCTCATGTCTGCTTGCTGACGCAACTTGCGAAGGTCGCGTACCCTGATTGCGGCGTTGTGCTGATTCTGGCGCTTCGCGAAAACATCGCTCGCAAGATGCTTGACCTCAATCGTGAGAACGGGAAAGAAAAGCTGCTTGTCGCCCTTGAGTGGAAGAAAAAGCGAGATTCCTTGTCCACGCAAGTACTTATTGCGTAGAATGCGAGAAACAGGGTCCAACACGCTAAGACGCTCATATGATGCAGACGGTGACTCACATTGCGCTGTTGATTTCCTTTAATCCACCTCAACAGCAGCAGCAGCTTCCAATGTCGGGCTTTGGACCGAAAGTGAAAGGTCTGGAGTCACACAGGCGGACGGGTTTGTAATCATGATCGACTGAAAGAGGTGGGTGTCCTTGATACCTACCTAGGTAAGTAGCAATCTCGAACTGGAGCGACAGGACAGAGTGAGTTGTTTAGTCAGCCCTATCCTTGGATACCCAAGCAGAAGATGAGGATCCACTTTTTCTCTTTTTTCTTCAAAATCGTTGAATTGAAGTACTGCTGCTAAACGTCTCTCGCCAGTTCCGTTCATGTTGGCATCCGTCTACGACGCGTTCGGTATGCTACAAGAACACATTCGTCATGAAGTAGGCCAGTAGTTGGCTAGATATTAGAAGGGATTGCCGTGTAGCCCTGATTACATGCGACATGTGAGGTTTCTAAGGCAACAGAGGCACGAGACTGAGGTCACCGCATGGCGTCTTGTTCAAAGCTTGGCGCCAGCTTCGGAGATAGGCGTCCATCCCAGCCCCTTCACAACCACTCCTTACTCATCAACTCCACCTAACACGGCATTCACACTTTAAGTCCGCCATGTGTCGCGACGCGGGCCGTGTGCTCCTTTAGGCACCGGTGATACGACGGAGGGGTAAGAGTGGGGTTAAGATGTGGCGCTTTGCCCGAAGTTCGGTGGGCGTCATGACGTTGGAGCTCTGCAGCTACAAAGATCAATCTCCTGACGCCGCTGAGCGCTCTTCATCGTTAAATCTATAAGTTCACCATCGATCTATTGAGAGACTAATACAACGTCTATCTACATCATGTCATCACCAAAGACTGTCCGCTGGGGTATCCTCGCTACTGGAGGCATCGCCGTCACCTTGTAACTACCCCGCGCCATACCCCACTGAAGCTGTTTACTAACATAGGGACAGTACCAAGGATCTGCTTTGCGACCCTACCACACGTGGCGTCAAGCACCTGAAGCACACAGTCATCGCTGCTGCCTCGTCGTCCTCCGAATCGCGCGCGAAAGACTTCTTGAAGGAGGTGGGCGCACCCTCCGAAGCAAAGGCATATGGCTCCTACGAGGAGTTTGTGAAGAACCCTGACATCGATGTCGTATACATTGCTACACCACACTCGCACCACTACCAAAATGCTATGCTCTGTTTGGAAGCTGGCAAGAACGTGCTGTGTGAGAAGGCATTCACTGTCAATGCCGCCCAGGCGCGCAAGCTTGCTGAGGTCGCAAGGTCTAAGAACCTCTTTCTGATGGAGGCTGTATGGACACGCTACTTCCCACTCTCCATCTACGTCCGCGAACAAATCACTTCCGGTCGCATTGGACCCATTACACGCGTCATCTCGGATAACAGCATGGCGCTCGATCCCGAGAACAACTTCCCAGACGGCAAGAACCGTATGGTGAACCCTGATCTGGCAGGTGGTGCTCTACTCGACCTTGGTATATATGCCCTTACCTGGGTCTTCCAGACCATTTACCACACCCAGCCCGAGAACTCGCGTCAGCCACCCAAGCTAAAGGCTTTCGTCAAGAACTATGAGCCAACAGGCAAGGCCGACGAGCATAGCACCATGATTCTGCAATTCCCACGTTCAAAAGACCAAGGCGGCGAGGTCCATGCCGTAGCTACAACCTCGCTTCGCGTCGCCACAGCACCAGGAGGCAACATGGACCAACCCTTTGTCCGTATTCAGGGACCCAAGGGCGAGATTCAAGTCTTTGGACACTCCTTCCGTCCCCTCTCTACCAAGATCATCGACTCAGAAGGCAAGGTTGAGTCGAAAGAATTCCCCATCCCGGGCCCAGGTAAGGGAAGTGGCTGGTACAATGGCTTCGGTGGCTCACTGCAATCAGAAGGCGAGGGTCAGGGCATGTTCTGGGAAGCTGATGAGGCGGCAGATGCCATCATCAACGGCAGGAAAGAGGGTAGGTTCCTCGGCCTCGATGAGAGTGTGTTGATCATGGAGGTTATGGACGAGGTGAGGAAGCAGGGCGGACTTGTGTATCCTGAGAAGATCGAGACCCTAGACTACCCCACGCAGTTGTAGGTCTAGATTGATAAGTGTTGGATGAATGAATTTGTCTCCAACATGATGTAGTTGATGTCGAGCACCCAATTCAAGTTCAATCTATTCTTACCACTGCTAATGCTTTGACAGCAAATATGCGTTTTCATGCTCGTTCGTTGTATTTTACGGTAGGAGAACTCTAGCTCCATTATGACAATTATAGAAAGGGTCATCGTGTCAAGATCCCTCACAGCGGCGTAAGAGGTACCGTATTATGCGGGGCAGGGAATACACCAAAAAGACACAAGACGAGCCAAGCAGCCAATTCTGCTTGATTTTGATCGTCATCGGCGGGTTGCCTCATCGCGACTCCGACAATGCGGCACGTCCAGAAGCAGAGAACGAATCGAGCTACAAGGGCGCACGTCGGTTCATGCGCAACATGCGCAATCCATCGTGCATACCCAGCGAGGGCGCCAATGCGTGATTGAGGCGCGGCACACACTCGCTTGTCGAGCAGGGATGAAACAGGAAATCAACACGAGTCCACGGTCAATGTGAATACGCACGACACCCATGCAGTCGAAAGCCTCTGTTCTCGCGCTACGACCGAAGGCAACGATATGCAAACGCTGCGGCATGAGGGCTGGATGGTTGACGTATCTTTGCTGTAATCGTCAGCGGTTGTCCTACGAGTACAAAGAGCTTCCGGATCTAGCTTGTGGATCTCGGTGTGAAGTTTCATGAGGGATTGCTCCATGGTTAGTTCGATAAATTACGAAGTGGATGTCCATATGCGGTATCGACCATATGGCTTAATAGCAATTTCGAGCCGCAGAAAACGTGCATTCAGCCCAAGATGGAGTGAGTCCGCGCGTTTTGAGATTCAACGGCGCCACGATAAGCGACAACTCCATGAATCAAGGTTGACATAGGCAATGTGTAGGTCAGCCAATGACCCGTTACATATCCTCCGGAGACGTCCTTGTTTTCTCGCGACTTACATGTTCTCTACACATGATGGGGGCCGAAGACCATCTTTCATACCTTGCCTACTACGGTGGCATTGCCTACATAGTAGCTATCCTGCGCGTTAGAAGCATCCGAATGGCACTGCGCATGTGGGATATCTCGCTGGTAACGTTAGTAGATATCTTCTACACTTGTGATGTAGCTTTCGTCTGCTATACGGCGACCAAGGGGCTAGCCAAGACAGCCGTATTTCTAGAGCTGAAGACGATATTTACTACGAGGCTTCGTGGTGTCGTTTTCTGGATTGTCCTTGGATCTCTCGTCGCCAATGGGCTCATCTACACGGCGGTGCCTGTAGTTTGCATTTCTACATGCTGGCATAGAAAGGAAAGTGGAGACATAGTAGTGAAAGGAAGGGATTCCAATATAATGAACATGGCGACGGGCGCTCCGAGTATTAGCAATGACGTGGATGCATTGATCGTATCGGTGTAGGCAACATGGCAGGTGAGCATCGAATTGCGACAGCAGATGGCCGTTTTAGTCGTCTTTGGCATGGGTGCTATGTGGATCTTTCGACTGTCTGGAACGCCGAGCATTTACTAAATCGATTCAGTGCAATGGCGGTTGGTTGTGCCGGACTGCATTATCGAGTCATTCTTATGGGGCAGTCGTACTATACCTGGCTGGTGAGCCAAAGGGGCTTGGTCTGGTAAGTCTCGTTAGTGAAGGACAAGATTCTTGGGTCATGTTGGCAGAGAGATCCCAGTATGACCAAGACATGTTTAGTCGTCCAGCCGTGCTTGCCAAGGTGCATTCGAGGTTGTACACGCTTGACAGGTATCTAACCACGGATGCTAATGATGACGCAGACGAGACAGAGGGGAGACGATACAACTTGGGGTATGGAGCGAGGGGTAGATGGTGTTGTGTGTTTGACATGGTCATTGATGCATGGCTATTCGCCGAGCTTAGGCCCATCAGAGAGGAGACGGCAGCCTCAATTACCGAACGACCGGGCGGAACGACTATAGCGCTTGCACCCTGCATCGCCATCGCAGAGTAGTTCGGGGGCGCAATCGCAGTCCCATCATCCACCGGCACAAAGAGCGTCTCAATGTGTTCGCAGTGCTCTCGAGACGTGCGCGCCATGCTTCTTCTCCCTGCGCCTTGAAATTCCGCCGCACCTACCCGCACACGTCCATGTCCGCCTCCACACCCGCACCAACGAGTAGCAGTCATGCAAGCAGCTCGCGCCGAGTACCGCTTGACAAGCGGAAGCGTACCGAGACGAGTTGCGACAAATGCAAGTCGCGCAAGCAAAAGTGCCGAAAGGAGCCTGGCCAGGATGCGTGCCGCTACTGCATCGTGCACAACATAGAGTGCTTGACGACGCAGCCGCGCAAGAAGAGACTGTATGGAAGTGTCGAAGGTTTGGGCACTCGTCTGGCGCTGCTCGAGGCGCTGGTCAAGGGGCTGCTTCCCGAGGCCGATGTATCCAGTACCGAGGCGTTGCGACAGCTTGCGACCTCGCACGGCATACCGCTGCCAGATTCCACGACCAACGACGCCAACGGCGACCACGATGACAGTGGCGAGGGTGAAGGAGACGACACCGTGTCGCTACTCCCCGACCAGCAAGGGCAGGTGCAGTTTATTGGCCCCGGCAGCTCGCTCTCCTTCCACATCAAGCTGCGCACGCTGGTCGGACGAGGCGCCCAACGCGAGTTTGTACTGTCAGTCACGTCCCTGCATCAACGCTGTGTGAGGCGCGTACTGACTTCCTGCACCAACATGTAGATTCGGCAAGAATGCAGCCCAGGCATCGTCGCCAACAGGAAGCGACGACCAGCGCATTTCGCCAAACCCGGCCGCCACGTCAAACTCGACCCATAACTCGGTTGCCATTCATGGCCGACACCTGAATCCCAGCGAAAGACCAAACCTCGAAGTGCTGATACGCGCCTTCTTTGAACACATCCACCCGGATTTTCCAGTCCTACATGAACCTTCGTTCCGCGAGGCCTACGAAGCGTGGTTAGTCAACCCCAGAAACGCTGACCCGGCCTGGCTATGCAGCTTCACGTGCATGCTGTTACTCGCTCGACGCGTCGCGCGCATCCCCTTCCCAGAAGACCAGGAGCGACTATGGTGGCAAAGGACACAAACACTTCTCCCGGTCGTCATCTTCACTTCCAGCATCACAGCTATACAGGCTCTGTTACTAGCCGCTATACATCTTCACAATACCAACCACAGGGATGCTTGCTGGAACCTAACAGGCACCGCTGTTCGTATAGCATTTGCCATTGGACTGCATCAGGACAAGGTCAATACTGGCCAAACACCTTTGGCTAGGGAAGTGCGCAAGATTCTGTGGTGGACGTTATACGCCTTTGAGACGATGCAAGTGTCTTCCTATGACCGTCCGAGTGCCATCGAGAACCCAGGCGCAAAGATCAGTTGTCCCAACGAGAGGATCATCGGCGGGCCCCCTGACATGTTCGCATGCTCAACCCGCTTGTTTATGCTGCTCGGGTCAACGTGTCGCGCACCCAAGACAGTCAAATCCAACGCCAGCGACGAGTCCTATGTTGGCCCATTATCACCCGCTGCGGGCGTGCTACGTGATCTGGTCCGATGGAAGGAGACATTACCCCGGCACCTGCATTACGAGGCCGTAGATGCCTCGCCTCCTGCTATGCAACGACCACTGTTGATGATACATTCTGTCTATCACTATACGACCATTGTGTTGTGTCGCTCAGCTCTGCTTGCACGCGCTTCTAGTTTGACTAAAAACGGCCAAGATCCAACAAACTCCGCTCTCACTGCCATGGCGGAAGCTTGCTCTGAGTCTGGCCGATGTCTGGCCAAAGCCTTACTAAAACTCGAATCTTTTGGCAAATTCGATGCCGTCTATTCTTGTGACGTTTGGTACATGCTCGCATCAAGCTCAGTACTAGTTCTTGATCTTGTGTGCTTGAACAAGCTCGGAGGTATAGACATGTCCGAGTCACGCATCCTGTTATCTCAGCTCGCAGATCTGGCGCAGCGGCATAGGCGAAATCCCTACATGCCCGGAACCATTGAGAAATTCGCATCCCTGGTCCCAGAACTACATTCCATGGCTGACTCTCTAGCTTCCCCTGTCAGATTCGCAGACTCAGAACTGGAAACCCACGATACAGGGCCGCAGAGTTCCCTTCCATCGCAGCAATTATCGCAGGCGGACGCTGTGCCGCACATGTACCACCAATCGCCGCCTGGTGTGGGCACATACATGTATGCAGATTCTATGCCAGGCCGCATATACCCTGATCAGGCCTACATGGGGCCGGCCATGCACCCTAACGCCCGGTTCGATAGGACGACGCAGTTGCAGTTCATGGACTTTACCATTAATAACATTCACGAGTGGAACTGGGCGGATATTGGGACTATGGCTGGCCCCGAAGGCGTTCCGAACATGCCTGGAAACCCTCATGTACATGGACCACAGCCAACAGGGCCGAATTGACCACTACAAATACCTTCAAGAAACAATCTTGAGGAATAAGCCCCTTCATATGTGAGAGCGAGTGCGAGCTGAACATGCGACTGGGCACTGTTACATCCTGACCGCCTTTGATGATTGGGTTTGAATGCATGTATATCAAACCATGCTTACTCTTTCTCTACCGGAGAACCCGGCAAAGGTCCAGCGATACGGTTCACGAGTGCTCGAGCGCAAACAAGAGAAAAGGCTTATTTTTTCGTCCGCTTTTCCCAGCTCAATTACTCGCAAACCTAACCTTGAATCACTGGCAAACAGGGGTAAGGCTCATAGGGCTGAAGGACGGCATATCCCGCAACGGCTTGGCATACGCCGCGCCAATCACGTCTCATGTGAGTAGTTCGCACTCGCACTCGCATCATGTCGTACTCGGACTCTACATGCCAGGAAGAACTGTAACAACGCGTACGAGACGGCGGAGTATACAGACTCACGTGGTGATGGATGTAAGAAGCGTAGAGGAGAATGTATATTATATTCCACAATGTATCCTTCTCTACAATCACGCAGCGCCGAAGATCAAGCCTCCAACGTCGATCAGCTACACCACGACTGACTTACGATACGACTTTTACAAACGATTGACCAACTTCGAAGTCAACACTCTCGTCCGAAACCATGATGGGAATCTCCAGAATCCTCGATATGCCCATCTTCAGCAGCCGCTTCAAGTTTCATATCCACATCGCTCAAGTCGTGCTCGTGGTTGCAGCTCTCGGCCTCACGGTTCCTCGTCTCTTCATGAACAATGTGCCGCGTTCAAGATCAAGCACAATTGCTTTGGGAATGGTACGTTCTACTCTGGGTGTCTAAGGACGTTCAGAAATTCTGTAAACTTCATTTATCTTTTGATCTGGTTACTAACACTTGTGCCTAGGGTGCCAAATCCCTCATCCTACTCGCCTACCTCATATTCTCGGAACGTGTTTCTCGTTTCCAACGTTGGCATAGCTACAAGGCGCATGCGATTATCAGCTGTCTCGAGGTCGTGTTCTGGAGTGCGGTCGCCGGCTTGATGTTTCAGGCCAATATGGACTATTGCAAAGGGATAACCTGTGGTCTCAGTTGGGTGGTGATTGTCATCGCCGTGATCATCATGTACGTTGCGCAACGTCCTCCAATGCTAGTAGGAACTAACATGACCTAGTAACTCAGAGATCATCTGTTCTGGAATCAGCATCAGAGAGTTTCGCGAGTGGAAACAAGCAGGAAAGCCAAAGTCAACGAAACCTCAGCATGCCCGTCGCTCTCCGTTCGACGATGAAGAAGCGATGCAGACTCAAACCCATCAATTGAAAGATGCGCCAGTCCAAGCTGCCGAACGAGCGTACATCCAATCTGAGCAACGAAATGCTCAACCCAGCCAATCTCGACCCCACGGCGAATCACTTCGGGAGACCCAGAACGCACCGCGATCCCACCGCCAGGAACGTCAGCATCGCTCCCGTAGCTCTGAGCATCGTACACGTGGGCGAGAGGAATTTCATATGCATGAGATGGAGCAACCACCTCGGTATCCGGGACAACAGCAATATACGCCGAGGGGATCGCGCTAAATGTTTGAGCACCGCATGAGGGCGGTCATCATCGCTCACGAGCCAAGTAAATCCGGATCACATTCGTGATGCGCCTCTCATGTCGTCCGCATGCTAGAACTATGTTCATGTTGATTCTAGGATTCCGGTGGATCGATACTGTATTCTTTTTTCTCTAGTGTGTCTTATTTCCTATGTTACAATGCTGGTGTGTAGAAGAACGTTCTGAGCGGGTGCAAAGGAGTATAGAGTTTTGTAACAAAGTTTCCTTGAATATATCTCGATGCACGCGCGTCTTAAACATTTTAACTGCAATAGAGTGGTGAAACCATACTTACTGAATGGGAGTTTGTCATGTTTTGCTTTGTGACTTCCTGGGAATATGACTGCATTTTGAAAACACCGTACAGGGTCATGGCTGCATCTTGTAGAACAAGGGCCTGTCTTCGACGCGTCAGTTTCAAAGATATCCGCTGTGTTGGGCTCAACGCGTCGTGCATGACGCCAAAATTTTGCCTGGTGGACTTTGAACCTCCAACATCATCTCTCATCTCATTCCAAAGCAACCATGGACACTACATCACGACACACCGCACCACTGTCATCACGCATGATAAGTCTTGCTAACATCTCTATCATGCGCGCTTCGTCGACCGTCGCCATCTTCCAGCCGCGACGCGTTCCTGGTGTCCTCTGGGCAGATGAATGCCTAGTACAGTATCCGCTCTGTCCTTTTACTCAACCTTACTCTTGTTTCATCGCTGGGTTCTTGACTCTGTATATTCTTTTATTTTACCTCGAATATCTCTTAGTTCGTCGTGCGATGTATTCTCCATACGTATCGAGAGATGGTCCCGCGGGATGGATGAGAGTCACTTCTAGCTGATTGAATCTGTTTTTGCTGTTTTGGGTGCTGTGTTGTTGAGTCCTTCTTCTCAGGCTCTCGTCCGAAGCGCAGTAGTGCGGTCTCGTTTTCGTTCTTCTGGTTTTCAGGCGCTCTCCTGTGCTATGATTCTTCGCTACAGTATGCTTCAACATTCACTACGCTAGTAATCGGCACCGCGAGAACGGTGATCCGTGCTCTCCATATTCGCTGCTCCGCGTAATTCGGAAGACTACCCCCGTTGAAGACACTGTCTCCGAAACGATGACGCTCCGTAGCGACAGCCATCCAACTTGGCCGTCAGCTGTTTCTAGTGAAAACGCATTGTCGACTTTGCCAGGTGTCATTCCTCGAAACACTACCCCTGCAACTTTCAACGCTCATGTTGGCACACCGAGTACATCGACAGCTGACAAAGCACATAGACACCAGCAGAGACGTGCGAAGAATAAGGGAGACAGTAAGCTCACTATAGCAACGAGGAACAGTGGCCAAGAGATTTGTTGGCGAGTCTCCTGGACAACAGCGACGGATCAGTCGGGGTATTTAGAGAGCTTCACGATGGCTTGGCGCACAGGCATCCCAAACATACGCCCTGCATTTAGCTAATGATAAGTAGACTAAAGCTGTTCGCCAAGACCATACTCTATGGTTGTCTGAATGCGCGTCTCGTATCATAGAAGCCATGGTCGGTCATGGCTACTTCAGCGATTACCGCTTCGATAGCAACAAACTCTTCAAGCATGCAGAATCCGCCAATAACATCAATCGATCAAAGTCATACCATATCCAAAGCCTTCACGCGGTCACCTTTCACGTCGACGTGTATGACCTTACCATGGCGAAGCAACAAAGGAAAGCACTGGAGGCGATGACACCGCAGATGGAAAACCCGGAATCTCTCGCAGGGGCAAGTCAGATGGCTGGGATCAAGCTCGTTCTGCTACAAGCAGCGTGGAGCCTGAGTAACGAGCAAGGAATCGCTCCAGTTAGGGCGCTGTTATCCAAGAGTCCTCGTCCTCGTCCGCACTGATACTCAGGGCTACTACTGGAGGTGTCGACCACACGTCTACGCCCAGCTCTCCTCGCAGCACCTCCACTATTACTGCGCTGACAGGCTCATCCGCAGGCCGTTCTCGAGCTACAACAGCAGATCCCTCAACAAGCCCTTCGACCAATCCAACAACTCCGACGAGATAGAACTGAGCGGCGATGACTATGATGTCTCATCTTCGGCTGTCACATCTCCAACGTTATCTCATGGAAGCTTTGTGGTTCCACCAGACCCGCCTCACAAGCGCCAGGAGCTTGATCGACACGAGCGTGTATCACTTCGATACATTACTGAGGACTAGGCGGGTGATAATTGATGCTTTATATATACCATAGTTCATTGTGTAGTTGTTCGTGGAACCTGTCACTCATACTGTAGCCGCCTTTGCCTACCTTCGTGTTTCTTGGTGCTTGTTTCTTCACCTCCATGGTAATCTGGACAGAGGGGTTTGGCGCACGTACGATACCTATGTTTAGGCGGCTTACCGACATCTGGTCTCGGGACGTATTCATAGTACAGGCTATAATACTTTCCGATGTGCATACATAGTAATTCTAGCATCAGATCGAGCCGGCCTTCTCTATCCATGCAACCTACATGATCGCGCATAAACTCAGGATCACACTCTCGCTAAACTTTGCTCTATTAGACATGTTTTTCGGTTTCTAGGCTCTTTAACATTCGTCGCCGTATCAGTGTCCACATCTGCTTCTTACGAAGTGCGCGCAGCCGGACTGGGTAATAGTTGTATGTCTTCCGCTTGCGCTTCCAAAAGTCTAGTCATGTAGCAACTAATTCGTGGGAACGGAGCAAGAGCTTTCATACAAGGGTCTGGAGTAGAAGAAGACGAAGTCATAGTAAAGTTGGACTGGAGACAACTCGAGTTGGTAGAACGACAATTGTTTCTTGGTGTATGTCTGATGCATGAAGTCTGAGGCAAGTTTGACGGCGAAACCTTCAAGTTTTCGCTGCGACTAAGCCACGAAAGGCTGGAAATCTTCGGTCCCCCAACCCGGCTTTACATGCGAGATTCAAGTCGTGATGACCTCAATCAAGGAAAGGACACACGTTCAGCTCATGATTTGATAGGGCTTAGCTGTCAGCAGATCAGGGTATGACTTGGTTACTTCATATGAGAGATAACGAATAACCCTTTGTCGATGATACTTTGACTACACACACCAATGGTAAGGCCGTATCCTCCCACGTGCGCTCCTTTTTCTCCCACTTGCCGTACAAGCTGCGCCTGGTGTGAGACGTGATTGTATGGCCAGCACGTAGCGCACACTAGACGGTTCGATCAAGGTCGTCTCGCCACAATCCAGTAATGCGATTTTCGACAGCATTGCGATGCTGGCATCTAATTCACCGCGAATAGGATGACATCGAGCGTGCTGGTACTACTTCTGGAGGCTGATTCAGTAATTTGACAGTCGAAGACGATAAAGTGCGCGCTGCCATAAAGCATTTTCCCAATACATCTGCTCCCAAGACAATAGTCTTAATTCCCCCTTCCCTCAATCGTCCAGCAGCTCCGGCCAGATCTCTTTCTGCTCTTTGAACGATTCATCCCCAAGGATACCGCGGAACGCTACTTCGGCTTCCAATAGTCGTGCCTCGACATCCCTTCCCCTCATCTCTTCATCGTCGTCACTGCCACAGCTATCATTGCGCCTCTCCAATGCATCAAGCATCGCCTCACCCCTCGTCTCCAGCTCCTCGATACGTTCACTAGCCAGTGCAAGAGCCTCTCTCAGCGTAGCTTCGGTGTCTGCAGCTGCTTGGGTGGTGGCTGACGTACTCTGAGATGCATACCTTTGCAGTGTGGCCTTCAATCTCAAATTGCGCTGTTGCACCTTGTCCTTGGTACGGTCGCTCTTCTTAATGCGGGCGACGGTCCGTACAGCATCATTGAACTGGTCTACAAGCTTGTCGTGCTTGGAGACGAGTACCTGAAAGCGCGAGTAGAGCTGTTTGCCAGCTGTTGTATCCTCTTCATGGCGGAACCGGAGTTTGGCATTCTCCTCCTCAATCTCAGAGGTACTGCGGACTTGGTCTTCGAGGTCTTTATGGGCAGCTTTGAGATCCTGTTCTTGCCTTAGAGCAAGCGAGCGCCAGTTGTCCCGATCACGACGTAGACGAACTGCAAGTGACTGCACCCAAGGCAACTCATCCAGGAGGCCATGTTTGGATCTTGAAGTTGTCTGCGGTGACCTTGGAGATGGTAGGGAATGTTGGTGGTTGGCGTTGGCACTTCCCTCACTTGGTCGACGGTATTCGAGAGTCATTGGGTTCACGGGCGCGGAGACATGTCGCGCGAGCGATCGTACGAGTCGCGACTTCGGGTTTGCGGTATCTGCAGGTATATCAGACATTGCGGCTGCCATGTTTATTGTTGTTATTGTTGACGATCAGATACCGAAGGGGTGTGAGATACGTTGAAGTGTGGCAAGGGTTGCAGATAATGGTGGTGATACAAAAAGAAGGTGAGACAAAGAGTTTGGACCGCAGGGCCGAGCGCAAAACGTCACTATATATCACAACTCAACAAACAATGTGCTGTTTGAATGCGGGGTCGGTGGAAACAATAGGTGACGGTCGATGCAGCGTCGTGTCCTGCATAACACGTGGTCACGTGCAGGCGCGATTCTTGATTGCTGCTTCGACATTTACTGTGGACTCGTCAGTACGAACAGACACCCATCGTGAGTGAAACACGCTGGGTCATTGAGATGAAACGATAGATATAGCGCAGGAAGACCCGATATCGAAGAAACAAATCAAGGATTATTCGGCTCGCCAACGACACGACGACGAAGACACCATCACTTACCAACATGAACGCCGCGCTACGGCCCAAAGTACAATACACTTGATGAAAACACCTCAACCTCAAACAGCCATGGCTGCGGCAAAAGCACCCACAGCACCTCCTATCAAAGCCATCGCATTTGGAATTGATCCAGCAGGTGCAAGACCAGTGCTCGGCGTCGCGACGGCACCTGATCCAGACCTCGAAGGCGATGTCGCTACTGTTCCTAGGCTAGTAGGTGACGGAGTTCCAGTTGCTGAAGCCGATCCTGGTGAAGACGCACCGCTTGCAGTCACCAAGGCCACCACCTGGTACACCTCCAAATCCTGTATTTCGCTCTGCGACAGGACGCTCGATGTAGCAGTTTCAGTGCCCAAGCTCGGAATGGATCCACGATTGGTAACATCGCAGGTTAAGTCTGCTGTTGTCATCGCGCCTTGCCAACTGCAGGCCATGTCCACAGTCCATGCACCTGGCGTCGGATCCGTGAGATGCATCTCATACGTCTCAGGACCTTGTAGGATGGTGTAGGGCTCGCAGAAGGAGTAGTCCTCGCTGGAAGCATCGTCCTGACGGCGCATACGAGGCGCGGGTGTAGGCGTTGGAGTCGCATCAGGGTCAGAGGGGTTGCTTACTGGAGATGTTAGCACAATCTCTCTACAATGTTTCGCAACATACGCATATCGGACGGCACCGCAGAGATACCAGCTCCGTCTGAGGGGCAGCTGTTCTGGTAGGTTGTCGCGCTTGCGTCGGAACCTAGCACGGTGAGGGTGCTATCGAACTGGAAGAAGTTGAGAATCGTCGCAGACTCCTGCGCGATGGCAGCGCCGGCAAACAACGCGACATATCTGGAAGAACGCATGTTGACTGTGTGATAAGAATGGAATTGGAGAGACGCAGTGCTGCTGCTACAGCGAAGTAGGCTTGAAGTTATACAACATTTCCTATCTACCGCACGGCTCGCAGTCAATACTCCATTGCCTTGCCCGAACAGACGCCACCATTCCTTGCAATGTTCAAGCGACGAATCGCGACCTTGTCGTGCCTGGTATTGGTGATGATGCATCAGCAAATACGCGAGGCGACGAAACGCGCTATCTGGTTTTGTTGCTTGATAATCTCAGGGGCACGCACGTGGCTGAATAGTGCAGACTCATTATGACAAACATGTTACGAGAGCATGGTAAAGCGGGGGGATCATTCAGGATACGAGAAGGAGGAGGCGGTTGACGCGACGCGACGCGATGCCTAGAATGCGGAGGTGGGTTTGCTGAAAGCTTATTTTTCAAGGCTGGCTGCTTAATTCAGTCGATGCATTTGAAGAGGCTGCATTAATGCAGCAGAAGAAAAGAAGAACTAAATCCAGCTCGTACTGCATGGAATACTGCTAATCCGAACATGATTCAACACGCGGCAGAGATACTGCCCGAGTGTCCCAGTTTCGGAGAGATCTTTTGCCTTTTCTTGTCCAAAGCGCGAGGCAGGTGTAAAGGAGGATGGCACCTCTACAAGTCTCGAGACGCTTCTCAAGCGTGCATCAGATTCAAGACTCACACTCGCGTGAGTGACTGCGAAAGAAGCAAGAGTATGGAAGAAGAAGGATAGCGGACTGACTCTGAAGTCTGACATCTTGTTGAAGCCGAGAGGGCATAATCAGGTTCCAGCGTACTGTTTCCCACTCCGCATAGGGTCGCTTCCCTCTCCGACATTTTTCTTCCGTTCAAACGCTGGGCAAAAAGAGCATTATATGTCTGCAAAAAAAGGCAAAAATATGTTTTTCCGACACCGGGAATCGAACCCGGGCCTTGCCGGCACTGTACAGTGAACTGACTCTGCAGATGAGAGCGGCAAATCCTAGCCACTAGACCATATCGGATATTGATGAAAAGAAAAGAAAACAGAATGTATATGAAAAGAATGAAAATTTTCTGACGAAAAACGAGGGGTCGGGCGGTAACAAAAAGTTTGCACGACGTTTGACACACTACCCACGAGCACTATGGAGCACGCAGAGTGGGTTTACTCATTGGATTAGGCTATTGGGAAACACTAGGCATCATTCGTTATATCGTTAACATAGAGCAGCGCAGTGACGGACAGCTCTCCAGAACTACCCTGGAAAGTAGGCTGGAGGCCAACAGGACCAACGGCAAACTCCATACGCCTATCCTAGATCGAAATGCGCTTGTGGGCAATCTGAACGCGTATAATGGAACGACCACTCACTCACCCCATGACTGGGGTATCTGCTCTCTCCGGCAATGACTGCGCGATTGGAGACAATCCGAGGAGCTTCATGCCATTCTCCAACACAACCGCGGTCGCTTGATACAGCGCAGCAAAGCCGGGCGTGACCTTTCCATCTTTATCACCCTCAGCATCGTCGTCTTCGTCCTCTGCGAGGCACTCAGTGAGCTGCTCAATCACACTAGCGAGATATGTAACTACTCCAGCTGGCTCGAGCGAGTGGTATGTCGCATTCACAACTTCTGGATACTGAGCCAGAACACGTAAAAGATTGGTCGGGTCTTCTTCAGCCAGCGTCACGAAGTCTTCGTCCGAGAGTTCGGCTCCGGTGTCGGCACCTTTGAGTAGTAGACGGAGTTTCGCCAGCCAGTACTGCAAGTCTGGTCCCGATCCGAGCTTGAAGGAAGCCATCGTACTGGTGTCGAAGGCGTGTGTTGTGGTTAAGCGAGTGGAGAGCTCTTGCACGAGCAGTGCGGATGTCGCCAGTCCTTCCTTGGTATCGTCCAGACCACCAATCGTTTCGAGCTTCTCAGCATCAGCTTCTGAAAAGGCTGCCATCGCCTCCTCACACGCATCCAGTATGCCCTGTGGTTTATAACCTTTACCAAGCGTCGCCGCCATCTTAGACGTCTCACTGAATTTGACATGATGAAGCTTACCAGCGAGCTCTTTCATATCAAGTGCTTCCAAGACCTTGATGAGCTGGGTGAAGTGCACACTATTGTCGCTGGCAACCACGTATATCATCTTGTCGAATGAATATTTCCTCGAGCGTTCGAGGACGGCGGCAAGGTCTCGGAGGAGGTATGTGCTGCTGCCGGAGCGATCGCGGATGATGGCCGTACCAGCCTTCGCACCTAGGTTTTGCATGTGGATGATCTGGGATCCTCCACTCTCCTCCGATATGCCCTTATCCTTCAACATCTGTTCGACTTCGACCATGGTATCGGGTTTGATCTGCGACTCGCCAGAGTAATCATCGAAGCGGACGCCTAATCGCTCGTAGAACTTGGTGTAATTGTCGATGTTGACATCTCTCACGCGCTTCCAAAATGCTACGAGTTCTTCATCACCCTCCTCTAGCTTCTTAAACGCTTCATTACGTTCTGCGAAAATGCCCTTGCTTTCGATCTCGACTTGCGCCTCTCCCTTATCCTCCCCTTCCTTCGCCACCTGGTCGCGCGCTTGCTTGCTCGCGACTTGTTCCGGCCTGAAGTCTTCTTCAATCTTATGGTAGACATCCAAAAGGTGCCCGATAGGATCCGCATTATACGCCTCTTCCGAGCCGTACTTCGACCATCCAATGTACAGCAAGGCGATCGGCTTGCCCCAATCGCCAAGGTAATTGATGCGCGTCACGTCCCATTCCATCAGCTCGTGCAATCGGCCTAGGAATGCACCGACAATCGTGCTTCGCAGATGCTTTCCTTGGAATTCGCTAGTGATGTTCGGGGAGGAGAGCTCAACCACGAGCTTCCTGCGCGCATCGTTCATGGTGGAGGAAGGTAAGATGGAGCCGTATGCGCTCTTCCTATCCAATATGTACGGTAACAAAAAGCGCGGAACCGCGTCCAGCTTCAGAAAGAAACGCAGGTGTACACCATCGGGCAGAGGAGGGTCAAAGAGGCTATGGTCTGTAGGAAACTGTCCATAGCGTCAGCTAGGTATACGCGATTGTGAAGAGATGGGAAGACCTTGTTCATCACATCTGCCGATATCTCAGCTGGTTTGCACCCTGGCCTTAGTCTTGGAACGGTAACAGACAGGTCTCCACTATATATGTTGTTCGGCCATTGTATGGACTTGACTGCATCTTGGATATCACACTCCGCGAGGACTGAAAGAAGTTGCGCCAGCGATACACGAAAGACCTCGAGAGGGTTACTGAGAACCTTGGATTCAAGAGAATATGTCTCCGGTTTGGATACGGAGAGACCTTCCAGTAGACTTCTCAGGCTGTCGAGGTCGAGGGTTGACATAGTCGACGTTTCTGGTATTCTATCTTATCACTCAGCAAATACTGATGAATTTTGTTTGCCTCGCACCTAATGCGATAGTTTCCACGGTGTGCGAAAGAGATTTAGACGAAAGAACAAGGTATAGAGTCTCGAAGCATTGAACTGCACTGTTTGTCGATAGCTCGAGATATTCTGAGTGCCTTTGACAACTTCCAAACTCCAGCCTTGTCCGGATGTGGCCCTCACAATGTTAGGCATCAGCCCACTATCGTGGTCGCTTGGGATTGGTGGTTGGTTGCATACGATAACATCAGGCATGCACAATTCCTGGGTGGCAGCATTCATTGGATGGTGAACAGCTGACTGACATACAGAGTTGTTAGTGATATTACAACAGTAGAGAATCAGAGTGAGACTCTTCCATAGGATGACTGTCGTCCGAGCGAGATACCCAGGTGTCTTCATGCACGGCGACCATCGCGCCAATGTTGTGACTTCCTACGGTTTATGCACCGGTGTAGGCGTCAAGCAAACGCTGCTGCTCTTGACAAAGGTAACTCACCTGGGCAGTACGTCCTGCCGCCCAGAAGTTGGCACATCTGATATACTAATTCCTCAGTCGACCATGGCTCGTAGATCTCTCTCGGTCATGGTCCAACCTGTAATTCATCTGGCCCGGCGGTTTGCAGCACTTAGCCACCGAGGTAATGGCAAATCGACTAAACGCGCAATGTCGTAGTGGGTACAGCTTGGTTTGCAGGGTAAAGCCATACCCCGCTCAGCCGCCCCGCTCCGCCATTGATGACCAGGCATGATACCTAGGTAGGCAGACAGACTCCGCGTAGAGAATCCTGACGTAGTTCTATGTGGCGCGACAATCGGTCCGGTTCGACGGCAAGAGTAGATTAAGACGATAACGATGACGTGCAGCAGATGAAACGCGTCTAAGCACGCGTCAGGGCACTGCGTATGTAATCACTTCAGGCGTAAAGTAAAACACAACGTCCATTGCGATACCGCCAATCCAAAGATTTACCCGCGATGGCATTGGCTCCATATACCAGCCAAATGTTTCCACACTTCCGGTGAGTTCGGTGAACTGCCCACCTCACAAGGCCTCACCGCCATAATCATGTGCCGCCATACGAGTGCACAACATGCCGCCCATGCGGATACCAACAGACTTTTCTGCTTGAAAGTTCTGTATAATCTCTGAGGGTAGCGGAAACATCTCCAGTCACTATCGGATTCATCAGATGCACCCCGTGCCGGTCACACTGTGCGCTAAGATAGTCATTTATGTACCTAGGCACCGAATGAGTGATCGCTACCTACCACTCCGCGACTACATGCGGCTCATCAAGCGTTAGGCCATTGGTCTCGGTTCTCGTGCCTCAACTTACAGCACGTCCTGTCATCGAGTATGTATACACTAGCTCAGCATCGCGCAGCTTACATATCTTGCAGGTTTCAACCTTACGATACCGCTGCTGTTGCATCGTCATCTATCCGAAGCGTCTATCTACCTACCTACCCTACCTTCGCTCTCGACCTACCATCTCAAGATGTGGTAGCCCCTAAGACGTCCTGCAAAGCACTATACTACAAAGGCAAGAAGCGACTAGAATATAAGCAGGGCTCATGGTCTAAGGCGCAAGGCATTTTCTGTGTATTTTGTACAGCTCTCGAGACGCGATAGCGCAAAGATACTTGGTTCTCGATTTGCAACATGGAACATACATACGGACATAGCCGTTACTTGTACCCAACGGCTGCAGCTCATGTTACCATTCAGTATATGGCCAAGGAGAAGTACTTGATTATTTGGCAATGTGTGAGCGACTCGTATAGGACGAAGTCCAACTGATTATGCTGACGTGTTCTAGTGCACTTGTGGCCGTCCTTCGATACCCGAACCAAACGGAAGTATCTGTCCGTCGTGTGAACACGCTCAGTGCAGCGACTGCAAAAGGAAGAAACTACAACTTACATCATGAACAGTTCTCACATGCGTGAGAGAGCAAGAGCGTTTTGTTCCTTGTCTATGCTGGTTAGAGGTTTCGGTGCCATATCCAAGTGTATGTGTTAGTATCTACGAACCTCTTGCTTAGGCAAATGGGTCATATCGTAGTTTGTTACGAGCATTCATTCTGTTATGTGGCACATAGTCGCAATTTTGATTTGCATACTTTTGATCGGTTTCGTCCGAATCTGGCGAATTGCAAAACTTTATACCAATACGATTTATATGTTGTAAGAGGATAAATGCTATCATTTCATTCGGATCAGCATGTAGAAGGCCAAATGGCAATGTCACTGCTAGGAATAGATAAACTTTCTCAGATCATACATAATCATAAACATCATAATTCATTAGAAGTGCCAAGTCAAGCTCGTTGCCGCACAGGTGGAGATCTTGTGTTGGCAGGATCCGGGCTGTCAGGATGCTCCAGGTCGTTCAATTCTAGCAGAGTTAGCCGGCTTTCATGGAGCGGGACGACAGCTGCATGGAAACCCCTAGGATCTAGGAATTGAGATGATCTTACCGAATTCTTTAATCCGGTCAGACTCGCGGCCCATCTTTCGCAATGCAAGCTTAATTAGTTTGTTTTTAGCTGAGATGAGCGCTTCAACGGCGTGTGTCGTTAGTGGCAGAAGGGCTAACAGTACAAAGAGACACAACACAAAAGCTTTCGGACCACGATCAATTCCGAGAAAGTTTCGCTCGCCGCAGAAGTACTGGAGGGCGAAGGCGAAAGGGCTTGTGATCAGGAGTAGCTAACCCTGTTAGTAACAGCGATCTGATTGGGGTGACTTTGCACTAACTTGTACGTTCGCCTTCGTCGTTTGGTTCGTTTCTGCCACCGATCTTTGGCTGTCAATCGCTATGATATTGATCTTCTGGTTCAACCTCAACGTCTGTTGGGCGAGCTGATAATTCTGGGCGTCCAGTGCCCTCTTAAGCTACTTATGTCGTCAGAATCTTCGGCGATGGTATCAAAACATTGTACTCACAGCCTTGGCCGCATCTTCTAGGGTTCGGTCTACTCCGTCCAGCTTTTGTAGTTGAAACTTCAGATCCGCAAAGGTTTCGCTCGTGTCCTGGAGTGCGAACTTGGCTTTTTGGTCGCTCACGTCGGAGAAGAAGGATATATCCCCACCAATGCCGCTGAATCTCACCCACACAGCTATCGTGCGTGACAGGTGTGTTCTCAGGGCATGTAGAACCTCTTGGATCTGGTTAATCTCCTGCCCCAACTGCGAGGTATTGATTTTCGCATTCGGAACAGGCCGTGGGCTCCTGACCGTGTATATCGATCTGGTCTATCAACGATAAGTAAGACTAACAATATCAGATACTGATAAGTGAACTAACCCACTCGTCGACGCCTAATTCGAGAGTACGAATCAGGCTATCATACCGCTGGCCGATGATCTTCACTCGAATAGCTAGTACGCAGAGGAAATACACTCTAGGATCCCATATCGGCGAGTTAGCATCCAGAACGTGCTGGTCATCATAATTTGTATCCCCGGTGGCAAACAGATCTTCGTCTGGCATGCTACCATTGTTGTCTTCGTCTTCATTCTCTGGGTTTAACTCCTGGCCTTCATTCATGGAGGGACAACGGGCCGAGAATGCATAGCCTGTCCATTCAAACGCATCGCAACCAAACACAAGAACGGTTTCGTGTGCCTTCCAAATGGAAAAGTGCGTTGGACCGTCACCTTGGTCTGCATCAATCTTTAAGAAAGACAGATCTGTCTCCAATCGTTCAATCCCGCATCCTACTTCAGCCGAAGACGATTGCGACTGATCTCGTTCTTCCAGGATCAGATATGGTAGGCTCAGCTCCAAGCGGAAAGTTTCAAACCCGGTGTGCTGTAGTACATTTCAGATTAGAGCAATCAGAAATTTGTCATGTAACCTACTGGAACGTGTACATTGATGGCCGTCTCACGCATCATGTGTCTACGTATTGCAGGCCTTAATGCCAAGACTTCGTTCCATGATGAGGTTTTTGCAAGAGCATATGCGAAGTCCAGATCGAGTTGTCGTATGAAACTGATAAGGTCAGCGACTGTATGCACAAGGTTACCAGAAGTACGAGTAACATGGTTTTCGCTGTATGGTGATTGAGAGAAGTTAGGCATACATCAAGCGCCGAATGACATCAGCATCTGATACGGCATTTGTTGACTGGAAGCTGTTAGTTGTTGTCAAGCAACACTTCTGGCATACTAGCTCCTAGACTCACCCGGTTCTTGATGAAACTAGCCAATTGGTTCGGCGTAAGGTTTTCAGGTGACATGTGGTTGGAGTCAGACGTCTTCGCACGGGACTCTACCCAAGCCAGCGTGTTGCTTCCACGTAGTATGTTGTCGAATATTCTTTTCACCCATTGGACTTCTCGCGACAAGATAGAGCTATCAGTATCTTGGAGAAAAGCGTCCAAGAGCTCCCGTTTCATTTTCACCCCTCGTAAGCACTTCAGGAAAGGGCGATCTTCTTTCTTGCGGTTCCTGTCATTGAATTTTTGATTCCATGCTTTGCCGTATTCTGCGCAACTAGCTTTCAAGGTTGTACCGTCTAGGTAATTCATGGGGTAGAGACTTGAGTGGTGTAATGGTTTGTAAGAGGCTCATGCTCGTATTAACGGCAGATAAGGAGTATATGAAAGTTGTCTTCCCAAATCCACGCGATCAATAGATTTTGTTGGAATCTGGCGGTTCACAACTTCACAAAGAATGCGGGGGGACTCGAGAACGATGAGGCATTTGTATCATAGACATATGAATCGCCGAAGGGATGTAGAAGTCCGCCTCGTTAGAAGGGCGATGGCCTATCCATCCAATGGCAAATGACTATTGTGACAGTATGATACACACTACCCGCATGCTCCGGTACTGCATCTCTTCATCGGTATGCTCGTAGTACGATAACGTTTAGATTTCGTGGTGCTACACACAAAAACACGTCTTGTGATGTTAGTCGTTGTATGATGGCATTTGATGCACCCTGGAAGTATATCACGAGATGATGTGCAGGAAGAGGCCGTCCAAGACTTTCCATATTCAGGTAGTGGCGGGTATGCATGATTTCCTACCCGGTTAACCATTCGTCTGTGGTGATGGTGAGGCGAAGCGCTCGTGGTATATACGTGCGGTAGGTAAGTAGGCAAAATTCAGGCTGACCCGAACCCCGGTCCATGGGTCGCTTGAGATTGGGCAAGGCGAGGAGGACCTTCAAGGGCGCAGAACAGAATGCCAGCGCATATAATCAAGTAGTCTTGGAATGATGCACTGTATACACCGCTTGGATAAACAAATTCTGAACGCTTTCCGAGATCAGTAGTATATTCAAACACAGGAGGATGTTGCGCAGAGTAATATTGTATATATTCTGTCGGCACTATGATTCGACCGTAGCTGTAAGCGAGCTACTCGCGGTCGACCAATCATCGGCCGACTTAGCCTACCGAGAGGGTGTCACCTACGGTAGACTAGCAAGAGCATCGGAACGTCACTCTGCTCAGCCCCAACCCCATATTGGGCTTTCTTAGATAGTGCAGCCCAAATATGTTGGGTTTCACTTCACAGTTCATATATCTACAGTGTTCCTTTAGCCATCTATGCCTGACTTTGGTAGGTCCTGCCGATTTCAGGCAACCTTCAGCGGGCAATGTAGGGCCCAAACATAGCAAGCTACGTGTTGAGCATGATTTTCGCGCTAGAATAAAACCAATGGCATTCTGTCATGCCTACACTGACGTGGCAGTGGCTTGTTCCTTGTGAGCTGGAACAGAATCCAATGATTAGGTACGACCTTACTCTAGCCACATGATATTCTCGCTGACGCCGAAACCAGAACAAAAGGTGAAGGAAAATCAAGAACCGATGAGTTAGACTGAAGTGCTAATGTACATGAACTTGAAACACAGCTCTTAAGGTTTACAACAGATTCGCTTGAGTTATGCAAATGCAAGAGACAAGGGAAGTAGAGAATGTACAGAACGAGGTCTAATGGATGTAGGCTGTCGGATATTCCTCCTCCAAATGGAAGCAGAGTAGGCAGGGAAGCGTGCCCCAAGCTGACGCGAATCGAGCGAGAGAATATCGAGCGCCACAGGTCTGCGACTAGTGTGCGGTTTCGGCGTGCAGTACAAACACGTCTGTTTAAGAAGAGATGCATCGCCTATTCAAGTGAGCAGATCACATGACCCGCTGGTCTCATGTATATAGTCTGAGCATCGCCCAGGTTCGAATGATTCGTCTTTTTTCACTCGAATCTTACTCTCTCCTTTCATATGTACCGCTGACCACGGGCCATGCACTGCGTCTTTTCTTGACGTATGCTGAGTGCCCTATCTCTGCTGAACTTTTGTTATGTGACAGTTGCCGCATCTGCCGTATCCGCAAGAAGGGCACGCATTGCTACGGTATGGTATAGACAGAGCCCCGCAATAACAGCACTGCCATATGAAGGTATACTTCTTGCCAGCCGTGCGCACATGCTTATCCAAAGGTGAGCATGGAGGTAGAATTGCAGTTCGCTCTCTTTTCCTTTTAAGGAGGCTCCCTCGACCGCCAACGCGAGCCATTATAGTTCAGCAACCTTTTTGTGCTGGAACAGCTATCAAGAGAACGCTTTCTGACTTTCCACGTTGGATAGTGGACGATGTAAAAAGATGGATTGTTCAAGGCTCGTAGGGTAAGGCTGTTTGCCGGAGGACGTATGCAGCGATTGGGTTCTTGCTCTCGTTTCTTTCCACTTATATGCATGTACACGTTGAATCCGAGAGTGTTGATGTAGTCGCGTCGCAAGAACGAGGGTTGGGTCGGCCAACGGGGGAACGGCGCCGGACAGCTTCAAGGTTGGGACTTGGGTCTTCGAAGACGGTTTCACTAATTCCCTGTTGTAGTTGTAAGTAAATGTTTCCGTTATCTCGAATAGGAAATATGTGATCAGTCCCTTTGGTCAACTTCCAGCTTCAAAATGCTGATAAGAGCTAATACTGGCGACCAGGTACTCGGTCCGACAAAAGAGCTATAGCTGAACGCAGTAGATTGTAATACTCTTGCCGCGCTTCAGGACAACAGGAGACTACCATGGTGTGGAGTGTACTTACCTTATCAGAGGAGCGGGAACGGTGGGTCCCCTTTCCAGACTACCTCGAGAGGCAACGTTGAATGTACGTGGCCGACCGGGAACAACGGCTAGCTGACGTTACCCAGATACTCACGAAATTGTGGGCTTGTCTCGATTTTAAACATTCAGCAGTATGCATAGAAGCCCCGGAAATTGCCTCTTGCGGCCCCTTTATCCCGTTGGGAACCGGACGTCAATACGGCGCGTGCGCCCCGATCGCAACTGGAATCCCGGAGGACGCGATAGTGATCGGAATGCCGGTGCAGCATACAAGCAACTAAGCAAGCGCTAGTTTATTGCGTCGGTTCTGATGTTGTGAATCCGCGTTCTAAGGTTTTCAAGGTTGAGTTGGTACCGGTAGACCCTGCTGCTAGGTAAGAACCGCCCAAGCGTGGCTGGAGCTCGGGAACGTCGTACAATGTAGGTACTGATCCCAAAACCAACGAGCAGCACTGTCAAGGTAACATCATCTGTAATAAGGCTCAGTAAATTTTTTCTAGACTGAAAACCTACGCGCACATGCATATACAGTCCTAGGTTGAGAGTAAACATAGCTGTGTTATGAAGGTTCACAAGCAGAACCCTTGAAAACGGCCTAGGTATAACTCAGTCATTAATATGAACTAAACCCAAATGAAACGCACAAAGAGTTTATAACCACGCACCCTTTCTGCGTGTTAAAGGACGCTACTCAACTTCCAGATACTGAAGTTGTCATGTGGGTCAGGATTCTACACATCTGTGCAGGTAGTCTGCCATCATGTTGATCATCAACGCTTACACTACTTCCTAGAGATGTGGTTCCACTACAGATTTGAAGAAATAGAGGGAAGCGGTGTAAATATGTTGGCCCTACTAGCGTAACGAGAACACTACGTTGGCATCGCTTCACGTTGTATGGATGCATACTCCACTACCATATAGCTGAGCTGCATTCTAGACTTCGTGTAACCGGGAGGTTTAGCGGTGTGCATGCTTGACCCATAGCAACCCATAAGAACATAACTTTGGAGGGGAACGATGCTGGCCAAGCAAACTCTCCGAGGTCAGCAGAACCACACTTGGGCTAGTTGACAGGCTACGAGCGTTAGCGTTAATGTCGTGAAAGGCCCAGGTATCTGGTTTTGAGAGACGCAAGCATTCTTGGTTCTTATTCTCTGACAAATTCTACCTTCATGCATTCTCTTCTATACTGTGAGGGACCAAGATCGGCAATGTATGCTTAAGTAGCTCTTCTCGATGGAACGTAACCCAAGTCTAGTGTGAATCATGCATATTTCTTGTGGGTACGACCGGAGATGAGGAAAAGAAAGACATCCATGGAAAGTATTGAGTTTTGGTGTGTGGGCAACGGAATTCTCAAAAGCAATCAGCTAGATTGCCTGGAGATTATGTGGGTATAGCCTATCCAAGTCCTCTACATCGTACACTGCTTCTGATCAGATTCGGGAGACTGTTCTATACGTAGGTAGTGCAGCCATACTTAAGGAGATTGTAGAAGCTGGCTACCGTCGACAGTCGTGGAACATAGGAATGTCGGCTGTGCCACGATTTGAATTCGTCGGAGCAAAACCTAACCATTTATGCGGATTCCTGGGTTGTTCGGATACTGAACCCATCTGGACGACGTGTATCATGGGGCCAGAATACACCGCCATTCAACTTGGATTAAAGCCAAGTCGAGTCTAGCAATGTACAACAAAGAAGATAGTCTGTAATGCCACGCTCGGCAGCTGCTGCTAAAACATAAAGTAAAGAAAGGGTGGCACAGGGCCGTTCAACAACAAGCCGGTCTTAGGCCTGTAAGCTTTTGGACCGCTTGCAGAATTTATAACTTCTACCAGACTTTGACATAGAGATGGGTCATCCGCCACAACATTCATGTGGTAGCAGTCTGTCTAGATTAGATTAGTGTGACATCTCCAGGGTTATGTAAGCACCGCCACACGGCCCGAAGATAGGGGTACACAAATCCTTCACGTCTTGTACGTGCGCCGTTGTCCGAAGAACGTGCCGCGGGAAAGCAATCATACACATTGTCAACAAGATTTTCGACGCTATTGGTTGATTAGTGAATCCTTGCCGCCGGCCCGCTACTTCCGGCAAGCATTAACACCGTGTGTTTGCCTTTTCTTATGAACTTGTCATGGACGGAAGAAAGGACAACCCCCCTCATCCGAACCGCAAGCGCAGTACCGGAATCTTTCGTTTCGATATGATATAAACGTCGAAGAGCCCATCACGCATGCTGTATCGTGTCCAGCTCAACGGTATCTAAGTGCATCAGTAAGGTCACATCACTCTCGCCCAACAGCATAATCCTCACCTTGAGTTCCCTCGGAATGGCTCGATGTCATTGACCGCTTAGACGACTTCCGATACACTAACGCGAACAAAGCGCCCCCATACTCAAGAGATAAGGTCAACAATCTGAGGACTGCCATCAATACTACCGTGGCAAGGACAAAGGTCTTTGGATTACGATTGAATGAGAATATCTCTTGCTCCGAGCCGAAGTACTGGAGGACGATACCAAAGGGGGTCGTAAGCAACAACAGCTAGAGGATATCAGCACACTGGTAGTATCGGTCAGAGAAGGATGTTATACCTCGACATTCACGCGTGTACTGCGACTAGTTTTCATGGCCTCTGTTTGGCTCATACATGCCGCTTCTGTGCTCCTCTCATTTAGCTTTCGCATTTCTTTGTTGAGTATGCTTGTTTCTTCGTTCATTTTGTGCATGCGCTCACTTAGGCGGTGACTCGCTTGTTGATGTTCGTTGGCCTCTCGGCTGAGCTTGTTACTTTCCATAGACAGGCGATTACTCTCGAGATCAAGAATGCGCCCCAGCTATGGTCTTCATGAGTGGAGTCCGTTGTTCATTGTCACTGTTGACTTACATGAGTTGCAAATCTTTTACAAGAATCGTCAAGGGACCTTAGTTGGATTGAAAGGTCGGTAAGCTTCTCGAAAGATTCCACAATGCTGTTCTGCACCGACCAGCAGTCTGTGATGTCGGAGAAGTAGTGTCTATCTCCACCATATTTATCAAATCGGTTGTACACTCTGAGCGTGGTCGAGAGTTCGTCCCGCAACTTACGTAGAAGCTGCATGGTCTGGAGGGTCTTGTTCAGGGACTTCTGAATCTCGTCCGCTTGCAAGCTTGACTTGTTGGTATTGCTACTGCATGGATCTTCTGTTTTCTACTACGACTTAGTCCCAAGTCATGCGAGATTGAAAACTCATACATACCCATGACTCCACACCATCCTCTATGGTGTGTACAAGATACAGCCATTCCCTTAGCACATATTGACAACGATGAGCGACCAAACGAAGCCAGTACCGCCTCGCGTCCCAGCAATGTGTAGATTGTCGGGGAAGGACAAAGTCGAGGCCGTATTGCGAGGTCAAGAAATGTCCTCTGAACTCGTCTTCATCTTCTTCATCTAAGTCATCGTTGTCTGATTTAGTAAAAACGTATCCAGTCCATTGGAGATTGCTCCAACCACATATGACGATGCTCATATGCCCTTGGTAAATCGAATGTGGAGCTACGTTGCCATCATGGCCAACCAGCTCGAGGAACGAGAGATCTAGCAATGATCCAGTTTTGTCAACGTCTTCACTGCCAGCGGCTATGTCTGTGATTTGTGGTGATTTTCTCAAGAGCAAATGCGCCATGTGAAATTCTAACCGGTATGTCGGGAAGCCCATGATCTGTGGTAGGTCAGCTTCCGCATGGTTGCATTTGTAGGCGTAGTACGTACCGGAACATGTACCCGTAGGCTGGTTTCCATGGCGATATGCTTGCAAATTGCATCACGTAATGCCTCTACCCCCGCAGTCCACACTGTCTTTGTGAGACTGACGACGAACTCTGGGGTGAGTTCCGAAATGTAACTGTCTTATGGTGAGTACCACGCCAATGGGAGAGTGATGAAAGATAGGGCGACCGAACGAACATCATACGCTGATCCACGTCTTCAAGGACCTGGTCATTAAACCGCTTTGTTCGTCAGCCATATTGGATTTGTAGCGTATTGAGAATATTACCTCCATGTCCAGAATCCCGCGCAAGCCATCCGGATCGAAACTCCGTCCATAATCTCGACTTCTTCCTGCGGCTATCTTCCGATCGCAAACCCAAGCCCACGTATCACTTTCTTGTGTTACCATTCCCCTATCTCCGTTTTGCGCAAAGAACTTGTTGAGGACCTTCGCTTCCCAGGCGGCATGTTGTGCGTCGGAACCACCCAGAAGCCTAAGTATAAGTTCTGGCATGGGAAGCATGTCAATGTTTTCATCTAATTCCAATGCGTTCCTATAAAAAGCGCAGTCTTTGCAAGTCCTCGGCTTGGAAAAGAACTTGCTCCAGTACTTGCCGCTGCGGTTTTGCAGATCTATCTTTCGAGGCTTCTGTATCAACACGCTCGATTTTTTAATGTGGTGCCTTGTGTTATGAGTGAATGCATAGGAGTTTCTTGATCTTGGTGATATAAGGGAAGCGCAAGCCTGAGGATCCGCATCCAGGTCGACCGTTGCCTGTCCATTCGAGCAGTGACTTTGGATAACGGTAGATGTACTCTATAACATGGTCAATGGATGCGCCACGGAATGTATGAATAAAATTTCAAACCATAGCTGTAGCCAGTTGCGCTGATAGAATATCCGATAGTTGCTTGCCAAAGCGTACGATACCAAAGAATTCTGAGCGATCAACGAGAGGTGCAGGGAATGTATAAACAATACCGAATTTATAAAGCAACTGCAGAGTACTCCCGAGACACATGTTCTTGTGTCTTATATAAATGCTCATGCGCGATCATGTCTGTTCTAAGTTCCCTGCACGTTCAACCGCGCGGTTATTGGGTGGCTTCGAATCAACCTTGGGATGACACACGAAACGCCTGCAGCAACGCATTATTCGCGACATGTCAACCTTACGCTTCAACCATGTTATCTGGGTGGAGAACAGAAAGATGGAGGACAATGATCTGTTGGCAAATGTGAGCTAAGAGAAAGGGAGTCTACAGACCCACACGGACCGCTTGTAGGGCATACTTAATGGGCTCGTCTTTCATCTGCGTGTGGGTACCATGAAATATACCGTGCCTCGATACATACATGTGCATACTGTTGTTGCCCTTCGTTATATCGGTGACCATCGAGCGAATACACCATATTGAATGGGCATGGCTTGGCATTTCGGGCGCAGACCTGCACCTCTACGGCTCCGGAATATCTTGTGGGGTAATCCTGCATGACGTTAGACAGGAGCGACAGTGCCACTCAATTCAGACGCGTAATTAGATCGATTAGCTTACCCATTTAGGAGGAAAGATCTAGGCGCCAGTGCAAAAGAAGGAAGGTGATCAATGTCCGCAATCGTCATAGGCGGGAAGCGAAGCTCAAGCTTCAAAGCACCGAGCTGTCCAGCTCTTCTCAGCCCCAAGAAGTAATCTTCAATCCCAATTCAGGTGCCATCCGCCTCTCAGACCTCAAAATGGTATTTCGTGCCTTCTCCGTTCTCTCTCTAATCCTCAGCGCCCTCGCTGCCGTTCCACCATCCCGAACACCCCTCGAGCTGTCTGTTCTTGACCCATCCACCTCCAAAGACCTCCTACACCTCCACCGCAAGCTCGTAGAGATCGAGTCGATAACAGAGGATGAGAAAAACGTTGGCGATTGGCTCACCAAGTATCTCCGCGCACACGATTGGACTGTCGAGAAGCAGGAAGTGTCCAGGGACCGATACAACCTCTTAGCTTACGGCAGCAAGCGCGAAACCACGATCCTACTATCCTCACACATTGATACTGTGCCACCCTACTGGCCGTACTACCACAATGAGACGACCGACATCATTGGCGGCCGAGGCAGTGTAGACGCAAAAGGCAGCGTCGCACCCATGATAATCGCCGCACAAGAGATAAAAGAACATCTACAAGACGACATATCCCTGCTCTTTGTTGTAGGCGAGGAAACAGGCGGCGACGGCATGCGCGCGTTCAGCGACTGGGACAAGCGCCCATCGTCGCACGAAATCGTCATCTTCGGAGAACCCACCGAGGCAAAACTAGTCTGTGGACACAAGGGCATGCTAGGCTTCTCGGTCAAAGCGACGGGCAAGGCGGCGCATTCAGGATACCCGTGGTTGGGCGTCAGCGCAAACGACATCATGGTAGAGGCACTGGGAGAGCTTCTAAAGCTAAGGGAGCACCTCCCTTGGAGCAAGAAATACGGAAACACGACCATGAACTTTGGTCGCGTACAGGGCGGTGTCGCGGCCAACGTTGTCGCCGAAACCGCGACTGCGAATATTGCTACGCGTCTTGCGGCCGGTACCCCCGATCTCGTTCGCGGACAAATCATCGACGCGCTCAAGAACGTCAAGGCCGCTGCGCAGAAGGAAGGCGGAGATCTGGATGTACAGTGGGCAAGCGAGGGATATGGCGTTGTGGATATAAACTGTGATATTGAGGGCTTCGAGACCATGACCGTCAACTACGGGACGGATGTACCGAACCTCTCTGGTGATCATAAGAGGTACCTGTACGGCCCAGGCTCCATCTTCGTCGCGCATTCAGATCACGAGGCGCTGAAGAGGAAGGAGTTGGAACAAGCTGTTCTAGACTACCGTCGCCTTATTCTCAAGGCGACGGAGGTAAGGGAGAAGGAGCGCCAGGTGCAGGACGTGGAACAGGTGGAGTTGTAGAGTGAGGCGAAGATATAAACGTAAACTATATACAGCCAGATACCCAAGTGAAACCAGTCCTTTCCATCCAGTTCAACTATTATCAGCTTATATACCCCTACATTTAGTCTACCAGGAGAAGAGTCTCGCTCAATACAGGCAGGTCTGAAAGCAGGTGCTCAATGCCCCTTCCCAAGCTCAACCTCCGGCCTTTGACAGCCAAGGGGTGAACTGGATAGATAGCACGGCGATTGTTCTTGCGCATTATCCCTCATATTTGAAGGGTCAGAGCGAACCAGCAATGGGGGAGAATGCATGGTTCGTCTGGAATCTGTTCGTTGCGCTGATGAGGATGGTGTGAGGGAGCGAGATGAGAGATGCTTCGTACAACGCACGGAGCGGAGGAAGGTAGGCCCGAAGCGATAAGATAGGCAGCAATCGAGGGGTTTGAGGTAAGATGAGATGTTAAAGGAGGAAGTAGCGATGACACCGCGCTATGCATTCAACTTACCCAACGCCGATTATGCTAGCGTCTCATACCTCAAATCATACATATACTTATACAGTCATAACACCATCAATCGACAGACTCAGCTTGCAATAGCCGGCACATCGTCCTCCTTTTGGGCAATACCCTCTGCCTCCTCAGCAGCCTTTGCGCTCTCCGACATACCCAGATCCCTGAATTGCCAACCGTCGTTCTCCTTGACCCAATCTTTGCGTTCGCCCAAGATGGCGACACTACTCTCCTCGGCACGCTTGACAAGGAATTGATCGGCTACGGCTTGTACCTGCTCAGCTGTGACGTCGAGTAGGCGTTCGCGACGCGTCTGCAGCATGTCGTCCGTGACGCCAGATAGGAACAACCTCATACCCTCACGACTGACACTCTGTGGCGCATCATACCCTTGGAATGCACTAAGCTTAGCTTCTTCAAGATCTTGAGGTGTCCATGCGCGGTCGCGCGCCCATTGTCCTGCTTCAGCCATGATTTTCATGCTGTTCTGTGGGTTGGGATCGCGGTATGAGTACATGCCAAAGACACCACCCAGGCCACGGGCATAAGCGCCACCTCCATACGCACCACCCTTTTCACGAATCTCAGGATGTAGTTGCTTGAAAGTGAGAAGTTTGGCAAGAATTTCGAGAGGTGCGCTGGAGGCGTCGGTGTAGGCTACTGTCGGGACGGCGCGCGGAGTAATAGACTTGGTAAGGGAGAGGGAAGAAAGACTTGGCGTTACGAGGGTACTGCTTTTGCTGTGAGGTCGTAGGTACAGAAACATCCTTTGGTAGGGTGTTCAAGAAGCGGTGGAGTGCTTCCTGGTTTGGTGTTGAGCTTTCGTTACCGCAGTTGATCGCCACGCGGAGCTGGTTGCTGTTTGCGATAGTAAAGGACTGGATGGCCTTGAGTTTTTGAATAACCTCATCAAGAGACTCTTGCGATGCGAGAGCTGTCATGACCTTGACTTGGGTAAGGCCTCCGGTTTCTTCTGCCAAGCGGCTAACAGGACTGATGCCAGCTTCGGCATATCTCATGGCATAAGAGTGGCCAGACTCTGCAATCGAGTTGATGGCACCACTTGCTGCACTCTGTAAGAGCTCTCGGATTTTCTTGCCCGCTTCAGGTCCATCAAAGTCGGTCTCTTGTATGATGATTCGGAGAAGCTCATACATGTCAGGGATGTTGCGATCGAAAGCGTAGCCCGAGAACGCCATGCCTTCTTCGTATGCATCCAGTGACAAAGGCGACTGTGATGAGTGGTATCCTACGGAAATGCCGCCTGTCTTCAGCTTGATCAATTCCTCTAGCTGTTCCATCGTCTTGTCTTTAGTACCAAGACGCATGATGGCGCTAGTGAATAGGGGGATCATCTCTCGAAGCTCGTCTGGGAGATCTTGTAATCTGTGCACCGCACGGAAGTAGGTAAGACCATTGGTGGGTGCCTCACGCCATTGGACCTTCACACCGTCCAACTCGGTATGCCGAAGTGGCTTCCTTTCCTTCTCTCGTGGGATGTCCTTCACATGGACAGTGGGGAGACAGCTCAGATCTTCGTTCCTAGCCTTTTCTTGTACTTCCAGCAACTGGAGCTCTCGCTCCTCTAAGTACTTCTGTGCCTCCTGTTCGCTTGGGAATTGCTTGGTAGTCTCTGCAATCTTCGCCGCTAGTCGTTGGCTTTCTTCGTCCACGAGCTCCTGGCTAAATGTCTCCGAGGGCTGCATGGTGAAGGACAAGGTCTTGTCATTGAGGAGGTACTTCTCGATCAAGCTTTCCAGGTAACCGCCTTCAGCGTGCTTCTTCTGGAAAGCATCGACTGTTTCTTGCCATGCGAGGGCTTCCATGGGGTCGATACCGTTGAACCAACCAGGCTTCAGTCTTTGGAGGATACCCATTCCGAAGTTGGCAGTCTTGTGCTTGAGCGAGAGTTCCAACTGATGTAGGATGCCATCAACCTTGATCTTGTCGAAACCGTTCTTGCGCGCTTCGAGCAGGGTCTCGGCTATGACTTGGCGGACTTTGCCTACGTCGTCTGCTTTTACAGCATCCAGTCCAATGGAAAAGACACCTCGTCGTCCTGCGCTGTCGTAGCCGGTGTTCGCACTAAAATCAGCACCAAGTCCAGATTCGACAAGATTACGGTACAGAGGCGAACCGTATCCACTCATAAGCAAACTGCTTAGCACACCAAGCGCAAAGTTCTCCACGGCGTCTGCAGTATCTCCCATCAACCAGGTAACTGAAGTCTTGTACTGCCTGTCCTGAGGTACCAAAGGGTCAAGGGGACCAGCAACCGTAACCTGCTTCGGGCCGTCCAGAGTGATTGGAGCCTTCACTTCTTGATCCACAGCGATTTTGTCAAATCCGTTCAAGCGACTGTCCACCTCCTTCAGATGCTCGACTAATGGCATATCTCCATAGGTAAGAATCTTAGCGTTGCTGGGATGGTAGTGGTCCGCATGGAACTTTCGTAGCTGTTCCCAAGTCAGGTCGGTGATCTTCTGTGGGTCGCCGCCGGAGTTGTTGATGGCCGGATAGAGGTGGTCCTGGAATTTGGTATAGAACAGGTAGCTAGCATCCGACATCTGGCCCTTCATCTCATTGTACACCACGCCCTTGAACACGATGCGCTTAGCATTCGGGTCTTCTGACTCTTTTGCTAGTGGGTTCTCAGGCCCCAACCGCCACCCCTCCTGCGTGAAATCGTTCTCCTTGAGTAGTGGGTGTAGTGTCGCATCGAGGTATACGGACATGAGGTTCTTGAAGTCTTGGGCATTCGTCGTCGCGAACGGGTAGCCAGTGTGGTCGGCAAAAGTCCAGGCGTTCATGAAATTGGACAGAGAGCGGGGCAGCATCTTGAAGAAGGGGTCGCGAATAGGGTACCTGAAATGTCAGCCATGGAGTGAGCGCATTTGGGAGGTAGCTTACTTCTCGCTACCACATAACGTGGTGTGCTCGAGGATGTGTGGCACTCCGGTGGCATCTGGCGGGTTGGTCTTGAAACCGATGGAAAAGACATTGTTCGCATCCTCGCGGGCAATGTGCAAATATTCGGCGCCAGTCTTGTCATGCTGAAGGTGCAAAGCTGTCAACTCAAGCTCCGGCACCTGCTTGACACGCTTGAGAGTGAAGCCATGCAACTGCTCGCCGACATTGGGAAAGTTGGAGACATCGGTGACAGCGGCATATCCACGGCGGGAGAGTGTGGACAATCGGTGAGGGGTTATTGTGGCATTTCGAGGGCTCTGAAACTGCCGACCGACGGAACGCAGCATGTTTGGAAGAGAGGATTGATGACAGAATGTCGCGCCGCCTCACAGAAATGTCAGAAGCACCCGCCATCGATGACGCCTGTCGCGCCGATTGGCCGAGGGTCCCCATACCAAAAGAGATTAGCCCGCAAAATTACCAAGACGGAAGAGTGCACCTGTATGGGCTGTTGATGCGTTATACGACTGGAAACAGGCCGGATTGGCTAGTTTGTCACTGATCTCATCTGTCAGGTCCGATATTGAAGCTCGTGGGCGTTGTGGAGACTACCAGGTGTCTTGTGCCTTTCCGCGATCGACCAGACCACCGACTTCCTCCCCTCCTTCCTCTTCAACACCCGCCACGAGACATTGCCCGACCCGACTTGGACAACTGCATGACCCAACACTGTATACATTGCTACACCACACCCGTTCACGCCCCCTGCACTGCGCTGGACACCTGTTTTCACCCGAAGCAGTTCCAAGACGTCAGCGGAGAACTTCTACCTTTGGGACGCGCACTGTAGAGAGGTGGCCGCTGCAAGACGAATGCGCAACTCCGCTGCATAAGAGACTACTTTGGGGATACATGAGATTGAGTGCATAGGTGGAGGAACCATCGGAGGCAACACGAGGGGATCCACAGCTGAAGCGCTACACGCAAGAGTCACGACTTCATGGCAACCGTCGCCCAACAGCGCCAGCCGACGTCTGCCCAGTCTCGACCACACCACGAAGCAAGCCGCAGTGCATCTGCCTCTCCTGCAAACATGGCACCTGCACAGCACAACCCAGCGCCCGCGCCCGCGCCCGCTAAGAAGGGCAAGGGCAAGAAGGCGACAGACCCCTCGGAACAACAGAAGCAGATCCAGGCCAAGATTGCTCAACTCGAGCTGGATCAGGCAGGAGACAAGGAGCAGGAACTTGAAATCGGTGCGTCTACATCTTGCGACGGAGCTACGGACGAGGGGAGACTGGGTGGCGCAGTTAATGTCTGCATAGCACGGGACTGGGGCTCTATGATGTGAATCGCTGGCTGACGTATGGCATGGACAGAACGCGAAGTCAAGAAAGCAAACCGTGAACTCTCCTCCCTCCTTTCCAACATGGACGGCCCGCTGTCTCGTCTCGAAGTTGTACAGAAACGATATACCGAGCTCCTATCCGATATGAAGCGCACGGAGCGCGAACACCAGAAAGCGAAGAAGCGCGGAGATCAACTACAAAAAGAGAAGGATGCGCAAAGGTCTGAGTTGAACAAGGTTACAACTATGAAGGACAAACTGGACAAGCTGTCGCGTGACTTTGCAAAGGAAAACAAGAAACTCAAGGACGAACTACACAAACTCGAAACTAGCGAATCTACCGCCAGGCAAGAACTGCACGAGCGTCTTGAACATCTAGTGAACGATGTGGATGATTGCATAGCAGCTGCGAATGGGCCGGAGCCTCAGAATCAAGCCGAGCAGGAATTGGATGAGCTGTAAGTCTGGCATACTCGGCGTTTGTGGCACCAACTAAACGGACTAGGTTTCGTCAAAAGTTCAAATCGTTCATTGACCAGTACGAGTTGCGCGAGTTACAATATCACTCAATGCTTCGACTCAAAGAGCTCGAGATACAATATCACGCCGCCCGTTTAGAGCAGCAGCGCAAACAACAGGAGGCCGAGTCGTCAAAGTCGCACCAGTTGACGCGTCAAGTGTCGACCTTCTCTCAAACCGAGACCGAGCTACGCACGCAACTCAACATATACGTGGAGAAGTTCAAACAGGTATGTCAACCCGTTAACCCCTCGTTGGTCTGTATCATCATGGTTAATACTGACCAGATGCAGGTCGAGGAAACGCTCAACAACTCGAACGATCTCTTCCTTACGTTCCGCAAGGAAATGGAGGAAATGTCCAAAAAGACCAAACGTCTCGAAAAGGAGAACCAAAACCTGCAGCGTCACAAGGATATTACCAACCGCAATATTGGCGAAATGGTGGAAGAGCGCCAGAAGATGCAAGAAGAGCTTGTAAGGAGGACCAAGGAAGCTGAAGACCAGCGGAAGAAGATCGCTCGCCTGGAAACGTTATGTCGTGGGATGCAAGCACAGGGTCGAGGTCAGGTACCGATGCATGAGCTGGAGCATGACGAGGAGGACGAGGAAATCACGGAGAGTGAGTACGAATATGAGGACGAAGATAGCGCAGAGTATGACGACGACACTGAGGAAGACGGTGTTGAACCGGCACCTGAGCGTCGACCATTCGGACCTGTTCCCCACCTCCACCGCAGCCTCAAGCTGCACAGGGAAAAGTCAATGGGCACACACAGGTCAATGGGCAAATGAATGGAGTCAAACGCTAATAGCAATATCATAGACACTCACTCTTCGTTGCATTCACCTCTTACAGAACCTGTATATGTCGCTCCTGATGTCCCACTTCAATCAGAACTTGCATGGTGTCTCGAAGACATCATGGCGCAGCTGGATCGTATTGATGAGGGGCATGAGCAGATGAATATAATCATGGACAGGATATCCAAGTTTCGTGCATTAGAAGATTCAGAAGATGTGGAGAACTGGTGATAGGATGAAGCGGTTCCATGCGCCACGTTTTGCACACGAGCAGGATGTCTGAACTCGACTACAGACGATGATGATAGTAGTAGCTTTGAACGTGGTTTCTGACGATCACCATGTTACCACATTCAGTAAAAGGTTTTTGAAACTGTGACCGTTCGCATCATGAGTGATGACTAAGATGGTTTACCTGTCTCGAGTAGTTTGAAATTCACCAAGTTTAGACCCTCAATTCATGAGAGACGGGTGAATCTCGGTAATGGCAACAACTATGTGAGACGCTGACGAGTCGAATCGTAGATGCCTCGGCTCATGCACCCACGTTTTCCCCGCAAAACCCCTGGTTGTCGAGCATACCTCCAGGGACGGCCGCTATTTAGCATCCACATCCCCCATACTCGCCATGCCGTCACATACAGCTTCCGTTCGGCTAGAAGCATACAGCTTAGACGTACACTCGGGTTATCCAACGTGATAAATCTCATTTGCTTTGAATCATCCAACGTCCAGTCACCACAGCCTACGCCATCATGTCACCACCGTCATTGCAAACGCCGCTCTCGAAGCTGCTGGGCATCCAGTACCCCATAATCCTCGCCGGCATGGCGCGCACATCTGGTGGCCCCCTCGCGGCTGCTGTGTCAAACGCCGGTGGCCTGGGTGTGATTGGAGGTCTAGGATACACCCCGGAACAGCTTCAATCCATCATCGATGACCTCAAGTCAAACCTGCGAGACAAGAACCTGCCTTTCGGTGTCGACCTCGCGCTCCCACAAGTCGGCGGTAGCGCACGCAAGACGAACCATGACTACACACATGGACAGCTCGACGATCTTATCGAGGTTACGATCAAGAATGGCGCAAAGTTGTTCGTAAGCGCTGTGGGTGTACCGCCCGAGCGAACTATCAAGAGGCTGCACGAAGCAGGTATTCTGATCATGAACATGGTCGGACACCCCAAGCACGCGAAGAAGGCACTAGATGCAGGTGTGGATATCGTGTGCGCCCAGGGTGGAGAAGGCGGAGGACATACCGGCGATATCGCGAACAGCATCCTGATTCCCTCTGTCGTGGACGTCGCGCGCAAATACAAGAGCCCCCTCACAGGTCAGCCAGCCATTGTAGTGGCAGCAGGAGGCATTTACAATGGTCGCAGTTTAGCCAGCAGCTTGATGCAAGGCGCACAAGGTGTGTGGGTTGGCACACGCTTCGTCGCCTCCACCGAGGCCGGCTGCTCGCAAATGCACAAGGAGAATGTAGTTACTGCCGACTTTACAGACACAGGCCGGACACTAGTTGTCAGTGGCCGACCGTTGCGCGTCAGGTACAACGACTATATCAAAGAGTGGCATGCGCGCGAGGATGAGATCAAGAAGTTGACGGATGCGGGTATTGTGCCGCTGGCAAAGGACATGGACGATGGGAAGGATGTGGATATCCCGTTCTTGATGGGTCAGGTTGCGGGGGTAATCGGCGATATTAAGCCTGCAAAGGAGATTGTTGACGAGATGGTGCAAGAGGCCGTCGACATGTTGAGGCTAGGGCAGACGTATATTGGAGGGCCGAGTAGTAAACTGTAGATGATAATTGTAGACTTGCTCTGCCTCAATGGTGCGTTGGCGTAACTCGGTTCCTGTGCTGTGTGCTACAAGATACTTTTGTGTAACACCAGCGCGCAAGAAGCGAACACATCGTCCAGGACATGTTCGGCTCTTGTTTGAATAACGCATTGCACAGGTGCCATTGACTGGTACATTATAGAAAATAATAAATACTCCATGGCCATGTAGCCGTCGCCGTGTGTTGGTGGTCCCGCACCTTCCCAGTGGAGCGGCATCTGGATGATCTGCGACCAGGATCGCGCTCCCCGAATCCATGGCAGCACCGGAAGCTCAGGAGAGATCTGACGGTACGCCCAGTCCCCTCCGCAAAATTCACAATTAATACACTTTGTTGCAATTCCCGGTCGGCCAAAAATTAGTATCATTATCCTCGCTCATCTCGAACGCCCTAGCCCCCTGGCGTTTGCGGCTATCTCCACTTTCGCTGCGACAGGACCCGTTCCTCTCTTCCGCGGCGCTCGCTCGCCAGACCGAACTCCTGCAACTCATAGATGACGCTGGTTGCGCAGGCGACACCACGGAGCAGCGGCGCATCATTCCATGCAGTCAAATCTCAGAGCCCAGGCTGAGATTCAGGCCCAGAGGAAGAAGGTATGTACCGTCCCGTTGCCGTCCAACGACGCTTGTGCGCCGCAAACAAGCAAAACACACAGGCGCATACCTGGCAGGACTGATGCTGAGACTGAAATTATAGCAGCTTGCAAATTCGTATAAACAGTTACTCGAGTAAGTCTCCTCCTTGCTTTTGCGCGCCGAGTGCGTGTTTCACCCGTGGTAATTTGCTGACCCTGGGACAGTGAGTTCGCGGCGACCGATCTGAAGACCGTCGGTAATTATACACTGGGGAAACTTATAGGCAAAGGAAGTTTTGGCAAGGTCTACTTGGCATCACACAAACTGAGCAATGGCTCCAAGGTACTGTGGCAACAAATGCCATGAAGGAACCACGCTCATCGCGAACAGGTCGTGCTCAAGAGCGCGAAGAAGGACGACGCAAACCTCGCGCGCGAAATCCATCACCACCGCCAATTCATACACCCACACATCGCCCGTCTGTACGAGGTCATAGTCACCGAGGAGCTAGTCTGGTTGGTACTCGAGTACTGCCAGGGCGATGAACTCTACAACTACCTCCTAGCCAAGGGCGCCCTCGAAGCCTCCAGAGTCCAGAAGATCTTCACCCAACTCGTCGGCGCTGTATCCTACGTCCACAACAAGTCCTGCGTCCACCGCGACCTCAAACTCGAAAACATACTGCTGGACAAACACGGTGATGTCAAGTTGGTCGACTTTGGTTTTACGCGCGAGTACGAGGGCAAGTCGAACTACCTGCAAACATGGTGTGGAACTATCTGTTACAGCGCGCCGGAGATGCTTAAGGGCGAGAAGTATGCGGGTGAAAAGGTGGACGTTTGGAGTTTGGGTATCATCCTCTACGCGCTTCTGGTGGGCGAGTTGCCTTTTGACGAGGACGACGAAATGGTCACGAAAAACAAGATACTGAAGGAGGAACCAAAATATCCGGAACACTTCCCGCAGCAAGCAAGAGAGCTGTGTTCGTCGCTCCTTTCGAAACGGCCGATCTTGCGACCTACATTGGCGGATATACTACAAAACCCTTGGTTATCGGAACATGCGCCTCGCCAGCAGGAGATTCTGAAGCTTCAACAGCCGGCGCCTTTCTCGACGGAACTGGAGAAGGAGGTGTTGCATCGTATGCGTGCAGCTGGAGTGGATATTGACATGGTAATTGAGAATGTGTTGGCCCAACGATGCGACTCGTTGGCCGGTTGGTGGGCACTACTGCTTGAAAAGGAGGAACGCAAGGCAAAACGAAGAGAGCGCAAGCGCAAGGAGAAGGAAGCAGAAGCTAAGAGCCTCAGACGGTTGAGCGCTGCAAGTAGCCGACTGGACAAACTTGCGCCTACCATCAGAGAATCGGACGAAGAGGGTATACATTCCCCATCCACACCAAAAAGTCGCGGTAGGACTATAAATCGAAGCAGCTTGCACGGTCAGTATGGTTACGGCTATTGCGAAATAAATCTAACTCTTGACAGGTGCTCCCGAGCTACCCAAATTACCGGAATCACTAACCTCTCCCAATCTTACCGTCGACGACAAGCCGCTTCCACCAATTGATACACATCGGGGCCGTAAATCCCATTCCTCCTCGCGCCCGCCACCACCAGCAAAAGATTTAGATAGACGGCGATCACGCAGTAGCATGTTACAAGTCGTGTCCACTAACCCCGACCTCCTCTCGCCCAACGGCTTCGTGCCTAAGCGGCGCCGGAAGCAGCCCTTCATCAACCACCTTTTGTCACTTAGGAATTGGATAAAGGAAACGTCGAAACGAGCACGATCACCAGGCTCAAAGGCTAGCAGTGGCCAATCCCCGAAAATACCTCCAAGTACGTCTTCAGATTCAAGACGAAGGCAAAGTACAGCGAACCGTTCTTCTGTACATACGAATCCCAAGTCTCCGCCAATACCACACACGCCAGGTCCCCGACCCCGAGGTTCGACCCACGGCTCAGGCTCCATGAGAAGGCTCTCAGCATCCCCCGCCCCACTGACACCGCGATCCTCATATCGTCGTTCCTCTGGTGGACTCCGAGGCCGAAAGTCTACATCATCATCTGTATCTTCGATTCGCAGTATGCCACACCACCATCACTCGCACTCGAAAGCCTCATCCACGTCCTCCGCCTCGCTCGCCTCTCCCGCCGTCTCCGTAAGCAGCCACTCACACAAACCCTCCAAATCTCCCCACAACAGCATCAAAGTCCTCCCCGCAACTCCCACATCCTCAAGCTTTCCCTCCAACATCCGCCTTGTACGTTCTGGATTCCCACCTGGCCTCACAGAGTCCAGCGCCGCCTTCGGAAACGGTAATAGTATTCCTCCGCAATCTCCAGGTCTGATCTTCGCAAAGAGGAAGAGGAGTCCATTCAAAGGACCCATGCTTAATGTTAATACTGGGGCTTTAAATGGCAGTCACGCAAACGGTAGCGGCTGGAGGAGCAGAAGTGGAGATAGCGGTATGGGTAGTAGAGGAACAAGTGTTCAAGGTCGAAGGAGTGGAGAAATACTGGGCATCACCGAGGAAGATGAGGAGGAAGAGGAAGAAGTTGAAGAGGTTGAGACGTTTGGAGGCAAGTTGGGTGAAGGCGAGTTCGTTGAAGAGGAAGGGCCTGGGCCGTTGACCCCGCCTAAAGAGAATTTTAAAGAGAGGGCTTGAATATCTTGTAAAACGGTCATGGGAGTAAAGAGAGGTTTGAGGATATCTTGGTGAGATTGTGGGGGTTCGGCCGTTTCATATTGGCCATTTCCGACTTCGGTTGTTGTTGCGTAGTGGGTGTTCACCTTCTTTTCGCTTTTTTTCTTTCTTCATTCTCTGAGTTATCGCACCTTTACGGCATACATTCGCGGCGTTGGTCCATTTTTTCGGATACCTATACACACATGTTCTTTTCCTTTCGTTTATCCATTCTAATCTCATAGATACATATTCCTACTATGCAAATTTTTCACGCACCACATCTATGTGCATCCTCCAGTAACGGGTGTGTTCGTAGAATGACGTCTATCACTCACGCTGATATCACTATAGCATGTTCAAATCGTGTTAGAGCCCCAAACGATGTCCTACTTACCCTGGAAATTTCTAGGCGATCGCCACACCAAGAGTCCGTTCACAATCAGCCAATAAATATTCTATACAAAGAACATGATATTCATACGTTCTCCTTGATACGTTCTCAAGGTACCCGAAGCAAGGAGAATCGATTACGTAGGACAACATCGTACAACGACACGTGTACGCAAATACACAGACAGGTACAGCAGGTAAGTCAGTAGGGATATACTTGCGCTTGATGTAAGCCTTTTCGTTGCACGCTGACTTTCAAGAGGCGGTGTGGTGTATATGTGGCGTTGGAGTCGATGGTGAATTTGGGCAGATTGTGTGACCAAGTACATCTGACCTTGACATAGTTCCGAAGATGATCTTCGGTGCAGGCAAGTACCATTGTCGCGCACGAAGATTACGTCGGTGAGAACGTTACTGGCTTCTTGAAAGCGCAACGGCTGTCCAGTGGAGATGATTCGGTGACATGCTGTTGTCCATTGTAGCTTCCTGATTGATTGTAGTCTGCTAAGCTCGTCATTTGCACTACGCGCAATGATATTGCGCCCAATGTGTGAGGTTTGCCATGTGACGCGCACGAGACAAAAGTCCAACAGCCGAAATGTGGGAGGTGGCGCATACGGTACGGTAACGCTGTGCTACACTGAGGGACGCAAGGGCCATGAAGTGGTAGATTCGAATCTGTGCGTTATCGCAGTACTCATTTCTCAAGAGGGATAGCCAGATTGGATGGCAGGTAAGGGCCGTAATATTGTGTCCTTGAAGCAAATGTAGTACATCTTGACTCGCCAACGCTCAAAAAGGACGATAAGAGAGATTGGATGACACATACGCCACTTTGATGAGCTGCTCCCTCGGGAGATGCAACGTAAGCCGGGAAGATCAGTCTGTGCATCAGTGCATAAACGGCGTGCGCCTTCGCTACACCGTAGAAAGTTGTAGAAGCACCAAGCGCAAGCCAACCACCAGCCGCTTTTTGCCCGCGGAGCTACGAATAATGATGGCAGTGAGTCTAACGAACTTTCATGTGAAGACCTCGGGAGGCGTTGTCGATACGGGCAACAGATGATACAGTCAAGACGTTGCGACAGTTTGATAGGTGCCGGTGGTGGCTTACCATGTGGGTTGGGGCGTTTTCTGACTCGACCAGTAATGAACGACAACCATAACGACATCGCGTCCCACCAATATGTACTTGGCAAATGAGATTGCACATGTGAAGTTTACGAACAATCCGTTGGTGGAAGAGGAGGGACGTCCGACAGCAGGTGAGGTAAGATTTCGACTTTGCTGAGGGATTGGCAGAGATGGTTGACTGATGCAGCAAAAGGTACAAGGGTTCAGGTAACACACGTGTATATCGATTCGTAATGAGCGAACTTGTGTTCTTACGTGACGAGAGTATGCGGGGCGTACTGCTGGTGTACGTCCGCTCCAAGCTGGGCCAGTCGACAGGCATGATGCACGCAAGGCAGAGGAGATTGCGGCGCGGTGTTGGTACGATGCTCCTGTCTTGATGTGCGTTCTCAAGACATCAGTAGTCGAGAACCACACGATGTTTAGGCGACATCTGTACCTGCATCGGATGAAGATGAGATTAGATTGAGAAGCACGAGTATACTTGGTAGCCCCTGCATATGGTAGGATGCGTTGATGAAGGGTCGTCAAGCGATATGGATCGGGGAAGACGTAATATGATTTACCCGTCTTTACCGACGCGTGTGTGAAGGAAGCGCGTAATGGGTCTACATAACGCGACAGTAAGCTAATTGCTGGGCTGATTTGCGACCTGTAGGGTGGTCACATATCCATGTCGAGCCGTCGCGTCGCCGTTCAGACGGTTCAGCCTAGGACTTGCTAGGGTATTAGTTTCGTAGATGTTCCCAGGCCAGAGGCGAGCTCGTGATGAGCACGAAGGGGCAGTGCCTAAAACAGCACGTCGACTATGCGCCAATGCTGCGGCAACGGGACGGGTCAACGGGTGTTGTGAGATGTCTACTCCGAGGTCGACCCGGTCGTCGTCACGATACAGAAACTCGAAGTGAAGGAAAGCAGCAAGGAGCACCTGAAGATTGCGATGGCGGTATTGAAAGGGTGGTTGGAGACGTCGGAAACCTCGGACGTGGGGTTGGTGGCATGTCTTGCGCGCACATGCCGCAAGAGTGCTGGTGGCTTCGAGATAAGGGCGGCCCGTGCGTCGTTGGACTTGGGGAAGTCGCGCAAGCGCCATCAGGACTCGACAGATAGCGCCGGCAGCCAGCGCCCAAAGACGTTACTCAGTCCGACACGCGAGACGCAAATCTGGAGTAATGTAGAATAGAGTTAAGTGACCGAGAGAGTGACATTTTGGCGTGCGGTATTTAGGGCTGTTGGAGCGTTGGAGCGTTGGGGGGGTTCGTCGGTGTCTGCCGCTTCCAAGAGTGGAGGCGGAAGGAGCGAACTCAGCGAAGAAGGAGCGAATGTGCGACAATGCGCCGTCGATACGGGATGCCAGTCACGTCGCCGTGCTCCGTGCAAACATCGTGCAAATGGTGGAGGGCCATGGTTCAACCGCACTGTCACTAATAGTCACATCACTTCTGCACGACTCTGCCCTTGGACAGGCTCTGCGTGTGTATTGATTCCATAGACGCGCCACGCCGCGATAACGTCGCTCCCACACCTAAGCCAAATCCAGATGCACCCCGGCCACTACACATCCTAGTCGATAGTCCCTACCCGGCACTCTGGAAAGGACACTGACCCTGGACGCCTCAGTTCCGTAGTTGAGCTCGCGCGCCTCAAGACTAGGCCCAAGCCCAAGCAGCCTGGTCGTCAGCATCGCACTCATATCCCGCCCCTGCGCCCACCGCACAGGAAAAAGCAAATATCTCCAACGGCTGCACCGCAGCGACACTGACTGACGTGCAGAACAGCTGCATTTTACACTCTTTCCGTCGCTTGTTATCGCGCCGTTGCGCTAAGCCACCATGACAATAGACGACGACATGTACGGCACCGAGAAGAGTTTTGGGAGAGCCTCGCAAGGGTCCGACTACTATGGCGAATCATCACGGTACCAGGACGGACTGGGGAGGAGGGTTATCGAGAGCTTCAAACGGGACCCGAATTTTGCCATGACCATGACGCCAAAGGGAAGCTTAGGGGCCGACGGGAACGTCTTCGATCCAGAGGCGGCAGCGGCAAATACTGCAAACTCACCACTTGCGCGGAGACTAAAAGGTCGCCATTTGCAGATGATAGCAATTGGAGGTTCCATAGGTATGGTTTGGCATGCATCAACTAAGCGGGGGTCCACCGACTGACTTTCCCAGGTACCGGTCTATTCGTCGGCTCAGGGCAAGCACTAGCAAACGGTGGTCCAGCATCGCTCGTCATCTGTTACTGCCTTGTAGGTATCATGCTGTACACTACCGTCCACGCACTGGGCGAGATGGCAGTGCTCTTTCCCGTCGCCGGTTCCTTCTCCGCATACTCGACGCGCTTCCTGGATCCCGCATGGGGCTTCGCCATGGGTTGGAACTATGCGCTCCAATGGCTTGTCGTACTACCACTGGAAATCGTCGCTGCTACTTTCACAATCGAATACTGGAATGGCGATAAGGTCAACAACAACGCCTGGGTGGCAGTCTTCCTGGTCTTGATCGTCGTCATCAATCTTTTCGGTATCAAAGGATATGGTGAAGCCGAGTTCGTCTTCGCCATCATCAAGATCACAGCGGTTATTGGCTTCATCATCCTTGGTATCATCATCAACATAGGCGGTGGCCCAGATGGAGGCTATATTGGCGGCATGTATTGGCGTGACCCAGGCCCCTTCAATAATGGCTTCAAGGGCCTGTGCAGTGTCTTCGTCAACGCCGCATTCGCCTTTTCTGGAACTGAGCTCGTCGGTCTTGCTGCAGCGGAAACAGCCAATCCGCGCAAGTCTCTTCCCACAGCTGTCAAGCAGGTCTTCTGGCGTATCTCACTGTTCTACATCGTCTCCCTTACTATCGTCGGATTGCTGGTTCCCTACGATGACAAGCGACTCCTCCAAGACAAGAATACTGCAGATGCTGTTGCCTCACCGTTCGTCATCGCCATTCAAAATGCAGGCATTCAGGGACTGCCATCCGTCTTCAACGCTGTGATCATGATTGCTGTTCTCTCAGTCGGCAACTCCTCTATCTACGGTTCTTCGCGCACACTCGCTGCACTGGCTGAGCAAAACCAAGCCCCCAGAATATTTGCTTACATTGACCGCCAGGGTCGTCCTCTCGTTTCCATCGCCTTTGCCTCATCGCTTGGTCTTCTCGCTTTCCTTGCTGGCGCAGAACGCAAGCTACAAGATGCTGCATTCAACTGGCTACTTGCACTATCTGCGCTCTCAGCTGTCTTCACCTGGCTTTCCATCTGTCTAGCGCACATCCGCTTCCGTCAAGGATGGAAGGTGCAAGGACACACCCTTGATGAGCTTGCCTTCCGCTCTCAACCTGGCCTTATCGGATCCTATGTCGGCCTCTTTCTCAACATTCTCGTTCTCATTGCACAGTTCTACGTTTCAGTCGCTCCAATCGACATGGCCGTCCTGTCGACATCGCAACGTCTGCAACGCTTCTTTAGCGTCTACCTCGCACTACCAGTTACACTGGCCTTTTATTTCCCCTACAAGTTCTGGTTCCGCACGTCGGTCGTGCGTTCGCACAACATGGATCTCGTCACCGGCATCCGTGAGCTAAACATTCAAGCGCTGATCGAAGAGGAGCGCGAGGAGAAGAAGAAGTGGCCGAGGTGGAAGAAGGTGTACAAATTCTTTTGCTGATAGATGCCCTACTGCAGCATTCCCTTTTGTCTTGTTCTTTTAGCGATGGCGCCACATGTTCTTCTTTTCGCGGTGCCCTTGTGATACCAGGCGGCATGCCACTTGGCATTGCGCAGTCTTGCGACTTGTATTCTCCCGTCTTGTATATTTACTGCTGGTTGGTATTAATAGATGCAGCATGGGACTTTCGTGCTTGCTGTAGGATCCTGAGAATAAAAGATGAGCTTTATACTGCATATGAACGTATATAACATCGTGTTTCCGAACGACTGATATCAAATTGTGGTTCACTTCGTACACATGCGACTAAAAGTAAAAAATAAAGATACAGCACGCGAGGGTATAGCAGGAAGAGCCAGCATCAAACAACCAGCGCATACCTTCAACCTTACCTATCCCATGTCCCCCCAAAAAATCTCGACGCCACCCTATTATCCTAAAACACCATCTCACCCGTTCAGTGTCAAAAATTGGTCGTAAGCAAACAGTGAAAGCAAAAAGAAAAAGAGAGGTCTTGCCCGGAATCGAACCGGGGTTGCCGGAAGACACTGATTATGAGATCAGAATCCGGAGTGATAACCGCTACCTGGAATGGTTATTAGCGGGGGCAAGCGAGAAGTGATTTGTTGGAGAACGTACACTACAAAACCGATATCAAGATGAAATTTATATAATTTATATAGGGTGTAAAACAATGCTCGATGGAAAAGGTGTGGAGAAGCAGGCATGGTGCTAGGTTTTTTGGTTGCCTATAGTGGGGTGGTGGGGTTCGTGAGACTCGAGAACACGCCATACAGGAGAAAACCTGAACAAGTGTATCGAGTGAACCACAACCTGGTCTTAGTCCGCGGCTCCGATATGTCATGCCTCAGTAGCTGAATAGCCTCGCAAGTTCGTACCTGGCGAATACGTCATGGTCACGCCTCTCTAAGCCGCGTCGCTTCTTGGTCTACTTAGGTTTACATCGGCAGCGAACTGCTTGCTTCAACAGGTGCTAGTGGAGCCTTGGGGTTATTCAACAAGATTTGTTTGGACTGGTCTCATCGCTAAGTCTTGTAGAGCTCCGCTGGAGGTTGATCACGTTGGGAAGTATCCGATGAAAGCTTGGCTGTTGATGTCTGCATTCCAGCGATACACAAGTACGCGAGCTAGCTACACGAAACAGTATCCAAACCTACCTACCAACGATGAGCGAGAAGCTATGCTCGCCGGCTAGTCCAGTCTTGAGACAGTACGTCGAGTCTAGGAGGAGTTATAGTTCAAGTTGGTGCCCGGTTGCGATGAACAGTTACCAAAATCGTATGCATTGCTGTAATACTTGCCATTATATAACGACACCGGTCATTCACCCGCACTCCTGTCAACAATGTGCAAGGTATCGAATTCAGCTTAAGCATTGGTCACAGCCTGAACAATAGCGCCCTTGGCTCCCTGATCCAGACCATCCAGCTTAGCCATGTCCTCCTTGTCGAGCTCGAAACCGTAAACGTCCGCGTTCCCAACGATGCGAGACGGCGTGTCACTCTTGGGAAGAGGAACGAAGCCCTTTTGTAGACTCCATCGAATGAGGACTTGGTTTGGCTCCTTGTTGTGCTTCTTGGCGATGCTGGCGAGGGTCTCGTCGTTGGCTTTCTCGTTGCGAACAATCGGGCAGTAGGCTTCGACGACGATGTTCTTTGATTTGCAGTACTCTACGACCTCGCGCTGTTGGCACCAAGGGTGGAGCTAGTTGGCCTTGTTAGCTCGGTTGCGCGATGGAATGGGAGTGCGACAAACCTCAATCTGGTTGACGGCAGGAAGGCTAGCCTTGCTATCAATGGAGGCGAGCTCCTCGATGTGCTGGATGCCGTAGTTGCTGACGCCAATGTCCCGCACAATGCCCTTGTCCTGCGCCTGCTTCAGAGCGAGCCACATCAACTTCCTAGCCTCATTCCCTCCATTGGGGCTGTGAATGAGGAAAAGGTCCGCATAACCATCCTTTCCGGCAAGCTTCTCAACGCTCTCCGCGATCTTCTTGTATGTAGACTCGACGTCCTCCCCAGGGCTGAGAATCTTAGACGTGACGTAGACATCTTTTCGAGGAAGTCCGCTTTCAGCCAGCGCTTGGCCAACTTGCTCTTCGTTTGCGTAGTACTGTGCTGTGTCGATATGACGGTAGCCTGCTTCGAAGGCCTTCTTGCAGGAAGCGACGCAGACGTCCTTTGGAGATAAGTAGACTCCGAAGCCAATTTGTGGAATCTTGTACTCCGAGTTCGGCAAACTCAGAGTTGAGTTTATGCTGAGCGTGCTCGTTGACATAGTGTATAGCGGGGTAGTGATGAGGGGTGAATACTTGGGTGAATATATCAGCAGTGAACGAATGCCAGTCTGTCGAACAGCGGAGTGTGATGAGCTGAAGAGTCTAGAAGAAAAGAGCATACCAGAACGTTGAGAGGAATGGTGCCGCCATCGATCTTCGTTAGGTAGCTCTAGACACATACTGCAGTTGCTCCTGCAGTCGTGATGTCACTGCTTGCAGCTCCATAGTTGGGGAGTGGGTCCAAACACGATGTGGACTCCCAAGGGCATGACATGCACGAAGACTCTGGGTGTCTGCTTATTTATCAGCAATTGGAAACGCAATGGACAGAGCAAACCGAAGGGTGTGCGTTGGAAGTGGAAGAACAGCCTGACGCGTTCTTCTCGCGCGACTGCGAGCAGCTGTTCGCGCTAAGATCTGCCATCCCCACCAAACACAAAGTGCTTCTTCCATTCCTCAAGGTTGTCCAACACTACTATCCGCAGCTCAAATCTACTACGTTGATATCCGAAGAATTAGTGCATATGCTATACCAACCTTCTATCGATACTCGGATATTACTCTTTACCCGCTGCTGCAAACGAGCGTATACTTGGTCGCTTGCTCAGTCCTGTTCATGTAATTGGCTCGAGTGGTTAAGCGTAATGCTTCGTAAAGGTCGCATGGATTTGAACGGCGAAACACGGGCATTGTTAGGGGGGGATTTGGAGTTCAATCAACGCATCAGACTGCAAGAGAGCAAATTGCTGCACATGAGAAAAAAACATGTCGGCAACGGGGTTCATAACTCGTGTATTGAAAGTTATGCTAGTCCCTGGGCTAACCCATGTTCATGACAGTGACCATTACGTCCCTCCATCATGCTTCGTGGACTTAGTTGATCTTCTTGAGCTCGACCTCGCTGTATCAGAGTTAGCATTTGTCTCAAGGCCCGTAAGACACGGTGTGAAGACGTACAAGATGAGGTCAGAGTTGGGAGGAATCAAGCCGGGGAACGACCTGTGACGACGTTAATACTCGCACTCAACCCAAATATTCTATGAAGCTTACTGGGTACCATAGGCAAAGTCGCTGCTGATGTCCAGCTTTGCCTTCTCACCGAGCTTCATCTGGACAACACCCTCATCCCAGCCCCTGATGACGCGACCAACGCCGATGGGTGTCTGGAAGGGACCACGGCCGGTGGTGCTGTCGAACTGCTTGCCCTTTTCGCCTGACTCAGTCTTGAGCCAGCCAGTGTATTCCATGGTGACCTTGTCGCCCTTCTGCGGGGAGGGGCCGTTGCCCTCTTGGAGGACAGTCTTCTGGACACCCATGATGCGTGCGGTTGTAGTGAAGGCTCGAGTTGTTGCGCGTTGGAAGGTGGAGGGGGTAAGAAAGCTTCTCATTGATTGGAGTGAGAGAGGTGAGTGGAGGATGGAAGGAAGCTTTCAACGGAAAGAAGGAAGGAAGCTGGAAAGGCCCTTAGAGGGGTAGCTTTAGTGGGGTAGTGGGGTGCAGATCGTCAGCACACAGCCTCATGCTACTGCAAGGGCAAGGTAACCAGGGCAAGTACGACGAGCATGACCAATGAATCGAGCACGTCAGTACTTCAGGGTGGGTTGACTGCTCGTCTGGGGAAATTGCGTGATTGTGTGTACGTCAGGGTGTCTTGAGCTTGAGTTCGCGCTTACCGCGGTAAGAGACGCAGGTGTCTGGAAGAGCCATAGCTCCAAGTAAATGTGCATGGCCCAAAAGGCGTTGAGCTTTGCAAACGATAGTATAGCAATTTTGCCTAGCTTGTCGCATTGAGTAGCAAAGACGGTGAGCTCCATCGCATGCCCTTGTAGACCGTCGAACGACCAGTTGACCTTTTTGCTCAATAGCGGCAACCCCAGTATATCCCAATATATTACAGTGAACGTGAGCTCATGTCAAACGCCGTGCTTATGCAGAGAGGAGATGTTGTACACTTGCTCATCCCGAGCCTTGTTCGCAACACTCAGCCAAACCATGACTTGTTCCTCCTCGCTTCTCTCCTTGCTTCTTGCTATACAGTTGTTAGCGTTTATTCCACAGCGATGATACGACGCGTTATATGGGATAGTGAAAGGGTGGCTGCGGTCGTGTGGGCTGAGGATGGATACGACGTACCCATTGTTCTTTGCAATCTCGATATGCCCTGATAAAACACCTATTAGCACGGGTCCTCCACAAAAGTCTTCGTATCCTGCACAATGTCGCAATCTCCTGTTTTTGGACCTTGCTGTGGGCACTGCACTCACTGGAAGAAATCCGAGCACATAGCTCTCTCTCCTCCATTCCTCTTCAGACACTTTATACTCCTGTCCGCCGCTTCCTGACAGGGGTCGTAGTATTCGCTGTATGCCTTGCTATACCGATCTATCAGCGTCCATCCTGCGTAACAGACGTTTGCGACACGGGTATTGTGGTGGCGTACTTGTCGAATTTGCTGGCTTTGGAGCCAGTCCATTGGTCGGCTTTCGAGGGAGTCGGTTTATCGGACATGTTGAGGGGTTCGAACTAAGGTATGTGGGAAGGTGGTTCACAACGCGCGGTGGTGTGGAGTCGTCGGGCAGTCTTGCGATGGTACATGAGTTGCGATGAGAGACCTGAAGATGCGCCGCGGAGGTGCGTTATCGATAAGAACGGCAGACGGATGAGTAGGACATGTGCACTTTCCCAATATGCCACTGCTCTCCCTGCGTCTTCTGACTCCAGACATTAAACTTCCATTCCTGCTGAAGATTTGAATCACATGGGTTTGCGACCGCTGAGGTTCACCATGGCATCAGGGCCTACCGAGTGACTGAAGACGCTTTTCTTGCATTGGATCCAGATCTAATTCTGAGTTGCTCGCTTTCCTACGATCTGCTTTCAAGACTCACACGGAAAGCCACGAGAGGTAATCGGCGTATGGATACTCAATAATTCGTCCTACTCTGTCACTTCATCATCGAGTGTGGGGGCGGGAAGGCTACTACGGGAGCTAGGCTGGGTATCCCCACAAAAACTGCGATGTGGAAAGTGTGTATTGAGCAGGCCATTCATATCATTTGAGTGTCACGGGACTTCTTACCAAAGAGTGCTGGCATGCTGCTCATGGGCTATGCATCTAGGCCAACATACGATCATGTATCTAGGTAAGATTCTGAACCTTGGATAAGGCAACCAACCCTGGGCTGGCATAGTAGGGCCGTAATCCGCTTGTCATCCGCACACAATACGAACTGTCTAATCAATCAAACAACACAACTGCTGAAGGAAAAAGCTTGTAGTTGCTGTGGCTTCGGGTACCGGCAATATGCTTATTGAGAGGATACAGGGGGCACGGTGGCACACGGAACAATAGTCGATATAGTTGCCATGGTTCTTCTTCTCAGTATCTAGCCAATGTGCTTCGCAATATGCATCCCTTCATCCTTACTGCTTTATGGGCGTTGACCTTGGTTGTGTCGGCACAAGATTCTCCTTTGACAACTCCCACTCTGCTTCCGTTCTACGTACCATTTCCCCTCGCTTCTTCTGGCGACTACATCACGTCCTATACTAACGACAAATTCTGGCAACATGAATACCGCAACTACCACGTTTCGATTACTTCGGCTGGAGCCGACACTGTGGTCTATGTCATCGACTGTCAACCTAACCTCGATCATCCATCTTGCACAAACTTGGCTTGTCCAAAATCTGTAGTTTGCGCCTCAGAAATCGTTCCTTGGGGATTCATGACTGTCACGCAAAGGAGGCTAGGGGCTTTCGGTTTTGCATTTCGTGGGGAGCACGAATGCAGCATGGCCCCCTATCAGTCGACACAAACGTGTACGTGGTACGAATATCAATGCAGCAGCAGTACCACTATTGATCAGACTACGCGGCCTTGCGCAAAGTATGAGAACACGAGATGGACCTGGGATAAAGTCCAGGATGGGACTAGTCATCTAGAGATATCGAGTTTGGGGCATTTGAGCAGTGCGGCCAAGATGCTTGTCACGCTTCGTGTCGGAGGGGCCGACAAAGTACCAGCCATAAGTAGGCATTCTTTCTTAGTGACTCGATGCTTAGACGCCATGTTAGCCAATCGCTAACGCACATACCACAGTGATAATCAGTATGCTGAGTGAAGCGGAGGCGATGATAAGCGCAACATTGACGGTCAGTTCGACCGCGCATGGTGCTGCAGTGCCCAAGGCTACAGGACGTGTAGGGAAAGAGGCTCTGTTCGGTACGGCAGGAGTGCTAGGTGCAGCCGTCTTTGGATTGTAGATGTCTTTGATTACAGTTTGATGAAAAAAAAAGGTTTCAAAAGAAAGGTGTGGAGAAATGGTTGAACGGAGCCATGGGCGAAATTGTGACAGGAATGGGAAGGGTCGCGTGGCCCACGTCATTGGCGGGTCAAGCTTGCAATAGAAACACTAGGTCCAATCAGAAAGTACCATGTATGGGAAGGTCAATAGTCGTGGAGATGGTTGGCGCTGGACGGTGATGATTCTCCATTGCAGGCGCTAAGGATGGAGTGAAAGTTGATAGTGAACGGCTGCTGCGGCAAACGGGTCGGAGGGCAAGGGCAGCAGCGACCGAGCGCCAACATGCTTAGGCTAGTCGACCCGCTGTTGCATGCATAACCACTGCCAACGATAGTCTTTCTTCTCTACAAGGGCAAGTCCCATGTGAGCAGATGCTCCGTCTATCAACCCCCAGCTGCACGTCGCCGTGAGAAAGAGAGTCACCGCCCGCCATGGAGAATCGAGCGTCGCCAACCCCGCCCACCGCTCGCCCCAAGAATTCGGCCTCATCCATCGCATCATCGTCCAACACAACTTCACATGCCGCTTCTGGCTCGCAGTCTGCCGGCATGCCTTCAAATTCACGGACCGGGCGCGGAAGTACCCCGACTACTAGCCGGTCTGCATCAAAACTCATCGACCAGGACAAGCCGACGCGGGCGGCAAGCAAGGACAGCCTCAAACAGAAGATGCTAAGCAAGAAGGACGATCCTCCACAGCCGAGCAGGGCAGATGAAGTACGACGTGCCGATTTGTATTGGGCTACTGATCCATCGACTAACGTTCCGCAGCAGCTCAAGGCGCTCAAGTCGGAGTTTGACAGCCTTCGCTCCCATCTGACATGCAAGATCTGTGACCGTTTGCTCTACCAGCCTTACACCATATCGTGTGGGCATACCTACTGCTATACAGTAAGATGCGCACCTCATCACTGCACCGGTCGTCCTCTAACATGTCCAGTGTCTCTGCACGTGGTTCGTTGCCAACAAGGCCCGCAAGACATGCCCCGACTGCCGTATTGTCGTAAAAGACCTACCGGCCCCCGCCTATGTGGTGAGTCAGGCTGCATACAATTCCAGCGAGAATGTCTAACACAGTTGGCTAGATCCGAGACATGACGGGCGTCTTCATCGCGCGAGCCGAATTACTACCCACGGGCGAGAGCATCGAAGACCACAAGAAGTGGCAGAAGGACGAGGCCGACGCCGTGCAGCTGGACAAGGACAACACTGACCCTCGCGCTGGCGGTCTCTTTAAAGGCTGCTTTAGGCTATCGCATCACCAACGGGGCCCATCACTGCAAGTCGTGCGCGACCAGGAAGACGGTGTTGACCGTTGTCCGGTGTGCACCTGGGAGCTGGAAGATGGCGGATGTACCCAATGCGGACTGATCTTCGACGAGACAGGCGAAGTCTCATGGGGTGATAGCTTCACCGGCTTTAGTGACATGGACGAAATGTCAGAGCATGATCAAGACGACCTCGACGCCGAGATGGACATGCAGGACCCAGACTATGACGGATATGGAGACGGCATGGAAGACTGGGGTGCATACCCTCCCGACCAAAGCTCGTTCATGATGCGACGTTTCCTGGAGGCTGGTATACCACCCAACGCAGCAGCCTTCGCAAGGCGACGTCCGATCACGCACAGCGAAGCCGGCAGCCGACGCTCTTACTCACAAAGCATAGTCTCAGACATGTACGGCGACGAGATGGATACGGTCGAGGAAGAAGATGAAGATGGCCTGGACGAGGACTCCTCGATGAACGATTTCATTGACGACGAGGCCGTACCTGTATCGAGTTCACCCAGCGCTGCGTCATCCACCCCCGGTCCTGTCCCCCAGCCATCCAACAACAGATCGCGAACACAGGCCCGAGCACGTCGTATCGTTGAGTCTGAATCATCATCCAACCGCTCGAGCACCGTTGAGGAAGAAGACGAAGACGAGGAAGACGAAGGGCCAATCCGCAGGGGGATGAGGAATCCGGCTCAGACCCGCGTTCTGCATCGGGCAAACGGGTCAAGATCTTCCCGTGAAACAGCTTCAACCACGTCCACCGACGTCTCCACTGAAGAACTGGACGAAGACACACAGGCACTATTACGAGAGGAGGGATGGGAGTTGCAACGCGACTACGACGACGAGATGGGAGAAGAGGATGAAGATGACAGCGATGGAGGAAGGACGACCGTTGGGTGGGAACCGCTTGCGAACTCAAATGACAGAAGCCGAATGGGCGGTTCTCTAACACCTACTGCAGATCGTCCTCGGCCTAGTGCCCCCATACGCCCGCCCTCTAGAACCGGCAATGTTCGCGCCTTGGATACCTCGCGTGGTCTCCGCCGAAGATCCTCTATCCTCCCCACCTCGACGGCCCACTACGAAGATGGGGAAGCGGACGACGATGACTCCGATCAGGATGGCGACATCAACCTAGCCATGAATGCCCTGCGTACGCGCCGCTCACAAGCTCATCTGCGGAACAACGCACCCTTTTCGAATCCCGCTGCCCGCGTCAGTAACCAAGGGCTTGCTCCTGGGGATGGAACGAACGAGGCGGACACTGATGATAACTCGGACAACTCACAAGGACACAGGCGAGGGGCTCCGCGCATGCCACGTCGGGAATATGATCCACGTATCAGTTGGATGTTCGCTGCTCATCAGGCAGCTCTCCAGCAGCACCAGATGGCAGGCGCGTTGATAGATGTTGAACCACGGGCCATCACGCCGCTGTCTCGCCCTCGCACGAGGAACAGGAACAGGCCCAGTCCAGCACAAGCATACTCCCCCTTCCTACCTCCTGCGCGCATACGAACACCGCTTATGGACAACACCTCAAACTACATCATGGACCCGCGGCTCCCAATATCCCCACCTCGACGTAGCGCCATGTCTCCAGGCTTACCGGCGATGGGCAACGCTGGCAACATGAGCCGCTTTGATCGTGCACCTTCTGTTAGTTCGAATAGCAATACTTCTACCATATTGACTCCTGGCACTTCCACGACCTCTTCCCAAAATGGCATCGATACCATAGCGCAAACACAGGCGGCTGCGGCCATGGACATGATAGATCGTCCTCAGAGTCGCGTTGGTGCTCGCCCATCTTCGGCAAATAGCAGGAGAAACTCTGGCAACTTTAACGCAGCGAATTCATTTCCTCATGCTGCCATGGGCTTGCATGTTCAAGGCGCGGCTCTTCCACCTTTTGCTGCACGTGGTAACCCTTGGGCTGCATTCGTGCAGGCACGAGGTGTCCGCAATCGCAACTCACGTCAAGTTCTCCGAGATCAGTCTTCTGTAGCTACCTTGCGGCCAGCAGGCTCTCGTGTCAACATCAGAGAAGCTGGCAACCCACCGCAAGGCATGAGGCCTCAGCCATCACGTCTCAATCTACGACCACAGCCATCGCGGCGTCAGCTCGCCCCCCAAGCATCTACACGAACCTTGCGCGCCGATGGGAATGGTAGACCTCCACCATCGCCTACGCAAAATGTACAAGCTACTGTACAGCCTGCCGCCCGTCCTGTCGGATTAACTCCAGACGAGCGCAACCTCAGAGCTCGGGAACTTATTGAGACAAGAAGGCAAGCACTTGGTCAGCGAGACACCAGTGTGCCAGCTCGTACAAATCCTTTCACCCAAGGTTTCCAGCGTCCAGCGAACCCTACTGGCTCTCCTCAAATGCAGCAACCAACCACGGCACAACATGTGAGGAGTAACTCGAACGAGTCCATCAACTCTACAGGGACGGTCCAAGGCGCTCCTGCATCACCAGTCCTCGGCCGACGCCGTAGCAATCGCAATATGCTCAATGGCACACCACCTGGCGTCCTCCCACCGCAACAGGGAGCCTACATTGCTCCTCCGACGGCATACGCAAACAGCTACTACCGCCCACGACCAGGTTCTTCGTCAGGCTCACCAGCGGCATACGAACCAACACTGACGACCAATACACGTGGTAGTCCTATGATGGCAGGTCCTCTTATCTAGAATGGCATTTCGCCACGATAAACTTTTCTTATGTATTATCCTCTATCGGTGTTTTGGACATGACACTCTTTTAGTTTTGGACGGGTACAACCATTCGGGGAATGTGAGCATGATGAGCGTATATTTGTTTTCAAGTCTGTTTTTAGCGGCATCAAAACTGGTTCAGCGAGCTTTTTATCAAGGCATTTACTGGCGTCATTCATTCGGGCACTATACCATGGCATTGAGCGATTGGGTCCTGGACAGGCATGAATATGAGCGAAGGATGGGGAAGGGGTACTTCATCTTAGGTTATCTACATTTGGAATGATCAATATGAGGATTCCGATGGTGCTGAACATCTAACTACATGATGATGCAGAGTTCAAGTCTTGCCTGGAGCATCCGCTGCACGTTGCTTTTTAAGTTGCTTACGTTCTTCCTTCTTCCTCTCATTCTCCGCCTCCCTCTTTAGCTTGCTTGCCTTCCATCTTATCGTGGCCTTATCCCTGCACGTCTCACAATTCACATAGTTCGATTTAGCATCAGCTTCCATCTTGTTCCTACAAGTGTGGCAGAATTTCCTTTTGACCTTTTTGTCTTTCTTGTCTGCTGCGGCTCTCTTGTCTACTTCGTCTTCTTCTTCGCCTCTTTCTTCCTTATCTCCTCCGTCCTCTTCGTTTTCTTCGTCTCCATCGTCCCCTTTTCTATTGGCTTCGGAAGTAGACACATGAGGAGTCTTCCTGACGGAGGAAGGCGTTTCTTCGAGGTCACGTAGGCCATGGAGCTTGCCCTTCACTTCTTGAATTTCATTCTCTATGGCTGTGACATGCTGGAGAATGGCTACGACTTCCTCTTGAACAGTGGGTGCTGGAACTTGCTGCTGCTTCGGAGCATGTTTAGTGGAAGGTGGCATTTTTGCGTTTCTACTGTTGTCCATGTTGTCTTCTTGTGCATTGTTCATATATCCCATCGTCTGGTTTGCTTGGGCGGAACCTTGGAAGTCAAGCGAGCATGCACGTAGGTGAGAGGGCAATCTTTGGAATCTTCTCGTGATTTAGCATAGAAGATAGCGCAAACTCGGTGATGAGGGTAAGATTGTGGTGTAGCTCAGCAAATGATCTCTTCAGATGGCCGTAGACACCTTGCGCACTCATTGTAAGCCACTGCTATTCCTGTCTAATATGAATAAAGTATTAACGTTCTGACGCTTCCACATATAACTGTCTCAAGTTCTTCTCCAATCTTTCAATCCTCTGATGGATTGGCAAGAGCCAGCTGGTTTTCAACATCTAAGATCTTGTTTCCCAGCCATGTGCGACATGCGACCTAGGAAAGCGCAGCTAGACCGCCTCCTCTTTAAGCCAACGATCCCACAGGCGCTCTCTAGATATATCACAACGCCACGATCACTACGCGACCAAGAGACTTAGGAAACACGGACACATTCGAGGTTTATTAGCGGGCTGTTACATCCCTACACTTTTTTCTTTTTCTTTGGAAGGCGACAAACCGGCTGGATGACACGAAGGGCGGCCAGCATGACACCGCCGACGAACTCCTCTCCTTGTGTGACGGCATGAACGGCACTACACACTGAGCGACTCTCGTCATGCCGTCGTTTCTTCCACCAAACGTCTGCTTGAACCACCGCGACGAAAAGCCCCCTATAGGAGTTACATACTCTCTTCACTGTATAGGTTCGCCGACAAAGCAGATCAGACCTGATGTTTGAACTCGTATAGCCCTTCAAGTGGTTGACCTTCTAGTAGCTTCAGCCCTTCACGGTAGATCTTTGCCTTTTTTCCGTCTCCGAACCTTCCCTCATCAGCCGCCAAGACCAGCTTGTTCAGCAGAATCTTGTTCTTCTTGAAGAGAGCTTGGTAGTTCTTGAACATGCCCGACATACGCTTCTGTAGCAGGTCCTTGGCTTCAATAGCTGCCTCCTTCTGCATCTTGATCCTGTCCTTCAATACGGAGTCCCGGCTGAGCTCGATAAGCTGTTCGCCTCGCTGGCGGAAGCCTTGCTCTAGTTTTTCGACTTGACCCTGAAGTTCTCTAACGCGGACACGTGCTTCGAGAACTTCGGCTGCATGACCACTTTCTAGCTCCACAATCTTCCGTGACAGGTCGGTGTTCTTCTTGGTCAACTTTTTGTTGCTGTTCTTGAACTTCTCTCTGAATTTCTTGCTTTTGGTTGCCGCGGCTTTCATTTCGCTGTCAGATTCACGCATCTTGGATTTACAGAGTCTCTTCTGCTCGTCGACGTCCTGGGTTAAAGCGGAGATTTCGGCTCTCAGAGTATCATGCTCGTCACTGAGTAGCTTGACCCTGCGTACAAGTGCGGCCTTTTCATCTGCGAGCTTCGTTTTGTATTGGCGAACGCTCTTGATTTCTGCTGTTCTAGCGGCTTCTTCTTGTCTTTTAGCCTTCGAAGTACCATCCCCATCTTTGAGTAGTCCGATGTTGCGTGCAAGTGCAGTGTTCTCCTCTGTAAGCTTGGTGTTGTGTTCGTAAAGTATCTGAATCTCCGCTCTGGTGCCTTCGTGTTGTCTCTTCAGAACGATGTTCTCGTCTGTGAGTAGTCGAACACAGCGTCCAAGTGTGGTCGTCTCTCCTCTAAGCTTCGTGTTGCTTTCGCGAAGGAGTTTGATCTCTGTCTTGGCGGCTTCGTCGTGTCCCTCAGCCTTCACCTTCAAAATGGCCATCTGATTCTGGATGAGGATGTCGTGCACTACAGGTGTCCCGTACTGCTGTTTCACTGCCTCTTCTAGGTTCACGATGTACAGTTCCTTGCTCTCTTTCTCCTTGACCAGAAGTTTCTCGTGAGCCTCCAAGGCTTCTTTGCCTAATGCTTGTTCCAGGGCATTGCGTGTCGCGAGCAAGAAGGACTCCTCTTGTTCTGGCTCCTGCTGTTCTGGCCGAGGCAATTTGGGGTAGACATCTGAGCCTGCCGTTTGGGCCCCGTTGCTGTCGGCTTTTTGCTTGGTCGCAGAGCTAGGAGAAACAGCCTCCGCTGGAACGTTCTTGAGTTTTGCGCGCTTTGCTGAAGAACCACCGCCGAGTGGCGGAGCACGTCGCTTCTCGACCGACCGAACGAAGACAATATCATCCATGCTGTCCGGATCGAATTCGACAATGTGTTGCGCGTTAATCTGCTCGTATCAGTGTCCGTATCTGCCGGGCAAATGTGTGCCGCGTACACACCTTGCCTGTAGAAGCCGTTAGATTGTCGTGTTTGGGCAATGGAGCCATGGAGCTGAAACCAACAGCTATCTGCTGAGCCTGCTAAGTGAGTGGTGAAGGTGAATGTGAAGATTGCGGCTAACTTGGGCAGAGCAACGCTCCGACTTTGGTCATCGAAGTGCAAGGTGAAGGAGAGACGCCTTGCCTTCGATCATGAAAGTAGCACACTGCATCCGAATTTGTAGAAGCGAACAAATTTCCAGAAGAAGTATTGTCAGAAGCTACTTCCAGTACACTGCATGTTCTTGTAGCCCCATTTAGTTATCAACGTCATCCGAGACCATATCAAGTGCATCATCTTATGTTGCGTGTTCAACCCAAAGAACGACTCCCGGCTGATCTTCACAGGCCACACCGTCCTTGCTCTTGTATGCCGCCAATTCTACAATCCAATACACCAGAGATGAAATGCCATGTCTATACTTTCTCACAAATGGGTTTCCATCCGCCTTCGCTTGGTACCATTGCGGCGCGCGACATATCAGAACACATATTGTCAGCCAAGTCTACTAACCAAGGTGGGTCTATCGCATCCAAAGGGGCATTACATGCCGGTATCCTGACGGAATAGACGATGGTGATGACAGCACAATAGGGGTGAGATGAAAGAGACATAGTCGCTCAAGGTTTGGCCTGGCGAGACCGCGTCTTGCGCTAGCCAGTCACCTAGGAAAGCGCGTCGCCAGTTCCGTTCAGATCCTCCACATGGAGGTTACATACAGGTCATATACACACCTTGTGCGCAGGCACCCTAACAACTTATGCCATATTTCCGATGTCAAAATTCTTGTTCGCTACTAATGACTAGCTTCCAAATGCCATTCCACACTGCACTCGAAAAAAGAAAGCGCTCCGTCGCCGATGACAAACTCCCAGAAAATGCTCATCTGAAACTACATGACTGTTTACAATCACATCCCTACTTGCTAAAGTTCTACTTCCTCTTAAACAAGCCCTTTCCGAGCAGATTCTTCAGCTTGCTCTCCTTCTCCTCGTTACTCATATTAGCTTTGCGCTTGCCCTCCGCGACCGTCTGGCCCTGAGAAGCCTGAGGTTGAGCCTTCTCCTCCCGTACTGGCTCTTCGACCTTGAGCGCCTGTGCCTTCGCTTGCCACTCCTGCGAAAGAGTATGCCGGCTTGCCCTCGCCTCGGCGCTAGCATTGTCCGCCCATTGAAAAGTAATGAGTTCGTTGTTGAAGAAACGTAGATCATGCACTAAGCGCTTGTTGTCTTGTGGGATCAGAACAAGTCGGCCTGTCGGACCAGTGTTCTTGAGCTGGAAAGGCTCATTCTTCTTCTCGAGAAAGCCGCGCACAAAGTCATATAGACCGACTGCGGTATCACTCTTGTTGAAGTTCATCTGGATGAGCGCACCGTCTGGCATTCGTATACGGAGTGCACCACCCTTCTCAGCTGCCGCATCAATCTTGGCTTGTCGCTCCTTTTCTTGCTCCTCCAACTCTTTGTCGGATAGTAGACGTGTGTTCCGTGTCTTGGTCAACAACGCATTTTGGTGTGCCTTTGCGTGCTCGATGGTGGGTAGGTAGTCGCTCTCGTTGAAGGCATTTCGCGCCGCTTGTGGTGTGGACGATGTTGGCGCAGAGAAGATCTGTACATTGCGGGATTGCTCAGCAGGCTGTGACGACGTTTGGGGGGGTTGTGCAGGAATTTGAGTAGGCTCTACAGGCACAGAAGACGCTGTTGATGTTGCCGCAGCCAATGCTGCCGCTGGCGAAGTGTTCTCCACGTTCTCAGTCGCGTTGTTTTCTGTAGACACTTCAGGCTCTTGTATAGGCTGGGCAGCCGGTTTGGAGTCAACCTCCATCGGTTCTGGATCGGGCTCTTCGTTGCGAACAGTTTCGCCCGCTACGACTTCTGTCGACTCCGGAGCTGCCTGGGCAGGATCCGGTATTGAGGCTAGTTGATCGGTCGTCGAAGCATGTGCACCATGTGCACCAGCAGACGCAGGCTCACTAGACTTGAAGTACTGTGTGATCTGTGCCATAACCTCCTCCAGTGGCGTTCCGCTGTTCTTGTACGACAACTTTAGCAAGGCCGATCCGCTATCGAAACCCAGCTGACTGAGAGTCTGCTGCAGCTCGACAAAGTTGGACTGTTCCTTATGGCCTGGCATAACGGTTATGACGGGCTGCTCGTAATGTAGCCTACCAGCACCGGACGCACCGCTCATCTCGGGGATGCCGCGCTGTGTGAAGTTGTAGTTGGTCCCCTGACCACTCTCGAAGTGTCGTAGAATCTCCCATAACGAAGTGTTGCTTGCGAACTTGCTTGTAAGGCGTTTGTTCTGCTCGGTTGCGGGAAGCTGGAGCGCGACGGATATGACTGTAGGCGATCGCGAGGCTTGGACGAGTTCTAATCGGGCGCCTTGGGGAAGGTTCGCGAGCCGTATTTGCTGCGATAGGGAGATGGGTTTATTGTTGTACCTGAGGTTTAGTCACTAATTGTCCAGCAGAATGGTGTCTTCTAACTTACTTGAGCGTGAATTGATCCTTGTTGACACCAAACTTTTGGCATGCCTCGTCCCGTACTTCCGTCAGGTACTTGGTGGGCGTCGTCGGAATCTTGAAAGTCCTCGCGTACGAGTTGAATACTACGACGTGCGACATTACGCGCGAATGAGTCTGTAGAGACCGAAGGCGAGCAGGAAAGCAGCGGGAGCGTTCGCTATCAAGATGGCGCGCGAGTACCAACAGTTCCAGCTATGTGCTCTTCGAGTTGCGTCGCTTCGTTCAACCAGGAGAATAATGCTGGCGATGTGGAGGAGCTTTGCTTCGGCGAAACTGAGGAGGAGGTTGTTTGGGCCTGCCATAAGAGGCGATTAGGAGGGTGTTTACACAGTGTCGCGGACGGTGAACGCCAATAGGGGCGCTTACCAATCCTTTGTAGGTGTGAAGGTTATGATACAATCACCGGGTTTCGCGGTGAAAGACGCGGTTGTTAGGCGATAACGATGGTGTTGATTCGGAAGCGTGCGCTTGATATCGAAGGCGACCCAACGTTTATAGGCTCGGCAACTGGTCGTCCTCTATAGGCTTCAGTGATGTTGAGGGAGCAGATAGTCGGTCGACTGTTCGCGATTGCAGCGTCAGCCGGTAGCGTTGTTCTGGAAGCTTCGAGGTGGCTTTGCCGCGTGTTCAGGTGTTGGTGCCTGCAGATGTATACCTTGCCCTCCTACACGTTGATCGTCGGTGACGGAATACTAACACCCCGCCCCCACTAAATCTAGAGAGCTTCCGTCCAAGTCGCGCCTCCTTCACAAACAACACAACCAACCCGTCCACACCGCCACAACCATGTCTGGAACCGTCGAGATCAAGTCGCCTGCACAGCTGAGCTCCCTGCTCTCCTCTTCGCGCGTTGTTGTAGTTAATTGTAAGGAGCGGGCCGGCATCTACTGGGCAAACTTCGGATGCTAACGTCTGTTACTTGCAGTCTACAATGAAGAAAACACGTCGAGCAAAGCCATTGCGCCCGTATATGAGCAACTAGCCGGCCAGCTCACACGGCCCGGGCAGGTCACCTTCACCAAAGTCAGCACAGTGCAGCAAGCACAAATTGCACAGAGTTACAACGTCACCAAGTATGCACACCTTTGAGACGATGTACTGGAACGATACCTGACGTTATATAGCACCCCTACATTTATCATCTACAAGAACAATCAGCAGATAAAGAAATACGCCGGCTCGAATCCCCAGCAACTCTCCGAAGCGATCAAGACCCTCGCCGCAGAAGCAGAGAACGACGGAAAGGGAGGAAGCAGCGCCTCTGGTGCGGGTGGAAGTAGTAGCGGAAGTGGTGCATGGATAGGTGCCAGCCTACCGCGCGGATACACGGATGTGACCGACTCCGTAGACCCACGAGGTCTTGACCTCCTCAACGCGGACAGCGATTTCGGCACCGTCAAGACGCTCTTCGAGACATCACAACCTAGCTCGCTCAACAAGGGTAAGGGCGCGTCAACTGGCTCAGAAGGCAAGAAGGATTGGGTAGAAAGTGATGTGGACAACCAGCTTATGCTGTACGTACCCTTCATGGCCAACCTGAAGGTGCACACTATTCAGATCACGTCTTGTGTTTCCGGAAACGAAGACGACGACGACGAGGCGCCAGTACGGCCAAAGACCATTCACGTCTGGACAAACCGGGCGAACAACTTGGGCTTCGAGGAGGCGGAGGATATCCCAGCGACTCAGACAATCGAGCTGAAGCCATCAGATTGGGACGAGGCGACTCAGACGGCCAAGCTGGAACTGCGATTCGTCAAGTTCCAGAACGTCTACTCATTAGTACTATTCGTCGCGGATGCCGAGGGTGATAGCGAGAAGACGCGCATCGACCGTATCCGGTTTATTGGCGAAACTGGCGAGAAGCGTGAAATCGGCAAGTTGGAGAAGATTGGTCAGGACGACTAAACAACGTTGTCATGGCCAAGGCCGGTAGGGTGACATACCCTCATCTTAGAGTGTTTACGGGGTTTGGAAGACATAACGGTTAATGCATTATATTTGATCCTAGAATTGATACGGGATGTTCATGTCCATTGATATCTTCGCTTGGCCGAGACTTTGAGGTGACTATCACGTACTGCCTCACATCGTAGGCTTTCTATGAGCGTAACAAGAAGACATCACGTAAGTAGTTGGAATATCCGCGCCTCTGCTCGAGGCCTCACTCACACACAAGGATGTGTGAGGCCTGAGCAGTCTTGTCTCCAAGCAAGGCGCGTTTCAATTTAAGCATTTCTCGGCCCTTACTCTGCCATTGATAAGGGCAATAGAGTAGGAATTTGACATCCATGCTAAGTAGGTAGGTATCACCAACGCATCACACCTCACGCGCACTCACGCATAGGTGCACCGGGGACAGGTTGGTTTGGCGTGAACCAATCGTCACATTTCATGATTTTGAGTGACACATGCTAGGTACGTTTAAGAACCACCATTGTCCATTTGCCATACTCCGATGAATCGTGTCATACTTTTTGTGGTATGCTGTGACGTTCCGAGATCGTATCGGGCCGCCCGTTGTGAAAAGAGACCGAACACCCAGGATAAAATCGGAAAGTAAGTCGGTCGCTCGTTCGCCGTGTTGCTTCATCCACCGCAAATCGTGAAACCGTTTAGTGACCAGCGCGCCTCGACTCGGCGATGACCTTGGTCATCTCGTCGACCTTTCTCTTTGAGCGACCGAAGGTACCGAGCTATGGTTTGTTAGTGAATGTTCGTATGTAGGAAGTGGTGGAGCGAGTGGGAGATCGGTCGTGTTGTGGTGCTGGTGTGAGAGACGTACCCTCTTCTTCGCTAGACGGCGGGCACGCTTGTCCTTGGAGTTACGGAGCAATTCGATGATGCGCTTCTCGTATGGGGCAAGACTGTAGACACGTGAAGTTAGCATGCTGTTCGATGACCTGTTCTGCAGTCCCTCTGCGAAAGTTCGAGCTTTGACGTACCCGGCAACCTCCTTGGTGATCTCACGGACAAACGCAGTGCGCTTGGAGAGGAAACCCTTCCTCCTCGAGATCCTGGGAGCGGGGGTCCTAGGGGTGACCTCTATAGACCGCGTTAGCCTCCATCCACGAAATTTCTTAATTGTAGCGATCGGTGCGTATCGAGAGCGGCGGGCGGGGTGACGTACTGTGGCCGGCGTTAAGGCCAACGATGAGGCCAGACTTCTGCTTGACTTCCTTCGGCATCGTGACGGTCGTGATGTTGTCGATTGTCGATGAGTTCAGAGTCGCAGATTTGAAAGGGTAATTTTGGCTCGGCTGTGCGGTGTTGCCAAGATGGCGCTAGCTGTAAGCAGGCACGTGCCCTCCCCGATGATCCTGGAGCCACGAAATCAACGACCTGCATCTCGAAATACTCCAACACTGATATGAACGTATGCGCATACAATTTCTGATAGCGCTCTCTTGGATTGAATGCGATTGTTGGTACGTGAAAGCTCTCACAAGAACAGAAATGACATCGTCAAGACCTTCGCAGCGTGAACATCATCAATGCAGATCGTTCATATTTGCAACCCTGGTTTCTCAAGCGAAAATCAAAGCAAGATCAAGAAGGCAAATCCTCATCCTCAACCACTCAGTTAAATTACACTAGGGTATACCATTCCACAAGCAACTCCCAAATCAAGAACCATCATAACAAACGCCTTTCGAATTCAATCCATTGCTCTCAAACTTGCCAATGCGTCTCAAGAGCTTCTTTTGACAGCCTTAACTCTCATCCTCGAGCTTGATACCAGCACTCCTGACGTACCAGACGTATTCCTTTGTCTTCTTCCTGACAAGCGAAGATCCATAGATAGATAAACCGCCTTCCGCATCCAAGCCCCAACCCAAATCGCCCCTCCTCACGCTGTATAATTCCAGAAACTCCGGATTGGTGAGTCCTTCATGCCTTTGCTCTTGAAATGACTTCTTCTCGAGCCTGGCGTTTGGACGGGCTGCAAAGAATTTCAACAGGGTGATGTTGGCCACGCTAAGATCCAGGATATTCGAATATACGGTTGTGTTTTCGAAGGTGATCGACTCTGACCGAACGCGTGTTCCCGCTACGATGTTGTACATCTGGTGATGCTTGGCTAATTTGCCAGCTTGGAGCGCGAACATGTGGGTGTAAAACGCGGTTTGACAAGCTTCTTGAAGGGCATGACGCAAGGCGTCGGGAAAGTTGTCGAGGTCAGGGTGTACTGTGACCGAGACGCGATAAAGGGAGTCTTCTTCCTTTTGGGCTGGGCTCTTGACGATTGGTTTGAATGGCTTCTTGACCAGCCTTTCTTCGATGACTTCAGGTCAATCACATCCGCATTCCGTTTGGTCGTAGCTTTAGGATTCGGAGTCGCACTTGGAGCTGCGACACTGTTAGTTTGCAAGAGTCTATGTAGCTTCGTATTGAAGTCTGACTTACTCTGCATGTTCGTAGCTGTTGTTTTGGGGACCTTCTCACGGGCTTGACAGGCAGAGAGTAAGTTCTCTCAGACGTTTCAGATGAGAAGGAATATGGTGACGGAAGAGTGGAAGAGTTAATAGTCAAACGGAGAAGCATAGGTCTAGCTGGTAAAAGATTGGTAGATCCTAATATACATAGCACCTTCTAAGGTAAAGGCAGTCTACAACTTCGCCTTGGTCTTGGCGTCCTCCTCTTCTTGCGCCTTCACCTTAAGCATCCGTCTGAGGATCTTACCGCTCACAGACTTGGGTATCTCATCAACCCATCTCACTCCACCACGTAGTCTCTTGTGGTGTGCGACCTTTGCGCTCAACCAGTCTATGATTTCCTTCGCGTCTTCATCGGTCTTGCCGAGCCCATCCTTGGGTACGACGTAGGCGCGCGGTAGTTCAGAGGCATCATCTTTCGAGTAGACTCCGATCACGGCTACGTCGTTGATTTTTGGGTGCGAGACCAAGATACCCTCCAACTCCGCAGGTGGCACCTGGAATCCCTTGTACTTGATGAGTTCCTTCACGCGGTCGGTGATGAAGAAGTTTCCGTCTTTATCTTGATACCCGACATCGCCTGTCTTAAAGTAACCGTCAGCTGTCTTCGCATGAGCAGTTCCCTCAGGATTGTTGAGGTAGCCCTTGAAAACATTCGGACCCTTGATCCATAGTTCGCCAACCTCGCCGACTGCCATCTCTTTCTCTTCAGGAGACATGTACTTTGCCGTCTGGTAGGGCAGAAGCTTTCCTACGGATCCGATGGTCTTGTTCCAGTCTTCCCATGGTTGGGTATGCGTTGTCGGGCTAGTTTCTGACAAACCGTATCCTTGTTTAACCGGTATTTTCAACCTGCCGTAGACTGCCTCTACGAGCTCTCTCGTCAAAGGCGCCGCGCCGGAGTTCATCATCCTGATTGAGCTCAGGTCGTAATTCGATACCAAAGGATGCTTGCTGAGCAGTAGAACGATTGGCGGTACTACGTAAGCAAACGTAATCTTGAGCTCCTGAATGAACTTGCAGAAGTCCTCCAGATCAAACTTCGGCATTACAACAAGTTGGAGCCCAGAATACAAGCTCTGGTGAATTAGGCAAGTGAGGCCTACACACAGTTAGTGGGGACAGTCTAGACGAGGTGTAAACGAATACTTACCGTAGATGTGAAAGAAAGGCAGAAAAGCCAGCAGTTTGTCACCTTCGCCAGTTGGTCCGCCAGTTGGCTGCAGTTTACCAGCCTCTCCAGCTTTGATCATCATGGTGTTGGCGACGATGTTCCGGTGGGTCAACATTACACCCTTCGGATGACCTGTAGTTCCACTGGAATACACCAGAAACGCCAGATCCTCTGATGGGTTGCTGGCCTTTGTTCTCCGCCATCTAGAGGTTCCAGCCGTATTGACGATACTAGTGAAGTGCTTCACTTTGTAAGACGGGTCCTTCTGATCGCCCATCACGATGACGCGATCAAGAGGAATCCCAACTTGCTTCGCAGCCTCTTGCGCATTCTTGATGTAAGGCAGTTGGGTTACCAGCGCCTTTGCACCAGAATCCTTGAGTTGGAATGCAAGTTCCTCAACTGTGTAGTTCGGGTTTGCTGGAGAGAGAACACCTCCTGCCCAGTGACAACCCCATGTTATCGCAGGTGTGTCGATACAGTTGGGTGTGTACAAGGCGAGAACATCGCCTTTCTGCCAGTCCCAGAGTGACTTCAGCCCTTTGCCGAAGTTTATGGCAGCATCTCGAACTTGAGTGTAAGTGTAAGAACGCTTGGTGTACGGGTCAAAGTAGATTACTATTCATTTTTTTAGTGATTAGTTATCTGAAAGCAATACGTGAACATACCTTTGTCATCCGCATACGGCCTATCTTTCCTTTCGAAGAGAAACGCCCACTACGATTAAGGACAAAGGTCAGCATGGAATGAGCTTATTTCCGGGTATTCGAACTTACCAGATCCACATCTGGAATTGGCAAACTAGGGTACTGGCTCTCTGAGGGCATCTTAGTGGTTGAAGATCAATATCCAGCCAAGAAATGTTAATGAGGAAGCGGAGTGAAAGCAGAAGGAAGTCAGACCGAGAAGAAGGACATAGCCATCCGCATTCCAACTGACCTCGGAACACCGAGGGCGGAAATGCGCATGGAGGCGGCTGGGTGACGAATAAGCGACCGGGGTAACACCCCACAACTGGGGAAGCGATGACCGAGGTTCTTTCTGTTTGCGGCGTTAGCGGCGCGATAGCAGCACTTGGCCTTCCGAGGTCAACGGCATTGCGACACTGGTAACTCTTGACAGTTTGACCATATAGACCTTTTAAAGTTCTCCATTTACGTCTCGGTTCCGCAGAATTAGGCTGTTCAAGATGCCGAGCTGGGAAGAAGCTACTGCCGTGGAGAAGCTCTCCTCCAACACGTACTCATGCACATTACACGATGATTGGTGCATTGGAAGCGGTATGACAGACCCCAGCATAGATAACATCATCCACGTAAACTAACGGCAACAGTTCCTAACGGTGGTTATGTTACCGGATGGTAGGAATTCATAAACGCTGCTTTTACCAACTCCACTAACCATGCTCAAACTTACAGTATATTGGAAGTAGTCAAAGCGCATTTCAACACATCGTTGTCCAAGCAAAACCAGCCACATACAATAACCCTCCATGTCGAATTCCTACGACGGACGCAAGCCGGACCTGCCACATACAAAGTCGAAGATGTGAAGCTCGGCCGACAAACATCCGTCGTGCACGTGACCATGGAGCAGGACGGTCGAAAAGAAGTCGTCGCATACGTCACAAACTCCAACATGGACACGGAAACGGGCTTTAGCCACGATACCGGATACCGACCCTCACCACCCATTCCATCAGTAGACTTCTCGAAGCTAGAGAAAGACGAAGATCCGAATTGGAAGTATCAAGCCGAACTGCCCCATGCCGACTTTAGAAAGGCAACAAAGAGAGTTCAGTTCTACTTCCCTCGGAACAAACAAACCTCGACGCATCTCGCTGACGAATGGATATGCTTCTCCGATGGGACTAACTTTACCAACTCATCTATTGCCTTTGTCGCAGACATGTTTCCGCTAATGGTCGAGTCGTTCAAAAACAAGGACGAGGGTCCTTTCTGGTATCCGACGCTACTACTGAACCTAGATGTTAAGAAGTCGCTGCCAACAGAGGGAGTCAAGTGGCTGCAGATTAGAGTAGAGATGAAGAAGATGTTCAACGGCAGGATGGATTTGGAAGTGTTTGTGCATGATGCCGAGGGAGATCTGGTGGCTTTGAGCCATCATGTAGGATTCGTGGTGGATGCTAGTAGAAATACAGCCGCGAGAAAGCCGGGCACTGCCAAGATCTAGATTTGGCAATCTTGTGGATAGATATCGGCGTTTTTGTATTAACCTTATCTTGCTATATGCTTTTGTTGCATGCCTTCGGGCCGTCTTGTTGCTGGGTGACGCTATGTGTTTGTCAATATGGTTGTAGGACAAATGCGCGCATCAGTACCCTTCATCGATCGGCACAAGAGGTTCAATGGCAACGGAGCGACATTAGGTAGGTTTTGAATGTTTGATGGTGTAATTTCCCCATTGTTGGATGTCTCTTTGCGCTCGACTGGCAGCAATAATAATGATTTTCTAATTTACAGGATGCTATTGTGCATCGCTTGTCTGCCAAACGCCAATGATGTCATGCATCAGATGCCCGCTACCCCTTGACTATAAATTGCCATAATTTTATGTGTTCGTTCAATCGGTTCGGATGCGCTTATTTGCCCTTGCGGTTGTTGTATTGTACCTCGTAGAATTTGTCCGGCCAGACAGGCTATCATGTGTTAGCACAGCTTCGAATCTTCGGACTACTGCTCCACGCACCTCACTCTGCTGTTCGTTAATGTTCTTCTTGAAGTGCTCTGAGTCCGGACCCCTGTTTGGACCCTCGTGCCTTCCCTCGTTGTTGGTCGCAGAGCCTACAAAATAAAAGTCAGCAAACTCCGTTCTCTGTACTTCCAGGGTTTTAAGTCTGGGGATCTCATTACTCGTACCACGCTGGGTGCCTCCAGCAGGTGTGTGCGTAGGGTGGCCTCCGCCGGATGAGAAACGGTCCTCAATGTTTTGGACGCCCTGTGTCTTGTATGGGTTGGGGAACCAGTATTGGCGCATGAAGAGGTAGTAGCCGAAACCGACGGCACCGCCGGCCATGAAGATTTTGGGAACAGAGAGAGGTGACATGATTGCGCTCTGTCTTTCTTCGATAGTTGAGATGGTAGAAGGACAATGTCGAGGTTGACGTGGAAAGTGGTTTGTGTCGTGCGAGGTGGTGTGACGCAAGAAGTAGGAACTGTCAACGGAACCTTGGATTGTGGAGAAGAAGCAAGTAGTGCAATAAGTCTAGAGATCTGGGCGTTGTTTTCCCTTTTGAATTCGGGTACCCAATGACACACAGCGGAGAATCGTCACTTTGTCGTCGCGATGATCGCGTCATGGCCTCATACTTTAGGCAAAGCTCCCGCGGTCGTCGCACAAACCAAAGACCCGTTCGGCCAGGCACAATCCAGCTAGTTCGCTTGAGGCTGAAGCTCAAGCTGACGTAACACAGCGGCGGCTCGAGGTGTGGCTTGTAGAATTGATGCTAGTGTGATCGCCTCGGGGAAGTGGACACGCTATCGCGCTCTGTTTCCCCTTTGCGCAAACACGACCGAGAACACCTAGGAAGACGAGGATCAATTTGAGCGTGTTGTTCATATTGAGGAGCTTGATGATCATACGGCAGAAAACAGGCTGGGACACAGCAACGGTTACGGACCCAATCGCGCTTTCGAGAAATGGACGGTGATCCAGCCGTTGAGCCAGAAATCGATGGCTTCAGTCGCGTGCTACCTCTACCATATCGCGTCGCCCTGATCATAGTTCTAGGTACCCAAACCCACGCTAGGTACCGGTAATTGATTCTTACGCTAACTAGAACTGCATAGGCATATGGGCATGGGGTCTAAACCTCCACTACCTCACTCTCATCAAGATAGACGTCCCAAGTCTCATCCGCTACCCTGGCCGCACCTCGCCGCGCCATATACCGCACCACCTCTCCTGCTACCGTATCGCCACATTCCTCTCCATCCCGCTTGCGCTCTCGCTGTTCCTATTTTGGGCCCTTACACACGGCAGTCCCAAAGACATCGCAGGCTGGGAAATTCTACCAAACCTATACCTACTAGTACTGGTCATTGGCTTCGTAGTACCGCTGCCGTTTGTTAGTCGCAATGGGCGGTCTCGTACGCTGGCGACGCTGAAGCGCATATCCATTGGCGGCATCGCAGAAGCGCACGATGGGAAGTTTGGGGACATTCTGCTCGCAGATGCATTGACAAGTTATGCCAAGGTGCTGGGAGACCTTTTTGTCTCACTGTGCATGTTCTTCTCGTCCTCGCACAGTTCAACAGGACCTCCGAACAGAAACTGCGGTGGCGCTTTCTGGGTTCCCTTCATCATCGCTGTACCGTCGATGATCCGCCTCCGGCAGTGTATCACCGAGTACTATCGTGTTCAGAAAGCGAACAAGCAAACCGGGCAGATCAGTCCGGCAACGGGATGGGGTGGCCAGCATCTGGCCAACGCACTGAAGTACTCGACCGCATTCCCGGTTATCGTACTCAGCGCTTTGCAACGCTCGCCCGACCCTTCACGTTTTGGCGTTTCGGAAGCGACCCTGTTCCATATGTGGCTCGTCGCAGTGGTGGTCAACTCTGGTTACTCCTACTACTGGGACGTAGCTAAAGATTGGGACCTCACTTTGTTTTCTAATGCTCGTACTCGGGATAGTCCCGAATACCCATGGGGTTTAAGACGGCATCGCTGGTTCCATGCCAAGGAGTTCTACTATGCAGCCATTGTCGTAGATGCAATGCTGAGGTGTACGTGGAGTTTGAAACTCAGTGTGCATCTGGATCATTTCAACGACTTAGAAGGAGGAATCTTTACGATGGAGGTTCTCGAGGTATTGCGAAGATGGATATGGATCTTCTTCCGCGTAGAAACAGAGTGGGTAAGAAATCACAGGGGCCCAGCGCCCGATGATATACTACTAGGTGATGTTGGGGTGGGAAACAAATACGACGATAGTGATTAGACTTCGCTGTTGATTAGACATCTAGATCAGTTGCATATAGCGAATGCATGTTCAGCTTCGCTTACCAACCCAATCGACTTGAATGGCCTTTGTGAAAACTCGCGATGCCTTGAGTAAGTACGTCATGAGCGCTTTTTGAAGGCGGAAGGCGCGACATGAGTCTTATCGGGCGCATGGCACCTTTCCACTCGTTCTCACTTCTCGCCTCTGGAATTCGATGCATATTGATAGAGGCACCGGCAACAGTGATATGCGACGCCTAGTCCTGCAACACTCGAGGCGCATGTGCGCACCATCGTTGGCTAGGAGCTTGTCAGACTATGCAGCTGAGCTCTTTGTCAATAAATCTGGACTGTCAGCCGCTAGACCAGATATCAGAATCAGACACCTGCGCTCTACACGACTGGCTAATAGTAGCCCTTCTTGCTTACATTGCGCTAGCTGATGCAGCACGAAATGCATTCCTTCCTGGGACTAGTACGGAAGGCAAGCTTCGATCATCTATATGCTGCAATCCTACTCAGCACACAACCACTTTCTTCATCTTAGCACTTTGAGATTCCCTAATAAGACAGCATTTCGGTATCACTGCTGTTATATCGACTGATGATACATAACCCTAAAGCTTAGCAGAATAGCTTAAACCGTGAACGATCCAATGGTGTTCCGCGGCAAACCATCCAAGGCTTGCGAGAGATGCAGGGATAGAAGACTGCGGGTATGTTTCAAGTTCACAGTATTGATCTTGTATTGATTTCTCTAGTGTGATCAGCAACGGCCCAACTGCAGCTCCTGCATTCGAGTGGGAATAGCATGTACCGGCTATCGGGACACAACCAACATTCGGATCAGCGACCAAACGGATTTTGTACGGACGAAAGCTCTAGCAAACACGAAGACTCCTCTGAAGCAACGATTTACTGGTGAACCCAAAGTGAAGCTCAAAGTTCGCCACCTACCCCAAGATCTTCTTATCATGGGCCGAGATATGTTCTTCACATACTATGTTTCGGATTTCAGTCGAACATGGGACTTCCTTTATAATTACCTGGACTCTAGCCACGCGCCTAAACATATTTCTCTATGCATCGAAGCAGTCAGCCTTGCCTTCCTGTCCCACCAAGTTTCATCGCAGACGGCAAGAGATCTAGGACGTAGAAAATACTGTGAAGCATTACGGAAAATCAACATCGCCCTGCAAGATCCGGTGACAGCAAAAGCCACGTCAACTTTTGAAGGGGCGTTGCTGATGGATCTCTTTGAGAAGATCATGAAGTCAGCTTCGGAGATAAACACGTCGCGACATGCCCATATTGAAGGCGCACTTGCATTAGTGAAGCTACGAGGTGTGGAGTCGTTCAAGGAAGGCACAGAGATGCGAGCATTGATGGGACTTTCTTTGAACTCAACGGTTTGCTCACTAAGTACCGGGCAGCCGGTGGACGATGCCATACGACAAATACGAGTACACGCAGCACAGTTCGTCAACACAGATTACCCAAAATGGAAACTCAGTGGGTTGATGCTCGAAGTCACCGATCTAGCTGCGGAAATGCGACAAGGTCGTATGACAACTGAAGAAAGGATAGCCAAAAGTGCGTATTTCGATCGAGAGCTCGAGCTCGTTGCACTCGAAGCAAGCCCAGTTTGGACATATGAGCGCAGAAACTTACATGGTGCTCATGGAGAAAGGCTGGTACCGGATGGGTTCCCCTTAGTATACGATGTGTACCCGGATCGCATGGTCACACAGATGTGGAACGTCCTTCGAATAGCACGCATGCTCCTTTGCGAGGAGATCATTCAGTCTTGTGCCATGGGCTCCGATCTCGAGATGACCGCCCAGTCTGCCCGTGCGAAAACTGCAATTTTACCCTGGTCCAGGAAATTGTCGCATCAGTCCCACAAATGACGGACTGCGACTTGGTTGCAAAACATAAACTGCCGAGTGGAAGCACAGGCAAACAGCACACACATAGTATGCCGCATATCCTTGACATCTACATACTAATATTCAGCCTATACGTTGTTGCTTGGTCGAAAAGCTGTCCACAGGCTGCAGTTGATTGGAGTGTCAAGCAGCTGCAACACATCGCCGATCATTTTGCTATCAAAGAGGCTGCCATTATTCTGGAGATCCTGAAGAAGCAGAAGTTGAAAGAGTCTCTGGACCCATGGTATGTGTGTATTTTCTTTGTTCTTTATAATATACACGATGAGAGAGTCGGCAGCTATATCGTACAAGGAGGATAGGGCCTTAATTCTTGAAGAGAGCACATTCAAGGCCAAGAAAACCGTAAAGGCCGTGCTGAATACAGAAAAGGAGCGTGTTCCAAATCCACGAAACAGTTCTCCTGTTGAAAAGAACCCCCGTCATAGCAGAGCCTTCGTACTTGCCGACCTGGACGAGAGGAAGGACCAAGTCGCTTCACTGAGATACTCTTCACTCTTCTAGACTGTTCTTGTATCACCACAAACGTACTCAGCAACCCCTTAGAAAAGACCATATCAAATACAACGACTAAGTCTTAGATTAGCTATAGAGCCTCCGGTCATATATCCAGCGCTTCTGGACATTTATGGATGCAGTCTGCCCCTGGTCATGACACCGGCACAAATTGCAATCACGACACACTTCCCGAGATTCCTGGGTAAGCTCTCTAATTTCTTTTGTCTCATTTTGCACATCTGACTTGTGTCATAGCTATTATCCCACGCCCCGACTACCTCCCAACACTTTTAAACCTTCCCCTCTAATCGCTGGCTTACCTCCAGGGTGGCACATTGGAACATAATCCAACATAACGGGGCTAACACACATACCCTGCTAGGTACGACTTTCCACTACCCAGTTCACATGAAGGACACGACCGCCGATACAAAATCCCAGGGGGAACCTTTGTGTAAGCCAGGCAATCACTACTTACCTTCCCTTAATATCTTCACCTCCCTCACATAATCCACTCCAAGCATCTTAACCACACACTGACCTTTTACTACGTAGCCTCCACCACACCCTAGGACCCCATGACCCGCGCCTATGCTACCAAGCCGCGGGTTTCGCAACAGGGCCATGGAGTAGTCTACTCGAGGAACCTTGTAATCTGAAACCCAACTAGATGTCATTGTAGTCAACCGAGTGCTGGGTAGGGGGAAAGAGAGAGAGAAAAAAAAGGAATGTGTTGGATATTTCTTCCCTACGTCACTACCTCGTCGACACTGTGTCATTTTCGAGGACATATAGACGAGAACCGAACAAATGTCGGAATAATGCATGGCAGAGGAGGCGAGGGACAATGTATAGAAACGACAAGACACAAGAATGCTCGTGCAGACTAATCTTCTCATTCTGTTCCATTTGCGAACTGATTATAGCCAACGGGTTAAGGTGATGCGGCCAAAAAGTAACCCCCCTTCCCCCTTCCTGCTCAACCCATGAAGCACCATATCTTGCCGCTGTTCGACCGTTTAGGCTCTTCTTCGTAAAAGATGTTAAAATAGTACAGATGATAATTTTGAAGAGGGAGAATAGACAAACACCAGATACAATGCCAAAGATATGACCGACGAAGCCATCGTCACCCTTTCTTTTGTGCGAAAAATGATACACAAGAGCTCCACCCTGAAGTGCAGTAGGGGGCGCTGGGGAGATGTGAAGAATGTAGCAGCACTGTAAAAACGCCATGCAATGCAAGTTTCCTCCGCGTTCCCGAATCCAAGCTGAAGAAGACGCGTGTGGGAAGGAACCGTAATTTTTTCCCGCCAGTGTAGGTGTTGAAACAAGAAAAGCAACAGAGCAGCGCTGCAAAAATGTGATGTTGAAGGAAGCCAGCGCAAAAGAGTGGTGCCAAAAAGGCCCGAAGCAGAATTGAAATTGAGCGCAGCCTGGTATGGCACTAGTTAAGGAAGCCCTTGCAGCCGATGGAACCGCAAAGACAAGGAATACGATCAGTCGCGTCCATCTCACGCTCGAACTTGTAGTCGTAGGTAAGTTCCTCATCTACACGCATCGTTAGCAAAAGTCCAATAACATCCAATAGCCAGAAAAAGGTGTACTCACCAGAGTTGATATCCCGCAACGCGTAGATGACGATACGCTTCGTATTATCCACGCGAATAATCTTGGCCGTGCAGTTTGGCGTACAAGAATGATTGATGAATCTTGCAATGCCACCCATCTTGGTCGCATCGATAACCGTGTCTTCATCAATGCGGAACAGGTAACTTGAGCCGACACCTTGCATGTCGTACTTGGCTTCCCTGAGATCGGCAACCCGCTGGCGAACCTTCTCGCCTACGTATTCGATGATCATGTCGTTGACGGCGATGGGTTCTTGGGCGTAGAGACCCCAGTTGTGAATGGCGGATCGGTCGAATTTGACAAGCTTCTTGCGTTTCTTCAGCTGGTTGAAGCGGAGGGCGTCACCTTCAGCGCCAGACATGTTCTTGGATATGTTGATATCGTTGACCATGCGACGGTTGTTAGCGCGATTGGCACGCGAGTTGGCGGTGGACGTCTTGTTAGCACTAGTGTGGAACTTGAAGCCTTCGACAGAGACAACGCTTTTCTCTTCTTGCTTGGCACGGCGTTGGCGCTCCTCGCGCTCCTTCTGTACGCGAATACGATGAGGTAGGTATTTTGACTTTTCAGACTCGCGAATTTTCTTGACGCCTTCTGTACGAGCTGAGCCAGTCGAGTTAGGAACGTAGTAACCCTCGATCTTTGTTTCGGTACGCGAGACGCCCTCTTCGCCGTTGCGGTTGAGGTGCTTGATAGACTTCTGTTTCCATGCCCAAGACTGTGCGTCTCCGATCTTTGCGGCACTGATGGACTCCATGGCGGCCTTCAGGTGACGCAAATCCTCGTCGTCTTTGAGCATGTGTTGCCAACCGTCAATGTCCATTACAACACTGAGGTCGTCCTCAACAGTCTTCCGAGGCTCTCCGGAGGATACGTCCCAGAGCACAGAAGTGGCTCGCTCGTCGTCTTCTGGTGTCGATTCCTCAACCACGGCCTCTTCGATGACCTCCTTGACTTCCTTGACTTCAGGAACCTCCTCCTCCACAGGAGCCTCGATTTCTGTGACCTCTACCTTCGCAGCCTTGGCCTCCTCTTCAAGCTGCTTCTTAGTCTTTTTCTTGGGTTTGGCGACAGCCTTCTTCTTGAGTGACGTAAGTGTCTCTGGTAGTTCGGTAGTCTCGATAGGCTTGAGTGCTTCATCGTCCTGAGTGATGATGACTTCAGGCTCAAGTTTGTCAAGTGCGCTTGCTTCCACGCCAAAGATCGCATCCGCCTCTTGCTCAATCTTCCGCAACCTTCTAAATCCTTTGAGTGCTTTCTCTGCCTTCTTCCAAATAGGGGAGGAGCGGGGAAGAATTGCAAGTACTTGCTCCAGCTCTTTCTCCGCCATGTTTTCTGGATCCTTGTGGATGCAGTGGGCAAGCAAACTCCTAGCATGCGAATCATCCATCTCCTCGTCACTGTCTTCACCCCATCCAGTTTCGAGACGGCGCCGTTTGGCACGATGGGCTCTCGATGACTCTTCCACCTCCTCTTCAACGTCGGTAGAAGGAGCACGGCTGATTGGTCGGCTCTCTTGCTCTTCAGTGCCGCGAGTTAGCTGGCTGCGACTTTCGTCATCAGACTCTTCCGGCTCGAACATCTCAATCATTTGGCGGTGCAGACCACGGGCCACACGAGGCTTGGGCGCAGAGGCCTTCCTTCGCTCATCTGCGAATGCATTGACAACCTTCGGAGGCTTCTTTCCACGCCTAGTACTGGGATCGAACGCACCCAGTGCTCTACGCGCGTTGCGACCACCGAAACCGCCATTGCGGCCCTTTGGCGTACCAACTCCAAAGGCGTCGAATCCTGGGGCGAGGAGTGCAGGTGGCCGCGCAACCTCTTCCTTCTGAGAAGGAGCGGGGACATCGAATTTGCGGCGCTTCTCTACGTGGAGATCGGGATCCAGCAGTTCGAGTATAGTGGGCGCCGCCAATTTCGTCTTAATGTCCCCAAGAAGCTTTTCTTGGAGCTCCTGCTTCAGAACGTCCAAAGCGGCTCGTACAGGATCTAATGAATCTGCCCTTTGCTTCTTTTCCCACTCAAGATCTTCCGCCTCTTCCTGTTCTATTCGCTCTTCAATAGCCTTTCGCTTCTTGTCTGCCACTACACGTTCTGGGCTTGGACTACGCTCGTAGTTGGGATCGCCATACTGATTGCACTCCATGTTCATGACATACGTGAACAGAGCTTGCATGTGGCATTCTTTGTAGCATCGAACGGCCTCATCTTCACCGCGCTTCGACTCTTCAAAGGTTACATAGTAGCCCGTCTGGTCGCATCGCACCGAAGCCCACCGGAAGTTCTTTAACCGCTTCTTCAGATGATCGACGGTTGTGCTGAGGACGGGTACGTATGCGTGAGCGATGAAGATATAAGGCTTTCGTTTCAGTGTAGGCTTGATTGGTTCGCGTTCGATGAGGAAGGAAAGCGCGGCCTTTCTCGATAGAGGTTCTCGAGGTATCGGTATCGGCGGACGCGTGCCCTTTCCAGACGGGCCTTTGGGCACGTTTGCCGGCAAATCGAAATTCCCCGGTATAACTGGTGTCGCTGCGCTAGCGGCCTTTGCAGCGAACTTGACACGCTGCTTCTCTTCCTCCTTACGGGTTTGCTGCACCGCCATATCCACCAGTTTCTGGCATCTCCGGCCTTCGCGATCAGATTTCACCCTGATGGTGTGTTGCGCAATGCGCTGATTCGTGCCTTCTCGTTCGGCTCGCTTTGCTGAAGTGGTTGCTTTGACCCCTGGTACACCGCGCGCAGGCGGGGTATCGCGAAACTTGACCAAACATATTCCAAGTGGGCTACCATTGTCAGGATGTACTTGGTTGCGAAGAGTCTCTATTTCGCCATAGGTGGAGAAGAAACCACGCAATTGCGCGTCTGGTGTTAAAGGATCAAATCCTGTTACAACCACTTGGGTCGCGGGTCCTGGACCGCATGATATGCGTTGATCGAACGAGTACGGCTTAGCAACATATGGTGCTATTCGAAGTTTGGACTTTGGGGCTCCCACGAAGGAAGTCTTGATGACATAGTGGCCAGTGGTGTAGCCAGCAATGGCTAGCCGCGGGTCGGGAGGAGGAGATGGGTCGCCCTGTAACACAAGTTAAGTTAGCCTTAGCGTCACAGGGCGACCACATCTATGTATGTATATATAACCTTCACGTACCTTATCCAGTATTGTGGTGTATTTCGCCGTTCCCTTTGCTCTCGCCCGTTTGTCGAGTTTAGAGTCAAGCTGCGCATCGTAGGTGGAGCGTTGGCCCAGCACGCCGTCGGCTGGGAAGACGGATATGCGCGTCTCGGGCGGCGTGTTTATGGGTGTGATGGTATCGGCGACATTGTTGGGCGCGCTCGATGGCGCCGCGTGTGTAGAGGATGAGGGCGTGTGCATCGTCTCATGCGAGAGCTTGGAAGAGCGCGGGCTAGGCAGCTTGCCAGGCGGAGACGAGTCTGAACTGGTCAAGGGTGTGAGGGCGTGTAGAGAAATATTTTGACCAGAACGCGACATGGTGGAAGGCGCAGAGGAGTCCGAGTCAACGTCGTCTAGCAGGTCGCTAGGGCGCCGCGCATCGTTCTTGGGTGAATCCGAGTTATTGCTGAGCCCAATCCTGCGCGCTTCACCAGCTGTCCGTGTCGCTGTAGCAGCCGAAGCTGAATGGGAGGTGGCAGACGAGTCGAGGCGATGTGAAGCTTCTCGCCGCAGAGACCTGTCTTCTCTCTCTCCGCGTCTTCTGCCTGACATGGACTTGATATCAAAGTCCAGTCTCTGATGGCTGCGCTGCAGAAGCGCACCTCAATATCAATCGACCCAGTTATTAGCACGTGTATCCTCTCTCCATCACTCTATGTGTGTTTGTAATAGAAGGCCGGTTGGTAGGGGCGCCGCGCGTTGCTGTACTCGATGCAGCTGCAGGCCAGGAACGGGATATATGGACAACGCGCACCCACGCGGTGAGAACGTGTCGGAAAGCCCGGGCGAAGGCGGCAAAGGGAAAGGAAGACGAAAGGGAGGAAAGATGAGATGGGCGATGTAGGCGACAGCAGTCTGCTCGCACAGATGGGGCTGGTGTTGAGTAAGGGCTGTCGTCCAGGAATCTGAGGTTCCAAGGTGAGGCACTGCGGATCCTGGACTAGCGTCTTTTCGGGGGAAAAGGAGAGTGCCTTCTCACATCCGCCAACCATCCTTCTGACACTCAACAATCTTCTTGCAATGCGCCGACTTAGATTGGCCAACACAGTCGCATAATCTCCTGCATCACCTCCTGCATACAGATGCCGCCTTGGAGTTGATTTTCGCACGCGCGCACCCAACTTAGTCCACACCGCATTCCGCATAGTCTTCCAGCCCGAGCGTCATCGCGATCGTCCTGCCTTGCCTACACCATGCATTTACGCTAGCCCACCGCAGTTGTACGAAGAGATGCAGTGCAGACATGACGATATCACGATGGGGTGTACATGGCAAAACAGCTCATAGCGGAGGTTTATTCCGTATTTGCATGAGAACGGGCGGATTATGGGATGAGAGCATGTCCGAAGTCCCAGCCCATAGCTGCGTGGTTCACTTGTGTACATACATGTATTCCGGTCCATATGAGAAGCTACACACGCGTGTGTTCGCAGTCCTGATCTCAGTGTAGGCGCTAACGTCCTCACTTCTCGTACATGTCTAGTCCACGAACTTACCATCAACCCACCCCCGTCTCTTGACACCCAGCTCCACTGCCGCACTCCCCCAATCCTCACCATGGTTGTGTCCACTCTTGCCATCCTGACCACCAATCCCCGCGCGCATGAGCCCCTGCTCATCGCTCAACAGCGTCAACAGTCCAAAGATAACAGGCACATTGTTGTCGAGTTGCAAGCGCATAAGTCCATGGCTCACGGCCTCTGAAATGTACTCAAAGTGCATCGTCTCCCCTTGATCAGCACGCCAATAGCGATTATCGCGTCAAAGGGCGAGTTGGACGTCTTGGATTGTGAGGCTTGTCCCGTGAGGGCTGTGAGGTCAGTGGCCGAGCCCAGGAGGTCTGCTGCTGCGCCTACGACGCCTGTGGACGAGGATTGGATTTGCGAGGCCGAGTATAGTCTGTAAAACTTCTTGTTAGCATATTCATCCTACAAGGAAATATATATAAGAGGGCAGACGCACTGCTTGACAGCATAGGGCAGCTCGTAGCTCCCAGGCACACTCTGTGTGACTATGTTCTCATCCCTGACTCCAGCTTCCTTCAGCTTTCTCTTTGTTCCCTCAAGCAGCGCATCGATGATCTTGGTGTTCCAGCGTGCGTGGATGATGCCGATGCGAAGTGCGGAACCTATGGAGCTTTCGTCAGTCACTCTGTTGGTGGTGGTGGTGGTGGTGGGGGCGGGGTTGCTCCGAGCTTGCTTGCGTACTTACCGTCGTAGGTCTTGGGTGCGCCTGGGCCTTTGATACCTGACATGATGTCGTCTGGTAGGTAGAAATCCGTAGTTATGATGTGGAAGGTGCGATGGGAGAGTGGGGTAGGTGTGGTCAAGGTAGTGCGGGTACAGTTACTGGGTGGGCTGAAGAATGCAGGAACAAGACGCTGAGCACACCACTTTGGGAGCCGCCCCGCAACCGAACGGCAGGGATCCCGCATCGTGCAATGGTGTCATCGGGAGCAGGGGTTGGCTATTATGAAACGCCGCACGTAGATTGCAATACCAACAAGACATGCTCACAACTCAAGATATGATAATTGTTGAAGATTTTGTTCATTCAATCAGACTAGCTATTAGAGCGCGCAAACCGCGTCGCTCCATGTTCTAGATATCGTAAAAATTCCCGTGCCATACACATACGCTACATCCAAGAGCTGTCATTCGTAAATCAAATCCAGATCAGACCCAGCTTCTCTTCCCAGAGAACGCCAAATCTATAATACATCTACTCGACGGTAACTGACTTGGCCAAGTTACGGGGCATGTCAACGTTGACACCCTCAGCAACCGCCATCCAGTAGGACATGAGTTGCAGAGGAACAACGTTGATGAGACCCTGGAGAACGTCGACGTTCTTGGGCACCTCGATCTTGTCCGTCTTGTCGGTAGGGAACTCGGGGTCGTCCTCGTTGCAGATGATGATTGGTCGTCCGCTACGGGCAATGACCTGTTGGTATGCGTTGAGCGACTTGGCGAAAATGTCGTCACGAGTAAGGATCATGACAATGGGAAGGTTCTCGTCGACCAGAGCCAAGACACCGTGCTTGAGCTCACCAGACATGACGGCCTCGCAGTGGAGGTACGAAATTTCCTTGATCTTGAGAGCACCCTCGAGAGCAGTGGCGTGCTGAGAGCCACGACCGAGAAGGAGCAGAGACTTTTGGTTCTTGAACCTCTCACAGAGCTTCTTGATAGGCTGGTCGAGCTTGAGCACCTCCTTGAACTGGTCTGAGATCTTGGTGAGACCCTCGATGATCTCCTCCCGCCTCTTCTGCTTGGACGCACGGTCCTCAGAGAGAGAAAGCGCGAACATGACCATGCAGACGAATTGCGAGGTGTAGGCCTTGGTGGAGGCGACACCGATCTCGGGACCGGCGTTGATGTGAACACCGCAGTGGGTGAGGAGAGAGATGGAGGAACCGACGGTGTTGACGATACCAACAGTCAGGGCACCACGCTCCAAGCAGTAGCGGAGAGCACCTAGGGAATCAGCAGTCTCACCAGACTGAGAGACGAACACGCAGGTGTCGTCACGGAAGACGGGTGCTTGACGGTCGAGGAAATCGGAGGCCAGCTCAACGGCAATAGGAATCTCGGTGAGCTCCTCGAAGACACCACGAACAGCCATGCACGAGTGGTAGGAGGTACCGCAAGCGACGAAGATGATCCTCCTGCATCGCCTGATGGTAGAGAGGTATTGGCGGAGACCACCAAGAGTGACGGTCTTGTTGACAGCATCGAGACGACCACGCATAGCGTTGACGACGGACTCGGGCTGCTCGAAAATCTCCTTCTGCATGAAGTGGTCGAAGCGGCCCTTCATGATCTCCTGGAGCTGAATCTCAAGAGTCTGGATGGTACGGACGTTGGACGAACCGTCATCCTTGTGCAGACGGTGAATGTTCAGCGAACCCTCGTGGATGTGTGCAATGTCGTCGTCCTCGAGGTATAAGACCTTCTTGGTGTGCTCGACGATGGAGGAGGGGTCGGAGGAGAGGAAGAACTCGGTGGGCATGGGGACGCCGTCGTCGGAGAGGAAAGCGCGCGATTGCGATCGGTGGAGGAGCGACTTGTCAGGGGGAGCGAGCAGGGTGTTGCCCTTCTTCAGCGCAACGTTGTGCGAAGCACTCTCAGCGGGGAGAGCAGCACCCTCGTCGTTGTACTCGACATCGACAAAGTCGACCTTCATCTTCTTCTGTGTTCGCACACCGATGACGAGGGGAGAACCCTTACGGGCGGCAACGACCTCGTGGGGGTAGTGGACGGACTTGAGGAGAAGACCAAAGGCACCCTGGAGCTCCTTGATGACGGCCTTGACGAGAGACGGGAAGCTCAGGTCGGGGTGCTCGCTGTAGATGTACTTTGTGAGCTTGGCAATGGCCTCGGTGTCGGTCTCAGTCTCGAACTTGAAGCCCTTGCTCTCAAGCAGAGTCTTGAGCTCCTTGTAGTTTGTGATGATACCATTGTGCACGACGGAGAACTCCCAGTTGGGGTCGGACCTGGAAGGCTGTTAGAATGGGCTCCAAGTCGCTGGAACAAGAGTGGCATACCTGTGGGGATGGCAGTTGACACGCGAGGGAGGACCGTGGGTGGCCCATCGAGTGTGGGCAATACCGGCGTGCGAGTCGAAGACCTTGTTGAGGTCGAAGTTCTGCTCCTCGACGAGCTTCTTCAGCGAGGCGACCTTGCCGACCTCCTTGACTGCGTAGACCTCATTCTTCTTGTCGCCATCAATGGCAAGACCGGCCGAGTCGTAACCACGGTATTCTAGACGTTGCAGACCTGAGCGAGGACAAGTGTTAGTGATCGCCATACAGCCCCACCAAACCACTTCCGATTCCGCGGAACGCGCGTCTGGAAAAGGAATTGCTCGGGTGCTTACCATTGATCAGTGTGTCGAGAATGTACTTCCTGTCCTTCTCCACCAGGTAGTTGATGTAACCGAAGATACCGCTGTGAGTGTCGTCGTCAGCTCGAGTTCCAACGCTTCTCTGTAGCTTGGACAGCTTCCCATAGTAGGGCGGCGGGGACTTACCACATGGCGACGAAACGAAAGTTAGGGTTCTAAATATGAATGGAAGCGATCGTAAGGTAGTCGGTGTCAATTGGTGGACGGGAGAAAATATGGGTGGGAGGGGAAGCAGACAGGTGAGTGAGCAGAGAAAGAGCGGTGGTGTGTTTGACTTATATCTTCCAAAGCCAAGCACTGAGCATGCCCCAGCGACGCCCTTCTCCACTCGACCTTGTCTAGCCTCGCCAATGCAGCGTATCGCAGCCATCCGTGACGCCGCTCTACCACCCTTGAATCTCGTGCTTGTCGTCCCTGCAACTTGCAACTACTGGCTTTTCGTCGACAAGCCCATCTCATCCCCACTGCCCGTCCCTCATCGTCCCCTATTTCGTCATGTCTCTCGGAACCATCCTTGTCCATCGGCTTCCGCGATGAATGCAGCCAATAGTCCCCATTACTGTTCCTGACCTGATCGCCCGCTATCCATCGTTTCTCAGGGACCAAGAGGCGCAGCACCTCCAAAATAGCAACGCTAGACCCGTTCCTCTACCATTTTCATGTCAAGATGCTAGAATATTTCTCTTTGCAATACTACACTACGGCAACTATGCCACTCGTGTCCTGACGGGCGCCGCCGTCGCCGCATTGGAGGCGTCGACCTGGCCCAACGATTGTGCTTATGGATGTGTTTCTAATTCTGCTCTCATCGTTTAGCATCATGGATTCGCTACGTCAGCGCGGGTGCGGCTCCCTATTTGGAATCATCGCCGTGCGTCACTACTCGACGTCTCTAAACTCTGTTTGATGATCTTTTTTTTTGACATGGTCGGTAGTAGCAACTTGAAGAAAACCGACAAGCCAAAACAAAATATAGGATATGGGTGGAACCCAGTCGCTAGCTGCACCATCCGTCCCACTAACGGCGGAAGTTTACCCGCAATGTGCTCCCCACCGTACAATGTCTCAATCAGACGGTGAGAAGCAATATGTCGTCTGGCCCTGCAAGTCTGCATCTCACGCAAGAGCGGCAGCAACGCATACCTCAAAGGAGCCAGAGAATGCTTCAAAGCCATCGTGGCTGACACTGCTAACGAATCACGCACTGCAATCACAAACGTGTGGGATCGAGCTGAGACCTTGGGGCGTGTACATTTACTCAACTGGAATGGGAGCTGGAACAACGGTGAGCACCTTGTAGCTGTTGCGCGCTTGTTCCGCTCTGGCAAAAGCTTAGCCTACCCACCTGCAGGTGTGGGCTCAGCTGTAGGAAAGCGTGCCGACGACAACACTTTGCCTGCATCCGTTGGGAACGTCTGGATGCCTTAGCAGTTTGATTATTCTGACCGCCTCCAAAGTGCCATCCCATTCCACAGCAGACGGCATCTGAAACCCCACCATGAGTGGCGTATACGAGCATCAGCCGCACATGCATGCCTTGACAACAGTTGTGCCGTTGCATTCGTACCGATTCCTGATTACGGTGTTTTCGCGCCCTGCATGTAGCTTGCTCGTATCCTACTCGCCAAGTGTTCTGCGCGAGTATTGAATCGTCTCGTATCTGAGCCCCGGTCACCAGCTAGGTATCCGCTGCATCTTCGGAGAAATTCGCCTCGCGCCGTTTCAGATGCTACTTGCCCTTTTGCTAGCAGATTCAGAGGCACAGAACACGACAAAGCAGCACATGTGATGTACTCACACTTATGTCACGGTGCAGTTGCGGTCGAAAAGCAAAGAAGAGACTAGTCTGATTTACATACGGGCTTGAGCCTAGCCGCTTCTGTCCATCCGGACATGCACGTGTAGGAGATGGCCTTACAAATGCACCGAAAACCAAGCCTGCGTAGCGCGACTTCTATGACGAGATGCACCCAAAGATCGATACCTATACACATCGCTGAAAGGCTACATGTAACGTGAAATGAGAAACGAGAGACAATTCAATCTGCGAGTACAAACCATCGTCTACCGGCTGTCGCAGTAGCCTGGAGCTTTGGGAGCACCGCCGTGGATCCAACTTTGAACAGTTAGGGTTGTTGTATATACCATGCCAACTGCACCGATAATGCAGAGTAACACGTCCACTACACGTGCAGTCGTTGTTCGTGCGACAGCCCGGTAATGGAGCATGGGCTATACGTTGTCAGCAATGAGTTGATCAGAAGCAGGAGAGATTCTTACAGGATAGATGAAGACCAGCGGGATGCAGGCAAAGCTTCCTACCAGGCTGACGAACTTGTCCAGGTCACCCGCACCAGCCCAGGCGAGACAGGCGCACACCAAGACTATGAAGAAGCGGAAGAAGTTCTTCTTCCATTTGACGTACGGGTTGTACTTGCCTGTCCTGCTGAACAACTGCTGGCTGGTAATCTCGATCGCAGGATAAATCTGCAGCGGAGTAGATAGCAAGATAGCGAGCGAGTAGATGAACTGAACACCGTTGACGAATTTGTTGTCCTGAGGCATGTTGAGAAGGACGACAGTCTTAGTCTTTGATCCAAATGCTGCATAGGACAGGGCACCAGCGCTGAGGAAGATGACAGTAATGATGATCATGACACCTCCCAGGACCTTGGGGAACTTCTTCGGGTCCTTCATGCCAGTCTGGATGGGGATGATGAGACCGATGCCTTCGAATGTGAAGATGGCGGTCCCGATGAAGAGCGTCCAGTCCTTAGCATTGAAGTTGACAATATCGGAAATGCCGCCCTGATCGACAATGGTGAAGAGATCGAAATAATACAGATATACAAGGCCCATGAGGATGAAAAGATCTGCTACCAACGCGAGCTTTTGGATGTTGTTGATGTTTCGATAAAGCGACAAGGGCAAGAAGATGACCATCTGCATCATGATCATGTACTTGATGTCGATGAAGGTCTTGCAGTTGGACACTGCAAGGACGAACGCTTGCAGATTCTCAGAGACGAAGACGATATAGGCGGACGAGAAGCCTATTTGCGATATTACAAGAGAGGTGTTGATCATGTTGCGCATCCAGTTTCCGTAGAGATGGAAGCCCATGTCACCGAACGAGTGCTCCACCACAAGACGAGTAGAGACGAGCAATACGAAGCAGGCGTAGGAGAGTCCTGCCACACCAAGAAGGACCAAGTTCGAAAAAGCCATACCACCGTTGAGGAAGGCTCGGGGTAGGAACAAGACACCTGTACCAACGAAGGATTTGAGGAGCAGCATGGCTGCACCTGTAGGGCTGCCAGTGCCCGTCTTCTTCACTTTGCGCTTCCTCCGCTTGCCGGGGGTCAGCAGTGCGCTCGACTCGCCGTACTCGCGGTCTTCGTCTTCGCTTTGCGCACCGGAATCTAGTGCATCGGAGGAGAAGTATTCATCCGGGCCCAGCACCTCGTCGTCTTCTTCGAGAGACTCACCGGCGAAGTGGCCGTATAGAGTCAAAAACTCAAGGAAGTTGCTCGTGAAGACCTGAGGCGGTGGGCGTGGCTGACGGACTGTCCCATAACCAGATGGGCCTGGACCAGGGGAGGGACTGTCAGCAGCTCTGCGCAGGTAGTTCCGCCTGAAGCCGCCTGGTTGTCGGATGGAGTCAATGTCTAGCGCCTCATCCTCAGGCTTGCGCCGAGACGACCCATGGAAGCTCTTGCTACGCTGGAACTTGCCCTGCTCCTCTGCCTGTTGCTGCTCACTCCACCTGTATATCTGTCGCGTGATGTCGCCGCCCTGAAGCTGCAAGCTCGAGAATTGCTCCTCATCTTCCTCTGGCTTCTTTCCAGTTGATTGAGCATCATCATCGCCTATGTACCCACGATTTGACCTGCTCGGTGAGGCATAGTGACCTACCAAATGTCGGCGCACGATCTCAGGATCTTCGTGAGGTACAGGAGAGCGACCTCGACCGTCAAAGGAACCGTAGTCGCTGGGTGGGACACGGGGAGGCGCCTCTTGGGCGGGTGAAAGCGGGCGTATCGGGGGTGGGCCGAATCGTGGGGGTGAATTGCCCAGTGACTCTTTCAGCGCCGAAGAGAGATTCGACTCGGATGGGCCGGGCAGCGACGACTGTGGATCTGTGCGTCCAGGTAGAGGTGTTTGTATTGACGACGAGTTGGCCGTCTGGGAAGGTGTTGGTATCTGGCGTACGGCAGGTGTACCGTTGGGTAGCGAAGGAACGGGCGAACCCAGTCTCGCGATAGAGCCTGCACGAACAGATTGCGACGGGGAACTTCCACGAGAACCTCGCGACGATGGCACCGCCTGTGCATTCGTGGATGATGAACGCTCACCCGACATATTGGGCTGCGTCTGCTGTCGAGCCTCTTTGGAGAGCTTTGTGATAAGAAACACGAGCTCCGGCTATCTGCGTCTAACGTCGCGACAGGAATTCTGAGCGTTAAAATAAGCTATAGGGGTTGTGTGAATGCTATCCTCGGCAGATGCATAACGCGAGGCTTCGAGATGCTACGCGAGATGTATAGCAACGAGATGAAGACGCGCAGAAGAAGCAACGAAACCTGAGACGGGCTGCACCGAGGCCTGTGCCGAGAGGTTGAGGTCATTCGTCGATTTGTCGGAGAGATGTGGCGCCCCACGCGCGGGATGACCATGTCACGCCGTTTTAAGCCCTGCATGTTTCCCCAGTGAAGCGAGCGCTAAGCCGCTAAGTGAAGCATAGCAGACGAGTTTACTGTTGGCGATGTAGATGCGGCGTCATCGCTTCTCGGTACTGTTTCCTTGTCACTTTTCCCAGCTGTTCTGCCCATGTCTTGCGTCCACAAACCAACATCCACGACTAGTTGGCGCATCCCGTGTACGGCCCTGACCGGAACCGCAGTGACACCTCGTGCCAGGAACATTGAACCAGGTTTCCGAATGCCGAGACCATGACCGATGCGGATGCGGACCAGACGGCCAGGCTCACCCTACCGAGAACTCGTTCCAACTTTGCAACCCGTACAGCACGAGATGAGAGTGAGCGGTTACACCGACGCTCCTTCGTACAGCAGTCACCGCCTCCCGATGAGGAAACACCGCTGCTGCCAGGGAGTGGACGCCGGCATCAAGACAATGCCAACGTCTTAGATGGCATCCAAGAGACTGAGGGTACACGAGGAGGGACAAGCAGCTGGTTCTTAAGCTTCTTCCGCACTTCGCAATGGACGTTGGGGAAGGAGCCCAGTAATGACAGAAAACGACACTCGGTCAGCGAAACCGCCAAACCAAGGCCTGGCGCATTTCCCAGACCCGTTGGAGGTACTGACAAGTTAGGTACCTTTGCTGGAGTCTTCGTGCCTGTAACTCTCAATGTTTTGTCCATTTTGATGTTTCTGAGATTTGGCTTCCTCCTTGGTCAAGCCGGCTTGATTGGCATGATGGGTATGCTGATAGCAGCATACGCCATTAATCTTTTGACTACTTTGAACATCTCTGCTATTGCTACAAATGGTACAGTCAGAGGAGGAGGCGGTGAGTTCAACGTCTAGACAGTCTTCTATCTCAACTAACATGGGATGCAGCATATTACCTCATCTCCAGAAGCCTGGGACCTGAATTTGGTGGATCCATAGGCATCGTTTACTATCTTGGCTCGGTCTTCAATACCTCACTGAACGCTGTCGGTCTCATCGATTGCCTCATCGAAAATTTCGGTACCCATGGAGGTGACATGGCAGAGTGGCTACCTCAGAGCTATTGGTGGCAGTTCCTTTGGGCCACCGTAGTTTTAGCAGCATGCACACTCATCTGTCTTGCTGGAAGTGGTCTCTTCGCTCGTTGCAGCAATGGCTTACTACTTGTTCTACTGGTCGCTACTATCAGTATACCTTTGTCAGCTGTCGTCAGGCCTCCGTTTACGAATCCGAAAGAGGACATTGTGTTCACAGGTCTCAGCATGGACACCTTTCGTCAGAACTTGCTACCCCACTTCACGCGAGGCGCCGCGGGAAGTGTTGATCATCACCGCGAGAACTTCCAAGATCTCTTCGGCATTCTCTTCCCAGCCACAGGAGGCATCCTAGCTGGTGCAAGCATGAGCGGAGATTTGAAGCATCCAAGCAAAGCCATTCCAAAAGGGACCTTATACGGTATAGGTTTGACCTTCGTCTTATATACACTCGTCATATTTGCAATGGCAGCGTCGATAGCACGCGAAACCTTCTATAACAACACAAATGTCATCCAGCTAACCAACATCTCCGGCGCCATCGTGCTTGCTGGCGAGGTGGCGACATCACTGTTCTCGGTGCTCATGGGTGTCATTGGTTCAGCAAAACTTCTCCAGGCTTTATCTCGCGACCATCTAATTCCTGGGCTTTCTCTATTTGGTCAAGGAACTAAAAGGTCCGACGAGGTAGGCTGTCTGCATCTATCACTTGTTGCGTCTATGCTAACCACGGGCCTTCATTGGCATAGCCTATCTACGCTATTATCATTACTTTCATCATTGCTCAAATCACGATGTTCGCCGACATCAACCAGATTGCTTCATTCATTACAATGACGGTATGTACTATCTTCTTATAGTTTCCATAGGGTATCTTTGTGCTCTGCGTGCTGCGAACACGTGTCACAAGTAGATTCTAACATGCTCTAGTATCTCATGACTTTCCTAGTCACCAACTTGGCCTGTTTTTTACTCAAGATTGGATCTGCTCCGAACTTCCGGCCATCGTTCCACTACTTCAACTGGCCCACAGCCGCGATTGGTACCGTCGCGTGTGGAGCTACCATGTTCTTCGTCGACGGCTTCTATGCGTCCGGATGTGTTGCTCTGCTTATGATTATCTTTCTGCTGATTCATTATACCACTCCCCTAAACCATGGGGTGATGTGAGTCAGGGTCTCATCTATCATCAGGTGCGAAAATACCTGCTGCGTTTACGCCAAGAACATGTCAAGTTCTGGAGACCCCAGATCTTACTTTTGGTGAACGACCCGCGGCGACAGTACAAATTGATTCAATTTTGCAACTCGTTGAAAAAGGGAGGTCTCTTCGTTCTCGGGCATGTCATCGTTTCCAGCAACTTTGGCGAAGCTGTGCCAGAGGCTAGACGCCAACAACAATCTTGGACGAAATATATCGACTTTTCCAGGATCAAGGCGTTTGTGAACATTGCCATATCTCCTGCTGTCGAGTGGGGTGCGCGTAATCTCGTACTAGGTGCAGGATTGGGTGGCATGCGGCCAAACATAGTTGTCATGGGCTTTTACAATCTGCCTGAGCTGAGGCAGGCGCAGCCCTCCATTGGTATACCTTCGCCCCAACCATCACGACCGTCTAGCAAGGCCGCAAATCATCCTATCTCTCGAAAAGCGATACAGGCAGCAGCCAGGCGACGCGTCACAGGCAATACCCATAGTATGCTTCCCACGGACGCTATGAAGCCGGAAAACGCAATTGCCATACGCAGCTACGTGACAGTTATCGAGGATTTGATTCTGCGGTTACAAGCAAACGTCGCTATAGGCAAGGGTTTCCAAGAGCTCGAAGTACCACCCGCGAAGCCTACGGCAAAGCAGAAAGCTTTCAGCTTTGTTGGTCTGAGTGAAATTGAGATTGAAGATTCTTCAAAGAAGTACATTGATCTGTGGCCAATACAGATGTCAGCTGAGGTCGCTACTGCTGGCGACGAGCCGGTCCGGAAGAATGTACTGACGACCAATTTCGACACATATACATTAATTCTTCAGCTTGGATGTATTTTGCATACGGTACCGTCTTGGAAGCGCATGTACAAGTTGAGAGTTTGTGTCTTCGTTGAGTACGAGACAGACGTCGAGGAAGAACGCGGTCGTGTTACCACATTGCTGCGTAATCTGCGCATTGAGGCTGAAGTTCACGTCTTCTGGCTATCATCTGGTGACTTGAGCATGTACGAAGTCATCATTAACGGAAGAGACGATGGTGATCTCGATCAGACTGGTCGTGATATCGATTATTCGCTAGAAGACGAGCGTTGGTGGCAAGATATCAAACGTCTGCGTCAACCCGAAAGTATGAGCGCCAGCCAGGAACTAGCACAAACTGTCGATATCCTTGAAGCCGTAACCAGCTGGCCTATCGCCTCATTTCAACATGGCAGGCAAGAGATAAACCCCAAGCGCTTCTCAGCACTACGTAAGATGCTACGCAAGGCTAAAAGTAGGACGTCGGTTAGCAATCTTGGCGATGGGACGAGAATCAAAATGCAAAGCCAAAGAATACCTGTCGAGCTACTGGAAGACAGCGACAGTGACACTCAGCCATCCTCAGCCTGTGGAAGAGAAGACGATGCTGATGATGAAGCAATGGCGTCTGATAGCGAGGCTATTGTCAGTGGCAGTAATTTCGACGAATACGACCTGGATGCATCGAGTGATGAAAGCGACTACAGCGGGCAGAGAATGTCACTAAGAAGGCGAAGGACGGCACCCAGCAACTCTCTCTTCACTAAGCAGCTAGACCTTCGCAAGACTATCTGGAAGAGTTCGCGCAAGGGCAGTACTTCGCAAAAGGACGACAGACCGACCACGCAGTCTGTAACGCCGTTTAAGCCGCACCCAGATGCCACCGCTTCCGACACAGCTGTTCTGCACTCTGGAGAGTGGTCCAAGACCCATAGTGTAGCTAGTTCGTCCTCGCAGCGCTCTGGTTCCTCACGCGCAAAACCTGTAGTCAAACCACCCCCAATGCGCCGGCAGTCACTACCGAAATTTACATCGAATCCGACTCCCCGAACAGCGGTCTCCTCGGAGGAAACAGCCGGCCCATCGATAACGTTTGTCGACACGCCCAAATCATCAACAGCTAACAAACAAGATCCTATGATCGTAACATCCGGCGAGCCTACCCAATTCGCCGCAGACAACAACGACAACCCAGAAACCGCCAGCCCCCATTCAGCCGCAGCATCGTCATATCACCAGCCCACCGACACCGGTACCGCCTCCCCAGCATCTGGGTTTCCTGCCCAACAAGCCATCCCCCTCTCCTTCAACGACCTACCTTGTCGCGCTCAACATCTCATTCTAAACGAGCTCATACGCCAACACTCCGAAGATACGGCTGTGGTTTTTACAACGCTGCCTAGTCCCATGGAAGGTACGTGTGAGAGTGAGGCTGAGAGTGTCAAGTATATTAGTGATTTGGAGGTGTTGTGCCAAGGATTGCCACCTGTCTTGTTGGTGCATAGTAATAGCATGACTGTTACTATGAATTTGTAGAGAAGTATGAGGGCGGATGTTGGATTGCAAGATGGGATGAGATATCGAGATGATAGTATGACATGTTACTCAAAACGAAACGATGTGATCAAGTTTTAAGAACGAGGTGGTGGTATCATTAATGCTACAACTACAAGTCTAAACTACTCGCTATCATCGTCGCTACTCGATACGTCTCCACTCTTCTCAGTTACCTCTTCCTCCTCCTCTACATCAGGTTTGCCAGTCATGGAGAAAGCCTTCAAACACGTGATCCTAGTGCCCGTGGAATACGATCCAAGCAGCTTTCCGACCTGAACTGCGGTAAAGCCCTTTGCCTTGCCCGCATCATCACTCTTTAGCTCATCCGTACTTAAGAACCAGAAACGAACAGTACCGTCGCTGCTACCAGTAACAACCAGGAAGCTTGTTTGTGAGAGAGTTACGATTTCAAAATCCTTGACACGGTTCGTCATGCCTGCAGCTGGGCCACCAATTTGGGCGACTAATCTGGCAGCTGGGACATCGTCCTTGTTCTTTTCTGATGCTTCAGTAGGTATCGTGGTATTTGTGTCGTAGAGGAGTACGCGGCCATCTTCCGTGGACACGAGTAGCGTGGCCGGATGTGACTCCGACGGCAAGTAGTGCATCTGATGAATCTTTGTCCTCGGGGTTGGCGCAATCTTTGCTTTTGGCTTGGATTCAATGTTGAAAACAACGATGCCGCGTTCGAAACCCACGGCAAATTCCTCGCCTTCCTTGTCCCAGATTACTCTCCTACCCTCGCCGGATGCGAAGCGCCCTTCGCCTACTGCGGTCAGGATGTTGCGATCAAAGTTTAGCACGCCGGCTTTCTTTCCTGTTACGAGATTCCAGAGACGCATGCACTTTTCGCCTTTGCCCACGCTGAGCATAAGTTTCATGCTGGGGTGGACGGCGAAATCGTTGATTCCAGATGGTACTTCGCCGGGTCCGGCTGTGTCTCCGCTGGGTCGGCCTTGGGGTTTCGGTATTGGTGCTTTGATTGTTGATAGGGCAGTCCAGTCGCGCGTTCTCGTGATGGCAATTGTGCTATCTTCCGCAGAGCTCAGGAGTTTCGCCCTCGTAGGGAAGTAGAGGGCTGTGATGTTTGATGAGTGGTGAAGTAATGAGCCAAGTTCCTTGTTCTTGGGGTTCTCCGTGATGGAGCCGCCATGGAGGGAAGGCAACTGTGGTCTGAGCTTTGAGGCGACAGGTGGTGCTGTTGAGATGGAATACAGGTTGATGCGCTCGTCGGTGCTACCTGTAGCTAGTGTGATCTTGGAAGTTTCATCTGACAGCGGAGACAGAGCAAGACAGCGGATGGAGGATGAATGGGCGTTGAAAAGAAATGTGTCGGTAAAATCCAATTTTGGCCTGTCTGCCTCAGGTGTCGATGCATTGTCCTGTGTGGTGAAGAGACTGCTGGGAAGAGCTGCTGCGAATCCGTGTAAAACTCTTTCGTAGGAGCCGGTTATGACTTGAACAGTCGTGACATCAGGTACTGCGTCTCCATTTTCCTTGGTAGAGTCGATCTGAAGTTTGCTCATGCTCACATCCATCTTCCCGTTGGCTGTAGCTTCCTTGCTCTTGCGGATCGCACTTTCCTTGGTTGCCTGCTGCTTTGGGGACGAGGCGACTGCTTCCTTGGTGGCTTTTAGCGCCTTCGCCTTGGCGGCACTCTCAGCGGTCTCTCTCTTTCTCTTTGCCATTGTTGATTATGCGTTGTTGTTTTGCTCAGTTGTCGCGTCTTTGGAGATCCAGAAGTTTTTGATGCAGACGGCAGGGACTAGGCCGGGTGGAGTAAGGTGCAGCTAGTGCCCCAATGTTGGCCCAATGAACCAGACTAGGCAGGGCTTATCACGGCCATCCCTGCAATGCGGCGTGCGCAGCCCTTCCCTCACGTTCTCGCAAGTCCCGCCCATCAGTTCAGCATATCGCAAAACACATTTCCATCAACGAACGCGTCCAACAACCCCCATAATTCATCACAACGGCGGCACTCGTGGATAACGGATGTCGGCCACCGTTCGTCGGTCTTCATATGTCCCTCGACAGTTTACGGGAAACCTTACGCCAGGAGAAGACAAATGAAGCCGCGTAAGTCAAAGTCGACGACTATCCATCGCGCTTGCAATTTGATCGATCACATCGACTAAATGCATCGATGCGACAAGGAAAAATCGCTCGTTTTGTTTTATTGGCGTGTTGTGGTGGTGCTAATTCAATGTCCCCAGATTCACATCCGCAGCACTGGAGCGCCATCTCCGGGCACTCTGGAAGGTTACGGGTTCCTGCAATGCCACTCTAAACGGCCACCAACCCAGGGCAGACGACTTCATCTATGGCGAACCTGATGAGGAGGAACGTCGTTTCCTTGACGAAAATGATATCTCACAGTAAGACTGATGTTCCCTACCTACTCGTTCCCAACCTTCCCGTCATCGATATTCGTGTTGTCGCCGCCTCATTCTGCTAACACGGTCGCGTTTATAGAGGTCGACGCTTCAACGATACAACGCTGCCCTTCCCAGTGGCCGTTACTGACCATCAGCCACCACTACCTGCTACTCTCCCATTCCAAGACTCATCCAAGCCCTTCACTAAGCCATCACCATCCCCCGTTGTCGGTACCCCAAGCCTCGAGGACCAACTTCGCGCTGCCTCAGCATCGCCTTCTGTTGCGACGCAAACTTTACCCTCGGTCGAATCATCACTGCAGAGTGATACCATTCACGTTACCCCTCGCGCGAAGGCTACTTCGCGTGCTGCCTCCCTTGCGGTGGAAGAAGAGGTAGCAAACAAGACCCAATCTGAAGCAGGCCCTGCTGTTCATGATGTAGGAAGCCAGGACGATCTCCCTATCGATAAATCCACTGTTGATCCTAGTGCTATTGCATCGCCGACTGCTGAGGAGACGGATGCAGCTACGTCCTATGACACGACGGATGTCAAACCGAAGCCACCACAGGTCGTGCATCTACCACCAAAAGAGGTTCAGGAGGCTAGGCTGCAGGAGACGGAGCGGAAGTTGGACAGGGCTGCGGAGAAGGAGCGAAAAGAAGAGGAACGGCTTACCATCCCACCTGCGAATGCGCCTGTCGATGTTTCCTCACCGTCGTCAACCGTCGGGCCCTACTCTCAGGCGACACCGCATGCGCAACACCATTCGCCCGATACCAGTCCCGACTCCGAGACTTATAGAGAACGCAACCACGTACCCTTACCAAATGACGATGTTCTCGACCCCGCCGCGCAGCAAGTCAAAGACGATCACGAACGTGCGTTACAGAAACGAATGAAGGAGGCAAGAGAGAACGCTCGAGCAAGAGAGGACGACTCCCCTACACCCGATATTGAACAACAGATCGAGGACGAACAGGCAATACGTTTGGCTCGCGATGGAAAGAGTCGCCTGAGCGAGTCTCAGCCCGCTGGGGATGCACATTCGTTGACGGAAGGTGTGGACGATGGTTCCCATGAATCGAAAACTGAGTGTCTCGATTTGGTTGGAACCAAGACTGTCAATGATGTTGCGGTTGATTCCTTACCAACGCCAACCACAGTTGCTGCGGAACCTTCAAACATGGACCGCGATAATGCCGAACAAGCCATCAACCAACAGCACGTCTCCCCTGCTGCCGATCATCCAACCCCTCCTGCTGATATCGACATCGAAATGCGCGACGTACCCCCTCTGGACGCACAATCAACAGTGTCACCCCAACCTCCAACATCCCGTCCTGAACGTATGACTACCCGTGTCGCTTCTGGAGCAATCCGACAGAAGTCTGTCTCCGAGATCATCGCTGAGAAGGCAGCTCCCAAGACTATGCTAACCCCTCGCTCAAGCAATCTATCAGCGTCTACCAGTCCTCCACGACCGCGAACTGCTCATCGTAAATCTCAAGAGATCTCGGCTGTCGTGTTTGCCAAAAAGACACCGACTAAGGCATCGAAAGCTCTGCAATCGTACAACGAAGACTATGCATCGCTCCAAGGTGCTTCGGAAGATTCAAGCCGAGACTATCTGGAAGGCCTTTTCAAGTATCAGGCTCATCACCCGCCTAGGTCTGTGCCTTTGCAGGAACTTGTGGCATCCGCAAGGAAGACGGTGTCGACAGCTGGCACGCTCGCTATGATTCGGGAACATCAAGACTATAAGATCCTGAAGAGAGTGTACCAGCTGCAGAATGCTAATCGATGGTCGTTGAGGCAACTTCAGAAGGCGGTCGAACCCGAGCGCCCATTCACCCATCAGGATCAATTACTCCTTGAAATGAAGTGGATGCAGACAGACTTCAAAGAAGAGAGGAAATGGAAGAAGGCCCTCGCCGCTACCTTTGCGGAATGGTGTGCCGAATACGTGAGCAGTACGCCTGAAGAGCGAACGACACTACAGGTCAACGCACGCATTCCGAAGTCTGCCAGACGTACAAGCAGCGACGAGGATATGAACGATGCTCCTACGCCAGATCTTGTCCATTCTAGCACGCATGAGACAGAGAGCGAGTCATACGGTGACGAGGATGATGTCCTTACTCCTGTTAATGCTACCCCTCCTATCGGTTTGTTCTCTCTAGGTTTCAATGACGTCGTCATGAAGATCGACCGTACACCCGCCAGTGATACCATGTTCCGGGAACTACCTCTCTACGACCCGATGTTTGAGGGCTCTAGCGACACCAACCCCTTCTCTCTTTCGGAACCACCAATCCTTCCTGTATCCAAGTTCGTCACAGGAAAGCTCGTCTCGCAAATACGAGGTCCGCCCAAGAAGCGTAGCAGATACGACTATGACTCCGAGGATGAGCCATCTTCGCCGCCTAGTCGATCTGGTACGTCAGCTGAACATTCGATGCCATCCACACCAGGTCGACGATTGTTCTGTCGCAACGACTTACCACCAGAAATGACCAACGTCGCCCTGTTCAATGCCGAGAACAAGCATGTCCGCGACCGACTACAAGCAGCCCATCAGTTCAGACCGCCTACAGAGTTCAACATGCCTACAATTGCCTTTTTCGAGAATCGCACGCCTTCTCAATGGCTATGGGAAGAAGACCAAAAACTCCGGGCGCTGGTGAAAGAGTATACATTCAACTGGTCTCTGGTGTCACAGCAGCTCTCGTTGCCGTCGATGTTTGTGTCTGGATCTGGTCGAAGAACGCCATGGGAGTGTTTTGAGCGCTGGGTACAACTGGAGGGTCTTCCAGCAGAAATGTCTAAAACGCAGTACTTTCGCACCTACCAGAGCCGGCTGGAGCAGGCCAACAAGACAGTGTTTGCCCAGTTCCAGGCTCAGCAGCAGCAACAACAGCAACAAGGTCAGACCCCAGGTCAACCCCGCAGGAGACCTACGACTACGCCAATACGGGTGGAGAGAAGGAGAGAAAACCGACATCTCGCCATTATCGATGGCATGCGCAAATTGGCTAGGAAACGCGAGTCTGCCGCCCACAAGCAAGCAGAGTCCCAGAAAGCTGCTGCGCTTCGAAAAGCACATGAGCCTGCGCCACCTAAAAACAACGTTCATACACCGCAGGAGTTCAGTCGTCTCAAGTGGGAACGCGAAGAAAAGCTGAAGCAAAGGCACATTGCGCAGGAGATGATGGCCAGGGTAAGCCTTGAGTATCATGCCAATTTGTCCACTACTGACTCCAAACAGCAACAGATGGTGGCACGGCAGCAGGCCCAATTACAAGCGCAACCGGGAATGGCAAACGGCGTTAACCAAATGCAACGTAACGGGACACCTGGAGGCACCAACAATGTTCCTCCGCAAATGGCCAATCCGTCTTTGCAACAGGGACAGAACGGCCCCGCAATGGCGGCGCGGGCGCACCAGTCCCAACAGGGCATGCAAGCCAACTTCGCCAACGGTAATATGTCTGGCATGTCGATGGGCACACCGGGCGTTCCCCAGGCACAGATGCAGGGCAACATGCAGAATGCTCAGCGTATGGGACCACCAGATCAGATGCGCATGGCTATGCAAAGAGGCCAGTTCAACGCCACTCAACAACACCAGTTCCAACTGCAACAGCAACAGATCAACATGGCTAGCAACCTCACCCAGGGCATGGGCATGAACGGTATTCCTAACGCGAACATGATGGCTCCTATTCCTAATCAGAACGGTGCGATGAACGGAAACATGAACAATTCCATGAACGGGATGTCAAACGCTGCTGGATCTCCACGGATGAATCAGGGTAATGGGAACATGCAAACGCCTTCCCGACCCCTATCCAGTGGACATATGCCTCAGCTCCTGGCATTCCAGAACCAGTTAAAGGTACAGCATCCGGAATGGACCCCAGAACAGGTTACAAAACAGGCCTCCGACCACCTCACCCGTTACCTTGCTAAGCAACGTACACAGGCAATGAGCGCAGCAGCTGGATCTCCAGGTATATCTCCTTCTCCACAGATGCAGAACAATCAGTACTTCCAACAGAACGGTGGCATGGCCAATGCTCCCCAAACAAACGCGGTACAGAACTACCAGGCCCAACTGGTCCAACAACAACGGCTGATGGCAAGACAGCAGGCCGGCAGTCCTGGATTGAATGCTCGACCACCTAGTCGGAGTGCCACGCCTCAAAACCCACAGATGCAACAAAGTCCGGGTATGCAGCAAGCGCAGATCAACCGGTCTTAGGAATTCCGATTGGCACAAAGGGAGCCTCCGTGAGGTCCCGTCACCGTTGTCTTGTATATAATTTTAATGTTCCTCCTTTAGCGTTGTCCTTCTAGCGTGGGGAGAGTCTGGCTTTTCGCAATGCGGTGGGCGTACCCCATGAGAAAGCATGGTGTTTGTGGCGTTGAACGGCGCTCTCACAGTCGCTCAGGGAAGTGGTTGGTACTGCGGGAAAAAACTCATTGTGTCGCTTTTTGTCAGCGGCATCCATCTGTGTCTTGTTGATGGGCTTCTATACTGGCTTAGAGCTTTCTGAATATCATGCAACTCGAGCATAACATCGAGATATAAACATTATACCTTTGAATCGCTGCCTTATCTTATGCTATCTTCGTGACTTGTGTCGTATTGGTAAATCGAATTATTAAAGGACTAATTTTTTTTCTGGCTAGATTCAGGTCTGGATGCAACGAATCTAAAACGCAAATTAGTAGAGTCTGTTATTTCGATCAATCGCCACACTTGATGTAAGAATATGAAAGCTGCCGTGGGCGCGGACCATGCGGTGACTAAGCCACGCGAAGCACTCGAAGGCGGTGGGTGAAGGCACAAAGAACGTCGCGCGCGGAAGTCGACCCTCACCTCCGCAGCACCTTCCCCAGCGGCCACCACTTGCCATCGCAACCCTCCAAAACCCCCTCGGCCTCGACTCAACCGCGCCCATCGTTGCTTCTCCTGGTGTTTCATCCTGATCACTTTCTTCTACAACCGTCGCGCATCTTCCTCACTTGCGACCGCGGCAAGCGTATTCATACATACAGGCAAGAGTAGATAGGTGTAGAGAGAAGAAAGAGCCGGCATAATGAACGCGCCAGACAGGTAAGCTCTGTGTTTTACAACTCACTCTCCATCAAAACAGTACCCTCTGTACGCGCAGTCCACAGTCCACGATGCCAATCCACCACGATCATGACCACGTACCTGAACGGTATGTTCTGTACTTTCACCACGAGTGAAAAAAAAACGGAATGACGCACATTTCCACAAGCACACGATACTGGCGCCTGATCAAGAAAACATGCTGCAACGTATATATACAACCTCAAAAGTATGCGACACTACGACAGATACTACTCTACAGCGGACACCACCCGACAAACGAAACCAAGATACACCACCATGAGCAGGAGTCCAAGCACGTCCTTCTCATCGAAAATCGGACAACTCATCGAGCGAAACCCAAACTGTGGACTGCGCGACAGCTCAAAAAACAACCGCCATGTGTCGCACAAAGCTGACCACGACGCTGAGTTTAGATTCGAGCTCTTCCTGCTAGACGACGGTCAGCAGAAGGTCGAGGAGAAGGCCGAGACCCGTACGTACAAACTGCTATTTTCCCCTCTTCCACCCTCTCACAAGACCAACGCGGAACAGGCGTTCCCAACACGGCCGTCTTCACATTCAACAAAGAAGACCACACGCTCGGCAACCTCCTCTCGCAACGCCTCCTCAAGAACCCCGCCGTCATGTTCGCCGCGTACAAAGTCCCCCACCCGCTCTTCGCTACTTTTGAACTCCGTGTTCAAACCGATGGAACTATTACACCCAAGGAAGCTGTCATGGCTACTTGTCGATTGGTCATTCAAGATCTGTCCAAGCTGAATGAAAGCTTTCAGACAGAGTGGCTGGGCAAGAGGATTGTGTCCGAGGGCGAGGCGGAGAGGCAACAGCGGGAGCAGAATAACTTCTAGATTGGTCATGAGAAAGATTAGCCCGCTCTTGAACCGCACAGGGTTGACAAAGGAGTTTGTGGGAATTGTTGTTATGCGTATGTTAGGCGTCTGTTTCTCAAGATACGAGACAGACTTTGGCCTATTATCATACTTTGATGGTCTGGCGTTCATGGTCGGTCGATATGACGATGTAAAAAGATTCTAAAATTGTCTCTTACATACATACCCCATAGAGCTGAGAATTATCTGAATAATGAAGAGAGAAAAAAACAAGGTGGCTCACCAATTACATCAAACATTTCTCACATATTTCCGTACAGTTAAGAGTAGTATATTATCATCGTAAAGTCACCGTGTAGAGGAATCAGTGGCATTCAAAGATTGCAGCAAAGCTGGTTGATATTGTTCTATTCTTCCGACAGTATCTGTGTCACACATGCGCGACGGCTAATCTAGCTCATCATCCAAATCCGACCAACGTCCAAGCAGTGGCTTAGTGGAGAGTACAGTGTCGTCTGTCGGCGCAGCATTACTCTCATCGCTAGCAGGCGTACCACTCGAAGCTTCAGGCACATCCTTTGATGCACCTTCATCCTCGCTTATGGCAGCACTGTTAGCGCCACTAACCTTCTCCTTCTGCTCCTCTTCCTCTTCGGCTTCCTCCCAGTTCTCTGCAATCTCTACAGGCGCCTCTTTCTGTTTCTTCTTCTTGCTGCTTAAGCTAAGAACCGCAAAGCCACCCTTATTGCCAAAAGACGCGGTCTTTTGAATCTGGCGAAACGGAACACCCTTTGAGGCAGCGACTTGACTCCAGCCGGAGCCAGGACCAACATCAGACTCTTTGCGGAGGATATTGAGCGATGAATCGAGTCGTGCGAGCTGGACGTTCTTTCCAATATTTTGCGTTATGACAGCTTGAGTCAATGGTGTTTGGATCGATTCGAGCATTTTCTGCATGTCATGTTCTGGAATGCTGAGACGAGCTGCTAGAGGTGGTTTCAATGCTACTGCTTCGCTGGGCAAAAAGGTAACCTCCAGTTCGCATCGGAAGGATGTCGTTGCAAGTACGCTCCTGATGATGGGGTTGAGCTCTTCGATAGTAAGTGCGAAGCGAGGGTTCAAGATAATGAATGCGTTGTAGGGATCGCCGTTGGTGTTGCTGGGCTTGGGACGCAAGGGAGCAGCTGAAGTCACTGCTGGTGCAGGCGCAGGAGCAAGACGTTGTTGAATTTGACGAGTTCTAGCGCAATCTGCAAGCGTTCGCATTGGCGCCATGACGAACTTCGGGGTCTTGAAGATCGCCACATGTCTATGTGGCTCTGGATCCATGCTCTCTGAGTCCATGCCAAAGTCTTCAGCAAGGTGGTGAATGAATTTGCGTTGATTACGGGGCATTGGTTTGAAGCGAAAACGCTTCTGATCTGGGTCGGCAGCGAACAGTCTAAGTTGCTTCTCCTGAGTAACTGCCCAAGTGGCGTTCTGCTGGTACATGTTCAATGTAGCGTCTGAATATGGGATGTGATCGCTTTGATGCTCCGGGTCGACGTTGAGTGCGAGAGCCAGAACGCGGTTACGCTCTAATCGCGCGCACTCTTCGTCGCACTTGAGTACCTTCTTTAGATTGCCGTCCCCGTTACGCGAAGCATTGCACTTGGCCTCTTGCTTAATCCTCTGGCATTCGCACGTAACGAAGATCTTGTGTGGACAAGGCTTCTCTTCCTTGCATGGTTGAGGGAAATGGCAAGATGCCAGGCACGGATGACCACAAACACTTAGTTCTTTGCCACAGGCTTGCGTGCATGGCTCCTCGCACTCTCCTGGTCGATGGCATTGCTTCTGGCACTTGTGCGTGCCACACTTGAGCGTACGTCCGCAGACCTGGCCACAGCGTACCTCAGTCAACCAACATGGTTGATTCTTGAGAACACTCTTGCCACACAAACACGGCTTTGCCGTCAGAAAAGCGCACTTGGGACATGGCTGGTCATCTTGGTGGCAACTATGGTCCAGTTGAGGATGTCCACAATCCTTAGGTCGCTCACACTTGAAACGACATGGCGGAGGCTTCGTGCCGCATGGCAATGGAGGTTGTAGAACAGTCCGTCCACAATGGCAGCTAAGCTCGTCGAAGATGGCATCGCGACATGTACCGCAGGGACCTTTGTGGCAGAGTTCCTGGCAGCGATGTTCAGGGTTGCCACACTTTAATTGCCGGCCGCAGCTCCGGGTACAGATATGTTCGGCTTCGAAGTTCTCGCGAGGCTGACGAGGAGCCGAATCCAATGGTCTACCCTTACGGCGATTCGACTGGCGCTCGGCAGCTTTCTTCTCTCCAGCACAGCAGTGCTCGCCGCACTCGTGACGTCCGCAGTTCAACGACACTTTGCAGATGCGTCTGCATTGAGGAGGCTCGTCAATTCCCTGGTGGCAGATCGTCCTGGATGATGTGCGCCCGCATCTACATGAGATGTCAACGTTCTTCAGACAAGAACGGCATTCACCCTGATGGCAGAGCTGCTCGCACTTATGGCCACAGGGAAGTGTTTGCCCACAAGGTTTGTCGCAATTTGGTATCGGGTCCTCGCACGTCGTTCGTGGGTTGCTTGACATGTCGCGCAGAGCAGTCTTGCCACAAGGACAGCGGGTGACTACGTCTGGAGATCGCGGGCAATGAGGTGCCTGTGTGTCTTGTGGGTGACATGGCAGCTCGCAAGTGTGCTTCCCGCAATCGAAAGAGCGTCCACACTGATTGGGACACTCGAAAGATCCTATCCATGTCTCTATTGTAGCAGCGCCATCTGCAGCGACATGAGACTGGCTACTCTTCTTCTCTTCTGCTCGGTCATGACATAAAATGTCTTTCTGTATCTGACCACAATAGCAACGTGCTGGCACCCGTACTTCACAGGCGCCACAAGGGCCATCGTGGCATGGGCGTTCACATTGATGCTCTCCGCAAGGCATCAGCCCTCCACAGACGTTGCCGCAGCTCCAACCGTTTTCGTAGTCGGTATCAATACAACGTCGAGTGACTGACTTTTTGCCACAGAAGCAGTGCTGAGTGGGGCCCATCAAACCACATGGAGGACAAGGGCCTGCATGACATGTCGAGCCACAAGGGTGCGGACAGGGCTTGGGAAGAACCCGGGGTCGTGAGCAAGTCTGACCACATGAGAATGGTGGTAGACCAGGTGTTGATCGCGGATCCAGCTCCTTCTCACACCAACAGTGAAAATTCTTCGGTAGAGTGTCTTTTGGTAGATTGCAGCCAGGGCAGCGCCATTGTCTTGGAGGAGGTGTTTCTCCATCTTGAGTCTGCTGTCGCGCTGCCGCCGAACCTTCATTTGTTGACCACTTCTTAATGCATCCCAGATGGAACACAGTCCAGCATGTTCTACACGACCAGACACCTCGCGAACGCCTTGTAACGTCTTCAGTGCAGATTGCGCATTCATAGTGCCCATTATCGATATCCTCGTGTGTTCTGGTGGCGATATCGGGTGCGGTCGATTTGGGGGCTTGCGGCTGCTTCTGACGCGGTGGTCGTGATTTGCGAGGGGCAATGGGTTGGCCGGGCTGGAAGGTAGGCGCATCTGCTTGTAATCCTCCTGGGGCCTCTGAAATGGCGGAAGCTGCATCATCTTCTACAGTCAATTGCCCACCGAATTGACGGCCACCAGCAGCCATACGCTGTGGGGCATGCTCTGCGCCACCTCTCCCTCTGCCACCCCGCCCACCTCCACGTCCGCCCCGTCCACCTCTTCCACCTCTATGCGCTGCTTCTTGTACAGACGAGGGCTCAAAGTCGAGGGCGGCAGCATTTGATTGTGAGGGTCTTGCACTATCTGTTTGGCCTCCCCGGCCTCGTCCTCTGCCACTCCGTCCGCCGCCTCTTTGTGATGGTTGTTGTGCTTGCGCTGGCTCTTGCTGCTCCGGCTGTGCAGTGGTATTCGCGTTTGGTTTTCGATGTCGTGGATTCCGCCGCCCTCGTGCTCCTCTTGAGGCATCTGATGGGCCTGCGGCGGGTGGCTGAGGCGCAACTGCAGGAGTCGACATGCTGTGCGATTCGATTGCGGCAATTTCGAGTGCTGACTTGACGATGGTGATGTATACCCTTGGCCCGCCTAGAGTTGAAAGAAAGGAGTGGTATTGCAGGCTCTAGTAAATGTATGGCCTGCTGAACTGGTAAAGAGAAGGCAGTCGCGGTATTGTTGTGACGGGAAGCTTTGCAGTGGCGAGCAGTTAGTTATATTGGAGAAAGAACCCGAGGAAGGACACTAAAAAGGCGGTTCCAGAATATGCGGGTGCAGTGATGAGTCAAAGTGCACTCATATGGCGGAGTAGCCCGGCGAGTTGCCTCGGGCGTTCAGGTGCAGTGGCGCCGTTGAAGGCGAGAGCGATTGAATAATTGATTGCTGCGCTGGGTGACTGTTGTACGCATGGGAATTTACATGGGGCAGCGCGTCATACCTAGGGTCCGGCCAATCGAGACTACGGCTAGTTCCGGGCGTCCATGGCCGCCGTGTTAGAGCTTCACATCGCGAACGACACCATCGACCATCGACCCAAACATATCCACGCACATCATGGTCAAGACACTCGTCGGCGCCCTCGCTCTGGCAGCACTTCCCTCGGCCCTCGCGTTCCGCAACACGTCGCCCTTCTTCCTCTTCTCTACGGCCGAGTACGCATGACAACAAGCAGCGCATCCTGACGTCTCCAAGCTAACAACTGCAGCCTGCTAATCCCCAGCAACGACGCCGCCATCGCTGAGTCATCAGAAGTCACCGCCGATGTCCTCAAGGCCCTCGAACACTGCCCTACCAAGTCATATGTCGTTGTCGAGCAAAGGGGAGTCTCTGCCGCCGACTACGTAGATGGCCGCGCCGCGCCACAACTGAGCCGATACATGGCTGGCCAGCACGCCGAGGTCAAGTCAACTGTGGCGATACCGGATATTGTTGGACACGTCGATGCGGCAGCCATCACCGAACATCTGGTCTCCAAATGCGGGAAGGGCTTCAATGATGATGATACATGGTTCGCGAGGCAAACTCTTGAAGCGCCCCCAACTTCAAAGGCGCTACGCGTCGAGCAGCTTCAATCTGATGGTAGGCACACCATGTCCGGGATACTTGACCAGAGCTAACCAGTACAGATGCCACGCTCGAGCAATTCATCCAAAATGATGCAAAGTCCCAGGACTACACCGTTATCTACATCACCACTCCCCAGACCGAAGCGCAAGCCAAGGAATCGCTCGAGCACTACACATATGAGATGGAGACCTCATTTCCAGAATCCGTGCAGATGGAGCTGAAGCGGGATCTTTCTTCGCATGCCAAGCGAGCAAACTCGACGGAAGGCGGTCTTTTCGAGAAGTACCAGTACTTCACTCCCGGCATCTTCATGGGCTTCGCTGCCATTATCCCGTTGTTCCTCATTCTCGTGGTTGGCGTCCGAGCCCTCACCAGTCTCGAGGTTTCATACTTCGCCTTCAGCAAGGAGATGGGTCCTAATGCGCAGAAGAAGCAGTAGACGTCTTCTGGGTGGATTAGAGAAGTTGTTAGCGCACAGTGTATATCTTGTAAGTTAGTAGGCATGAGTAACCGGCGTTCATATGGCTTTGGGTCAGTAGCGAAATACCAACATTGTAGTACCCAGGCTCTATTCCTATCTGATATGTTCCCATACTGCTATCAGGTGCCTTGCATATACTATAATCGAAATACGGCTATGAATGCACGTTGGCGGGCCGTTCGGGCATGCTAGACTGATGATGTTACCTAGCCGGTTCCCCAACTTTGCCGAACTCGAAACCCCGGAGTAGCCACTCACATTCGCAGTCAGCACTAAGCCGTGCATCCACAGGTACACGAACATGGGCTGTAAGTCCGATGAGTGCATACCGCTCCGGCATACGATGTATATGTACAGCTCTTTGAGCTCGAACCCCAAGTACAACATCCAACTCCGCACCGTCTGCAAATAGCCGTCTATTTTCTTAAAACCAACAAAAAGTGCCAGCCAAGACATCTCCAACACTGCAACAGTAAAGAAGGTTCCCACAGATTCTACCATGGCTTCTCCAAAGCCGATGGACATCATCATCCTAGGCGGCGGCATAGCCGGCCTAACGACCGCTCTCTCCCTCACCAAATTTGCTCCTGCCTCGTCACCACCAAATATCACCATTTTCGAGATCAGGCCTGAGCCTGCAACAATCGGTGGTGCCGTAAACCTCACACCCAACGCTCTGCGTCTCCTTTCACACCTAGGAGCTCTCGATGAGATCCGTGCCAAAGGATATGGCGCAGAATGTCTCGCAGTAGAAGTCTTCGACCTCTACACCAACGTCAAAATAGCGGAAAGCTCCTTCAGAGGACCAGACGGAAAAGGTCTGGGTGATCCTCCATTTACTGCGCTGAGAATTACAAGAGGAGAGGCGCTCAAGGGTGTCCTTGCTGCCATTGAGAAGCACCCAAACATCAAGCTTGTATGCGGCAAGAAAACAATCAATATCAATGAAAGCGACACTGATGTCAACATCGATTTCGAAGACGGAGGAAGCGCAAAGGCGGACATACTAATTGGATGTGACGGTATCCACAGCGTTGCGCGCCTCAAGCACGTCGAGCCCGAGCGAAAAGCAATGTACAGCGGAATATGTAACGCCTTCGGCTTCGCACCCCGACGAAAGTTGGAGTCCTCCAGCCAGGACTTTGAGCCCACGCACTTTGAAGTCAGCGGCATGAACTTTGGTCGTCGCGGCATGATGTTGACGTCCTTCCACGACCAAGCACAAGAAAGCATCTACGTGGGCGCACTGATGCAAGTCCCCGAGATTGCAGACCGCAATGGCTGGAAAGCAGCAGGAGCTGATGTGCAGAAGATCCGCAACGAGATGCTGGACCGTTACTCTGGTGCTGCAAATTCGCAGATTGCACATTGGATTGAGGATGCAGAGGGTCTGTATCTCTGGCCTGTGTTCACCCTCTCAAAGGGGGGTAAATGGGCTACCGACCGCGTCATATTGATTGGCGATTCCGCACACGCTATGCCTCCGCAGGGCGAATCCACAGGCATTGTCTTCGAAGATGGTGTCTTATTCTCGCGCTGCTTGGCAAAGTGGATGGAGGATAGACGCGACGAAGGCGTACCTGTCAAGGAAGCTTTTGACGCGTATGAATCTTTGAGACGCGCGAGAATCGATACTGCTTTCGATGAGAGTCAGAGTGTGGTTAAGACAGTGCAAGATACGCCTTGGTTGGGCCACAAGATCAAGATGAATGTGGTGCCGTGGTATCTTTGGTGGACGAGGAGTTACCGGGAAAAACATTTCATAGAGGATGTTACGACGTGTGACATTGGGTATTGATGGGTCTTGGTGTTGTTGGCATATTGGACGGCTCATGGGGGCACCTATCGCCTGTGCCATCTGAAAGCAGATGGGTGGACAGTACCGCCCGAACAATGCACTTCAAGTTCCTAACTGGAAATTCAGATGTTAAGCATATTTGCCTCTCGATTATCGGTCTTCTCAAAGCTTTCATGTGCGATCTCCTGTTAACAACTCTAGTATCATCGCTCGCTTACAGCGAGAAACCTTTTATCGGACGCCACATCATGTCTTACTATTGTTCTTCAACCCGTCTAGTCCGTCCATCCCAACCACCCCTTTCAAACCGCAGATCGAGCGGAACGACTCAGCTGTTACTACTCCAATTTTCAGGGTTACGGATCATAAGGGATTCCGCTATGAAAGCTGAAGTAGGTGCAATGTAGACCAGGCAGTTACAGTGGAGAGGGAGAAATAATGACTCGACTGTTCAAGGGAAAAAAATCCGAGGCGACAGTAGGGGTTCAGAGATGTTTGCGACAATTGTTCTATATGAGTATGAAGTATGGTAAACAAGTGCACGATAAACAATTCTAAACCACATCCTGTACCTTCCGCTGTTGCATTAGTGAAAAGAAGAAAAATGCATCAACCAGAGGATAATAGAGCAGTCAACCCACTATTCGTGTACCAAAGTCTTCCAAAGTGCATTGAACCAGCGCGTGCTCGAAATTTTCCACCTCTTCCATCTTGTTCATCCAGTTCTCTTGCCCTCACGTCCTACTACACTCACACCGAGCATACAACGCCACCATGCCTGCGCAGCTCAACTTAACCCAACCCACCCACTTACCCCATCAAGCAATTCCAACTTTTCTATCGATCGCTGCAACACAACCACCTTGATCCATGAACATGTCTAGACGAGAAAAAAAGGCGAGACGCAGCGCAGCGTACCGGCACTGCTGCACGGGATATCGCAAGTGGCGCGCCGTAATTGGCTCGAGGCCGGGTTACTTGCGCTGGAGAGTGGATTGTCACACCGGTATACTTACCCGGTACATGTTGGCAGCGAGTCGCGTGGTGTGAAGCTGTTAGGTTGTTCCCTGCTGTCGTTGTATTGGAAGGCCTGCAACGGTGTAGGTTAAAAGAAAAAGTGTGAGAGGATTAGGGAAAGTGAGATCTTGGAGGCGCAGCAAGGTACGAAGGTAGTTTGGTGGGGTAAAGTTTGGTTAGATTAGGTTGGTGGAAGTGGCAGCGCTATTGTACGCCGACGTATTTGCTGCAATGGACAAGTGCAATGACTCGGAAATGAAACGATGTCGATTCTTGTGGAGGAACAGGATATGGGAAGGTTCTATAGCATGCTTTAATATGTATAATCATGACAGCGTTGTGATATAGAAGACGTTCTGCGGCTCCGCACCGGGCGCTGGCGCATAACAGTACCAAACTCTCAACAAAACCGGTTCCTTCTTGACTTCACATCCTCTCTTCACCCAAATGCGAGCAAAGAGGGCACGACAACTCAACATCCGCTATCGACGATTCAGAACTTGACGTTCGGCACAATTGTGGCAGAGCCTCGCGCCGTCCCTAGCCCTCGCTACCATCTCCCCTTTCCAAAGTTCTCCCGCTTCGACCCCGTGCCACACGGCTGCATGAACGGCCCCAACTCCTAGCAACCCACTACTCTCAACGCCGCGTCCGAAGCCCCCAAAGAGAATCTTTAGCGCTTCATGTGATCGCAATCTACTGCATAGTCACCAAGCTAAGTACACGTTTGCAGCCGTTCCAGTAATCTACAGTCGAAATGTCAGCCTGCCGTATGTGGAAACTGCCCCCACTCTGAGTAGTTGAACCGGTCATGCTCGGTAAAGGACCCATGAGCTTGGTGTTCTGACCTTGTAACTAAAGCACGGAGCTCGAGTATGAGACAGGCAGTGAATGTTCAGCTAGAACGTCGATTATGATGACTCGTTGATAGCGACAGTGCTGTGGAGGAGGTAATCAGGCTTGGCGACAAAAGGCGCGTACCTCGGCATCTTTGCGGATTTGATTTGTAAACCATCATGTTTTCACAAACGCAAAACGGCTCTCTCAAGTAGCATCCAAAACCAAATTCAACAAGCTCTCAGTCACCAATACGTCACAAACGTCATAACCAATCATGGCGCCGAAAAACCTCAACAACTCATACACACCCCCTTCGCAACCCCATCTCAAGCCTATCATTATTTGCGGCGTTATTATGGCGCTCTGCGCTGCTCCTACACCAGCTTTCCTCAAGCCCTATAACGTCAATTCCCCGCTTCCGGAGAATGTTGCTACAGCTGGTCGATGGATCCAGACTGGCTTGTTTTACTTCCTCTATGGTGCACATGCCGTTGAGACGGCCATGTTTATGAAGAGACTGAAAGAGCACGGTGTTGGTTTCATGAGTGCGGCATGGTGGAAGTGGATGGGAACGTGTTTCGTCGGTGGGAAATTCTGCTTCGAGCATTTTGACAGGCTGGTTGGTAAGAAGGCGTAGATGGAGGTGTTGAGCAGAGAAGGGACGGCAAGGGAAGGAAGGAAAGAACTAGGATGAAGACTTTGAGTCAAGATGGAATAGGTTGTATGAATGGTAGAAGAGGATATATAAACTAGAGTTACCTAGTAGCCATGTATACGAGCACTTCTTCCCTTTTGCGAGTACTCAGAAGCCTTTTGCTCAGTTTACACCGTCGTCACATTTTTGCCATTCAACACATCCAAAAATGCTGTATAAGCAGGCTTCTTCTGGAAGTTATCCGTCCATAGCAACGCAGACCCCTCTCCATTGAAAGTACCAGGAACCCAAGAATACCTATCCGCAATACCCTAGAGCCCAACAAGTCAGCATATAATCTCCAAAGTCGAACAGGTTGTGAGTTGGATAGAGGAAGCTTACCCAGATCGTCATGCCCACGCAACGCTGCACATTGATACAACTCTGAGCAACCCTCGCCCAAGCTGCCGCCGCATCCGCCAACTTCTGCGCATTACTCGGTGTGCGAGATCGTACATCCAACTCCGTGTACGCAACGTCAACACCCAGGTTCGCATAATCCTGTAGCACCTTGGTCAGCACCGCTACACTCGGTGTGACTTCGCTCTGGGTGCCGGTGGGTTCCGAAACTAGATGGCCCTGTAGACCCACGCCGTCAATCTTTGCGCCCCAGGATTGAACGAGCTTCACGATCCGGAGGGCGCCTAGATGTTTGGCCGTGCCGTATTCAAGGTTGTAGTCGTTGTAGTAAAGCTTTGCGGCTGGATCGGCGGCGGCAGCCATGCGGAAGGCGATGGGAAGGTACTGCTCGCCGATTACGCGGAGGAAGACGTTGTCTCTGTTTGTGCCGTCCTCGTTGAGGGCTGTTGTTGTGATATTAGTTGATTGTTCCCTGCTTTCTTGTAGTTGTTTTGTTTTGTTTAGTCTTCTAACCTTCATTGACAACATCCCAGTGGGTGCATTTTCCCTTGTATCTTCCCATGACTTGTTTGATGTGGTTCTCCATCACACTCATCAATGTGGCATTGTTGTTGATCTGGTTTACCCAGTTCGGCAACTGACTGTACCAGACCAATGTATGGCAGCGCATCTATATCAATTATCAGCCCCAATACTCCCAGAGCAATCACACAATCCAATAACAGTGGACTAACCTGCTTTCCGTTCTGCGTCGCAAAGTTCGCGACAGCATCCGCGTTTCCCCAGTTGAATTGACCGCGATTGGGTTCTGTAGCATCCCACTTCATCGCATTCTCAGGCGTAATAGAACCAAACTCCGCACTGCGGATGATATTTTGCTCGGTATTGTCATTGCGGATCGTCAACGAAGTGCCAATGTATGAGCGGCCTCGCGCTTTCATAGCAGCATCGAGTGCTGTAGCTGTTTGCTGCCGAGGATCAAGGGGAGTACATGTGGCGATGCTAGCAAATGCAAGAACAGTGCTAAGTGTAGGTAAATACATCGTGAGTGATGATCGTGAACTGCATGCTGGTGAGTTGGGTGACTCTATATAGCTAAACTGTGAACCCGGCTGTTAGGTGATGCCAACCGGGTTTTCCGTCTAATGATCTCAAAGTACGATGTAAATACCCGTCTTGACATGTGTATTATAGAGTGTGATGACAGTATAGTTGTCTTCCATAGTGGCGATCATACCGGGCAGATCTGGTACGAGCGTATACAGCGCATGTGCACCATGCAAAACATCTCGGAGAAATTAAAGATCGTTTAAAGCAAGGCCGATGGGCTTGGTATCTGCGAAGTGGGCGGGGAAAAGGATTCTTTTAGCATGGCCTTTTAGCCTCTTTACCCGCCCGGTACACGTCCGGTACTCCTCCCGGCAATGCTGAGGACAAAAGAGATGGGCTTGGAAACCTCCGTGGAAATACTCGGGATATACTATTTCGAGTTCCTAACAGCCAACTCAACCAGAAAATCAACATTGTAGGCCACTCCTCCATCGACGACATACTTGCCGGACTGTATGACGTGGACGTCGAATCGACGAATGATCTAATGGATTAGCAAAGTAGATCTCTAAACGGTTTGGTATTTAGGACTTACCTCCGGCAACAGCTTATACATCTCTAACTTTGCGACGTCTTTGCCCAGACACATCCTGGCTCCGATACCGAATGTAAACTGAGCCGCCTCCAGCTCGAAGTTCTTCTTCTCGCTTTGCATCCACATATCAGGCTTGAATTCTTCCGCATCCTGACCGTAGAAGCCTTTGTCACGTTGTATAATGTATGCATGACTGGTGACATCCATTCCACCCGGTACATAGTGTCCATCGATGACTTTACCTCCCTTTGGCGTCACTCTAGGGAATAGGTTGGGTGCCGGTGGGAAGAGCCGAAGACCCTCTTTGATGCAGGCAACAAAAAACGGAAGATGCTGGAGAGTCTCATCATAACGAATTGGCGTTGATAGAAGACCGGCCGAATCTGCTGCATCAAGCTCTGTGCGGACACGTGCAAGCGTGGAAGGGTCTGTCAAGATGAGCCGGAGGATACATCCCAGTGCTGTACCTGTTGTGTCTGCTCCGGCTTGATAAAGAAGTGTAACATGAGCACGCTTTTGCGTTGGAGTCAGTGGAGAGCCGTCTGAGTAACGAGCATCAAGGCAGCTAAATGCGATGAGTACAGACCAGAGGTTTAGAGGCGCACATCGGATACTTACTGCTGTAGGAAGTCTGGCCTTCCATCAAACGGCTTCTCTTTATTCTGCTGCTCTCGCGTGGTAACCTGTCGATCCGCTTCGCCCATCAACCAACCCATGCCGTAATCGTTAGAGGTAGTTGGTAACAGCAAGGACCCTACAACAGGCAGTCGCAAAACCCTTTCTCTGAAGAATCGAAACCTTCCTGAGAAGCCGAAGAATGTCAGGCCCTTGCGCCAGTTGGTCAGTAGGTACTTCTCGTCGCGCTGGTTCTCGACACTGCCAAAAGGCTGCGTAAATGAGATGATGCTGAGAATATCCGCCGCGAATTCTGCAACTTTGTCAGAGAGGCATATGGTGCGCTTAGCCTCCGCATGTTCTTTCATCTTCTCGACAAGAAGAGAGATTTGGTCATCGAAGCGAGATTCCCATGCATTCTTCAGTGGGCCGATGGACCATGGCGCGTTCGATAAGGCTTTGCGCAAGACACGGTGCGTCTCGCCGTCTATCGTGGAGACTAGATGCGGAGGCCCCAAAGCCCCACTGTTATACATGCCGCCCCTTGTGTTGCACTGTGAATCTCGATAAATGTCCTTGAGGGCCGACGGCTTAGGAAAGAGCAGCATCGTAGGAGAGATGCGATGGGCTATCCGCTACGCTCGTGATCAGAATCTGCAGCCGTACAAGAAACGCCAGACATCACTTACTTCCATACTTCTCCACTAGGTAAACAAAGAACTCAGGCTCTTTGTGCAATACAGAGACTATGGCACCAAAGACAGAGAACGAGGTCGCATACCAAGGCCCTGGAAACTTCGAAAGAGGATGCAGCTTCTGCATGTAAAAGATCCGACATAGTACTGCTGTTGAGAGTATTACAAGCGTGACAAGACTCGCGTTGAAAGCCTTTGTAGCAAGGCCTGCTGCTGTATCCATTATCGCCATCATACCCACGACTTGCGGGTACAAACTGTTGATGAATGGAATGAAGAGAACAGAATAGAGAAATGGAAGTAAAGTAGGGCGTCAGAGATAGCTATGTTGCTCGACAGGACTCATCTCCGCCACCCACCTTGCGGTGGTTGCATGTTCTTCGCCTTTCATGAGGGGTAAACCCATGCCATAGCTGCATGCAAAATGCAAACACATAAAAAGTCGTCCTTCTGGTGTATGCCTGTCGTTGCAGCGGCAACGCTGTGATAGGCCAATCCTATCGTATTCGCGCTGTGGTGGATGCCTACGTTCGGCGCGTGTGAACATATTGAGCGCCTCCGCCGAATCAAGTAGAACACCTGTCTGAACAGCTGCGAAGTAATCAAAAATCTGCTTACAAAACAACCTTGGCTGATTAGCTAGGACTGTTCCAGGGCTGTAAATGCAGCTCAAGCGAATGCGCGCACATTGCGCTTCATTCATATGCTCTGAGGGGTCGGTTGGGGCAATATGCAGGCGGCATGCGGGAATCCTAACGGCGTCTTTGACATGGATGGGTCGGGACGAGCCTGAGTTATCACCTAATCTGGTATGGCTCGTAGGCCCGTATGTATCAATGGTTGCATAGGCGCAAGGACACAGTGTAGGGATCGTGAGGAGGTTGGGAAAATGAGAAAGTTGCCGTGTACGACAAAGAGCCAAATCAGACCAGATATTGCCAAGTGCGGCATTACATCATTGCTCGAACTCCCCCCATTGGATAATTGTGGACTGGGGCTGTTGATTCTGGCGACTTGAGTGAAACAGCGTCAGGCTCAACAAAACCTTTTGAGATTTCGAGAGTGAATGGCCAACCTTTTCTTGTTCACATGGTGAGAACTACTCTAGCAGATAGAAGTCGTCTGAAATCGGCTGGAAAGCCGTTATAACTACTAAACGATGGTACGGTGGACATGATGTTGATGGCATGTTGGCACGAACATCATGTTGAGATGGAAATGGTGTTGGGTTGGAAATCATTCTCCCTCCATCTTCTGGCGCTGCTATCTACAGTTGTCTCGAACCTGCTGTATACGGTAAGTGGGTCACTTTGCCCAATCAGAACTGGCCGTAAGACCCCCACCCCTTTTGCTCTTCTGCGTCTGCGTCCTTCGTTGCCCAGGTGGACTTTACGATGGCAACCCTTTACGATAATCAGTATGAGCTTCTGGAGAGTTGCTGCCTGTTCTTGTTACTTTCTGGAGCTCCGCAGTGACATGATGACCTGCCGCCAGCGCTATACACATCTCCTCCATATGAATCTTGGTTATGTATATAGGGTAGGGTGATGTAACGACACACAGAGACAGTACGTCTGGACCGCGAATGCATCAAACATTCCGCAACAATGCTTGGTACTGAACCAAAAGTAGAAACCGACTCTACCGCCCTCTCTACAGGCTCCGGCTCTGTAAAGCGGGGTTCCGAGAGAAGCAGGTTATAATCCTTGAACACTTTCCTGTTCTGTGGGCCAGATGCTCGAAAGATATCGCCCGCCATGTCTGAAATTAATCCACTGGATGTCTTGGCCATCGAGAATGTTGTGTCGCGATACTGCCAGGCTCTGGATCTGAAGGACTTCGATCTGCTGAGCAAAGTCTTCGTACCTGATGTTGAAGCTAGTTATCCCTTCAATAAAGCTATCCAGAGCCTTGATGAGCTGAAGGATGCAATCAAGAATCGGTAGATCTATCCTCCATAGATCAGCAAGGAACAATTTGACGTCTGACAATACACAGTCTTGGACCAATCCGCACACATCACAACCTCACGACGCAGACCATCACATTTAGGTCCGATGCGCAGACGGCACGGGTGGTGACATACTTCCAGGGTGTACACGTAAGTAGCCTACCTCAGTACCTTGTTCGGTGCAATGAACATGCCTTCAAAGCCTCGTACATGTGCTTGAATCGCGTGTCGTTTCGGCGTGTCGCATACAGATAAGTCTTTAGCCGATGCTTAAAGTGGAGTACTAAGTCTTACAGTTTGGACAAGGTCCTCACGAGGGCAAGATGCTATGCGCGTATGGCAAGTACGTGGACGACATGGTAATACTGGAAACGAAGAACAGCGATTTCGATGGTGTGCGCGGCGCAAGCGGAGTCTGGAGGATCAAGGATAGAACGGTCACCTTCACTCAGCGGATTGGAGACGAGAAGATTATGAAGGAACATTGAGGGCTGCGGCGTTGGGATGGAAGACTGTCGTTGCCTTCGCAGTACCTAGCCCACGAATGCTGATCATGCCTTCCTCACCAAAGCAGTTAAGGGCTTTAGTCATGTGTGTGTTGATGTGTACCTCCAGGGCTTCTTGCTTACTCCCCAAGGTTTCTTTCGCCGCAGCCACTCTCTCCAGAGTTCCCAGTTTGCTATCGTTATTCGCCTCAGCTATCTCGTTACGACCATCGCTGTGTTACCATCACTTACAATCGCCGAGATATCCTTCATAACTATGACGGTGCCGCCCGAGTCAACTGGCAGGTTCCCATCTCAATGGACAGAGGCACGAGAGACCGAAGAAGCATTCAACTAGGGGTTGTGCAACATATGGATTCATGAGTAATGCAGTTGTTGCAATTGCAAGCACCGACTAATAGGCGCAGTACCGGAAACCGCGGATCAAACAATTTCAATAGACTGCGTACAGAGTGGCTTCACTCACCCTACCGCAGCGATGAGATCGAAGCCTATGAGGGACCTCTTGACGAAGTCGACACTAGAGCCACATGCTGCATCGTTTACATCCGCAACTTTTTGTGTACACCACACGACTTTGCGTACTGCATATACGGGCACGCAAATCTTGCAAAGTTTCACTCCGGCTTGCATGGGGGAAACGCGGTATGTTGAGCCAAGTATTGCTTTGCGATCGAAACCACACTGATCATATGCCTCGTAGTACAACGGCCCAATCCTTGCGTCGGTTATATCCCTACTCGGAAAAACAATCGTAGAGAATGGCCAGAGGGTTCAGCCGATTTGTTGGAACAGATTCCAAAGGGTGCGCAAGAATCCGGAAAGGCATAACAAGATTCGCTGGTCGTGCATGTTTGAGACAGCAAGACTGGCGTGGAACAAGATGACATTTGACGCCAGATCCCTACAATTGCTCGAGAAGTTTTTAGCAACTGCCACCAATCTGACAGAATACCCGATTACTGAGGAAAGATGGGGAGCAAACGCTATTATCGCGGGCCGGAGGACAAGCCAGGAAGCAAAAAGCATCGCTATCGAGATGAATCTGGAGTTACTCAAGAAACAGGATGATGATGACGAGATCCTCTACTTTGTCGAAAACGAACTGCATGGCCGGCGGGTGCGACTGCGCCAACACAAACTTTCAGACGAGCAAACTCGCCTTCTCGGTTACTTTGCGAAACTCATCGATGAGTTTGACTACTTGTGCAGCCCCGACAACCCAGAGGTTCCAGACGACAAAGCTTTTGCAAACAAAAGGGCCTTGGTCATCACAGAGAGGGATGATCTGATCAAACAGATACAATATGAAATCACAAAACCCATTGACGCAGCTGATACGTCCAGATCTCCGACGATGTCTCCGAAGTCGCCTCAGGTACAGGTTCAGCATACGCCGATCAAACAAGAGGAGCATATACCGATGCAACAGGACGAGCATACACCACTAAACCAAGAGAAGTCTGAATCGCTGAGCAGAAGCGAGACAACGACGACAGTTCGGAAACTTGAGCTTGATGCGATACAGGATTTCTGCAGCATCACCGGCGTCGACTTCGAAGAGGCCGAGAAGAAGCTTAAATATTATGATTACAATGTAAATAACGCCATAGACTTTCACTACGCAGACCAAAAGGCCTCAGAGCAATCAGCACCCCCCGACGTTGATATGGATGCTGATCCCGAGCTGGAAGAAGCCATCCGGTTGAGTCTTGTGACTGGATCTTCTGGCGGCGAAGCTACACAGTGTAATCTTCCGGTCGACAACTCGATAACGAACGACAAACCGAAAAGGCATACGCAATTGTACCGCGAGGATGCATTTAGCATATCGAAGGTCACGACTGGTGAGATCTCACAAAATGTGGCTGAAATGGTGCAGTCGCATGCCCAAATTCGAAAGAACAAGGGTGAGGAGCAACCAGAGATCACCCAGAGTAATTTGGAGGCTCAACATGGCAAAGAGAATTGCGAAGACTCGAGCAAGCAAGCAGTCGCAGCAGTCACAGCAGTCACTGGAGACATATCCCCAAGAGGTCGCTCTCACGCTGGCCAATCCATCCTATTAGATCCCCAAGGAAACTTCAAGGCACATGTGCATCCAGAGCCTCCTCAAACAAGTCTGTGGGAGCAATACCAAACTATGCGAAGCAGATTGCAAGTACAGTATTACGGTTCCGGCGCATGCTTCGAAAGCCTAGGTCCCATTCGCGGCGTTCCTACAAGGGAACAAGCTGAATACATGAAGCCAGCCGAACAGACCCAAAATGACAACGCCAACACGGTTTCGGCTGTGAAAATCGACGACGCTGGAGGGTACAGAAACGTTGGGCAGGTAAAAACAGCTAGGGCATATCGAGAAAAGCAGGAAGTTCAGCATGCAGAGAAAATAGCCGATGCCGCAGATGCTGAAATGGCAGTCGAGTTGACAGACGATGAGCTCAAAATTCAAGAAGAAAGAGACCACGAATACGCAGAAACGGTGCAAAATCAACTCTATGCAGAAGAAGAGGAAGAAGGAGGACAACTCGCCAATGCACCAGAACCCGTGCACGTCTGTGAAGACTGGGCAAAAGTGACAGCCGCAACCATACATTCCCAAATGAAAGGAATTGCGTCTGAACAAAACACAGAAGACGACAACGATTCTACACGCGGCAACTACAGCCCAGCACACAGTGGCCACGACTCTGCGATCGGCGACGACGAAACTTCATCCAAGTTGGACCTTGATTACATCACGAAACACGCCGAAGAAAACAACAGACAGAACGAGAAGCAGGGAGATTTCGAATCTGACTCCTTCATCACCCTCAGAGACCTCGAGGAGTTGAGCGACGAGCCGAGAAAGGCCGTGTCGGAACAAGAGAACGCTCTATCCGTTTCGAAAGAACAAGCCAATAAACACACCACAGATCAGGGAAATGTCGAACCTAACTATTTCGTCAATCCCCGAGACCTCGAGAAAGTGAGAAGTCAGGTGGACGATGTCGGTTCAGAACAAAGGAAGGATCTGTTCATCTCGAACCAAGACGATGCCTGGGACGGATACGACAGTGACGCAGATGAAATGGAAATTGACGATAAGGGGATAGTTGGTTCTGATGCTGATGCAGAAGGCGATACGGATAGCGAACTGCAAGGTTTTGATGCCGATGCGGAAGGCGACGTGGATGAAGAGATGCCAACGTCGACATCGATCGGAGATAAGGATGTTGTCATGAGCGTGGTAACGGGTGACGAACAGCAGACTCTCGAATCGAGTAAGGAGGAGGAAGAACAAAGCGCGAAAAAAGAAAAGTACGGCTCACCTATGGTGTCCAAGCCGGATGAGGATGTGGACATGGACGCTGAAGACGGGAATGTCAAGATCTTCAAGACGGATGAAGAAGACAACGTCGATATGGCCGGCAGCAGTTAGCTAGATATATCCCAGGGCGATACTATAGTAGTAATACGCATGCTCAGTATCCCTACCTTGCCCATGATATCCATAGAACTCACGTCTATCAATAGCAAAAGAAGTCCTCAACAAAGTATTATTCCAATTCAATGCTAAAGCTAACATGATTGCACCATAAAGTGCCCAAAGAATGCAGGGGTATTTGACCACACACGATTCAGTGGTGGCGATGTAAGGAAGATCTATAGACCCCAGGATCCCGTCCAAGCGGTGATGCGTAGAAGCATCTCAGTACGTATGTCGTTACTCATATCTCTTGTATGGCTGTAAGCTATACACAATACCGTCGTGCATTGCAATGTAGGATTCGTTTATCTGGACTACTCATTGTCCAGAAACTCTACCATGACACTGGCGCCCTTCAGTCCAGCGGCTTCAACCGTGTCGTCGACGTGGTCAAGAAGGTTCTTGCCCATGAACGCCAGATCGAACTCAGCTCCTTGCTTGCCTTCCCAAGGTACATCGGACTTGATCCATTCGTAGACGCGACGAACTGGGTCTGAGAGGTTGAAGCGGCGCACGATCGGACGACCTGACGGTCCACGGAACTGGATACGAGTCGTAACCTTGGGGTCGGTAACGGTAGGCTCGGTGTGAGGAGCATGTGCGGAAATCGCATCAAAGACCGGATTGGAGGGAGTTGCCTCAGGCTCGACTTCTGGTTCAGGGGCGGCTTCTTCGGCCTTGCCCTTGCCCTTGATGTTGTCTGTAGACTTGGTGAGAGCATCCGGGTCATCGTCCTTCGGTCCCTTGCCGTTGTCCATGCTGTTTTGTAGTGCCATCTCTAGCATCTCCTCCTCCGTCATGCGACCAACATCCTTCTTCTTGGACTCAGACTTCCGCTTTGCTACTGGGTTCTTCGCGTGGACGTTGAGGCTGTAGCGGTCGAGGAACTCGTGGAGCTGAGCATGAAATTCAACTGGCTCAGGTATCGGTGGGCCCGACCAGACTTTGACTTGCTCGCCCGTTCGGGGGTCGACGATGGCGATGTGGGGGTAGGCGTCGGAACTGTCACGAGCGTGGAAGTAGTAGTTCATGTACTGCTGTCCACGCTGATCATCCTTTGCGTATTGCAGGAAGATAAAGTTCTCCCGCACAGTTGCCTTGATTTCGTCGTTCTTCCAAATGTCCCTGTTAAGGCGCTGGCAGTCAAAAATTGCCGGATCTTGGATGTTGACGAGCAGCCACTTCTCTTCATCCTTGCCCATGTCTCTCGCCTTTTCCCACGACCCTTGGTACATGATCTCGAACGGTGGGCGGAATAGCTCTGCGAGCATGTTCATCTTAGAAGACTGCTCGGAAGCACCGCCCGTTGCGGTCGCAAGCTCGCGTCGCCGAGTGCTCGAATCGGTTGTGTTATCCCAAACGTTGGTGTGAGTTGCGTGCTGGTTGAAGATACCTGCGCGGCCTTCATCAATTGGGTCAGCAAAGTCCGGGAACTGTACATATGAAGTTTGTGGCATACCTGTCCGCCGACGAGCCAGCTGTTCCTGGACCATGGCATCGAGATCTTCTTCGTCATCAGCAGGCCCCCAGTTCGAGCCTGGCCCAACAAGTGTTTCCACTCTCCGTTCTATAGGTGCGCGAATCTCATCATTGCCAGCTCCACCAGCCCCGCCACCGCCATACATCTCTTCTTGTAACCTCCGTGCCATGGCTTCATCATCTTCCACGCCTGGTTGTGCTTGGGTGGGTGGCGCGGTGCCTTGTGGTGCGGGATCGAAGTCCATGTCATCGTCTGAGTCGACATTGATGGGATTCTGTGCGGAGGAAGCGGCTGCTGAGGGCTGTGATGGCACCGAAGGAGCATCGGCAAGTCCTGGGGAGTCGAAGAAGAGTTGTATGGCCTGCTCCAAGTTGCCATCAGTTAGGCGCAAGTATTGAGCAGCCTGATCTGGGCTGCAGGAGGTTATGCCACAGAAGTTGGCAACATTTTCTTCATCCATCTTGGGCGATGGTATGTGTTTCGGCTTTTGGTGTTTAAGTTTGGTGTTGAGGATGGGCAGGAAAGTGCGTTTCCTTGACCCGTGGAATAGGTAGCGAAGGCCTTTGTGACAGCGGTATGCTATTCCGAATGCGTTGATTGGGTCGCGAAGGGTATTTCGGTCGTCGAGCGTGTGTCAGGAATTGTGTGTGGCGGTCGCGATTGTAGGTAGAACTGTGGTGGGGCAGTTTATGTACCCATCAAACTCCGCGAACAACTGTCGAGGTGCGTGCACAGAGTATGGCGACGGGTGATGATGCAAATAGACGCGATTTCGTGAGGCGGTCAATGTACTACACAGTGTGAGGTTTGGACGTTGAGTACCAATGTGAGTACAGGTGCGGTGAACGGCTTGTGACAGGCGCGGGCTCGGCTTGTCTGCTGGGGGAGATCGTGGAAGAAAGGAAATAGATAGGCTAGGGGAGGGGCGAATTACTAGCCTGGCGGTGTTGCAGGTGTCTAAGATAGGCCGAAGGCGTCGGCTTTATTAGAAGCACGTCGAAGACGCGATGCGATTGTTGTAGGCAGTTGCGACTGCGTCATTCCGGTACCCGTGCGTCAAACCCCTGTTGCCTCACAAGTGAATGTCCGACACGACATGTGGCAACCACGGACGAACAGGGCTTGAGATACGCCTAACTAATCATAGACACTCCATAACAATACACTAGCACACTGCATCGCTTGGTCATCTATCCCTCCCGGAGCCGATGAGCCACGCCATCCGCCTCTGCCTGTTGCCCCTGCTATAAGACTCTCGTTTGTTGATCGGCCCCATCATCACGATACCTCCAACAAATCACAACATGGCGTCGGAACAAACACCAGAAGCCAAAGAGCTTGCTCTGGTGGGCAAGGTCGAGATGCGCATTGCACTTGCTAGCTCAGAGAAGAAGCTCGAAGACTTGCTCAAAGTCTATCTCTCCCCACTACTACTCAAACTCGGTTCAGATAGCGTCGCTGTACGGAATAAGGTAAGTCTCATAGATGGTCGGCTGATGTGCTACTATGAAATTATTTTGAACACCGCTGATAGCGGCCTCTCATTAGGTCATCTCTATTTGCCAACACATCAACACCCGCATCAAGTCGCAGTACGCATTCCTGTTTGTCCAAACATAAAGTCTTGCACTAACGCAGTACCCCAGAGATATCAAGCTCCCCGTGGGCGCTCTCCTAAAGCAATACAAAGAGAATCCTGATATCTCTCTTATACGGCATTTCGACATTCTTTACATCCAGCAGGGCATATCGCGACTTACAGTTGCCGAACGACTAGAGCTTCTCCCCATTCTACTGCAGGGCATCGCTAAAGACTATGAAAAGTCGGAGCAACATGCCTCTCAACTATTTCATCTCATCCTTCGTCTTCTGGTTCACTTCAAGCTTCCTCTCCGTGGTAGCAAGGAGGACGACGAGCTAAGAACGACTTTGGGTCTTTCCGATGATGATGCGGCCTTCCTCTCCAAGTGGTTCGGAAAACTGCTTATGTTGAGCATTATACGAGAGAGCAACCCCCAGGCTCAAGCCTCGTTACGCTGTCCTGGCTTATCTTCCGATGACTACAAGTTTCTGACACTTCAGGGCAAGCCAGACGCTTGGGATCCCACCTCAGATGCAGGACTGAACTTGACAGAATCCAAGGCCCTAGTCACGCGCTTCATGGCAAGTGGAATGTTCAAGGAGGATGAGAAGTTCCTGCCCGCGCTGTTCGCATCTGCTGATACCAACTCTCGGATATCAGAAGTTGGTGAGGACACCTTGAAACGTGTAATGTTGTCGAAGGACCTTGAACAACCGGAGGTTGTGGAGACTTTATTCGACCTCTACTTTGGCTCAAGCTCATCGAGTGGATCGCTTCCTGTAAAGACACCCCTACAAATCAGGATACTAAACGTCTTGTCAAGGTCTGCCAGGTGCACTGCATATCCACAGCAGATAGCGAGGCTTGTAGAAGAAGGTCTCCTCTCGCCCGAACTAAATGCGACAAATAAGACAGCCGGTAGGGAAGCTTCCAAGTTCCGTTCAGCTATCTTCTCCCTTGTCAACTTCGTCGCTCGTCGTGGCAAGTCATCCGATCTTTCCCAGGTTGCCGAGAGTCTGGTAGGAAACCTAAGAGCTTTCATCCAAGACCAAGGCTGGCCAACTCCTGATCGCGATCAAGATATGGAGTTGAGGGGCTATGGCTATGAAACCATTGGGCTGTTAGCGAAAGCCGCCCCAGAGAAGATTCTACTAGAACCGTCTCTGGATCTGCTAGAGTTCTTGTTTCGATCTCTTCGCGAAGATTCAGCGGGTAAAGACGTAGCCGTCAGTATAGAGGAAGCTCTTTCTTCAGTACTGGGCGCATTCTCAAAACCTTTCGATCATTCTGTCATGCCCAGATTTCGGCAGATACTGCTGAGATATGCATCTGTAGATCAGGAGAGCACACCAGCTTCAAGTCGATTTACAAGAAGCACTCGCTATGTTGCAACACGGTTCGCGAATCGCTGCCTTCCATATGAAGATGTGCTGGCGCGGTGGATTGATATTCTCGCGGTTAGTGGAGGTGCTTCTGAAAGACATGAGGTCATAGAGGAAGGACGGCGTGGTCTCGATCCATACTGGTTCAGAATGTCTAACACGCCGCCTGGTGAACGTGAACAGAATACGTTGACATTTCCGGACTTCGACAAGTTGGTCAACTTCATCATCGTACAACAAGGGCAGGACGAGGATGCCATGGACATAGATGAGTCGGAGGACTCTCTTGTCCAGATACAACACTTCTACCAGCAATACCCTGGGGCTCTGCCGATCGTCATCAATTTCTGTTCCAGCATCGCTATGCAGTCTGCGCTACTTGACAAAGAGATGGCCGAAGAAGTCCCAGAAGACTGGGAGAGGAAGCTTGATACCCAGATGACCACGGATATGCGCGCCCGGCAAGCGTTTCGTGCATATGCGGCAGATAAGGCCCACGCTCGATCGCTTGCAGTGATATTGCGAGCCAGTTTCGACAGACTCACAAAAGATGATGTTAGTGACATCGGCGACATTGGTACTTCTTTCGTACGAATGCTGTCTCTGCTACCGCAGCGTCATTGGGTTCAAGCGAACGTCGTCCGAGATTTCCGCGCTTTACAACCCTCTATTATAGCCAACAACGCCGGACGACGACTCGCCGCTGCCCACGCATATGGATTGCTAGCGTCCCACGACAGCATTGATCAAGATGCTCTTCAGTCCGCTCAAGTAGTCTTCTTCGAAAAGCTCAGCACTTGGAAGTCAGCAGTCGGTGCCGATATCAACCAGATCAGCGGCATTATCCTAGCACTTGGCTACTACTACAGCAGGGCATTCTGGAGAAGTGGTGCGGCATCTACAACCATCACAGATGATCATCCGATCCAACAACTGTTACAGTCTGTTGTTGAGATTTTGAAAGAATCTCGGGACGCAACCCTGAAGGGTGCTGCCTTTTCTTGTATCGATCAGCTCAGTCTGTTCTATGTTATCACCCCATCATTACTTTCCAAGTACGCAAAGGTCGAAGATGTTGCTCAACATATCTACGACTCTGCCAAGACAGGCACGACCAGTGCCATTCTGGCTTTAGGTCATCTTTCTATGATCACAGATGAAGCCGAAGACGGTGCTGAGGAAGCAGCAGAATATAAGGCCATCGGTGACAAGCTCTATGAGCTGCACGAGGTCCGTCAGCCGGAGGTACACTTTTCTGTCGGTGAAGCGTTGAGCTGTTTCGCTAGTGGTTGGGACTCAAAGGCTCTGACTTCTGAGCTCGATATTCTACATCCAAGCCAACCGCAGGAGCCGTGGGATGCGCCTCTACAGACACCGTCTGGACCTAAGCGCGAGAAGACACTTGGTGCAGTTTTGGAGAAGACCTTGAAGGGCTGTGTTCAAACTAAACCCTCACTGAAGAAAGCTTCTGTGATATGGCTACTCTGTCTTCTACAGTATTGTGGTCACAAGCCCGAGATGCAAGGCTATCTAGGCCAATGTCAGGTAGCGTTCAAGAACTGTCTCTCTGATCGCGACGAGGTTGTCCAAGAAGCAGCTTCACGAGGATTAGGCTTGGTATACGAGAAGGGCGATCGCCAGCTCAAAGATGATCTCGTCCGCGACCTCGTCGGTTCCTTTTCGGACAACAAATCCAAGATGGCTGGTACTGTTACGGACGATACTCAGCTTTTCGAGCCTGGTGCGCTGCCCACTGGAGATGGGTCGATCACAACATACAAGGACATCTTGAACCTGGCAGCTGAGGTTGGTGACTCAAGTTTGGTATACCGCTTCATGTCAATGGCATCCAACAACTCTATCTGGTCAAGTCGAGCTGCATTTGGTCGCTTTGGCTTAAGTAACATCTTCTCCGATTCCAGTGTTGACGGATATCTGGCACAAAATCCCAAGCTTTACCCAAAGCTCTATCGGTATCGGTATGTTCATTGCACTGAGATGTAGCTGTGGAGGTCCTAGACTAGATCGCAAGCTAACACGAACCCAGGTTTGATCCAAACACGAACGTTCAGCGTTCGATGAACGACATTTGGAACGCGCTTGTCAAGGACTCTTCAGCAACTATTGACAAGCACTTTGATGCGATAATGGATGATCTTCTAGTCAGCATACTCACAAAGGAGTGGCGCGTCCGCCAGGCCTCTTGCGCAGCAATCGCGGACCTCGTACAGGGTCGAAGCATCGAAAAGGTAAGCACATCTTAGTGCGGCGCAATGGAAAATACTGATAATGCCGCATAGTACGAGAAGTATCTCGACGCAATTTGGGGCAAGACTTTTAAGGTCCTTGATGACATCAAGGAGACTGTACGCGTCGCAGCAGCATCTCTCGCCCGTGTCCTCACTGGCATACTGACACGTTCTCTCGAAGCTGGTGACGCTTCAAACAAATCCGCGACTATCCAGCTCGAGCGCGTTATACCATTCCTGTTTTCCACCTCCGGATTGGAGTCGTCAGCTGAAGAAGTCCGTCTCTTTTCGGTACACACATTACTCCAGATCGTCAAGAAGAGTAATGCCAAAACGCTTAATCCACACGTTCCAGAGCTTGTCGAACGTTTGCTCGGATTGCTCAGTAGTTTAGAGCCTGAAGCCGTCAACTACGTGCACCTCAACGCCAGCAAGTACAACCTCACGGAGCAAAAGATCGACGACATGCGACTTGCAAGCGTGCGCTCATCGCCACTGACCGAATCCGTGGAGCGCTGCCTTGATCTAGCCGATGCAGACACCATGGCTGCACTTGTACCTCGTATTGAGGCTGCAATGAAGAATGCAGTTGGTCTGCCGTCCAAAGTAGGATGTTCGAGAATTCTGGTTACGCTTGCTACACGGCACCGTTTCTTATTCAACCCGTATGCCGACGGCTTCCTGAAGTTGATCCAGAAGCAAATCCATGATCGCAACGAGACAGTTAGCTCTTCGTATGCGGCTGCAGCTGGCTACCTTGCACGTCTCGCCTCAGATAAGCAGATCATGTCCACCGTCGCGTTTGTGCACAAGTTGTACTTTGAATCCGAAGAGAACAGCGACAGAAATCGCCTGCTAGCAGCAGATATCATGCGCGCGATCTCCTTGTACGCTACAGACCGTTTCACCTCTTTCGCATCTGAGCTACTCCCATTCATCTTCCTGGCTAAACACGACTCCGAAGAGCAAGTCCGAAAGAGTTTCACGGAGACATGGGATGATCACGTCGCAGGTCCACGTAGTGTTTCTCTCTATCTCAAAGAAATTCTTGCTCTCTCGGAAACCCATCTAGAAAGCAGACAGTGGGCCATCAAACACACTGCTGCTAAGACTGTTGCAGACTGCGTCCTGCAAATTACCAACGCTGTCGGTAGCGAGAAGATTGAACCCGCCACCGCGAAAGTTATCTGGCCTGTACTCGACAAAGCCCTAAGTGGGAAGAGCTGGGAAGGGAAAGAAGTCGTGTTAGAAGCATTTGTACGGTTTGTGGAGCGTTCAGAAGCGTACTGGCAGGCTGGAGAAAACACGGATGTGGCCAAACAGTTAGGGAAGGTTGCAACAAGGGAGAGTAAGAGACAAGAAGGCAAGAATGAGAAGGTTGTTGCTGAGGTATTGGGAAAGCTAAGAGAGCATTTGAGCCTGTAGACATGATCGACACTCCATAGAGTCACCCATCGCTGGTCTTTAGACTTACCACTGGAACTATAGAAAGAATATAGATTTTGCAATTGAAGTTGTCAGGCTGCTGATATCAAGTCACGACCCATGGAGTTGCCAAAGTCGATGATGTTTCCAGCCTAGTTGCTCGAAATCTAGCAGCTGCTCATCTTTACTCCTTCTCGTTTGGACACATACATGTACTTGCCTCGGTTATCGGACAAAGTCTCATTCACAACGCCCGATATCCGGTGTGGTGTCAGCGACTTACGTACGAGAGACAAAACCCAAGTATCATAACCCTTGATCGAGAAACTGTACTGTTCCTTCGCTTCTGTAAGCCGAGGCGCAGCTCATCGCACCAACTAGGCCGCCTGATCTCGACCCGCAGCACACCACCCTTCCAATTTCACGATGCGAGATTCCAGCCCTATATCGCGGTATTCGTTTTCCCTTGCTAGCATCTGCAAGAACGAGGCACAGTCCACAAAACGGCGATGGAACGATCTCCATGCAGCTAAATGGGTTTAGTTTTTGGCGGGCATATTTGATAGTCTTCCCGCTGCATGTAAGCTATGTGATTGACATACATGCACGCCCATCGCCCTGTCTTGAGTGTTGGTTGCGAGTCACAATATGACGTGTTGCAAGCATAAAGTTTATGTGAGCTTGTTTGCGGCGGTCTACTCCGCCGAATGCATTACCCAATCTAGGCAAGCAAGCATGAAAAAAGTCTCCGTACAAATAGTCATGTCGGAAGTTTTCCCATCTCGAGTCGTGAAGATGTTGGTTTCCCAACGCTATGATACCGTGCCTCATGATGGACGGGCCTAGGGCCTACGGGGCGTAGCCATCTCCCTAAGACTAAGCCCCATCACAGCCGTCTTCCCCCTTAGCCATGGTCTTGGGAATGCGTTAAGCGCGTCTGACACATCAGTGTCTCGCTATTGTGTGTTCTGTGCCACAACGCCGCTGGGGATCATAGCACACCGATGATATCCTCTGCGGCACGACCCCCCAATCCCAAAATTCCATTGCATGAGTCAGAGCAAGCGCGGTGGAAGCGCCACAGACCGCTTCTCGCTGAGCCGGCAGTGTGGAATCGGGCATGTGCCGCTGGGGATGTATGATGTGGGCTTCGAGAGTACTGTTAAGGTAAGAGGAGATTATGCGGAAGAATCGCGGCTCGGCGCTTGTCCGGCGGTATGTATTCCATCGTGTCTCGCATTTGAAGGATTATTGCGCATGAGATATCATCATGTAACTGAATATCTTCAACAACGAAAACGAAAAACAGACGTGTATGAAGTTAGCGGCGTGCTGCTCCGCGAGCCATGATGCTGTTTTTCTGATCATCAGCGTCCTTCCCGTGTGGCTGATGTGTCTCGCATCTATTCATTCGCACCTGACTTTTTGTACACCTACCCTATCAACAGATACTCATGCTCTTCAATCACTGGGCATTACTAGCTCGATATTTAACTCCACCTCTGCATCTTAACGTCTAAACTCAATAGCCCATCCGCAACCTCATCCGCATCCCCATTACCCTTCACATGACCATACGCAACAATCGGCGACCCCCAGCCCACCTAACGCCACCCGTCTCCACAGCCCTGGTTAAGCGCCCACACCACCCCTGTATCATCCCTGCTCACACCACTTCGCCCATCTCATTCGCCAACTGGTATACCGAGCTAGGAGAAGCGGGAAGGTTACGCAGCCTTGGGAAATATTGGGCCTGAGCTTTCTTTGCTTCTTTTGCGCCAACAGTCATACGCGGTAAACGGGTAACTTCCGTCCTTTTACTCTCCCTTCTGCAATGTTGAGGCGGGCATGAAGGAGAGCCGTGGGATTCGTCGGCCAGGACGCATGCAAACTCAATTGCACGCCTGAAAGAAACAAAAGAAAAAACGGTTGGAAGGATATGGCCTGTTTTCACGAAAGGTGGCTAACGTCTAATGGAGGTTGATTGGACAGACTAAGCGCATATAGATTGCCGTGCGTTATCTGGGGAAATATTGGCTTCTTACGGCGGGTATGCGTGTCCGCGTCACAAGGCGGTCTGAGAGTTCAGCAAATGGGCAGACAAAGAGAACGGAGGGGGAGGCTTGTCTGTTGATATTCTTCTCACCGGCGTGACCGAGCGGTGTGTGGTTCTATGTGTAGGGATGCTGTGTAGTATACCCACCCTAGTCAGTACACCAAAATAATCGAGATCAACATGTGCAGAGAAACATAGTTTGGATAGTAGGTATCATGTTTCATTTCTCTCTTTCTTTCTCTGGCTAGCACTGGTAGACTCGAAACCTGGATGTAAGTGGAGAACCACCGCCATCTGACCTCGTTAGCTTGCCCAAGTGAATAAGTCACGGCGGCAAGGGCTATTGTTCTCGTGTCTTTTGCCGCTCAACCTATCACCACAAGGCGCGTCCCAGATGCCCACTTCCAATACCAGAAAAACCTGCACGCTGCAAGATCTTTGCCGCCCAGCACACACCCACATTGTGTGCGCGCGCGTCGCCCTCGTCCCATATCTCAAGTAAATCGAAGAGGTAATCTCCGTTCTTGCTTTTCGCTTAGCCAATCAAACAGCGCCGGCGCATTCCCGCCCGCTATATATTGGTATCCGCTAGTAAAATGTGGTAAAATGTAATGGTGAATCCCAACGCCGAAGACATGTTTTCCGCCGTGACAAGGTCATGAGAGAGAAGTGACGTGGCCATAACGTCGCATCTCTATTGATGTGGGGTAGTAAACATAAGAAAAGTGGGAGATGTAGAAGCCAGGAGGTGTGATGAGGTTGTCATGTCGTGTTGTGTTTGATGATGTATGAAGATAATGTTGCGATCGGATCGCCTGGACCCGAGTAATTAGTTGAAGTGGCCGGGTTTGGATAGTGTAAGTCGTGTATAATGTAAAATGGTAGACGTTGACCGAATGAGAATTCAAGTGTCATGGTTAGGCGCCAGTTGCAGAGCTTGAAGGGGTATCGTGGAGTCGCACACGGGACGGCTGCCTATGCTCGAGCCAGGCAATCCAGAAGCGGTGGTTTGCGTAACAATCGCGCATCACTACTCGACCTTCCTCCTCTTGCCGCGGGGTGCGGGGTCGATTTGCGGAAACTGTGGAGCTTTCGCATCGACTGGTGTGCGACTATATGTCACTGTCCGTGTAACAACTTCGCGCACACTAACGCGCCTTGAGCGGCCAGTCTTCTTATCCGCATCCCAGGTTTTGGGTGATGAGACTGCAGAAAATGGTGATTGGATGGACTTTGCACTTGCTGGTGACCTTACTGTAGCGGGCGAATAGGGTGATTGTGGGATGTAAAGGCGGGGTGTCCGTGCAGAATGGGGCCGTGTGAAAGGTGATGGTGGTGGGATAGTGACGGTTTGGACCTTGGTTGGAGGTGCAGACATTGGCGGATCATCCTTGGTGGTGTCGCATCTGCTGCAGCTGCTTGATCTTGAAGTTGCTGGCGAGTCCTTGTCCTTAGCCTTGTCTACTGGGGCTGATGTTGATGTGAAGGACGCAGTTGAGGCCGACGATGTTACTGAGGTGGGGCGACTGTCACCAAAGACGAACCTGGAGCTAGTACCGGTGGACATTGGGCTTGAGAGAACAGGTGACAGGTTCTTGAGAAATTCCAGATAGGCTGTTGGTGGTGTGATCGGTGTCTTGAGATCTGAGTCCTCCCGTTTGATGTTGGCAAAGATGGGAGTTGTTGCAGAGGTAATCATGGGCGACCTGAGCTCTGAGGGGTATGTGGCAGACATAGGTGTCTTGAGAGTAGATAGCGTCGGTTTGGAGTCGGTGGCAGCCATGGTGTTGAATATACCGTTGTGTTGAGCGAATGACTTGGATACTTGTCGGTACTACTGCGAGCTGTGCTATACCTTCGTCCACAGCAAAGTGGAAAAGTAGGAGAGCGAGGCAGGCAGACAGGTACCTTTTGGCGCCTGGGGAAGAGAGTGTTTATTGTATGTACTATGACACTAGCTTGGCGCGGATGCGCTGTTGTTGTTGGCTGCTGTATGGGTCGTATCCGGTTATTTTTGGGCGAGAGGAGTCCCAGCGTTCTCTAAGCGCCGAGGACTAGGATATGCAGGCCCCGTGCACTGACGAACACCTCCACAGGGATTCGATTCGCTGCCCAACGCTGAAACAAGATGTGTGATTTGTTCGGCCCCTGCAGGTCTCGAGACTCTGACCGGCCTGAAGGCGCGCCTGATTCGCCGCGTAACCTTCGGGTGTGTGATGTGCGTGGTCGATGTGCGGGAAGCAAGCTCGTAATCTGAAGCTGAACGTGGCGACCTGGTAGTTTGCCCGGTAAGAGGATCTGAGACGAGCTGATGAGACGTTGGCGTCAGAATAAGGCGAAGTAGCAAGCAAGTCAATGTGTCTCATGAACGAATGTTGCTGGAAATAGATCGAAGCTATGTGCAAGCTGTCATCTCATCTCGTGGGAGCATTAGACGATTTTATGTCTTGCTTGCAGCCGCTGTATATCTCTGCGCTGCTTCGGAGGGCGCGCGCGCTTCCGTCTCATGCCATCTGCCACCAGTTTTACGTACCAGACACCTGACTCTGGTTCGCCGTTGAAACACCACTACCAGCGCTTACATATGAGCCTTCCCGTGAGTTGCGTATGCCTATCACGTTGCCTAAATCAACGTCTCGACTGCTTCGTGGCCATGTATTCGGCGACCCGCCCGTCTAATCTCTGTTACACTGTACATAGCTACTCAACCAATTACCATCTCCTGCTGCATGCTATCTGAAGCCACGCGCGAACGCTGCGACCGTGTGGTCTGGAGGTATACTCAGCTATGCCGCGTTCCAACAAGGGCCGTAAGTTAATCCTCGGGCCGCCTGGGCGGCTTAACCTACGAGGGACTGCAGGTGACTGTTCTGGTGTATCTCATCCTCTCTAATAGGGCTTACTGCATCGCCGACCGTAATGGTGGGGTTCTGCCGAAGAGGGGACGACACCTCGTCCCAGGGTAGATGGCAGGTATGCTCTCCGAAGTAGACGCGACCATCAAATCGACGTGTTTTGGAAAGCGTTACAAACGGTTCTTGGTTCCTTTCGGCGGTTTGTTGATCAATGCAAACCATTTGACATCTACGGCACGCTCCTAGCATCTCAAAGTACTGCTGGCCAATCTGGAGGTAGCGCCAGTCGTCCTCCGCATACGGGTCTTCCAGCCCAGGCGGGTACGCTGGGTTCTCCGCAACCACGATGTTGGCTCTGAATACCTCTGCTTGCGCCGCCTTACCGCCCTCTGCTTTGATCAATTCATTCAGGCGGTTGAGGCTTGATCGCGATATAGTAAGGATGGGACTCTCATTTGCTAGCAAGATTGGCTTCGAAACGCACGCGCCGGGCGTAATTGGAACCGTTTCTGGAAAGGCGCCGGGTACTCGCATAGCGCCCGCTTTCTGGTACTTCTGCAGATGCGCTTTTGAGTGTCTTGAGATGGCGCTCCCGTTGCTGACAGCTGGAAAGCGCGCAAGGTGACAAGCCACCCCGAGAGCTCGCGTAAAGAATGACGATATATCGCTCGATCTATACGTCTTTGCCTCAATAGAATCTCCGCAGACCTTAGCCCTCGCGTCTTTATATACACTTCCGTCTGTGAACATTCGTGGATCCGCAGAGAGAGGCACGGTGATCTCATGCGTGTCGGTCATATCCTGAAGAGCGCCTACCAAACTCACACGTAGCAACCCTTTGTCGAGATCGATACTGGGGCGTATGAGAGCCATCTTTGGGTAACGTTTTTGGCTCAGTGCGGCTCCAGTGCCTTGATGGACCAAACACCACTCACGATCCCACGCAAGACCCTCTGGGCGCACCTCCCATGCTTTGCCCGGCGGTACGCTGAACCCCGCGCAGCTCTTGATAGGGTAGACAGATAGGCTTTCCACGTGCAAGCGAGACTCCGTTGGTGGCTCTACAGCGGCAGACATTATTGGCGATGTGTCCACTGGCTGGCATTCTTGGACGAAGAATTCGCGTACGAAGCCAACAAACTTGTCCACATCCGATAGGGTACTCATGGCTCCAAAGCTGACGCGTATCATGCCCGTCGGCTTCGCACGCATGACATCGTTATCGTTACCGCACCGTTGCCCGGCAGAAAAGTTCTCTCGCATTTCCCAGGGTGCCAATCCTAGCGATGAGGCAACACCACCAGGATTGCAAAGCCCGCCGGTTCTGAGTTGGATGTTCTTAACTGCAGCCAACTTCTCCACCTCTGCATTACTTACCCAGCCACCGCATTGATTGCGAAGATTGAATGCAATAACCGGGCCCTGAGTAAGCGAATCCCCATACGTAGAAGCCGGGTCTTTGTAGACGTGGCAGACGTCTATACCATTCCCGTGCTGTAATGCCGAAAGTCCTTCATATAGGTTTCTGGCGAGAAATGTAGTGTGCCTCGAGATTCGATCCAATGAGGTGTAGAGCTCCTGATGAACGGCCATCGCGCTGTCAAGCGCCATGATGTTGTGTATCGGAAGAGTACCGTCTTCCAATCTCTCGTGCAATGAGTCCGCCTTCTTCGCGTGCCATTGCTCTTTCAAGCAAACGACCATCTCAACAGTGCCACCACCAAAGTAGCGTCGCTTGTCAAATGCCGATGCTGATGCTTGCCTAACTATTAGGGCGCCTAGATCGGGGAAGCCAAACATCTTGTAAAGGCTCAGTACCGTAAAGTCGGGGGCCTCATCAGGATTCCCAAGGTCAAGAGGTGACGTTGAGACAAGCGCCGCAGCATCCAACAGGGTGTACACATCCTTTCTTTTTCCCGTACGTATACGGTGTGTCCAATCCAACGGCAGGCGACGTCCGTTCATGTTGGACTGCGCTGGGTATGCAAAGAGCTGTGCCGATCCAACTTCAATGTCTTGACCGTCAATCCAGTCATTGACCTCGTTATCCGAAGCGAAGCATCGGTGCTCCTTCGCTGCCTCGCGCACGCCTATCAGGCTTGTATGCGCATCCCTGTGATAACCATACCAGAATCCTTGGTCTTGATCCCGAAATGCATCCGTGACCAACTTTATCCCGGCAGTAGCGTTGGCTACAAACACCACGTCAAATTCCTGGGGATCGGCGTTGAACATTTGTAAGAGGCGTAATCTTACATCTTCGATTCGTCGTGTCGTCAGTTGGGAGGCATTGGAGGCGGAATGAGGATTCCCGTAGAGGTTCGCGATCATATCAGCAGAGAAGCGTTCGATCAACGATTTGGAGTAAAGCGTGGTGCCGGCATGATCTAGGTAGGTCGTATCTATTGAGTAAGCACACATCAGGACCAGAGGCTCTACAAACTTACCCTGCAGCATAGGATACTCCTTGGCGCGAAGCTCTTCGATCGCATTGTTGTAGCTAAGGTATGTTGCCTCCTCCATAGTGCCTGGTGTGTTTCGTCGCATATGACAGGCAAGTCTACTCACCCGTAGTCACTTGGATTTGGGAAAGAAAGGGAAGAGTTTGCGAAGAAACCCATTTGATTGTAGGTAAGCGTCGTGTTTGCGAGAGTGGGGGACATGCGATGGCGAATGGTGGAGTCGTGACTTGGACCCTGCCCAGGAGATACGCGGGCGGTCCCGATCGCTCGGAGAACGCCATCACATAATCCATCAACCCGCGACAACGAGCGTTCGCTACTAACGTCTCATTGTTCTCCTTCACTCCCAGCAGAGTTACGACCTCGGATATTCAACATAGGAAGCAACCCGGGTTGCGTGCCTGCAAAGTGAACATATCTGGGGCAACGCGACGGCTGCATACGCCTACTACATGCCACCATCGGAACCATTGCATACCAATATAAAAAGCCAAGCTAGTTTAAGTGTCGCACGAACATAAATAAGACAGCAAAACCAGTGCTTCAGCATATCGATGAAAACCGACATGAGATTCGAAGCGGCAAGGTGCCTGATTCATCTGCGCCATCGGTATATGGACATTGAGCCATCCCCTCAAGGCTTCATGGCAATTGCCCGTCCACGGGTGTCTTCGGGCCGAATAAGAAGACTAAAAAAACTCACGAACTTAGTGGGGAGATCTTGAAGACTGTGACATGATCAATCTCAAAGAGGCTCTGGTCATCACTGATAGCGACATATAATTCTACTGGCCTTGCTGCAGCAGAAGCTTCCAGGTAATCCTTGAGCCTCTCTCAATATCGAAAATCATACGACAGACATGCATCGGTGTTCAAGATGAGAGCGTATCACCTTGGCACAAGGCATACTTACTTCAACTCAAACTCTCCAGCATGCACGAGGGACGATCTCACCGGTTTGAGGCTGCGGCTGAACTTCTATACGACCCACGATACTATTTTCAATTTTCTGTAGCGAACTACGCGTCGAATAATTGGCCCTTTCGATTTTGGCCCCCAGGTACGCTTCGCTTGTTTCCTCGCATTTTTCGCATACTCTAATGATTCACCAATAGCCATCTTGTGGCGTTTTACACATCATCTCAGTGGCGTACCAGAGTAAGGCCTATTGGACGAGTTCTAGGAATAACGGCATGTTGCGAAGAATTCTAATACACAACCGTAGCAGTGGAGATGAAAAGGCTGACTCCCGTGATCGTGGAAGGCTGTCAGGAAGGCTGTCGGGTAGGCTGTTTTTTGTTGTATCCTCAGTGGCATAATGGTATAAAGTCTGGCGTTGCTGAGGGGAGGGCTGAACGAAAACATCTTTCTGTTTCACCAGTAGATCTCAGCAGACATCTTACTCACGAACGCTTGACACTCGTTTTTCAAAGACGTTCCATATACTCCTAGCAACCATGCTTACCCGCTCTTTAATGCTACTGAGCGCCTTCGGGTACTCCGTACTCGCTGCTCAAAAAGCGGGACCTCTGAAGGCAGGATCTGGCGTTTCGCCTCGTCAGCTCGAGGAGTGCAACACACCCGGGTGGATTCCAGTGTGTCCTGGTAAGTCTTCCCCTCCAGTTGAACCATACACCAGACTAACACAACCAGGCGATCTTCCGTGCATCCCACCTTCGGGTACATGCTGCACAGGCGACTACTACCACCTCCCAGGCGAGGAGTGCCCTGATGGATACTCTGAAGTCCCTCGCATCGATCAATCCAACCCCCCTTCTGCTTCCATCACACCAGCACCCTCCGCAAGCTCGATCCCAGACCCAACCTTCGTCGACTATCAATGGTACACCTACTCGTACACATACACCTACTACTATTATTACTACTATTACTTCGACTTCTCATACGAGATTACCTCCACCGAGACAACCTTCTACACAGCCTTCTCGTTCACTGCTACGGACGAGGTGGCCGCGAACTCTGTGTTTGAGTCTGTCACTGCTGCGATAGTTGATGCTGTACCTACACAATCGGAGACGCCTACGCTTGGTTCTGTTCCAGCTTCCACTGCAACCTTGGAACCGGCATCCACACCATTGGTCACGCCGTCATCGACAAGGGTGATCACATCTTCAAGGATCACATCTTCAAGATTGTCGACGTCCTCGGAGGATGCTACACCAACTGTTGAAGATACCTCGTCTAGTTCCACTCCAACACAGTTCACTGGAGCTGCTGCCAGCCTTCGTGCTGGAAGTGTTACAGTTCCTGGTAGTGTCTTCGCATTCACGCTTGGAGCATTCATCCTGACTCCGGGTATGCTGATGCTTCTGCTCTGAATGTAATACCGCGAGCTAGCCGTGACATGGGAATGTGGCTACATGTTGCGCGGAACCTTGGGAAAGAGAGTGGTTGTAATTGTGAGATGCGTCCATTTTCCTCCTTTTGATTTCGATTTGTCTAGTTGTTCGTATGGAGGAGATAATGTCTAGATTCAGGGTGAGGGTTGCTGGTAGAAAATTAAAAACCCTGTTCATATTCCCCAAACTCTTTCGCGGTTTTGTTGCTGCATCTTGCTCGATGCGAAATCTTCCTGGGTATCCGGCGCGGCAGCAACTCTTCATCGGGAATCCGCTCAAAGTCTATCCTTGTTTCCATGGTCTTCGTAATACCATCGTCTTTCAAAATGGACTCTTCGCTTGTATTGCTTCTTCCTCCGCACAAAATTTTCTGTTTTGCCACCGGGCTACGCCCACCGTACGTGAGAAGCTCGGTTTGACCACTGGATCTTGTGCGACTGTGAGAACTCCAGTTATTGGAGGCCGATTCACTGCCTATTGTACGAGTGTAGCCGATTCCATACGCCTTCGGTTGACTGAATGAAAGTGGTGTGTTCCTGAGGAGTGGTCGTATGGCCGGGACCGAGGCGGATATGATTGCTACGTTGACTTCGATCTGTGATAATAGTAGAATCTGCAGACTAGTTAATATCCGGCGAAGTGGAACTACCCTTGAAGATCGACTCACGAAGATTGAGTCGTACGATATATCTTTGGTGACATTGTACAGCCAGAGCGCATATATTCTCACGATTGAAGCAATGACGGCCATGCCACCAACACCAAAGATACCGAAGAGAGCCCACCGTCTTCTCGGATCTAGTTGCAACTTCCAAAAAGCTTTGAACGGCAAGAGAAAGATCGTGATGTCTGTGAGGACATTTATGGCCCCGAGCGCGAAATAGGTAGCTCGCAGGTTGTTGCAACCCTTGGGAAACGTTGGTGACCATGCTTGCGAAGGCTTCGGCCTACATTCGAAAGCCTGTTAAGGTTGTTATCCTTAGGAACTGAAAGAGAGTAACGGAAGGCTTACATTGACGAAAAGGACTACAATCGTGTAGATTGTCACAAATGCAGCTACAAACCACACTTTGTATCGGAATTCTAGCTTCTCAAAGAGGCGATGGTACAATGCCAGGATGCTAGCCTTGACGAAGAACAACGCTAAAGGATACACCAACTGGTAGAAATAGAAGTGCTTCAGGGTTGGGATTCTCATCGAAGGTACATCCAAGTACTCCAGATGTTGTCTGTTACTGTTAGTCGCAACTTCACTCCCGTGTGGCATATTGTTGATGCATACCCTGTGCCCCAGCTGATATGATAACCATTCATGATTGCCATACCAATTGTGACAAAAAGGGCAGCAACCATGAAGTAATCGTCGAGCCCAACATTGCGGACGCGAAAAAGGCGGCAGTAAAGCCTACAAGATAGTCAACGAACAATACCTTGACATATACAAATATGGTATGTACTTGCCTAAGAGCCACGGCAACAGTCGAAAGCAGAATCAGAATTCCAGTGGTGATCAGGAACATGGGCTGTCTAGAATCATGATCTGCACTGAAATTGGGCCCGATCATGGTCACATAGAGCAGAGAGCGCCGTTCGAATATGAGGCGAGTGACATAAACCTCAGTATGGACGAGAGCCAGCACGCCCTCAGCCGCACGTGTAGGTAGAACGCCTTGTTATACATCCTATCCATTAATATCATCGCAAACATCGTAATGTAGCTCGTGGCCGATCAGAAATGGTCATCCTCCAGTTCTGTTGCAGTCATGGACCATCATCAGTCTTTAACCACCGGCGAATATCAGGGAGGATTTGAATCCATGTCGATACGTCGGGTTCGAGACGCGCATCGCTAACGGGACACCAGAGACGAGTACGCAACAACAACTTCTGGAATGGCAATTTGCGTCCTTCCCATGGTCGAATAATCGTGCTAGGGGATGTCAGTATGTCACGCATTAAGTATCTCTCCCGAAGAATCTTGACCACCCGCTGCAGCTGAGCAATCTTACCTACCCCTGCTAGCGGTCTGACCACCTCCACGCCCGGCAAGCCGCAACGATCTATCAAATAAGATCGCTGACAACGCGGTAGCGAGCCATCTTTGTGTGAGCCCCCGAACTTCTTCCGGGACCCGCGGGCCTCTCGTCCCGCAATGTAGGGTTCTTAGGACGGGCTATCCTCAGAGGCGTAGGTAATATCAGGGTTAGGACGCAGGCACAGGATACAAGTATCCGTGGCTAGGTTGCATTGCATGAAAATGTTCAACGGAGCACCTAGCCAAGGAATGAAGCTCGGATAACGAAACGAGGACATTGACAATGTGTATGCAGCGTGTAATGAGATTACGCCCTGTCGAGCGAACGCTTCCCATAATAAGGTCGTTTGCAGAGCAATTAGCGACTTGAGTTCATATAACTAGACAACTCACAACCTGAGACAGTTGGTCACGGCCATTGTGGCACTCGAAATGCTGGTCTCCCCTGCATCAGGGATAGATCATCGGTAAATGTATCTACCATACTCAACAATGTCTTCAATGCAACCGCCGGTAAAGGTCCAAAAAGGCCTTAAAGCGATCTGACTGTACAACGCAAGATCGGCAGTCGGCAGCCAGCGCGCGCAGCTTTCTTATAAGATAGACGAATGGCATCAGTTACTAAAGGTCATCAGCTACTTCAGGAGCCTACTTCGTTGTGGGTGTACGAGAAAGCTCTTCAGTACTGCAGAACCATCTAAGGGAAATCTTCTCGAAGGGATTGCCACGTGTGACAAAACCTTTTGTTGTCTAAGTTCCAAACCCGTAGCGCCTACTCGATCTCGATGCGTCTTCTCGAACTCCTCCCTGTCGGCTTAGGCTTGGCACAATGGTCAGCAGCTGCAGCATTACCTCCAACCACTGAATTGGGAACATGCAAGAATCCTCCCAAGAGGGTAGAATGGTGAGGCGATCGAAAGCTTACTAAATCTGAATGCTTCACTGATGCGTAGAACATAGGAGACAGTTGTCAGTGCCACAGAAGAAATCTTACATCGATGCCGTCCTTTGCTTGTCACATAGGAAGGCCAAATCCGGTATCGCAGGTGCCGTGAACCGATTCGATGATCACCAAGGTGTCCACATGCTTCAGAAGCCCCAGATCCACTGGGTGGTATGTCAAGCTCTCTTGATCCAGCCTCATTTTCGCGTGCTTACAGCCTCAGGGTCATTTCCTCTTATGGCACCGTTACTTTGTTGCAACCTATGAAAAGGCACTGAGAGACGAATGCGGATACACCGGAGGCCAACCGTAAGTCGTCTCAACTCCTATATTCCCTTCTCTTGACACCGAATGCCCATGAGCTAAACTGTACGCAGATACTGGGACTGGTCCTTGGATGCTGAACCGCAAAATGAACAGTCTCATCGTGCCTTTCATTCCGAGATCTTCCAACCTGACACAGGGTTCGGTGGTAACGGCTATCCCGTCCAAGCTACTCCAGAACAGAATCGCTTGAACATTACAGGGAATACTGGTGGAGGCTGTGTTATGAATGGGCCATTCGCCCCTCCTCATTTTACCGTGAATCTGCCCACTCCACACTGCTTGAAACGAGACTTTGTTCCGTGGATCATCAACCGATTCGCAGATAGCAAACTGGTTGAAGAAGTGTTGGCACAACCGGACTACACCAGCATAGCAAGAACAGTGGAGAAGAAGCAAAGCTTTGATCCCCCAAACATTCATGCTAGCGGCCACTTCGGTGTTGGTGGCATCCTGGGTACCATGGGAAACGCAGCGGAGAGCCCTGGTGGTGAGCGCTTTCTTCTCATCTCCTCTGATTCTCGCCCATCTGCCACGATGAAACGGCGTTCTAATACAAGCTAACACCCGACAGATCCACTCTTCTACCTCCACCATGGAAACATTGACCGCATCTTTTGGGAATGGCAACAGAAAGATCTGGAGACACGTCTGAATCAAGTGGGTGGTCCCATCACACCCTTTGATTATAGCGGCAAGAACGTTACATTAGACTTCACCATCAACATCGGGGCGCTAGCGGGCAATGCCACACTCAAGGACCTGCTAAATACCAAAGGCGGGACGCTCTGCTACACTTATTAGATACCGTTGATAGATTTTCTCAAAAGCTTGAGACTATGGTAGATATCTTTTGACCCTGTGCATTGGTATGTTGTGGCTTTTCGTAAACGTCTGTCGTCTCCCCGCAGTCTTCTGCACGTGGAGATGTAAACCTCGTTGGGCCGGTTCTCGATCCTCCATCGAAGCTCATAGTATGTGCACAAAGTACAGATGGTCCTTCAACTACGTACGTCTTTTCAGACGTAGCAGGGTATCCCTCCAGTCTCTTGTGTAAACCAGATCGGCTGGGCGCCAGACTCTAGGTGTGAACTGAGTGCTCACGGTTCGATATCGATGTCTCTATCAATTACGCAAGTTCCGAAAGCCGTCCTATAGCGTGTTCTGATCAGCTTCCCGAGCCTGCTTCTCAGCCATCTTCGTCGCTTTCGCCGACCTCTCTTCCCTCAACGTGGTGAAAACCCAGAACCACGCAAATACTTCTATGAACCCCCACGTGAATATAAAGCTGTTGTTCAGACTAGCGCCAGCGCTCATTCTGTATTCCATGCCCCTCGGTGCAAACATGCCTCCCTCCTTGAACATGTACGAGTATGCGGTAAGACCGAAGAGGAAGAGGAGACGCACGGGTGCCTGGAGGCCCCAGAATTGATCGAAAACGTCTTCGTGAAGAGAGAGGGCCGTGAGGTCGGTGAGGCCGATGAAAGCGAAAAGGACGGCTAGGAAGGCTGTTGCTGCGGAGGGTTTGTTGAAGTCACGGGGCGTTGGCTGATATGTGTTAGTGGGTTCAGGGAGGATATGGATGTAAGGAGAGAGACTGGGAATACTTACAAGTTGCATTGATTCTCCTAGCAGGAGGATGACACCTTGGTTCGATATCAAGGCGGGATTCTTGAGCAGGACAACTGCGAGTGTAAGGTGGAACAGTGCGATACTGCGTACTAAGGTGTTTGCTGATATCATCGCCATGTTTGTGGATTGTGAAGTGCAATTGAGGAAGCTATCGATGTATTTTTAAGACGGTTGTGGCTATGACGATGTATTAGGGGTGCGCGTCGCGTGGTGTTTTCGGACCAAACTCCTAAATCCGTCCGCGTCTGGTGCCAAGACCGACATCTACCTCGATGATACGGCTCTACCTTGCACTACGTTCCTTTTCCACCTCTGACCTCCTGTATTGATCATGGAGAAGTCAGAAGACCTCCCTGTCAGCGAGAAGCACGCGCATATACTGCGCCGTCGTTCCTCGAGACGGCGCATGTGCGGCGCTTATGACGTTATCTTCTTCGTAGTCCTCTTCCTTATCGCGTCAACCATATGGTTCTCAGAGATCCGGACATTGTTCTCAGGCCAAAAGCATACATGTGGAAAGCCAATAACAGTTGAAGAAAGAGCTGTGAAGATACTGCAGGAGAATCCACTTATCGGTCAGCCGTATGAATGTGACATGAAGGGCCAATTGCTGACTACCCAAGAGATGGCCATAATGATCTCATGATTTTCATTCGAGGCACATACAAAAATCACATCTACAACGAGTCCGGCAGTGACTTTGCAGACAAATTCGAGAACGGCGGGCTAGCGCAGCACGTCGATATCCCTCGCCTTCAAAAGGGCCTGCAAGGCGGTGCGTTCTGGAGCGCATTCTGGCTTTGTCCACTAGGCGATGAGACGAACTTTGCGGATGACAGATATTATGATAGTAAGCCAACACGAAGCAACAAACGAAAATTATGGTATTAATGTGTACAGTCGTCAAGGCAACGCTCGGCCAGCTAGATCTCTTCAACCGTCTAGGTCAAAACTATCCGAAGTACTTCACTCCGCCTAGAAACAGTGCAGAGGCCATCAAAGCCTTCGAGAATGGCGGTTTCATTGCCCCAGCGGCTATCGAAGGTCTGCACCAAATCGGCAACTCGGTCTCTACGCTGCGACTTTACTACCAACTTGGAGTCAGATACGCGACTTTGACATGGAACTGCCATAACAAGTATGCTGATGCAGCAATTGAGACTGGATCCGACTTCAGCGCGCACATCGCAAAACCTTATTGGAAAGGACTTAGTCCAGCAGGTCGTGACCTCATCAAGGAGATGAATCGCCTAGGAATGTTGGTGGATCTTGCGCACGTTAGTCAAGACACTATGCGCGATGTGCTGGTCGGTCGAGGTGACGAAAATTGGACTGGTAGCATCGCGCCCCCAATCTTCAGCCACAGCTCCGCATACGCAATCTGCCCGCATCCGCGAAACGTACCCGATGACATCCTTCACCTCGTCAAGCAGCGTAATTCTGTTGTCATGGTCAACTTTAACCCAAATTTCGTATCCTGCAAGGCCTCGGAAACGCCAAACTCCTTCCCAGACTTTGTTCCAGAGAACAACACACTGGCGCATGTAGTCCGTCACATCAGACATATTGGAGAACTAATTGGTTATGATCACGTTGGTATTGGTACAGACTATGATGGTATCGAGAAGACGCCCGAGGGATTGGAGGATGTATCAAAGTTCCCCGACCTTATTGCTGAATTGCTGAGACAGGGCATAAGCGATGAAGATGCTGCAAAGATTGCAGGACGAAACCTTCTTCGAGTCTGGGGTGAGGCTGATAAAGTGGCGAAAGAATTGCAGAAGACAACACTGCCACTGGAGGATGATGTGCAGAACCAGTGGGCGTATCAGCAGATGTTGTAATAACCACCCTAATACGATGCCCGACCCGAGGCAAAGGAGTGACATAGCAAACATGCGATGAACTACGACACCGAGATTATCCGTAACAATACGATTGAGTTTACGCTGTAAGCACGTGTTTGCATGATGAGATAACGGTGAGTGGCTGAACTCCACCTTACCAATAACATCACACCACCTCTCTGCAGCCCAGGCCTTGGCAACGTACTATAACATCCAGTTCCAAGACTCACGTACAGAAGGCGTGTATATAACATCGAACGATCAGATCGCAGGCTCTTTTTCTTCTCACAATCACAGTTCTACAACCTTTTCAAATTTCACTATCCTCACCACCTAATCTGTCACAACTCTATCACTTAGGCCTACCCACTAACACCTCCTTCCACAGTACCCATACCCGAAAAAAACAAAAACCAAGAAACAGCAACAATGACAACCCCCAAACTTAAAACCACAATCGCAATCCTCGGCTGCGGAGACGTCGGCTCAACCCTAGCCTACACCCTAATCCTCCAACCCATCTGCTCGGAAGTAATCCTCGTCGACCTCAAAGCCTCCCTCTTGGAAGCCCAAGTTCGCGACCTAAATGATGCAACCTACCGCGGCGGCTCTGGCGTAAAAGTCCGAGCAGGCACGCACAAAGACGCCGGCCAGGCCGACATTGTCGTCATCACCGCAGGCGCGAAACAAAAGTCCGGAGAATCACGCCTCTCGCTGTTATCCCGGAATTTGCACATTCTGGAGAGTATCTTTGGAGCCATGGCGCCGATTAGTCCGCATACGATCCTGCTACTTGTGGCGAACCCAGTGGACATATTGACGTATTTTGCAAGGAGGTTATCAGGGCTGCCAGAGAGTCAGGTGTTGGGGACGGGGACAAGTTTGGACTCTGCGAGGCTGAGGGGTGTGTTGGCGGACAAGGCGGAGGTGGCGCCAAATAGTATCGATGCATATGTGCTTGGGGAGCATGGCGATAGTCAGTTTGTACGTGAAACCTAAACCCTCTTGCGACGAAGCATTTTGGCCTGAGGGAAAAGAACTCGCTGACCTAGGAAACCTACACAACAGATCGCGTGGTCAAGCGCTACTATCGGCACAACACCACTCGCCCTTGCTCTCCCACCAAACACGCTAACTTCGGAGTTCAAGAACCAAATCTCGTCTCATACTCGCGGAGCAGCTGGTGCCATCATTGCGGCTAAAGGCTGCACTGCGTACGGTATAGGAAATATTGCAGCTAGTATCTGCAAGTACATATTGTTCGACTCACGATCCGTTCGACCCTTGTCCTTCTATCAACCTGAGTTGGGCTGCTGTTTGTCAATGCCAGCAGTGGTGGGCCGAAAGGGTATTATCAAATCGATGCCTATTCAGCTCGACGAAGAAGAGAGAGCGCAGTTGGAGGCTTGCGCCAAGGGACTGAGGGGCGTGATTGAGGGCGCGGAGAAGGAGTTGAGCGCTGATCGCGAGCTGGAGAAGGCTTTGGCAAGCGACAAGGGAACTTGAAAAATATTTTTGTATGGGAAGAGTTAGTGGCTGATGTACCACAGATTTGTGTCACTGCTTGAGCAGCTACTCAGAAGTATCCTTGATTGGCATAATACATTATGGCTTGAACGTCTTGATGCCCTCATGCAAGCAGGTCGTTGTTTAAGGCTCTTTACTCCACTGCCAACTTGATCTTCACGATCAATCCGAAGATACCTCCGACCTCGTAGGATGCACGAACCGCTACATTCCTGCTGTACATGTCGACGTATGCCGTTCTGGTCCTTTTGAGTGGATCGCGTTTGGATAGAAGGGTGACATCACGGCTAGTGAGACGAGGGTCAGTATAGTGTTTGTTCGACATGTAGATGGGGTAATCGACTTACATTTCCGTGCTGTACTTGGCGAAGAATATGCGAATGGCTTTATCATCTGCATCGGCAGCGAGGTTGGAGAGGATCAGGCGAGCTGGCAGGCGCTTGTTCTCCTCGATCTTGTGGTACCTCTTTTCCTCCTCCAAGACATACTTGATGGTGGCCTCAAGCTTCTCGTTCTCTTTCTTCACCATCTCAGCTTTTTCGTCCTTGGCCTCCTGTTCATCCATGCTGTTACTGAACGGTTGTGTGAACCGACCCTTAGCACCTTCACTCTCAACGTCCCGGCTCTCCAATCTCAAGGCGACAGCAGATGATATATATGCCGGCTTGAGCATACCAGCTACATCTTTTTGAGGACTTGGTGTTATGCTGACAACAGATTTACTCTTGGCAATATACGGGAAGTCTCCAGAGGCTGTGCCGAAGGGTGGTGTAAACATAGTCGCTAGCTTGGCATGGAGGAACTCGAGATCGTCGTTCTCGTCTTCGGAATGGCCTGTACCATAAGTTTGGTCCTGCTCACTGAGGATATCAAGTGCAGCTTTCGAATCCTCGAAGACTTCGCTCTCATTGCTGTCGATGCCTAGACGCTTAGCCAAGGCCGATAATTCGCCTTCCTCATACACGTTGAGGCCTGCAGATATAGCTTTTGGGTCGTTCCTCTGCCTAACAGCGTTGCCTTTTAATGACGACCAGTGGTTTTTCAGACCGGCTAACATTCGCGCCAGATCATCGTTGTCATCGAGTTCTTCCTGGACTCCGCTGCCAGAATGCTTTTGCTTTGGCGAATTCAACTCCGCGATCATCATCTTGGAGTCGTCTGCACAGTCCGACACATAGCCACCGCGCAACTGAACCTGTATCCCTGATATTTCTAGGTGCAAATTAGCTAGACTAAACCGAGTGATGGCATAATGCATATATGTATGCTTACCTGAAAGTCCCATAGTAGAGGCGACCACTGTCAAGTAGTCGCTGGTAGTACCTTTGTTGTTCTGCTCGACCTGTTCGAGCTCGACACAATCGTCACCAGAGCCACTGCCCTGCGATGACTCCGGCTTGGCTGTAACAAAAAGCTCGTGTGCAGACTTGGATGTCGATGGGGTGGGTACTGGTCTCAACAGTCTTTGTTGCAGCTTCTGTAGCTCCTGATTTCGTCGCTCACTTGCTTTGAATAGAACGTCAGTTATGCTGGCGAATTGTCTACTGAGCAGACCATTGGCTGAGTTCGCAGTGGTTCGGTCTCGGTGTTCCATCCCGTTTGCGTTTTGTCTGCGTCCAAAAGCGGAGGATGCCTGGCGCCGCGTCATGGCTGGTTGTTGCTACTGCTTTTCCTTAGAGAAAGTATCGGAGCTCAGTAGTCGCGGCTTCCTCTTGTCCAGTGTGGTTCCTTTGGTGAGCGGTGAGAAGGTGCGATCGTCGGCGAATCTATTAATCGATGAAGTGAGCAACAACAGCAGTCCATTAGTATGCCCTGCCCGAGATGAGTCCCCGTCCGGGTGCCATATATGGAAAAGAGAAGTTCTGGAAGTGGTAGGGCATGCGAATGAGGTTGATTGGAGAGGGTGAGGTCGGCAGGCACAGGTTTGTTGTTGTTGGTGAGTTGTGCCAAACAGGAAGGCGCTACCAAGCCGAACTTACACCGTCGACCCCATCTGAGATGAGTTCAGATGGTAGCAGTAAACAGAAGGGTAAAATGATTGTGAAGAGATACAGGCAAAGTACTTCAAGTGATATGTACCTCATTGTTCCTATAAACTCGTTCGGTATACCACAAACGAATCCCAGCTCCTAACAACTACACACGATAGAAGTGGAACAAGAGTTGAAAGTATACTCGACCTGAACCTCATTCCCTTGGAAAGCGAATCCACTGCCGCAGACTCACTCAACCGTAGAAGTTACAGCCTACTGCTTCTTCTTCCCCACGCCCTTCTTCTCCTCAGCCTGGCGCTCAAACTCCTCGATCTCCTTCTCCTCAGCCCTCTTAGCATACCATTGCCCAGCCTGCAACACTAGCACACCCACCAGTACGAGCGCCAGAATCGTGTTGCTTGCCGCAAAAACTCTCAACGTGTCCTCCCTCGAGATGTAGTCGGCCATGTCCTCGTCGGTAATCTCACCCGGAGCAGCCTTGTTCACGTCTCCGTAGATGCCTGCCGTCACGACCCTGAAGCCCTTGACGATGTTGGTCAGGTATACGGTAATACCGGCCATGTAGAGAACAAGCGACGCGCCATCGAAGAGCATGTTGGCCTGGTTCGGCTTGAAGAGCTTGATGAGGAAGCCGAGGAGACCGGTGCCGATGGCTAGGTTGAGGATGCGCGACACGATGGGAGGAGAGGCATAGAGGAACTTGATGTGTGATTCAAGGATGTCGAAGTAGGCGGATCGGTCGGTGGGCATGGTCCATAAGACGTTGTAGTCATATGGGAGTTGCGCAAACATGATACCGAGGAAAAAACATGTTGCTACAGGTTCGTCAGCAGGAGCATTGGACAATTGAGCTTTGCGGAAGTGGGCTGAGACAGCATGGAGGGGCATACTTACGTCCTACAACCATGAATTGCGCAAAGTTGTTTGCTGCGCCTTGGGTCATGTTGAAGAATGCTACAAAGTGCGAACCCTTGTGAAATTTGCGATTGATAGGAGGATCACAGTGAGATGCGAACAGCTGGCGCAAGCTTATCTGTCGGTTTCTGCCGCGTCGCGAGATTCGCAGTTGGAAGTAACCTCTTTAAGAAGGTAGAACCGTGGACGAGTGCTCGTAGCGAAATCTCACCACATCAGTAATCAGATAAATGGTGATATGTTGTGAAAGAGTGCACAGTGAAACAGGGCTGGGAGACATGAGCTCTCCCACTTTTCGGTAGCGACCCCGCGAGGGTTCACCACGCACCGATGATGCTTGCCTGCAGATGGGTGGCTTGGCATGTGACAGCGATTCACGACTCACGCGACATCCAGTGAACGATTGTCAAAGAAGCATTTGTTCATCATTGCTTCATTGAAATTTCTATGCGAAGCTGCAAGCAAAGTAGACGCGCGCTAAACGTCGTTCGGATATCCAACGCCTCGATACGCCGTAAACAGGAACATCTACATCCTCTGCCACCGTTACATTCCCATGCTCTAGAAATCGTTATCAGCGTCCATATCCTCGTCCTCCAGACCAGCTTCGATGAAGACAAGTCTTGTGCCTTCACCAGTTGTTTGCCAGACCTATTGAGAAGCGTTAGCACGGTGCACATACTCAAACATTTGACCATGGTACTTACGTCAAGCAAGGAGTATTCGTCGATAGCCTGCTCGAACTGGTCGGCTGTGAAACCCTTGGCCAAGACTCTTTCCCTGACCCTGCGGAGATCAAGTTCGCCCCTTGTGCCGTCACCAACAGCAGCAGCACCGCTAGCCTCCATGGACTTGATGAGGTGATAGATTTTACTGCTTGGAGTGTGATCGATCCCGCGGTTCTCATCAGCATACAGACTGGCCTTGCTGACTTCGGTAAGGCGGAGAGCCTCATCGACGTCTTCAGAGATGACTTGTTCGGCAAACCGCAAACGAGCCAAAGCCTGTGCAAGACGGAGTACACCAAGTAGTGTACGAGGCGATGTGTGGGTAAAGGCCTTCTTGTTGCCATCATCGCGCTTCTGTTGTTGACGCATGCGTACGTAGGCGCCAACCATGTAATCTGACACGTCCTTTGGTACTGTTGGTCGGTATGATCGCGCGCGAGCAACCCATTGTCGGACTTCGGCAGGGCTGAAGATGATGCCACCAGGGGCTTCAGGGTGAGCATTGTGCATGTGCACGTGAGTAACGTGACGGGCTAGCTCTTCATCAGAGTCCCGCGCAGGGGTGTCGAGGATAAGGAACAGGACGTCGAAACGAGATAGGAGCGCAGCGGGAAGGTTGATGTTCTCGATCGGTGAGAGACGAGGATTGTAGCGGCCGTACAGCGGGTTAGCAGCCGCGAGGATCGATGTGCGGGCGTTTAAAGTGGTTGTAATACCAGCCTTGCTGATAGAGATTGTTTGTTGTTCCATGACTTCGTGGATTGCTGTTCGGTCACTGTCGTCCATCTTGTCGAACTCATCAATACAGCACATGCCGTTGTCAGCAAGCACAAGAGCTCCTCCTTCAAGGACCATTTCATCTGTGACAGGGTCACGCATGACCGCAGCAGTGAGACCAACACCACTGCTACCGCGACCAGTCGTGTAGACACCACGAGGTGCTACTTTGGTAATGTACTTGAGCAATTGAGATTTGGCCACACCAGGGTCACCCATCAAGCATACGTTGATATCACCACGAATGCGCATGCCGTCACCAACCTCCTTAGTGACACCGCCAATGAGCTGAAGGAGCAGTGCCTTCTTGACGTCGACGTGACCGAAGATTTCAGGTGCGATGGACCGCGATAGGTACTCGTACAGCTGGCCAGTCCGCTCAAGTTCGTTCATCCTTCGAAGAGTCGGTTGAGCAAGCACAATGTCGTCGTAGGCCTTCTTGTGTTGCATAACGTATTGCGCTTCGAGATATGTGTCGGTGAGAAGACCGGCTCGGATTGCCTTGAAGCCAGTGTAGGGTGTGGGTAGAAAGATACCAGCGCAATCGATGACATCTCCGGGGTTGATCTGTCTGACGAGCGCGCCATGGCAGTGAATGGTCAGCTGTCTGGGAATGTGACCAACAGGTACTTGATCAGCCATCTCCTGGATCTTGACTTCTTGGAACGGAAGAAATTTGGAAGCGCGAGTAGAAAGGAAGAGCTGGCCTTTAGTCTTGTTGCTCTTACAATCGTCGGACGGGCACTCAACAAGCGGCGTGAACTGTTTGGTAGTGACGGGCTGGAAAACTTCGCTTCCACAGCGATCGCAAGAGTAGGCGTTGACCTGCACAGCAGGCTTGACGTCTGACACTCTGGTTGCAATACCGCGAACTGTGATGAGGTGACCCAAGTGCTCTCCCCGGACATTGCGGACTGCTAGCGCCTTAGTGCTACGCTGGCTGCTGGAACCAGCTGGTATCCTGGGCCTGAAGTTGAGGGTGTATCGTCTAGTCAACGCAGGGGGAAACATGGTTTCGGGCGCAGCCTGTGCGGAATCGTCGACTCCCTGCATCTCTTGCTGTCTTTCATTGCGCTTCGAACGCTGCGTCATGATCACGTCCAAAACATCGTCTTTGAAGTCTAGTTCTCTAGTCGGTGGAGGCAGGCACTTGTCGACTGCTCGCGAGAAGATGTCGATGTAATGGTGCGCATTGCGCTCGATTGACTCGACCAGCCTGTAGTTGTGCTCGTCGTCTGATGTCGCCTTCTCGTATGCCTCGACGTCGTTCAGATCTATTTGGATCTCGTCGCGCACGCGATTCGCTACGTCTTGTAGTTGGTCCATGTACTTGAGCTTCGACTTGCTGCGGGATTGCGCTCCGTTTGGCGCGGGATCGTCCGAGTCGTCGACCATGTCATACTCCTCTTCGCCATCGCCATTGATATTGAGGCCCTCGAGCTGGTCGGCAGCATCTGTAGAGGCAGATTTGTAGTTTTGAGGAAATCAACAAAGGCCGCTGTTGGCTGTTAGCTGGAGTTTTGGATATTTTGCCCGTGCACACAAACCCTCCTGCTCGTCGTAGTTGACTGGCGCACTCGTAGTAAGGAGCGCCATTCTATCTGGGGTGTGGTTGTGAAAGTAAGCGTCTAGGGTGGATGGAGTGATGCAGCGGGGAGGGATGCGCGGTAGCAAAATTGGGGCTGGTCTGGTCGCGTATAGCTCTGAGGCGCGTCGACCCGCGTTTCCAGGGCACTCGAGCGATTGGACCGCCGCTTTCTGCCACCGCTTTAGGCCATCGGCGCCGACGACCTCGGCTGCTCGCGTGGGAAGCTTGTGGTATGCGCAATGCGACAGCAGCAGCAACAACAGCTTCGCTTCCTCTTCAATCCTCATCATCATGCCGCCCAAGAAGCCTGCTGGTAATGTTGTCCAGGCCGAGGTTGCCTTGCAGCAATCTTTGAAGAATTGCCTCGTCAATCTCCCATCCTCGCTCGTCTCGGTTCTCGTGAATGCGAACACAGTCGCCCAGAATGTCGTCGTCGAGCTCACATACCGCCAACCTCCACCACCGGGTGCTTCGGATAACAGGAATGCCGCGCCCAAGTCTATCTTCGTGGGATGGACGGGCATGCAGAGCAAGCGCAGGATTGCGCCTGTAGTTGGGCGAGACGGCTTGAGAGGCAGCCCAGCAGTCAGCCAACAAGACCTCCCAGCAGTAGAGGTGGATGCCACATTCGCCAGGTTGATCGGGCTTCAAGAAGGGCAAAAGGTGGGCATACTGCTACATCTGGATCCGCCTCAGGCGCATACCATCAACATCGAGCCCTTGACCCCCGTAGACTGGGAGATGATAGAGCTGCATGCTCAATTCTTGGAATTGAACTTCCTCTCTCAGATACGCGCACTCCCCAACCCTCAGGCCGCATCACCGCACCCCCTTACGCTGCATCTGTCCCCTACAACGACCGCGAACATTACCGTCACTTCCATCGCTCCCGCGCCGCCCAACACATCGCTCTTCGTCAAGATCTCGCCCGACGCCGAAGTTATCGTCGCGCCCAAGACGAGGCAAAAGGAAAGGAGCTCAAACCGGGAAAGCAGGAGTGTGGGCGCTGCATCGAGGAAGAGCGGAAAGAGCTCTGCAAGCACAGTCCGGCGACGCAGTGGTCGCGAGGATGCCGCAAGCAAAGGTGTCATCTTCTTGCGTGGTGTTGATCGTAGTGTGGCAAGGGAGTGGTTCGACGAAGAAGAAGATACAGACGCCGAGGGCCTGAAGGTGTGGGTAGACAAGGACGTACTCCTCACTAAGGCCCTCCGAGGGGCCACTTGGGTCTCCATCTCAATCATCAAGCCTGCAGGGCTACAAGAGCCGGTGGATATGTCCAAGGAGCAGGAACAGGAGAAGCCCGCAACGCGCGTAGTCGCCAAGATTATAGCATGGGAAGACGCGCCCGACAGTAGGCACGTGGCGCTTTCAACCGACCTCTGCAAGGTCTTGGGCTTCGACAACTTTGTGGGTGGACTCGTTCGGATCGAAGGCGCTCCAGCTCAGACTCCGAAGCCGCCGGCCATCAAACCGCAAGGTACAAAAGAGTCGAGGGAACCGGTTGTCAAGTCTATCAAGATCATACCCTTCTCCACCGCTGCGTCACAAGTCAATGCTTCCTTGAAGTTTGGTGGCGAGTCTAAGCAAGACCAGGAGAACGCGATACAGAAGATCAAAACAACCTACGGAAAGAAGAACGGCCTTCTCGATGGGCCGGTCACAGATGGAATGATACTGCCTCCGGCCAACGACTCCGAGCTTGGCTGGCAAGGAGGTATCGTGAGGTTCGAACCGCCATCATCCACAAGCGGAGTCTCATGGGTGCTCTTCCCCGAGAGGAAGCCCCCGCTTGAACTAGGTCAAGAGGTGTCAACGCCAACAAGCTGGGCCAAGGGCTGGCAGCAGGGTGATCCGCTTCCGCAAACACCCGCGAATCTGGTTGGCATAGATCCTCTTATCCAGCAACTACGATCACATCTAACACACAATTCTTCGGTTCTGCTCACTGGTGGCCTGGGAGCAGGAAAGTCGGAATGCGCTCAACTACTTGCCCATCAACTTCGAACCGAATATCTCTTCAACACCATCTACTTTCCCTGTCGCAAACTGGTAACGGATGAGACGCGAGTTGCGACTATCAAGGAGACCCTGAACAGATTGTTTGCTTCGGCATCATGGGGCGCAAGAGGCGGTGGAAATGCTGTGGTAATTCTAGATGATTTGGACAAGCTATGTCCAGTGGAGACCGAGCTCCAAGTTGGTAATGAGAACGGGCGCAGTCGACATGTCAGCGAGTGCCTAATCAACATCGTAAGGCAATATTGCTCTATGGACTCTGGTGTGGTCTTGCTAGCAACTGCGCAAGGTAAAGAGGCCTTGAACAATGTCATCGTTGGCGGACATATCGTCCGCGAGATTGTCAGTCTCAAGGCCCCCAGCAAAGACGGTAGAAGGAAGGTTCTCGAGATGCTTGCGTTCAAGGATGCCAAGATAGAGCAGTCAAAGGAGCTCAATGGCCATGCCTTCCCACCATCACCATCGAACAGTCGGCCTAGTACCGCTCATCGCAGTCAGCCTAGTATCGACAGCATACCACAACAACCGTCTGATGATTATGCCTTCACCATTGATCCTACAATCGACTTTCTCGACCTCGCCGGCCAGACAGACGGTTACATGCCCGGCGATCTCGTGTTACTCACATCGCGCGCCCGCAACGAAGCATTGATTCGCTCAGTCACGTCGACATCCCCAACTGTCTCTCTCACACGAGAGGACTACACTCAAGCCATCACCGGCTTCACGCCCGCCTCTTTGCGAAACGTTACACTACAATCCTCCACTACAAAATGGGATTCCATCGGCGGTCTCCTCACAACACGACAGGTTCTCTTGGAAACTCTTCAATATCCTACAACCTACGCTCCCATTTTCGCAAAATGCCCACTACGTCTCCGATCAGGTTTACTCCTGTATGGCTACCCTGGATGTGGCAAGACCCTACTCGCATCTGCAGTAGCAGGCGAGTGCGGTCTAAACTTCATCTCAGTCAAAGGACCAGAAATTCTCAACAAGTACATTGGTGCTTCTGAAAAGTCTGTCCGGGATCTCTTTGAACGTGCAGAAGCAGCGCGACCCTGCGTTCTCTTCTTCGATGAGTTCGACAGTATCGCACCGAAGCGTGGACACGACTCAACGGGCGTAACAGACCGTGTCGTCAACCAACTCCTCACTCAAATGGACGGAGCGGAAGGTCTTTCGGGCGTCTACGTCTTAGCTGCTACGTCGCGACCTGATTTGATCGATCCTGCGCTCCTTCGCCCTGGTCGTCTTGACAAATCTCTCTTATGTGATATGCCAGACGTGGAAGAACGCATCGACATCCTGCGTGCCGTAACACGCAAACTACACCTCGCCCCCAGCCTTCTAGGTGACGGCCACGAAGGCGAGAATCTCCGCGAAATAGCAATGAGAACAGAAGGCTATTCGGGTGCAGATCTCCAAGCCGTGGTATATAACGCGCAGCTAGAAGCCATCCACGATGTACTTGGCGACGTGGACCCTTCGAAAATCGACCACAAGAAAGACGGAAACAACGCTACTGCAAGCAACAAGGGCATTCCTGACTTTTCTTACTTCCGCTACGGCGACGATCCTACATCCACCCCCAACTCTTCCGCCCTAGCAACATCCGCTCAACTCACCGAGCGCGCCATGATTGCTCAGAAAATTGCTGCCCTGCAGGCTCTGCGCAAGAAACAGAAACAAATCCAACGTTCTGATGGATCGGCGCAGAGGGAAGACGAAGATAAAGCGAACAAGGAAGAAGAAGACGGTGATGAAAGAAAGGATCCGCAGATTCAGTGGAAACACATAGAGTCGTCTCTTTCTAGTGGACGAAGCAGTATCTCGGCACAAGAGAGGATGCGTCTTGAGAGGATATACAGGAGTTTGTTGATGGCAGGGATGGTGATTTGCCAAATGGACAGGGAGGAAATGAGATTGGGGGAGGAGTAGTCTGATGTAATTTGGGGTGTGTAAATCTCGAATCCAACTGTGTAGAGTCAGTCAGTCTTGAGGAATTATGAAGTTTAGTTTTTTTGCGTATGCACTTCATGAGCAAAGATGTGGTATTCGTCCAAGAAATCAAAGGTTAGAGCACGCTAGGATATAAGGTAAATGTATGTGAACCACCCCACACGTTTCTTTCCAGGCCTTTCATATCTCCGTACTTCTTCCTTTCAACTTCCCCTCTTCATTTCGGAATAACACCCTTGACGTTCTCGGCAACCTTCTCAAGCTTCTGTTCCACTTTGCCCACGACACCTATCGTCTCCTCCTTGGCCTTGTCCGCCTTACCCGCCAGACTAGCTTCCCGGCCGCCGAAATTCCAGTAGTTGAGGTATCGGTACCCTTGTACGAGTTGCGAGGTGAAGTTGATGGCGTGGCAGCCGAAGAGCAGGTAGTTTGCTGGTGTTACAGCCATGGCGTAGCGCATGAATGTGCCGGAGTAGAGGGTGAGGGCGCCGGTCATGCGGCCGGAGATGCTATTGTGAGAGAGGGTTAGCTGGGGGTGTTGTGAAAGCGGGGAGGAATTGGGTGGGGGCAGGATAGGTCATGATCGCGTGCGGGTTGGAAAGTTTGGATAGAGTCAAGAACGAAGGTAGAGTGGAGTAGGACGTACATCTCAGGATCTTTGCTCATGTCCGCAATAGCCGCAATCGGGATACCAAAGTTACTCGCCGGGCCCCAGAAATCTATCTTTGTGTTAGCCAACCACTCTTTCCCTCTACAGCTCCTTCGTTATATCCTCCAGATATCGTCTTCTGCGCACCCTTTCCCAAGCTCTTGCAATGCGCGGTGCCCTCACAACGAGACGGGTGTACATACGAGTCGAGCAAAAGTAATCCGTGTACTTGTTGGAGCGAATCTTCGCATTGAGGGCTTTGATCGCGGCGGCCATCTTGACTGATTTACCGGAAGGAACCGAGGACCGAGTTGCGTGCGGATTGACGTGAAGTTCGTGGGTCGGTTGGTTGCAGTTTGCGAGTTGCGGACGCACGACGGACGGTTTAGATGCCAAGCGATAATTGGGGCCGAACGAACAGGGACCGGGAACCGCAAACTGCTTCCGACAACGGGAAGGACATCACGTGCACGGTGATCCAGCCGGAAATACGAGGAAATAGAGTAGATGACTGGGAGTGATTACACGTAGGCTAATTGGGATGGGCCCGCGAATCACACGTCAACTGCTCTCTAGTGTTGCATGAAATGGGGTATGAAGCTATGAACATTGTTCATTTCATCATGGCAAACACTCAGAATACGGGCACACCTAGACTTGAATGACTGGGGTTACAGTCGTATCTTATGTTTGGACTGATGCGACTGATTCTTGTGAATACATTTAAGCCAGTGGTATAATTCGTGTCCTTCAACCATATCTCAATACACTTTTGAACTTGGTATTTCGCTCTGTCGGTGCTCTTCGCAATCACTGATCGTAACGTAATTTTAGGGACATTCGCTCCCTTGCTACGTGTCGGACGTGACTTTGGTCCTTTTCCAAGGTATCTCCTGAGATCTGTGGTATGGGCACGCGCCGTGTTCGATCGTCCAATGCCAAATCTTTCTAGCAATGTTTCGTTATGATCCTTCGTTGTCCTCCTTCTACCTGCCACCAAAACCAGGGGGTCCACCACGACCAGGGAAGCCGGGCGGCCCACCGAAGCCTGGCGGTGCACCAAATCCAGGAGGTCCACCAGCGGGAGGGAATCCAGCTATAGAATGTTAGCATATGTTTCTCAAGTTGCGCTCAATGGGAACGTACGTGGTCCGCCAGGTGGGCCGCCACGACCTGGGAAGCCTGGCGGGCCTCCAAAGCCTCCAGGTGCGCCTGGGAAGCCACCTCCGAAGCCAGGACCAGGGCCTCCAACACCAGGAGCTGGTCCAGTAAGACCGACTGGGAGGCCACGTCCAGCAGGACGAGCGACACCGGGCCCTGCAGCCAGCGCGGCAGCAGTAGATGGTCCTCCAGCGTTTGCACCAAGTCGCGCGGCAGGGTCTGCAGGCGGTGGTCCGTCGACTGATAACGAGATTACGTGCGCGCCACGAATAATAGTAAGTCCAATCGCGCGTCGCTCTTCAGTCTCGGTGACTTGCTGGGTTGCGCCGGGCGCGGCTTTGCCCCTTCTTCGTGTACGTCGGAACTCTTCTGTGTCGGCGAGAACAAGGTTCATGTGCTGTAGAGAGCTGGTTAGCAGAGTCAACAGGGGAAAGTTCGCGACACTGACCTTGTCGAATGCGAGCATCTGCCCGACCATTTGTCTACCATCTTGTAGGGTGACTTTCATGCGGTAGTTGATCTGGCTATGTAAGTTGCATGCGACTATGAGCGGAAACTGGAGCGCTTACTAGATTTTGCTATATCACCAGGCGTCAGTCAGTTTCTATGCGCGTCTTCTCTCAGGTCAAGGACTCGAGCTGCTAGGCAGATTTACTTACCATCTTTCCCTGTCGGTTTGCGGCGCCAGACATGATTGGTATAGCGCGTCCGAGGACGACTTGAAGCTCAGAGAATGGGTATGTAAAAGTATTGAGAGATTGTCCCCTTGCAGTTGGCGATAGGCGGGGCGTATGGAGCTGTTTGTTCGCGATCAAAGTTGCAGTTCGTAGCTACGCAGCCTGGCACGTGCACGGCGGGCTTGGCTCTAAGTAAGCGAGCACACCCCATCAAAATTATTACATCGATCGCGACTTCAACACCAGCGACACGACAACCCACCCAACGACTACTAACCTCCGCAGTCATCACCATGGTACGCACACCGAATTTCGACCGCCAATTGCTCTGCGCAAACTAACAGCCATGACAGTCCGACTCCAAGGCCTCCAACCCCATGCGGGAGCTCCGCATCCAGAAGCTCGTCCTCAACATCTCCGTCGGCGAGTCTGGTGATCGTCTCACTCGTGCCGCCAAGGTGCTCGAGCAGCTTTCCGGTCAAACTCCCGTCTACTCCAAGGCCCGCTACACTGTCCGTACTTTCGGTATCCGAAGGAACGAAAAGATCGCTGTCCACGTCACCGTCCGTGGCCCCAAGGCCGAGGAGATCCTCGAGCGTGGTCTCAAGGTCAAGGAGTACGAGCTCCGCAAGCGCAACTTCTCCGAGTCTGGTAACTTCGGTTTCGGTATCAGCGAGCACATCGACTTGGGTATCAAGTACGACCCCAGCATTGGGTATGTGGAATCTGGATCCTGAGTGTGAGAGAGAGAGAGAGAGAGACATTGGCTGACTGGAGCAGTATCTACGGTATGGACTTCTACGTCTGCATGACCCGCCCCGGTGAGCGTGTCGCCAAGCGCAGGAGGTGCCAGAGCAAGATCGGCGCTTCCCACAAGGTCAACCAACAGGAGACCATCAAGTGGTACAAGAACCGATTCGAGGGTATCGTCCGATAAGCGTATCGTCGGTTGGGGGGAAAGGAACGAAGTGAAGATTTTGCACGATCACCAGCATTTTCGGTCTCGGGGGGTTCGGTCCTACGGAGTCCTGGGAATGTATCTTACAAAAGAGCAAGCATTGAACTTGCGGCCTATCAATGGAGCGACCTCGTCTCTAACGAGCAGGTCTACGATCACAAACACAATGGAGGCTTCACTTGGGTGAATGTTCCGCATAACCATTGTGTGATCATTTCTATGCTCGTTGTTGTCGCATGTGATGTGTCTGTTTGTGTTGTACTGACATGACAGGGTCCGACTAGTACACCCAGATACCTCAATGCCATCAACACTTGATCTACATGTCTGTGCTGGACGAGTGTGATGGCTTTGCACTAAGAGATTTAGGTTACAAGAAACGTCCTATCTAGTGTTTGTCTAGCTTCGCAAGCGGCACGCGTACCCAAAGCCCGAGCCTTTAACATTCGACAATAATTCTTGGACATTTTTGTCACCATAAGCTTGCATGCTCTGATGGACGAACGCCTTCTGATTATGAATGATGTTCGTCCGAGCAAAAATGAACAAACATCCTACTAGCACAAGTGCCGTTTACACATTGACACAAAGTGACCTCCTAACTTACGGACAATCTATGTAGATGCCATAATTACATCAGTTCAATTTATCACCATTCGTTTCTTCTCCAAGCCCACAGCACTTTACACTCAGCCACCAAAGTTACATACTGGTAGGTTCACGCGCCTTGGGGCTACCGCAAGCAATCCCGAGCGGTAAAAAATAGGCTGGCGGCTGCAGTCCCGTAGACCTTTTCTGCGGCCCCAGGTCACAGTGCGATGATGGGTTTGGCGAGACGCTCGGGTTGTGTGTGTGTGTGTGTGTGTGTGTGTGTGTGGCGTGGGTGACTGACGTCAACCGTGAGGCGCAGGTTTGAGTTTAATTTGAGTAGGATAAGAAACGGTAGGTAGGAACTGGTGGGTGGTGGTGGTGGTGGTGGTTCGATGGACATGCGACGTAAAGGGAGAATATCGGAATTTGTGTACGGTTCTGTTGTGTTGATACCAGTGGCAAAACATCAATCGCGTCATTGCAAGTAAATAGAAATCATGAATAGAAAGGGTAAGATCTTAATATTGCATCTAGCATTCTCAAAGATCGTGATAGGATCTGATTCTGTTCTGTTGTAGTAATTCTACAATCCCCATGTCTTACAACGAGAGGCGTAGTAAAGAGGCATTTTACTTCAAAGGTATCTTAAAATCCCAGTACCGGAACACCAATTAGCGATAGACAATGGATAAACAAAAGAAAAAGAAAAAAAGCCCGGCCGAAGCCTTGCTCCAAGAGATGGAAGAATGTACATGTCCTGATATCGTTCGCAAAAACCATGCAACCAGATTCCAGATTGATTGAGAAGAGAAAAGGGTACGATGCGCGCTAAATCCACAATACAACACACACGCGCGCAAACGACAAGCTAAACCACTTTATCGCTGACCGGTCACTGATGACCCAAAGTCAAAGCCAGTGGGATGTTGTTGCTGTGGTGGTGGGTATGATGGTGATGCTAGTGGTGTGTAGGCACCGGGAATGGGAACAGCAGCGTACTGCTGTTCACCTGGTGCAGCATCAACGTGCTCGTTCCTCCTTTCTTGGAATCCCGGGGATGGTAGTGGCGGCGATACAGTGCCTGTCCGTACTGGTGCAGAGTCAAAGCCATCTTGCTCCATTCTTGGTGTCGCACCAGTAACCTTGATAGGTGGAGCCTGAAGCGTGAATGGCTGGGGTTGAGCAATCTCGCGCGCGTATGCGTATTGTACTTTGTCGCTCTCACCAGCTTCGGCTGCAGAGTGCGGGTCGACGTACATTGGGTGGCCTGGAGGTGGGCGCCAGCCGCCGGAGCGAGGAGACATGGGACCGAAGCCAGGGGTGTTGGGTGCGGATTGTGAGCGGAGCTGGGCAAGGTAGAGATCAGATCGGGCGCGGTCGCGCATGGCCATGGACTTGCGAAGCTTGCGCTTGGACCAGAAGCGATAAAAGACAATACCGTAGATGGCGATGACAAGAACTTCGATTACGACTTCGATGATGCAGCAGACAAGCGCCCAGTTCTGATGAAGTGTTAGTGTTCGGTTCGCTTGTGCTGTGGGAACAGAGTCTTTGCTTACCTGGAGACGGCAGACAAGGCCATAGGCAATGTCATCCTCAAAGAGATGTCGTCGCTTGTTGTCAACGCAGGACCAACCCCACATATCCTTGTTGTTGTTCTGAGCTTTGCTTTGGTTGAAGACGGCTGCACCAACACCCCACATAACAATGCTGAAGATGAAGAATCCAACAGCAAAGACAGTGTAGTACGCGGCAACCTTTTCGGCTCGATGATGACCTCCTCTCCAGTAGGCGATAATGACAAAGATGGACATGACCAGGGAAACACAGGCGATGGAGAGCAGAAGGATTTGAGGCCAGACTTTGGTGTTGTCGGCCCATGGTGGGAGACCGTTTCTCGGTGCGAGACTCTTTGTGGCGTTGAAGATGGCGAAAGCACTTGCGACCATGGCAAGAACGATGAGCGAGCAGGCAAAGTTGATACCCCGTAGGAAGATCTTTGCTAGTCGTACGCGAACTTTGATTTTCTAGGTATCGTTAGTAACTGTGTTTAGCTCAGTACGGACTAGAGATTTACCAAGTCCTTTGCTTGCTCCTTGTCGGTCATTGCTTCCCGCTTCTCAAGCTGATGCTCTTCCCGGAAGGTAGGGCTCATGATTGAAATTGCACCTGGTGTCCGTGGGGGAGCACCGGGCGACTTCAACGCACTCTTGAGCGGAGTCTTTGGTGTTGGTGGAGGAAGGTACCTCCGGTCGGTCTCCTCCATCTCGACGGATTGCATGTAGCCGAAGCCTGTGTCTGCGATCTGGGGTTGTGGCTTGTAGTGGTTTGTAGGGTACTCGACAGGTGACCGAGGAGGATCAACCGGCGAGTAGACTGATGTTGCTTCGGCGAAGCGTGCTGTGCGTGGTGTCCTGACGTCGATGGAGTCTTTGGAGCTTCGTCGTTCAATCGTGATCTGAGTAACCTTCTTATCGTTGGCGGCCATTCTAAAACGTTCCAAGGTTCACTCGAGGAAGTTGGAGGCTTTCATGTAGTGGAGACGGAAGAGAGATGGATAGGAATGTGCAACAAAACGATAACGACCAGAATCCAGCCCAGCTTAGACCAGTCGCAAAAGGTTAAGAGAGACACTTGATAAAAGACGCACGACGTATTACAATAAGAGACCTGCTGGAGAAAAGAAAAGGTCTAGCAATGGGCGAAGCGCTGGGCTTTTAGACTCGGGGCGCTTCGAAGAGGCAACGGTCGAGGATTGGATAGTGGGGAGCACGGATGGTAGCAGGTGGAGAAGGTTGCGATGGGAAAGCGGGCGGGTACTTACAACGTTCTAAATGTATGGCGCCTAGAGGAGGGCTGCTGGGAGTACTGCAGGTCCCCGTCTGATAGGCTGTCTTGGGAGACGAGCTGAATGCCAATGGCGCGCAGAGGAGGGAGGGGAGTGGTGGCCCAGAAATAGACGCCCGGGTGAAGTCGATAAACGATTTACAAACGATGCGCATCCAGACCTGAACAATGCAGCGCGAAGAGCTTGGTTTATGGACAAAGCTGACAAGGTGCTTATGCTGTCTGTCAGCGTGGCAATGGCTGCTTTTCCCCCACGTCTGTCAGATGGGTCAGTCGTACGTGTATTCTCTTGCGCCTCTCGACGTTGCGAGGACGCTCAGAGGTATAGGAAAAACCAGCGGCGGGACCATGCTACCACGCCTCGTGCCCGCCGGGAGCGAACTCTGCCCAGCGAGTTGGCGTCGAGGTGGGCAGGGCATAGATTCACTGACACCCAATAAGTGCAAGACGTTTGACGCCTGCAAAACGCGACATGGTGGTTGAGGCCGGTGAGTGGTCGAAGGGTGCAGGGCCAGTGCATTAAACAGAGTGTGCGCTAGGGCAGATTAAGCTTGCGGGAAGCGCGCAGGATTGTGTGACAACCAATGGCGGCGGGAAGGAGCCCCCAAGACGAGAGGGAAGGCGCCGCCCCGCTTTGATAGCGGCCCACCACACCACCGTCGAGTCCAAAGGCGACTTCGAGGCCATCCAAGACAGCAGAAGAGTCAAGGCCAGACGGGACCTGCAAGTCTCCGATCCGCTTCTTTCGCAGACTTTGGTGACGCCAGCTCGAGTGACATAAAACGATCCGCATGTCCGCTGGCATTTCATCAGCAGCCTGTTTGGATCAATTCAAGAAGCCTTGGCTGTAAGCAGCTGTCAATGCCGGTACGTGGTGATGTGAGCGCTGCTGCATCGTGCGGCTAGGGTCTTCTGCGCCTATTACGGCCATCACCCAGCTAGAGCCTGCACGACCAGGCACAACGTATGCTAAATCTTCTCGGATCGACTCGCTAGCATCCGATCAAGATATTTACCTGGATAGCCTCGGCCGTCTAGCTGTCTTGAGGTAGTTTTGTTTCGTTTCTTGCTGCACGGTTATTTTTGGTCCATGGCTGCATCGTGGGGTAGTACCAAGTCATGGCGATGATGCGCCGGCCATCCAACGGGGAACTATTGTCTTTTCGCGCTGGCGCATTCGAGAATCCCATGAGGCCACGATGATCTTGGTCAGTGGAATCGCCGCCTGAGTGCGTTGTTGGGAGCAAGGGAGACTGTGATGAACTGCTCCCATTGCCGCCTCATCGACTACGCCCCAGGGCCGTCCCACCGTGCAGCAAGTGCCGATGGTGTTGGCAGTTATCGGTCTTCGCTCACTTCCATATTTGAGACATGAACGCCCTCCCGTAAATGTCGGAGAGTACAAGTTCGGGTCAAATCTCTGCACCATTTGCAATCCGCACAGCCCAAAAGTAGTTCCATCTCTCTTCGCTTCATGGTGCTTCTCCCAGCCCGCCTACACTTGCATTTGCCACTCCCATCCATCGTGCTAGCTGCTAGTTCTTACCAGCCTCCCATCTTCACCAGCCTAATAATATCCTGTTTCATGCATATCCTCATTACCATGGCGATAATTTCACTACACTGGGACCATCCGTTCCCCGCCGCATGCAAGGCAGGTGATCAGCCGGGGCCAAAACGGCCGTGCAACCCGTTTCGAAACAATTTTACCCTCTTTTAGCCTCGCTTCCTTGTCGCTGGGTACATCTCATTCGAGTGCGTCTTCTTCCTTGTCGCTTTGATATTGCTCGTGCAGGAAGACGTACTGTTTTCTGATGTATTTGTCGTCATTAGGGCTGAGAAGTTGCGTGGTCGTACGACACTTTCGCGGATTCTGCCTTTCCTCTCGCTACTGTTCTAAGAACGGTGGTATTAATAGCCATATGTGACGAAGGCTGCATAGGGCGATACAAGATGTATATTGGAAGAAAGAGACGCGATAAAAGTAGAAGGTTGACGCTGGGCAAGAGAGTAGGATTTCTTTTTGGAACGCCGATGCTAATTGAAGATTGGAAATGAATACACGCGCATGATGACGTTCGCTCGAAATTTGTACAATGAACTGACCAAAGGATGGAAAGATAGGTAGCGCAGTGAGTGTTCCCTCCAATTCTGCAGATAGGTTCCCGTGCGAAGAGAGCCTTAATACTCGCAACCTCGACATAGGTTTAACAGGGTCTCTTTTTCGTTCCCGTATTCTTGACGCTGAACAACGGATCAGGAACCATCCCCATCTCATCGTCGCTTGACGACTTTTCATTAACTTGATACCTGTCCAACTTTTCGTCCGCTATACCTTGGCACGCAAAGCTAATATCCGAAGTTCTCTTCTTCCTCCCTACATGCACACCGTCTAGCGTCTCCATCGCACTTTGCTTCAACGATTTACTAGCTTCGTACGCAGGACCTACAAATTTATCACGCCAATGTGTTGCGTGAAAGCCATCGCTTCCAGCTACCTTTTCTCTCTCAATGCCCTTGCCGGTCCTCTTTGAGGGGCTGAGATGAAGTGTTGCGAGGTGAAAAGATCGCGGCGACGGCCGCCCGACCTCCTTCTTCTTTTCATAGGTACTAGGCGGTCGAGGTAAGGGAGTACCCATGTGGGTTACAGGAAGTGACATGGCAGCTGCAGGTCCGCCAACCCCACCGCATTCTGCAGCGACATTAACTGTGACACCTTCGCTTGATACCATCAGTGGACCAGGATGAGAAATCTTGGACTTCAAAGAGTGGGGTGCTTTGCAAGGCGAATGCTTCCACCACGTGTAGGTTGGTTCTTTCTCGGTGCACTGTGGTGAATCTCCTGACATTCTGTCCTTGGTTCGTCGTGCCTTCGGTGCTGCGTCCAACTGTGGAACAGGAGGAAGGGGTTTGTTCACATCGACGGTGCTCTGGATACTCTTATTGATGGCTACAGGCACCTCATAGCTCGAGCTTGAGAAGCCAGAGTCTCTTCTCAGATCAGAACGACCAGATTCTCTCCCTTTACCACCACTCTGAGGTTGAGGTGACCGTGGTCGTAGTGGTGGGAAGACTACTCTATCCGGACTTGTTGGGAATAGAAGAGGTAGTGACTCTATGTTCTCTTCGTCAACCATTGGTTCAGATGATATACTCTGCGTCATTTCACCATCAACTCGTCTTTGGCTGCGTGCCTGCTGATACGCTTCCCACACCTTCTGCCCCTCGCCTTTTGGGCCTACATGGTAAATTTCCTTAGCTGCGCGGTACAACGGAGTTGAACTGCAGATACCTTGCTGCTGAACATGCGTTCGCTTCGAAGATGCAGCCTGATTTGCATCAAATGTTCCATATAAATCCTGTTTCTGCCACGAGTTGTTGGCGTTTGACCCAGGCTCCTCTATCGAAGCTGGGGAATGAGGAGAAACATTCACACTCGATTCTCTTAAAGTCTGTTCAAGCCTCGAGAAGTCCATGAGCTGGAGTGTTGGTAAAGGAGTGTCCCGACGGGAGACTCTGGTACAAACTGCAGGAGACTTTGGTGGTAGTGGTCTCGCATCGTCTCTCATTGATGACAGCGCGGGCGTCCTGAGAGAAACATTCTTGACGTCGCTCGGCGAAACGAAGTCCCGGCTGGTGCATATTGAGGTTTGTGTTCTAGCATCAACGTTCTTTCTAGCTATCGTTGAAGAGCCAGCTGTGACCCATTCAGTACTCTCAGTGTTACGTCTCATACGGTGTTCATTCTTGGTAAATGGATTGATGACTTTTCGCGGGTTAGCCATCGCAGAGTGAATGGTTCTAGCAATTACGCTTCTTAGTGTGGTGATTCGTAGACAGACTCGCCTTTTCGTATGATACCAGTATATTTAGTGATGCGCAGGATTAGTGACGGAGACTGGGTGCAAAACAGGAGAGTCTACTCATACGAGGTTGATTTCGCCTAGAACACCTTTGATCGAGTTAAGAATTCAACTCGGGGTCAGATGTTGTATGTGCCTGAGACAAAGCGCTATGAAATTGGACGGTGCTGCTAGTCACAAAGTCCTGGTACCGAGCACGTAAGACAATAGAACAAAGCATTGCAGTCTTTGGTAGCTGCATGTTGTGCTCTGGTTGAATGACATGTCAAGAAGCCAGCTATTTATTGTTCCTGATACTGCATTGTTTGATGACGTTGCGCAGGTGAGTTGGGAGCGAAGGCACTCACCTAGGCAGCTCTTAAGCCAGAACATGATGATTAAACACAGGAAGACTGAAAAAAAAAGTTTTTGTCATTAAACGCTAATATGAACGCGCCTCCACATATGATATTGATCTAAAGAAATTTCGTAAGAAGAGAAAAGAAAAGAGTGGGCATGGCTCCTACTAGGAGCACTCTACACACCCAACCTCAATCCCCTCAATCACCATAGGCTTACTGTACTCACTTGGTACGTTGCCCATATCCATATCCATATCCTTCACACTGCCAGTCTCGCTCTGCGTCTCACTTCCAAGAGCAGAGTCGCTCTTCCTCCTCCTTGCCTCGGTCTCTTCTTCAATGTACGCATACTCGTTCCTCCAATCGCACAACATCTTGCTCGTGACATTGCTACCTCCACAAAGCACGATCACGACTTTGTCTTCTGGTCGAACGGGACGGCCAAGTGCTTTCTCGAGCCGGCCGTCGTAGCAGAGAGCGACGTTGATACCGCAGGCAAGCTCTACCATGATGCGTTCGTCGTCTGCGAGACGCCAGCAGCCCATTGCTGCTTCTGCGTCAGGTAAGACTACGCTTTGGACGTTGCCTCGCTGGCCGTATTTAAATGTGGCGTCTGTTACGCGGGCGCAGCCTAGACTTGTTGCTTGGGATGTGATTTTGGGTAATGTGATGAGTTCCTTGGCTTGGAGTGATGCGTTCAAGCTCTCGGCACCGGCAGTCTCCATAGCGAGAATGGTTGTCTTGCTCATTTGGTGTTTGTCCATGGACTGGCAGATACCGTTGATTAGACCACCACCGCCGACAGAGCAAATCAATACGTCTGGCTCGCCAGGGAGTTGAGCCGCAATCTCATCCATGCAGGTACTGTTGCCTTGCCAGATGTCTGGGTGGTCAAATGGTGGGCAGTAAATCGTCGATGTTTGTGCCTGTTGGAAGCGTCAGTGTCCCAGTCTACATGTATTCAAGAGGATGACCGTACGTAGGGCATGACATGCTCCTTGAGGTATGTGTCGGCGTCCTTCCAAGCTGCACCGTATTGGATAACTTCATATGCACCCGCTGCTCGTAGTTTGGCTACCATCAAAGGTGCTGTGGCAGTTGGTACGACGACAGTGCATAGTAAGTTGAGAGCGCGAGCCGAGTGAACAGCAGCGAGCCCTGCATTGCCACCGCTGGATGCGAATATATGAGGCCGCGAGCCTTGTGGGAGTTCTTCGAGACGACGGAGGATGTAGTTGCCAATTCCTCTAGTAAATGAATCAGTACGTATACTAGACAGTGGCTCCAGGGAGTGGTTGCTTACCGTGATTTGAATGATCCAGAAGGTTGGAGATTCTCCAGCTTGAGGAAGATTCTGCTTCTACGATTTAGAATTCCCTTTTCTCAAGGATGATGCTACGAGGCGGCATGAGGGGGTTGGAGGGTATGGATGAAGAGGAAGTGTGACCGTACCATCCTGCTGCTTCTGATAATGCATACGACTCCCTCAATGGAGTCCGAACCCATGGGCTTTGCTCGGGTTCCTCATCGGCATAGCACTGCTTGACAGCCATGTTGCAAGTTGGTAATAGAATGGGATATCACAGAAAGGTATTAGAAGCAAATGTAGGATGATGAAGAGCAGATGAGGGGCTTGATGTTTGGTGTTTGATGTTCAGAAACGCTTTGTCTGGTACGAACTCAAGGATACAAGAGCCACTCCTTTATCTCTACCATGATGTCTTATCGCTCCGCAAGCACCCGCAACCCTAGTGCCCATGTCGATGAGCCAGAGGGGTAAGGAAGCACTATGGCACACCGATTCCAAGATATGTTGTATCGATTACCCTATAAAGTGCATAAATTACCCTATAGATACTCGATAAGGAACAAGCGACCACGCTGCGACTGCAAAATGACACAAGCATGAGACCGGTACTCAGCAGCTTAGGCCAGGGTTTGGATTTCCAGAAGCGGTTATCAACGGCGGGACTGGTTTCTGCCAGGGCTTGCCGCCTCAGAACAGTGGTGGACTTGGCGCGACCTTGCCTATCAGAGGACGCGCATCAGTCTTCCATGCAGGCGGTCAGTCCAGAAGGCTCGGAGCCGATAACAACTCGGCGAAATTGTAAAGACGGGGTTGGCTGGGAGGCTGATGTTAGGATGACACGACGGGGTTGCGGGAATGACGCGAGGGATCCCCGACGGAAAGGAAAACTCATACACATGAGTGGAAGACGCGTCCATGCTCCCATCACGATCCAGCTTTCCTGTCGATAGCTATCGTCGTTTCAGACAAGGCTTCCCCAAACTGAGGTTTGCATGCGGATGTCCGAACATAAAACGCGGATCCGCAACCTGTCTTGAAAACGCTAATTGGGTATCTCTGTAATGTTTCTCAAGTTTACGCTAATACTGGGGTTTAAGCAGCAACCTTCGGGTGATCGAGGAGACCTTTCCTGAAGTTCCAGTAATTTGCGCGGATCGGATCGTACTTTGTCGCCAAAAGCTCCAGGGCCTTCTCCGCATTCTCTTTGCTATCTTCCTCTTCCGCATATATGTCCGCTAGGAGATCGAGAGCGTGGCTTGAGTGGACATCGTCTGGCTTCCGCACATCAGCGAATTCACCCGCAAAGTCCTTGAGAGTCGACTTGGGAAGTTCCGCTGCGCGAATAATGCCCAAGATGTAGTTCCATGGGCTCTGGTTCTGGGGGGCTTTCCGGATTGCTGCTTTGGTGTACCTAGTAGGGTTAGTACAGTCGAACAGCTTATGGCGACAACAGAAACGTACTCTATCTCTCGGTTCACAAGATCTGCACTCGGTTTTCCCTCGCGACCGCCAACGACTAGGTAGTAGCGATGGTTCCAAGCAGAGTTGTTGCGCACATCCTCCTCAATCATGCTGTGTGTCCACTCTAGCTCTTCGGGCTTGTCGAAAAGATCGAACCGCTTGACCAACCATTGCCTATAGCTCCACACATGGTAGTTCTTAGAGTCAAGCTCCAGCATGGAGTTTATGAACTCTGGTTCGCCCTCGCACGAGCCGAGCTCATCAATAATAGTGTGTCGGTGGTGCCAGATCTGGTAGTTCTTGAGGTGCTTGAGTGCGGTTGGGTTGAGCCATGCGATTTCGTCTTTCAGTGATCGCCCGATCTCTGAGATGGTTCTGGCGCGGTAGAGCCTGCGGGTTGTTAGTAGTGTAGATGTTGGGAAGCTCCATGTGAACACCAGTGTCTCCTCCGAAACTCCGCAACTCGACCGAGTGTCGGACTTACCAAACAGTGTAGTGCGCGGGGTTCATGCTGATGATGTGCTCAGTAAGGCCAAGGACCCTTTCGCTGAACTCGTTCTTCGCCATGACGGCGCGCAGGTAGCCCATAGCCTCGCTGTACTCCTCCGTGTATGCGATGGCAGCGAGTGGATGCAGGCCGCCGTCATCCTGGGGGAGAGGGTCAATGTCCGCCCATGCCTCGTCGTCGTGATAGTATTTCGGCATATTTTCCTTTATACCCTTTGCTTTGGAGTCAGCAAACTGTGTGGTTGTGGATAGCAATGCGCGCAGCAGGCGATATGACGACAGGAAGATGTCCTTGAGCCAGGCGCGAATGAAGTTGAAGGCCATAGTGGGGTGCACTGGAGCTTATGTCCGTTGCTTGGCGGGAAACCACAGACACCACGCTCTTTTCATGCGCATTCGCAGAACAATAGCAAGCCATTTCCACGAGAATCGAACACCCTTGAACGCCTTCGATTCACTTGGTTCTTGAGTCGTGCGGCCATACGCCCGAGATGTTTAGTGACACCAGTCTTCGCTGGGAATAAGGGTACCCCTTCCAAAACACTTCAGCTGTCACTGTAGCACCACGAGCGACATGCACGAACAATGCTAAGATAATTGGACTTGATCGTGGCCTGAGGATACACTTCTAATTCGTAATACCGCTTATAGGCGAACTCAGTGCTTCGGTTGGAGAATGAGCGCTCTGACTTGAACTCTACAACATGGCAGCTTCTGTACTGAAGGGGATCCAAGACGCACCTTCCTTGAGGATAACTTTAGTATTCGCCCTTTCTCCCATGGCGACCTATAACAGCCGGGCGACCAAGAGAGCTAGTCAACAGAGACATGAGGTCGTCTGATGCACTCCCTCCTACGTCTCACCTCCCCACCACTCCACCGCAGCCTTCACCATAGCACGCGCAAGGAGCAATACGCTTAGCAATATCACAATGCCCCTCACAGATGAGATAAAGGCTAAAGACGCCCTGATCAAGAAACAGCGCGACGTCATCGCCAAGTACCTTATCCTCGACATCGAAGACTTCCTCGCTGAGGCCCGTGAGAAGGCGGAGGCGGAGGCTGCGGAAGCCTACGAACTTGCGTTAGCAGAGGAAAAGGCCAGAGGCAGAGTATGTTAGGCTCCTCGCGGCTCACCACTCAAGCTTCGTCGCTCACCCTTCGCCCTAAGGTTGTCTAAGACATACTTTGGTCCATTCGTTAACGGCAACATGGCTGACTCGCTTCATTGTACAGTGGGCGAAGTGGAAAACGATTTACAAACTACAATACGACGGCGTCTCAGTAGGAAGCATCATCTACTACAACCTCCGTAGCCTTTGGGAATCTTGGGGCACCAACCCGTACCATTTGCACGCCGCCTGGTACGCCATAATGCTGACCTTGCTGTTGTCCTGGCTCATCGGCAGCGTCGTTTGCGGATACTACGAAGCGAAGAATGAGAACGGCAGTGTACGAATGGCGAAGCTGTGCAGGGGCATTCTGGGCTCCATTCCGCCAATTGTGCAGTTCATCCTCTTCTTGTTTCCGCCGCTGTTTGTTCAATTCTGATGAGACATGGGCTGATGCGGGACGGCAGTGTCGGCTGAGACCTATGGGGCGAAAGTGTATCCCCATCGCATACGTGACCTCAAGCTAGGTCAAAGGGGGACAATGGGAGTGGGTGGAGGACATGCTCAAGGGGTTTGTCTTGAGGCATATGATCTTACGAGAATAAATGTATGATATAGCGAGCACGATATCTGTTACCGTTGTTGTATTGTTTTCTCAGCATGGTATGATATCCAATCTCCATATCCCCGAAAGACTATCCCCGTTCAGATTCCAAGTCTACCTACAACTCTTGTAGTTGCGGATAGCTTCATATCAAAGCTTCTTGTTGATGCGCTTTGTCATTTTCTCGTCTCGTGTCACGTACCGTATCAAGAGACGATGTATTAGTTTGTTTACTAAGAACACCCACGTCTTGAGCATAAGAAACAAACAAATCGACATGGTCATACGTACATCTGACGCGTGCTTTAGTAGCCGATTGTGGTTGGCATTTCCTGATTTCCCCTCCTGAAACGATAATCGGAGTGTTCCTGACGATCTCTGCCCGAGATGTCACCTGCTCCGGCGTTTTAGCGTGAACCAGGGCCTTATCCTGCGCCTTATCGTCTCCTCCCCAGCCGTTCAAGGGTCGCGAAAGTTCGTGGACACCATCGTGCGACAGACGTCATAAAGCCTTCCCCCGCCGTCGCGCATGCTATCGCTTGTATCCCACTACACGTATCAATTCAACGCGCAATGCCTCCAAAACGCCGCGCCTACGAGGCCATTGACCTCACCGGGGACGACGATACGCCCGCCTATTCCTCGTCGCAATACCCGTCATCATCGCAAGGATATGCGCATTCTCACGTTGCCTCTTCGAGCCCGCACCGCGCACCCAAACAAGCTCGTACATCATACAGCCAAGCGCACCGCACTACATCCGGCTCGTCGCAAGCGGACGCCATCTCAATCGATGAAGACGAGGAAGATGACGCCTCTCAGGAAGTCCCGGATGCCACGCAAGCATACAATCAGCAACAGTACGACTACATACTATATGGAGTAATGCACGAGAAGATCGTGGGTGTGCGGTACTACAACGGATATGCAACGACCGGCGAGATGGTGGTTCTAAGGCGAGAGCCCCGAAACGAGTATGACAGCAACGCGATTAAAGTAACCAACGTACAAGGTCAACAAATTGGACACCTTCCACGAGGGGTCGCAGCCAAATTGGCCAAATACATGGACGAACGCAGCCTGCTTATTGAGGCGCAACTTACAGGGGAGAAGGGCTATTACGACTGCCCTGTTCAGCTCAAGTTGTACGGAACCAACGATCCAGCCGTGCAGCAAGATCTTATGGCACGAATGCGAAGCGACAGAATCCCTATTGGGCATGTTTCAGATCGACGTCGTAAGGAGGCTGCGGCTGCGAAGGAACGCGAGCGAATAGCTAAGCAAGCCGCCAAACAAGCCAAAAAGAAAGGCGCTGCCGTCGTAGATGTTGCTGGCAACATGGCTGAATATGCTGCTGGTTCGTCGCAGGGTCCTGGCCTCATGCCGGGGCCTAGCATGGAGGATATTCTCGGTGGGAGCATACGCTTCAACCCTAGGAATGTCGAAGAGATGGTTGAGGAGTATGGTATCAAGGAAGAAGACCTCGTAAGCAATACGCCTATACGACTTCTGTATCTACCCACTAACTTTCAACAGGAAAAAATGCCACAAGCACCCCAACCCGATGCGCTTCTCACTGAGCTGCATCCCTTCCAGTTGCAAGGTCTGCAATGGATGCTTGACAAAGAAAGCCCCAAGCTTCCAGCCCCAGGCACGAAAGACGTAGTCCAGCTTTGGCGAAGACATACTCACATACCGGGTGCCTTTACAAATGTAGCAACGAGCTTCTCGATCAAGGATCCGGTATTAGCTTCCGGGGGTATACTGGCCGATGACATGGGCTTAGGCAAGACTATTCAAACGATCTCCCTCATTATGGCAGACCGTGCTCTTCATCTTCGTGCAAAGGATTCCTCCAGCGCCACGCTAATCCTTGCCCCTGTGTCCGTGATGAGTAACTGGAGCACTCAAATGAAGAAGCATGTCAAACCGGAACATGCTCTTCGTGTCATGTTTTGGCACGGTCAGAGGAAAGAGCCCATCACGCCCAAATCGATCGGGAACTATGATGTCGTGATCAGCACCTACGAGTCTGTTTCTTCCGATTGGTACTCACAAACAAAGCCCACTCTTCCACGAAAATCCGGACCCTTCTCTATCAAATGGCGTCGAATCATTTTGGATGAGGGCCATGGCATAAGAAACCCGAAAGCCAGGAAGACTATCGCCATTACAAACCTGATGGCGCAGTCCCGGTGGACACTTACCGGTACACCAATCATCAACAACCTCAAGGATCTCTACAGCCAAGTCCGTTTTCTGCGTCTTTCGGGTGGCCTTGACTCTTTCGAAATCTTCCACAGTGTCATCATGCGTCCAGTCATGCAAGGCGACGTCGAAGGCCACAAGTTGCTCCAGCAGCTGATGTCAGGCATCTGTTTGCGTCGCAAGAAGGAGATGTCATTCATAGATCTACGGCTACCTGAGCTCTCCGAGTACGTACATAAGATCAAGCTGCATCCACATGAACAGGAAAAGTACGACGCCTTGGAGGCTCAGGCTAAAGGTACGCTGGACGTTTACAAGCACAACATCGGGAAAAAGAATGCTGGAGATACTTACCGTCATCTCCTTGAGGTGCTGCTCCGAATGCGACAAGTCTGCAACCACTGGCAACTTGTGGGTGAAGAGCGTCTCGACTCCATCATGAAGCAACTCGAAGCAGAAGGCGTGGTCGATCTGACTGAAGAAAACAAGGCCGCACTTCAGAAGATGCTTCAACTCTCTATCGAATCACAGGAAGACTGCCCCATTTGCTTGGATATTTACAAAGAGCCCGTCATAACCAAATGCGCCCACATCTTCTGTACGCTCTGTCTAGAACGCGTCATCGAAACCCAACACAAGTGCCCCATGTGCCGTGCCGAGCTGGAGTCCCTCGCAACTACAACTGTCAAACCTGCCAAGGAAATATCAGCCGCTGCCCCGGCGCCCTTGACACAAGACCAGATCGCAGACAAGGCATCTTTGGAGAAGAACACAAGCACGAAGGTCGAGGCCCTCCTAGACATACTCAGAGCATCCGCCAGCGACCCCACAAACAAGACAATCATCTTCAGCCAATGGACTTCTTTCCTCGATATCCTAGAACCGCACCTCACCCTCTACGGTCTAAAGTACGTCCGTATAGACGGTTCCATGTCCGCAACACAACGCGACGTCGCTCTCGAAGCCCTAGACTCTGATCCGGCCACAACCATCATGCTCGCCTCGCTCGCCGTATGTAGTGTTGGTCTCAACCTCGTTGCCGCAAATCAAGTCATCATGGCGGACTCTTGGTGGGCGCCTGCCATCGAAGATCAAGCTGTAGATCGTGTGCATCGGTTGGGTCAGAAGCGCGAGACCAAGGTCTTCCGACTAGTGGTTGAGGGAAGTGTAGAGGAGCGTGTGTTGGGCATCCAAGAGGAGAAGAGAAAGCTGATGGGTTTAGCGTTTGCGGAGAAGGAGGGTGGGAAGCAGAGGAAAAAGAGAGCTGGGGCTGGACTGGGTGATCTTCAAAGGCTGCTGGGGACGCAACAACCTGCTACTCAGATGCAGACGCAGACACAGGCTTCTTAGGAGGTGAAGACGGTGGAGTTAGATATCCCTTGTACCATATAGCTGTGTGCCCGTGATTGTGTGTTAACACCATCTAATTGGGTAGTTTAATGAATGAACGAGAACCAGGCGCCAACACATCATGTTAACATAACATTACTGTTCTTACCCATGTATGTCTGTGTTTTCAATGGACAATAATATGCTGCCGCAGGTATGACTATGAGGCGTTCTACAGGTTGCGTTCATGAAGATGCTGCGAATGGTTTAGCCATGTTTGTCAACATGTAGTCGCAAATATAGTTGACAGCAGCGTATTCTCTGACTCGGTTTCTCTCCATGATGCCGTTTTTGCGTAGCCATGGAAACTGCATACTTCGGAATTGTTTTATTGTGTGGAAGGGAGTTGTGGTTTTTTTTTAAGGATATAGTATTGGGATCTATGTGTGTAATTAAATTACATCTGACAAGTAACATGTATAGCCTTCCATCTATGCTAGAGTAGAGTAGGTTCATGACCTGGGTTTCTTCTTTCCTTTCCTGATTTCAGTCTCAGTAGAATTTGGTACCTACTTACTTAGGTGGTGTTGAGTTCTTTTCGACGCACTTCCCCATGTATTTCAGGTCACATCGGTTCTAGCCCAACAGTACCATCATTCAAGCACAACATATCGTAAGCATAGCGAGCGCTATGCAGCAATGTGAACACGACCAGAAGGAACCATTCAGATAAAAAATGAGCCTCGTGTGTCATGTATCACAGGTGTCACACTTTCGTCAAAATGACATGCGCCGAAATTCCGCTCACAAAACCTGTAGAACAGGCACGACACTGACCAATTCACACCTTTTGGCATGTGTGTCGTAGTGCAACAAACGGCACCGCTCACTCATGGAACTTTGACACCGAGATATTCACTGCTGTAGATGTAGCGCTAACCCGTGTTCGGGAAGGTGAGATATGTGTGCTCATAGCGACATGAGATGTAAATCACCAGAGGCGCAAGCAGTACACATCTGCAGTTCAAGCAGATGCTCAGAAGACTTAGCGTCGAACCGAGCAATGCATACTATTGCAGCAGATGCTGCGGGTTCACGAAAAAAGATGTTCTACCTTTTTCCAGAGAAGGCGCCACTAGAAACAGGCGCCCACTCAAAGTGTATATGATAGATTGTGCAATATGTATTCTCTGGCAGGTCGATGACACATGAAGGGCCATGGAGTAATGGCCCTCAAGCAACCGGGAAACGGACTATCGTCCTGCGCCGCATAGAGAACAGAAGCAGTACGCAGAGGTGCGAAGTTTTTATGCCTGCCTCACTAGCGCGTCGGCGCCCTCGTTTCTCCGGCGAGGCACGTGATGCCGGCTAAGCTTCGGCAGGTCGGACAACTTCAAAAAAACCTTTCGCGTCGCAACCGACCGACTCCTGCTCTTCATGGCCAGAGATGATATTTCATATTTGATAGGAAGAGTAATACGTGGCCTAGGCTGCGACTGATTACAACATAACCACTTTCTGAGGCCTGTTACATGCTCCTGTTCGGAACTACTACGCGGTTGTTGCGGCGTTGCGGCGTTGCGGCGTCGCGGCTTTGTCGCGGAAGCTGGACGCGGCCGTTGGATGACACCTGGGTGTTTCGCTGATTTGAAAAGCACGCGCAGGCCTGTGAGACGAGCACAGTGCCAGGGACGTATGGCGACTTCGAGACATCCGCTGTCGCTGCTTCAGATCATTCGCCGTTGAGATTTCGCACGTTTCAGCAAGCATCCCGTATGAGATGGATGGGGTGCGGCCACGAGGGTGCAGGGAACGTCCTATTCTTGTCATGTCTGTTTATGCCGTTTGCAATTTGTGTGTTTCCAGAAGATGGCCTTTTTGCCTGAGGATGCCAGGAAACAAAGCGTCTATGCATTCGGATTCATGCGGCAGGCGGCGCCGCGGCAGTTGCGTGGAATGGCCATGTTGGGTACTTTGGGCGTCTGAGCGTGCGTGCGAAGACATGTTCGGTCGGACACTGGACTGCGACGTGCGTGCTTCATGCTCTCGAGGTTCTCGACTCGGGTTTCCTGTCCTCTACGGCGGCTTTGCTCACTTTTGGCTGTACATGTGAGCAGAGTCATTCGGCCCGTGTGGCACGGCTGATAACGACGTCGAGTAGTAGTCAACATGATAGGTGAATACCAGGTTGCTTGCAGCCGCCACGACGCTTCGGCTAACAACTTCCTCAATATTATCACGACTCTCAATTTGCCGGTCCTGGACAAACTTTACGTCAATAGGCTACGTCAGTCTCAGTCATTCATGACAATTACCTGTTCGTCCACGCCCCATCTTGTGGTCGACGAGAACAATGAGCATTTCCATCTTCACGCGCGTCACTTTGAATTGCGATCTTCGTACCGACGCGCTCGTATGCCCAAGATCTGCGCTCAATCGGCGACTTTCCACACGTTGGGGAGCACAGTCACTAGCCGTCCAAGGTCGGTTTGTCCCGCAGCGTTGCCAGACCCTGGTGGGATGAGCACTTGTGGTCTTGTCTCGCCGAGTTGGGGAGATGTCGCCTGTCGATATCTCGTGTCATGACCAACGGAGGCCCTGCAGAAATTTCGATAACCAGCCAAGGCGCGACGTGCCGAGTGATTTGCGATGGATAGAAGCTGTCGAAACTTAACAGCATTGAATAACGCGGGTCTTATCCTTCCAAGGCTTGATGCTAACCACATTCACGATTGTTTCAGGGCGGGCTTATCGTATGCCGATATTGTTGATAGAATCCCACGTGTACCGGGCTCATCTTTAGATCCAGCCCGTAGCGGTGCAACCTCGACCGCCTGCTCTCAGGCCAGCTGCTTCGGCAATAGCCACGACGGCTCCAGAACGCGGAATATCGTGAGTTCCCACTTGCCGTCTCGACTAGACGAGACACATCTGCAGCCGATGCCTTTTCGCATCAGACACTGGCCTCAACAATATCCAGGCGGTGTCTTGCAGGAAGGGTCGCCCTGGCTGGACCATCACACCGCATAGCACATCGACATGCATTCAGCAACAAGCACCGAGCATCAGTGTGGGGAAGTATTCCAGAAGCCACATGGTCAGGGACCAGTCGTGCGGGCTCTCGGGAGATTACAAACGAGCTTGACCCTGCTTCAGCATAACGCGAATTTCGTTAGAAGAATGTCTGACCGTGCTTGAGACCCCGACGCGGTGGGCTCAGCGATCTGCCAGCTGCCTTATCGGGGTGACATAGCCGTTGTCATTGCCTCTTCGGCTATGGCGACTTGTTGACGAGGTTTCACAATTCCAGAAAGACAACTTTCTCAGTATCAGTGCCTTGGTAATGGTACGTCAGATTTTCCAAGCGGTCAGGGAGACACCTTGTGCGCATCATACCAACGGAAACACCTTTGCAAATACTCATGAGTGCATCAAGCCATCAATGGCTCCGGAAGCCACACTTCGTTTCTAACGCGTAAAAGTAACATTGACCCGCGGCATGACGGAACAAACGCAGGAACATGAGTGGCACGGTGTACTAGCTTTTGTCATTGGTCAAGCCGGCACACATGGCTGTACTTCCGATAGACGTGCTAGCGAGTCAAAGTACACCATCGCGATAGTCAAACCATGGGCGAGCGGGATGGAAGCCCCAACCCCGCCAGGCTGGAAAACTTCCTCGAGAGGTCGAAGATCAGGTCCTCGTGAGTCTCGGCCAATGACAAGGCTGACGGAGTGGAGAGAGAGTCAAGTGGGACAATTCTATGGAAGCCATGCGTCGTTCCCCGGCGCCGAAGCTATGGCATGACCACGCCGCACACGCTAACTGATGGCCCACACCGCGGAAGAGCCCTTCTTCAACTTGAGTCGCATCAAGACCCTGTTGAGTCGTAAGGGAGCCCCGCTGATGTGGCCTTCTAGAAATTGCGTCGTCTTCACATGTAACAGCGAGCATAACGATGGATGTAGAGGCGATTACAGAACGAAAATCCCACGAAATTCTTTTCTTAGGGTCACGATAAGCCCGCGTGTTGTTTTGGGTTTTACTTACCGTTTGTTCCTGCATTGTACCTGCAGTAGACGCTATTCTCGATCAATAAGCTCTGCAGTCAATGTGGGGGATGACGGCCAGGCGGATGCCATCGGCCCTGTTCGAGTTGACCAACGCTTGTCACGCGAAAGACACGCCGCTTTTACGAGTAAGCCACTTAGGCCTCGCCGGCGGCTTCATAACTTTGCACCCGCAGCATTCGATAGCTCGTTTCTATTTGTGCCGAATCTTATACGAGGCACGAACATGCACAACTCTTACCGCGGCGGAAGTGTAAATGATGAGGCATCCACCTTTATCGGCGTCATAACCAGCCAACAGCACCCATTATCGATACGTAGATTAGAGGAGCTTGCATCCTCTGGTACACCACCAAGGTCGGTTGCTGCACGAGTGGCGACCGAAGTGGCAGCCCAACTTCTGAAACACACTTGCAAGATGGATTAAGGCCGCATGTGCAGGTATATGACCATGCATCCCACCAACCCAGTTCTCTTGACACCCTTCGAAGAAGAATGGTATCGGTGGCGACTTGCAGCTCACTGCACATGAGTATGTCGCACCATTAAGAATAGCCGTCTTTTGGACCACTGGGAGGGCGCGGATCCTAGGGCCTTCAGCTGGCGGGCAAATCACGCCCAACTGGGATCATGTTCTTGCATCATGGCTTACGTTCTCACGTTCCTGCGTCAGCCCGGCATGTCGAGTCTTGCTCCAGTGTTGCGCGATGTTTATGTGGCAATGGGTAGCCTTCCTGTTTTCGCTACCGGTTATCTCACGCGACACACTCCTACAACTTTAGGACCTGCATCGTCGGTGGAGTTGTTGAAGATATCGTGAGACACATCGCTCCTACACTTCTGCATCGCAGGGAGGCGTCGCGAGCTTTGTGGTGTGCTACCGGCATTAACGCCAGGCTACAGCACGTCCAAAAGCACTCAATCGACAACCACATCAGCTTCTGTGGTGTTGCTTCTGTGATGCCTGAGGGTGGCACCGCAGGCGTTACGGCGTTGTCGTGCGTGACATATTCAGTGGAGCGCGCAGCGTCATCACGATCACGAAGAGCGGGAGAGACGCGACGCTGTATGGATGTTTCAAAACATAGTTCAACCGGCAGGGTCTGGCAGCTATCATTATCGATTGGCAGATAGGATGATAGGCTGAATGATGCCCGGGCGCGCTAACTTCGAGGCGAGTTGGAGCGTCGTCTGGAGAGGCACTCCGTGGTGTGGTTTGTCAGACGAGACGCAAGACACACCACTTATCGGCAGTATCACCGTCCGCTACCCATCACTCGCTGTTCTGAACAACAACCATACCGTGGCGAGGCTCAGTTGCCTTCAGCTATTGTCTCTCCTCCATTCGGAGAGGGCGGTATAAACCCACTAGGTAGGCAGTGTGGCAGGCTCTACATCCCACCATGTGCTGTGCTGGCGACGTAGCCAATACCTTGAAGCCTGCCGGAGCCGCCGCGCACATCTCATTTCGCGTATAGTCCCATGCAGCTATGCATTGGGCGAATAATTTTAGGCCCATAAACCCATGCATTAATGCACTCGCTGCTTTTGACGCGAGTCAAGGCTAGGGTCTAACGCAGGATCCCATACCCTAGCAGGCTTGTGGAGCTGCGCTGCGCCCCGGCGCACTAGAGCGAGCCGTCCTTCTCTGTGCGCTCATCAGTTCTCTTTTTCACTGGCCTGCCCTTGATCAAGGTTCATCAACCACGTCCCTCTCGTTTCTTTCCGCCGTCGCCGTTCAGGTTTTCATCTTGGGTCTCATAATTTTGTGCCCTCACACTCTTTGATCTTCATTATCTATCTTAGTGACAGTTTCGTTATTACGAACTGGCCCACAGTCATTCCTTCGACACTCTCTTATACTGTCCAGCATCCTGCCTTCAAGTACAACTAATTTGTCCTCGACATCACTCGATATCACACTATCATCGACATACCTAACCAACAACCAACAACGTTAACAACGACGACAACTACTACTATACTGAAGTAAAGACACACCAATACACGCAATGGACGGCTCATATCCCATCCATCCTACCCAAGCTATGCAATCACCATTCTTCTACTACAACCCGGACCCTCAGGGCGAGAACACACGCCAACACGGCCACTTCACACCCCACCCATCTGGACAGGCTACCTTCCAAGCACAAAACATGTACTACCAGAGGCCAACATCGGCATGCTCTCAGATGTCCTACCCTCAGACAGCCTACGCCAACCAGATGCTTACTCCAGTCGCATCACCTCAGCCAATGTACCAGAAGCCCACAATCTTGATCCAACCTCAAGATTCGCCATACCTTCACCCCATTGACACCGACTACTCGTTCTCACCTGCTACACCTCCTCTTTCATCATGCGGTAGCAACACCAGCAGCCCTCCCTCTACATACGATGTCCTTCCTACACCGCTGCACGACATGTTCTCTGCTGAGGGCATTGAGGGTGTCAAGCAAGGCTGCGAAGGCGAGGTCTTTTCTGAGCTTCTGTCCGCTGGTCTCGAATGGCGTTCAGCTTCCCCACCCATGACTCCAGGTATGTATTTTCTACTATTAATCTCGTCTTGTCTTATGCAAGCGATGTCGTTGCTCTGGCTTCGCGTCGACAAATTATCACGTGAGTGCGTGGACGGTGTTGCTAACTCCTTCAAGTTTACATCCAGCCTCCGTCGGCTAGCCAGGGGTCTTACCTTCTGTCTGCAACTTCATGCCCCTCGCTCTCCCCATCACCATCACCAGTACCCCGCGCTGCATTTGCTGAAGCCGAGAACAACTTCTGCAACCCCCCGCGATCTCACCGTCTCTGCCACTACTGAGCTCCCCATTGTCACACTTTGCCCTGGCGACGAAGAGCACAAGGTTGTCCTTAAGGGTGAGACTGCCCAGGTTGACAGCTTCGAGTCTGCTCAGTCCTTCAACATTACTGGCCTTCCCACTTTCGAGCCCCTGTTTGAGCTTGACTGCGAAGACGACTTCACCGGCCTTGTCAACTTCTCCACCGACAGCGTCCACTTCCTCGGCAACAAGCGCCAGCGCACTGACCTTGGTGCCTTCTCACCTGAGGAGGACTTCCTAAGCGACGAGAGCTTCACAGACTTTGAGGAGGAGCTTGTTCACGGTCTGCCCCTTACCCCTGCCGCCAGCGACTTCGACATGTCCGCCGCTCCTAAGAGGCGAACAGTCAAGAAGGCTCGCTCAGAGTTCAGCGAGACTGAGTCCGACTACCAGGGTAAGCAACAGACATCAGGTGATGATAACACCATGTCTGGAGCATCAAGCCAACAAGAATCAGGTCAAGCCGAGAACGCTGTCGGCTCCAGCTCAGACGAACACGCCACTCCTGTCGCACCTACCAGCCGTCGCGGTCGCAAGCAGTCGCTCACCGACGACCCTTCCAAGACCTTTGTCTGCACACTCTGCTCGCGCCGCTTCCGTCGTCAAGAACACCTCAAGCGTCACTACCGCTCTCTCCACACTCACGACAAGCCCTTTGAGTGCACCGACTGCGGTAAGAAGTTCTCCAGGAGCGACAACCTCTCCCAGCACCAGCGCACCCACGGTACTGGCGCTGTCAGCCTCGAGGTCATGGGCTCCGACTTCCATCACTCTGACATGCAGCATGGTCAATCTGGTGCGTTCGGCGCACAGGCGCCTTCCACCATGGGTGAGATCCTCTACAACGCTGCTGCCGAGATCTCCACCTCAAGCTCAGATGGATCAGAGAACGAGTCGTCGCCCAGCCAGAAGAAGCGCAAAAGGAACGAGTAAATGTTCTTTTCTACCACACTTCTCCTTTCAACTCTTAACGACCCTTCATGACATCCACAACACCCGGTAGAAGGATTATACATCATGCCATACGGCTGCTCGTCCACCCTCACGACACGGCTAGACAGGCGGCACAGGTTCACATTAGCGGTTCGATCTTGCATAATCTGCAGCGAAAACTCTACGCTTCCCTTCTACCACTGTATTCTACACACTCAATCTCGCTGTACAAACATTCGAGATTGGCATTTTTGGTTTCGCGTTCAGCACTGCACACCTGGGTTTTGGGGCGGAGATTGGTAACCACTGGCAGACGGATAGAACTGGTGTTTTTCTTGGTTTCACTCTTACGACGACATGGCCATTACCCTACACCGGCCACTGTCGCCGCGTTACCCCCTTGTTTATCTTGCGCTTCCTACGCTCGTTGTAATTGGGCAGCTACATTTTAGCGCCCTCCAACATTCTGAGAATCTTCGCTTCTTTCTCACAACACATGTAATCGTCAGTCTTTGCAATTTGCTCAGCAATGTTTTTTCTGCGCAGCCAATTGTAGGTTAGAGGTGCTGGCACTGTTCGACTATTACACAAAAACACGTTATTACATACATACTTCCGATGCCTTCCCTGCATGTGACTACTGTGCCATCCATGCGAGCCGCGCGTTGTACGTATCGTTGCTTTTGGATGATCTGCGATGAGTTGCAGGACGGGACCCTGATACCGGAAAACACTATCGCGCTCGTCCCAAATCCCCACAGATGAACCTAGCGTGTGCAGACCTTTAGCGAGACCCAATCCACCTGCGTCTGTATCATGCAACGAGCGGCACCGGGCCGCCTCAACTCCTTCATTGCTTCTCTCAGACGGTCGCCCGTTTCGAATCATTCTTTTTACCATGTCGGCGTCATTGAACGTAATTGCTTTAATCTCCGGAGGCAAAGACTCGCTCTTCTCCATTCTCCACTGTCAAGCAAACGGCCACACCGTCGTAGCACTGGCCAATTTGCACCCAGCGCTTTCCACCAATGACGACGAAGAAGACATCAATAGCTACATGTACCAGACCGTGGGGCATTCGGTCATCCCACTCTATGAAGAAGCGCTAGGAATCCCGCTCTATCGACAAGAGATCAAGGGTACCGCAGTGGACTCGAGTCGAGACTACGCGACACCTTTGCAAAAGCAAGAGCAGGATGAAACTGAAGACTTGGTTCCGCTGTTGAGAAGGGTCCTAGAAGCACATCCTGAGGCCAACGCTGTGTCTACAGGGGCTATCCTGAGCACATATCAACGCACGCGTGTGGAGTCTGTAGCGGTCAGGCTGGGGCTTATGCCGCTATCGTATCTATGGCAGTATCCTTTGTTGCCACCCTACACACAGTCGTCACTCTTGCATGATATGACGGCTGTAGGGCAAAAAGCAATTATCATTAAGACAGCGTCAGGTGGTCTGGATGAGGACTTTTTGGGTCTCGATGTCGCTAATTACAAGACTATAGCTAGGGTGGCCAAGGCCATGGGACGCTATGGTGACGCTGGCGACGGCGCGATACTAGGTGAGGGGGGTGAGTTTGAGACGTTGGCTTTGGACGGACCCAGATCGCTCTGGAAGAAGAGGATCAGGATCGAAAATGGACCACCTGGGAAGCTGGAGGGTGGCCAAGCAGTGCTAAAGATTAAGAACAGCACGCTTGAGGAGAAGGGTGCAGATGAAGAGGCTGCTGCTGGGCCACTAAGAATACCGGAGCTTTTGGACGAGGAGTTCACGAAGTTGCTAGCAGCCACAGATGCCAGCAATGAGGGTAGGCAAGGTGTGCCCACTGACACAGGGTCTATCGTCCAGTCTCTTGGGCCTGTCTCTCAAGCGGGCATCCCATCAGTAGTAGATCGGCTATCCTGGAATACATACAGTGATACTTCGACAGTCTTCACATACTCCAATCTAGTAAGCGATGCCTGCACCGCGTCCTCATCCGAGTCCCCATCCCGCCAGCTCTCCAAGATCTTCCTCCGTCTCGACCACATCCTGAAGCAATGCCGTATTCCCAAGAGCAGCGTCAACCACTGCACACTACTGCTCCGTGACATGGCGGATTTTACAGTTCTCAACCCAATCTACGCGCAATACTTCAGCAGCGTGAATCCACCAGCCAGAGCCACCATAGCAGTTGGGGACACAATGCCAAAGGGCATAAATGCCATGCTGAGCGTAGTCGTGGACAAAGACGAAAGAGATCAAGATGGAGAGGTCCTAAGACCAGTGAAGAGACAAGGACTCCACGTACAAGGACGAAGCTACTGGGCACCAGCAAACATCGGACCCTACAGCCAAGCCATCTCCGTACGCCTGCCTACAAGTAATGAGCTCAACGAAAACAACGCCCAGAACAGCGGAGAAGTCGTGTACGTAGCTGGTCAGATCCCCCTAATGCCCGCATCCATGGACGTGTACAAAGAACATGGTTTTAGAGGTCAAGCAGTCCTCTCCCTCCAACATCTTTGGCGCATCGGCCGCACAAAAGGAGTGAAATGGTGGCCGGCAGCCGTAGGTTTCATTCCCGCATCCGAACACGCGGAAGAGTCTGTACGAGTGGCACAAGAAGTCTGGAGAGCGACCCACACACCTCCCTCCTCAGCTGATAACGATGACAACGACGAAGAGGACGAAGACGCGGACATAGACCCCTGGGACCGCTTGAATCAACACCACACCTCGACATTCAAAGATTCCACTTATCGCTCTCCCATCCCCGATCACTCTGCGATTTCTACCCTCCAGATTCAAGGCCAAGACCAAACCACAGGCGCGAATATGAGCGAAACACGAACGCTGATACCACCGTGTTTCATCGCTCAAGTATCTTCTTTACCGCGTGGTGTAGATATAGAATGGAGCGCTACGGGTCTAACTTCCTCTTCCATGGCATATTGGCGCAACCCCACGACCCCACATTCCACGACGACAACGCCGCGGGATGCTCGATCGAGGTTCTTCACCCTCGAGTTGAGGGATGAGGGGGACGTGGAGTGGCTGGGGAAGCAAAGGTGGACGAGTGCTACGTTGTATGTTGGAAGGGGGTTTGAGTGGTTTGGCAAAGAGGGCGTAGATATGAAGATGGAAGGTGTGCAGTGGATTCCTTGTCAGAGGGTTTGGGGCGAGGATGGGAGGGAGGCTTGTGCGGTTTTCGTAGGGAGAGTTGATGGGTGAATGTATGTTTGTTACAAGGACAAGCATCAAGTCATTCGGAGGGGTTATGAGTTGTATGAATCGATCGTAATTGCTTCTGTAGCTATGTCATATCCCAACTACCGTCTTCCAATCATCAAGTCATCTCAGATGGTATAACAGCTTTTCCCCGACGTGCCCAGTCTCCGTAACGCCATGTAAATGCCCGATATCGCCGTTGCCATTGCTTGGCTAACTATGCAAGACTTCTCGCTTGTTGTATTGCCTAGAACCTCTCCTTCATGCGTCCTGCGACTGTTCGTAGGTTGCCATACACCTTGCTTGGTTGTTGACCAAGGATCAAGCTGACGATGGCTTCGCGCGCGATGTGGATGTTCTTGAATCCGCCGAGGATGTGGATCTTCTGGTCTGCTAGGACGACTGGGAATTGTAAGTAATTTGAACAGCTGGGTTGTGATGATCACGCCGCTGGACGTACCTCGTGTTCTGCTGGCATTCTCGATTGCGAACTTCGTCTTGCCGTCCTTGCCTGCAATTCGTCCGATTGCACGGCCGAGATGCTCACCCTGTAGGGTCTTGACATCCTTGATCTCGAAGGTTTCAATGTAAAGATCGTCCAATCGAAGCAGCTATGAATTCGTCAGTCCTGCACTCCCAGGTCATCATGTCCAGCCATGCCAAGCACAACTTGAGTGATTGTGCAAAGCATGTGTAGGGCTGCGCGCGTCCACTCACCGCAATAGCGTCGTCCGTGTCAAAGCCCAGGGTGAATGCCTTTACAAAGTCCTCTCCCTTCTGGAGCGCACCCGTATCGGTTGTAGCGTTTGAAGTGCGCAGCTCGACAGCCTTTGCCTTTGTGTTCATCCTGACCTGCAGTTTGAGGTGCTCAACAAGCGGAGGGTAGATCTTGGGCCACGAGTTCTTGAGCGGTGTCATCCTGTGGGGTGGAATCGGCACCTTGCGCTGCTCTCGGCGGAAAGCGAGCGGTATCGACTTGGCTGCGGGGAACTTGGGCTTTCCGCTCTCGTCTGTCATGGGCATGTCGTCTGTGGGTGCTGGGGCGTCGTGCGCAGCCTCAACCGGGTCAAGGCTCATGGAGATGAGGTCGCCGTCGCTTTCGGTCGGGAGGGGAACAGAGGAAGCCTCCATGGTGACATCGTCGGCGAAGTCTTCGGGCCTGCGCTGGAGGGCTGTAGGTGCTGGCATATTGGCTATGGTATGCGATGGGTACGCGGGCGTAGATGTTGAGATTCGAGCCTAAGCGGTGTGCGCGGAGAGACTTGGGACGAATGGAGGCCGGTCGGGTCGGTGTGCGATTATTTTCCTCCTCTTCTTGCGGTCGTCGTAAATAAAGCGTGAGGCGTGAGGAGGGTCGAATTGGCTATCGATTCGCAACAATGTGGGGCTTCTCGAGAAATTTGGAGAGGCGAAAGACGGTGGTAGACCCGAAGCGTACTAGCGCCTGTCACTCGACCTTCTTTTTGCATGTGCATGGGTAATGACGTGAATCTTGCCTGTATTCCAACCAGCCGCCTGCGTTTCCTACACCGCAAACCTCAGACCTTCTCCCCCGCAGACACGTTCGCACATCCCCTCGCTTGCGAACGTCGACCATGTACCCGCCGCGGTTATCATGAACAAGAATGTAGGAACGCTCGGCTTCCTGTGGCGCGCCGTCGCTGGCCAGCCGCTGACACGGCGGTGTGCTTCCGCGGGAAGTACTGGGAATATGGGCACAGTCGCAGTCGGCATGGAGGGCAGGCATTCAGAAACGGACGATTGGGTCAGACTCCCGTGTCTTTGGCCTGTCGACAACTACGAGTTTGCCCTCGATTACGCGCTCACCGTATCCTGGACAGACTCCCACTTGCCTGCTCCGAGCGTCGTCACCCCGCACTGGTCGTTTTCAGCAAAGTGTGACTAGCACTGTCCTCTCGGCATGGAGCAGAAATGCATCGTCCAAGGCATCCAGGGCGTTGAGGAAGAGCAGAGGCAGCGACCGACGCAACAAAAGCTCGGTGACGAATGGCTCATCCAAGAACAAGCGCGAACCCACGGGTCAAACACCGCAAGCCCAGCTATCTCCCCAGCCGGACTCGCCTCCCAAAGCCTCAAAGACGCCTCCAAACCCAAAGCCCGAAGCAGCGAGTGCTGCAAAGCCCCTCCTCGACCGTCTGCCGCACCACCTCCCCCACATATACCGCCCGAGCAAAGCCGAACTACTCGAGGCAGCATCAGGCTTCTGGTCGCGGATAAAGATCCACTTCAAGTGGCTTACCATCCGAAGCACCCGTCCGTTCAATGCCGATGAGATATACGCATTGTTCTCATGGATCATCGCGGCGCACTTTGCATGGATCGTGTTGGGAACTACAACCTTTTTCATGTTGACCATCTTCTTGGTCAACACGGCCTTCTCACAGGAGACGATTGCCAAGTTCATCGGAAACTACTTGACAAAGTCTTCTGGCATTAAAGTTGTCTTCGAGACTGCTGTAGTACCCAAGTGGGGAGATGGTGTTATTTCTTTCCGCAACGTCTTCGTCTCGCGACGCCCAGGTCAAGGCAAGGGCAAGGTCAGCAAAGGTTCGCAAACGGAGATGGCTGCTGCCGCTGCTACCATAACCCACCAGGAGAAGGACGCTCAAGACGGAGTCGAAGAGAAGGTGGAACCGGAGGAAGATACCAACTACACCCAGTTCGATATCTCTATCGATACCGTCAACGTCACACTATCCTTCTCCAAATGGTTCAACGGAAAGGGCTTGCTGAAGGATGTCGAAATCAAGGGCATTCGTGGCGTGGTAGACCGGACATCCGTGAAGACAATCGAAGGTGTGGATCCCAGGTCATACAAGCACGAGCACAACCCGGGTGACTTCGAATTGGAATCCTTCAAGATGGAAGATCTCCTGGTAACTATCTACCAGCCCAACGACTTCCGCCCATTCTCTGTCAGCATCTTCTCCTGCGACCTCCCCCAGCTGCGAAAGCAATGGCTGTTCTACGACTTCCTCTCTGCCAACATGATGTCCGGATCTTTTGACAACTCACTCTTTACGATACATCCTCGACAGACACACAACTACACTGGCACGCAGTTGAGCAGCGGCCGGGATAGTGAAGACGGCAAAGCCTGGAAGAAGCACAGCCGCATTCGCATCGACGGCCTTAACATCGACCATCTCAACAGAGGCTTCGAGGGCCCCTTCTCATGGATCCACGAAGGCAATGTAGACATCGTAGCAGATGTCATGTTCCCTAGCGACGACGACGATAGCATTGCAAAGGTCATGTCCGACATGTACGACCGCGTTGAAGCGACCGTTATCCAGCAACGCAAACATCATTTCTCCGATCACGCTGTACACGGCTTCGATGAGCACCACGAAGACAAGTCACATTCTCAGGAGGAGACAGAGGAAGACAAGCGTTACATGATCATGGACATGCGTGTGCATCTCAATGACGTGCGCGCTGCGGTCCCAATCTTCACCCGAGATATTTCTTATGTGAACAACGCGCTCGTACGACCTATCGTGGCTTACATGAACTCGAGCCGCACCTTCATTCCAGTGAATTGCAGGGTTGTAAAGAGGGTTAGTGAGTTCGATGGCAGCTGGACCCTCTATGATAGCGGGTTAATGGAGGAGGTGTCAAAGGAGGTAAGTCTTATATCCGCTTTCTGACCGCCTTTACGAAAGTGAGTACTAATACATGTTTAGATGTACGATGCATTTGCCCGCGACGTCCTCGAAGATCGAACCACACGTAAACGACGCATAAAGAAAGTGGGCATTTGGACGCTGCAACTCGCAGCCCAAGCCCTCTTCCTTGGTCTCGCCGGCAACATTGCATAAAGATACCCTGATGGATTGGATGAAACACACGAATCTCTTCTTTCTGTAATATACATGGCAAAGCACGGCGTTTGGCGCATAAACATACACGATTGATGTGGTTGGATTGGGTGGATGAATGAATGAATGAAACGGAATGTTCAACAAACTTGTGTGTTACTGTAGCGGTTGCCTATGATGAAATGATAGACGTTTTGTTCCTACTTCGTGCATGACAATCGGTCCGAGTTCGTTGTCCAAAACTTTCTACTCGGCGGATTACACAGACGCTGGAGATCAGTGGGACGGCCCTCTTTGCGGGGGGTTTAGTGGAGCTGTCGCTGGACGTCGCGTCTTGCCCTCACATCTGTTCGTTATCAGAAGCCATGCAATACATGCTCTAAACGGCTAACGGGAAGGCTGCCGGGCGTTCAACAGTGTTAAAGAGGTCAGACATCTGTCGCATCGCCTTCCTGACGCGGCATACTGCTCACCGAAATCACCGGAGCATATATTGACTTACATCGCTGGGTACCACATCCGGAGGTCTCAGCTGCTCATACTGATTCAGGGTCTAAGAATCCACAGCAATGTCGCTTTGAACTAGCTCTGGGACGACATTGCATACTAGGCCCGCGACGCAAACGTCGGACGAACGTGGACGCACCACACCACACGACTGACGCAATGCCAGGTGCCTGGAGCCAGGTCAATGGAATCTATCTCGACAAAGAACAAGACAGTCTCCACCAAAAAGCAATATCGCTTCACGCATTGTCGAACTTAAGAAGACGACCCTCCGACCCTCCGCGCGCTCCTCCAGCCAAGGAACTCGGGGCATGACACCAATTCGCGGGCGCTGTCAAGCTCACCGTGCCAGCCAACAAGCTTTCACGAAGCCTCCCCATGCTCTGGCTACCGTTCACCGTCTACGCCATCTTATTGGCGCAAAATCCTACAATGCCGTAGATCCGTTGCTAATGGCTCGAACAGTTTAGCCGATCCGCGGACATAACGCCTAGTAAGGCGTGGAGATAGGGTCAATACGCTGCATACGGTTCTAACACCGCCTGCCGTCTTTGCAGCCCTCGTTTGTAAAGTTTAGGCGTGCAGCCCTTTTATGTGCGGAGGGTCGTAGATTCTGTTCTCCGTGATTGCGACGACGTAAGCCTGTCTTCGTTG